TATTATTATTATTATTATTATTATTATTATTATTATTATTATTAATATTTCTATATCGCTATGCCTTAGGGCTCGCCGGGCCCTCTACTACTAATTACAAAGGAAAGCCATGCCTGCAGGGCTAGACTAAAATCTTCTGTCTCTCCTATACCAGTCTGAAGTCCTGAATCTACTCACTACAGTGAAAAGAAAGGCGTAGATTGCTAACCAAGCTAGCGAACTAGTCTAGTTCTAGCTATATAGCTAGCCTTTACTCTAGGAGCCTCCCAGAGCATAGTCGCCACCTAATCACCTTTCTTGCAAGCCTTCTCTCTTTATTTCTCTACCCATCGACAGCTCTACATAGGTCTCTCTATAAGCCTATCTCTATAGCTAGCCTGGTCCTTCGCTTCAGTATTTGGCGGCACTACACAGCTAAGTATTCCATTATTTCCCTGCCCCGGCCGCATTCGCAGCAGAGGATAGGTATTCGAGAGACTCTAGCCTAGAAGTGGAAGTCGTTAAGGCTTATAACCCCAGTCCGAGCCTAGGTTAGTAGAGAGCTGTCAGCTTTCGTAAGACCTTTAAATATACTTATTTCAAGGCTTAGCTAACCTATTGAATAAAGAGTCTATATCTTCAACTAATACTCTAAAATACTACAAAATGCGTTTCAATAGCCTTTTGAGAGATATCTACAGCGTGACAATACATGCACAACTAACCCACTCAGCTATGTCGCATCTCTCTGGAAGAAGTGTCGAATCGCAATTTGCTCCCACCTTGCGATCTTGTGGGTTATATGTGGGTCATAGCGCAGCTGCCCACACTGCCTCGACTGCACTCCGTGACATACGGCTTCAATGCTATCCTGAGCCATCTGACTGCCCCAAAGTACGGGGTGTGGCAGCGGAATTCATGTGGGGTTGAACGATCGAGGTACCCCATCGCGGCAGCCGCCGCAAGCCGCTCTTCTCCGGCAACCCCCTCAATGCAAGCCGGGTACGGAGTACCATACCGGCACGCTAGCAAGTTGGCGCAACGCTTGAATTCGGGAGCAGATGCTCGATGCCGGGTTTGAAGGGTGTCTGTCGTCCAAACTGAATTCCAGATGGCCCATCAGATCGCAGCCGAATGGATGCCATGTAAGGAGACGGTGCGGAGGACTCCGTAAGATGAACTCTCAGATTGTCTTGTCCAATGCTTCACCCTTCCAACAGTATTTGGTTTGACCGGGTAAAGGAATAACATCAAAATACCAAGCCTGCGCGCTCCAGATCGAGACTGTAAGGTCTTTGCTCGAATGAGAGCTTTGGCTTAGAGTGGCATCTGGATAGATACAACACTGACTGTGGGTATGTCAGCCGAGTCCGGCAATACGCAAAAAGCCCGAGTAACACTTTCTCGAGAGACAGACATGGGAGTCTCGAATCTCGTATTGTTTCTTTTCCCTCACTGGTTCTCTGAGAAAGCCTGCGCCATGGATCACACCTGTGGTCGCTCGACTCTTAAATCAGCAGCTTGCACATCACCGACATCGGTCTTGCCAAGTCGAGGAGCGGAGGTGGTGATGAAGGGCATCCCCCTCCACTCACACCCTCATCTTAAGGAATCCTGAGCGGAGACGATTCATCGACTCGCTCAGGTGATCAGTGAAAATTTCGACATGGTTTCAAACTTGGCAACACGCCAAGCACGCGGTCCCCGCTTCCGGCTGCAGTGCCGGGCGTGCCATTGGAGTTCGGAAACATGAACTCCAGCGCCACATCGACAAGCCGAAACCTGTGGGACACAGCATCGGACACTTGCCCTCGAGACACAGACAGCACCACACGGTTTTCGGACCTCTCGTGGGCCAAAAGAGCGAATAGGGAACCTATATTCCGCAGTGTCACTACGTGTACCTCTCTTCTGGCAAGCAACCAAATCTCGCCCACCTTTTCCTCATGGCTAGGTCTTTTAATAGTATCCGGCAATGCCGATGTCTCAGAAGCATATGGTTCAGCCTTCCTCTCTAGCATCATTCGGCCACAGTATGATCTTGTTTCACGCCTAGTATTTCTTGCCCGCTGGCCTTCCTCCTTAGCACAAGGGTAGACCGGCGACGACCTGCCATGCATCTCGCCCGCTTCAAAGATAAAGGAGCCGCTACTACACAGTAGATCTCCGGGGTTGGACAATACTCCTAGACAATTACGCGCTCCGCCAGATGGTATGTTTGGGCAAGCGGCAAACCTCCCAGGCAGACTTGAATGGGAGCATTGGCACGCTTTTGCTTGTCCATCGCGGGCTGTACGCCAAATAGGTTGGAGATGCAGACAACGGACCAGCGGCTTGCAGAACCCTCCTGGTGCAAATCGCGGACTAGCGACTCCGAGTCATCGGTTCTTTTCCAGAAGCCTCTCGGCGCAGATGGTGACCTCTTTGAGCTCATGGAAGCCGCTCGGCCTCTATGTTCCTCATTTCATCCTCGATCCCGAGCCGCTGCGGGAGGATGGAAGTTGAAGAAATTGGCTTGCTTATCTTGAGCTCTCAGACTTATACGTGAGCGCTAAAAGGGGTCCGCCGCTGCAACTTTCTGGTTTCGTTATTCCGCCGCTCATATCTTGAGCTGCCCGTGAAGTGGCGTAGTGTAAGCCAAGATAGGTCTCTTATCGACATTCTATTGCTGCCACCGATGTTGGGAGAGCGCGTTCGAGTTTCTCACTGTTTTCCCCCTTCTGTCTGAGGTCTGAGTCGATGGAGGTGGCTGACCGACAACATGTCTCAAGCATGTCACATATTAGATAAAAATGAGTCCCCAGGACGCAGGCAGAGCTGGCAGTTTTCTGCTAGAATCTCTTGCATTTCCGGCGCGTATTTGGGACCCCAATCGAGTTCCTCGGACCGGTGTTGAGCTCCGTGGGCGGTAGATAGGCGCAAGAACTTTAACCTGAGCTCGTGGGCCAGGATTGCTTGCTGGGCCTGGGGCAGGCTAAAGTGGTCGTCCCAGATTTCAGCTCTGCCAGCTTCGTACTTGAACGTTTCTAGGTTCGGGCACATAAGAAGATTCTTGACCAGTTCGCCGTAGTCGAGGACGCTGGCCCGGAAGTCCAGCGAGGTGAGCTTCTCGAGTGCCGAGCCTGGATTGGGGCAATTCCACAGCGCAAAGAGGGTCATTTTGTTGATGCTGGGAGCAGCGCGGAACGGCCGTGCAAGGAATTCCGTATGGACGATCATAGCAGACTCTATACATTTCAAGTTGGGGTACGTGATGGCAAGGGTCTGCAGGCGCATCATGGACCGTGGCGAGCAAAGCCGAACGCCTCCATGTCGATATCGTTATAGAGGGCTTCTAGGTTAGGACAGAGGTGGATCATGATGTCGAGTGTGTTGTTGAGGATATCATCTGGATCGTGGTACGGACTCGGTTGGCCCTCCAGGGGCACCGGCCGGGTGCAACGCGCGTTCCGCCGCTTCTTCTTCCGACAGCGAATCCAGGTAGGCCTGGAACCGTGGATTGGTGTAGACCAGGACCTCGGGCGCGAAGTTGGAGAAGTGCCACGGATTGGAAAGTACGCCGTCGTTCCGATTCGTCGATTGGCAAAACCCGGACAAGCTGGGCGAGATCTCTACGGACGAGGACGGTGCGAGTGAGCATAGCAGGCTTCCAGCACACAGGCTCATGGTACAAGTGGGGTGCTGAGATGCTGCTGAGCTGGCCCGACGTCCGACAGAGTGCAGCGAGGGCCGCCGCGCACGAGTGTATTCTGCGTGATTCGTGCATTCGCAGTCAGCTTTGGAGTTGGAACAGCACTGAACCGGTCTAGCAGTGCAGACGAGACAGAGTCCCTGCACGATTCTGTCGACAAGTTCGTCCGGCAGTGTGAGAAGCTGGGGCAATGTCATTGTCGTCGTAGTTTGCGAATTCGGGATTGGAGCAGCGGCTGTTGGGATGTAGGAGAGGTGGATAGGAGCATGCAAGTGCTTGATGCATGAAACTTGTTCGAAAGGGGACCAGCCGGACGTCAGCGGAACTAATATATAACTAATACAGAGGTTATTCGGCATAATTGTCAATCCGAAAGGTCCTTAACTAGCTAATAGACTCTAGCTGGCTGCTGGATTATAGCCTAGCTAGAAGGCTAAAGCTTGAAATAGCAGAGGGCTAGAAAGGCCCCAGAGGCTAAAAAAAGGCCTCTTTTCTTTTATAGTAAGTTGAATTCATATACAGTGGTATAGTGGCTACGAAGTGGAAGACAAAGGCTTTTATCTAACCTATCTAGTACGGTTACCTTTGTCTATAGTAGTAGAGGGACCGGTGCGCTTATAGGCATATGGGTATGGAAAATAGTACAAATAACACTTCTTCCTCTTATTTATTATATTTCTCTTTTCCCTCCTCTTACTTTGTGTCTTCACATTATGATATTTTTCTCTCTGTCACGGTACCAAGTCCGCCCTTCTTAGGTCACGTGCTAAACCACGTGCGCTTGTGTTCGTGGACCCACACTAGCTGTATCTAGCCTCGAGTAGCTTCCTCTCGCGAGAGCTTCCTCTCTCCTCATCGCACAACACAATCTTTCCCAGACCTAGCCCTGTCCCGTAAACCCCTGACCAAGGCCCGTGACACTCTCTTCCTTACTTCTTTTGTTCTTTGATCTCTTTGATCTCATTACATATCTGTTGCCCCACTATGTCCTACGCTAACGGACAAACCAGGGTTGGATAATGAAGGCGTTAACGTTGGCTTAGCTATGCTGAAATTTGCTATCGTCGACTGCCTATCGTGGTAGCTTCGCTGGGACACTTTCTGCGTTCCGGCGGAGCTCTTGAATCTGAATTAGGTTCAATCGCGGATCGAAGCTTGTTGATAACTAGTCTATGCACTATCGAACCAAACTTTTGGGCACGATCCCCTCGGCTCCTTGACATTGTTCGATCTTTGTTGTCTTGACGTTTGATGTCCCGTTCAACAGCGGTTGCGTCAGGGTGTCTCTAGAAGCCCCAGTGCAAGATGTGAGATTGACTGTACGGATACACCGTGGTTGCAGTTTCTGTTTACATTCCGCAAGCACGAGCAAATCAAAACATCACCCCACCCTTTACAGATACCCAACGCACATTCCCACCTCGCGCCGCAACAATCGACGCTCCACCTTCATTCCAACGCTATCCGCTCTCTTAGTGTGCGAAGCACTCCTGAGTGCCTTGCATATTCTCGATCGCGAAATCGATCATTTGCCTGTAGCAAGCGCTGAACACCATGGCTCGCCGTTCCGCGCGCTTGGCCAGCCTCACCAAGGTACGTATGCGCGTCATCGTCAGCGCTGTCGGTCAACAATCGGGGCATGGAAGCTGCGTGCCGTGACTGCCTAGTGCACAACGATACTAACCAACAATCTTTGGCTGCCAGGTGCCCAAGCAATCTAGCGAGGCACCTCCTTTATCTTCTGTCGCCGAGCATAACGAGATTACCACAGACGTCGCGCCCGAAATTGCCCGCGATGCCGCTGATTCCGTCGCCTCGGCTCCCGTCCGGGAACCAAAGACTCCCGGGGGTTCGTCACCTATCAAACCTCCCATGTCGGAAATGCATCCCAGCAAAGTACACCCGACAATGGGGCCTCCATCATCCGGCCTTCGGCTTGGCTTCACGGACATCAGGCCCACCGCCAACCAAGACGTCATCCTTCCTGCCGCAGCCCAGAGCACTCCGTCTCGAGTTAAAGTCCCCTCGTCGCCCTTCACTTTCCGCGTTACGCGCCCGACAACCAACGCCGATCTGGGACTGACCCCCGACGCCCAACGGATGATGGACGAAATCAGGGAGCAGGCTGCCAAGATTAGGGAAGAGTTGAGGACTAAGCGCGAAACTGAGACTCTGGAAGAGGATGTCAGCGGCCGGAAAATGGCACAACCTAAGGGCAAGGCCGGACGGTTCAGCGCTGCCCACATGGCCCAGTTCAAGAAGATGGACTCGATCGAAAACCACCCGTCAGCCTTCAGGTGCCAGCCTGGCCGCGTAACCCCGCTCAAGGCAGGCATCAAGCGGAGCCAGTCGAAGGCGAATCTCGACGACCCAGAGTCAGCGCGCCCCAAGCAACCCACGCCGGCGTCCAGCACTGCCAAAACAAAACCATGTGCCGCGGCGGAAGAGCCAGTAACGACTGCCAAGCGGCCACGACAGAACATTGAGGACGACGCCTCTAGCAAACGCCCTGTCTCGCGTGACCGGAGCTCAATCCCGGTGCCCAAGTCGGCCGGCCTAAATATTGCTCAGACCCAGTCTGACCTTGAATCTCTGATGACTCCGACCAAGTCGTCGTTGGCCAGGGCATCCAGCGTGAAGACACCCTCCAAGCTCTCGCTGGTTCGCTCGCCCTCGAAGGTTACCATTAGCGGAATCCCTCGGTCTGCCACAACGAACAACCGCCCGACCACCTGCTTGCTTGGTCCGGCGGAAGATGCGAAGCTCAAGACCCCTCGGAGCCGCTTTGATAGAGTCAAGGCAATGCTCCGTGGTGCCAAGGCAAGTGCGTCCAGAAACAAGAGCGCTCTCCCCTTGCCTTCGGCTTTTGCTTCAAAAACGCCGGCTCCTCCCCGCCCGCACAAGGAGCTTGTTGCCGCTCCTATGACCACGCCTGGCCGCAAGCTTACCAAGCGCGTCGCCTTCACTCCAGACACGCAGCGTGCGGCGCTGACACAAAACTCGCCGTCTCCCGTCAAATCTAATATTCCTCAGGTCAAGAGGCAAGCCCTGGATGAAATTCACTATCCTTCTCTTGAAGGCGCGATGGCAGAGAGTGCCGAAGTCGGCGTGTTTTACCCAGACCTTTCGACCCGGCGTCCCCTCCCGGAGCCTCCAGTGAAGGCATTCAAGGCTGGATCGGTTGAGCCGTCGGTTCCCGGCGAGTTCACCTTCCGCAGCGACCACACAATCAGTTTCGACGGTGCCACCATATCATTCGGCTCCTCGCCAGGCCAAGCCAGCGTCCGCACCGTGCGCCCTTCGATTCTTCCCAGCGAAAACATGCCCGGCAGCTTCCCACGCTCGGTTTCCACCACAGGGGTCAACAAGGAGAACGAGGCGCCGCGGAGCGTCTTCCTCGCTCTTCCCCACGGCATGTCCACCAAGAAGCGCAACCGCGTCAGCACCGATGAGGAGGACGCCGAACTGGAGGCGGCCGAACGCGCGGCCAAGAAGCAACGGCAGGAGAAGGTGCCCGAGGGCGACGCCCTGCTCGCGCCGCGACTGGTGGGCGCCGCCAGTGCCAAGCGTACCCTGGCCAGTCCTCGGAAGCTGCCTATCCCCGGCCAGTCGGCGCCCGGTACGCCGAGCCCTGTCAAGCGGAAGGGAATTAGCCTCAGTCGCCTTAATATGCTTGCGCGTCCGAAGATGCGGAAGTAGAGGACCCGTGCACGGCTCGCGTGTAGATGGGATCTTGTGTTGCAGCAATATTGATCAAGGGTGTCATTTCGGTCATGATATTGCGGGCTTAGTGGTTGTTTATTGGTGATTGAGATGGAGAAATGGATTCTCTATGTCGGCGATTGCTCGGTATTTAGACTGCCGGGTTGCATCTTATCGACAACTGCACTGCTCAGCCGAGAAGGAGGACATGTCTGGGCGTTGTGGGTGGCACCACACTCTGTTTGACATGTCGTTCCTTCACACGGTCTGGATTTCCAGGCATTGGTTTCCTGGTTGTTCTGTTTGGCTTTTCTTGTATGAGTTTTTTCGGCTGTCCAGTCCTTTCAACGGATTGCCTGCATTGAGTCGATAATGGGATCTGGCGGTGGCGTTGACGGTGGAAAACAGCGGGTGTCTTATCTGATCATCGGGAGCATGGGCTGTCGGAGTATGAAAAGGCTGTTGGTTGTTTTGTCATCATGAGGCTGGTGATATTCGCCTGCCTGCTCTTTCCGCGCGAAGGTAGAGGCACCGCCTTCAAGACACTGTGTTCCTTCCGCATGTGATGCTCGAAGTGGAGCTATTTGACCGACTTCGCCGGAGTTGTCTGCGTCTCGCCAATGTGGCTCGAGATGTGGCACATGTCGTACTATTTACTTGGTCTTCTATTGTTTTGCATCACTTACACGCACCAGGTCCCGCGGCTCAGTTGCTACCACCCAGAGCTACGGCTTCTTACCAGCGCAGCATCCATCCTAACCTGGTCTGACATCAGAGGCCACCTCCCACTTACCTACCTTACTTACTATTACTATTATCTATTCCCTACCTGGTTTCCAGGATCAGGTCGCCTCTCTGGATCTGATATCCTCTTCATGACCATCCCTGATTCCAGCAAACCGCTTTCCCTCAAGAATAGTGAGGTGCAACGGGTATGGAAAAGTTTTCATGACAGACGACACCAAGCGCACATTTCAGTGTGATCTAGTTTTTATCGGCTGCCAATTTGTCTCACGTAGGAGTTCTGAAGGTACTTGGGGGCAGCCAGCCAAGAGCCCCCAAATACGTCGGGTGTGAGACGTGCAAATTCACAAGGCTGCCAAGACAAAAGCACAACAATAGTTGGAGTCAAGGATGGTGCCCCACTGCCACAAACAGCCAATTTGCATCACAGACTCGTCTCGTCTCTTGCGCCAAGACCGACGCGAACTGCCAGCCTTGTCCTCTTTGAACTTCGTCAACCGCTTCCCGACCCTCCTCTTCGCCTTCCACCACGCGCGGACAAGCTCACCACAACCTGCGCAACGATCACAACCATGGCACCGATAAATTCAGACCTGCAAAACGTCCAAGGTCCGTCGTTCGCATAGTTTCACCTCTTCTCAACCGATACTGACACAGTTCCACAGAGGAGGTTAAGAACGTAATTCAAGACCTCTTCCAGATCCTGGTCCAAGTCTCCAACTACGACGCCCTCGGCCGCCCTACCCGCGAACCCCTCGCCCAGGACTTGTACGGTCTCCATCCCTCCAGTCCAACCCCTCTGCACGGAGTACTCTCAATAGACTAACTCAATCTATCAAGCCAAACCCTCGACGAAACCCTCCGCACCCTCCACGCCACCGCGCTCTCCGCCTCCACCACCTCCAACGGAGCCGACAAAGCCATCCCCGAACCGCTGATCCACTACGTCGAGAACGGCCGCAACCCAGACATCTACACGCGCGAGTTCGTAGAGCTGGTGCGGCGCATGAACCAGCTGGCGCGGGGCAAGACGCACGCCTTCCGCGACTTCCGTGACGTGCTGGCGCGCGAAATGAGCATCGCCCTACCGGAGCTGCGCGCCGACGTTGGGAGGGTGCTGGAGGCGACCGGCGGGGCTACGCCGGAGAGTGAGAATGTGGAAGGGGAGGAGCGGGGGCAGGGGCAACAATCGCAACAACCGCAACAATAACAACTTGATAGTGCCGGGTATTGGGGAATTGGGTGTTCATTGGGTGATGGAGGACAAGGTTTTGCACTGGCGTTCAAAGGATTGGGAATCCACGATTGATAAAAGGGGTGATACCAGGTCAGGTTTGGCTGGCGAATTGGCGTTTTTCGGGGATACCATTGTGAATAATCGGCAAATCAATATGTTGGGCATGGCAATCAAGCATCACTGGCTGTCCGCTTCGCTCTCGATCTGAGTGAAAATGGCAACGGGAAAGACCACAAACAGGGGGATGGACCGAAGGGACACGGCTCCAGAAGCCAGGTCCGATTATTGCAATGAATTCGAGAGTGCGCAGAGAGGTCAGTCGGCAGTTGAATAACTTTAATATGCAGCAGCCAGGTCTTTGACGACCGCCGTCTAACGACGAGCCACCCGCATCGGCAGACAGCCAGCACCAGCCGTGATGCAGTGATCCCCCTATATGACCGCACCGTACAATGCGCCTAGATGATGACACAGCGCCGGGACTAGGCACAACCAACCAAGCCAACAGATACCTCACAACCAACCACTCCCATCACCTCAATTACAAGCACCCCACGTAAGGTATTTACTCCGCCGACAACGCCTGCAGCGCCTGCGTCAACGGTACAATTTTCAGACTCCTCGCCCTCTTCAACCCTGTTCCCTGCTGCGCCATCTGCGTCTGCTGCTGCGGCGGCGGGACATGCATAACAGTCGGACTCTTGCCGTCCCTCCACTTCCGAAAAACGCTCTTCATGTCGCGGGGGATGCCTTCCAGCACGACCGTCGCGATGGGCACGAACGGGCGGTCCTCCATGCCCGCCGCCAGAATGGCATACTCCTGAGCAAAGTCGAGCGCGTTGCGGAAGGCGGTGTATTGGTGCTGCGAGCGGGCGCCGATGATGATGTACAGCTCGAAGAAGGCGTCGAGGACGTAGATATTAGAGGGAAGGAGGTCGGTTTGGGAGAAGGGGGAGAGCTCGGTTATCTTGGTTGTTGTTAGGTAAGATTCATTTCTCTACGAATTGTTGGGCGAGGAAACGACATACCTGCTCCTCGTCGGCGGCGTTGTTGGCGCAAAACAGCCTGCCGCAGTACTTGTCGTAGTTCGGCTTCAGCCGCCAGTGGTCGGCAGAGTTGGGACGAGTTCCGCCGCCAAACATGTGCCAGAAGCTGTCCGGCTCGCTACCCTCGTCCACTTCGATCAGCTCGCCCGTCAAGGCCAGGTCCATGCCCACTAGCTTGGCACAGCCCAGCTCCTCGACGTCGCTGCCCTTGCCCTTCCAGAGGTAGCACTTCCCGTTCTGCGTGATGAGGTACGGAAAGCCGGAGCAGAGGCTCAGCGGGGAGAAGTCCACCTCGTCGAACGCGACTTGACCGAGGTACCGCCGGCCGCAGAGCAAATTTGGCGCGAGCGAGTCGTACTTGTTGCTCGACCCGCGGCGGACAATGACAATGCCGCCGAGCGCCTGCAAGAACTCGGAGGTCTCCTTGCCTTGCGTGAGCCTGACCAGCTTTCCACCATACGCCCTAGCTTCACGCGCGGCGAACAGATGAGCGTCGTCGACCTCCGATTCGGGCACCTCGTCGCCGGCCCAGAAGTAGACCTCGTTTACCTTCTTTCCGGTACTGTCAATATAGGTATGCGGACAGACGTACATCTCGCGCTCGAAGAGGACACGCTCATAGTGCGAGGGCACCGGAATCTTCTTGCCCTCCGAGGTCAGTTGGATCAGTTGAGCCCGTTGCGTCTGGACCTTGGCGGTCGAGGCCGACCGCCTCATGAGGATATCGGCTGCGTCGGCCGTGTATTTCCGTCTCGGCCGCTCTGGTCCAAAAAAATCACTAAGGAGCGAGGTTGCATCTGAGAACTGATTGCCTGGCGACCATGGGGAGGTTGTGCGTGGAGATGTCACCGGAGGAGAGGACACAGCGGGAGGTGTTGGAAGTGGCCTGGAGATTTTTGCAGGCAACGGCGACGGCCGCTCAGCCGCGAAGGACTTATCGATCACCGGTTCTGGCGCGGCAGTGGGTTGTGTCAAGCCCAGGCCTGTACCACTCGACAGTTGCCCTGCACTCTTTGTCGGAAGTGAAGGCTTCAGCTCAGCATAATCGCTTACCGATGCCTTCCCATTTGTGGGCTTCTCGAGACAGGAAAATCTGTCTTTTACAGGCGACGACGGCCTTGACCTGAGGGAATCTGACCGGCCCTTGATCGGCGAAGACGGTTTAGAGCTGGCAGGCTCAGCCTTTGGACTCGATTGACCCTGTTCGTCCATAAACCTCGACATCCTCTTCATGTCTAGCTTCTTGGGTGATAAGGGCTGAGAAGCAGCTTCGCCGGAGCCGGCAGGTTTTGGCGACTGCTGGCTCAATGCAGCTAGAGCGGCCACTTGTTCATGGACCTTGGTAGGTGAACGGGGCCGAGTCTTGACCGGCGTAGATCCAACCAACGTGGTGGGCTGGCTGACCGATTTGGGCTCCTCCTTGGACAAGCGTTTGGTCGAGTCGATCAGGGAGGTGACCTCGCCCACGGTTTTCGGCTTGTCTGCTGACTGGCCAGAGGCCGCCGGTGGGATGCTCTCAGGCGTTGATGCCACGAACTTCTCTGGTCTGGGAGAGATGACTGGTCTACTAGGTTTTGGCGGGGATGTTTGCTCCTTGGGAATGGAACCGAGCTCGTATGGTTTAAGCGAGGGGAACGACGGCCTCCTGGGCACAAGAGGCGAGGCCTTTTCCTCCGACTGGGAGGTAGTGTTCTCCACCTTCCCCTTGGCCTCCTCAGCTGGAACAGCAACAGAAGTCGGAGCCTTCCTCCTAGGACCACGGGCTCGGTTCTTCGTCAGATGAGTCAATCGAGGGCCAGGTCCAGCAGGCTCAGACTCCGCTTGAGATGTTGCGGAAGCGTTCGATGCGCCTGTGTTGCCGGGCCCCGATGCTGATGGAGGGCCTTTAGTAAGGAGGCCGGCTAACTCAAGATTAAAACGGTCTGCTAAGCCCCCGATTTTGCCTCCGATTCGAGCTGGGGCATCTGCTGACTTCTGGGAGGTGCTTGGGGTATCCGAGCTTACAGTCGGCTCATTCGCACTCCCGGAACTTGATTTCGACGCGACCTCTGGCGCCCCACTCGATACACCGTTCCTGGACCGCGTAGAGATCTGGTTGGGGTGGGCCGATTCTGCGAGTATAGGACTTTTCAGGGGAAAATCTGGCGTAGTCGGACTTTGTTTCGAGACTGTTCCTGTCCGCTGCAACTCCAGCTTCTTTGCGAGACCCTCAGGGATAGAATCTTCACTCAAAGAGCCAGGTTTCCTCGTCACACTGCGCCCTTCTTGTTGGGCCTTTGCGAATTCTTCCTTTTTCTTCAGGATAGCTTCCTTGAATTCGTCTTTCCTCTCCGTCTTCTTAGGTCCACCTGTTAGATTCAGCCCCGCCTTGCCGCGGAGGATGTTATCCTTCAGCTCATCCGGGGCGACGTAGTTCTGCGTCTTGGTCCTCCGTAGAGTCCCAAAGACGCTTTTCAACTCATCGGCGGGGTCCGTTTTTTTGGCTTCGGGGGGCGGGGCGCGGGGTTTGAGGTTGGCGCGAAAATCTTTCTTTGAAGATGCTTCCGGTTCGACATTGGACGTGGCTGCGAGGTCCCCTTTGCTCTCGGCTGGGCTCTCAGGCGTCGGGGATGCTTTCCTGAGGCTGCCGCGCAATCCTCCGACGGCGGGTTTGTCGGCTGTTGACGCAGGGGGGACAACTGGAAAGCCGCTTAGGGCGCTTGGCTTGAGCGTTGTGCCCATGGGAGTCGACCTCAGAAGTCCACCAGTTTTCACCTCGTGCTTCTTGGGTAAAGACGCACTACGGGCGAGATCTGCACTCGCTTTCTGGGCCTTCGCCTTGTTCAGCTCAGCCATCCACGCCGGCTGGGTCGGCGCAGGAGGGGCCGGCTTGGCCTTGGGTGACTCGGGTTTGTTCAAGGCGGCTTCGAGCCAGCTGGAACTTTTTGTTGGGCTCCACCGCCGGGAGTCCATCGTCTTGGACGGACTTGTCGGCGGGGTCTTAATCTCATCAGTATTATTCGTTGTTGTCTCTGCCGGCGTTGTTGGCCGAACAGAAGCGACCGGCTCGTCGGGCTCGGGCACCTTCTCCTCGGCGGGAGCAGGCGCTTCGGAGGCTCTCCTGAGCAAGCTCTTTGGGCGCACGCCACTCTTCGGAGTGGTGGGGCGCTGTCCGTTGTCAAGGTCGCTAACGCTGGAGCGAGCGGAATCCGCGCGTTGCAAGCCAGCAGGGGAGTTGACACTCCAACGTTTGACGCTATCTGAGCGCTTCATCATGGCACTCTGAACGAAGCCGCCCATGCCCTTGGTGGGTGAGAGCGGCCTGGTGGGCGAGGTGCGGCCTGGCGGGGAAGTCATGGACTGGCGGTTGATCGAGGATGTATTCGCGTCTTCTGCACTATCGTTGACCGGAGGCTCCAAACGTTGAGCGCCAGTCAAGGGAAGCGGAGAACCCAGTTTTGCGGGCAGGGTGGTGGGCGTCACCGGTCGAGCAACTGGGCTGTCTTTGGGAGGTTCTGCCGTCAGCTCCCGTGACATGCCCGGAAGTTGGGTGCGTGTAGAAGGCATGTCGACCGTATCTTGATTCTCCACTTGGGTCTTCCTGAATGCCCCAGATCCGCGCCCTGGGTCAGCGGTCTGGCGAAACCAGGACGGATCCTTCCCGGCCAGGGTCTGGACGATTTGTTCGCGTGAACTGGTCTGTTCGGTGGGCTCGGAGCTGCCAGGAAAATTTCGGGCGGCGTTTTCGGCAGCAACCATGGATAGAGGTCGGCTTTTCGGCCGATCAGAGGCCTGTGAGGTTGGCCGTCTCTGCCACGAGAGGGGAGATCGTGCGGACGGCACTGCAATGGAGGGCGACGGAAGAGTCACGCTGGTCCGTTTGATATCCGAATCGAACGGAGACTCGTTCTCTTTCGACGGAGAGCTCGAATGATCGGGTGCAGATCCCATCGCATCGAAGGAAAATTCGGATACGGGTTGCCGGGGGCTCCCTGAGCTCTTGAGACCAGGCGATTCTAGAGCGGTGCCGTTGGCTTCCGACGGCTGGATGCCGACGCGATAGGCAGTCGGTGGCGGTGTGTTTGCTGGTGACGACTTTTGTGGTGAAATCGATCTTGCGCGCTCTGCAGAAACAGACTGTCAGTAACAGAGTGCCAGTGGTCGCGCTGGGCGCGTGGGCAGGTGATATCAGAAATCCAGTGTTCTAGATCGAGCATCCGCTGCGATGCGCGGTGCGTATTGAATCGGTGATGCTCTGCGCGGAGGGGCGGCCTAACCTTCTCGGCGAGCTTGTCTCTCTCTCTTTTCCTGTAGAATCTTTTCCTCGAGCTCGCGCGATCGGGCCTCATCTCTCTCCCTCAACGACTCGACTGAGCGCAAAAAGTCGGAGACCTCGTCAGACATGATGGATGTTTCCGAGACAATGTCTTCTTCATGGCACACAAACGGCAGGGTGCAGTTACTGATCGGCGCACGAGGCAGAAAGAGTGTTTGGAGAGAAACTCAGACGGGTTGATGTCAACATTCAAGACCCGCTGGAAGATGGGACTAACTAACGTTAACAGGCATGAGTCGTGGAGGGGCCGATTTGATGTGGCCCAGAAACTTGGGACGGTCAGTCTGACGGGAGCTGCCGCTGCATGCTCCAGCAGAGGCGCTATGACCACTGGTCTTGCATCTCAGCACCAGCATTGTTCTGTGCAACCGTGACGTTGAAATAATGCCATTGTTTCATGTTCACTCCGCATGTCCCAGCGAATGTACCTATACGATCTGGTCTTCTTCGAGTAATATCTTCGCGAGAAACAGATTGAGTTAATTTGCTCTTTGTACGAACTCCTACCTCCCTCCACCTTCTCTTTCTCTCCGTTTCAAGACCCACTCCAGCGCGGAGACAAGGACGGTTTCCACGGTAACAGACATGCTCTGTTTTACCTGGCGCTTTACACCCTTCCCAGGTTGCCTCTCCATCAACCGAGGAGTGGGAGCGTTTTCGGTTTCACCCTCGGTGGCCATATCATTGTGCAGCTTGCGATTTTCGTTGTAAAACCGGGAAAAATGAGGGGGGCGTTCGTCCGCGGAAATGACAAAAAGGCTGCACAAGGAGAGCTATCTGAACTGCAGGCACTCCTCCCAAGCATGCTAAATCTGCTCCCTTGGGCCCTTCGACTTGAGAAATGGTGGAATATTAGACAGCGAGCACACCAATTCCCCCGTGGTGGCTTTCCTGTGCAGCTACAGCAGTCGAGCCTAGTGTCCGCTCACCTTCGTTGGAGCCGGTCGGTAACCTCCAACCTCAGCCTGGCCTCATTTCGCGCAAACGGTCCTGAGAAAGCTGACGGAGGGACATTGTCACACGGTGTAGTAGTCCTCAGAGCCCAGACATGGACTCGCCAGCTGTGTACTACACAACAGCGGCGAGAAGCGTCCAGATCCATCTGTGACCAACCCTTGCAGCAACATGCGTAGTGGAAGGCCAACCATGTCCCACCCGACTCTGCCAGCAATTGAGCCAGCGCATGCAGTATCTGAAGGCGAGGGGCCCTCCTCTCAGGCATTTTCTCGAGAAGTTGCAAACCGGGGAGGTTCGGCGAGGTCAATACAGAAAGAGGCGGGCCTTGGCATCCTCGACAACCCAAGCCATACCTTCTTTGAGGTTTTTGCCGGTAATGGCACTGCAGCGGAGGATGTTCCATCGATGTGTGCGGATCTCATCAAGTCGTAGAGCCTGGCCGTAGAGGTATGTGAGTCCTGATGGAACGAGACAGCAAACGAAGACGAACCTTTGACAATTCATCCTCAGTCATACACCCATCGATGTCGGTTTTGTTTGCAAATACCAAGAGGGAGGCCCCAGATAATCTCTATTATGCATAGTCAGCAAGCTCTCGCTCAACGTTGTAAGGGAATTATCGAACTCACCTCCTCCTGGAGCAGCCCATGCAGCTCCTCTCTGCAGTCGTCAATCCGCAGCCGGTCTGTGGCGTCAACAACCCATACTGCCATCACTGTCAGGCGTGATTTGATCTTTAGACCGTGTCTGAAGGGTGCAGGGACCAGGTACGGAGTCTCGGGGGCGGTCTTGGGAGCAAGATGGCGCCCGAGACGGCCAAAAAAGTGTTGTGAACAGTCCAGAGAAATAGGAGATTGTTGCTCACTCACTTAAAGAGTCAGTCTGCTCAAAGTAGTTACGCCAGTAAGAACGTAGAGTTTTCTGCCCACCGACATCCCAAATGTTGAGCTTGTACCTAAGAACAGACAAGGTAAGAATTCCGAGAACGAGACCATGTGTTTGGCACGAAAGAGGGAAGAAAGCATACCCGGCATAGTCGATCGTCTTGATGTTGAAGCCGAGGGTTGGGCTAATGGCGTTAACATCCTCGCCCATGATTCGCTTGACGATCGTTGTTTTCCCAGCCATATCGAGCCCAAGCATGAGGACTCGCAATTCTTTATCTTTCAAGCGAGCTTTTCGTAAAATGGACAACATGTTTGCATGAGTCCCAGAGTTGAGGTTTTTGATGTGTTTGTTGAGGGCGGCCCCTAAACGCATGTGCCCTGGGGAATGGTATCCGTACCTCCGTAATGTACCCCATACACGAATACACGGCCCAAGAAGAGTGGGACCTGCCAAGCTTTCCTGAATTTGTTTGTCTTCGCGTTCTGGCGCGTCGTTGAGGCTCCAATTCTCTTACCACCACAGACAAAACCTCAATCTTCGTGCACGCCACCTCGTTCTCCTGCGATTAAGGCGAGGTCATAACCGATTGACACTTCCCATTCAGCCATCACAGACATAGTATATTTGTAACACGCGATGCCTCGGCCAAAACGGTCGCGCGTCGCTGTGGCGCGCCGCAACAGGACACCTTCAGCGCCCAAGGAGCAGCAATCATCCGTCACCCCACCCGGTGCGATAGAACCCGTCGGCACGCTGGTTGCAGTCCCGGGGAGCGACATATACGATGTGAGCGATCGCGAGAAGGAGCGCATACAACAGCGGATCGAGGCTGCCAAGGCACGGGCGACCCAGCACCTTGATCTGAACTCGGACCAAGCGAGGGTATTGGAAGACTCAAGACGCAGGCGAGATGATGCGATGAGCAGACTGGACGACCTTACGTCGACCTCCCGGCCAGACCAAGCCGAGAGCCCGGACATCGAGCGCAGTCGGACAGAGTCAGCCGTTGAGAGACAGCCTCGGTTGAACGACGCGTCAGGACTCGATCTGGATGACGACTTCTTCGGTAATCTCGACGACAGCCTGGACGTCACCGAGAATGCCATTGAAGACACGCAGACTGGCTACCGCTCGACGGATGCGTCATCATTCAATGTTGCCATGTTCAAACGCCGGCCTAGACAGTCGAGCGTTGCGAGGAGGGATAAAGGGCCGATCCGGCCGAGCAGCAGGGGTCAAACCACACCAAGCATCGGCACAACGCTCAGTTTTGGCACCTTTAGGCGGCGCGAGCGTGCGCCTAGCATTCTTGGTACGGGGAGAAAGGCTCGAACAGAGAGATCTCAATCGCGGGCTTCACAAGCTTCGCGAAATGCAAGTGTTCTCGGCGATGGCGACGAGTCTGGTCCGGATGGCGAATCAACCCCACTTGACAGGACGAGACGGCAGACACGCGCGGCCAGCGGCTCAAGAGAGGGTTCGCCCGTGTTGCCGTCGCGGAAGCGGAAGTCTTTGGAAAGTCACGAAGATGGCCGAGAGAAGAGGCTTGCGGCCGGGCCCGAGGCAGAGGAAGAGGGCGAGGAGGCGGAAGTGACTCATCAGTCAAATGAAATTGAAGTTGAGCGGACTCCGAGCCCCCCACGTGGTCGTGCCCGAGAAAGGGATCGGTTCTCGACACCTGTGCGGGAGGATGATCCGGACATGGCGCCCCCTCTCAGTAGCTCCTCGGAAAGCGGCAGCCCCCCTGCCTTGCCTCCGTTGGATACGTTGGCCCACCGCACATATACGCGCAGGCCACCAGCAAGAGCACTCAAGACACCGGAACCCGACGATCTGTCCTCGAATATATCGTCTCCACCGTCACTGACACATTCGCCCAACTACGGCGCCGCAACCAAACCCGCCGCAAGAAAGAAGGCTGACCCGCCGCAAACGAAGGTCACCACAGCGGATCTGACCTCTCTCCTCCCGCGCCGACGGGGCAAGGCATCCAATCGCACCACTGACAGCAACGATCCTTTTGACCTCGATGACTCGGAAGATGAGCGCTATGACATTGCAGAGGATGAGTTCTCATACGTCGACTCGCGAGCCGCGCGGAGGCGAAACGGCCAGCAACCCTTGAGCAAATTGACCTCCAACCGGAAAGGGAGGCAAATCGAGGGCGGTGACGGCGCCGGCAAGAAGCGCACCCTGCGAACATATGGGTCGATGAACGAAGACAAGGAGAATGAAGAAGTCGAGGAGACGATTGTGATTGGTAACGGAGGCGACGAAGAGGAGGAAGAGGAACAAGACCAGGCACTTCCGGAGGAGGAGACGAGCCAGATAATGGCTGAACGCTTGGGAGAGGAGTTGCAGCAGGCTGTCAAAAAGTTTAAAGAGGTGGATAAGTGGGAGCTGTCGTTCGAAGATGTCACTGAGAGCTCGTCGCCGGGGCCGTATGCCCGGTGAGACCGTTGAGCAGAGAGATGGTTGAACTCTATTTGACTGGTACCGATTTTGAGGGGTTGGTTGGTATTCATGTGGCCGACCTTTGCTGGGAAGCGGATGGATAGGAGGCCGTTTACCGTGCCCTTGAAGATTTTGCACTGGACATTAGCGTTGCTTGGCTTGGACGGTATTGCCAAGGTAACTCTGACTTGACTAGGGTGGTTGTTTTACACTCGAGAAGTAAAGTCATGCCCATCCATCATGCCTCGTGATTTGTCTAGCAACAAATGCATCGTATCGCGCCAGACGCATAACCGCTAGCCTTGCCGTGGCTGAATGCCACGGAAGAAAAGGTAAGGTAGCGCTAGTAGGCTACGACTTCCCTGCCAAGCAGACGCTCTCTAGCGAGTGCCCAACAACGGGAAGTAGGTTGGCAACCTGGTTGGAATCTCTCAAGGCGATTGTTATGGCGTCGGGCATCATCCCGCTCATGTAGAGATTCTGCCTCGTCAGCTCTTGTTTGTGTAGAAGGAAAGACAATAAGCCACCTACCCTCTTGACGTTGTCAAACTTGTCCTCTCTCGCGGCATACTCCCGAACCACCATCTCCTTCGTAAAATCCACATACACCCTCGTATCCCTTACCCGCACCACCACCCCATCCAACCTCATAAACAGCCGACAAAGCAGCAGCATCCTCTGCTCCATCACCCTCACCTTCACACTCATCACACTAATCCCGTTATCATCCAACTCACTCTCGTACAAGACCACCTCATCCGCAAACAATATCGGATCCCTCCTCTTCAGCAACTCAACGGGTATCCCCTCCCCTTCCCCGCCTTGCCTCTCTTCCAACCCCCTCCCATCGCCCGCCTTTACCTCATCCCCCTTGTACGCCGCGCTATAGCTCCAATCAAACGGCCTCACCACCTCCGAGATCCCCGCGCTCGTCTTCTCGCGGCTCGAGCTCCATTCGCGTGCGTACGCAACGCGCAGCATGCCGCCCTCGCCCGTCTTGTCCACCGTGTCGAGCGCGCCCTCGGCGCCAAACGAGATGCTCCAACCCGAGGAAGGGTGGGTAACGGAGACGAGGTTGTCGCCGAAGATCATCTCGGGGAGGGGGATGCCTAAGCGCGAGGACATGGCTTCGATGGGACCCGCTTTGAGGATGGGCAGCTTGCGCGAGGTGATCTGGAAGGGTGGTTGGGTGTGCGTGCGGGTTGCGAGGGTTATGGTTGAGGGTGGGATGGTAGAGGAAAAGGGGTTTATTGGTGGTGGACGGTCCATCTTTTCGCTGTTCCTTTGTTTGGTCGTATTGATAACGGGTTATGAGTCCACGCCTAGGCGGCTGTGGTTGCGATCGAGCGGCTTGGTGGTCGTGGGACGATTAGTTGTGCAGAAGTCGGTATAATTCAGGGCCAAACTTGGTTGGGTCGGTCCGCTTTCGAATTGTCTCTGCTTCGCCTGGTACGGAGGAGAGAGTTTTGAGTCGTTACTTGCTTCACTGGTGTTTAACACCCGAATGTGATTTCGACGCTTTGGTTAAGTCTGGAGCAGGATTCGTAGTTTTGTTGAATTGGCGAGCGTGGTTTGGAGCTCGGAGCTGTTTGGCGGGGTAGCAACGCAGAACAAACCGGAATTGATGCTTGGCCCTCAAACTCTCCATTGTCGGCTTTTGCAACAAAGTCTCGAGACAGGTTGTAAGGGATACATGGCAGTCGAAGATCGCCGGGCACTTCCGTACGAGAAGGGCGATGAATGGTAAAGACATTGAATCCAAACCATACGATGGAATAACGGCGTCTACGGACACTCCGTACAAATACTGAGTACGGCTCTCGTCTACCTAAGGTATCTTGGAGAACCATGTGAGCTCCTACACCTGCTGCCGACGGCAAAAGTACCTAATGTAGACCGCCTTCGCGGTATATCCATGAGGTACCTACGATACCATTTACCTGAGCTTTATCACAATACTATGCATGTGTGGATTGGCTCGCAGGATATCGAGGCGGCCCGAACAGGGCGCTGCCGCACATTGGCGGGCCAGCTAAAACGGTTGCTAGGCAACGGCCAACCCCCATGCGAAATGGTAAACAGCTTACCTGACCCTTCAACTTGGACATCCTCGATCCTCATTCTTTATTGCAACTGCGGCCCAAAACAACACAGCGTTGTTTTATCATTCTCTTTGTGTTGTCAGCGATTGCTTCCACACTTTCGAATACCCAGGTTAATTAATAACAATGGCGACAAGAACGCTCGAGGCCTGCTTCGACCGCTTGTCGGTCCACGACGAGAATGACCCGGGTGAGAACGCCCGGTTGTACCAGAAGACAAAGGTATTGTTATCCCACAGCAGCTGAAACTCAGTTGTTGCTGACTTGGCCTTCAGCCCCTTGGTATGTCATCAAGCCAACTCGCCCACGGCAGCAGACCAAACCTCCTCAAGGTTGCGCTGCAATCTCAAAGCGCCAACACCGTTACCGCAACCGTCACCCTCCCTTCGCAAGCCGCCCAATGGAAAAGCTCTGCACTACCAAGCAACCCGGTCTCGCCCAGGAAGGACAAGGAGAAGTCATCATCACTGTCCTCTCGCAGCTCCGACGAAACTGCCCTCGCCGAGCGCACCTCGTCTTCCTATGTCGACCAGCCACTTGTGCCCAAGCAATTCCACCTCGGCATGTTCGAGATTGGACGGCCCCTCGGCAAGGGCAAGTTTGGCCGCGTGTACCTGGCGCGTGAACGCAGCTCCAACTTCATCTGCGCGCTCAAGGTGCTCTACAAGTCGGAGCTGCAGCAGGGCTCGGGCGTCGAGAAGCAGGTGCGCCGCGAGATTGAGATCCAGAGCAACCTGCGGCACCCCAACATTCTCAAGCTATACGGCCACTTCCACGACAGCAAGCGTATCTTCCTGATCCTCGAGTTCGCCGGCAAGGGCGAGCTGTACAAGCACCTGCGCCGCGAGAACCGCTTCCCCGAGTGGAAGGCTGCCCAGTACACTGCCCAGATGGCCTCGGCTCTGCGCTACCTGCACCGCAAGCACGTCATACACCGCGACATCAAGCCCGAGAACATCCTGGTGGGCATCCACGGCGAGATCAAGATTTCGGATTTCGGCTGGAGCGTGCACGCGCCCAACAACCGGCGCCAGACGCTCTGCGGCACTCTCGACTACCTACCGCCCGAGATGATCAAGTCCGGCAGCAAGGACAACTGGTACAACGAGAAGGTTGACCTGTGGAGCCTCGGCGTCCTGATATACGAGTTCTTAGTCGGTGAGGCGCCGTTTGAGGACACGCCCATCATGACGCACAAGCGGATTGCCAGGGCCGACATGACCATCCCGGAGTGGGTGAGCAAGGAGGCCAAGGACCTCATCAAGAAGGTGTGCTTATTTGGTATGATCGTTGCTTCCACGAATCCTGCTAACTCGGGGTAGTTGCTGGTGCTTGACCCAGAGAAGCGGCTCCCTCTCGAAGAGGTCCAGACTCATCCCTGGATCATCAAGCACTGCGTGAAGGGTGAACGGGCGAGCAATCGGGAGAAGCCCCTCAAATAGCTCAGCTGAGCTCCAGGAGAGCTTTGCAGCATTTCAAGATCAAGCGTGTGGCGTTCAGGAGTCGGGGCGGTGGCAGCCAGGGTTACTTCCGGGAGTTCTTTGCATAGCGGAACCGATTCGCCTGTTTGATTCCATTTCTATGCGTCGGCCTGCTCGACGTCGTTTGCATCAACGGTTGTTGGGAGAAGTTCGTTAATAGTACAAGCATTGCACATGTGAAGCAAGATGCTACAGCGGGCCATGCGCAAGGGCTCAGCGATATACCTCCTCAAATGGCCTCTTGTCGGCGAAGCACGAGTCCCACACCTCATTGACCACCTTGGTGGCGTGTACGTCGCCCCTACACGTCGCGCGCGCCATGACCGACTGGATTGCGCGCATCCGCACGCAATTCTGGAACTGCTGAGTCAGCGTCCAGTTGCCTCTTGTGATGGACTCCCTGGTCCACCGGCACTCTCCGCTGAGCATCGACGCCCGGATCTGTTCCCGCCGTCTGTCAGCGCTTGGTTCAAGAGCCGACTACAAGTACTGAGTTGAAAAATGTACCTCGGTGCAAGCAGCATGCTTCAAGTCATGGCCCCCCATCCAATCCACCTTCCACCGCAAATGATCCCACGCATGCACCATCTCATGCGCGAGCGTATCCTCCAGATGACTCCTGCTCCTCATCTCGTTCGCGCAGATCAGGATCCCGTGATCGGGGCTAAAGCCCCCGCCCTGCCTGACCACCCTCCCATCCTCCGCCACCCGCGCCGGACACCGCCGGCACACGACGTTGGACGCATCGAGCGTGCCGTTGAGCGCCGTGACCTTGTCCCGCAGGAACCGGATCACGGGCGAGTATTGGAAGAGGTAGTCGCGATCGCGCTCGCACCGCGCGCAGTCCCGCGCCTCGTTAGCCTTGTACCGGTCCTCGCGGTAGTGCTCGATTCCCTCTGGTGTGATTTGGCCGGCTAGTATCTTGAAGTAGTTCATCCACCATTTGAGCGAGGGATCGTAGCCTGTGCGGGCGGGGTCGTTCTCGAGGAAGCGCGGGAGCGGGCGGGCGGTTGGTTGCGGTTGTGATTGTTGCTGTTGTTGTGGTTGGGTCTCGGGCTGGGGGGCGGAGGAGGAGGACGGAAGTGGTGTTGAGGAGGGTGGTGGTGGTGTCGACATCGTGGTTACGGCTGTTCTGGGGGCCAGGAGCTCGACGGTTTGATTGTGACGGCTCCGTCTACGAAAGAAGTATTGTGCTACCTTGGATGCCTATCAGAAATTCGAGCAAAAGGCCAGGGAATGGGTAGTCCGTCAAGATGCCGGAGAGATCGTCACTTGTCGTTGCGAGTCGGCTTTGAATGTTTCCCTTCAAAGTTTCACGATCTGATCTGCAAGGTGCCGCTAACGACCGGTCCCAGTTTTTCACCCGCCTAACACTGGGTGCTCCACAAGATTGTCCTGGCACGCCCTTTCCAGCTTGGCAGGCGGTGAATTCCCAGCACAGAGTCAGGCAAGGCCACCTCAATACTCTGTAGTGGACTGCGTTTGTATGTCCCTACGGAGTACACACAGTACGTTGTTGTTGTTGATGACAGGGTGCATTGGCATCTGAGAGGCTCTTGATGCAAAGGGAGATCACGATGTTTGTTGTATCGTATTATATGGTACAATGTACTGTGAGTTGCCGGTCCAGCCAGTGGAAGAGGCTTTAAGCCGTAAGAGCATGGTAATTGTCGTAAGAACTGGCGGGTCACGTCGTAATATATAAGTTACCGAGCTCGACAAGCAGAAGGCGCGCCCCAATGCTTGGGTGTGGACTGTTTTTCAACCTTGGATTTTCTGGGTCTCTCCCGATGTCGGCCAATTGAAACCGCTTCACAAGCTGCAGCATTGTCACAACGGTCCCACTGATGTGGTGTTGCGCGCCCTGCAGCAGCATCGGCCAGGATAAATTACAGCACCCCTGGAAACTGACTGAGGAGGAATATACATAATGGAAACGAGTTGGAATCCGTGTAAGCAAGGGAGAAATCCCGCAGAGTGAACTGATTGCTTTTCTTTGACTTTTGGGTCTTCCTATTTCTGTTGTTATTCACTGACTTCTGACTTCGTGATTATATTCCACAGCTATGAGGGGGCCACGTCCGCTTGGCGTCGTGATCAAGCTCGGTGAGTAATAGATGCTCTGAGACGAGGGCTTGGTGTAACTGACAAGGCTCTTTTCAGGAACAAGCTCTATTGTCGACGAGAAGTCCCATGAGCCCCTCCTCTCTATCCTGACGTCCATAGTGGAAACGGCCGTGAAACTGAGGAAAGATGGGCACAAAGTCATCATCGTCTCGTCTGGTGCCATTGGCGTGGGACTGCGGAGGATGGATGTTGATAAGCGGCCAAAGCATCTGTCAAAGTTGCAGGTCTGATCTGGTATACCACACACCGCGGGCATAACTGACAATCACTAGGCGCTCGCAGCCATCGGCCAATGCCGGTTGATGAGTCTCTGGGACAGCCTATTCACCCACCTAAACCAGCCCATCGCTCAGATTCTCTTGACGAGAAACGATATCGCGGATGCAAGTGACCAAGAAACCCTGGCTCTTATGTTCTGCTGCTGACACAAGGCTCAGAGGTCACGCTATCTCAATGCTCAGAGAACCGTTAACGAGTTGCTCGACATGGGCGTCATTCCCATCGTCAACGAGAACGACACGCTGGCAGTGTCGGAAATCAAGTTTGGCGACAACGACACCCTCTCAGCCATCACCGCAGCCATGGTTCACGCCGACCTTCTCTTCCTCATGACCGACGTCGACTGTTTGTACGACAAGAACCCTCGAACCAATCCTGGGGCACAACCTATTGAGGTGGTCGAAGACATTGGGTCGCTGGTAGCAGACGGTAGACCCAGCCCTTTTTCCGCTGCGAAGAGTCGTCTACTCACTTCTTTACAGTCTCATCAGCCGGCTCCTCCCTCGGCACAGGCGGCATGATGACCAAGATCGTGGCCGCCCGCCTCGCCACATCCGCCGGAGTGACAACCGTCATCACACGGTCCTCCAACCCAGGAAACATCGTCAAGATTGTCAAGCACATCCAAGCCAGCCGCTCGCCGCCCTCGCTCGCCACTAAAGCCAACCAAGCCCCCGACACTCCAGAACAACAACAACACCAACAAACCGCCGAAGCCCTCCTCACCTCCTCAGTAACCACCCCATTGTCAGACTCCGGCCGCAACACCGGGACATCCACCCCAACCCCGATCCCCAAAATCCCTCTCCACACCCGCTTCCTCCCCTCGCCACACCCGGTCCGCGACCGCTACTTCTGGATCCTGCACGGCCTGCGCCCGCACGGGACGCTGTACATCGACCAGGGCGCGTACAAGGCGCTCGTCGGCAAGGCCGGGCTGCTGCCCGTGGGCGTGGTTGACGTGGAGGGCGTGTTTGCGCAGCAAGAGGCGGTGCGGCTGTGCGTGGTCGACCGAAGGAAGAAGACTCACGGAGCAGGAGGAGCGGGAGATGATGGGGGGAAGTTGTGGGAGGGCGACGCGCGGGAGGTGGGGAGGGCGCTGACGAATTACTCGAGTAGTGAGATTGCGAGAATCAAGGGGAGGCAGAGTGCCGAGGTGGAGGGGATTCTGGGGTATGCGGATAGCGAGTATGTTGCACAGAGAGAGAGTATCAGTCTGTTTGCGCCGGTCAGGGAGAGTCGGCCGGCGACGCCGGTGAGGGAGGTGGTGGATGGGAGGGGAATTGGCGGGTATGAAGGTGAGGGGGCGGTGCTGTGAGAGAGATGAGAAAGCCAAGTTGCAGTGGTCAAGAAAAGTGAAGAGATTGGTGGGGTAGATAGAATAGATCTTTTCCTTGGTATCTTGCGTGGAGTGAAAGCAAGGTCGTGTTGATAACCAAAGCAGCCACCGCCTCATTGATAGATACGAGGCCATTTGAACACCTGACGCCGGCCCATATGTCGTTTTTGTCTAACTATACCATTACCGAGTTGGCCCAATTAACCCGCAAAGAGAGTGTCCTCGTCGCGGAGGTACTCGCCGCAGTCTGCTTGCCGGAAGCACACGATGCCCGTAGGATCCAATCGTCGCGCCTCGGTCGTACTCCTTGCAGTCTAATGCAGGTCAGCCATGCCCTCAAAGTTCGAAACACCAAAAGAACATACCACTCCAAAACCGAGTGGGATATCCGCCATGCTGTACACGACACAGCCCGAATGTTCCGGGCAGTCCTCGGACCACCTCCCAACGTGCGCTTTCACCACTGTTCACTGGCAGTCAGCAATCGTCCCTACTACTCAACCATCCATGCCCTAAACCTTCAATCCACAGATACCCACCATTTGACCCATATAGGAAAGGCTGCGCCCCGTTATCCTTGACCCAAATCTTGTGCCGCGCGCCCGGCGCAATGATGGGCAGTGCCGTGATGTGCAGGCGAAACTTGCCCGTCTTGGTCATCTTCCCCAGACAAGTACCCAAGCTGAGCAGCGCGTCACGGCTAATGCTCGTGGCAAGGTTGGCGATAGAAAGCTTGACGTAGTAGACCTATGCAAGTATTCGGTGTGTAAGTCATGGCCCGAGGAGGGTGCGGTGTGAGAAGGCATCGGGAGGGCGTACCCGGGAGTGGTTCAGCCGGAACACGTAACGGTCGCCGTCCTCGAGGGGGGCAATTAGACTTTTCAGGTCGGAGACATAGTTGGCTAGCTGGGGGGTGTTAGCTGGATTGTTGCTATGGTCGAGAAGTGGAATTGGTGGCTGTCAAAGAGAAGGAGAGAGGAACGCGCCAAAGAATCCTACCTTGTCCAACACTGTCTTCATTTCCTGATCAGTTAAGGGGCGCATGTTGGCGGTATGGGAGTACGTCCGCTAGGTGGGAGTGGTGTAATAGGTTTTGTTGTTCTGTCTCGGGTCTCTCTTCCAGGTTTGGCAGTTCTTGGTACTCTATGCTTATCGCGAAGTCCAAAAAAGTCGAGCGGCCTGCTGAGCGCTCCACTTTTACCCGCATTGCCTCTTGGACCACCCCACAACTGCCCCATGGTTCCGCTTCGCGTTGGATTTGCATGTTAAACTATATATTTAAAATTACCCAATCAACAACATGTGGGCCTCGTGGCCAAATGGTAAGGCGCCAGATTTCGGCTCTGGAGATTGCGCGTTCGAGCCGCGTCGAGGTCGGTCATCACTTTTTCTCACCACCCAAACTTCATTTTTGACTCTGTTCAATGCGTTGTCCATTCAGTTATCGGCAACTTTCCTTGTTACTTGTGGCCTGCCCTGTCTGTTATCTCAGTGTTCAGACCACACTGCATTGGGCCGGTTTGCGAGTACCAGATCCAAGCAAACTAAAAGCCAATCAAATGACCACGTCAGCAATTCCCGGTATTATACTGTACGAAGGTACGGGCACTCTGTACGGATCTGTACCTAGATCCGTACCATTTATCGTATGGCAAGATGAAAACCTTGGCAAAGCAACGCACGCAACATTCGCAGCTGACTTTCGAAGAGTACATATCCGTAGTCAGAGTTCCGAAAATACAACGTCTCTGCATGAACCTCAACTCCCTTTCTTGGCAACAATGCAACGAACCTGGGGAAGTCAGGTATTAGTAACCTGCACAGAAGCAAGTACTTTACATGCGGCTATCGGCCAACCAAGATGATCACCAGGTCTCGTGCGTGTCTTGAGCGTGGCCGCAACTGATCGACAAGCTGAGCTGGGCTGAAGTTATTGGGAAACGTGCGAAAGGCACGTCGACCGGGTTTTCGGGTCGCGACGATACCTTCCTGTTTCATCAACCTTCACAAATACCCGGCACTGCGCCAAACTCTTGCATTTCAAAGCAACTCCGGTCAACTCCTCCAGGAATGCCAATCGCGGCGCGACTGTTCTGGCACTCTACAATGCAACGTGCAGACTTCGCCAAGACCTTCGCCATGACAAACCTCGACACTCTCGTTGGCCAGGCGTCCAGGGCGGAGGACGTGAACGGTGATGGGACGCTGAGAATCTCGGAGGACATGTGCCGCAGAGGTCGTTTCCGGAATGGCTCTCGGCACGCCGGGAGCCCAAGCACCAGGAACCTGGGCAAGCCTTCTCCTAATTACCCGCAATGAAGTACCCGGTCAAGCCGTTCTGGGCGCGTAACGGAACGGCCCTGGCAATGCCCCTGCAATCTACGGGAGCTACCATCCGACGACATTGCAACATGGCTGCAGTCAGTGCAGTGTAAGCAAGCACCTTACATCCCAAAATCCCTGTTGCTCTCCTCCCCGCGAACCGGGTTTGCAACCCCGCGGCTCGGTATGACCATGGCATGCGTGAGTGATGGCCTTGCAGCTTTCGCAGCTTACAAGCTGCATGAGCCGCCGTATCCTGCTCTCGTTTAGGAACGGCCGAGAATCCCCCTTCTGTACGTGGCTATGGTAATGTGTAGTCAGCTCACCCGTCCGCGTGGCCTCCACGCCGGACAGGCTCGTGGGAGGTGCTTGCCTGTTCCCCGGATGCATCCCTAGAGTTGCATCAGCCCGCGACGGCGGACAGGGTTGCCGCCACTTCCGCCTACCGGGGATTTCCCACGCCCTGTCCTTTCATTTGCCTCCGCACGACTTGGAAGCGTACCGAAGGTGCCTTGGGGTTGTATCTGGAGAAAGGGGGCAAGCCATGGGGCTTAAGAGGGAGCTGCCCCCTCAGCTGCGGCATTCCCCTCTGCTTGTATGTCGGTAGCGTCGAGGCGAACCGTGTCTGTACGCCCAACATGAGGACCTCCTCTCGTTTTGTCGGCGCCCTCGCGGCGGCCGCGTCGTGTAAGTGACAGTCATGGCAGCCAAACTACAGCTCTTCCGTGATTGACATCCAAGCTAGTCCTTCCGTCTGCCCTTGGCCAGAACAATGAGCCAGTGACCTTCACTGATGCCGAATCTGGCATCGTCTTCAACTCGTGGACCGTTCCCGGGGACACGGGACAGACTCAGGGAGGCTTCACCTTTGGCATGGCCCTGCCTTCTGATGCCCTCACCACCGATGCCAACGAGTTCATTGGTTACCTGGTATGCTCAGCTAGACCATGACCACTTGTGTCGACGGATGCTAACTGCACCAAGAAATGTGCCGCGGCGGATAACAAGGGCTGGTGCGGTGTCTCTCTGGCAGGCCCCATGACCAACGGGCTCCTCATCACCGCCTGGCCGAACGCAGACACCGTTTACACCTCTTTGCGTTTCGCAGGCGGCTACTCCATGCCGGACCTTTACGCAGGGGACGCCAAGATCACCCAGATCCGGTCCAGCATCGACTCGGAGCACTTCACCCTGGTCTTCAGATGCCAGAATTGCCTCCACTGGAACCAGGGCGGCAGCGAGGGCGGCATTTCCACCTCCAGCGGCTTCGCCGTCCTCGGCTGGGTCCAGGCGTTCCCGTCTCCCGGCAACCCGACCTGCCCTGATCAGATCAGCCTGGAGCAGCACGACAACGGCATGGGTATCTGGGGTGCTGTTCTCGATTCCAACGCCGCCAACCCGTCCTACTCGGCTTGGGCCGCCAAGGCCACCAAGACCGTTACCGGCACCTGCGGCGGCCCGACGCAGTCTTCGGTCGTTGGCCAGCCGGTGCCGACGGGCGCCACGTTCGACTACATTGTTGTCGGCGGCGGAGCCGGTGGCATTCCTATCGCCGACAGGTTGAGCGAGGCCGGCAAGAAGGTCCTGCTCATTGAGAAGGGCTTTGCCTCGACCGCCGAGCACGGCGGCGATCTCGGCCCCGACTGGCTGGACGGCAACAAGCTTACCCGCTTTGATGTCCCCGGCCTCTGCAACCAAATTTGGGTCGACTCGAAGGGCATTGCTTGCGATGACACCGACCAGATGGCTGGCTGCGTTCTCGGCGGCGGCACGGCTGTGAATGCCGGTCTCTGGTTCAAGCCCTACTCGCTCGACTGGGACTACCTGTTCCCCACCGGCTGGAAGTCCAGAGACATCTCAGCCGCCATCAACAAAGTGTTCTCGCGCATCCCGGGCACTGACACCCCCTCGACCGACGGAAAGCGCTACCTCCAGCAGGGCTTCGACGTCCTAGCGAATGGGCTGGGTCAGGGCGGTTGGAGCAAAGTCACGGCCAACTCGTCCCCGGACCGCAAGAATCGCACCTACTCCAACGCCCCCTTCATGTTCTCAGGCGGCCAGCGTGGTGGTCCCCTGGCGACCTACCTTACGAGTGCTAAGAAGCGCAGCAACTTCAACCTCTGGCTCAACACGAGCGTGAGGCGTGTGATTCGTGAAGGCGGCCACATCACGGGTGTGGAGGTCCAGCCATTCCGGACTGGTGGCTACCAGGGCATCGTGAACGTTACCAACATCTCTGGCCGCGTGATTCTGTCTGCCGGCACCTTTGGTAGCGCCAAGATCCTGCTGAGAAGCGGTATTGGGCCGGAGGATCAACTCCAGGTTGTGAAGAGCTCGACGATTGACGGGCCGACCATGATCAACAGCACGTCGTGGATCCCCCTGCCAGTTGGATACAACCTGGATGACCATCTCAACGTGGGTCTCAGAACTCGATGTTCATGTCTAACTAAGGCGCTGACATAATACAGACTGACACCGTCATCTCCCACCCCAACGTCGTCTTCTATGACTTCTATCAAGCCTGGAACACCCCGATCGAGGCCGACAAGAACCTGTACCTTAGTATGTGGACTCTTCTGCACTCTCGCGAAGCTGCAAAAGCTGACACCATGCAGGCAAGCGCAGCGGCATTCTAGCCCAGGCTGCCCCCAACATCGGGCCGATGTAAGCAACCCCCCTGTTCTAGTCATCGAGTCTTCGCTAACACCATCAGGTTCTGGGAGGAAATCAAGGGCGCCGACGGCAAGGTCCGCCAGATCCAGTGGACGGCCCGTGTGGAGGGTTCGCTTGGGACACCCAACGGCAGTACGTGCCCCCCACCCCCCACCCCCTTCCCCCAACAACTATTGCCCTTTCCCCCTACCACACGACCACCCCGCTGACCCCCCTCCCAGAGGCTATGACGATGTCCCAATACCTGGGCCGCGGCGCCACCTCGCGCGGCCGCATGACCATCACGCCCTCGCTGTCGACTGTCGTCTCGGATGTGCCCTACCTTAAGGACCCCAACGACAAGGAGGCCGTCATCCAGGGCATCATCAACCTGCAAAACGCCCTCAAGAACGTCGCCAACCTGACGTGGAACTTCCCCGACCCGAGCACCTCGCCGCGCGACTACGTTAATAACGTAAGCGCCCCTATGCTTTACCGTCTTGCTCTTCATCCTCTCCATCCTCTCCCAAATCCATACTAACAAAATCCCCTTTCCTAAAAACAGATGGTAGTCTCCCCCGGCAACCGCCGCTCCAACCACTGGATGGGCACCGCCAAGCTCGGCACCGACGACGGCCGGCAAAACGGCGGTTCAGCCGTCGTCGACCTCAACACTAAGGTGTGTAATGGCATTTCAGCGTTCTGCGGAGCATGACTGACACGAGCGCAAAAGGTGTGGGGTACGGACAACTTATTTGTGGTGGACGCGTCCATCTTCCCTGGTGTCCCTACCACCAACCCGTCGTCCTACATCGTCACGGCCGCCGAGCACGCATCGCAAAAGATCCTGGCCCTGGCCGCTCCCAAGCCCATTCCGAAGTACGGCCAGTGCGGTGGCAGGCAGTGGACGGGAAGCTTCACTTGCGTCGCGGGGACCAAGTGCACGGTTAAGGACCAGTGGTACTCGCAATGCCTGTGAGGATCGGGCTGAAGTGGACGAGACGGGATGGTGTTCTGAGGTTTTGTGGGGGGGATGCCTGATGCATAGGCTTCTTTCTATTCATGTCCATATTTCTTGATCGTACATAGCTTCAATGTTGCCAAGTTTCACTCAAGCGAGGAGCCATTCAAGAAAGATTTGTCTTTGTTGGCTTCTGCTCCACAAATTAACCCGCATCTTGCTCGTACAAATTACGCCATACATATCCTCGAACATCAGCAAGAAGCCCAGAACAAAGACACGGGCCAGAGAAGAAACAGAAAGCCCCAGATCCTATCAAGCATTTGATCCTGCACCCGCCAACCTAGTAGCCTTCCTTAATATCGCGCAGATCAAAGCGGCAAGTGTGCTCAAAGACCACCTCATCAAGCCAGTGGACGCCACGCTCGCGGCCCTTGGGAGAGCGGTGTACCGCCCTGTATCGCGCGACCTCGGTGAAGTTGAGCTGATCCTTGAGCAGCTTCTTGACCCAGACCAAGTCATTCTCATGAGTCTTCTGCTCCGCCTCCAGCTTCTCGTCGTCTGTCCGGTTCTGGTGTTTGACCATGTAGCTGATGTACAGGCGGAAATACTGCCGCTCACGGGTGGCCGAGTTCTTGTAGACACTGCTGTCGTTAGGGTCGATGAAGTCGTAACCCGTCTGGCTGGAGAACCGATCCGACACGGTCGTGAGCAGCATGTCGAGGAGCGAAAAGCCAATATTTTTGCGCCTATACAGCGGATGAACGTAGACGTGGATCTTGGCCCTTGCCCTGCTGCTGCCGTTGCTGCTGCATGCTAAACCAGGCTGCCATGGGGAGAGGAAGGTGAAACCGAGGATCTCGCCGTGCCTAACCTTCTCGGTGGATGGGATCTGGCGGAAGACCGAGTACGATAGGTTGCCTTTGGTCAAACCCAACTCCCTGGCTGAGCCGCGGGCAGCGACAATGAACGGCATCCCGCATTTTTGAGCAGTGTTAAGGATCTTCTCAAAAACCTCCGCGGACAGGGCTTCCGAGTCAAGCGTCTGGAGGCCGGTCTCCCTTCGAAGTTGTAGACTGTTCAATGAGTTAGCAACACTATCGTCATCCCCAATTCCAAGAAACCTCCGAAAAGAAAGAAAAAAAAAAGAGAGAAAAAGGGAGGAGCGGAAGAGAAAGGGAAGGAGGGGACCAAGAAAAAGAAAATAAAAAAGAACTCACTCAATTTCACTGCCCTCCATGTCGTACTTCTCCGCCGGCCGCAGGAAGCAGGGGATGCGCGGCACATAGCGGTTGTACTCGGGCCTCTCGATGGGCGTCTCGTGGACCTCCAAAATCATGCCCTCCTCGATCTCCAGCACCGGATCGCGGTGGTTGCGGGTGTTGCCACGACAGTTCTTACCAAAGCGATGGTTGCCCTGCCGGTTCGTGTTATGTCGGGACACGAGAAGAGTGGACGACCAGTTCTGTCGGCGCCATTCCAGGGCCGAGTCAATATCCGCATGGTTGACAAAGGAATCGGGGTAAGCGACTATGCCCAACAAGTGACCAGTGTTGGTGTCAATGTCGCGCTTCCAGTGCTCGCCAACGCCCTGGTCAAAATCCGTCCGCGGGCAGTCGGGGATGCCGGCCACCCAGTCCCTGATGAAAGGCGAAAGCCAGTGAACGTCCCAGTTGGCGTCCTCCACACAAACCTTGTTCCTGATATCACGGGGCCCCGTGAACCCTTTGCCGCCCCCCGCGAGGCCCGAGTCGCTGATGTTGATAGACGAGACCAATGTCGGAAGGCTGTGCGACGACCCGGTATAGTCTCTGTTCGGACGCGGCATCCGATTCCGATAGGCTGTTAGATCCGGGTAACACTCGGCAATCCGAGTGGGCGTTGGTCGAAGGCCCCTATTTGCACAGCCGTTCTTTCCACCACGGGCTTCCGGGGTCTTGGAGCCGGGGTGGGACGGCGAGGACGGGTGGTGCGCGACGGGTCGGTGGGGCGACGGGGTGTCCCCTTCGCCTTCGCCCAGGGGTTCGGGCCACGAGTCTGGGAAGGCGGCGGGTTCCCAACACTCTGTTGGAGGTCCTTGTTCGCCCCAGAATCCTGGTCATGCCATCCAGTCGAAGCACCCGAGGCCTTCTGATCTCGGGGTGTCGGGTATTTTGACGGGCTGACAATACCCCGTGCAATCTGCTGGGCTTCCCAATACTTCGCCGATGGGTCAAGTGGAAGAGGCTTGTTGGAGGTCCGCTTCCACTGCGAGGATGACACATGGGCCTGGCTGCGTGCCGGGGCGTTCTTTGGTTCTTGGACGGGCAAGGTTTTCGCATTGTCCCACCAGGATGGTTGATTGCCAGTCGAGTCGACAACGTTGCCATTGCCGTTCTTAACGACGTCCGCGAACCTTCTCATCGGATGGGCCTGCTGAAACGACGCTGTAATTCCCTGGCGCTGTTGATGTTGTCTTTCGATGGTCCTGAAAAGCCGATGGCTGAAAGAAACGCGTTTTCCCGCTCTGGAGAGTCAAGACTGCCTCCACACCTGGAGCTCAAGCCCGCTTTGTGTGCCTTTCTTTGATCCGAGATGTCTGACTGAGTGACCTCGCACTTGAAGATGATGAGTGAGTTCAACAATGTTGGGGCGTTGAAGGGCGGCTTACCTTCGATGCAGGATTTCGAAGTACCGTGCGAGAAGAATGACACAATTCTCTAATCAAACTGCGCGCGATCAGTTAGCTTAGCACAAACTTCTTTGGGTTTCGTAAAGGTGACGATTGCTTCACGGGGAGTTGGCGGACATGGCATATGACGAGAGAATGCTCGAATAATGTCGAAGCCGACGAACTATACCACGACGTACCTGATTGAGAATCGCAAACGGTCAAAGCAGTCGATTGCTTTGAATGGTCCAAGAGATCTGAGAAGCGAGATGCCGAAGGACGGGGCAACAGTAAGCTGTCACCGTTTCGTTTCGTGGGGCGCGCAGTCGTCGCGAAGCGCTAGGGGAGGATGGTTAGAGAATTGAGGCGACAGACGAAGTGAAGTACGCCTTCAATGGCACGCTTGGGTAGAAGAACAAGAATAGAAGTTGGTAACTGGAGTTGGTGATGAGGTAGCGGGAGGAACACGGGTGAAGAAAGTAATGGTTGAGTTCGGCTTCGCTGGTTGGGAACCGGAAAAATAGGACCTCGGAGTGCGCGCAGAAGCTTGACAAACTGTGCGGAAGACTGCAGTCTTAAAGTGCAAATGCCAGGTGGGTGATTGAGCAGGAAGGAGCAGTGGAGGAGCTACTGCATCATTGCAATGTGAATTTCACACAGAATATGAACCTTGAGGTAAGGCACCTGAGGCAAGATTTGGATCAGAAGCCCTTCCGTTGCAGAAGTCTGACTAGCTTCAGGTTGCTACACCTGCATTTGATTCTGCGCATGCGCGTTCGAGGAAGCACATACGCAGCCGCCCGGAAGCTAAAGCCTGACCACATTCGAACGTTCGAGCAGGTGTTCTTGCAGTGGGATGGGACTCGGCCCCGGTCCCGTTTCGGAGCGTTGAAGCACGAGGTGGTCATGATATGAGTATAAACCTCAGGTGATTGTGAGGGTTACGGAAGGGTTTTTACCGTCTTGCATCTTGTAAGTGGTTGATCCGGGGGTGGGTTGAAGTTTGATGTTGTCGCCAGACTGTAGAGCACGTGACATCTCTCATAGCAGTGACTGCTTGCCGCACTCAACTCCGGGGCTTCATACTGCGGAATACGCATCGCCTCTACGAGTGATTGGACTAGAAGGACAAGTCTTGTAAGCGAGCACGAGAATGGGGCGAAGAAGAAAGGTCAAATAAATGGTTCGAGATTCGACTGGGCAGCGACTTGCTCGTCTATCCTCTGGTATGGGAGATGGCTCCCTTTACAGAATGAGGCAACTGATCCGGCAAACTTCAACGCCGAGTAACCAAGATCCCTCCAGCCATATTGGTGACAGGCGCACAAGCCGCCTCAATATCACTGCCTCTTCTTCTCTCTCGCCTTCTCCCCTTCACCCTCCACACCATCACCCCCGTACATATACAGCCCGACCAGTTTCCACACAACCCAGGCAAATCCACCCAGCACAGCGACCGCAGTCCCCGCATTCACCCACCGCGCCTTCTCCAGATCCAGCACCGGAACCCTCACCACATTCACCAGCGACGTGCCCCCCCCCACCGGCCGCGGCTCGACATGCCAGAACACGGTGCCGTCCTCAAACAAGCCGTCATAGCCCAGCTTGACCTTCTCGAACGGATTGGGCGGGAACTCGACCCCGCCATGCTCGGGCACGCACGCCCAGAACACGGCCGGGTACGGCACGGATATGGCCGAGTAGCCCCCTTCCGCGGGGGCGAGGTAGCGCAGGTGGAGCGGGATCTCGGCCGTCCATTCCTCCCTTTCGTTCTTCTTCTCCGGTTGGGAAGAAGTGGAAGGTGGCGGAGGAGACAGCTCAAGCAGGACGGAGGAACCCCACTGGGCCATGACATACTCTGGCGCCTCGAGGTCGACGGGCTGGGTCATGTACCGCAGGGCGGTGAGGTTCTTGGAGGCGAGGAAGAGCAGGTCTGAGAGCTGGTATCTGTCGGCAAAGATTGTGCGGGGGAGGGTGAGGTAGGCGTAGGGGACGCAGGTGGTATCTTGGTCGTTGTTGTCGTCGTCGTGCTGGGAGAGGTTAAGGGGTGCGCTGGAGGCGAGCCGGAGTCGTAGAGTTGGATGCAGCCCTGTCGGGGTAAGGAACTGGGCCGAGAAGGTGGACTCGGCGTCGCGGTGACGAGAGGCAAAGGTGAACATTGTCGGGGAGGGCTTGAAGTCCTGGCCGAGGACGGTCAGGAGGCCCGAGATGCCGATCTCGTGTGGCTCGAGTGTTTGCGGCTTGTCAGTGGAGAGGATGCCCACTTCGGTCCGCAGCTGTGGGTGAGATGTGACGTGCACCTGTTGGCGTTGGTAGGGCCAGAGGGCAGTCACACGAAGGACGTGTTGGACCGTGTCATAGGAAATGTCCAGTGAGCTGGCTTTGGAGAGGGCGTCCAGCCGGGCCGAGCAGGAGGCGTCCGTTGAGCGGCATAGTCGTCCCTTGGCATACTGAATGAACTGTGACAAGGTCTCAAGCTGTTGGAAGTACTGGAACGCGGCTGAGTGAGAGAAGGTGTCCTTGGGCAAGGATGTGAACGACTCCTCGATTGATGTCAGCCTGTCTGTGTCTGAGATTTTCTTCGGACTAGCTTACATTGGGACTCAAACAAATGTCGCTTCCAAATATACTGCCTAACAATGGACAGAGCTTGTTCCTAAACTCGAATCATCAGCATTGCAATGACATCAAGCGGGTGTCATTCATGACATACCCGACAATTCCGTCCTTCCCAGGAGTAAAAAAGAAATGAAAGCCGGGTGGCAGGCGTGCGAGCAACGGGCTTACAGCCTCATAAGCAGTGGTGCTAACCCATCGGATGTGGAGGTCCTGGGCGCCGGCGACGAGCGTCTGCAGCTCTGTGGGAAGCTCATTGAGAGCAATGGTCAGCCTGTCCTCACGGACGGCGTGCACCTCGGGGCCCTTGATGGTGCCGCCCTCCACTGTGAGGGCCGAGGGCTCCAGAGAATCGCCCAGTTTCTGGACATACGTAACTCGTTCTCTCATGGTTCCTGGCTCGGCGGTGAGCGACTGAGGGTACTGGAGGTAGTAAGGGTACCACTTCCGGAGCTCCAAGCGTTTGTTGCAAGGCGCACGGATGGGCAAGGGGCTGTCAGCTCCTGCCAAGCCAAGCCAGCTGGCCGGGCCCCTGTCCAACGGCGCATGTCGTGCGCAGAGCCGATGCCAAGCCGCAGCTCTCCGATTGGCTCTCCCGCTCTGCGCACTTCTCCCGAGAGATCTCTCCTTGCTCCTTCCCAAAGCAACACCGGGGCTGAGGGGCGCTAAGCCCGAATTGGTGACCGGGAGGTTGCATGGCGGCAACTAAGCCCTCCCCCGGGAGCCAAACAGGTTGTCACACGGAAAGCACGCTCAACCTGGCACCGACAGCGTGGGACGACGTGGGCACCGAGGAATGCTTTTCCCATTGATGTGGCAAACGACTTGTCTGACAACACCTGCCCTTTCCTTCGCCAGCTGAAAACCTCGCACCGAAGCGGAAACAGGACAAAGCGATGAAGCAACGAATCCAGCACCGATAGGAGCCCGGAAAGTCGCTCTCCTGCCAATCGCCGTGATCGAGACGCCATCGTGTGTCCGCTGCCGGCTCGTGCGCGGGCACTCCGCATCGGATCTGGGGTCGACGCTTCTTTATCACGGCTCTCAGGCCTATCCAATTCGCCATGGAGCAGAGATCGCCGACACCGCCCTTCATTCCCCTCCGCACGAGGAGGCCAGCAAACGACGAGCACAGCATGAGCAGTACCGATTCTGCTGTATGTGTTCCGTTGGACGGGACCCTTTTCGGTAATGGCAGGACTCTGGCTGACGACCGTCACAGTATGGCTCGGCCACTGAGGGCTCACCAGCAGCAACCCACGACCTCAGCCGTGTCAGCTATCATGTCAAGGACATAGATAGCTTCGCACAGGCACTCCAGCATGTATGTCAAGCTTCCCCATTTCAAGTCGGGGTCCGCTCAGGAGGCCACTTCTAACTTGGGGCGCCTAAAGTCGGCCAGTAGAGCGTTCCCCAACGTCGGACGTTCGGCACAGAGATATTCCAAGGTCCAGGTCCTCATGCTTCACTGGAAGTGCGATGATTTGTTTGTACTGCCGGAGCTAGAAGATCTGGAGAAATGCTTTCGCGAACACTACAATTTCCAGACCGACATCTTCTCCATCCCTTCCGAGAACTCTCACCTCGAGTTGATGCTCAAGGTGGCCGACATGGTCAAGCAGCATGAGTCCGAGGACACGCTTTTTGTGGTTTACTACGGCGGCCACGCACGGATAGACGAGTCCAGGCAGAGCACCTGGTGCGCGAACCGACGTCCTGGTTCCCCATGGCTTCAATGGTCAGCCATCCAGACCCTCCTAGAGCGATCGGTCTCGGACGTCTTGATTCTCCTCGACTGCTGCGCTGGAGCCGCAAGCGCCACATTTCCCACCGGCAAGAGCATCACGGAAACCATTTCGGCCTCTAGCTGGGATGCGATCGCGCCTGACCCGGGCAGATACTCGTTTACAAATGCTTTGATCGAAGTGCTCGAGGAGTGGCGTCAACGGACATTTTCGGCCGCTATGCTGCACGCCGAGATCCTCGCTCGTTTGAAGCACCCGCGCCCCATCTTGATCAATGGAAAGCATTTTGAGGCCCGATCGACGCCAGTCCACTTCATGATGACGTCCAATCACAGAGCACCCAGCATTGAGGTGTGCCGGCTCGTCCCCCGCAAGCAAAGGCCTCCTTCTCCCCCGGATGAGCTCCCCTACTGGGGCCATCCGACACCGCAGCCGAGGCTGATTGAGGGGAGGAATCCGGTGGAGCAATACCCCCTCACACATCACCTCACACCCGACTTCAGGATCCCGAGAGCTTCAGAACCCAACGAAGACGAACCACATGTGTTGATTTCGTTAGCACTCGAGGATGATCAGCGGTTGGATCTGAACGACTGGAAAACATGGCTGGCCGCCTTTCCCGCCATGGCAAAATACGTCAAGGTTCAGGGTGTCTTCAAGAGCCACTCGACTCTTCTCTTGCTGTCACTCCCGGTCATGGTTTGGGATTTTCTTCCCGACGACCCGGCCTGCTCTTTCATCGCCTTTGTTCGATCAAACAACCTCCTTCACGCCCAGAAAACTCGGGAACCTCCGATCTCGCCCGTGCCTGTTGCCAGCGCAACACCAATGGTCTCTCAAGCACGCGATGACGCCGAGTCTTGCTTTTCTGGCACAACCTTTGTGCAAGCTGAAAGCCTGAACACGGCCGTGCGCCAAGCCGGTGGCGCCACCCTTCCCCGAGTCACTTCTGCCGTTTCCGTTCCTTACTGTGACCCGTCAACAAACCTGCCATCGCTCCAACGCGTCGGCACCTCAGCGAGCAATCGACTCGACTACAGCCACCAAGATACAGTTAGACTGAAACCGCAGCCTTCCACTGGCAGTCTGAAGGGGCTCCTCAGGAATGTAGCTTCAACCACGTCGTTATCCACTCTGGATCGGCGCACTCTTAGCCCGTCAACCCCGACCACAGCAGCCGAACCAATATCTCGAGCGATGATTTTGAACAAAACGCGGAGTTCCAAGAAATCCGTCTTTCAGTCAATCCAGGACGTCCCGCAAGGCCAGCAGATGGCTGCTCATGTTGTTCGGCGCCTAGAGGATTACTTCCAGAAGGACCCCGAACCGAGCATCGGCGTGGTAGAACATCTCGCATCAAACCTCGGGGTAGAGACGTCGGATGTCCATGTAAGTTGCCGAGCTGGCATCGTGAGAGACTGTTGCTGACAAGCCAGGTCTGGTTCCACCACCGCCGAGAGCAAGAGCGGATGACATACAACCTTCAGAATCTCAGGATCGAGAGCCACGGCCGCCAAACCCAGGATGGTGCCCGCATGATCCTCCCTGGCCATCTCAACAGCCTCCTCGAGATTTACCCATCTAAGGGAATCCTTCTCGTAGACCTGCGGTCATCAACGGACTTTGAAAGGTCTCACATCCACGACGCCATCAATTTGCGTGCCCCTTTGAGTTTCGTCGAGAATACCTCACTCGAGATGATTGAGGACACCTTCATGGACGATCAGAGCCGGCGCAGCTTCAGCAAATGGTCGCAATTCAAATGCGTCGTCTTCTATGACAGGGTCATTGAATTCGAGTGGGAGTGTCCCGTCGCCGACGCCCTGTACACCAAGTTCAGGCAGAAGGGCTGGCGCGGCCAGTGCTTCATCCTCAAAGGCCATTACCGGGAGTTCTCCGCCTCGTTTGACAAACACATCAGCGGGGCCAAAATGACCAGCGAGGCCAAAAAGCATCTCGACAGTCTTCGTCAGCGGTCCAGCCCGACCGAGGAAGAAGCAGCCAAGGCGGAGGAACATTACCACGAGTGGCTGGAGACATTTGCAGGCCAACATCGCGTTCCATCGACTGATCTTATCTTGGCGAGGAAACTTGAACGAAAACGGGCAGTGGAGCAGCATCAGAAAGAGCTCGAGATTGAGTTTGAGGCACGCTTCCCGGCACTGTACAAAAAGGCCCAGGCATCGCGCCCTGTTCCGGGATTCGAAGAAGCTCCGTCGCCACCCCCGCGGTCACCGCCTCCCCCGTTCCACGAGCCGCAAAGAAGACAATCCTTTAAAAATGTTGAGTGGATGAGGCCAGGGAAGGTTGACGATGATGACGAGTTTGAAACGACAAAGGCGCCGCTGGTGGAGCCGCTCGTTAAGGGGTTGGAGAAGATGCGAAAAGCGAGCAGTGTCCCACGCAGTTACCGAAGCCTGGATACGGGGACTCCCTCGCAGGACCACCACGACGACTATCCCGTGAAGGCCCGAATGGATTACTACGCGGATGATTACGATCATGACTATGACGAAATCGATCCCAAAAGTGAAGGGTTGAGGAACGACCCTGGCTTTCAGAACGCTGGAGTACTGGGAGGTGCCGAAACAGGAGTTGGGCCAGGGCCGAAACCGCAGGAGCGGGGAGGAGTGGACACCTTAAGAAAGACGGCGAAGAAAAGGCTGTTTCTGGAGAGGTTGAGAGGCGCCGGGAAGTGATCTAGTCCGTCCTCTTCTGGGCAACTTTTGGGATCACAGCACTTCATTTTTGGATACAATTGGTGTTGAGGAGTTTACATGGTTGTTGATCATGTACAACTCTCCTCTGGCTGCTATACCCATGCACACTGCACAGCTGGCATTTTTGCTTTTTCTTGTGTATATACTACAGAAATGGTAGTATTTTGGCATTTGGACTGCAGACATCTTTTCCTCTCAGGTCCTACGTTGCCTCCCGAGATGCCCTTAGCTGGTTGAAGCATACGCGGCCGCCTGGAAGCGAGCGCAACGTCTCGGTCCTACGCTGCCATCCTATCTCAAAGTGAGTGGAGGGTATAGGACCGCGATCGAGACTGCGTTGAACATGATGACGATGATGCCCGTCTCCCCAACCGAGGTCGGCGACCCGGACCTACCCAGACATACAAACCCTTTGGGCGCGGATATATTCCAAATTAACATGCCGCGGCTGCGGCTTCCGTGATGATTCCGCAACGACCCGCCATACCAGCACCCATACCGCTCACCGATCACATCCCTTCACCCGCTCGCCTACAGACGGTAAGGGCCTCCCAGCAGCGCGGGACGGGACCCGAAAGATGGACCCGGATGGGGTCAATCTGGAATGGACATAAGTAAGCGCACAGGCTTGACCACCCGCTCACTCATCACGGCTCGGCTGCTCTGTTGAGCTAGCAGCGCCAAGGGACGTCGGGCATGAGCAACTGCACACGGGCAAGGATTATATAGAAGAGTATGGTACCGACGCGGGACAGAGTCACAGAGGGTGTCATCCAATGATGGGGAAGGTGATAAGGCAGGCAGCTGGCGAGCTTCCCGGGAACTGTCGACGGCTGGCTTGGGCTCAAGGCTTCTCTCCTTCTTAGTTTGGGTTCATAAATATCCAACCGACCGACATGCGGAGTGGGTTTCCGCGTCGTACAGGTTTGAGTTCCGGTCCGGCTCTCCTATCATGATGCCTCGCTTCGCCCTGGCCGAGTCCAGGAATGTACATCACATATGCAAACAAACACGGCACGGCATCATGTTGCGGGAGGATTTAGCCAGCCGGGTTATACACGGTACATATATACAGGGCTGTGCTCGGACTTGAGAGAAAGCCTTCTTCGCATTTCGCATCGCATCTCTGCGTTTTGGACCGGATTCGTTTTGAGTCTTTTCTGTCACTGCTTGTCCGTGATTGATGTCGCTTGTTGCGCCTGGCTTTGTCTTTGTTCTGGGTGGGATTTACTGTCGTTGGGAGTTGCTCCATCTGATTGGCGAGTTCATCTATCAGAACCCTTGGAACTCAATGTAATAGGGATATGATATCCCTATATCCCGTGCGTCTTATGGCTTGCTTTCCTATGGTACGGCAGGATAATCCACCACTGTAGATGGAGCCGAGGGATGGAACTCATCTCTTTGCAAACAACAGTCACCCATGGCACAGGCGCTCAACTGGTTGTGGTTTCAATTCATGTTCGTGACGTTAACTGTTGGGACGGTTGTGTAGTACTCGGCAGTCGTGCCCAGTTCCTGCATTGACTTGTGGTGGTGCCGATGCGGCACTGTGTATGCATAACGTTTCTGATATGTTTTGATATGATATTGGCGGCTATATCCTGTGACATGGTTGTATTTTCCCTGCCGACGCGCGCTCAAGAGCCGGGCTTGGCTGCAGGCTCAACGGTCGGGTCTTCCAATTTCTTGGTCCTGGTCAATTTCCTATTAACTGACATGAAACAATTTTGGTACTCTGACCAGCCCGACTTAAGTTCCGGGTCCTCACTGAGGGAGAGGAATCCTCGATGCTTTGCGTCTGGACGTGAATGAACGCGCTCTTCTGTCGAGGGCCCAGACTCCATGATAGATTGGGTATTGTGATGCTCTGATATCGCGACCCACAGCTATTAGCATGGCTCAAAGTTCTTGCTCTCTCGATAACACTTGTCAGCCGCACAGAAGTACCTCTTTCCCTCCAGCGGCTTCTCATCACATCCACGTCCCAGGCGGGGTTTGTTCCAGGCCGCACCCACATCATCTCTGCGAATAACACGAAACCGGAGGTGAAACGACATATCCCTTGGCAACCAGCTCCGAATAAGAAAGGAAAAGAAATAGATGATTCTCACCCTGTCTCGGCGGCAAGCCTCCAACGGTCGCCTACATCTAGTTGAGCTAGATCAATTGTCCCTATCCTCCGGCGCACAAGTCAAAACAAACCAAGTCGGGACCGGAAATATCACCTTACGCATAAACCACTAAACAGACTTACAGTCCGTGCATCCAACACCTCAGTTCCCAATCGCCAGTGCGAAGCAGAGAAGGTGACAAGAAGCCAGGATTGACGTGAGGTCGATGATACTCGGGATGTTCCGGCTTGGCAGTTCCTGACGGAGTCTATCTTATCGTTCATCAACGTTTATCGGTTGACTACACAATGTGCTATCAAACAGAACGTTTCTCAGCCGAGTTTTGCTCGTGATCAGTCAGATTCATGACCAAACCGACAGTCGGGAAAGGAAGAGGATCTCCGAGTCAGTTGACGGGTTCATGCAGAGTCCCGAGGCATCGCAAAGTGACAGACAGGTCGTCACCCTCACAACGGCCATACCGTGACTGGGATTGAGGTCGTGTAACCGTCGTAATGAAAGATGATGTGTGCGTGCCCTGAGAGGAACAAGAACACGTCTCAAACGTCAGGTCAACCCAACTTTTTTTTTTGGCCGGGGCACGAGGAGGTGACAGGATCCCCACCGCGGGAAGGGACGGCCGCAACACGGACCGCTTTTTTCTGTCAAACATTCTTGAACCCCACACCTCGGAATCGCTTGGCTTCGCTTCGACACCACAACATCGGCGAGGACCCGAAAGAAGGCTGTCGCTCCGGGGACGGAGCCTCAACCCGCGGCGTGGCGCTCCCAACAATGCACGTCAAGTTCCCTGGTCATTTCATGCTCGCGCAGCTCTCCCCGAGTGATAACGTGGTATTTGCGAGAAATCGCCTCGTCCTGTGGTTTCGTCTTTGCCGTCCCATGTTGAAAGCATGAACCCCGTTGTCTTAGTTTGAGGTCGATGCTGGAATCACGCCACGCTGGCTCTCGAACCACCAGTGGAGATGCCAGGGAACCGGCCAGCTGTTGTACCGGTCTTGATCGCCAAAACAAGAAGGCGAAAGGGATTCTTTCTCGGGAGAAGTTCGCGAAGAAATCTGCTGGAGAGACAGGCGAAGTCGACCCTTCAGGGGTTTGGCTCCAACTCTCCTCGTTGGATCACGAATCTCCTGCCCGTTGTAGAACGGACCGAGATAACATGCTGCGTGGTGGCACCTTGACATGTGAAAAAAATCTCCGCTGGGACGACACTCCTTCGTCGTTACCGAACCCCACAACTCCACGGCGGCATCGACCGCATTGGCGCTGTCAAATTGACATGGCATCACAGGACCGAGATGTCAAAGATCAGGGATGGCATCTCCCCGCCGCCCGGTCCCTTCTTGAATCATCAACCCTGACCTCGGGGTTTGACTATATCGGGCAATTCACGCGAGCGCTTCGTTACCTGCATGGACGATGCAACGGTGACGCGCGGTAACCGTATCGCCTTACACCAATCCACAGTCTGGTTCCTCCTGAAAACCTCCGAAATTTCACTCTCATGCACTGGCCCTCCGTATCGGCCCCATCCTGCTGCTGTTCTGTACTGTAAGAGCAAGACGAAACACCAAAAGATCAAAACAGGACTCGAACCGACACCCGACACGTGTGTCTCGATTTCCTCCTGGGCACCGCTCCCATTGGTGTGACCCAACAGCAGCCGTTCGTCAGATGTATCAGCTACAACCGTCATTTTGATCAATTCTTATGGTAGGTACGTACACGAGTACTTCGTACATGTAAGTGCGTTTGCTGGGTGGCCAGGACCTCGACATCGGTACACAGCAGCAACAAGCTGTCGGCGACTTTAGCCTTGAACCGTTTCAAAATGTGACATGGTCCTCTTGGCATCGCTCCTCATCGACAAGGGTTCTTCTCCCTCGCCATCGTGCCCCCACATGGGATCTCTGATACCTCACTCCCTCATCAGCCCTGGTCAGACGGGATTCACGGAAGAACAGGGTTGACAAGCGAAATCAGGCCACTTGTGCCACTGCAACGGAAGTCGTCCCGCATCTTCCACCCGGTCGTTCGCCAGATTTCTGAGCCCCAGGGACGCACACGTGCGCTTGCCGGCAACCCGGGTAACCACGGCTGTTATCAACGCATTATACGGACACCTTGTACTGTGCATGTAAGTTGTAACAGGTTCAAGGACGTATTATTGCTGATGAAGGCCCGCCATGCGGGTCATAAACTGGCTGTACTCACGTAATACCGGACCGATTTCATATACATGCTATGCTCGCTCGTATCAGACCGGTATAGGTCCTCTCTAGGAAAACAAGTGCCGCCAGGATGTGATATTGATGCCCACCCCGCCTTACGACCACGATATCTGAGCTTGAATGCTGTAATGAGTCTCCAAGCCAGGCCGGGAACCTGTCAACTACACACGGCTCATCAGCACCGGGAAGCGAAGTTGTCTGGACTGTCGGTCGGTCGCGTAACCCGACAGACAAACAGCGCCGATCCATTGCGCCGTGACGGGTTCGGCCTATCAGCAGCCGCCCTCGACTCGGTGATGGGGGGGAGGTGTTGCTGTCGGTCGCCGGCGCAGCGTGCCCCATCTGGCGAGCTGCTCCGTGCTTGCGGCTCGCGTGGGACGGCAGCCCTGCCCGTGAAACCGACTGTCAAACTCCTTTCTTCTTCGTTCCCGGCTTCCGTATTCCGTATTGTGCGGGTGCGATGCCAACCTTGCTTGTTGATTGAGCGTTGTTAGGAGTGCCGCGTAGTGTGACAAGGCGGGGACTCTGGGCTGTCTGATGAGCTCGGCCACCAGACCGTCCCAGTGACCCAGTCTGCATCGCGATCTCTACAGAATTCGAGGTTTGGCGCGGCGAAATGTTGCCCCAAATATCCCCTGTCCCCCTGGACACTCGCAGCATACTTTGCCCGTTTCAGAAACTGTCTCGCATAGCTCCCGCTCTCGGGCTCCATTTTCCGTGGGGAAGCTCCTTTGACATGAGCGACTCAGTGAACGATCCGTGGGGGTTCTCTTGTCCTTCGGGGAATAGGGGTTCGTTGCATGGCGACTGACGCACCAACAAGGGCCGGAACAACCTCATCCACACTCCTGAAAACAGTTGTTCCCGCTTCGAGACCGAAATCAAACCTACCTCGCTGGTGAAGGGGACCTGTCGGACATTTAGGACCTGGCCTGCCCGGGATGTGAAGCGGGCGTGGTGGGTAGCAACAGCTCGAGAAAGGGCTACCGGCAGCAGATGGGCGCCCCGTTGCATGCCGACGAATATGTAAGTCACCGAAGGAGGAAACACCCATCGGGTGCTGAGTTGGTTGTGGTGATGTCCCCGTCGTTAAACGCCCGATCACAGAAGAAAGCTGAAATGTGAGAACCCTGGACATGTTGGGGTGTTACAGTTGCACCGAGCACCCTTGCTTTCCATGTCATCCCGGGTGTTGGGTCCAACGCTTGTGTGGCCTTGCCATTGCCGGGACGGTCATGTCAAGCCCATCATCTCGCACAGATGCCAATCAATTTGCGTCTCAGCTCTTCGACACGAAACCCCAAATCCAGGCAGGCTGAGTTCAGGCAGCGCTGCTTGTGTATCCCGCGTTCAGATATGCGTAGCACATGGCTGACAGGTTGACAGATTCAGCGCCACAAGAGGAAGCTGCTGGGGCTTTCTCCGGGCAGAACTCGGTCTGCTACGTAAGGTGTGCCATGTTACACAACACATGGCAGCCTGTCAAAACTGTCTCGAGTCGCGCAACTGGCTGTATGTTTCTGTGTTTTCGGCCTAGTGGTGTCTTGGATGCGAGATCTTCGGGCGCACAGGGATCTTGACAGGCCAAGAAGCTGTTTTGATTTACAACCGCAGCAGCAACCCGACCCGATTTGTGTGACGCACCGTGCTGTGGAAGGGGGGATCTGCGTGTAACCGACTTGGCCGCTGCTCCGGGAGATCTGGCCCGGCACAGCATAACCTTTGGCGCTGGGCGAAAACCGAACGACAGCCTTGATGCGCAATCGGAGAACTGACGCCTCGCTGGCTGCACATAAAGGGAACAGTTGTCTTAATGGACCAGCCAAGCCGAAGTCAGGCATGGCCGTGAGCGACCATCTTCACGAAAAGGGCCAGCCTCGATGGCTTTTCGATTCGAAGTGTGTTTCCGCTCCCACGGCCTCGGCGCTGTGCAGCAATCCGGGTACCACAGGCACCATGCTGGAATGTCCGGGATGCCGGAGCAGAAACTGGTTGGCCCCGGCTGTGGTATGACCAAAACAGACCTTTTTTTCACCGCCGAATCTGTAAGACGTGAGAGAAGAGCGAGCACCTGGGAGTTGGAGTTGGGAACTTTGGAATCCGAATGAATAATTAAACATCATAGGGCAGAACAGCGCCTTGTGTCGCGTCAAGGTCTCGATTGTGAACAAGCAATGAATTCCCTGACGATGCCCGGTTGCTGCTCTACCAAATACTGGCGCCGTCGATGCGCCGCCAGTGACGGGTGAATGAAGGCTTCTGCCTAGCGGATCGTTGCAGGTGGCCGAAGGCATGCCATGCCAGTCGCCGCCGCTGAAGGGAAGCTAGCTCGACACCACTCCTCCCTTTGTTCCCGGGCATCCCCTTGCTGTTCTGATATGAGCGACACAGCCTCCGTTTTCGTCGAAATTGGGCGATTCAGCAGAGGCGGCTTGACGGCGGCAGCGGAACGGTGTAGAGATCAGAGGGAGCGCCACGATACGAGAAATTGATGCTTCTTCCCGTCGTCAGATCAGCCGAATCGAAAGCAGTCCAGGCAGGCCGCAGGCACATGTCAGCCGTCACACGTGACGTTACAAGCCACCAAACCACGTTTAAGATCAGAATACGGCAGCCTTTTCGTTATATCCTTTCCTATCTTTTTATCGACCAGCCCGCCGCCCAACGTTCGGCATCGCATGCGACAAGTTCAAAATCCCATCATATTGTTTCGTGATATGACGTCAGTGGCTGTCCCTTCAACGTCTGCTTCTCAGTAATGTACCTGTGCTTCCGTATCCGTCCTTGTGATTGTACACAAGAGAGGAAATCACAGCACTGGGATGCGCAGACTCGAAGCTCAACGGAGTTCAAACATCGTCCAAATGGTCTCAACTCCGCGGAATTGGAGGACCCTGACGTTTCCGCTCTCCACGTGCGGAGGTTTATGAAGGAACCCGGAGATATCGGGCCAGAATCGGTAGTATCTAGAATTCACTGGCGATGGAGGTCAAGGGAGGATTTCGGATGGAGACGGTAAGTTATGCAACAAGCGAATGCTTTTCGCAATGACATGTCCTCATTGGCGTAGGACACTCAAATGTATACTCGAAGACATCAGCAATTACCAGGTGTAACAGTCCATGTTGGTAGAATGTCTTAGAGCCGCTCCAATTGGCACCATTCTACGGATACTACGATACTTCATCCAGCTGTATTCAATTACCGTAAGAGGAATGGGGTACGGATCCGTACGATACATTTGATCTTGGCCGTTCCGCGCGCTCCTGCATTTCTCGGGTCCACAGCCGAAAGGCCCTGTCGCTCGCCATGAGCTGGATCCCTGTCTGAGGCGTGCTCCTTGCAACGCCGCGAGATGTCTGGATTGGGCGTAGGTACGGAGGAGGGACGCTGCAGCATTCCCGGCCACCCACAGCAGTTTGCGGCAGCCGTAGATGACATCCGTGCCGTCGGCCCTGGCTTCGCTCGCATGCCCACCCTGGCTGGGAATAGGTCCTGTCATGGCTGACTGGCCATCTGCAGACGACCATGTATGATAAAATCTCTTGCTCGAGCATCCGCGCGAGATGCTCTCTAAGCCCCATAATTCCCTGATATCTCATTTACACACTCATCCATATTCCCTCCGCCTCCGGAGTGGCCAAGCGCGTGTTTACGCCAGAGCTCCGGCAATGCTTTCTGTGCTCGCATCGAGCCTTCTTCACTCGCCAAGGATCAGGTAGTTTTTGCGAGGCGTTGTGACACGCCGTCTTCAGGCCTTATTGACACTGCACCGTTGCCTTATGCACGACAGCCTCAAAGTTTCAGACTCGGACGGTCAGGAGTCGGGCTGAGCCTCTGGCTGTTGTCGACATCTTCACCGAATTCAACTCACCGGCACAATTTGCTTGTGTCCAGGACGCTCATCGACCCGTCTGAGTCGTCTCAACAGGTTCTTTGCCGCCTGTCGTGAGCATCCCAACCCAGCTCTGTGAGAGGTACTTGGCCCCTATCATAGCTCTCAACCGCAATGGCCGGTTTCCACAACACGTACCACCGCGACGGGTACCGCGCTGGCTTTAGCCAGCCAAACGGCGAGAGGTGTTCCCTGCCGGGGATTAGAGAGGTACGGCACACTATCCCACGCCGCTCACGCCAGCACTTTTGCGTGTCCGACTGACGCTCTTGGCAGATGGTGCCAGAGATTGACGAGGTCCTGCCTAGGCCACCATGGACTGGCCCCGCCCGAACCCCGTCCTGGCCAACAAGTCCAGGGCCATGTTCACCAGGCGCGGGCGCGACGCCTCCGTATCGGTACACACATTCGTTGGTTCACCAGCCCCTCGCTGGTCCGTCAGCCGACGAGGAGAGGGGGCATGCTGTGGCATGGCAGCCTGATCCAGGGCACAATGTCCCTCGGCGGCTCCCGACAACGGTGTCGCCCGCACGCCCGCCCAGCGCCGTGCCGCCTCCGGGCAGCTGGGCGCCCGACTACGATGAGGCGGACCCCTACCGCAGCCAGCGGCGGTACAGCCAAGGGTCGCACGGGTACGTCGGCCACCACCACGGCATCTACCGGCCCCCTGTTGGCGCCCACGCCTTCGCCTCGGTCGGCGCCTACGGGCCAGCCGACGGACAGCACGGCGGAGCGTCCGACGGCGACCCCAAATCCGTCAAGCGTGGAGCGGCGATGTCGGACGGAGAGCCGGAAGAGCGGCGGAAGCGGCGCAATTTCTCGGCGGACACCACCGAGGCCCTCAAGAAGTGGGTGGAAACGAGGATTGACAATCCGCACTTTGACCCAAAAGAGGTGGCAGAGACTGCAAAGAAGACGGGGAAAACTAGGAGTGAGTTCTACCTTCCTTAATATCCTCTGCTGTTCTGTCAAGGTCCCCCTCTTGGCCAATCCAAAGCAAAGAGCACCCACCCCCCATCAACCCCAATCCTTTCCAATGGCTGTCCCAGTAGCTGTGCCAGTACCTAACTAACCCACCTACCCCACCGGCTCCCAGAACAAATCGAAGACTGGCTCATCAACTACCGCCGGCGCGGGTGGCACAAGCGCAAGTTCGAGATCTACTCGGCGCGGCTGCGCGACGCCCAGGCCGAGTACCGCGATGCGCTGCACCGGGCGCGGGACGCCGCGGCGGCGGCGGCGGCGGGGCGCGGGGACGAGCAGGCGCGCCTGGCGGCCGAGGCCCACGTGGCGCTGGTCGATGCGCGGGTGCAGGCCGCCGCGCTCCAGGAGCAAAAGGCGAGGCGGGAGTGGCAGGAGCATGAGAGCAAGAAGGGCTCGCATGGGCATGGGCTTGGTGGGGCCGCGGAAGGGGGGAAGGGGGAAGGTGGCGGGGAGAAGTGAGTTGACTTTGGTGAGCGATTTGCCCTTTCTATGTATGTATTTTTTGTGTTCTTACTTGTGTGGCCTTTTTCTTTCTCTGGGAGTTGGCTGGCCCCGGAAAGAAGAGAGGGTTGGCTCAGGCCCGGCAAACTGGGTGAGGCGTTTGCGTGGGGCCCTTTTTTTTTTTTCTCTCTCTTTGGGCCTCTGTACGAGTATGGCTGGCGAGAGCGACGCTAAGATGGGCGGCTCCAGAGTACAGGATGGTACAAGTACGACGGGACGGCGTTACGAACCATGCTGTAGTGTAATGTAATGATAGACATCATTGTCCGGGGCAGTTTGCACCGCAACGAAACAGCAGCGTGCTCTTGTCAATGAACAGAGCATGGTGTGGACGGCAAGCTGGTGTTCAACATGGTCAAAACTTGGGGCAACACCTCGTTCGCGGTTCAAATTGATGCCAGACGTCAGGCAGGAGAGAAGCGTTGGGGTTGGCTGCCGCTCATGTGGAAGGCAGGGGCGCTGGTCGTGCCTTCCCAATTGAACGGATTGGCCCTAGAAAAGTCCAACACCAAAAAGGCATTGGACACATGGCCAAAAATATCACAAACACCCAGTGGTCTGGCTGCGGTTATTGTGGAGATACAACTCCGATACGGGGAATCGAACCCCGAGCTTCGCGGTGAAAACGCGATATGTTAACCGTTACACTATATCGGATTTTATTGGAGTCTAGCGTAACAAATGTAACCTAAGTATTTTATTTTGTGGCTTGGCGTCCGTCGCTTGGTCGAGTGGAACCACAACCGCAATCCATTGTCGATGCAGCACCAACCTAACCCAGGGGTCAGGACAATTGAGGGCAACGGCTTCCGCTTTGCTCTGTAGCGCTTAGCAGGACTTGGATCCGAGTCAATCGAGCAGGCAATCCTCTTGAGATCTCCACGAAAGAGTCCAGGAATCATTCGGAAGCCCTCTCCAGAGTGCTCTTGATGCGGGTTAGGATTATGTCAGACTCCGGTTGCCGCTGCCATGGCGGGTGGCAGAATGCCTACACACTGCATGGGGCCGTGGCTCGACTTATGAGTGCGACTGCAAGGTATAAAGACCGTCAACAAATCGAAAGATGTTCTTGTGTGTGGGCTCACGGCCACCCCTGCGTTTACATTTATCAACACCGTCACTGACTTTACAACCAACGTTGCCGCTGCACAGCCCTGAGTTGCGAAGATACACGAGATTAAACCTCAATACAACACTACAAATTCAACCTAACATGGCGGTTTAGGTTCTTTCTGGGAGATACTTGGGACTTAAGCAAGCTTGAGGTACATATGGACGGGCATCTTGGCCAACAGTCGCTTGCAATTCCGAGGCCAGTGTCATGATGGGCAGGATAGAAGGCTCCTACGCCGTTGTCTACTTGGGAAACATCTTCACTCCCTATTCTTTCTGCTCGGCACGGACAAACAAGGTACATTGGCCATACTTTTCTGCTCACCTCTTCGCTTTCCATCTTCACCCATTCTTCTTTCCACCTAACCCCAACTCCCTCTTTTGGCAAGCCGCCTGCTTTGGCCTTTCAACTTTCTACATCGACACGCCAGAGTAGTTGAACCGAGACACTCAATCATTTCAGCTGCTTCTGTTAAACTCATTTCTATGACCATTATCTCGATTTTGAGTTCTCTGCGTTTCATCATATTCTGACTTGCGAGCAACAGCCTGCTCCGGAACTTCACGCACAAACTCCAAGTGAATTGCTAGTACTCAACCTCAATCTCTATCAGCGTATGCTGATTATAAACACCTGAAAACTTTCTTTAGGTTCATTGACATTGGAGAAATTCTTCCTCAACACACCGAGTACGCCGCAGCTACTTACCATCTTACTGGCAGTGCTTGCCGTTCTTCGAGCCCAACTCCATACAACATTGCGGCGGCGGTGGGAGAGTCGTTATCAAACGAGTCGCTCGACATGCTCACGCTTCAAGACGGACACGAAACCAACGGCCCGATGGCAGAGAGAGAAGCCAAAAAGCGGCGATTGCGCGAGCTTCGAGACACACACGCCTGTGTCGAGATCATCGTTAATCAAATGGGAAAGCACTACAGATCTCTTGATCCTCCTCCGTGGCTCGATCTGCAGGTCGTCGCACGGCCAACTTATGCGCTCCAAGCGGCAAAATTCCCATCACGCTGCTTGGAAGTACCTCAAAGACTCATGCACGCTCTTCCAAACGTGGATGTCCGGCCACGAGAACTGGGAAGACGCCGTGAAGGGGTTCAAGATGCCTCACATTGGCACTCGGTCCAAGATCAAAGCTACCGAATTCATCGAGGGCAACCAAGCCTGCGTACCAAAGGCCATCATGAAGGCCCTGACGCCAATCCAGTTCCAAGATCCCAAAGTTTTGGAAAGGGGCCAGGGTCAACGATCCTGAGTGGCGCCGACATTACATGGAGAAACCAGGCTATTCTCACCACATCCCTTTTGACGACGATCTGACCGACCTGGTACTGAACGCCGTCGGGGAAAGAGGCAAGCTCGAGGGTAAGCAGCAAGAAAGCAGTGATGAACTGGAGCCGTCGGATGCAGAAGCCGTGGCCACTAATGGTGCCACGAGGGAGGCAAGCGATAAGGACCGTGACGACGCCAAAAGATGGAAGGACAAGGCCCACGCTACCATGCCGAGAATTGCCGACACGGTCACTGAGACTCTGGCCGCAGAGCAGACGAAGCTGCTTGGGAAGGGGTGCCGGCAAGGATACGAAGGACGCCAGGGCCAAATCAAGCGGCAAAGAAACGGCGGAAGCATCGGCCCACCGCCGAGCATCATGGACACGATCGAGGAAAGCGACGATAATCGCTCGCCTGAACCTTCTGTGGTCAGGATATCTGCCGCCAGGGATGACGAGCAGCTCGGGGGACGAAAAGCCGGTTACGAGAAGCTCAAGAAAGATTACGAAGAGCTAGCAACACGCTGCTGCAACCTCGAAGGCAGTTGTAAGAGGCTGGAAGAAGAAACTGAGCATTTGATCAAGCAACAGAAGGACATGCGGCACGGCCACGGCGCCGGCAAGCAAGATCAAGGTCAACTTGCCCAGAAATGCAGTGAACTCGAGGCTCAGATCAAGACTCCCGAGGTTCGATGCACAGCACTCACAGACGACGTGTCACAAAACTCGAGGACAAGGGCAGTCAGGCAGGGGCCGTAAGACGAGTTCTTGGCCCCATAGCCCCTGCAAGCGCTCAGGCTCACGGTATCCGCGCGCCTTGACATGCCGACCTTCGAACCCGACTGGGACCCCGAGGAGGAGGTCTACAGCCGCCGCGTCCCCAGCTACATCCGGTCTTCGCGGATGACGAGCTATCCGGACCCTGTCAGCACCAGCAGCGCTTCATCGGCGCCTTACTTTTACGTGAACCCAGCGGGGAGAGTTACAACACCGACTCCAAGCCTAACTCCGATGCTGGCGCCAACTCAATCTTCCGAGCCTCCGGCTCCCGTTCCAGCACCGACTTCTTATCCGGTCCAGGCCCCTGCTCCAGTGCCAGCCCAAATGCCAACGCAGACATTGGAGGTTCCCTTCTGTCCCGACGGTCAGAAACTCCCGTCCTCACCACCGACACGGCCTACACGTCCGCCTCTTTTCAGCCCCAACCTCAGGCACAACTAACCCAGAGCAACACAAACAGAACCGCACGCGCAAGCCACCCAGCACTCGACTGAATAATCGAAGCCCACCTCTCAAGGCTTCCCCCCTCTCAACTGCCCCAACTTCTCTCAGTCCTAGGCCCCCTGGACTCCCGCATCTGGACCTGCCCGTCAACGACCAACGAGCAGATCGCGTCACACTGTCTCGGGCGGGGGCTCCAGCGCGATGATGGGCTGGTTGAGCTCGTGGGCTGTCTCAGGAGGATGATTTGGTTTGGGCCCTGGGGTCGGTGACAAGTATGTTCCGGGGAGAGCGAGGCAATGGGGTGGCGGCGGTGGTGGTGGTTGAGGGCAAGGTCACGATGGGGATGGAGGTCGTTTGGCGGAGAGGGAGGGGTGCGAGTGTGGTGGGGTGCATAAGATGGAGGTTCTGTGAGAGGGTTGGTGTTTGGCGAGGAGGAGATTTGTTGCGATTTCGGAGAGTTTATTGACATTGAGAGACGTGGTGGCGGGGAGTTACACCTTATCGTTTATTTGGCTTTTATCCAAATTGGTGGAATCAAGAGCGCTGGGTCTTATATCTCCGTTGCCTTCGTCATGAAGAAAGTGAATGAAAAATGCCAGTAGCGAGGAGAAACAGTAAAACTGTTGCAAGAGGAGACAAAGAAACAAAACAACAACAGAATTCAGTTAAAAGAACAGAAGTAGAGAAAATATGTGAGATCGGAGGAGGTTAACGAGAAAACGCAAGAGCAAAAAAAAAAAGATACATACTCATTAAAAAGAGAAAGGAAGCAAGAAAACAAGAGAAATAGGGGAAGAAACGGAGAAATTTATAGTAAAATAACAAGAGAAGAAGTGTAACGTGAGGGAAAGCAAGAGAGAAAATTGTAGGAAAGTGAAAGAAAACAACGGAGAAAAGTTAGGAAAGAGAGAAGAAATGTCAAGATAAACTAGAAAGATGATAAACGAAGATGTTAACGTTGATATAATAAGTGAATAGATAATAGAAGTAAGAAAAGCGAATTAATGAGAAAAGAATGAAATAAAAAAAACCAAATAGCGCCTGATCTTGACTATTATACGAGCATTGACGTATATGATAAGCAAGCGCCTCAGACAAGAGAGAACCTCACTTGACAGAATTTGGTGGCCCGCACGCGACAAACCAATATGAACCGCCATGCTCACTAACAAAGTTACTAACATTTTTCTCTGTGCGCGCCACCAAACCCCGTTTAAGGCGCTCGCTTGTCTGAGTCGCTCGCTTATCATATACGTTATTCATCCTTGTCTCTAATTGACTGACGAGGGGGCGCATTCTAACTTGCCCACCATTTGATCAGGACTACGGAGTCCACCCAGCATATAATAACTCTCCGCCAGATGGGTCGATTAGGAACGAGAATGTAATGCACAGACGGCCCTGGCTCCTCATTTACTACTCATGGTACAAAAGGTGGCGTGATCCCATTAAACTTTAAGCTTGGCTCCCGGAGACCTCTGGCCCACTTTTGAATGAAACTCAGTTTCAACTTCACTCAAGAATCCTTCACCGAGGGTCGAGAAGTAGTGTAAACATGTTCACCTACCCCCTCGCTCTCATATGCCAGTTCCAGGGACGGGGAGGAGGAGGAGCTGGAAAGGGAGGGACCGAGTTTCCTGAGTTGAGACGGAGAGCGGATGGGAGGTGGTGCGTGTTTGTGGAGTGCCTTGATGGGGATGGGGGTTCAGGTGGTAGTGACGAGGATGTGAAGGGAGTCGTGTTCAAGCTGGTGCCGAGAAATATGGTCTGTTGGGAGAACTTCAGGGCGGATGGGACGGGGAGAGGGTATGAGGAGACGTGGCATGCTGGGCTGCCTTTGAGGAGGGAGGTTAAAGTTGGGTTGGATAACAATCTGAGTTCATATGATGCTGTCGCTTCAATTGCTAAACAGCTGCCCGTCCATGGAGCCTTCGCCATTCCAACCCGAGTCTGGGGGCTGAGAACAATCTCAACCCTTTTTCGAGCCAGTCAGGCAGAGCGCTTGAATTGGCACTTCTGATGTCGTAAAACGACCATTCTGCTGCGAGGATTAAGCGGAGACGTCTGCTGCTGACGCAAGTCAATTGTTGTTCACGAGACCACTCTTTCAGCGAACATGCCCGACTGAGTCACTGGCCAACGGGACTTTCAGGGAGGAGAGACAGTCGCAGCAGTGCAAGGGCACTTAGCGGAGGTCGATTTGCGTCAGTTCCATTTCCAGCTGGCTGGATTCGGCAGGAATGACTCACCAGATTCGCTTCCTTTCAGTGCAACTGATAAGATGGAACTTGGTATGAATAAGCGCACCACGTGGCCCGCACGTTCCAAGCGACCTTCATCGACCGAAATAAACCGTCGTTGGCGATCGAGCTCGGAGGTTTTGTCGTTTATTTTTCAGGCAGCAGTTGTCACGTTTCTTGACTTGATAGAGCCCCTGTGCGAACTCCATTCCCAAGTACTCGCTTAACGCCCGATCTTACTCGGATGTCGGAGCAAAGACCGTCCGGCTAACTTTCCCGAGAATCTGGCCGGCCGAATCCGGCCTGGACGCGGCGCAGCCCTGGCTCTCAGTGGCATTCAGGCAGATGTGTCGTCTCGGCGGTGACGAGGATGGCGCGGCAACGCCCAACGTCGACCGAGTTATACATGGGTCGGGGTCCGGGGCCGCACATTGACGACCCCGATCTCCTTCGACTCTCTGTCATCGCCGCCCCTCGGCATCCGTCTCGGACTTGGCAACATCGCAGCATGTCCCCTTCCTCCCCCGAAGATGTCACGTCTGAAGCATCAGCTGCCGCCGCTTCTTCCCCGGCCCACGAGCCGCTGGCCTGCGTAAGCTGCCGCTCCCGGAAGCTCAAGTGTGAGACTTGCTCCGTAGGAGGCTAGCTCCAGCGCTGCTGCTTACTGTGACTGTCAGGCGACCGCCAGAAACCAGTCTGTGCCCGGTGTGCAAAATCCAATGCCGAATGTGTCTATCCCGAGTCCCGGAGGAAACCCGCGTTCAAGCGGAGGAACGTCAGAGAGCTTGAAGAAAGGCTTGGTACGGCTTTGTGACCATTCGTATTATTGCCGTTTTCTACGTATTGACGCAGACCCAGCCCAAGTGGAAGGCTTGCTCAAATCCGTCGGCAAGCAACGGGCGAGCCAGTCTGGCCGGTCCGATGGGGCCTGGACGGAGGGCTCGTCTCCAGGATCTCGGCCTGACAGGCTCCAAGGCAGCCCCCGAGAGGGGGCGATGCCCTGGATCCCGCTGTCACCGAGAGAGACCCCTCGGGGCGGGGACCATGCTCAGTCTCCTGGGGAGTTGCTAGGGCTTGGCCGGTTTGAGCGCCTGCCGCCCTTCGAGATGATCGAGGAGCTGTATGTGTCGGTGGTCGTCCCCTGGAGAGACCTGTCACTGACAACGCCAGCGTAGCCACACCGTATTCTTTCAAGCGCAGCAACTCTTTATGCCCATCATAAACCCGGGCAACTACTTGCGGGCGTTTCACTCACCGCCCCATATGCGCCCTCCCATGTCCCTTCAGTATGCCATCTGGACAGCCGCTGCCAATGGACACCCAAAGTACGGCTGCTACCATGATGCGCTATACCGTCGTGCCCGCCAGTATCTGGAGGCTGACGAGCTGAAGGTTGGCCACAATCCGCCACTCCCAAGACATACAGACTAACGCCGATCTAGGGGGCTGGAGAACACTTCATCACCGTTGGGCACGCCCAAGCTTGGGCCCTTGTGGCGAGCGACGAAGCTCGATGCCTGTTATTTACCAGGGCATCTATGAGCTCTGCCCGCTGTGTCCGGCTGGCCGGCATGATGGGGCTTCACCGGCTCGACAGCACTCTCCCGGAGGAGGACGTGCCCATGGCTCCCATGATCGCGCCGCCCCGAAACTGGGCCGAGCTGGAGGAGCGCAGGCGGCTGTTCTGGGGCGGTTTCTGCATCGACAGCTACGCAAGCATCAGCGCCGGTTGGCCGACGCTCATCGATGTGGACCAAGTAAGCCAGCATATCGGGGATGCTTTCCGAAACCATCACTGACTATCGCCAGATTACCACACACTTACCCGCGTCGGAGGATGCATTCCAGAACGGCGTTGAAGAGAAGTCAGCGACACTCCATGATGCATTTCGGGGCGCCAACTATTCCAATTTTGCTGCCAACGTGCTCGTCTGCCACATCTTTGCCCGGCTGATGAAACATGCTCACAGACCGCTGCCGGATGACCACCCAGAGGATCCAGAGAATGGGGCCTTCTGGAAGCGTCACAGGGAGCTTGACAATATGCTGTCCAGCACCTTCATGTTTCTGCCTGAGCGCTTCCGGCTCCGGAGCAACAGGCGCGACCCAGTTGCTGTGCAGACGAATTTGAATCTGCACGCCGCTGTCATCTGCCTCCATCATGCCGCCCGAGACAAGGCCGACAAGTTCAAGCTGGCGGGAATCCGGCAATCGAGCAGGACCAGAGCGTTGACTGCTGCCCAGGAGATCGTTGATATCATGAAAGCGACTGGCCACATCAAGAGTGGACACAAGGGTCCCCTTATGGCTCTCTCGCTCTATCTTGCCGCGACAGTGTACACAGCGCAGGCCAAAGAAAACCCGGACGACTTCAACAGAGCCAATCTCGAACTCCTCGTCAAGTGGATGAATATTGTTGGACATCACCACATAATCACACGCTCGTACCTCAATCAGATACTGGTTGATATCGAGCGCAACGGTATCTCTGTCACGGTGGAGGAGAGGCCGCCCAACTTCGATCCCAACACCAGCGGCACTACAGCGTGCGGTCACGGCATTCCCCTAGTTGCTCGAGCGCCGTCCTCGCGCGACATCAAGGTCACCCCGCCGCTACCGGGCCGCTTGCCTCTTGGCGCACCGCAAGGCATCATTCCATCGTCTTACTCCTCGCATTCTGTGCCGTTCGCGACCTTTATCGGGCCCTATTCGGAGAACACCGAGCACACCGATGACACCGATGGCCCCGCCACCAAGCGAATGCGAACCTCTTTCAGGCCAGGCTCCGTGATGCCTTCTGGAAGTGTCTACGAGAATGCGGCTGGTCCCTCTACATGGTCCTTCGGGCAAGGACAGACCTTTGTGGATCCGGCACCGGATCTATTCGAGTACACCGGCTCTGGTTGGTCATACACGACGAAATACATGACCAACCCGGTGACGACGACGACGCTGCCCCACCGGACTGGTTCCCCGGCCATCTTCAACCGGGGAGCGCAAAATGGAGCTTCGAACGCTATGCCCAACTTTTCCGGGTTCTCTGCGCCCGGCTCAACGGGAGCTGCAGGACCCTCATCATTTCCCCAGGTGCCGGCCGCCGGGCCGTCAACCTCCGGCCTCCCCGCGGCATTCGGCATGAACACAACCCCCACAACCAATACTACCAACACCAACCTCAGTCCTGGAGAGCTCGGGGATTTTGGAATATTCGAGAATTTAGGGGAATGGGGCCCGACAGACCTCGAGTCGCTTTACGCCATGGTGCTGGACGTGTCCGGTGGCGACACGGGCACGTCCCAGGAGACCATTGACCCGTGGGCAACAATGAATGATGCCGGTGGAGGCGCAGGGTCTGGTTGAACCCAGATCCTTCCAGTGTACGAGTCGACAGATGGCCGGCTGTAAGTCTATGTTACGGAGATTTTTCCATCCGAACTTTAGAATGTATGATCATGGCAAGCTGTACAATAGCGTGGGGTAAAAGGTTTGGGACGCGAGATACCTTGGATTCGGCTTATTGCATTGGGTTCGGGACGCATAAAGGCTTGGGTCTGGCGGCGGGAATGGGGTTGTATTACTTAGACTCATAACCCTCCTCATCAGATGATTAGATCCCCAATCTAAATAGAATGCGAATATAAACTCGCAAAACACGTCGCCTTGACGCGCGATACAAGTACAGGCTTTTATCTACCTGATATTTTGCCAATGTTATGGTAAGTCATAAGCTCGTCCATCAGCACAACATATTTTCTCACCATTTCAACTCTTGGTGCCCCCGCCATTCCCTTTTTCAAATCGGTACGTCGCCCACAGCTTAGAAGGCAAAGACTTGGTCCTCCAGCTTGCTAACGGGCCGGGCCTTCTTGAAGCCAAGGCTCTCGGTGGCCTTCTTCAGGCCGCTAATCATGGGCGGGGGACCGCACAGCAGGATCTTAACATCATCGGCCGGCTTGGGCAACCATTTCTATGACAAGCCGATTAGCGAGTATTCCCACAACACAGACACAACCAGCAGCCATTTCTGGGGATGGGAAGACTACTCACCTGAATCATCTCCGCTGTAACATACCCCACACCACCCTCCCAGCCCGCCGGCGGCTTGTCCAGCACGTAGTGCACCCGGAACCCCTTGTCCTCGCGCGCGAGCTGGTCCAGGTCCTCGCGTAGGAGAATATCCTGCTCCGTCACGTTGGCAAAGATGAGGTCGACCTCGGTCCGGTCGCCGGCCTTGCGGCCCCGGATGATGGCCTTGGTCACCTGCAGCATGGGCGTGATGCCCGTGCCGCCGGCGATCATGCCAAAGTGGCGCACCATGTTGGGCGTGTACACGAAGGCGCCCTTCGGACCCTTGACGCGGATCGTCTGCCCCACGGCCAGCGACGCCATGTGCCGCGAGATGTTGCCTTGCGGGTAGGATTTGATAAGGAGGTCGAAGTAGCCCGGCTGATGGTCGCCTGAGATGGGCGTGTAGGAGCGGACGATCTCCTTGGTGCTGCCGTCTGGTTGCGGGAGGTGAGCGCCGATCGAGATGTGCTGGCCGATCGGCAGGCCGAGGATGGATGTCGGGGTTGGGAGCGCGAACCGGTAGCTTTTTTTGGGTGAGGATGGTATGTTAGAGAGAGGCTTCTGAACGAATTGAGGGAGGAGTGGTGGCTTACATGGCGACATTGTGCGAGATGATAGTCTTTTCCTTGAGCTCAAACTCCTGGAAGGCGTCGGGCTTGAGGACCGCCTGGGGGCCTGTCAAGGGGGGTCAGCGGACTGGGGCTCCTAGGTGCTCGAAGGGCTCGCGCGTACGGGTATTGAAAAACTTGATGGCACCGAGCGCGATTCCAAGCAACAGAGCGTAGGCCGTCCACTCGCGCTTCACTAAGGCTGTGCCCACGACGAGCAAGCCGACGGGGATGTATATCCCGTCGATGTATTTGCGCGCAAGCAGCGACTCGGCCATTGTGTCTTAGTTTCTCCTCCTGCTGCTTCCCTTGGTGGTATGCGAACTTGTTGCTAGCGGCAGGCGAGCGATCAGACGCAAGCAGCGGACTCAAAGAGGTCGGGGGGTGGCCTACTTAAAATGAAAAGGAGTCGAGAATCAAGAGATGGGTATTCATGACGGTGTACGGATCCGTACTCTGGTTAAGAATTCGGAGCTTGTGGGCCGATCCTGCTGCAATTGGGGCGGGATCTGCCGGCAAGGACCGGGGTTACCTGTATCCATGTTTGGCACAGTTCCATTTTGGCACCACTTCGCCGTTGACGACCAGCCAAAGCCGAGTACCCCGATGCACGGCATTGGCAATGCCACACTTTCGCTGGCTGAAATGCGACCCTTGCGCTCCTTCCTGAATGTTAAACTCTGCTGCCGCTTGCTGACAAGTTTCCATTCACGTGCATTTGGCAGGGCCAGGCTATATTTCCAAACTCATCCAGCAGGGGTCTCAGGTGAGACAGGGTACTCGAAGTCCCGATTTGAACCCTGCGTTCGTGCCACGGATCGCCTGTGGTTTATCCGTAACGTTTTCGGCGAGACCTTAAAGAAACCCCAAACGCAACCCCACCACTCACGTCCCGGGGGGCCGGGTAAAGACTTCCCAATGGGCGAGAACACCAAGGAAGAGGCGCCGTTCCCTCTGACTGATGTGGACCGGCACGTCCTTTCCCAAACCGATGAGGAGTTCGAACCTCACACGTGGGACGGGCTACGGGAACTCCTTGGTACGGCCGTCGCTTAAGTCTACCTTGGTTCTAGGTACAGTACTGACAAACAGATCAGAGACCAACCGGCTCTTCCTCCTCAAAAGAAAGCCGTCCGATCTGCGGCGGTACATGGAGTGGACTGCTCAAACCAAGGCCAAGTACGGGAGCATAACCGACTACCTAATTGCCCACCGTCTGCCCCAAGCCTGGGGTCGGCCGCCCTTCAAGCCAGTCTCCGAGACTCCGTTCGCGGACCCGTCCGACTACCGCGTGCTGATCAATGACTGGCCGTACGGATTTGTACCGGGCATCACCCATCTCGTCGTGTGGTCGCGCACCCCGATCCCGGTAGACAACACCGTCGGCGACATGACGCCTGAGAGCAGGCGGACGGTGGCCGACTTCATCAAGCGGTATTTTGTCGACAGCCTCGGCCCGGGAGGCGAGGACAAGGTGATGTGGTTCAAGAACTGGGTGGCGCTCCAGAGCGTGCGGACGGTTGACCATGTGCATGTCCTGGTGAGAGATGTCGATCCTGCTGTGCTGCAGGAGTGGACCAAGGAACACGAGTGCCATAAGTCGCCGTAGGGGATGGGTGTAGCTTCGGCAGAAGCCCATCGTTCTGAGATAGACAATCGTAGGCCTAGGCAGCCCGCCGCTGCTTGCGGTTGCCGGCGGGAGCGGCATTTGCAGCGGCGCCCATCTGAGCCATCTGCTTTGCGGCGCCCATCATTCCGAAAGCCTTGTAGGCGCCATAGGCGGGAACAACAGCCCATAAGAACCATGCCCAGTTGCCGAAGAGTGCCACAAGGATTGCTGCCGCCCAGGTCACCCAGACGACGTCGAACAAGTACTCGGTCAGACCGGGAGCGGCAAGGTCCTCGCCCGAGGACTTGAGCGCGTTTGTCTCGGCGTCATATCTGGGGCGTCCAGTCTTTTCCAGCGTAAATTGGCAGACGAAGCTGGGGAGCGAGAGAATGAACCAGAGCAGCAGAGAGCGTGACCTGAAGACGAAGTGCAGGAGCAGGAAGAGGCCATTGATGACTAGAGAACCGAGATGGAGGTTGTTGAGAGCCGCCGCATTGGACTTGGCTCGGTCTTTGCGTGCTTTTTGGGCCATGCTGTGCTGGGCGTGTTGGAGATGCTGTCTGAGGCGGCTCGGGGAAGCTGTTGCCTGTGAACGATGCCAGAGCTTGGAAGCTTGACCACATGGAAATTGTTTGAGCCCCACTAGCTCACCACATTGCAAGGATCTCAAGTCTCGTCACCCATTTGGAGCATTTGCTTATGCTTCCCGCATCTCTGGCAGACGTTAATCTAGGTTATTCAAAAGATTTGGGTGCTTTCTATTTTTATATTGATGAATATTCTACCTATCATGAAATCAAGACATCAATTGTTGAATCGCCGACGGAACCTCAATTCTGAGAGCACCCGACCTCCGCAAAAATCCGTTACGTTCCTTCCATGTGGCTGGAATCAGTGGCACAGCGGCCCCATCCTTGATCTGCTGTGTGTTGCTCGGCAGGCTGCAACCGCCCCGGCGTAGAAGCGCGTGGCCAATCAAGCGCCCGTTGCCGCGCCCACCACAACATTGCAAGTCCAGGGAAGAGCAGCAAACACCGTTGACGCCTTGACAGCTTCCCGAGCGAGTCCACGACAAGACACCAGGCCCATCGCTTGGCCAGAAATCCCAGGGCTGGCGTTGCTGGGTTGCCAACACTTCTCGAACGTCGCTTCCTCCATCCTTTTCTCTTTGGAAGCTATGATTTCATGACTTGGGAGAGCCTGAATCATTCAGCATTGCGGGTCCCGCATCGCCGCCTTTGTTTTTCGCATCCGCTGCTTTTGAGTTCAGTTGCTAAACCGGCCCCCTTGGCCTACTGCCGGACATTATACGCTCTGATTAAGCAGTGCCGCCCCTCGAGCCATCGCCAGCATCCGATAGACGTTGTGTGCCGTGTGTTCTGTTTCTTAATTCAGCAGCTGCATCGACCATTTCTTCCTGCGTCAACCGACAAAGGCCCCTCGCCAGGCCGTTCCCAGTCCACCCACCAGACAGTCGACCCAGAGGTTTGCTTCCCTCCCGCTCCCGTCACCAGGCGCTCCAACACCTGCCCTCTTGTTGGCGCTGGATCCGCCCCATGCGGAACAGGCGCATTCGGCCAACGTCGATTGCCGGTTCGAGCGACCCCATGGATTACCCTCCTCGATAGCATCTGGAACACCGAGTCGCACAGCAACCTGGCGCACCAGTGCCCGTTGCGACATGGCACCGACCAACGCGGCGATTGCTGGCTTGTTGAAGCAGGCCGTTTATTATCATCTCGACAATCTTTCGTACCAGAATGCCGTCTTCTTCGCCGAGAGGTTACATGCCCACGATCAGCGTTCCCCCGAGTCCGCCTTCCTCCTCGCTCTCTCTCATTACCGTTTCGGCGACTCTCGATCGGCATACGAAGTTAGCAAACTGCCAGGGTGTCGGGGGATTCATCTCGGGTGCTCGTACATCTTCGCGCAATCCTGCCTAGACCTGGAACGGTACAGGGATGGGATTACCGCATTGGAGAAGGCTCGCCCGTTGTGGGCAGCCAAGTGCAGCATCGGAAGGCACACAACTTCTGCAAGGGCACCATATCCCGACGCATCTTCAGCGAGCTGCCTCCTAGGCAAGCTATACCGAGCATACGACGACAAGAAAAGGGCGGTTCCTTGTTTTGAGGATGCGCTGAGAGCGAACCCCTTCATGTGGGACGCCTTCACCATCCTGTGCGATATGGGCGTCAATGTTCTGGTACCGAATATCTTTCGACTCAATGACACTTTCGCTCGCAGCTTCGACCAGGAGTCCGGCGCGAATAGCATTGACTCCAGCGGAGGACCTCCGGACCCTTTACAAAGAAAATCCGGCATCCAAGGTGTCAGCCAGGAAAGTGATCCCTTTGAGAACCACCGATCGACGGCGTTTCAGGACGTTTTGAGCAACAACATGCTGTTTGTCGACCCTGGCGAGAACGATTCGATATCAAGATTGACCGCCGGGCATTCAAGGTATGCGGTAACGAAACAGGGATCCGATAGCATGGAAACACCCACTGGCCCTATCGCTGTCCCAGACCCCCAGGCCCCTCGCATCGCCTACCCTTCAGAGCCACCATTAGCACCGGCTCGCCGAACACGGGGAACCCAGGCCTCAGAGCCCGGCTTCCTCGACGCTCCGCCCAAGATGAGCTACCGTCTAACCTCCAAGAAAAGAGACAGGGCACAGGAGCAGCTGGTGGAACCCCCAGAAGCGCCCATGAGGGGTTCTGCTCTTTCTCTGGCCGCCACCGAGAGGAAACGGACGGCATCAGGACACCCTGTACAGCCACGCCCAGCCAACTTTGAGGAGCCGAGGAGGAGCGCGAGGCTGAACGTGGCCCCCAGGACGGCTTCAAGGTCCAACACTAACATCACGACGGCTGGCGTGCCAGTCACCCGCGAGTTGAAGAAGGCCAGACCTCCGATCTCGAGAATTGCGCGGCCGGGCTCTAGCGGCACCAGCGTTGGCAGGGTCGTGAGTGGGAATCGAAAGCCGTTGGAAGATAACAGCATGGACATTGATCAAATTGAAGTCCCTCGGGTCAAGGAACTGCCTGCTGTGCCAGCCCCGCCATCGAAGCCGCTCGACCCTGAGCCGGTGAAGGCAGATGAGGGGCTGAAATGCATTCTGGATCTCCTGAGAAAAATGGCGTCTGGATATCGGCTCTCATCATCATTCCAATGTCAAGAAGCCCTGACCGTCTTCTCGACGCTCCCTCGGAGCCACCAGGACACACCGTGGGTGCTGGCGCGGATGGCGAAAGCCCACTACGAGTTGGCTAATTATGCCGAGGCCGAGAAAATCTTTCGCCGCCTTCGGATGCTCGCCCCAACGCGGCACGAGGACATGGAGTTCTACTCGACCGTTCTCTGGCAGCTGAGAAAGGGGACCGAACTCTCCTTCCTCGCGCATGAGCTCACCGACAGTGCGTGGGACTCACCGCAAGCCTGGTGCGTTCTAGGGAATGCATTCTCTCTGGACTGCGAACACGAACAGGCCCTGCAGTGCTTCAAGCGAGCCATCCAGCTCCATCCGAAATTCGCATACGCGTACACTCTTCAGGGACACGAACACGTGGAGAATGAGGAGTATGACAAGGCTTTGGTGTCGTATCGGCGCGCGATCGCCGCGGACAAGCGGCATTACAACGCCTACTACGGCATTGGCAAAGTCTACGAGAAGCTGGGCAATTACGACAAGGCGCTGAGCCACTATCACGCCGCGCTGGTGATTCATCCGACGCATGCTGTTCTGATTTGCTGCATGGGCACAGTGCTGCAGAGACAGAAGCAAACCGTTCAGGCCCTTCCTTGGTTCATCAAGGCGGTCGAGCTAGCACCCAGGGCTCCTGAGATGCGGAGCAAGAAAGCCGGGGCCTTATTAGCTATGGGACAGCTGGACGAAGCAAAGAGAGAGCTGATGATCCTGCGGGATATCGCGCCAAACAATGCCCAGGTTCACTTCCTGCTGGCCAAGCTCGCCAAGACGCTGGGGGACAAGAGGACGGCAGTGCGCCACTTCACCATAGCCTTAAGCTTGGATCCAAAGGTACGTATTTTGCCTGTAATCACCCATGGCCAGTGACGAGTGGCTGACATGTTTACTAGGCGAACGGGGAGATCAAGAACGAGATTGGGGCACTCGAGGACGACGACGGCTTCGACGACTCGATGATGCATTGATGCTCATGACTGACGAACCTTTCAATGTGAACCTAATCCTCGATATCCCTACGATGACGAACGAACGGGTAGTGGCTGGAGCGAGAACTCGGCATGTTTTGGGAAAGCGTCGCCCATCACTATACTCGGCGTGCTTGGGAGGGTTGAGTTGCTCCTTTGAGACGGTCGTTCTATTTCTTGGCAGCAGCATGGACAGCATTCTATGGCGTGGCAATGGCGTTTTCTGGAGAGCATCGAGCATGCTTTGTTTCGTGGCGTGGCCCATCTCTGGGCTGGGTTGGAGTCTTCTGTGTATGAGTACCTGAGCATCGCATTGGCCGACATGTATAGTACGGAATTGGCGAGTGTCACCACGGGAGGGCAAGGTTGGGTGGGACTCCGGGAGAGGGTACAAAATGGATAATACAGGAATTGGCTCTGGGTCAGCTGTCGACCTGGGATGACATCCTAACCTACCTTACCTAGAACCTACCATGGCGTGAAGACATGAGATAAACATTAGCGTATTCTATACTCATGTAAGTTAAAAGACCAAGGCAAAGTGGGTGGACGTCTGCTTGCACATTCCCGTTCTGGACGGTATCGCGGGGAGAGATCGGTCACAACGCCCATGTAATCAGAATATGATGATCAGTCACCACCGCCTTGACCGAGCCAAAAAAAAAAAAAAAAAATAAAGAAAATAAAAAAAAATCTGAATATATAGTGACAACTTCCATCTGACGACGAGACGTGAGTTATGCTGTGGGCTTCGTGCAGTAGGGGCAACTCCGGAAATCATGAGGGCTTGGACCACTTGCTGAGGCAGTCCCACCTGACTTCAGTTTGGCCAGCCGTACGGAGTATGGGGCGGCCGAGTAGCACAGACCATATTTGTGGGGCTAATTCTCCAAAACGCGCAGTCCCGCAGGCACCAAAACAAGTGAATCAAACCAGCGCCATTCAACGCTTTTTGACAGCCAATTTTGAAGCAGCAAAACTCGCATAAATTCGAAGCGCTTTTTCCAGGAAATAACCAACAACCCACATCCGAAACAGGATTAGTGGCGCTCTGATCAGCTGCCCCCTCCTGATCTGCTGCCTGTCTCCCAAACCTATTTAACCCTTGCCTCTCTCACTCTGCCACTTTCCCCAGAACCACTCAACTTTACGAATTGCGTCGTTTTGGTCAATCATCGAAGGCATCAACTTTCCATCGACTTATCAAGTCACACCATCATTTAGACTCATCTCCATCGAACCGATTCATCCATTAACATGACTGGACGTAAGTTTATCCTTACCATTTCGTCATCGTCATCATCGCCGGCGATGCATCCAGTAGCGCAGTGGTTGAGCTGCGCGCGGTTTGGGAGTGTAGAGTCCTGCTTGGGTGGGGTTGCATGTGTCCCGCGACGCGTCTGAACCCTCAACCGCGCTGCATCATCGCATTGCATACCGACGCCTGCATCGCGTCGACAATGCACGCATTCGTTCCTGTTTGCACAGGATGTTAGAAGGCTGACAATTTCTTTTCGCAGGCGGCAAGGGCGGCAAGGGCCTCGGCAAGGGCGGGGCCAAGCGCCACCGCAAGATTCTGCGCGACAACATCCAGGGCATCACCAAGCCTGCTATTCGCCGTCTGGCCCGCCGTGGCGGTGTCAAGCGTATATCTGCCAGTATGTTTCTCCCCTATCGGCCGTTATAACCGACCCCTGGCTTTTTCAACTGCAGGACATATGCTGACAGTTCATTACAGTGATCTACGAGGAAACCCGTGGCGTCCTCAAGTCGTTCCTTGAGAGCGTCATCCGCGACGCCGTCACCTACACTGAGCACGCCAAGCGCAAGACGGTCACCTCGCTTGACGTGGTCTATGCCCTCAAGCGCCAGGGCCGCACCCTCTACGGCTTCGGTGGTTAAGCGAAACCTCGCGACGGCGCAGGGGTTGGCGATCGGGTGTATGGTTATGGCATGATCGGATGCATATTTTCCGCGGTTGTTTTTCACGTATGGCGTTGGGATGGGGTATCAGGGCAAACTATGACACGGTCGATGGGAATGACCACGGCGTCTTGGAAGGCGAGTAAAGCCGATGAAATGCATTGATTTTGATCATCACTTGCTGTTGCCTGCGCTGTGACTGGACCATATGTGATGGTGTCCATGCTTTTATAAGCTGCTTCCCTGGTATCTACAAATATTTCCTTCCAGCCGCCGCAACCCTCTGCCGAAATACCGGACTCCGGATTTCCATATTAACTTTGTGAAACGGGCTCATGATAGCTTTGATATAGTTCTCGTAGACCTCGTTAAAGAAGTTCTTGATAGCCTCCTCGGTCTGTGGACTCGTCGGGTTGGCGCCGACAGACGTCGAGTTGCGCGTCGCCCCGGCCGCTGTCGCTGTCGGCTGGTGCAGCAATAGGAACTTGACGTTGCCGCCCGTCATGAAGCAGGAAATGTAATTGTTGAAGAACTTGTCGATCACCTTCAGATATCTGGTACTTCCCATATCAGCACATGTCAGTCCATCTCGAACTAGGAAGGGCGGAGTGTTGGGGCGAGGATATGGGAAGGCATGGCAAGGCGGCCTTCACTCTGCAAGTGGAAACAGACGGAAGGGAGGCCGTACAGTTGCCCGTTTGTCCACTGCACCTCCTCGACAATGTCCAGGCTGCTGTGCAGAACAAACTGGTTCAGATGCCGTGCCTGCTCGCTGAAGCGTGCCTGGCCATCGCCGCCCTGCTTGCTTGTGCCGAACTCGTACTCGAAGAGCGGGTTGTCTTGGGTGCCGATGATTGCGAAGTAGTAGCTCATCGTCCTGGTGTTGCCGCTTTTCTGTTGGTGTTGTATGTGACGTAAGGCCTGGCTTGCGATCGATCAACCATCTGCGCTGCGTGGTGAAATATTGGGGCCGGGTGGTGCATTCATTTCAGCAATCCAGTCGTCGATGGATTCAAATCAATAGACTGCTTTGGTGTAGTGAGCTCCAGGCTGAGGCTGCAGGGGCGCTGGTGGGTCGCGGGGTGCTGTCTCCACAAACCGATGGAGCCTTAGCTTGGCGCTGCGACGACGGGAGCCGCGATTTTTTGAACAGGCGGCAAGGACCCATACCTCCGTGATCTTTCCATTCCACCCGGCGAACCGATTGCAAGCTCCCGCGCCGCAGTCATGTTCGGGCCATTCAGGATCACAAATGTTCTCAACGGGGGTCTTCTATGGTGAGCACGGGAAGCCTTCTACTACTTATGGTTTGTCCCACGATAAGCGACGCTGACAGCACGCAGGAAGATCCCCTGGCGCCTCTCCCCGACTCAGAAGGCCCGGCAACGGAAGCGGTTAAGGGCCGTTGATCAGGTCGTCGAGACGCTGAGCAACGCATTGGCCAAGAAGGGCGAGACTCTCAAGTCGCTGGAGCGCTGGAAGGCCGAGATGCCGACCGAGGCGCAAATGCTGCCCCGGGACAAGTACACCATGTTTGACCGGAAAGCCAAGAGATATCGCAAGGGCATTCACAGTATGTTGCTGTCGGGACGGGATTGGGGTGGGCGCATGTGCTGTGTAGCTGACATTCTCGTTCTAGAACTTCCAAAGTGGACGCGTGTATCGCAACGAATCAACCCTCCCGGTTACTAAACAACGACGAGCGATGGTTCGGGGCGTGTATATCCCTTGTACTATACCAACTGAATCAATGGCGTTGTGGTGGCTGCAAATTGTTCTTGGATCCCAGAGATGTGGGCGGCATGGACGATATACCCGGGTCAAACACGAAGCCCACCTCTGGATCGTGAAGTGGGCGGTCAACATGACGACAACCCGCCCAATAACGCCGTTGTGATTCCCGGGGTATTGCGTTACTTCACTTGAGAGACCGTAAAACATGCCGTCGACGTGTGGACAGGCGAGTCTATTTTCCGCGCCCGTAATCATCGTCATAGTCCCTAGAACCCGCCCTGTCCCTAGACCCCGCCCTCATCCGCGCCTGAAGCGCCCGTCCAATGCCGCCACGGCCCTCATCGTAGTCCTCGCGGTATTCGTCGCGGACCTGCCCTCCAGACTTTCCACGGCCGTACTGGCGACCCTCCGTGAAACCGGGGTCAAGGTCTGTCCTAATGATGCGTTCGTCCAGCTTGGTCCCGCCAATGTACTTCATACAGTCGAGCGCGTCCTGGTGGGTGTAGTACTCGACGAAGCAGAAGCCGCACGGTGTTTTGGTAAACCGGTCGAGGCCCATGACCAGGCGCTTGATTTCGCCGCATTTGGAGAAGAGCTCATACACTTGCTCTTCGGTGGTGTAGAAGGACCTAAGGACAGCCAGTCAGTCAACTTTTGTCGGCCGGTTATCTTGCCCAAAGGGCAAATTGATGCAGCTTACAGATTCCCAACGTAGAGAGTGGTCGCATCTTTCAGTGGATCCTCCTCAGGTTGGTCGTTCTGCATGTTAATATCATCGTCGCCATCGCGCTGGTCCTTGTCGAATCGCCGGCGCTTGTTCTGGTTCGTGTGTTAGCTTGGGTAGCTACTTTGCATCAGCTCCCAATGATCATATCGCGTTCACTACTCACCCTATTATTAAAATAGGCGCTCGGCTGATCCAGCCGCTCGACTGTGCACCGTGGCCCTCTCATAACGGTCGTTTTTGTTGTGTTTGTTTGGGAGTGAGTGGATGGATTTCTGGAGCTTCGACTGGAAGTTGCTTGCCGCAGACTCGCACGGTTGCGATCTGAGTGGGTCAATCCGTCACTGCATTGACAGGGATGTGAGGCGCGTGCCTGCCCAGAAAAAGCTGTTGCCGGGGTCCAGAGAACACGCTAACAAGTGCAGCTCTCAACTGGAGGAGGACTTGAGCTCTCCTCCGCCAAAACTCGCACTTTGCAGCGACGACCACAGGGCAATTTGCCAGATATCGGTCAGGCATCGTGGGTAATCTAGGCGTCTGCACAGGCCTCCAATTTCATTTCTACGTTTGGCAATTTGCAACTCGCATTGTCAGTCTAGCAACCCCGTCACACACAGATGCCCAAGATCAAGAGCTTCGCGCCGAGCTGGCTTAACGAGCCTTCTCCGGGGCACAAGTTGTTTGCACAGTCGAGCGACGATGCACGGACTTCAGCTAGCTTGCAGTACGGCAAGAAGCCGAAGCCAGGGCCGCGACGGACCATAGCGCGCAGGGGAACCGAAGTCTTCGTGGCGGTCGGCAAGCAAATTCGATGGGGCGACCTGGCGTATTTGAAGGAGTCGTGGGAGACGAGACACGCGCGTTCCAGTTCCGGATCCCGTATCAAGAAAGAGAGTTCAGACGATCTATTCGGATACGACGACGAAAATGCTGGTAACGAAACGGATGGCTACCGCGTGAGTGAGCCGTCGCTGGGGACCAGATTTTACACTTCCAACGCTAACATTGTCTCCAACATCAGATCATCAAGACACCCGTTGCCGATGATATTCGCCAGCTGGTCATGTCGCCGAATCAGGATCTTCTGGCAGTCCTGACGTCTCATACCGTCCATATCTGCATCCTGCCCGATTCTTCCCATCTGTATGCAAGGGACGCAACGCCCTTCAAGCCCAAGTTCTGGACGCTGGGCCCTACAACTCACGTTACTTCGCGCTCAGCAGTTGTTTCGGTACTGTGGCATCCGCTTGGCGTTAATGGGACAGCGCTTGTTACCGTCACAGAAGATGCCGTGGTTCGCGTTTGGGAATTGTCTACAGCTGACCGCTGGACCTTTGATGCAGCTACCCTCGCCATCGACTTGAAGAGGCTGGCAGATGGGACGTATCTGGATCAGGACTTTAGCACCTCCGTGTCGGCCACGAACAAGGGCTTCTCGCCCGATGCCTTCGACATGGAAGTGGCGGCCGCATGCTTCCCTGCTAGGAGCTCCGGAGGCTGGTCGCCAATGACATTGTGGGTCGCCATGACCGGGGGCGACGTGTACGCCCTATGTCCGCTCCTGCCTCAGCGTTGGGCACCTCCTCCCACCCTCATCCCGTCCTTGTCGGTCTCCATCGTGGCCAGAGTTGCAGCCACGGAGGATGACCCCGAAGCTTCCGCCGAAGCCCGGCTTCTGGCCCAACAACAGCTGGATTGGATGTCAGATCTGGATAATCAGGAGCCGAAAGTTATGGAAAGCGCGCTTAGAGAGACCACAACGGAGATCTACACTCGACCGGCGCGACCTGGCGCGATCCCGAAGCTCCAAGGTCCATTCGAGTTTGAGCTGAATCCCGAAGACGAGCAGGACGATGAGGTTGAGCTAAAGGATATCTACGTCATTGGGGAGAAGGCTAGTGTGGCCGATCTGATGATGGGAGAAGAGGAGGAGCTGGACGTGGACGACGCCGACGGCGAGTCTGGACTGTCTTTGACGGTCATCTGTCTCCTCTCCACCAGCGGACAGGTCAAAATCTGCCTCGACACCGAAGGCGTCGAGGCCCAATGGCTGCCCCCGCGGTCCAAGCATAAGTCAAGGCTATTGGCATCTCCCCAGTCGCCTTCACTACTGACCTTCCAGACCTTCGACACCCTTAAACCAGTAGAGGTCATGCCTGAAAGCTGGCCCATGTTCAGTCAGGACGTTACATCTCGCTACGCGTTCTATATTACGCACCCGGCCGGCATCACTCATGTTTCTCTGGCGCCGTGGATCTTCCGACTAGAGAGCGAGCTTCAAGGAGATTCCGAGGCGGGTGCGGAGTTCCGCATTGATCTGCTCGCCAAAGGGCAAGGGTCAGAGCGGGAGCGCATCTACACCCAGGCTCGCAGTCAGAGTTCTCTGGCGGCAGCCACAGTCATCAGCGATGCGGAGCTCGGCCACTTTCTCTTGTCGGCCACCCATCACAATCCCGTTGTCGTTTTCTTCGACACACCAGTCCGAGAAATGGCACCTAGGGAATCTCCGGCAGCCATCTCTGAGCACTCTGAGATGCCGCAGCCTGAAGTCGGCTGGGAACCACGCCCTCTTTTCCGCGCTTCGGAAGCGCTGGATCGCAGGAGCGAGCTACCGCCATGGATTGACCATCTGAAAACAGGAAAGAGGCGCCCTCTGTTTCAGCAGGAGTTGCGTCTGTCAATGGCGACTCTTGAGGTCTTCACCGACGGACACAAGGTGGTTTCCAACGAGGTCGAGCACATCAATAATGCGGTCGCGGAGCTTTTCAGAAAATGCCAATCGCTCCAGAACGAGCTTAAGCAGCAGTTAGGGAAGGCGAACGAGGTCAAGCACAAGATTGACAGGATTACAGGAGAGGATTCGGCGGATGACGACGGACCCGTCTCGCAGGATGAGCTCGCTCGGGACAGGCTGCGCATAGTCCGGGAGAGGCAAGAGGAGCTTGCAAGCAGAATGGAGAAGTTGAAGCGGAATCTGGGCAGGGCGACGAGCCGGGAGCTCAGCGACAAGGAGCGGGCGTGGGCAGAGGAAGTTCGGGCGCTGGGAGACAGCATCCTGGGCTCCGAGGCGGATCACCTGTCGAAGGCTGCCCCAAGGACTAAGCATGCTTGGAAACGGTTCGACGAGATCAAGGCCCTCCGAGACGCCTTGTTTGCTCAAGCCGAGCAGCTGCAGCGGATCCGAGAGGCCACCGAAGACGACAGTCCCGCCTCACCGGTGCCTAGTCTGAAGATCCCGGCCGAAGTGCGAAGGCAAAAGATGACACAGATCATTGGCCTGTTGGATCGGGAGTCAGCGTTGGTGGATGCTGTGAAAGCTCGTCTCGAGAGGCTCAGCGTTGGGTAGGCCGGGCAGCCAGGGCCGCAGAGCGAAAACAGGTTGACTCGCGAAAGACAAGCAGAGCCCGATGTCCCACGGCACTCGTTGTTTTGATGCACATGAAGAAAAACAGGAAAACCATATGTTTACGTGCAGCCCCGGGACGGATCATGGCCTCTCACTGCATGCCTAGCCTAGGTGTTTGCCCGTCGTCATTCTTCTATGGAGCGAGTCAGCATGCCTAATGCAGGCTACTGTGACACTCATGTCCAATCATTCAGATCGCCAGTCGGCTGCGGTGCCCCCTTGCAGGCAGGCCGGCTCGTATGGCTTGAAGCAAATCATTAAATACCGACAGGGTCAAGATTCTCCCGTTCAAGTTATTTACTCTTCCCACGCCTCCTGCAGCCAACGGTTAGGGCTACAAGCTCTGCAGCCTGCAGTAACTTGTGGGACGGAAACAGGCCTTCGTGCCTTCGTCGGGGCGCACTGGCACCGAACAATGACACACTTCTTCGGAGTCTGCGCCGGACGACCCGTCTGATGTCTGAGGAATGGTGTAACCTGGCAGATTTCCTATCTCAACGGCTGACCACGACTGCCTCCTGCGGTGCCTTGCTTCCACGAACGGCAACACACATGCCCACAATCCGTGCAAAAGAATTGGCTGGCTAGAGCGGACGGACACCGGCCGACCTTTCGGGAGACAGACCTGGCGCCCGGATCACCGTTATTGTTTAGTCGCTGTGGTTGGGTAATGGATGGCTTCTTTCTGCTTCCTGAGTCTGCATACGATACGCGGTTCCGTCTACCAATGGTTCACCGCTCACCGCTCCATGCAAGGACCCTGGCCGTTCAGCGGACCCTCTCCCGTTTTCTTCTAACCGCCTACAGAGCAAGCAGGGACAATGTTAGTGTAGTAATAAGAGGTAAAGTGTGTTTTTCCGGAGCCGTTGTTCATAGTCCCGTGGTCCGGTCACCACTTTCCGATCTCGACCGTGTTGTTTTACCCCTGTCGTGCGGGCTGCTCCATTCATTCGTCATGCAGCCTCACTTTTCGTTGCTGTTGCCGAGTTCTGTGCCACATCGGCGTCTGCACTGCTTTCCTGGGAACGGAGGTGTCTCGCGCTGTCAGCCCGGCTGTTACGAAGCACAAACTCGGGGGGCAAAGGGGAAAGGATGTGTATAAAGATGGGACGCCCATTCCTATCTCGAACTCTCCTTGGGCCACCCATCATCACCTTGTCCTGGTCTGGAACACCAAATGCTAGTGCGTCTCTCCAGCTCTGAATCTTGTCTACTTCCCCGGCAACCGAGTTCACGGTCCGCAATGGCGTCTGGAGGCCCTTCTCCCGCGGTCGACCTGCGTGCTCAGGTCATTGGTGAGTCCTCTGCAGCCCTCGCATGTCCCCTGGCCACTCACATAGCTGACTGCCGTTCTGCAGAGAATTGCGAATTCTTCAGTGGGCGGTATGCCCGCATTTCGCTGGTCATCGCCAAGGAGCCCCTGGGTTCGTTCAAGGCTATTGTGCTGAGGACTGAAAACGGTGTGCGAGATGCACTGCTATCTGAGACAGCGCCATCGTTCTACGAGGCCCTTCAAGCTCTCCATGTCAAATCTGCCGAGGCGGTCCAGAACTACATTGGCACCAACGGCTTTGCTGTCCCGTCCAGCGTCAAGAAGCCAAACTCGAAGCATTTTGGCAGCAGAGACGACGGCCATGAGAGCGATTCGGCCTCGTCCGCCTTGACACTGGACGAGTGCGAGTCGCTGTCCGACAACGAGACTATCTCGGTGACTTCAGTCGGGAGGGAGAAGCGCACTCGTCGCAAGGCTGACCAGTCGGCCAAGACAAGTGCGCCAGAGCACAAGTCGCGACAGGGCCGGCCGAGCTCGCCCTCGCCCTCCTTTTCCACAACCCGAGCGCGTTCTCGGTCGAGCTGCTCCACCTCGTCCGACTCGGAGCTTCATTACGAGGACCCAAGCATCCCGCGTCGTCCGCCCTTCCTCAACGTATTCTCCCAGCGCGTGCCCCCCGGGCCGCCCCAATTCACACCCTCGGGCTCCTTCCCCAGGGGGCCTCCTCCTCCTCCACCTCCACCATCAGGGCCTCTCGGTGATATCTCGACAGTCCCAAGATACATCCCACCCATGCGCCCGATTCCACCCCCTACCTCCTTCACCATCGTGGACAAACGACCACCTCCGCGCGCCCCAGCGATCATGACCATCACCCCAACCTCTACCCCGACCACTCCTCCCACTAACCGGCCCCCGACGACCACCACTACGCAGACGCAACAACACGACATAATCCTCCTCATCCGCTGGCGCTACCACGGCGAGCGCCGCGCCCTCGAGCAGGCAAGCCACATGACGGTCCGCGGCATCCAGCTCGCCGCGCTGAGCTTCGTGCAGCGCCAGGCGGCATTCTTCGCTAACGTGCCGCCCGAGGGCACGCTGGCGCACCGCGTGGCGCTGGCGGGGCTGAAGGCGGCTGTGAGGAGCGTGGTGGTGGACGGAGTGGTGTATGACTTGACGGGGTACGCCGCGGAGGGGGATCTGACGAGACTGGTGGCTGGTTTGTGTGCTTCTTCTTCATCTGGGGCCAGCAAGGCGGACGGGGTGCCGAGGTTTGAGGTGGAGGTGTGGAATGTGGGCGGGAGCGTTGGCGGGCATGGCGAGGGCGTGGTGGGCGGCGTGGGTGTGCCTGTTCGATTGGGGTCGGGGGCTGGTGGGGTGAGTTCTCAGGGTGCCGTGGGCGCTGCATCTCGGATGGTGTTCCCGCCACCTCCGGGGGTGTTCCCAAACTAGGCACGAGAGATGGAATGGTGTGTAGGCGAGGAAATGAGGCGGAAAGAGATCGGCTGAAGGATCAGCAAGGTATCGGAAAGTGAGGCGTCACCCTGACGCCGGGTCCGGGGATGTATGAGATGATCAACACCGGGATTACACCATCATCACTATTGAGGTCGGAACATCAATGCACACAGACACGAATCACTTAGGCTGCTTGTGACGGCAGAGGGGCCCCGAAGGAAAACATGGCCTTGTTTCAACGCCCTCGCGATGAGTCTGTTTTCTTACCAACTTCTATCTGCGTCTTGCTATCCCCTTTTACAACACCATTCTGATGGCATCTCAACCCAGCCCAATCAGCCCCGTCATATCATCTTCCTATTTGTTTTTTTGCTTTCCCTTCATCGGAGAGACAGAGATAGGCAAAGCTCACTGTGCCGTGCAACATGTAAAGCTAAGGTCTCACCTCCTGCAACAGACGCGGGAGGAGATGGGAGTGAAAAATCCGGTTTCTCCAGTACTGGCACACATATTCAGATAGACTCTATAATGTTAAGGTAGTGTGTACCCATATCCGTGGTTCCCGTCCTCCCCATAGGACCGCATGCCGAGATGCCGCTCACGGGTGGTTCAATTTCTTAACCTGTTTCAGCTTCTTCGTCCAAGGCAGGTCTTGCGACCATGGCGGCCAATCTCAAAGCTGAGTAGATTCGAGGGTTTGCCCGAGACTGCTCGATTGCCTCCTTTTCAGATAGTCTTCACAAGAATACGTCATCAGATAGCGTGCTGATGCCGCGAGAACAATGTAGTACAAGGAAACTCGAGTTATCCGGAGTGTGGAAGACGAAAGTATCAATGAGACGATCCAGTTCCGTAATGATCATTCCTGATATCGCCCACCACCCCATTCAGCTCGTCCAGCTCGTTCAGCTCGCTCTTTTCGCTCTCAGCTCTCAGTTCTCAGCGCAGCAACAGAACCCCGGAATTTTTCCGCGGAAAGATCTTCCCAGCGGGTACCTCAACCGGAAACGTAGAAGTCTTCACTTCAGCATAGCCAGGCATCCAAGAAGACAAGCCGAGTCATCCCGGACCCGGGTGCCGCTGAATATAGCTCGTCTCAGTTACATGCGTGCACACATTGCAACGTCCAGTCATCCCAGTCCTACTGCCGTGAACATTTTTGAGAAGCCCTTCTTGACCGGTACGACCTTCCACTCGTTGCCTTGTATCCCTCATGACGACGCCCTGAGATTATGTTCGTCCCCAACCAACACCATCTCGCCATAACCTACCCCCGTGGACATCACGGGGCATCTCGAGGGAGACGATACTGTTCATCGCAAGGCAAATTTGCACTTCCACAGCCTGCCAATTACGAGAAAGCTCTAAACGTAATCTCTGAAACATGGTGTGCCTCGTGTAAGAAGACGACGAAAGACATGTGCCATTCGACGGATAGGAGACCACCATGCTTTGGTGAAAACCGCATCCCAAGACAAAGCATTGCAACTGCAGCCTCGCACCAGATTTCCCCGGCCGACTGGACAGCCTGAGGTGAATGTGCCATTGTCGATCCTATTTGCAAACTCAGGGACAGGCCCCGAGGCTACCAAGCCAAAGATCAGCGGCTGGGAACTCCCCAACCGGTTTCTCCTCCAGCTCGGCATTTGCAGAGCATCAGCCCTGCGGCAAGCCGGAGCTTGTGATTGATGGATTGGCACAACTGCAGCTGCAGGATAGCATCCGGGAATAACAACGGGCTGTGGATTGGCACTTGGTGAGGTGAGGCTGTCTAGCTTCGTTGGGTAAGACAACAGTAAATAGAATCACACTAGATACTCCGAATGTCCTTTGCTGGGCAGATGCAGATGGCTTCGTGGCTTGGGAACCTAAATCGTTCGCAAGGGAACTTCCAGCCCTTCGTCTGGCGCAAGGCTCATTACCACTCCAGACTCAACCAGAGTGGGGCAAAAGAAGTCTCAAAATCCAATTCAGGGAAGGAGCAGCGCACCGCTCAACGGGCAGCAAGCTCGCAGGTGTTAAAAATCATCCTCTCGACGTCCTTAACGTTACCGCTTTTTAACAGATTGGTCGTTCGTGATACATCAATTCCAACGCCAGCGCGCAATTGATCGAACTTTTCCAAACTCGATTGGAACTCCAATTCAATACTGACATTTGGCACACTCTACCAGCTCTTGTCCCGTCTTTGCCACAAAGGACCTGCTATGACCAAGTACTTGCTCAAACATCATTTTATTACCTGCCCCTCTCTATATATAATCATCATCTCCAAAGCCCCTTGACCCCATCAGCGGTCATGCATGGGATCCAACAAGACAGAACAGAGAAAGCATATGTGCTGTGCGGGACGTACACGTTCAAAGACCACTGACTTTGTCAGACAAACCGACACCTTTCTTTCCTCTTAACCCAATCTATGATTATAGGTTCACCAACCACAAACGCCGTTGATATGCCTGACGTCAAGCGCCATGATTCCCGAAACAACGGGCGATCCGCGATACAATCACTTTTCTCAAGAACACAAAACACCTCTTCATATACCTGTCCCACCACCCCTCCCCCCCCCCTCCTCTTCCTCTTTCCCCAACACCCTTAGTATCATCATCCCGTCTAGTAGATGCCCTGGGTCCTATACTGGAAGGTATCATAACTGTTCCATCGTCAGCAACCCAAATAACCCCTATAAGACAAAGTGACTCACAGTCGTGTGTAATAACTGCCAAGCGACTTGCCAATGAGATCCGTCTCAACAAACTGCTCGGCCTCGTCGGCGCTCAACTGCAGTTGGAACCGCTGTCTCAGCGCCGCCGTGACCTGCGTGACACCGGCCCCGAAGCAGGGCATCTTGGACTCGCGGCCCATCATGGCCACCAGGTCAATGATGTTGTCTGCAGAGCGGCGGAGGGCTGGATTAACCTCGAAGATTAGTTGCCATGATTATTAGAGGATAGCAGAGCTCGAACACAGCAGAACATACCCTGAAACGCCTGCTTGCAGAGCCTCTTGTAATCCTCATAATCCTGCGACCCCACGCCGCCCAGCACATCGACATACTCATACGTCAGCTTGAACGGCGCCGCCTCGAACCCGACCGAGCCCGGCGAGTTGGACAGCATGAACCCAAAGTCAATGTGGATGATATGCCCCTCGTTGTCAATGAGCACATTCCCGTTGTGCCTGTCTTTGAGCTGAAGGACATACGAGATGACGCTGTACGCCGCCAGGGACCGCTTGAAGGCGTCCACGCCCGCCCGGTATGCCTCGCTCTCCGGACTGCCAAACGCCTTGACGAAGTGGTCCTTGAGCGTTGCGATCCGCCGGCGCGGGTTCTGCCCAGCCTCGATGGACGCGAGGGTCAAGCTGCGCTTGATCGAGTGCAGCGACACGCCGTTGGCGATGGTCTCGATCAGGCCCGACGACTCCCCCGTGACCAGGATGCGCATGAGCTTGACCCACACGGGCACGCCCGCGTCGACCCAGATCTTGTGGCAGACCCGGATCAGCTGGCAGGCGAAGGCCTCCTGACGGAGGTCCGACCCCGTCTTGACGATGACGCTCACGAGGTCCCAGTTCTTCATCCAGCCGTACGGAGACGACTTGCGGATCCGCTCCTTTTTGGTCTCCCACGCTTCGCCAAAGACGGCCGCGCTGGGGTCATCGCGGTCGCCTTTGCGCTGGAGACCGCCCGTCTTGATGTCGTTCTCCATCCTGTCGATGCCAGCATTGGCGTTGAGATTAGGTTCTACGGCGGCGTCGTCGCCGCCTTCGGCTCCATTAGCCTCCGTCGTTGATGCCGAGGCCGCGGCTGCCTGCGCCTTGGCCATGATTATGTCAAAGGTTGGCCCCTGCCCATCGTCGAGATCAAAGCTTTGTTCTTCCAGGCTCTGCATGCTCGAGATAATGCGGGCCCTGATGGCTGCTACCTCGTGCCGCGGCCGCTTGCCGCTTGTTGCGTCTAGTTGCGCGAGCATCTGTGACGCAGTCCGCATGTGGATCGCGAGCGCCGAGAAGTCCGGTTGGTCGACCGAATTATTGCGTGGGTTGCTGAGTGTCAATCTTCTCCTGTTGATGGAAGTGCTTGGTGACTCGGATGAGCCGCCCGAGCTGCGCGGCGGCGTCTTGTCGGCAGCAGCAGCAGGTGCTGGCGTGCTTGTACCGGAAAGATGCAGAGAGGAGACCGATTGCGTCGGCCTTGGCCCAAAGAAACCGTCATCCGACGGCCTGACCAAGGGCGAGCTCCCCAAATCCCCGGATGCAGGCTCAAAGACACTATCGACAACCAGCTCCGGCGTCCGGGACGCAGGTGGTATGCTCGGGGAGTCGGACAGGTCGAATATCCGCCTTCGTGATCCTTGTTCCGCCAACAGAGTGGTGAGTAGCCTCTGGTTGTCCTGGGTCTCCGGATCGAAGGTAAAGTCGTCGCGGAGAATCTCCACCATCAGCAAGTACGGAACTTTCTCGGCGCTGTTTAACACAGTTGCCTCGGCCGGGTTAAGGCGGACTATCCTGTGGTGGCGGCTCTTGGACGGGGAGCCATCCGCGAGATCTGGAGGGCATATGACAGGAATATCCACCTCGGCCGGGAGATCCCGCGCAATCAGCGCCAACTCGGCACGCAGCGCGCTCAGGCGAGCCGGTTTGGGTACCACGACGAGACGATTAGATATGTTTTCCAGCGCTGTTAAAAAGGCCGTTTGACACCGGAAGTAATTCTGCCGGAGCAACTGTGTCTTTTGCTGGTTAGTCATCTCGTCCTGGCTTAGGAGCGTCTTGACGCCATGCGAATGTTTCCGAGACAAGGTCTCCGAGGGCCGTAGGCCGGCCGACACGGGTGTGGTTGGTCTCGAAACCAGACGAGGCCTGGAATCCGGCAGGGGCAGTGAGGCAGAACTGAGGCGCGCTTCTAGGGCCAGACCTTCAAGGCGGGTGGGCATGTCTGCATCCTCACGCTCCCGTGGCGCGGGTTCAGCGGCCTTGGACTTTGAAGTCGGCCGACTCGCCCTTGCCGGTATTTTGCCCTTGCCCAGCGACTTGTGTGGGCTCTCATGAGTCCTGCCCTCCTGGGCACTCGCGGCGCGCACATCCTTTGGGCGCTTCGACCGGGTGCTGGCCGCAGTAACGGTGTGTGCCCGGGTTGGCACAGTTTTATTCGCAGCGACGGCGGGTTCGGATATTGTCTCGATGACGGGGCGCGGTTTTCGGGCCTGGGCGACGGCAAGAGGCCCCGCCCACTGAGGGAGGATGGGGCAGGCGATGCTCGCGAGGACGAAGCTCCCCAAAACAGTAACAGGCAAAACGTTCTCGGTGATCTTTTCGTGCCTTGCAATCTCTGAAAGTCCGAACACAACGTGCTGCACCTTGTTGTACACCCGCCGACAAGTCTTGAACGCCTCGGTCTGGGGATTCGACGACAGATGGTGTAGGTAGGTTTGGAACAGCCAGAAGGTCTGCGGAGGGATTATCAGCGCCTGTGGTCGAAACTGCAAGCGCATTAGGGGGCGACCAACCAGTAGCGCAGCAGTGACCGACTCCTCACACAGGTCCAGCAAGAACTCTTCCAAGGCCATCGACTCGTTGTCGAGGCTGATGACTAAGTGGCATAGCTGGGGGAGGAAGAATTCGATGTCCTCGTAGGGGAACTGGCGAAGCTTGCTGCAGAGGACATAGTGAATCCCTATGTGATCTGCATAGCGCCTACATGCAGAACATTCAGTCAGCGTTGAACCAGCCAGGGGGACGGATGGGGAAATCGGTCGGGGACACGAACGAGAGGTACGAGACGGAGAGGAAGGGGTTCTGGTTGAAGACATCGCTCTCGAGGAACCGCTTCAGCAAGTCCCAAGACATTGGTTGCGGCGGCGCTTGGACGGAAGCGGGAGCGGGAGGATCGAGCTCGATATCAGACGGTGGTGGGGGAAGGGCGCAGCAGCAGACTCATGTCCTCGTCGGCCTTCTCATTGGCGCTCGGCTTCGATGGTAGCGGATCCAGACACAGGCAAGAGCAGCAGCATGGCTGCCTTGGGAAGATGCGTTCCGAGGTTCCAGACCGGGAAGGGCTCGCAGATGCTTGATGCGTCGCGTCGGAAAGGTCATTACTGTGTAGTTATCCGCAGGAGTTGAGGACAACTGGGCCAAAGCACCAATGGGACGCTAGACAGGGGTCGACTCCGTCGTCCTCCGCAGCGCTCCTCGTTTTTGTCCAAGTATGGTGCCCCACCTGCCGATTCTCTGTCCCGGCATCTCAAATTCCGTACCCGGTGCCGTTGACTTCCCCCCTTTACCCCAGTAATAATCGCATTATTGAGAAAAATGTCGCGAAGGCAAGTCATGCATCCCATCGAGCGGTCATATCACTAGCTGCGAACTCATTCGTGAGTTGTCGCATGCTAGCGAACTTAGGGTTTAACTTAACCTCAGAGGCTCGGACCGAGACAAGAAAGTCGGAGAACCCACCGAGCTGAAGCAGACATTCAGCCAGCCAGCCGTTGCTTGTTTACTCTACAGCACAGAAAAGAACTCTTTCTTTATTTTTTTGTTTATACCCTTTCCAATCTGTCTTTCTTCTTTCTCTTCGGTCGTTTCCATTCTCAAGACCAAGTAGATTATGCAGGACTGAACTGCCATGTCCCGCACTACTACGATGATCAGGGCAGGCTTGTTCAGGGGTCGTTCAGGGGGGCTGCAATGTTCAGAATCAACATGGATTACAAAGTCACTCAGATTCCTTCTCTTCTTCTCCCACAACCCAGCCTTCCTACCTCGATGGTCTGATTGTCCGGTGAACCAAACAGATAGTTTCCGTTGCCGAGTCCACTGCCCCTGCCTTCTCCGCTTCTTGGGTTTGACCCTCTGTGACCTCCACGTCAGCCAAACAAAGCCCCTCGGATTCCTCGGATTCATTCAACACATTTGGATGTACTCACCTTATACTTGACCCTCTCAGTTCCGTCCGGGATCTGGACAATTTCGTGTTGGATTTGGTAGCCCAACGCGGGCAGCACCTTTGCCCACACGAGCCAGTACGCCGTCCCAATGACCAGCAGACTGGTGCCGAGGGTGGGGACCACATAGAACGGCACATGTTCGAAGAAGTCGTTCTTGATGAATGGCGGGGCCTGCACAAACAGCAGCGAAACAATCCAAAAGATGGTCAGGAGCGGCGAGTTGCGAAACGTCGTCCGCTGCTCGGCCCACCGCTCTGACGGGCGCAAAGTTGAGGTAAACCAGCCCGGCAGCGAGGAAGACTGGTATGTGTCAGCATCAGCAGGATAGATGCGGAGGTATGATGCTTGCCCTTGATCCAGTTGCTGCTGTAGATAAAGACATTGGTGACGAATACGTATACGTCCGTGGTGTGCGACCCGAGGATCAGCGCACAAGTAGAGATCCAGTGCAGGAAGATAGCCCCGGAGGGCGCATTGAACGGCCAGTTCGAGGCCCAAAACCGAGCCCACGGCAGCACGCTCTCCTTGGCTAGCTCTTGTTTCACGCGCGGCATGGCGAAGGACTGCGCAAACACATTCCCCGGCGCCGAGAGACTGATGAAGAAGGGCACGACCCGAGTCATGAAGACACTCTCGCCCCACACATTCCGAAAGAACTGGGCCGCCACGACAACCCTCGAGTTGGCAATCTCTTCCTTGCTCATGGCGGCAAACTGTGACTATCAGTAAATGCATCATGGAACGGTATGCTGGTGCTCGAACACTCACGTATGAGACGCTGGCCAGCACATAAAGCACCGTCACCGCCGAGTCAGCAATGAGTGCCGCCCTCCGCAGCGTCTTGGGGGCGTTCCGGACCTCTGTTAGAACCTGTACTCAGTCGTTAGTCGTCCCGTTTCTCCCCAGCTGAGTCCGGCTGCACCCACATAATCGGCATTCTCGCACCCGCCGTAGGATTACAGCACCTGGAGCAGAGCAAGCAAGTAACCGCCCGCGGCCCCGGCCGAATAATCGTCGCCGGTTCTCGACCAGCCGGGCCCCTGGAAACTTCGAGAAGTTATCGGGCCTGGGTGCCGCCGTCCTGCCGGCGAGAGCAGCAAATCCCGTACAGACGACCAAGCTGAGCAGCACGAGCTTGAAAGCGCCAAAGCCGTTGCTCAGCCAAATTCCCCACCGTGGGGCAAACGAGTGTATCAAACAAACCACTGGGTGTGTCAGTTTGCGTTCAGGGCACATTGGGTGTGGTGGTAGTTGAGCTTACCCGTAACGGCAGCAATGGAGATTCCTCTGTTTAGCCAACTGCCATCTTGAGCGTTCAGTGTCGCAGCGCGCAGTAGATAGCTGCTGAAGCTTATGCTGTTACCGGTCGAGATGGCGAAGAGCGCGAACTGGACTGCTTGGGGGTGAGCGTGCGATAGGGACTTCGATGTTGGTATGCTGCGTACTGATTGGCAAATATACAAGTAGCCAGATACCATGGCCGCTGGTATATTCGTTCTAGCTGAACAGAGAACATGCTGTCAACGAAGATTCAAGCTTGGAACAAAGCCCGCCATGACTCACATATAGACTTTCTCTCCTCCTGAACGTGGCAGAGCAGCGCCATACTCTAAGCTTAATTATTTAGATATAGCTCGAAAAGCTACGAATAGATCTCGCAGCAGCAAGGTATAGGATTTTCAATTTACAGGAGCTCGTGCTTCCTATATGCTAAGTCCTAGGATGAGTCCTAATGAGTGCAGCGCAATTACTATAGAATCTATAGCTTATTTACTCTCTCTATAGTTAGTTAGTTATAGCTTTTACTAATTTAATACTTACTAGAAGAAAGAAAAAATGAGAGAGTTTTTAGCTTTCTTTGGCCTCAGTTTTAACTACATAATATTCCAGAGTGTTCTTTCTTACCCGACTAGCTAGATTAGCTAGGTTGCTAACTCCCGTGAGGATCCTTAATTGATGTCCTTATCTGTATTATTCGAAGCTACATCACGACCTGATAGCTTCACCTTTCCATAGCACGTCTTCAATTTCCCGCATATATCTTCAGCTCTAATCCTGGATAGGTAAGGATGAGTCGAGCGACTCATCAGCCTTAAATTCAATGCTTTAGTGGATTTGACGAATTGGGCAAGGAATTTAGTATTACCCCCAGTGGCCCATCTGCCGTCTTGTCAAAAGCTGCGTCAAAAACTAAACTGAATACCCTTTAAACCATGCTCGAATTGACCGCCGCTCCGACGCCCGCCCATTTCCCATTCGTGAATGTCATTTACCCTACAGTTCCATGCTCGTTCATCAGTTGTCTCCTGGCACCCTCTCGTCCCCCAGGCGAAGACACAGTCCCTTTCTACCATTCCCAACCATCTCGAAGACGCTACTGAACTTTTTTTTTCCTCCCGCCTCCTCTTCTCTTCTTCCCCGCCGCAGCACCCTCCCCAGCACCACCCCCTTCCTCATCCGTCCCACTAGCCTCCCCCTTATGAGTAGCCCTCCCACTCTGACTCGCACCGCCTTTCTTCTCATCCGCCTCAACCTTGCCCACGATATCCCTCAGAAAATCCCACTGGTCATCCGACTCCACAACCTGCTTCAGCATCTGCGCCGACACGCGCTTCGAGTTGCGCTGCCGCGCCACCTCGGCGCTCTTCGTCACCAGCGCCACCATGAACAACTCCAGCGCCTTGCCAACAGCAATCGGAGTCTGCTGGGCGACCTTACCCACTTCCTCGTCCGCTTGCATGATGCGCTTGATCCGCGCCGTCGGGAACTTGGTCTTGACCGGCGACGGCTCGATCGTGTTCGTGCTGGCGACACCTCCTTCTCCTGTGGCTGATTCTTGTTGGTGCGACTCCGGCGCGTCTTCAGAGGCCGCCCGCGCGGCTACGACGGCCGCCGCGGCTGCCGCTGCCGCTCTTCTTGGGGGCATCGCGTCGGGATGGTTTGTGGCGGGGAATTGTTGGTCTCGGGAAAGTTCTGCTGCTGTGGCAGCGGCAGCGCTGGGGTAATCGTAGGGCTGGCGCACGTGCACGTGGGCAGCAGTGAGGTGGCTTGTAGAGAACTGCTGAGAGGGAGAGCACTGGTACTGAGCACTGTAGAATTGCTGTTGCTGTTGCTGTTGCTGTTGCTGCTGCTGCTGCAGCTGCTGCGGCTGCGATGGCGGAGCCTGTGCTCCCGTGTAACCGGTACCACTCGTTGAATATCCGGTGGTGGGATAGCTAGCTGCACGAGGGGGGTAGTGTTCGGCCTGCGCGGCTGATGGATGTCCTACACCGACATTAGGTCCCGGTGATTGGCTGGTAATTGGGTACTCTGTAGGGCGTCGGTGTGCGAAGCTATGTGGCGGTGCTGGGATTTGGTAGCGCTGCTGGTTTGGATGAGAGCTTGAAGAATACGGATACTGCAGATGCGAAAAGTCTGGTTTGGATTGCTGTGGTAAAAACAATTGCTGGGTCTCTGTAGGATCCACCTGAGGTGTGGGGCCCGCAGAGTAAAAGGACGACAGGTCCGGGCTCTTGGGCGCATAGGCATCGTCACCGGGCATGCCTTGGACTTTTCGAACGTGTTAAACTAAACGAAACAAACCAGACGCTGTAATCCTGAGGTGGAGAGCACGACAGTCTCACAACAAACCCCAGTTGTGATAGGTCACTTGGTCTAAACAGTTCTGGTGGGGCACAGATGTCGTCGAGGCAAAACTGGACCCGACAGTCCGTCGTGACACAAAGTTTGAGGCGGGGTGGTTGGAGCTACAAGTACTTCTTACTGCAGCCAGGGTAGCAGTGCTTTACTAAGGCCACAGCTGCTGTGGCTGTTCAGGACGGGAGTTTCCCGTCATCAGAACTCGGAGGCGAATGGCGGGGAAAGTTCCGAGGTGGGGCACAGAGGGAAGATGGCACCGGAGACGGAAATGTGACCGCCGGTGGCTCTGGCAATTGACAAGGATATATGGGATGGCAGGCAACGGCGACGTGATGTCAACATAACGCTCATACTATCTGGTACATCAGCTCTGTGATAGCATCACAGTGTAAATGAGATAGTCAAGAATAATCATGCTATGGGGCTGCTTTACACCATGGAAAGCGTGTGAATTTGTGACACTGAATGTTGTGCAGGCTGCAAGTGCGAAGGGCATAGGACGCGCTTTCACCCGTCCTTTCACCATCACGGTGTAGGTCATTACTCAATTAGGTAAAGTGGGTCACCTGCAATCCCCATCACAAATCAACTGGCAATGACTTTGCAGTTCCTCCGGATTTCCAACCTTCACATCCGATACCCGACTGTCCTACTCTCGCACACGGCACTCGAAGGAAACGCATTCTCGCAAAGGTACACTTCTCCCGCACAACCCCAAGGTATCTACAAATAGACCACCGTCCATGATGACCTGCAAGAGCATATGAGAAAAAAGCCAGAGACCAGAACTCAGCCTGGAGTGAAACCGAGCTCACGCTCTGGGGTCATCCACGCTCCAATGTCGATGAAGGCATAAATTACTTGATCTAATCTGAGGACACAACTAGCCAAATATACATATGTTTCGGAACCCCAACCTTTCGAAAACAAGTGTCTAATCTCTCTTGCCCAGGTCACCTTGCCCGTCGACCCAGTCGCCGCCACGGTTATAGGAAACGAAGAATGCGGCAACGGACCATCTGTACCGCCAACAAGCTCGGATCGGCGTCCCAACAATGACACCAACTTTTCTGAGACGGCGACGAAACCCTCGCTATCAGGAACCTGCATCGCTCCATATTCATTGTGATGGGATTTACCTCGACAATTACGCATCTCCACCTCGAAAGGACGCTTCAGCAGCTGGGCGGGACCGATGAATCTGTCATCGAAATCCTGCGGCCGCGAAGTCGCTTCTGCAGTATCCTGTTGCTGTGTCAAGACAAGGTCGCCAGAAAACGAAATCAAGTCAGCAAGTGCAGTCTTTCGAGATGCACGGTATCTCTCTGTGCTTTTACTTGCCACCTCCCAGGTGCAACCACCCACAGAGATTACACCTACCCCTGTGGTGAGTGAGTGTTCGACTCTTCTTCCCTGTTCTCCGCTTCGGAGGAAGCATGATGTGTTAGAACAGGAGAGGCTGCCCCTAATCATCCTGGCCGTGAAGTTCAGGTCCACTTCACACTTGAGTTTTTCAAACCCAAGCGTCGAAAAAGGCATCGACCAAGACAGTAGAGCAACGCTGAAGCTGAGTTTTCAGCTGCCTTGACGTGACACCAGACTGCAAGGGCGGGATCCCCCTTGAATGCGCCGTTATCAGACTTTATTTTCATTCCTTCTCCAGCGCAGCAAGGTGTCTCCCAGAGCAGCGTACACAACCAGCCTTTCACCCTCCCTATGTATTCCTCGCCACCTTCAGAATTCTCTCTTCCATATCTTCAAACGCCCCAAGCACCTTCCCATACTTCTCAAACACACCCTCCTTATACCCATCATCCACCTTCTGGATCGCCCCCTCCTCCTTCCACCGCTTCCCAATCAGCTCATCAAACGTCTCGCCCGCGGCGCGCTCAAACGCCCACACGGCCTTGTACGCGCCGCCGAGGGCGCAGGCGTTGCCGCCGACATCGAGCTTGTACACACCCTCGGCGCCGCCCAGGACGTCGCCCATGATGCGCGCAATGGCCGGGTTCAGCGAGCCGCCACCGACGAGGTAGATGCGCCGCGGCTGGGCGGGCAGGCCCGAGGTGGGCGCCGCGGTGACGAGTTTCTGGCTGCGCAGGCGCATCGAGAGCGCCTGTGACTCTACAATGGCGCGCGCGTCCGTCTCGGCCGGCCACGGCTGCGCGGCTTCTTGAAGAGCGCTGCCGTCCGAGGCGTTGCAGGTGTAGCGCCAGGTGCCGGCGCGGATGTTGGGCACGATCTCCGGGAGGTAGAAGTACAGGCCGAGCTTGGCAGAGTCGGAATCGGACTTGATGTCGAGCGGCGGGGTGGCGAGGGCGTGCTTGTTGAAGGTCGCCCAGGCGTCGGAGCCGTCGGCGGACGACATGGGCAGCGCGTCGCGCACTTTCTCGCGGGCCAAGCCGCCGTTCTTGTAGCACAGCATGAACATGTACTGGCCGGGGGTTGTCGGGTGGTTGAAGAAGTGGTAGCTCGGGTCGGGCTTGTAGACGGGGGTGATCATAAGAAAGGTGGTGCTGGTGCCCAGGCTGACGATGGCGTCGAGCGGGCGGAGCGGGAGGGCGAGGATGGTGGCTGGGTTGTCGCCCGTGAACGGCGCGATATCGCAGTCGGGACTGAAGCCGTACTTGGTGGTGAAGTAGCTGCTGATGCGGCCCATGCTGCCGCCGCCGTCTAGCCTCACCTCGCCCAGTTTGCTACGCAGCTCCGCAACGCCGTCCTTCCCGGCTGTGAGTTCGAGGAGGGGCTCAGACCAGCTGTTGCCGGGAATGTCCCAGAGGTCCATGCCGCAGGCATCGCTGATGTCCATTGGGGCTACGGCGCCGAGGAAGAGCGAGGCGAGAAAGGACGAGACGAGCGAGATGCGAGATGTGGCGGCGTACATGTCGGGGAGCTTGCGCCGGAGGCGCATTATTTGCGGTCCGGTGAAGCGCTGTGGTTGTCAATTGTCATCGTCAGCCGCGTTCACTTCCCTGTCATCCCTGACTAGAACTACTGACATGATGCGCAGCGCTCCCGGTAACCTCGGCTAACCGTTCAGCCGATCCCAGCTTAGCGTCGAACTGGTCGCATTCCTGCTGGGTGCTGTGATCCTGCCAGTTGGGCGCATACGGGTGTGAGAAGGCGTCCTTCAGCTGGTCCACCAGCGCCTTGTCCGACTTCAGCCCGCCAAGAAGGGTCTCGGCCTGGCGGCCCCAGTACACGCTCCCGTGCTGCTGACAGGAGCCGCTGATGCCCCGGATCCGGTTCAGCGGGGTGTTCTTCTCGCGGAGCCGCTGCAGGACCAGGTCGACGGAATCGAGCCACAGGGCCACGGGCGCAAAGACCTCGCCTTCGTCTTCGTTGAGCAGCACGCCCTTCTTGATGCCGTACTTGGCGCCGAAGTCTTGGTCAAAGTCGACTTTGGCGTCGGACACGACTTGGAGGTCGGATTGGACGACGATGGCTGGGTGGATGTGGTGTCAGCTGGGCTTGGACTCGTCTCAAGTAGGAGGGGTCCTGTGAGTGGTTTTGTAGATTTGGCGCACCCTTGAGCTGTTGGGTTGAGAGGTCGAACCCCAAGTAGAGGGGTCCGTCACGCATGATGTACGGCCTTCGGGAAGGTTGCTTTGAGGGTGAAGAGATGGCGGGTGGTAAGTCGGGTATGATTCCAATACTGTAGTAGCCACGCGAATCCCAGTAGCGTTATGGTTCCCAAATCCAAGAACAGTACGAAATCGGATCAATTGGAAAAGCAAGACTTCAGAAAAGGAAGAAAGGAACGAGGGACCATCGTGTCCCTTCCGCCGGGCGTGGGGCAGGCTTCGTCATTATACCGAGCGCATTCAGGAACCCGACATGGCGGGGCACTTTGCCCCACGTCAAACGCTTGACAGCGAGCAGCCTCGTCTGAGAGCATTTAGCCTGATATCAGAGTGCGGTCTCGACCAATGCCGACTTGGCATCTTGCAAAGAAGGCTCCAGTCTGGCGGTACTCCACGATAGGCGCGCTTCTCGTGCTGCCTTTGCCGATGTCGCTCTTGGAAGTTGGCTTCGCAAAAAGAGTCAGGTGCATCCGTAACAATGGACAGTAGAAATCCTCAGATTCCACTCCTTCTCCTTTTCTTGGTCTCTTCTCTTTCATCAGTGAGTGTAAAGACATGTTGGAAATCCATTCGTGTTGAGACAGCCAGCTTAATACAGGCCGATAGATTATATGATCAAGGTGAAATGTTCAAACTTCAGATGGAAATGCAGCTGAGACGGACGCGGGAACCCTAACCCAGGGCTACCTACCGAAGCTACCCTTGTCCGAATCCTGCAGCATGACGGATGGCTAAGTGTGAATTGCCAGCTTGCAGTTGCTCTTCTGAGCCAACCTTGCCCATTTCACCGCCAATGATCTGATCAAGTTGGTTCAAAGGAACCGGACACCGAAACTGTCTGTTCCCCTCGACGGCGGCTTTATCCAACGACAGCGCCATGGACAAGCCAGGACCCCGCGCAACGACCTGAACAAAGTATGCGCGCTCCAGCAGAGTGGTCAAAGTATATCGCGCCGACGCTAGCGTTGCTGGGAGGACTCCACGCAGTCGGCGGCGTCCATGCATCCAGGTCCAGGGCCGAGCCCAGCACGGCCGCGGCAGAGGTGTGTGAGTTCAGAACTATCAACTACATCACCCACACCCTACCACAGCAATGCTTGCGCACGTCCTGGACGAGCCCGACGCCGACCGCCGGCCTCGACAACTCAACCGCCCAAGAGACCATCACGACTTCCGTCGCAACTACCACCGAGGGCCCCCGAGCACCCCAGGACAATGGCACGGCGCAGGAACAGGACACCCAGGAGGAGTTGGCCGCCAGTGCCTTCATGTCGTTTGAGGAGTGGAAAGAGATGATGCTGCGCAAGACGGGGCAGGATCCTGCCAACATCAAGGCCCACAAGCCGCGCGAGCACAGGGAGCGAGACCCCAACGTGAACAGTGGCGACGTCGACAGCTTTGGGGAGGAAGGAGAGATCTCGTTGGACTTTGACGCCCTCGCCGAGAAGGTCTCCGAGATAACCTCGTCCCCTGCTGACGGAGCCGCTCCCGAGACCAACAAGGAGGCCAAGGAGGAGCAGATTCTCTACGACGACGGCAAGACGCAGTATTACAGGAGCAAGGACGCTGGAAAGACCTGCAAGGAGAGATTCTCATACGCCTCCTTCGATGCGGGCGCCACTGTTCTCAAGACCAGCCCGGGCGCGAAGAACGCCAAAGCCATCTTGGTCGAGAACAAAGACTCCTACATGCTGCTGGAATGCCGCACCAAGAACAAGTTCGTCATTGTTGAGTTGAGCGACGACATCCTCGTCGACACCGTCGTCCTCGCCAACTTTGAGTTCTTCTCCAGCATGATCCGCAAGTTCAGGGTCAGCGTTAGCGACCGCTACCCTGTCAAGCTGGACAAATGGGTCGACCTCGGCACCTTCGAAGCTCGCAACTCGCGCGATATTCAGGCTTTCTTGATCGAGCATCCCCAGATCTATACCAAGTATATCCGCATCGAGTTTCTGAGTCACTGGGGGAATGAGTTTTACTGCCCGGTGTCATTGTTACGTGTCCATGGCACCCGCATGCTGGATACGTGGAAGGAACCAAGCCACGACGACGAGCCTGAGCAGATCCAGGTTTCAGATCATGGACCGGCAACGGACACCGAGCAGGTACAGGAATCTGCCGGCAGCGACAATTCGTCAAAGACTGCGAAGGAGGAGACGGCGTTCCCGACCGCCACAGAGATGGGTCTCACCCCATGGTACCCAATTCTGCAGAGTAACTTCTCGTTCGAATCATGCGAGTTGCGCTCGCCGACAACGGCTGAGCCCACTCCTGTCGACTCCGGTTCAAGCAGTCCCCCCGAGGCCCCTGCTGGCGGTCCTGATTCGGTGACGCCGCGTCCATCTGCCGCTTCCGAAGCCGAACCAGGTCCACAGTCAAACAGTTCCCTTTCTGAGCCTGCCTCTCCTGAGGCGTCAGTCTCCCAAGGGCAGTCAACCAGTACAACCCCGTCTAGCGTCTCTTCAGTGTCACCGCAAACTGGTAACAACGGCGCGGCAAGTAATCAAAGCCAGAAACAGCCTGATGGACGAGCGGACACGGCAAATACGTCGTCGTCCGCCGCCACCACCACCTCCTCGTCCTCCCGCAATAAGACCAGCACTGTCTCCTCCGCCTCTGCCTCCCCCACCGTGCAAGAATCATTCTTCAAGACAATATCCAAGCGTCTCCAGAATCTCGAATCCAATACCTCTCTCTCCCTGCAGTACATTGAAGAACAGTCGCGGTTTCTGCAAGACGTCCTGCTCAAAATTGAGCGCAAGCAGATAACACGCGTCGACGCCTTCCTCGACAGTCTCAACAGGACAGTTCTCTCTGAGCTGCGCAGCGTGCGCACGCAGTACGATCAAATCTGGCAGAGCACTGTGCTCGCGCTCGAGACACAGCGCGAGCAATCCCAGCGCGAGATTGTCGCCCTCACCTCGCGCCTCAACATCCTCGCCGACGAAGTCGTCTTTCAAAAGCGCATGGCCATCCTCCAGAGCATCCTCCTCCTGTCCTGCCTTATCCTCGTCATCTTCAGCCGCGGCGGCCTCGCCGCATTTGACAGCGCCTCCTTTCCGGCCTTTCCCCAACCATCATCAAACTCCCCTCCTTTCTACCGCCGCCACGGCTATGCCTACGGTCCGGTCCGATCCGATTCCATATCAGCCATATCGATGCCCGACTCATCGCCTCCTGACGCCCAAGCAGCCACCGACACTGCCAGCAGTACCACCCTCGCCGCCTCAGCCCTCCCGCGACACCTTTATCCATCCTCAACCTCCTCTTCCTTCAAAGACAAGACCCTCCCCTTAACCCCGCCGTCTGAGTACAGCCGCGAGAGCACGCCAGTAAGGACGCACCTGCACCTCCACCGCAGTCCTGAGCCACCATCATCCTCCTCCTTTTGCGGAGAGCGAGACGACAGCAACGGCAGACCGGACACCGATACGCCACCCCGCAGACTCCACACCCAACACCACCACCATCACCGGAATCACACATTACCAGCAGAATCAGTGGCAGGTCCAGGAGTAGGTGAAATCCAACAACTAGAACAACAACGAAGCACAGTCGCAGACGCAGAAATATCTTCCATAGAAATTAATTCCGGGGTTTGTACCGGCAGTCTTGCTGAGGCAAGTACCGCACCACGAGGGAAGGAAGAGGAAGAGCAAGAACTTGAAGGAAGCAAAACACCCCTGGCCAGGACAAGATCAACTCTGTCGCAGGTCGGCGAGCTTAGGAAGCCGCTTCCGGCACTGCCTGAAGATCCGAGCTGAGCACGGGCGGCACTTTTATATGTGTGTATGTGTAATCATGAATGAATGACAAGAGCGTCTTAGCGTATGCCAAACTCAAGTGAAAGCTGACCCTTTTATTTCTGGATGTCAACACGTCCCAATGTATGGTCTCGGTTCAGAGGTCTACCTATCAAGACCGAAACATGACCACGCAAGATCATATAACGTTAACCCACATCAAACACAGGAAGACGCCGCATGAGAAATTAACGCTAAGTAAGAGGCCAAAGCGAGCTCCGGAATCCTAACCATGCGCGTTAACATCCGGGTCATAGTCAGCCCATCTGCCTGTTCCAAAATAAGGCGCTGTGGTATGGGACGACCTTTCCTAGACTACCACCAAGAGCTTCAAGAAACCCTTCGGCATAGTCCAATCCCCGTGTCGTCCCGTTCCTTCACCTGCCCGTGTCCCTTTCCCCTGCGCCTCTCATTTCTGCATACTCCTCTCCCTTCTTTTTGTTTCCCATCGTACAAATCAAGCTAAGGTAGCGCTGCCATAGGATGAACCCCTCCGTTCCCACCCAATATTTGGATGTATCTGCCAAGAAGGTGCATCGCGAATTACGGCAAGGGAATGGCAATACAAATGGCTGGCGTACAAGCTTTGTCGACTTCTGAAAAATTGTCGACCTGTCAAAATAGCAAAGCAAACCAAGGCAGCGAGACTTCGTAGCAGCAAAGATTGCCGTCCCTCAATCTGTCATCGAGGTCGGGATTCATGTTCGGGGCTGTCACATTCCCTGAGGACTGAAGAGCCCATGCGACGCGCCGTAGTCGTACTCCTCAAGGGCGGCAAGCCTGGTTCCTCGGTCGTACTGGGAACGGCGGCGACGCTGTTCGTCGCGAAAGTGCTGGCCGGCGTTGGGCGTGAAGAGCCCTAGAAGCACGGAAAATCAGAAACGGGGCCTGATACGGACCGGAACCCTTTTCACTCACCGACGTGCTCAGCATTCTCACAGCTACGCTTCATCTTTGACTGGTTGTCGGGCTCTGGGAAAGGCTCCTCTTGGCCAGCCAAATCGGGTCTCGGTCCATTCAAGGTGTAGTAGAGCTGATAGGGTGAGCAAAAGTTAAACGTTGTGAATAGGTAACGCACCTTGGGCCGGTAGTGAGGCGCCTCCAACATGACGGAGCTGTTGCGGAACTTCTGGACGAGGCAGTCCTTGCCTTGAATTGCTGAGTCGAGTCAGCATGCGTTGCCCATTCCAGTCGACCAGGAGGACTTACTGGCATAGGAAATCTCCGCAACCTTATCGCTCTTGAAACAGTTCCAGCGTTGATTGCCCCGTGCATTGACAAACTGACGAAGAGTCAGATATTACGATACAGAGAATAGAGTGGAAGAAAGAGAAGTAGAGCTCGACATACGTCGATGATGTCCAACGGCTACTCAACTGTCAGCAGGGATACTCTCCAGAAACCTGGAACGAAAGCAACTTACATCCACAAAGTTGATAAACGCATAACCAACACTAGAGACGACATGTCAGTGGAGAGCAACAGGTCAAGAAAAGGGTGATACTCACTTGCAGTCATTCGCAAAATCGATGCGCAGGTACATGAAATCATACTTCCCCCAGCTCGACTCGTCGATAATGCGCTTGAGCATCGCTTGGTCCACCTTATTGGGAATGTTCCGCAACATGATCTGTGAAGGTGAGCAGCGTGAACTACAATCCAGCACAGCGATTCAGAGGGGAACGTACTGTGGTTCGCACATCAATGCCGTCCCGGATGCGGTTGACATCAACGTGATTGTGGTGACCGGCATTGTTGTAGTAAGGAGACCTGTGGACACGCATGGCGTTCTGTCGACGACTATCCAAGCGCCCATACGGCTGGATGCCTCTCGGGCTGGTGAAACCGCCATGCATTGCCATCGGTGTGGCAGGAGGGGTGGTGTTATACAACGGCGCCATGATGGGCATGCTTCCGGACATGGGGCTCATCGGCGGCATAGGGGCAACACCCTGGCCACGTGTCGGAGTCTGGTCAACGACGAATCGATTCGGTCCAGCAGGGGGGAGGCCGTGGCAGACAGCGGGATACATGGCATACTGCTGTGGAGCATGAAGTCCAGCTGGGGATTGAACGAGGCGGCTAGCCGAAATGCTGGCGTTGGCCTGCTGTGGGGTATCTGAGAGCCCCATTCCCTGGATGATATTGTTCCCGTTCAGGACGGAGCTGCGAGAGGCGTTGAACGAATGGCTGGGGCTCTCCCGCGATCGGTATGTTGCTGCAGTTCCGTCCGGGTGGAACAGATGACACATTGTCAAGAGCAGGTGGACGCCCTGTATGAAACACGATTAGAGAAAACCGAAGAACGAATATGCGAAGCAGCTTACGTTGAGCGTCACCCCGTTGAATCTATGAACAACCGCAATTGCAATGTCGCCGTCGGCAAACTCAGCCAAGGCCTGAAAAGTGTGGTCATTAAAATCGCTCATTCGCAGGAACGCGAATACCTCGCCTTGGGTCTCCAGAAAGGTTTGCACGACTGCCTCAACATGGGTACCGCCAAAGCCGATGCCTTGACTAATGGCCGTAATCTGGACCTTCCCGTCGCAGATTGGGTCGGCCTGAGCTGGCGAAGGACAAACCTGAACCGTATCAGCGCCACCTGTTATGGGCTTGCAAGAAGAGAGAGCCACATACCCTGTAGAATTGATCTGGGGCAATGTACTCTGCACACCATTCGGGAGAACCGAGTTGAATGTTGTCGTGAATATTGCGGGCGTCCCGAACATTCGAGAGATGAAGCCAGATCTTGCCTTCTGTCGACACCGCGTTGCGTTTGCCCTGGCATGGCGATCCGAGACGCTCCAACTTCTGTGCCCAATTATCAGCGACGCAATCAACAAGTAAGTGACTGAAGTTGTGAGCAATGGTAGCCTTACCGCAAGGTAGTCCCCAACATCCGCGATACTGACAGGCTGGGATGCTGAGTAGACCACCAAGCAACGAGAGATTCCCAGCTCGTGGCTGAATTTGGCGGTGGCCTGGGGAGTGAAAAGCTGGCGGTTCACTCCTAGACCGGCAGCATTCATACCAGGCGGCACGTTCAAGGAGCCATGGGCCACAACCGGGACGGAGACCGGCCGAAAGGCTGAGGCGGTCGGCGATAATCTCTGTTCGCCCCTGGGGACAGTCGTGATTGAGACGAAGGGATCCTTTTCTGCAGCAGCCGACAGAATGCCAAAGGTCTCGGGGGGATTGATATTATGCTGGACGGGATGGTCAGGAGGGCCATTGAGGCTACGGGCAGTCGCCAGCTTGTTAGATCTGGCTGAACTGTCTTCGGGCGAGAAGACAGTGAGCTTGGTCTCCGGTGTGCCGTCATGTTTGCACGAGTCTGCGCCGCCACTCGATGAATGGGGAGAAGACGGGTTGAAGGTGGCATCCCGCACTTGCGCCATGGTGATAGTCGCGGTATGTTGTCTCGCCGCTGATTGCCTTCTTGGCGACGCTCGTTGTGTGGAGTGTATAGAAGGAAGCCGACGACGAAGATGAATAGGTAAGACCTGACGAGAGAAGATGAAAAATGAGGGTAATTCTCGCAGGCAGGCCCGGATGAAGAAGGAACGAGAAAGGTGGCGAGTGATCCAAAAGTGCCTTGCCGAAAGAGAACTCGCGATCGGTGCCGGACTTGACCTCTCCAAAATTTGTGAGTCCAGAAGATCCCAAGTTTGGAAGGAGCTTGGGACTGAATATCGGTACGGTATAAGTAGGCTTAGGTTCCTAAGGCAGGAGCTTGCCGTGGAAGGCGGACTAGATGGGTTGATTGATCGGCTGAAAAGCTGCGATGCTGGAAAATTGGCAGGACTCTGAACTCAATGGTTGAAAGAAATCGTAGATGGAGGCTAGAATAAAAAGCTTCAGTCAAAGAAAAAGATCGGATTGTCAGGTAATTTGAAAAAATCGCGGGTCTGAAGTAGGGCTGATTGAAGTCACAATAGCGCCCAACACGCGAGACTGATGCCTCGAGGCAGGCCACCATCAACCTGAGCTTCCCGGTTCGTTGCCGCTGGTCTAACCGAAATGGAACCCTTGTGGGAGCACCAGCCAGATATTTGCTTGAACTCAAGTTCCTGGGAAGGTGCCGAGCAGCAAGGTGCCTCACATCTAATTCGAATGCAGAATCAAACGATCTGAAAAGACAATAGTTCCAGAGCCGCATCCAGGCAAGCGCCGTGCAAGAGACCAGCCAATGTGTGTACTTAAATCACTAGTCGACTCAAGCATGTTGACTGTAGAACTTAGGTGCCTTTATCAGGTTCTCTTTGATTTTCAGTGATGTTCGTTGTTTGATTTTTCAACCTGGTGGAGAAGTTGAAGCCCCTGGACGGTGTGGGCGAGACTGGCAAGGGCATATTATTTTGAAATCCAGTGTAAATATAGGTAGTTATTTGGGTTTCGAATGAAGTATGCGATACACTTACAGATATCAAATTCTTTTGCACCACAAACTGTTCCAACTCCCCAATCCTCATTTGAGCTGTTTGGCTTGCAAAGTCACGAAAAGGGGTAAAGCGCCAAGCCTTTTTTGAATCAACCTGAAGAGCAAACAATGACCAGGGAACGTGACGCACAGACCGCCGGGGCGCACTGAGCTGTCAAGCATCAACAGGCTGGCACGGAACTAAAAGGTACGTATCTACTATCTAGCTTTGCGACTGGGGAAGCTGACGACGACACGCACTTATAAACCACCCCTCCAGGTCATCCACCTTCAGGCATCATCTACTGGGAGCAAGCAGCAAATGAGGCCCTGAGGCCCGCGGTTCAAAATGCCGAGGAAAGCCCAAACGTGGGACGACTATGACTCGGCTGTGACCCAGGTCTGTTGCTTCGCGATGGTGCGTTCCTGGCTCATTTCCTACCCATTGCTAACCATGGCTGCCTTCCCAGATCATCCTTGCGCCGTCTGACTCGGAATTCGTCGACCAATTGATTCCCGTGCTGAAAGATGCCACGACTAGCAGCCGCATCGGGTCGCTCGTCCAGAGCCTATCCCAGTATGCCGAGGAATGCGAGGCCGACATCGAGCGCATCGGGCTGACCAAGCACGAGGAATTCTTGGGCTCCGTCAACCAACTGCAGAAAGTGCGCGAGGGGACCGTGGCCCTGACCGCCGAAATTTTGGACCTCAACCAATCGATCCAGGCGAGCACTGAGAAGCTCGCCGAGCAGAAGCAGGCCCTGGTCACCACTCGCGGCGTGCGCCAGAACATCACCGAAGTGTCCAATGCCCTCGAGGAGTCACTCAAGATCCTGCACGCCGTCAACCATGCCCACGACCTAATTCGCAAAAAGAAGTACTACGCCGCCCTCAAGTCCCTCGAAGACCTGCAGAACGAGTACCTGGTCCCCATCATCCAAAACAAGTATGCGACCCAATACAAGCTTGCCGATATGATTCAGAGGTCCATCCCTGCATCGCAAAAGCAAATATCCGATTTCGTCATGTCCGACCTCAACACCTGGCTGTTCCGCATCCGCGAATCGTCGCAGTTTCTAGGCGAGGTGGCCTTCTTTCACACCCAGGAGCGAAGGGCGAGGCAGAAGGAGCGGATGGAGGGGAATGAGCTTCTGGGTCGCTTCAAGCTGAACTCTGCCATCGAGCTGGTCTTTGATGAGGATAACGAGTTCGATGTTCTCTACAACGATGAGCTCCAAGTCGACTTCACGCCCTTGCATGAAGCGTTGCATATCCACGATGCGCTTGGGCAGGTCGACAGGTTCCGCGCCGAATATGCGGCCACGCGACGGCAGCAGAAGGACCTAACATTGCCTAGTTCCGAAAGCCTACTATTCTCTAATGACGACGACGAGTCGCTCAAAGGACTGTTGGAAAGTGTTGCCGGCTTCGCCATCATTGAAAAGGCCACTATGCAGCGCGCTCCATTGGTTCGTTCGTCACTTGATGTAAGTATTCATCGAGCGTGCTGCCAAAGTGACTCGCTGACAGGAGCAGGTTGACGAGCTCTGGGACTCGATGTGTCAGGCAATCGTCCGCATCAGCTCTCGCTCATTGGAAGGCGTGGGCAACCCGGAACTGCTACTCAAGGTCAAGGATGACCTTGCCCTGTTCATCCAAACAATGGAGGTGAGTCTGCTCATGATGCAGCACAGTGGCTACTTCTGACAGCGCGCTCAGGGCTGGGGCTATTCTGCCTCCATTGTGGACAACTTTCAGCTTGTGCTATTCGACAAGTATGCCGAGTTGCTGCAGCGCCGCTTCGGTGAAGACTTCCAAGAGGTCAGTGGACCAATTCGAGTGGCTCGAGCTGGCTATTTGCTGACAGGCGCATAAGATCGTATCGACGGACGATTACATGCCAATGAACATTAAGAACCGCGAAGAGTATGACCTAGTATTGAGCAGCGCCTGGTTTGTTGATGAGAAGTCCCCGGAGGAGGTTACGTATGTACCCTTGATGACTTGAGACGGTGCTGCACTATCACAGTGGCTAATTGTACATAGGTTTCCCACCGTCTTCCCGTTCTCCAAGATGTATCCTATGTGTTGCAGAGAGATCAGTCGGTTCGCGAAGGAGTTTCTGGACTTTACACGGGAGAACTTCGACCATCCCAACACTGTTGACGAGACGCTCAAAAAGGTATGTAGACCCGTTTTTCGAGCGCGGAAGTGTTGCTCACCGAACACGCTGCTCAGACATTAGACGAGCTCCTTACGGATATTGTCTGCCAGTCCCTTGTTGAACGATTGAATTCGCAATACCTGGGCCAGATTGTACAGATCCTGACCAACCTAGAACATTTTGAGGTTGCCTGCCAAGAACTCGAGAAAACGTTGATCAAAGCTCGATCATCCACATCGGCGGGCGGCCCGGTGACTCTCAGGGCAACAGAGATGTTCAGGAGCCACAAGAAGACGGCCGAGAAACGCATCTTTGAGCTCGTCAATTCCAAGATTGACGACCTAGTGGATACGTCTGACTATGACTGGTGAGCCTGGCCTGCTTTTTGTACTCTCTCAAGTTCACCACGTACTGAGTCTTCAACAGGACCGCGACATCCAGACCCACCCAACCCAGCAGCTACATGGTCACTTTAACTCGCTTCCTAGAGAACATCATGGGCTCCACCCTCTTGGGCCTTCCCCGCGAGATCAAAGAGCTCATCTACTTTGACGCTCTTAGCCACGCGGCCAACAAGATCCTCGTGAGTCAACCTTTCCTATCACCGTTCCTGCAGCGAATCACGACTTAACAACAGCCCTAGGCCCTGCCTCTGTCCCCCGACGTGAAGAGGATCAACCTCAACGGCGTGGCCGCCATGGCGCTCGACGTGCAGCACCTGACCGACTTTGTCAGCAAGCTCGACAACGCCTTCATGCTGGAGCAGAACCTGGACGAGCTGCAGCAGACGGTGGCGCTGATGCAGTGCGAGAACCACGAGGAATTCTACGACATTTCGATCCGCAACAAGAAGTACGGTCGCGTCGACGCCATGAACGGGCCTATCTTGCTCGAAAAGTATGTCTTTGTTGCCGCTCCCCTATTTGCAAACTGCGGCATGCTGTTTCCCTACACCTCGTGTGAAATGGCAGAGGAATGCTAACTGTATTTCAAGGCTCACCCAAACGGTCGAGAACCCAATCCGGACAGCGCAGTTCGCTAACTTCGGGTCGCGCTTTGGTTTGAGGTGATGATGACCTTGCCGTTTATTCTCGACATGACGATACGATACCGCAGCTCCGGAATTGATGTGAATGAATGAGGAAAGTCATAATCTGGTCGTGAGAAAAACTAATCCGACGCGCCCCTGCCGCCTGCCTGCCTTCCTTCTTTCAAAGCTTTCAATTACCGACAACAGAAGGTTAAGAGTAGTCCTAATTCCCCAGTCACAAAAGAGGTCGCCGAACCCATACACCCCCTATGGAAAATATCAAATTCGTCTCTGCACCGGAGCCAGATTCGCAATTTGGGTGACACGGGAATCAACCGCTGCCCCATCCGCCGCTCCGCTTTGCAGACGCCACCTCAAACCTCGGGCTCACCGTGGAAGAGTTGGAAGGATAGTTCCGCAAGGCAAGGGTCCAGGATCCTATCCAGCTTCTTTTCAACGGCCGGCGAATCTTGCTTTAATTTCGGCACTTGTTCTGCACCCGCTTCGCTCTTAACAGCCGGCTGCACAGGCTTGAAAGGATTGCCGCCCGCCATCAACGCGTCTTTTACCTCCGCCCACGCGTGGTCTATGTACGCCGCATGCTGTATACCTGCTTCACTCGTCATGGCGGATTCGATAGGTTTTGGAGGACCAAGATGCGACATCGACTCCAGCACTTCCGCCGCCGCGTGTTCCGCAGCCTCCTCGCTCTCCGCTCCCGCCTCCTAGGCGCTCTACTGGTCCAGTTAGCTTGATATTTCCAACGTGGCTTGCGGAATGGCAAAGGAAGGGACAATGGAACCAAAGCAAGCAGCATCTCGGTTCTCTGAACATACCTGCTGGGGAGGCATCGTCCCGTACCCGTACATGTCGTCGACATTGTACATCTGGGCTTGAGGTTGGCCATACGCGGGGGCGCCCGGCTGTACTTGGCCGGGGTACATCGTCTGTGGCTGGCGATAGTCGGCTTCGGGGCCCATGTTGTGGCCGCCAAGGGTGTAATCGGGTGCGGCCATCGGGTGTTGGCCGGCGTGGTTAGGGGCGCCAACGCCCGGGATCTGGGGCTGCGGGGCAGGGGGTTGGGCGGCGGTAGCCTGGTTGGTTGTCCGCTTGGCGTGGGACGACGCTTCCTCGCGGGGGACAATGTCGATGAGGAAATCGAACATGTCTGACTTGGCGAGCGCCGAGGCGATGTCGGACCGCTGAAGGGTGCGCCGCTTGTTCTCCTCGGCGTGTATCCAGGCGCGCATGGTTAGCTCGGTGATGAAGATGTCGCAACCCTTGGCGAAGAGGATCGGGGCCTCGGCTGAAATCATCTTGACTTCCGGATCAGCCTTCATGACCTTCTTTATCCGCGCCAGCGGTAATTGATGCATCTTGTAGTCGTGCGTGTCGCTCTCAAGGTGTTGGATCGTGTGCTGCCAATAGGCTGTAAGAACATCCTTGTAATGGCCGGTCAGACCCTGATGCACGTTGGCCCATGTCCCTGTGTAGAGCTCGGATGGCGCGAAGCCTTGAGAGGAGATCTGGGACGATGGTGATGTCAGTAACTATGCGCATAATCGGGATGAGGCGCAACACAACGTACCGCTGCGCTGGCACCGTAATGGCCTCCCAGGCTGAGGTCGTAAACGGGCATCTGCCGGGCCTGCTGGCCGTGCTGCGCCGAGGACGGGTTTTGCGGGTCCATGGTCGCGTCGGTCCGGATACTGGGTGCTGCAAGGCGTGCGTCCTGGCGCTCTCTAAAATGCGCAGGCAGCCAAGTCGATTCGTGGAGTTGTACCAAAGATCGTTCCGATGTCGCTCGATTTTGTTTCGTTTTCTCCGCTTTTTTGCTTCACGGGACTCCGAAGCTGTACGCTGACTTCACCTCATGTTATGTTAGCCCATACATTTGTTTACTTTGCGACTGGCGCGGCGTGCCCGTCTACGGTCGCAACCACGTCCCCTGACTGTTCGGTTGATTGGGCGGAATGATTGGGTGAGCGCGTCTGGGAAGGGGAGCGAATGGGTGGAGTTCAATAGGTTGCTTCAACGACACCCGTCGTCCGGCCGAAACGACGCGAGCCACTCAGCTCTCGTTGCAAGCGGTATTAGATGATTGGTGAGATTTGTCTGAATGGGCGGATTGGTTGAAGACCTGGAATCAGGTGATGGCGCAGCGGCTGCCAGTGATGATAACAAAGACGAGATTCGCGAAACGTACCTCCCGGGGGCTCTCACGACGTCGGATTTGGATGGCGAAACCTCAAGTTCTCGAGAGATCGGGGAAGCGGTGATTTGTGCAAGGTCAGTCAGCTCTGGGAAGTTGGGCATCAGCGTGGGCGGACAACAGACTATGGCGCAGGTTCTAGCTCCGAACAGAATGCGGGCGGGGATTGGCTGCCTTTGCTGCCCAACCCGGGTGAAGTGCCAAGTTGCGCATCATCATTTACCCGTCACCGGGACGCACGAGCCACCTAAGCCCATGCAACCCAAGGATACTTTTACAACATGGGCAACGGTCACCACCATACACCGAAAAAGCCAAGGTCATAGGCACCATCTCGTTTCTTGAGAAGGAGAATAATCCTCACTTCAAGTCGCGCGTTTTCAGATATCTTAGTATTTCTTAGTATTAGCCAGCGGCATGGTTGGGAAAACGTCCGCCGGCAGCGCAATCGACGTAACCTGCAAGATGACTCTGATCATCCCAACCTTGAAGAAACACGCGGCCGGAAACGGATCCTTACACCTGACGACCTACATACGATGGAGAAGCTGATCTGGATATACGGCTTCGATGCCCGAGTTCTTTCCTGGCAATCACTAGCCTACGAGGCAGGCGTTGCAACTGACGTTTGCTGGCGAACGATTCAACGGGCACTTGGCACGCTCGGTTACCGTAAATGTGTAGCGTGCCGGAAGGGATGGGTCTCGTAAGCCACTGTCAAAAAGCGTCTCAAGGCTGCAACTATAGCCCTTCGGGAACGCCTAACTCCTCAGCATTGGCACGATATCCGGTAGTCCGACGAGGTACATTTTTCTCTTAGACCTGAGGGCCAGGCTATGATTATTCAGAAGCCTGGTGAGCGGCACTGCCCAGATTGCATTCAAGAAGCTCGGGAGCCGGAACCAAAGCATCGTAAACGACTTCACGCCTGTGCAGCGATCGGGTGGGATTTCAAGTCAGAACTCTACTTCTACGAGGTCCCAGGGAATATAAACGGGAAGATATCTATGCGAGTATATCGGGACGAGATCCTTAAAGAAGGTTGTTGCTTCCTGGCTTGCGCGTGGAGATCAGTTTGTTCTAGAGGAAGACGGCGACTCTGGACATGGTACGGGCAAGAAGAACATCGTCCGAGATTGGAAGCAACACCACGTTTAAGATACTTCTTCAACACGGCTGGATCCCCAAACCTCTCTCTGATTGAGAATGCGTGGAACGCCGTCAAGCAGTATATAGCCAAGTTCCCGACGTGGACTAAAGAGGAGCTTCAGAGCCTGGCGATCGAAGCGTGGAATTCGCTATTCCAAGAGTCGATCAACGGCTGGATTGACTCAATGGTACAACGGATGCAGGATGTGGTTGAGGGAGAGGGTAAAATGACGGGCTATTGAGGAACTTATCTTCGTAGGTAAAAATGCTAAGCAATTGAGGTACCTAGTATGTGTTGGTTTTTATGAGTGCGGCTTTTTTTGTCACCCAGCAGGGCTGGCTTGGCACCTGCTTCAAACAGCCCCACCTGAACCTTGGCGTCTGGATGGATTTTTTTGCGTCGCTGAGCTCGTTACCAAGCACTTTCATGAAGATTTGCAAGTCTTCCAGCTCCTCACCCGGGACTGTCGCCATTAATCCCGTCAGTATGGCAACCAAGTTTGGCTTGCCAGACGAGGAGATCGACCGGCTCCTATCGGAAGCTGAGGCTCGGCTTTCTGGCAATGGCAGCTCAAACACCGTAGCTGCTGTGCCCGCCGCGAAGGCACCTGCAGTCATCGCCGCGCCTGCTGTGGCAACCGCTGGGGAACAGACCGCTGTTCCGGCCAAGAAGTCTGAGAAGCTGTCGGTTCGCGTTCCCCAGCTCGCCCAGAAGAAGAAGGTATGCGCATGCTTTCTTAGCATTACCCCCTCCCATGTTCTCTGATGAAAGCAAACCCCAATCTATATGACGCCGGCAACATCCCGTCATGGGACTCGAGCCGGCACCACAATGATTTCCTTTAGTTCATAGTTACTCTGACTGAACACTTTCTTTGGCTCTTTGGATCGCCTTATTCTCATTGCATGGCCCATGGTGCTGACGAAAAGACAGGGCCCCAAGGATGCTTTAGAGGACTGGTTCAATCTCCCGCGGACTAATCTCACGCCCGAATTGAAGCGGGACCTTCAAGCGTTGAGGATGCGCGACGTGGCTGCCATGGGCAAGCAATTCTTCAAGAAAGATTCGCGCAAGGCCTTCATACCTGAATACAGCCAAGTCGGAACCATCATCGCCGGCGCCACAGATGGCATGAGCGGCCGCCTGACACGCAAGGAGAGGAAACGAACGATTGTCGAAGAAATTCTGGCACACGATAACGTCAGCAAGCTCAAGAGCAAGTACCTGGATATCCAGGAGAAGAATAAGAGCGGGAAGAAAGGTTTTTACAAGAAGTTGGTGGCTGGTCGAAGGAAGCGCAACGGTTGAAGCATTTTGATGGAGATGGATTTTGACCTTAAATTGGGCAGGGCTGGCCGTGGATGGACACTGGCGCCAGTTTGCCCTCGCACAAGCGGCCGGACCACGAGTTGAAGGCTCAGCTGCCTTCAAGCCTCATTGGTGCTGGCGGCGCGACCTCCAGGCCGCACTGAGGCCGTTTCAGGGCCTGGGGAGGGTGCTAGCAGACTCGGACTTGTTCTCAGCACGTCTTGAGCCGCAGATAGGCGAGCCGTTGGGCGCGTGCGAAACTGGAGGAAGCAGAGGATATTCCTGGCATCGGAGTGGTGTCATCCAATCTACATCCTGCCACAAAGGCACTGTCAACTAGACCATTTCAAACCAATGCAAACAAAGTCTCCTCTGATTCTGTGACCGGTGTCCTACGATATTGGGGGTGATGGTGATCCTGCTGACTTTGTTGACGTTCCCGTCTTGACTGATGCTGCTATCGATAAGAACCCTGGCCAGTTTCGCGCCAAAAACTCGGCTGAACCATGAAAGAGCGCGATGCACTCGACATTCACACCACTAAGGTCACGCAAAGATGAATCCGGCGCGGTTAATACGGCCATTACAGCCGCTCATCCAGGGGAAAATGGTATGATTTATGCTAGACCATCGTAAACGGAAGCTGTTTCTGACTTGCTTAACTGGTAGCCCCCCGCAGCCCCTCGCTCGGCCGCGGCCGGTATCCCACGAGCCTCGACACAGCTTCGCACCTATGCTTCGGTGTGAGTGAGCCATGAGCCATGTCTAACTACCCCCGGGGTCTCTAACCGAGTTATGGCAGAGAAGCACCTAGGGCCGAGAAGGACTCGAGGTCAGCCAGCCCGACTTCCATCCGTCGAACCATCAGCGCCAGCCCCCTGAAACCAACGCGTGACAAACTGACACCTTGAGCGCAGCGCCAAACCGGCCACCGCCGAGTCTACGAAACCCGACCCCCCGCGCGTGTCTCGCATGCCCCGCGCTCTCGAGGCGCTGTACCTAAAACCGCTCCGGCGCGAGGCCGAGTACGGCGTGCCCTCGTGCAATCTACAGCTCCGCTCCTACTCGATACGCAACCTCGAGTTCTTCTGCGACTTTGCCCTGCGCGCGGCCTATTACCTGGGCCTCCCCGCGTTTGGCCCCGTGCCCTTGCCGCGCATGGTCGAGCGGTGGACGGTGCCCAAGTCGACCTTCATCTTCAAAAAGAGCCAGGAGAACTTTGAGCGCATCACGATGCGCCGGCTGATCCAGATCCGCGACGGGCACCCGGAGACGGTCCAATTGTGGCTGGCATTTTTGCAGAAGCACGCGTACTATGGAATTGGTATGAAGGCGAATGTTTGGGAGTTTAGCAAGCTGGGTATGCGGTTTTCTTACTTTTCAGTGTGCTTGCGCAAAGATCATGGCTAATCCTCCATGAACAGATGTCGGAAAGGAGATGGAGGAAAATTTGGAACAGACGGAGAAGCTGCTGAAGGACAAGTGGGAGCACTTGGGCTACATGGATCTGCGGCCCGAGCACCAGAAGCCCAAACCCAGAGGTCCTCGCGAGCAGCTGCCTGCCGCGGCAGACCTGGAGGAGTACCTGGCCTCGGAGAGAAGGAGGCTTTTTGGCGGTCGGTAGAAGAGAAGCCGTGTGGTTTTTGAATGTATCAATATCTGACGGGGCCGCATGCCGGTGCCAGACTCATCGGTGTTGTACAAGTACATGTACGAATACACGTGACGATTTGGTGTGTTGCAGATGCCCTCGAGTTCAATAACCCATTTTGAGCAAACTTACTTCCTGTAACCAACCATATCAAGGTGATTCCTCACAAGTGAGACGCCGGCACATACGTTCTGGCCTTGGCGTCGCTGGCTTGTCATAGTTGGGGAACGGAGGTTTTTGGTTTCGGTCGCGGCCATCTCTTTTTTTGCCAGACCCACTCCATCAACTTACTTCAATCTCACAACAAACCTTGGTCAGTCAAATAAATTTCAACAAAAGTTGATTCACACATGCAGCATAGACCGTTCATGAAGGCTTGCATACATAATCGACGTTTCTGTACGAAATCCCAATGTTTCGGTGCTGCAGGGCCGGGCGCAATGCCCGGCTGCTCGTTTCGAGCAATGCACGTGGCACTCCTCTTCGCAGATCAGCATCAACAGCGGCATTGGCAGACGACTCGTCAGCGGCATCCGAGTCAGCAATTGATACAATAGGGAAGAAGGTTGTGACAAAAACGATAACAAAAAGCACAACCACCACCATCACCACAACGGTAACGGAAGCTCCTGAGGAACCAGAAACAGATACGGCATGGCCCACCCGGTCCTCGAGACCATACTCTCCTTCCTCACTGTACCCCGAGATCAGGAGGGTCAAGACTGATGCCCTCCCAACGGCGATGCCACATTTGCATTCTGTGACGAGTCCAACTGCTGCCTCTCCAACCCCAAGCCAAGCGGGATATGGGAGTAACAGTGAAGACGAGACTCCAGCGAAGAAGAGTGCACCATTATCCAACGGCAATTCCAAAGTCATATTCTCGGGCATTCAGCCTACCGGCATACCGACCCTAGGCAACTACCTCGGTGCCCTGCGCGAGTGGAAACGCCTCGAGGACAGTGCCGAACCCGACACTCAACTGTTCTTCTGCATCGTTGACCTGCACGCCATCACGGTCCCGCGTCCCAGAGAGCAGCTGCTTGAGGACAGGCGTCAGATGCTGGCCAGCCTGCTCGCCATTGGGCTCACGCCGACGCGGTCCAACATCTTCTTTCAATCGGCGGTGCCTCATCACGCGGAGCTGCAGTGGATTCTGAGCTGCACCGCTTCGACGGGTTACCTGTCGCGCATGACCCAGTGGAAGGTAAGAACATGAGCTGAGAGACCGAAGGCTGCAATATCTCAGAGACTGATAGCCGTCTTTCCATTTTAGAGCAAGATGAAACTGGGCGACGATGCATCCCTGGACAACCCAACGGCGAGGAAGTCACTCAAGCATGGCCTCTTCTCGTATCCGATTCTCCAGGCGGCAGACATTCTTGTCTACCGTGCCACGCACGTCCCTGTGGGCGAGGACCAGCGCCAGCACATCGAGTTTGCCCGAGAGTGCGTCACCAACTTTAACCACACCTACAAGACGGACTACCTGGTGGCGCCCCAAACCCTGCTCTCTCCCTCCAAGCGCATCATGTCTCTCACCAACCCGACTCAGAAGATGTCCAAATCCGACCCTTCACCCAAGTCGCGCATCCTGATCACCGACTCGCCCGAGGACATCAAGAAAAAGATTCGGCTTGCCGTGACCGACCTGAACGAACTGGTCACCTACGAGCCGGCGGAGAGGCCAGGCGTAACCAATCTCATTGAGATCCTGGCCAGCTTTGATCCCCAGGGCCGTACCGCGGCACAGCTGGGCGAGCAAATGAAAGGCCACAAGGTCGCCGAGCTGAAGCAGGTGGTCGCGCAGGTTCTCTGCGATGAGCTGGCCGAATTCCGGGACCGCTATCAACATTTCATGGCCCATAAGGAAGAGCTCCAGGAGGCCGCTAGCCAAGGTAGTTGGGTGGCGAGAGAGCGGGCAAAGAACAGCATGAGCGACATTAGAAGAATCATTGGATTGAATCGGAAAATGTATTAGATATGCGAGTCGAGAAGTTCGCCATGTTCCTGTTGCTACGCCAAATATGTACAATAATAGCTGTACATGAGTGTGTAACTTGTATTTACAGAACATGTGAGCTGGAGAATCTATTCTCAAGTTCCGGTCTTTTTACCCCCTAAACGCCTTCCTGGTACAAGTGGTTGCGAGACTTTGACAACACAGTCAAGACCAAGGCAACGGTGACACCAAGAACCCCTTGTCTTCCTCCTGTCGTGCGTTAATAAGACCATCCAATACCATTCGCAACGACAACCCGTTCACAACCGGCTACTGCGTCCAGATTTACAATGGGATTCAGAACTTATATACAAATACTAGGCTTTAGCACACGCTAGCTTGACCCTTTTTGTATTGTACCTATCTGTACTCAACATTATCACGGCACAGTCCCCCACTCGAGGGCCAGGTTAGTCCGGTTCCTGCTCTCACGTCTACTGACCGCTTCCACTTCCAATCAAGTCTTCCCAACGGGCCAGCTTTGCTTTGACTAAGAGGCATATGCATAATTTAACCCACGGCAAGCCATCCAAAATTCCCTCACCATTTGGTTCGTCGCCCGCGCACCTCTCAACCTGTTTTTTATGAACACATCATCAGCAACTCAGAGTTTACTTTATACACCACAGAAAAATCTCAGAACAGAACGCAACAACTTACCCAACAACCCTTTTCACAAACCCAACCCTCTCCTCCACCCCAACCCTTTCCGCCCCGGGAAATGGCAACGCCGCACCAGCATCACCGCCAACCGGAGACGCCAGCAGCGAACTCTGCAACCAAGCCTGCGCCTCGGGCCGCGTCGTCACCAGCTTCTTGAGCGGCTCGCACAGCTTGTCAAGCTCGCTGCGCGCGGCGTGGCCGCCGATGTTGCGGACGAGCGAGGCGGCGAGGAGCGGGCCGAGGTGGTTCATGGCGGACGAGACGGTTTGTTGTAAGGCCGGGTTGGGGGGTTTCAGGGTGATGAAATTTGCCTGTTCAAAAATAAGGTTGGTTAGTTAGAATTGGTTGTTTGTTTGAGGAGGAAGTGAGCAGGTGAAGGTGAGGGAGTGGGTGTGAGGGGGGGAAGTAGGGGGGGAAAGGCAGGAAAAGGGGGAACTTGCCCAGAACTCTGCTGCGGCGCCCTTGGGCAAGGGTTCGGTCCCGTCGAGGACCTTGATGGAGAAGAGGAAGAAGAACTCGACGAGTGGGGCGTGGTGCGGCTGAAAGAGGACGTCGGGGTACTTGGACATGAGCTTGTCGACGAAGGTGATGCCATTGAGGGAGATTTCGGTGTCGGCTTCGGGTTCTAGACGGACGTTAATCAAGGATCCTCAGGGGGCAACAACGAGGAAAAAACAGACCTGGTAACGTTTGGAGGATGGAAATCACCCATGGCAAAAGCCTCGTAAGTTGCGCCGGCACGTAGACCTTGGGTCCCCGGTACAGACTCCCGACGAACGAGCACGCCGTGCTCAGCAGGGTTCCAACCCGCGGTGTCTCGAACTGCTGCTGGACGAAGTAGTCTGTGACCACCTCCGGCGGAAAGACGAACGGCCCGGGTTGGGTCTCGGAGAAGCCTGCGCGGAAGATGTTGCAGATGATTTCTACTACCTCGCCGCTGGTGTTGAATACCCTCTGGACTTCTACCAAAACCCGCATGATGTTCTCTTGCAAGCCGACGAGCCGGCTGTTTGCGCTTTGCGACTGCGGTTCGCTGTCTATGTCGACCAGGTACTCTTTGACGTCCTGCATGCCTTTAGCCATGCTGCTGAGACATCTCATGGATCTCAGAGCAATTTGTAGTGCAATCTCTTCCGTCGGGGGTATAGACTGTGGGTTGGGCGGGTCGAGGCCTCTTAGGAAATCCGGATTTTGGAGGTTCAGAAGGCTGGGTTCTGCTTTGAGCTGCACAGCGAGCTCAAAATCTCTCTTGAGAATGGTGTAAAGCTCCTCGAACATGCCCAGTGTCTGGGTCTCGTCTTGGATGGCTTGGATGATGGAGGCAATTGACAGGACGATCCTCTCCTCAGCCAGCGAGTCGAGCACCTGGCTGCTGCGGATGGTCTGGTAGTGCCTGATAAAGGCGCCGGCTTCACCAGTAAGGATGGAGCGGCATGAGGAGCACAGGGTAGAAATGGACCTTGCCGACGGACCCCCTAGAACAGAATCGCCGACGGCAGCGAAGAGCAAATTGAGAGCATTGGGAAGGTACTGAGCATTCCGCTCAAAATATTCGCAGTACCGTTCAATCAGGGCCAAGCCTGTCTGGCGGAGGCGAAGAGGGATCGGGCCTTGGGCCTGGCCTAGGAGATCAAAGAAGGGAGAAGCAAAGATCTTGCTTAGCTCGTGATCATAAGTGGCCTCGTCCGAGATGCAGTCGGATAGGGCACCCAGGCAGAAGGCCGAGGCTTCGAGCTCAGCCCAGGACTGGGCAGCAAGGGCTTGGAGGAACAAGCCGGCAAAGAAAGAGACGAGGCTCGTACCCTCGAGGGTAAAAACGGATTGGAGCATGTCTGTGACATCCTTTCTCGCATCGCCGAATGCGACGCGCTCGGTCGAGTCCCATTCTGCGAATATCTCGGCCGGGGGCCACTGGATCTTGCACCAGCACTTCATGACCACGGCCTTGAGGTGCTGCTCGGCATACGGCCTCCAGTCTCGTGCAGCCTCCTCGTCCGAGTATGTGGTGTCGATCATGGTCTCGATAAAAGTGGACCAGAATTCGAGAGCCGGGACGAAAATGGTGTCGTCGCCGACAAGATAGCCGTCGGCGGCCAATAGGCCGCTCAGGCGCACAAGAAAGCCCTGGGAGCGGCTGTCAGTGCTGTGCATGAGATCCTGCACCTTGGCGTCTCCGTAGGCCAGCATCAGCAGGCCAAAGGAGATGCCCTCCTCATGATGGTTGCCGTGGATAATGCGCTGGTAGCGCTCAGCAGCCCAGGGGCTTTCGAAAAGGGCAGCAAGAGTGTCGTAGTGCTCGTCGGTGAAAAAGGAAGAGTAGTTGCCAAGGGCGTCAGTGAAGAGCTCGGCGGTGGGCTGGAAGAGGTCTTCATCTGCGAAACAATTGATGGCAGCGCCAACCAGCTGTCTCAGTGGAGCAACAAGCTCGGGGTTGGGGGATGCTCGCTGGGCATACAGAATCCAGACCTGGCCAGTTAGCTTGCCTCCTTTTGACAAGTTGACTGCACTGGGGGTGATGCATACTTGAAAGCAGCTGAGCGCCTCTCCTTGAATCTTCAACTCGGGACTATCTGGCGGCGGGGAGAAGCCGCGGGCGAGCAGGCAAACCACATCGGAGCCGTTCTTGACCAGCCGGCCGTGTACCTGGACACTAATTCGGTCAGATGCTTTGGAGGATTTAGCTCATGGAAGTAAGATGCTCACAATTTGGGTGCGGTCATGTCGGTCTTGCCAACCTCTTCGACCAACGAGGCCGCGAACCATGTTGCCAACCTCAGCTTCTGGCGATCCAGCTTGGTGACGAGGATGTCTGTTCCGAGGGCATCGTCCAGGCTATCAATCGGAGCGCCGTGGCCTAGATCCAGGCAGTAAATGAAGTGGCGGATGCAATTCGGCCACAGATGGGAAAAGTGCATGAAGTAGGTGACCAGCGCAGTACACAGCTTCTTGATGACAAAGTTGGCTGCGCCGTCGGCAAGGGACTGAATGACCCATCCGATGAGGTTCTCGAGGAGGCCCTTGGCATCGTCCTCGCCCAGGCCGGCGCTGTCAACTAGTCAGCTGCAGTGCCTCGGCTGTTTCCTTGTAGATCATATCATGCATACGTATCCCTGTTGAGCTTGATAATGAGCGTCAGGGCAGCATAGAACCTAATATTATCCTCTCGGTGAGAGATTAGACTCTGGGCGAGCTGCCATCCTTCGGGCGACCTCTGCAGCCGGTGCAGAACCTCCTGGATCTTGGAGATGGTCTCGGGAGGGTTTGGCTGGTAAAGAGCCCGGATTAGCTGCCAATGCTGTCAGTTTCTCTTTTTCCCCTTTCTCTCCACAACCAGCCAGCTTCTCTACTTACTGCTTCAACCTCTGCAAGGCTTGTGGGCAAGGGCAGTTGTTCCATGGCCGCGTCGGCCATTTTGTCAGTTCTTGGAGTAGAAATTGGTGTTAGACGAGGGTTCCACAAATCAACGATATATTAATGCGAGCCCGGCATCGGACAAGTTTCCAAAACACAACGTCACGTCGGACTTTGGATTTCTCTCATGGCACGAGAGCAGAGTTTGTGTGTGAGGAGTTCCGCAGCTCACTGGCGGAGTCTATTGTGTTTTCTTTTCTGGGGATAGAGGATCCGCACTCCAGGCGGGCAATTCACGATTTCACTCGGCGCTTTGCTGCGTGTGAAGAAGCCCTTCCTTTTGGAGCCATTTGTTATTGACACCTGAAGGCAGCAAGCAGGACCTCCAACGGAATTTCCTACATGAATGTTACAATATGGCGTGGCTTCTGTATCGTACCAGGTAAGTTACATTCAAACTGTAGGCATCGATATGCTTCAGGTTCTATCAGAGGCCAACATGCAGTAAATGTGGGATACTTCTAGCTACAGCAGGCTTGACACTAACAAAGTCAGCCAGCGTGTTACTGTGACATTACAGACCTAAGAAAATAAACAACAGAAGACAGAAAGCGACATTGTAATTGTACGACACATAGGTGCTTCGCTCTGACGCTCATAAGTCACAGGCAGTGGATGGCCCGCTGCAGGGACTCACAGCGGGGTGTCACTACAGTCGCATGTTCATGCAGTTATTCAAGACCCTGGGCTTCCGTAGCGCTTCTGTGGCATGCTGGGCTCCAATACATTACCTTAACATTAATACTTCGATAACTTTGTTGCCGCAACCCAAGAACAAAGAAAGCTGGAGCGTAGGTTAAGGTACATAAGGTAGTCTTAGTGTTATGGTTACTGAAGGTAAAGTAGAGCACCTTACTTTAGGTGTCGGGGAAAGAAGAACAGCCAGAGAATTAAGCCCAGGATAAGCCCCCAGCCAGCTACCTGGTAGTTGCCTGATTTGGCGGGCAGCATTGCTGTTGTGGACGCAACCTTAGTGGGGTCACACCTGTATTGCGACCTCAACCTTGAATACCCGCGCCATTGCAGGACGCACCGTCCTGTCCTGCTTTCTTACTTGCTGAGGGCCGACGCTGTTCGGTCCAACCGTCTCGAGGGTAACCCATGCGGCATATATGGCCACGGCATAGCTCGAGAGTCTCCTCCCTGCTGCGACCCTGCTCGATTCCCCTGTCCGTGTCGCGGTCTTGTCAACCATCCTCTGCCATCGCTGCATTCCGAACGACACGGAGGCTCTTGACCCAAGCCACTGGGGCACCCTTCGTCGAAGAAATGGAGACCATCAACACCACGGCCCGCCTGGCCGCTCTGCGATCGCTGATGAAGGAGAAGGGAGTCGACATCTATGGTAAGGTAACCCAATTCCTTCGTCTATGTCCCTGCCGGAAGCTAACAGAGTACCCCGCAGTCGTCCCATCCGAAGACAGCCATGCCTCCGAGTACATCGCCGCATGTGATGCCCGCCGCGCTTTCATTTCGGGCTTTACAGGCTCTGCAGGAACGGTTGTCGTCACACAGGACAAGGCCGCCCTCGCCACCGACGGACGCTACTTTAACCAGGCCAGCAAGCAGCTGGACGGAAACTGGCTGCTCCTCAAGACGGGCATGCAGGATGTGCCCACTTGGCAGGAATGGACAGCCGAGGAGTCCGCCGGCGACAAGACCGTGGGCGTCGATCCCGCCCTGATCGCAAGCTCCGTTGCCGAAAAGCTGGACGCAAGCGTCAAGAAGAGCGGCGGCGCCGGCCTCAAGGCTGTCGACGAGAACCTGATAGACCAGGTCTGGGGCGACAACAGGCCAGCCCGCTCCTCCAATCCTATAGTGCTTCTGCCCGAGAAATACTCCGGCAAGGACACTGCCACCAAGCTTGCCGACCTCCGCAGGGAGCTGGAGAAGAAGAAGGCTGCCGGTTTTGTTCTGTCGATGCTGGATGAGATCGCCTGGCTCTTCAACCTCCGCGGCAGCGACATCACTTACAACCCAGTCTTCTTCTCGTACGCCATTGTGACCCAGAATTCCGCGACGCTGTACGTGGATGACTCTAAGTTGAGCGACGAGTGCCGAAGTTATTTGGACCAGAACAAGGTTTCCGTCAAGCCGTATGATACCTTGTTCAAAGATGCCAATGCCCTGGCCAGCGTCGCCGAGTCCAAGGGCGCATCTGAGCCGCCCAAGAAGTACCTAGTCTCCAACAAGGGCTCGTGGGCGCTCAAGCTGGCCCTCGGCGGGGACAAGTTTGTCGAAGAAGTCAGAAGCCCGGTTGGCGATGCCAAGGCTGTCAAAAATGATACGGAGCTGGAGGGCATGAGGCAATGCCACATCCGGGACGGCGCAGCGCTGATCGAGTTTTTTGCTTGGTTGGAAGACCAGCTCATCGACAAGAAGGCCGTCATTGACGAGGTGGCCGCCGCCGACAAACTCGAAGAGTTCCGGAAGAAGCAGCAGGACTTCGTCGGGCTGTCTTTTGACACGATCTCGTCGACCGGGCCAAAGTGAGTTCTTTTCAAAAGTACGATGTGACTCTCATTTGCTTATGCTACCCAGCGCTGCGGTCATTCACTACAAGCCAGAAAGGGGCAACTGCGCCACCATTGACCCCAACTCTATCTTCCTGTGCGATTCGGGGGCTCAGTATCTAGATGGCACGACCGACACCACCAGGACCCTGCATTTCGGCACCCCCTCGGCCGCAGAAAAGAAGGCCTACACGCTCGTCCTGAAGGGCAATATCGCCCTCGACACAGCCGTCTTCCCAAAGGGCACGACGGGCTTTGCCGTTGACTGCCTGGCCCGGCAGTTTCTCTGGGTAAGCCATAACCAACCACTCACTCTTCGAGACCGAAGGCAACTGACCCCCTCCCAAGAAACAAGGCCTTGATTACCGCCACGGCACAGGCCACGGCGTGGGGTCGTACCTCAACGTGCACGAAGGTCCCATCGGCATCGGCACGCGCAAACAGTACGCCGACGTGGCGCTGGCCGCCGGCAACGTCCTGTCTATCGAGCCCGGCTATTACGAGGACGGTGCGTACGGCATCCGCATCGAGAACTTGGCGCTTGTGCGCGAGGTCAAAACGGAGCACTCATTTGGCGACAAGCCGTTTTTGGGGTTCGAACACGTCACCATGGTGCCGTACTGCCGGAATCTGATTGACGAGAGCTTGCTTACGCAGGACGAGAAGGACTGGTTGAATAGGAGTAATGAGGAGATTAGGAAGAGGATGGAGGGGCGGTTTGAGGAGGGTTCATTGACGAAGGCTTGGTTGGATAGGGAGACGCGGCCGTTTTGAACAGGGAATTGATTCGATAGGTACTGTGCGGGCTATTTATCATTTTCTGGCTCTTGGTCTATGTTGGGGAGTCTGGCTGTTTTGCGAGCCCTAGAAGGACATGAAGGCTGACAGCGCGAAGGAGATGGCGAAAGCGAGCTTGAAGGCTGTGTGCCGGTTCAGCATGGCCAAGATGCGCGACTTGCTGGCGCGCTCTTTGAGCTTGAAGTACGAGACGAGGTCCATCCCGTTGCGGGCGGCCACCTGGGGCCCTTGTCAGCGACCGATTGTGTTGTTTTGACTCTGAGAGGCTCAGGACGGGTTCATGAATAGCGGCTGGATAGAGATCGTGGTGTATATAGCATGACAGAGAAACAGGACTCCAAGATGGGATATTTCGACGGCAGACGAACCTGGATAATCACCATCCCTATCCCCGCCAACAGCACCAGCGTCTTGGAGAAGACGCTCACTAACAGCCCAGCGACAAACCCTGCATATTTCACACATTAACAACACAACTTTTCAACAGCAAGGAGATACTGCAGAGCCAGAGTGAAACTACCTGATAAACTGCCACCAGAGAACTGCTTAATCGTCTCAGCGTCGAGAAGCTCCTCGTTCTTTTTGGGGTTCTGCCCGCTCGCCAAAGAGCGTGTCTGAGATGTTCCTGTCGTTACAGGGACAGAGTCGAACTGCATCGGCCGTTGGTGATGGGCTGCAACCAGCCCTGTAGTGAGGCCGACGCCAAGTGGGAGGGCGGCATGTCGGAGGCGGGAGGGCAATCGCCGGGTAGTGGTCTGGGTGAGGGCGCGGGCGAGGGTGAAGGTTGCCATCCTTTCCTATGGACGTTATTTTGTGCCTTCAATTTTGACTGCGATATTGCCAATTGCCCAACAACTCGTAAGCAGCCCAATTCAGGCAAGTGTGAACGGTTTTCGGAGGGCAATTGGTGCCAGAGGATTGGCGGGAAAGCTTGTGTACTGGGCGCAGTGACGTAATCGGGCAATGTCGCTGAACAGCGCGAGAGTTTCATGTTGACAGGACGGTGTCTGCCTGACGCGCCGCCAATGACATGCTTGAGGATGAGCTCGTTGGTACGATACAATTGCAACCACAGAGCAGGCCGCAGCAATTGCGGCCAACAAGGCTTTGTGCTGCGCATTTTCATGCTCAAACTCCCGGTTGTATGAAGATCATCATATTCCAACGAAACTCAATGGACCAAGATGATGCTGAAACCTTCGTCGCTCCCCTTGTCGCCGCGAATCCCCCAGCAATAAAGGAGTCTCTCTGCCCTGATCTTAACAGGCAGCCATGTGCAAGTACCTTACCTTGACCAGAAACCAAAACCCCGAGTGTGTACTGCGGATCCAAAACATGTCATTTCAAAAAGGAAGTACCTACGATTGATGTGTTGTACCGATCCCACACCCGCCGAGGACTTGAGCGGCAACGTGATCACTCTTGGAACAAGTACTAAGCATGGAGCTTGTCCGAAGTGCCTCTCGTGAAAGCCTGTCCAGCGCAGGTAAGTTCGCTCTGCTTATGACAGTTGGTGAAGCCTGGATGACCTGAGCTTGACAAGAACCGAGGCGGCGACAACGACAACAGCGGCAAGAACAAGTGCGGCGTTGGCGGGTGTGTATATGGAAGGGCGAATGCTGTCAACGCTCTAGGTGAGGAGGCTCTGCCGAGCGGCTTCTGATATGTCAGTCATGGAGATGGTCCACGAAATAGAGAGAACCGCACCTTTTATTCGTGAACAACCGGTTTGCATTCTGCGTATTCTTCCCGCCAACACTTTGTGATGATGCTGCCAACAACTCCTGGCGACTCGGTTTCAGAAAACTTCCCCTTTGCATAATGGTCAATTATCATCCCGTCAGACAATCCTGCGTACGGACGACTCAATCATCACTTCATAGAGTGTGGACCTCGGCGAAAAGATGTCAGCCTTGACAGACATTAGCGAGCCAGGATATTCGTGACTCGCCGTCACCTCAATGAGAATGGGAAAGCCGTCGAGAAAAGACCCGGCGAAATCCGCAAGTTTCGCATCAAGGCGCCTTCGAGCAGCACGTTGAACCCGTTGACGTCTCCGTGGATAACGCCACATTGGAGGACAAAGTCAAGAGCTTCCGCAACCTTGTAAGAGCCACTGTATCTTTCTCTTCTCATCGGCGGGTGGTTATCGAGGTAGGATCGGATGTTGCCATGCGAAGCATGTTCTAGTAGGATTCCAGAGTCAAATGTTCCGTGATAGCAAAGGATGCCCTTATGGCCGCCGCGCTGAATGAACCGCTCGTATATCTGTCACTCTCTAGTCATCTCTTCGGACCACTCGCCGTCTAGGGAAGCCTTGACGACCGTGTCGGTTGAGCTATCAAGGACCATCCCCGCGATGCCATACGCGACGAGGTCCTTCATCTTAAGCCGCTCGGTTAAGTGATCCGACCTGACAAGTTGGTGTTGAAAGTGACGACAATGATGGAATTATAAGGGTGAGGCACGATCCTGTCTCCTTTTTCAGGCCTCTTTTGTTTGTTTGGCCGTTTGGTCCGAGCTTGTGAGGGCACTGCCGCCAGGAGCCAGAGCTTCGAAGTGTACATATTACCTGTGAGTGGTAAGGAGGACTCGGGGGCTCTTGGCATTGCTGCGCAGGCCCCTAAGGCTACTACTGTGTACACCTACGAAGTACGGGACCAAAATCTGGATCGGTGCAGAGCAGGGCCTGGCGCGGCAATGCCAAGAGCTCCAAGTCACCCGTGGTACGAAATGGAGAATGACGTCATAACCAAAAGCTGTCTTGGCAGGTCCGCATGTTCAGATGTTGCGGTGCTGTTGTTATTACCACACTTCCGTATCCTAAGAATTTGTGATCTACCTACCCTGTTTGTTGATCACGATACTATCAATCTCAGTAGTATTATTTCTCTGTTCCTATCAGCTGCGAACCATCCCGCTTCGCGTACTTAGGTTGACTTGGCCACGCACGTGTGTCTTGGCCGCATCACTGGCATGCGAGTATGCCGCACATACTCACCAATGGCACAAAATCCCCCACTTCTACCCTGCATGCAGGAACAAGGACGTTGAGAGCATGCCCTCAACCGCTCCGCTTGGAACCCACATCTTGGTGTCCGCCCTGCCATGCGAGCCATTTCTATTTGTGTGCCTAATCGATCGCTTCCCGGCATATGTATTCGGGTTCGACTTGGCTTGCTCGGTTACCTGGCAATTACGCATGTACGACGCCGGAGAAGGGCCCGCATGGACTTTTGCGGCTTACTTGGGCCCTGCGGCTTTGGCGGGGACGTGGGGCTGATGCGGAAAGCACCTTGGATCATTGAGCATCGCCTGGCTGTCATGACAGTCCCGTCAGCATGTAAGGAAAGTTTACCTTATCTGCCATCTGTTGGTTGGAGCGGAACCCGCTTGTAGTCGAACAAACCGGGACCGCAAGTATTTAACACACGGTGGTGAGGCTGGTCTCTACCTTACCTTGATTCCTACTTTCGCTTTCCTATCCCACCATCCCACTCCGTGGTTGCTCTTCATCTCTCCTCTCAAATTCGCAGATTGAGACTAAAGGTTCCCGGCATATTCCCCATCATGTCGTCCAAGCCAATCTTTGTGGCCACACACCCGAGGGCATGCTCTACGGCTTTTGAACGCGTGTTCATGACCCGGGCAGACATTCTCTATTGTGTCCACGAGCCGTTTGGAGATGCCTTCTACTTTGGTCCCGAGCGACTAAGCGAGCGCTATGAGAAGGATGAGGCGGCCAGAAAGAAGAGCGGCTTTGCCAACACCACATACAAGGATGTTGCGGATAGCTTGTTGCACCTGGTCAACAGCCAGGTCAGTCAGCCCAGATCACCCCTATTAACACTCATACCAAACCGCCAGCAGGACAAACGGCTCTTCATCAAGGACATTGCCCACTACCTCCTCCCGCCAAACCAACAACCGGCGACTATTGCCCCCTCCCTTCGCGATGCCGGTACCACGACTGAAGCACCCAACGGAACCGCCCACACAGACGGCACCAGCCCGGACGGGATCTCCCACACCAACCCAACCGTCGTTCCGCTGTCTCTCCTTCGCAAGTTCCACTTCACCTTCCTGATCCGGCACCCGCGTCGCGCCATCCCCTCGTACTACCGCTGCACCATCCCCCCCTTGTCCGCCCAGACCGGCTTCCACAACTTCATGCCCAACGAGGCGGGCTACGACGAGCTCCGTAGGCTGTTTGACTATCTCCTGCAGGAGGGCGTCATTGGGCAGCAGCAGCAGCAGACGCAGCAGAACGGCACTGCAGTCGATGGCAGCAGTAACGGGGTCAATGGCAATCATGCCGGAAACGGTGTCAAGATTACGGTTGTTGATGCCGACGACCTGCTCGACAAGCCCGCCGAGGTGATTCGCGCGTTCTGCGAGGATGTGGGCATCGACTACCACGACGGGATGCTGAAGTGGGAGGACGAGGAAGGGCAGATTCGGGCCGTGGAGGCGTTTAAGAAATGGGATGGCTTCCATGAGGACGCGATCGCTAGTACCGAGCTGCGGCCGAGGTCCCATCCGAAAGTGAGTTCTTCCGTTGTCAACGAGGACAGCCTGAGTGCTGATTGCTGCAGAAAACGCCCACCGAGGAGGAAGAGGATGAGGAATGGCGGAAGAGATTTGGGGACGAGGGGCAGCGGGTGATTCGCGAGTGCGTGAACGCCAATGTGGCCGACTACGAGTACCTCAAGTCGTTTGCCATCAAGGTGTAGGGGTAGTTCCAGGATAGGCACTCTCTAGGACAGGGAATCATCAGCTTGGATACCCAACAATACAGGCCGATATCGATGCTGTTTCTATGCGTGATATACAGTGTATAATACAAATACAGTAAGTCAGCGGGTAGATACTCGTCAGTCCGCCCATCTAGTATTTCAGCATTTGTACAAGCCGTCACTACTCTTGACAGTCCCCAAGTCGAGATGACCATCACTCAACCTTAACCGCCTCGGCAGTCTCCGCCTTGGGTGCCTCAGCCGCCGCCTCCGCTTCGACCGCCTCAGCAGCCTCAACCGCCTCCTTCCCCTTCTTGCCCTTCTCCGGTAGGCCGACGACATGAGTGACATTCTCGGTCCAGGACTCAGCATAGTACTTGTCCTGCTCGTTTGCCCAATACACCGTTGCCTGGTACAGCTTGACCTTTTTGCCCGCCTCCTCACCCTCGCTCTTATCCAACGTCACCTCCACCACACCTTCCTCCACGACCTCATCGCCCCCAGCACCCTCAGCAGTTTCCACGGGTGTCTTCACACCCTTCTTCTCCCCCTCTTTTGCCTTCCCACCAGCTTGGACCTGAGAAGTCTGAGTATACTCAGAAAGAACAACCCGATTCCCCTTCCCTTTCCCGGCCAAGACAGCCGCGAGGTCGGCGACGGAGTTCCCGCGCTGGTCGTTGAGCGCCTTGCCGCGCTCGCGCCGGCTCATGTTAAGCAGCGCCGGGTCGTCCCACTCGAGCTGGTGCCGCCGCTGCAGCTCGCGGAGCTTGTGGAACACGCTGCGGCCGACGTCGCCGCGCCCCGACCCGAACTCGACCACCATCATCGGCCGCCAGTAGTCCTTGCGGAGCTTGGCGGGGATGAGTTTTTTGCCGGTGTAGGGCATCTGCCGGAAGGCTTTGTTGCTCTGCAGATTCGGCGATATTCGAAATGTCAGCGGGATTGGTTGATGTTTTACTGGTATGGATTTGGGATGGGGGGGAAAGGGAGGGTGGGGAATAGGAAAGCAAGGAACCGACTCTTAGCTCCGGCGTCAGTGAGTAGATGGTGAAGTGGTCGACGATGTGGTTGTACACCCAGAGACGCTCGCCGTGGCCGGGGGGCGGGATGCCTCGCGGCCTCCGCATGCCCTGTTTTTGTTTGCCATCTGTTGGTTCTACTGTCGAGACTGGTACTGGTACCGCCGCTGGTGGTGTAGCACCAGCTGCTTCTATGCTGGCGTGCCGGGCGCCGATCACCGTCCGCGCGGCATTGGTGCCGAAGAGACGGGCCAATAGCGGCGAGGAGTGCGGCCGTAGAGAGTTCATTGTCGTCGGATTAGGGTCAAGGCGGACCTCCTCCCGACTGCTCGTAGTTCGACCGAGAGTTGGTGCCTGAGAACAATCGGTCGGGAGTCGGGAAGTTCGACGCGGCTTCGGTTTGGGACGGCAAGACGGAGATTCGTGATGCTTGTTCAAGACAGGGGACCAGAATAATTTTGGAGTCCAGGCCAAAGCCAATCGACGATGCAGATAGCTGGAAATTGTGGGTCAATTTCTACCAATTTCAAACACCCTTGTCCGAGTTCTCTTTTCCTGGCGCGACACGCTTTGTACCAAGTACAGCTCCAAGGCATGTTGACGATATGTCCTAGTTTCATTTCTGCTCAAGGGCCTTGAGAGAACTATCTACTTCTAACCCCACTCATGGTTATGTTCAATAAGACCAGACCCCCCTTACTCCCGCAAATAAACCCATTGCCATGCTATCGCTCCAGACGCCAAATCATTAGATCATAATCATGAACCAGCCCGCATCTCCTTCATACACACCCCGTCCGTTAACCGTGCTGTTCCTTAGTCATAAATATCCTCATCCATCGAGTCCGGCGCGAGCTCGTCAAGCGCCTCGTCCTCATCAACCATCATCTCCTCATCTTCGCCCTCGCTGTCGGGATGGTTCGGAATGACAGTGACCTTGCTGTCAACAACATCGACATTAGCCACCTCGCCATCGCGAATGTTACCCCGCAGAATGAGGATAGCCATGCGGTTGAGCACCTCCTTCTCAAGCAAGCGTTGCAGCGGCCGGGCACCGTACGCAGGCGAGTAGCCGGCGGCACCGAGCTTGTCCTTGGCGGCGTCCGACACTTTAATGATGACGTTGCGGTCATTGTCGTTGAGCCTCTTCTGGATCTCGGCAATGCGCAAGTCCACAATCTTGCGGATCTCGCGCCGCGTCAGCCGGTTGAAGATGACGATGGACGAGATGCGGTTGAGGAACTCGGGCAGAAAGTAGTTGCGCAGCGCGTTCATGACAAGCTCCTTGGTTGTCGGGTCGATCCTGCCGTCCTTAGCGTTGGGTCGAGCGAGGTACTCGGCGCCGAGGTTGGACGTCATGACAACGATGCAGTTCTTGGCGTCGACGATGCGGCCCTGACCGTCCGTGATACGACCGTCGTCCATGAGCTGGAGCAAAACAGTCAAAACCTCCTTGGCGGCCTTCTCAACTTCGTCAAACAGAAGGATGGAGAACGGCTTGCGACGGAGTGCTTCGGTCAACTGACCGCCAGCGTCGTGGCCGACGTAGCCGGGTGGTGCACCGATCATGCGGCTGAGCGAATGCCGCTCCTGGTACTCGGACATGTCGAAACGGATCATGGCCTTGGGGTCGTCGAACAGGAACTCGGCCAGCGCCTTGGTGAGGAGCGTTTTGCCGGTACCAGACGGGCCGCAGAAGAGGAAGCTCGGCGGCTGGTTTGGGTTGCTGAGGCCGGACCGCTGTAGCCGGATGGCGTTGGACACCGACTGGACCGCTTCCTTCTGCCCCACCACGATCTTCGCCAAGGCATGCTCCATGTGCAACAGCTTCTCCTTCTCGGTCGTCTTCAAGCGTGTCACTGGGATGCCGGTCCAGCGCGCGACAATCTCGTTGATCTGATCAGGCCCAACGATGTCGGTCACCATAGAACCGCCAGCGTCGGCTCCCTGTTCGTTCAGTGCGGCGTCGGCAGCCGCCTTCTCCTTCTCGAGTCGCTTGATGACCTGCTCTTGCTCGGGGATGGCGTAGTACTGGAGGTCAGCTGCACGGCTGTGGTCGCCCATTCTGCTCGCTTCCTCCGCCTTGACGCGAAGGTTCTCCAGCTTCAGCTTGGCTTCTTGAATATCCTTGCCGCGCTGGCGCTCCCGCTCGTACTTCTCCCGGAGTGGCCTCAGCTCCTCCTCGACGTTTTCGGCGTCCTGCCTTGCCTGCGCGAGACGGGCCTTGGATGCGTCGTCCTTCTCGCGGGACAGAGCCTCAATTTCAATCTTTAGCTGCCGCAGGCGGCGCTCGAGGGAGTCGATAATCTCGGGCTGGGACTCCCGCGCAACACGGACGGCGGCCGCCGCCTCATCTATCAGATCGACAGCTGAGTCCGGAAGCCTCCGTTGGGTCAGGTACCGGGCGGCGAGGTTGGCTGCGGCGACGATGGCGGCATCGGCAATGTTGACACCATGGTGGACCTCGTACTTCTCCTTGAGACCACGAAGGATGGAGATGGTCTCCGGGATTGACGGCTCCTTGACAATAACTTGCTGGAAACGGCGCTCAAAGGCGGCGTCTTTCTCGATGTACTTGCGGTATTCAGCCAGGGTGGTGGCGCCGATGCAGTGCAGTTGACCTCTAGCAAGCATGGGCTTGAGCAAGTTGGCAGCGTCCATGCCGCCCTCGCCCGATGAGCCGGCGCCCATAAGCAGGTGGATCTCGTCGACAAACAAGACAATCATCTCCTTGGACTCCGATATCTCCTTGAGAACGCCCTTCATGCGCTCCTCGAACTCACCCCTGTATTTGCTGCCTGCAACAAGGGCGCCCACGTCCAACGACAGCAGCTTGCAAGCGGCCAGGTTGTCGGGGACATCAGCGTTGACGATGCGCTGGGCAAGACCTTCGACGACAGTCGTCTTACCCACACCAGGCTCGCCAATGAGGACGGGGTTGTTCTTGGTCCGACGCGAGAGAATGCGGATGACGCGCCGGATCTCCTCCTCGCGGCCGATGACTGGGTCGATCTTGCCTTCCCTCGCCATGGCGGTCATGTCGATAGTGAACTTGGCGAGATTCTCGTTCTCCTGCTCAGTGTCGGCGTTCCGCGAGTCGACGCGCTTTGTGCCGCGGATGGCCGTGATGGCTTCCTGCACGAGCTTTGGCTTGGGAATGTTGGCCTCTTTGAGTGCGACTTGGATCGCGTGGTCGTCCGCCAGAGCCGTGATGAGGTGGTCGACGGCGATGTAAGTGTCTTTTTGCACTTTCTGAAGCTCCATGGCCTTGCGCAGGACCGTGTTGAACGAGGGCGCCATCGAGACCTGTTCCGGAGGCGGGTCTTGGCTCGGTAGACGGACGAGCGTCTTCTTCAGCGCGCGGTCGAAGAGCTGCGGATCGCCGTGAGCGCGCTCAATGACTTGTCGGAAGAGAGTGCTGGTAGTGCCGGGTGCCGCATTCTGCTGGTCTTTGCTCTGGTCGGGTAGAGGATCGAGGAGGGCGACGGCCAGATGCACCGGCAGCAGCTGTGAGTGTGCGTATTGCTCGGCCAGGGCCATGGCATCTTCCAACGCCTTTTTGGCCCTGTCGGTAAACTCCATCTTCGAGTTCATCGTGGGCGAGTGACTGCGAGACCAATGTCTCGAATAGTGGTGATCGTTGCTGTTGTGCTCAGTCGAGAAAGGTGTTTCGTTTTGTCTCGTTGAAGCTTGAGAGGTGACGTCAGGCTTCAATCAGACTGCGAAAGTAGCACTATCGTTTTCTGCAACTCAGCAGTAGATGGGTATCTCGTTGCAATCGCGAAATTGTACGAAAGAGGGGAAGAACAATGTTTCAAAGGACGCGAGGTCTAAATCTATTTATTGTAACTGATGTCGGCGACAGTAAGTGATCCGGTTTACCTGTACCTTCGAGGTGGCACCAGAAAGTGGGTTGATGATGCTAGTAAAAGCCACAACAGCAACGAAGGCTCCAGTCCACTTGTTTCGAGGCACTGTTGGAAGCTCCAGAAACCGCTGGAACATTCGTCAGACAGTCCGGGCCAGCAAGCAATCCACTGAGGCCCACAGATTTTATCGAACCAGAAGCGGACTAGTGGCTTGGCATTTTGACAGAAAGCGAATGACGACATCTGGGGTGACCCGCAAGAGTCCAGAACGTGCAATGCAAATCATGTCACCCAAAGTTGCTGAATAGTAAAGCATCATATCTGAGTCGCCGTCTCCGCGATGGATTTCCACGATACAACAGCGCCGTTCTGGCTACATTCAACCCCATTCCGCAGCGATTGCTTTCTGCTGGATCTGACTCGTGCTCCAGACAGACGACAGGGAAAATGAGAGAGTAAGTAACATTGGGGAACCGTTGGGTCTCAGGTCGTGCTTTGACCTGGCAACTCAAAGATCGTAATCGTGACGTCCGAAATGTGTCACGCCAGTCTTCCAGCCTAGGTCATCACTGGCGACAATTGCCCCAGTTGCTCATACTAATCTTACGACTGGCAACAAACGAGCTTCATTTTCAGCATCCTCAGACCACTGAGGAAGACCTTGAAGATGACGGCTAATCGAAGCATTCTCCACTTCACCGAGGCCATGAGCTTGGTCTACGGGAACTTCGAACATCTTTCGGAAGAGGCCGCCGCAAGGTGGATCGCTCCGGACAAGCCCGGTGCCGGGGGCCATCGGGGCCGGTACCTCTGGACGGATGCCTTTGGCGTTGTCAACTTCATCACCCTGTCCAAGGAGACTTCCTCGCCCATCTACCTGACCCTCGCCAAGCAGCTGGTCGAAACTGTCCACAATGTCCTCGGCTATACCCGCGATGGCACCACGCGCCTGCCCCGAGCTACGGACGACGAACCCCTCGTCGGCGGGTTGCGAATCGGCAAGCTCGCGTCGCACGGCGCGGATGGCGATGGCCAGTACCACCACTATCTCACACTCTGGATGTTTGCCCTAAACCGGCTGGCCGTGGCGACGGGCGAGAGAGAGTACAACCAGCTCGCGGTGCAGCTCGCCAAGGCCGTCCACCCGCACTTTGTCGTCCGCAGGGATGGAGAAGCCGTCCGCATGGCGTGGAAGATCTCCACCGACATGGAAACGGTGCTCGTCCCTTCCGAGGGCCACCTTGACGCGGCGACGGGGTTTGTCGTCTACCGCCTGCTGCAGCGCACGGTAGACGATATGCGCGGTCCGCCGGGTCTGCTGAGGAGGGAGATTGCCGACTACCAGCAGCTGATGAGCCGAGGCGGGAGGTTGCAGGCCAGCCGGGACCCGCTGGACTTGGGCATGGGATTGTGGATGTGCCACTTCTTCAAGAACGAGGACTGGGCGAGGGCGCTGGGGAGCCAGAGCATCGAGATGGCGAGAACCATGTTGGATAAGAAGACAGGGCTGATGACGAGGGATGCATCGAGGAGGCTGGCATTTCGAGAGTTTGGGGCCTGCCTGGGGCTGCAGTGCTACGGGGCCGACGAGGAGACCAGGAGGGGCGTGGAGGCGGTGGTGAATTTCTGGCATCGATACCTCGAGGAGTCGACAGATGAGGACCTGCGTCCCATTTCGTTGGTCATGTATGCTGCGGCGCTGATCCCTGGAGGTAAGTTCTCCGTGATGTGTCTGCGAACAGTAGGTGCTTGCAGCTAACCCGTGTTTCATCCAGCCTGGCGGGACGAGTATCTGGGGCGTGGGTAGGCTCGCAGTATGATGAATGTTACATCGATCTCTATGTGCTCTGTTGCCGTACCGTGCCTTGTATTTGTCACTTAGAAGACGCCTTCGCCGTTTGAGTCCAGAGCAGCATGATTACGAGCCTCCATCTGGGCAAGCTCCATAAGCCACGCCGCCTCCGGAATCGTATACCTCGCACGCGAGTGCTCCGCAACCTAACTCCTTGACCTCGAACACTACCGCAACCCCTTTCCGCCTCTACCTCCTCCACCTCATCGTTTTTAAACATCCTCGAATTCAGCTTCTTTAGCGTCTCATGCTGTTCTCCCCCGCACACGAGATACAACTTCATAGCATGCAGCACCTCGACGCCGTCAAACGCCTCCTTGTATTGTACACGTAGATCGGGCCGCGCACCTTGGTGCCCTCCTGGCCGCGTCACCAGCCGGCGGCAGAGTCGAACCCGCCCTGCGTGTCCGGCACAATGCTGGCGTCCTAAGAGTGCAGGAGCTGGCCGCCGAGGACGGGTTCGCTCCTTGTAGTGGCGGGGATAGTGGTAGCAGTAGCAGTAGCAGTAGGCTGGTTGAACAGGTGCAACTGGATCTGAGAGATGAGGTGGTGGACGAGGGGTAGGGTGTGGATGGTTTGGAGGTCTTCGGGGCTGGCGGTGGTGCGGTTGCCGAGGGGGTTGGGGAGGTCGTCGTCGGGGTTGAGGATGTAGGGCGCCATGGGCAGCGACGGGTCGAGACGGTGCAGGAGCAGGAGAAGGATGTGGATTTCTAGGAGGCAGGGCTCGGCCTGGTCGAGTTGGAGGGCGCTGGGCCGGATGAGCTTGACGGGCGGGTAGGCATTATATTGTCGTACTGTAGCTACAGTAGAGGAAGCTATATCCTTGTTCGACTTCACCAGGGAGAGAGAGGACTGAGTCTCCCTTTTCTGCTTGGCTCGTAGGAGATTCTGGGGACTTGATGTAACTCCCCAAGAGCACGGGTTATCACACGCCGCCGGCTGTCATCGGCGGTTTCCAGCTGGCTTGCGGCACTAGGCTAACGCTGACGGACGCCCACAGTGCTTCCATTTTAGCCCACACGCTTTTCATTAACACATTACAGACGACCTCTAACATTACAGGGTCTCCATCGCTGCTCCTGCGCTTGACTCCTTGGCTGGCCGAGGCAGGCAATCATCCACCTACGACGTAGACTGCGACTCGTCAATCTTCTCAACCTCGGCCTTCGCTTCCTCCCATGTCTCCTTGTTCTTCTTTGCCCACTCGATCTGGCTCTTGGCATACGCAAGCTGTACCCGGCTGTCAGTAACTGGCAATTTCTTCCAACCGAGGATAGCAACATACCATGTACCGTTTCAGGTCATCCTCCTTCTCTCGCTGGAACCGCTTGAGGTCCTTGAGGATGCTTGCGCTCGCGTCCTTGACATCCTGTGCCGACGCGACCTTGGCCTGCTCGAGCTGCGCAATCGATTCGCGGGTCCTGGTGATGGTGTCACGGCGCGTCTTCTCCGGATCAGCGTCCACCACCCCCTGGACTGCATGGCGGAGCGGGCCAAAGATCTTGGTCGTTAAGGACGTTGCGCTCGGCGCCTTTCTATGGCTGGGAGCCGCTGCCCTCTCGGGCGCCCCGACGTTAGCGGAGGGTGCCGATGAGAGGTCACCGTGCGTGGGGGGGAAGTCCGAGTCGATCGAAGCTGTGTCTTTGTTACTGCCATCGCGACGATGTGTGTTCGGGTCCCTCGTGCTTGTTGATCTCCTCGGAGGCTGGATCTGCTGGCTGCCACTGAGATATTGCTCGATTCGCCTGGCCTCCGCCTCGCTCCGCTCTAGCTGGTCAAGCAGCAGTTTCTTCTTGTTGAGTTCGTCTTCTGTCATGTCTTGCTGCACCCTCTTTAAAACCCTGTACCGCAATATGCTCCGAATGACGCCTGCAAACTGCGCGTTCTCGCGCATGGGCTCGGCGAAGCTTGCACCCAGTGAGCTGGACAACTCCTCGGTGGCGATGTAGGAAGAATCGGCTGCCTGCCCTATCCTCTCGATGGCGGGCGAGAGCGACGCGATGGGCTCTGAGAGTGCAAAGGCATTATATCTAGCGCCCAACTCCGACAGGTCCGAGGCCAACGAGGACAAATGGGTAAGTGTCCGCCGGTTCACCTTTTCCATCGAGCCCATGAGTAGCGATTCAAGTTCCCTGACTGACGTCTCGAACGCGGTAAAGTAAGGGTCAAGCTCCTGCTCGCTGAGATTGTGACTGTCCGGTGGAAAGCGAGCGAACACCTGTGCGCCCGCTGAGCTCTCGGGCGCTGGTGCCGCAGGGATCGACCTAAGCTTTGCAGAATTGGCTGGTAAAGGTAGAAACTCGTGACCCGGAGTTGGGTTCGCCGGATCCAGCGGCGGCGCCTTCATGATTGATTTGGGAATTGATGCTATTGGGTGAGAGTGTAGTACTTCATTCTGGCACAACGTTAATCAAGAGGAGTAATCAAACGAGTCTTGCAACCTACCCAGCTGGAGTTGGGGTCCAGAAACCGCCACCACACGCCATCTGTGCGGACCTGCTCCATCCTCCGGCACCGGTTGAGGAAGACGGCCAGCATGCGTTTCCGGAGGTCGATTATTTGCTGGTCTTGCTTTGCATTGGTAGGGTTGGCGGCATAATCAGCCATGGTGTGCTTCTCTGGAATGGGAGGTATGATGAGGGTCGGGTGTAGCCTTGTAAGAGCATCTCGCAACGACGCGAACTCTGAGTAACGGCGACGGACTATAAGCTCCTGTTTAACGTTTAGCCGGTTGGGCAACCAGTCGCCAGTCGCTGAGGAGGGCCATACTCCGGTCTTGATTGTGTAGACGATATATCTCCCACTTTCTGTGCTCTTTCCCGCATCGGTAATCAGGATGGGCAGTTGTGGGTTCTCGTAAAGCATTTGCTCGACGCGGCTGTCATATCCGCCAGGCTTGGTTCGTGGCACCAGTTCGCCCTGGGAGCGGGTGCTCCCGTCCTCTTCGCTGTCGACATCTGTTGACTCGTGTCGGGGAGGAGCTTCATCTCCTGTACTAGAGGGTGTGCTTGGAGCGTCGTATTGAGCGTCTATCACCTCCCACTCGAGATCAGCCGGGTGCTCCTGCGGCCTCAAGGGGATATCTTCAAAGCCCGCAGTGTCCACCATCCCAAGGGCATGCAAGATAGAGTGCGCTGAAGCGGCGGAAGGAACTCACAGTCGTGGGTAACAGGCGAGGAAGGGTTGGCTGAGGACGCAAAGGAGTCTCTGCGCTCAAAGCTCCCGCCGTACGGGTTGTTGTCTTCATCATTCCACATCGTGCCGGGTGTCTTAAGTGCGATTATGACAAAGATGAGGTGAAAAGCTATACGCAAGCATGGGTGGGATGAAAGCAGGAATGCGCAAGCGCGCGCAATGGCAACAAACAGTGCTGCGCTGCTCAGGTCTCCTGCCTCTTAAGTTTCGCGGGATGGTGCGGGAAAGCCAGGGACCGCGGGGTTGTAGCTGCGCCGGGTCGGATGCTGCTTGTGAATGTGCGCCGTCTGTGCAATGACCGGCGGGAATACTCAAAAATGCCGCTTCTAATGTAGGCGCATCTAAGGTTTGCACGACCAGTTGAGAGACGCTCAGATGTTGCGAAGGCTGAGGGTGACGCTTGCCCCGGGGATGTAGTTGGCGTTGCTGAGTGGGTCGGAGCTTGGTCGATGGAGGCACAGCATGACAAGACGATGAGATGACGATGTATCTTACGTAAGGCAGAGCTTCCACACAGTTTTATTAGCCAGTGGGCTTGTCTGGGTTGTACCCCAACAAGTGTGGCTCTGTTTCAATGTCCCATCTCTTTGATTCCATCGTGGCTTGAAACGCCACTACCTAAAACCTTGTTGAAGCTTACAGCTCTATGTAGCCGAGGCTACATAATGAGTCTTCTTGATACCGGCCGGACTCTGACTCTTGGATCATCTCTGGAGTTTACCATGTATCCGTAGCCTACGGTTATGGTTCTCGATGATGTCATGGCCTCACTGATCATGGTCAACAGTTTCAGTGTACACTTGTAGAAAGATCCCTATTATTTATTTTTCTTCTTTTGGCTTGTTGCCCAGGTGAGGCTGGATTGTGAAGTCATAGCCGTTCGAGGTTTGAGATTCAACCTTAGTAGACTTCTTTTTTGTGTTCAGTTATTTGAGGGCATGTGCGCCTTGGTGAGATTGCCAGATTTCGGCACGTCGTCATCATCATCGACACGCGCGAAATCACTGCTGTAAGTGCCATTGTTTATAAGCAAGGTACAGTAATCAATCGCTCACAGGCTGTCTAGTCTGACATAGTAACCTAACAACGAACATTCCTCCCTCTCCTACCATTCCCGCCAGGTCAACTTCAGACATCGTTTGTCGTACATCAGATCCACTGGATGGCCTCCTGTGTCAGTTTCAACCGACTGATCCGATTAACACACCCGTCATGGACCTAATGAGGTCCTCCAACTGTTACGTAACCCACACATTTCTCCTCACTGACGTGCTTCCTTCCATCTTCCTCCTTGCTCTTCACCACGCAAAGGCCGCCGCATCAGATAGAAGGTCTCGATGATCTGGCCCGCCAAAGAGGGCTGCTCGCTTCTCCGTCTGGATTGCGAGGGCTGTCGGCGGATGCCGTCGTGACTGTCGCTCTGTGAGCGCCGAGCTCGAGTACCAGAACGCTTGGGTGGTTCTGGAGTTTGTGACGAACAGGTAGTCGTCATGACATCGGAGTCTCTGGGGACCTCGAATGACACGCTCGCCCGGCGACGCTCAGGGCTTGGGAACTGTATGTCAGGGCTTGGTTGCCTTCTTGAGCCAGGAAAAGAGCGACGCCGTGAATGGCCTAATCGGGACAGGGGAATCATATCCGAGGGAGCCAGGTCTGCATCTCGGCGACCATCACGACGGCCCCGCCTGTCCGGGCCACCAGGCTGGTGGACATGGTGCCGGGATTGCGGGTGGCGGTGTTGGTTGTCGAAGACAACCTCGACGCTCGCATTGATGTAGCTGGAGCTAAGGCCGGACTCAGACCGAGACGACGAGTCGGTACGGTGCCGACGGGTTTCGCGGCGCCCAGATGGGAAAGGTCGCGGCTGCGTATTGGAGCGATGTCTTGATGAACGACCTCCATGATCAGAACTTGGTGGGGAGACTGAAGGCGGCGGTGGTGAAGGCGACTTCGACCGAGTTTCCGCAGACGATGAATTAGACAGGGTCCTGGCATGGCCGACTGTCGGGGACCGGTTGCCCAAGAAAAACCAACGCCGCCTCTGACCCCGATTCTCGGTAGCTGGGGTCACCGGGGCCGGCTCAGCATGGATATCTCTCGGAGGCACTGACGGCCTGGCTGGCGGAGGTGCTCCAGTGGGTTGGGCAGTCGCCACTTTATCGGGCCCTGGATGCTGGATTTGAGTGTTCTGAGGCGCTGCGTAACCGAAGTACGGAGGTGGGACATCCGGCTGACAAGGACCTGCCGTGGTGCCGAAGCCGAGTGTGCCGGCCTGTAAAGGAGCAACAGAAGGGCCAGCAGCGAGGACAACCGGAGGCCCGAATGGAGGCGGAGGGGGAATAGTTGAAGAGGGTGCGACGGCCCAAACGATTGGAGGCGGTTGGGGGGGGACCACGTGAATATCAGGGGTAGCCACATAGCCAAGTGAGTTGTGTGCTTGATCGGTAGTGATCTCCTCTGTCCGAGGCGATCCACAGTTTCCTTTGGTGTGTCCTTGGTCCCGCGTTTCTGTCAGGCCATGTTCCTCATCTCTCGGCGGCGACCTTGGCTCTGGATAAATGGTAATTGAAACCCTGTTTGGATCCCTCCTTGTGACTTCCCAATAGCCACTGACTCGGCCATGACTGCCACTGCAACTGCCGTTGAGCTCGGCCTGCAGATTGGGCTTGATCTTGAACCGCCAGTACAGATAGCTTACGGCTGCTAAAGAGGCGATAAGCACAAGAATGATACCCATCTGCGCGGCATCACTCAGGCAGCTCCACCCTGAACTGTGAACAAACACTGACTATTAGTACCACACTGTTATTGTTCGGATAGTTGTCGGATGAGTCGCGAACAAAACCACTGCCGCAAAAAGCACAGCCATCAAGCAGGGTCGACATATGGTCTAAATGCACGTACCAGTCGTTGCTCACAGCTCGCCGGACAAGCTGATTCTCTAAGTAGGAGATCTTGTAGTATGCCGAGGATGCCATCGATGGATTTTGTCTGACAAAAGAATCTGAGATCTCGGTAGATGAGTGTCGCTCGGCCCCGCCTTAGAAACGGAAGACACGAGCGATTGGGGCACTTGGGTCAACTGCTGGCAATCGCTATGAACGTGCGATATCAAAGAAATCAGAGGAAACAAGGCACTTGCCGTGGAGGAGTTATCGGTGGATGGCCGTAGGAGATCAGTGGCGGCCAGGAATTAGCTTATCGATTGTTCCGAGGTGAGAAATAAGAAACGTCCCTGAGTGCAGTTTCGGCTCATTGCTCTGCTGTGTGAATGTGAAGGACAACACTGTTGCCAGTTCCAGGGAAGCCAGTAAACACCGAGGCAACAACCGTCTATTGGCGAGAAACCAGTGCGGGCTTCCCCCTGACCTACGTCAATAACAAACTTAGTGATTTGAGCCCTAAGGCACCTACATCCGTTGACAGTCTAACATTGACAGTGTATGAGTGCCAGTGTGACTGCTGCTAGGTGTCAACCTAAAGGCTTGCTATACCTGGATAGTCCAACAGAAACACTGGGGTACGGTAAATGCATAATTAAACGAGCTCTCTGAGTCGTTCTTCACAACACCAAACTGCTTCTGAAGTTGACCAGATGTCTTGCGTATCTGAGGTGGCCAGGATGGTGTTGGAGGTCGAGGTTTGCCATGTAGCGTCTCGTGACTCGCGTCTACCGTGTTTTCCATGGGCTACAACGGAGGAGACATATTGCCGACTCTGTCATGTCGAGTAATACATGGGAAAATTGGTTTTGAAGAGCTAAGGCACATCATGTGCATGACTGTCCACGCGAGTTTCAAGCTGCCAGTGTGAGAAGTGGACCGAAATTTCCAGCCTTGTTGTTCAATCCAATCAGACACCTGCCAAGTGCAAGGGCTGGGTTCCCGACCCACACTTTCTTTACGAAAGCCTTTCAGCCTCATCATCTTCATTTCGGGTGGATTCCAATTCACGGCCTCACCTCAAATATGTAGGGAACAATAGAATTGCTCAACCCGGCACTCTCCTAACAAGCGGCCATCGACTCCTGTCGCACAACCTCGAACATCCCTCCACGATGCTATTCTAGGGTCGAGAACTCCAATTTGATTCGACTCGCGCTTTGGGATTCCCATGCTAAAGCACACTTCCTCGACGACTTCCACGAAGCTGGCCTTTGTCTGATCGCCGCGTCGTCGCGACTCGATACAACCGAGCGGACAAGCCAGAAGACAATCGGACACGTGCTCGGGAACGACCAGGCAGCTTCTACGTTTCAAACCGCGACACTTCGCGCTAGACGCGTCGAGCCTGTCATCATGGCATCGACTTTGCTGAGCAGCCAAGCTAACGGCCCGGATGGGCCTGCGAATGGCACCGACGGTCTCGCCGCACCAGCCTTCAAGAGCAAGCGCTTTTCGGACATCCCATCTACCATCGACATCCCCATGCAGGATGATGTCGAGGTTGAGATCGACCTTCAAGTGCTCCCCGACGACCCGACGGAGCTCTGCTCAGTGTTTGAAAATGAGCACTCGCCCAGGATATACTGGATGACGGTCGCACTGGCATACGCGAAGCAGAACAAGATTGACTTTGCTATCGAGATGCTCATCCGCGGCGCCAATGTCCTGCAAGGCAACCAGCGTGAGAAGCTCAGCATCATCACCTGCATATGCTGGCTGTATTTGTGGAAGAGCAGGGAAGCTCCCAGAGTCGCCCCCGAGGGCTCCCTGGTTTCCGAGGCAAGGACCAAGGAATACTACCTTCAATTGGCCACACAGAGTCTGAACGACGCGTCGCGCATCAACCCAGCATTCCCGCCCCTCTTCCTGGCCCGCGGTGTCCTGATTCTGCTCAAGGCTTCGCTTCAGCCACCGTCCAAGGCCCCGGGGGCAGTCGATTCTCACAAGGCAGAGCAGCTGCGCAACGCTCTCAAGTCGTTCGAAGAGGCAATCCGCGTCTCGCAGGGGAGGAACATGCTGGCCGTAATGGGCACGGCGCGAGCGCTCTTCTCTCTCGGGAGGTACCCAGAGTCCCTGGCAGCTTACCAAGATGTCCTCTCCAAGATGCCCGACCTGGTTGATCCCGACCCGCGCATCGGCATTGGTTCCTGTTTCTGGCAGTTGGGATTCAAGGACGATGCCAAAATTGCCTGGGAGCGCTGCCTCGAGATCAACCCAGACTCCAAATACGCAAACATCCTGCTTGGCCTCTACTATCTTGATGCCAGTGGCCATGTGCCAACTAACAGCCCAGAGTTCATCCAGCTGTACAAGAAGGCCATGACCGAATACACACAAAAGGCCTTCAAGCTCGACAAGAACCTGCCGCTCACTTGTGCGACTTTCGCCGGCTACTTCCTCTCCCGGAAGCAATTCGGGAATGTCGACGCCCTTGCCCACAAAGCCATCCAGTACACGGACGTCAATGCCATTGCCAGCGATGGCTGGTATCTACTTGCCCGGAAAGAGCACTACGACGGCGATCTGGAGCGCGCCAACGACTACTACCGTCGTGCCGACGACGCTAGGGGTGGTGCTGAGCGCGGCTACTTGCCTGCCAAGTTTGGCGTGGCGCAGCTGTCAGTGCTAAAGAACGATCTGGGTGAGGCGAAGCTCCGATTGGAGAAGATGATTCAGCAGTCCAAGAACTACGAGGCCATGGTTTTGCTCGGCACCCTCTACGCCGAGGAGGTGTTCGCCAATCAGTCGGCCGCGGTGAAGGAGGACAAGAGCGCCGAGGCGAAGAAGGCTATCGGACTGTTGGAGAGTGCCCGGGTCGCTTGGAAGGACCCCAAGAAGAACCTCGCACCGGACGCCGCCGTTCTGCTCAACCTCGCGCGCCTATATGAGAACGAAAGCCCGGATAAGGCACTGCTGTGCCTCCAGCAAGTTGAGCAGCTGGAGATCGATCAAGTTCCCCAATCAGAATACCCTGCCGACGCTGGGGATGAGGCGGCAACCCGCGCTGCCATCCGGAAACTACTCCCGCCACAACTCCTCAACAACATCGGCTGCTTCTACTCCCAAGACGGGAAGCATAAACTTGCCACCGAGTTTTTTCAGGCAGCTCTTGACTCCTGCGCCCGCATCAGCCAGACGGAGAACGAATTGGACATTGATGCCCTTCTGACAACAATCTCTTTCAATCTCGGTCGGAGCTATGAGTATGAAGGCGAGGTTGACAAGGCTGTCGACACCTATGAGCGCCTGCTGAGTCGCCACAGCGACTACACGGACGCGCGGACGAGGCTGGCTTATATCAATCTGCGCAAGAATCCGAACAAGGAAGGCCCAGACGCGGTCGCCAAGCTCTACCAAGAGATTCCTTCTGACTTGGAGGTTCGCGCCCTGTATGGCTGGTTCCTGGGCAAGGTGAACTCCAAGAAAAGACCGGCAAACATCGCAGAAGATCCCGAGCAACGCCACCACAAGCACACCCTCCAGAACTATGACAAGCACGATCGATATGCCCTCGTTGGCATGGGCAACCTGCATCTCATGTCGGCTCGCGAAATGCGCCGCGAGACGGACCAAGACAAGCAGAAACGCAGTGCTGCATACAGCCGCGCGGTCGAGTTCTTTGACAAGGCGCTGCAGCTTGATCCTAAGAACGCCTACGCGGCTCAGGGCATCGCCATTGCCCTTGTGGAGGATAAGAAAGACTACAAAAATGCGCTCCAGCTCTTCATCAAAGTGCGAGAGACCATCCAGGACCCACACGTCTACGTCAACCTGGGCCACATCTACGCCGAGCTGCGGCAGTTTACCAAGGCCATCGAGAGCTACGAGATGGCGCTCTCCAAGGAAGGCAAAGCCAACGACGCCGGCATCCTGTCTTGCCTCGGACGGACCTGGCTCAACAAGGGCCGCGCGGAACGCAATCTGGACGCCTACAAGATAGCCTTGGAGCACGCCCAGAAGGCGCTTTCAGTCGCACCCGACCAACTCCACCTCAAGTTCAACGTCGCCTTTGTACAGATCCAGCTCGCACTCACCCTGCACTCGATGCGCGACAGCGAGCGCACCTCGTTCCAGCTCGAAGAAGCAGCCGAGGGGCTCGAATCGGCCATCAAGGCGCTCGACGAAATTGCATCGTCCCCCTCGCCGCCGTACCCAAAACACGACATCGAGCAGCGCGCCAACATGGCACGCAACACTCAGCGCAAACAGCTCGAGCGCGCCCTAGCCAGCCAGCGCGAGTATGAGGCCAAGAACAAGGAGAAGCTGGCCGCGGCACTCGAGCAGCGGCAGGCCGAGCTCCGGCGGCGCGAGGAACAGCGCCTCAAGGCCGAGGAGGCGGAGCGCGAGCGCCAAGAAAAGATCCGCAAGGAGCGCGAGGCCATCGCCGCGCACGATCGGCAGCTGGCCGAGCAGCGCGCTGAGGAGGAGCGCGCGCGCATCGAGGCCGAGATGACGACCGACAGCGAGACGGGCGAGAAGGTCAAGAGGAAGAAGAAGTCTGCTACGTCGCGCCGGGAACGGGATTCGCGCTCGAGGGAGCCCGGTGGGTCTCGATCTGCTGGTGGTGGCAAGAGCGGGGGTGGCGGCAGGAGCAGGAAGAAGAAGGCGCATTCGGCGGGCGAGTCGGACGGGGAGGAGGAGGCGGATGGCGACAAGAAACGGCCGAGGAAGAGGCAGCGGCTTGCGAGCAAGAAGGAGAGCGCCAAGTTCAAGTCGGCTGAGATTGTCGTGGACAGTGATGAGGAGGAGGACGAGTTTGGGGGTGGGGGTGGGGAAGGTCGGGACGACGAGGATCCGCTTGAGCGGGCGGAGCGCGCGCTCGAGAGGTCTACCAAGCGGAGTCGCAGTGGGACGCCTGCTGCGGCGGCTTCTGACGAGGAGGAGGAGGAGAACGAGGAGGGTGGGCGCAGGCAGAGGCAGCGTCGTTCGCGGAGAAGGTCGTCTGGTGCTAGCGACGAGGATGATGCGGATCGGATGGATGTGGACGAGGATGCGGAGCGTGGGGGCAGGGGCGAGGGGGAGGCTGTGGGCGGTGAGGATGACGATGAAGAGGAGACTCTTACGCGAAGGCCGCAGGCGAAGAGGTCACGCCGTGGACGGATTCTGGATGAGAGCGATGACGAGGAGGAGGAAGCGGGTGCCGCGAGGGGCGCGCTTACACCTGGCGCCGGTAGCGGTGGGGAGCACGGTGGAAAGGCCGACACGAGCATGGTGGATGCTGAAGATAATGAGTGAGAGTCGAGCATATGGGATAGGGCAAGGCAAGATTGTAACATCAATATCTAACAAGTTGGCCCATCAAATTTGGTGCATTCTTGAGGAATACATAATATTGAACACTTGCTGGAGGGCCATGAGAAGCTTCTATTCGGTGTTCTCTATCCGGGCGTTGATAGGGGCGTTGATACATTAGCGTTGCCTGGACCAACTCGTCCCTGTAAAGGTAAGCCCCCTTTCCCCTCTTCGCATACCTACTACACGTTCCGCACAAATACACTTCAACATACAATCATCCATCACTGTCCCAACACAATCCCCCTCAACGCCGCTCGCTCATCCCACCCCGCCATCTGCCCATCCTCCCTCCTCTTCTCAAACACCCTATCCAGATCAAATAGCCCGACAAAGGCGAGGTCATCCTCCCCCAACGCATCAATATCCTCGTCGTCGACCAACCCCACAATCTCCCTCAAACAGTCGCGGTACACCCCGCAAGGGTAGCAGTCGTCGTCGCTGAGGCGGCGCTCGTTGGAGTTGGCTATCTGCGAGACGGTGTCGCCTACCAAGCAGAGGAAAATCAGGACTGGTTTGGCGAGGAGGAGGCTAGTTCGGGGCGCTTTTGGTGGGGGCTTGTTCTGGGCAGTCGTTGTCGTTGTCGTTGTTATCGGTGCAGCAGTTGGTCGGTTGTTGTTGTTGTTGTTATTAGCGATGGTGTTGGTGAGGAGGGGGTCGATCAGTGATTGGTCGATTATTACTGGCCCGGGCGTTGTGTATGTTGTTCTGGGGAGTTCGGTGGTCGTGTTTCTCGCGCTGCTGCTGCCACTGGTGCCGCCATAGCGGCGGATGATTTCGCTTATGTGGTGCCGCAGCAGGCTCAAGAACACGGCGTACCCTCCTAAATTCCGCGGCCAGTCAGGTAGGAGCTCTTTGAGGTACAGCAGGGCTGCGATTCGTAGGGCGGGCTCCAGATGTCCGGCTGGGCTATGGGGGGTTGCTGGGACGATGTGGGCGGTGGGGAGCAGCCGGTGGTTGGACATGTAATTCTGCGCTAGCGAGGCCCCGGGAGATGCCGGGCCCGCGGATCCAGTCGAGTAGGGATTGGCGTCGTTTGAGAGGCATTGTGAGGGACACTGGGCGGCACGAAGGGGTTGCGGCCGGGTTAGCAGGGCGAGTGTGAGGGCCTGCCATTCTTCTGTGAAGGCGTGTGGGTCGAAGTCCTTGGTGCCGGGGAATTCGCGGGCTGAGCGGATGGCCGAGACGAATGTTGACAGGGAGACGAGGGAGGCGATGACGTTTGGGTCAAAGTGAAGCGGGTAGAGAAGCATAGTCAGCGAGTTCAGGATTCGGTTGCAAACGCTGGGCGGCAGCGTGGCAGAGACGCGATCGTATTGGCGAGTGAAGGGGAGAAAGGGGGTTGAAGCAAGGGCTGTTGCGCCTCTGAGGTCCGCTCTGTTGACTCGTTAGAGGTGGCAACATCCCGGAGGCAGTCGAAGTCGGAGCGCACTTGTACATCTCAGCCAGCAGCCACTGTGGCAGCCCATGCTGAGCCCCTTGGACGTCAAGCATTTTCCGTAACCCACACATATGCAGATGCCAGTGGTCGAGACGACCAACGTAACACTATGGAACCAGCCAAACAGTTAGCAACTCAAAATTGCAGTCCCAGCTTCAGGGTGTGGGATGAGACGTACCCCTATCCAAGCCAATGTCGCGATGCAGTGCAGTGTAACCGAATCAGCGGCGTATTCTTGGTTCAGTTTCCGATTGATAATGGAGCATATCTTGGAGATGTGGTAGGAGAGATTATCTGGCTCCGTCTGAGTCTTGACTGCTTCAGCGATGCGCCCGCACATTAACACGCAGTGCTTCGCAGCCATATCCCCCGTGACCATGGAGTAGAAGTCGACGCCCCTGGCAGGATTATACGTCAGGATGTCTTCGTACGGGTACAGGCTGCGCGGCGTCTGCTCCAGGTGGCGCTTGAACAGCGCCCAATCCTCGTCAGACAGAGGAGAATCGGGCTCTGGCGCCGCACCCAATGCTGCTGTGGCTGGAAAATGCAGGTTGAGGGGGATCTGCAGCACCTCCCTGTTCCCGGTCGAGTGTCTGAGTTGGGAGTTTCCCATTTCGAACCGCAAAGCAGATGGATTCGGAGACGAGTGGGCTGATGGTGTTTCTGTCCCCGACGTTGCTGGCGATCTACCCCTCCGCGTGGCCGTCCGCCGCAGTCTCGTGCCCTGAGCAGTGCCCAGAGAGTCTTGCTCGGCTTCCTTCTTCTGAGATTCAAGCGCTTCCTTCCCAGATTCGCTGCCCTCTCCCACGAATCTGATTTCGGGTTGGGCCTGAGCGGGAGCTCCTGTTGCCCCTGAACGGACTGGCCGAGAGGCATCTTCAACTTGAGGAGATGCATTGACGAAGGATAAGCCGTTGAACTTTTGACGAGAGATTTGCATTCCCCGCCGAATCTTGACGAGCTTTCCATCCTTGATCGTTGTGTTGAAGTGCTCCATCACTTCTCTTCTATCTTGGCCGAACTTCTGTTTCGGCTCGAAGGGCCAATTGTACTTTTTCTGTCTCAAAAGGGGTAGCAAACAAGCACCCGAGCGTCTAAGGAGGCGTTGTGTAGCACAGAAGCCTGACCGCACGGAGCCAAACGATGATAAAGAGAGGATATGGTGGCAACGACTGCCCACGTAACTGGTCGAAGCCTTCGTGTGCTTGTAAGCGTGAGGCAGCTCCTTTAAGACCGTGCTCTAGGCGATGCCGACATCAAGCCGGCTGTGGTCCGGTGATGCCATTCACCAAGATCTCCCCAGCGAACCCCGTAGCTAACGTAACTTCTGAGCCTGTCTTGATGGGGCACCCGCCCTCAAAGCTGAGCGATAGAGCCTCCGGCAGGAAAGATCTGGTTCGGAGGGACTTTAGTGAAATACCTGCCCGGCAACCTACCGCATTCGGAGTGTGGAACACTGCTAATACCAATCAAGGCCTCTCTGCAACATGATGTCAAGCTAGCCTTAGGGCTATGAGTAATCAAGGTGCCAAGCGGGCTGGAGGGAGGGCATGTCCTCTTTCCCCAAACAGTCGCTCAACATGCCCCAATGTGGCAATTTTGGAAGACGAGACAGTTGGAGTTCAGACGACTCGACAACGCCACGTGTCTCCGGTAACACCGGCAGAAGGCTGACTGTAACGGCCCGGATGCCAAAGCTTGACAACGTCGATCGTGGTCGTCATTGCCGTTCGGCGCCGGTGGGGGTCTCACGTCAGCCTATCTATCATGTTGTCTCTCAAGTGTTGAACTTGCACCTGTTGGCTTACTGCCCGTCTTCAGTAAAATACCTCGCCCACCATCAGCACACGAGCAGTTCTCCACAGCTCGGCCGAGTGGACTTCTCCGTTCACAACGGTCGCCCTGACGTCCAATACGCCTGCTGGATGGTCGATCAAAATGGCGTCACTCGCATCATCAGCCCCAACAGCGAGCTGGTTAGGTATCGTCCCAGGCAGCCGCACGGCCGCACCAAGACACAGCGCAAGGGTCGGTGGCACTGCTTTGTGTGCCTGGCCCATCGAGAAAGCTAGGCATTTGATATTGACTCGTGGGGTTTGTTGAGCGGCTTCAGAAGGGAAGACGAGCACAATTCTGGGGACGCTCTCCGTCTTAGGATTGAGGCCCATCACAGAGACACCGGCCTGGCGGATTTGTTCCAGGCGGTCTTTCAGGGCCGCATCCGCATCGATGATGGCAGGATTCAGGGCGGTGGGGTCTTGGATGCCGAGATCAGAGACCCGGACAAAGACACCCGGGTTCGAGACGTCGACAAGGGAGGCCTCGATGGTGCTGCCGTCGGGAAGGCTAAGTTTGTCGACGGGGTTGCCAGTCGGCAGGGTTCGGCCAGTCTTAGCGCCTCCTGGATTGATAAAATCGAGGTCGATCCTCAAGTGCTTGCCCGGCACCCCGGCCAGCTCATGGCTTCCCCAGGGCAAATATGAGAGCCTGCTAGTTCCGCCAACAGGAAATGTTGAGTGCACAACTTTGGATGTATTGGTGTTCAAATGGCGGACCGTCGCCGCGCGTGTGTTTGTCCTGGGATCTGTGTGTATCGCGATGCCTTGTGACAGGCCATGATCAAATGCGACAGGCCCAACAATGGCCAGCATGTTGCCACAGTTGCCAGCCATGCCAGAGTGTCGTCCTTGATGCCAGTCTGCGCAAACGTGAACTCGATATCGGCGACATCTCGGTCCAAGCACGGGGATAGGATGCAGATTTTGGAGGTAGATGAGAGGCCCGAGCCCATGCCGTCGAGTTGGCGACCGTAGGGGTCAGGGGATCCCATCAGCGCGGGGAGCACCCCGTGCCCTAGCAGCAAGTCAGCAACATCATGGATACCTTCCAGGTTGATGTCGCGAAGATCAATGGGTATACTTACAGAGCTTCATACCCGGGAAGCTACGCCTCCAGATAACAAGGCCATTGGAGGTGCCTCCTCGAGCAAAGATGGCAGGGATACTTCGATGCCCGGTCGGCCTCTCCCATTCGCCCACTTCGGGCGACCATTGCGTCTTTAACCTCCTCATCGGCTCAGAATTTGGAGGGAAGAACGCGTTGCAAATCCGCGGCGGAACATCAAGGGAGGCCGCATGTTGAATGTATTCTACACTCCCGAAGTGACCCTGGGCCAAAAGATGAGAAAATGAAGGGAAAATAATAGTTGAATATGTCAACTATTTTATGTTGGCTCGACCTGTCATCTTGTGAGTTTTAAGAAGCTGGAAAAGATATGAACATACGGAATTTTAACCAAAAATAACCGAGCAAAGTAAGAACCGAATACTCGGGAAGACGAGCCTAATAAGGGCATAGTCGGTTTAGCAGTCACGATAAGATAAGCCCACAAACTCTCGGGACACCAAGCAACACAGTCGCTCTGTCCACATTGTACTCAAGAAAGTCCACCCAACCATGCGCGGAAAGAAAAGCAGCTGTGGAATGTAAGAAGTCGAGTCGCGGTCGCTACTCAAAGCCTGCTTTATCTCCCGCCTCGGAGGAATCCGCCTGGCCCATATCATCTAACTGCCGAAGCACCCATCCAAGATGGAGGAGGACGCGCATCCCCTCCGTGACATTGCGAACCCGGGCGTAAAGGCCCAAGGCGAGCTGCTTAGAGAGCTGCGCGCCGAGGTGTCCAACCTGCTCGGGCGCAACTCGCACAGCTTTCCCGGAGCGCAGCCTGTCTCGTTTGCCAGGAGACATCTGGAAGAGCTGCGAAGGGAGGAGTACGTTTGTTCCCACGATTCCTGGCGCATTTCCACCCAGTCAGGCTGACTGCTTGGTGCTGTTCTCCATATACAGCTACTACGTCTGCGAGAAATCCGACGGTATCCGCTACCTCCTCTACCTCACCACGGACGAGAACGGCCGCGAAACCCACTATCTGGTCGACCGCAAGAACGACTACTGGTGGTTGCACCAGCGCAACCTGCACTTCCCGCTCGCGCACGACCGCGCCGCCTTTCACACGGGCACGCTCATCGACGGCGAGCTGGTCATGGACGCGCTGCCCAACGGCGACAAGGAGCCCAAGTTCCTCGTGTTCGACCTGCTCGCCCTCGACGGGAAGGCCGACCTGCTGGCCAAGCCGCTCGACAAGCGGCTGGGCTACTTCAAGGAGCACGTCATGAAGCCGTACAAGAACCTGTTTGCCGCCTTTCCCGAGGAGCTGCCCTATCAGGCCTTTAAGGTGGAAATGAAGGAGATGCAGTTCTCGTACGGCATCGAGATGATGTTCCGCGAGGTGCTGCCGAGTTTGAAGCATCAGAACGACGGGCTCATCTTTACTTGTCGGACGAGCCCATATCAGTTCGGCACGGACCCCCACATCCTCAAGTGGAAGGCGCCGCACGAGAACACGGTCGATTTTCGGCTGAAGCTAAACTTCCCCCTCGTTGAGCCCAACGAGCTCGAGCGCGCCGACGGCGTGACGGAGCCGTTTATCGACTACGAGAGCGTGCCCGATGCTAAGTTGTTGGTCTTTACGGGCAGCGGTGGCGGGCGGCCCTTGTACGAGGAGTTCAAGGAGCCGCTGCACCTGACCGAGGACGAGTGGGAGACGCTCAAGAGCTGGGGGGACCCGCTGCAGGACCGCGTCATCGAGTGCAGCCTGGACGAGGAGAAGCGGTGGCGGCTGTACCGATTCCGGGACGACAAGACCGAAGCCAATCATATCAGTACTGTGAGTAGTGTTCTAGAAAGTATCAAGGATGCGGTGGGTGAGGGCGAACTGATGGCGGCGGCCAAGGGGATCAAGGATGGGTGGAAGATGAGGCAGCAGCAGCAGCAGAGGGAGCATTAACGGTTTTCGGGGGGGGGTTGAGGAGGTCGTTTCAGAGCAATGCTTCAGGGCCTAGATTTGGAGCCATGGCGTTATTGGTAACCACGTTAGGGTCTTGTTCGAGTAGTTGAACCTTCTTGGGAATGGGGTTGGCTTTTGTTCAAAGGGTAAGGCTGGGTATGGGAGGGTACAGTGTGTTATCCACGTGGGCATCAAGGAGTTGCTTGGGAGAAACTGACGCGTGAATTGGTTCAGTCACAACACAGTTCACCAAAGGCCTTACAGCAGTATGGAAACGAGTTTATTGGGTCAGAATTAGACTATCCGACCGATCATCAAAGCCACCTGCAACCATTCAGGTAGGCTATCCCATACTGAGTCCTTCTTTGCCCTTATCGACCTTACCATCCCCAAAGACAAAAAGGCATAACAATCGCACCAACCTCAATCAGGTACTTCCCATATCCTCTATGCTGGCTCTTAGACCATGAGCGAGAAACCGCAGGCAACGGCCATGACGACGCAGTAGAAGCCGCCCTTGACACCGCGCTGGTTGCCCTTGCCACCACCACCCTGGCCGCGGCCGCCGGCAGAGGCAGAGCTGCTGACGATGGTCGTCAGCGGGTGGCTGGGCGACACCGTCGGCAGGCTGTAGGTGCAGCTGCCGTTGGCCGAGGAGTGCATGGTGAACGAGGCCGTGCCGATCGTGCCCACGCCGCCGGTGCCCCAGGTGTGCATGAGGGTGGTGGAAGACGAGGTGGAGGAGTTGACAGTGGTTGTGGTGGTGGCTGTGGTGGTCACTGTCGAGGAGAGGGTCGTCGTCTCGTCCTCGGTCGGAGTCTGAGCCTTGGTACCGGTCGACGTCATGGTCGAAGTCGACGTGACGGTCGTGATCACAGTGCTGTCGCTGGTGCTGCTAGAGCCCGACCGGGGAGGCGCACCACCGGCGTTCGCTGTGCCGGTCGCGGCATCGACGCTGGCCTGGGTAGTGACGGTCACAGTCACGGTCTCGCGAGCCGCGCAGGACGAGTCGCTCTTGCTGGAAACAAGTTAACAGTTTGCTTCAGTCAAATTGATCTTTCAATGTGATACTAACCTGATTTCAAAAGAGATCGGAGTGACTGACACACTATTAGTGGCAGTGACAGCGAAGCCGTTCACAGTCGCCGTGATGGAAACAGCAGAGGGGGTGGGATAGGTGGAATCAGATATCGTGCAGGCAGAGTCGGCAGAGACAGTAGAGTCGACCTCCACAGCATGGACAACACCGCGAGTAATGCCGCTAGCCCAGGGACCCTCGGTATTCTGCGCAAGGGCACCGATGGAGTCAACTAAGCCAATGTCAGCGCTGAGCAGAGCACACAATATCGGAGAACTTACGGGCCACCGGGGCCAGGGTTACAAAGGCGACAAGGCCGGTGGTCTTCATCTTGACGTATTATCAAAGGCTATTGCAGCGCTTCCTTGTTAGCGATGTCGATTGCGGGGCTGGTGGTTCTTTGGGCATGGGTGAGAAAAACTGCTGAGGTAAGGGGAGGGAAGAAGATGGGCCAGATGCCATCACCAAAATAAAAGACAGAAACCCGTGAAAGGTTAACAAGGTGGATTGACTCAACACGCAGAGACAGGGTGATGGATCGGTCAAAACCGAATTTGTGGTGGTGAGATCTTGGCCTTAACGTCAAGCTGAGCAACTGCCGCGTCTGCGGATTTTCTCACGCGCGACAACTGACAAGAAAAAGTGCAGAACAAACACCACTTACTCCAATACCCAATCTGGGATGCCGAGATAGTCTCAACTAAACAGAAATGATGGTTGCGTGCGGGGTTGACGAGTTAGTGACCAGTGGTGCGAACACAAACAGAACAATCGTGAGGGTTGTTGTGGTGGTGAGAGCAGGGAAGAGGAAGAAAGACTGCTGGCCGAGAATTTACAGAGGCGCCGAGACGAGACTGATTCAACAGCTTTGAGTCTGCTCATTCTCGTCCAAAACGCAAGTGAAAACCCCCGGAAATCTGTAACCAAATGATTCAAACTTGGGACGGAATGACGGTTCTTCCCGGAATTTCGCTGCCAGGCAAACCGGATCAGAGACCAATGTGGCCGCCTATATACCTCTTCAGAAGTCAGAGGGCTTTTCAGAGAGCAGTACTGGTTCCCCTTCACAGGAGAGCTCCGGGCCTTACATAGTTCGTTTATAGGAATCCGCCCGATACCATACATGAGATGCCGGATCTGATCAAGCAGGATTCTCTTCCGTTAACCCAGCCGGTTTCCTCCTTTAATTCAGCCTTACTACCAGTTATGCCAAACCTGAAGAGATTTTTTCGGTTGTGGGAAAGCCCGGGTGTTGAGGATGGCATAGGAGCCAACAGTTGCTCTCGTCTCTCCATAAGCGTCCTTCAAGCAACTCGTCTTGACGATGGAAAAGCTGACGATAGCCTAGAACCAAAACACTAGGGGCCGTTAATCAAAGTGCCTATGCATTACTTACTCGGCCTAAGCACTTTACACAGCGAAGAAGAGACCACCGTCTGTCTCTCCCGGGAGATGGAACGGTAACAGTCCAGCGAAGGCGCTGCCAGAACCTCTCGATTGGAACAAGACACCTGGTCTGCCCATACTGCAACAAGATACGATGGGATGACGTGCGTTTCCATTGCCAAAGAGTACCATGGCAAAGTCATACCAGCGTCGTCAGCAGATCAACGCCCTAGTGCCGAGCTTGGTTCTGAAAACTGGCAACACAAACCGGTAAGTAAACAGTACCCCTGAGTCTTGGCATCGCGGCAGCCCTCTCCATCTGAGAAAGGGGATTCCAGCTATTCTCTCAACTAGACTAGGTTCAAGTCCATGGAGAATTAGTACGGATTTTCCTTTGTTCCCTGATTCCTGATTGTTAGGCTTGTATTCTTTTTGTGGGAAAGTGGAATGGAAAACGATTGCCTTGAGGTTGAAGTGTGAGAGACAGGACTTTGGTTGCCCAGGCAGCTCCGCCTTTGGGGGCTAATTACGGACATACTGTGACCCAGGATTTGCGCCACACCAGGACCCACTCATCGAAGCTCCCAAAAGCTACGCGATCCGAAGGCGCGTACCACTCAACGTTCTCCACCGATAATTATCATGGACAGACCGATGATATCCAACATTCTACTCTCTTAATATACTGCTCGGCCCAACACCGCGATACGGGCACCTTAGTGCGGGCTCTGAAATAGCGCACTTGGTCGAAAGATCCGACGTGCCACTGTTGGTCCCCCAGCAATTCTGCGAAGCGCGTCAATTGTTCGTTGAGGTCGCAGACACGCGCTGCCGGCAGCCCACTCCCACCTCCATTCCCGCACTCCCTGTCTGCTCGACGGCCGACCCGAAACCAATCCCGATTCGACCTTTGCCGCTGTATCGGGATATCTGTTCTGCGACGCAATTGACCATCGTCGCGCGCACCATGGCGCCTCGCAGGAGCTCCGCCGCCGAGGCGGAGGAGCAGGAGCCAGAGGAGGGAACCGTCAAGCTGCAGTTCAACGAGCCCCTGACATGGCGCCCTGGAAAGCCGATCCCGATCGATACACTTCTCAAAAGGCTCGATCGTCTGACCGGGGAACTGGCCGAGATGGACCAGGAAGCCACCGATGCGGGTTCGCTCGTCAAGGTCGCCAAAGACGTTGCGTCGAACCAGCTACTCAACCACAAAGATAAGGGAGTGCGCGCCTACACAGCTTGCTGCGTAGTGGATATCCTCAGGCTCTGCGCTCCCGATGCGCCCTTCACCCCGTCCCAATTGAAGGTCCGGCTTCCCTCACCAGCGCATAACATCCGGCTTGGCATGACTGACTGAAAACGACGTCTAGGACTTCTTCAACCTCACCGTCACCTCCATCATACCGTCCCTTTTTGATCCCTCGAATTCTTACAACAACCAGCACAAATATGCCCTGCGCTCTTTGGCCGAGATTAAGAGCATTGTCCTGCTGCTCGATGTCGACGGGAGCGAAAGCCTCCTGCTCCACCTCTTCTCTACCATCTTCGACGGTGTCTCGGGGTCAAAGTCGGCTTCAGGGGAACAAGTCGCCAAGGATGTCGAATATAGCATGCAGGAGTTGCTGAGCGTACTCGTTGAGGACGCTACTAGCCTGCCCGCAAAGGTTGTGGACGTCATGATGGCCCAGTTTCTGCGAGCCGCGGCGCCCGGGAGTGGCAGGGAGAAGCACAACCACGCACCGATTGACGACAAGCAGGCGACGCTTCTGGCCAAGGAGGAACCCGAGGCCTACCAGATCGTGAAGCACCTGTGCCAGGTGTTCCCCGATAAGATGGCCCGCTTCGTCAGTCAATACTTCAGTGACGTTATTGTCGACGCGACGAACTTTGCCGGAACCTCCGGCCACAGGGACGGCGACGCCGAGGATGACGAAGGCCCTTCCGGCCCGACCGAGTCGGATCTGAGAGAGTTGCGGAAAGCGCACACGCTCATCCGGGAGATCTGGAAGGCCGCGCCCCAAATTCTTCAGAACGTTGTCCCCCAAGTCGATGCCGAGCTTTCTGCCGACAATGTCCATCTGCGCCAACTTGCGACGGAGACGCTAGGTGACATGATCTCGGGAATCGGAGCGGCCGGCCCACCCCCTCCTCCGACACTGGACCCAGCCGCTTATCCACCGCTAAGGTTGGATGATGAAGACAAGACCGAGGCGCCGGCAGCCAACATCTTGACCACGCCGCTCTCGGCACTCTCCTTCTCTCAAACACACCACACGACCTTCCACAACTTTCTCAGCAGGAGGAATGATAAGGCAGCCGCTATTCGCGCTGCTTGGACAACGGCGGTCGGCTACATCCTCTCGACATCGGCCGGCGGTATCGGGCTCGGGCGTGAAGACGAGACCGCACTGATTCAGGGCATTGGCGAGAAGCTCTCGGATAGCGACGAGAAGGTCAGACTGGCGGCCGTCAAAGCCGTCGAATGCTTCAGCTTTCGGGACGTAATCCTCAAGCTCGGGCCCAGTGGAGGCGTCGGCAAGGAGGGATCAGTCTTATCCACTCTGGCCGATCGCTGCCGCGACAAAAAGCCAGCGGTGAGAGTGGCCGCCATGTCACTGTTGGGAAAGCTCTGGGGCGTTGCCACCGGGGAGCTGCTCGCCGGCCACGAAGCAGTCACAGCTGCTCTCGGAGCTGTCCCCAGCCGCATATACAACTCGTTCTACGCTAACGACCTTGAGCTCAACGTCTTGTTGGATCGTGTCATTTACGAATGTCTCGTACCCCTTGCTTATCCGCCATTACCGAAGAAGGCCTCAAAAAGCGCTGCCTCCAATGGGAGCTCTCAAGCCGCCGGAGCAGCAAATTTCGACCCAGATGCGATACGAGCGGAGAGGATACTCCTCCTTGTCCGCTCTCTCGATGCTACGGGGAAAAAGGCCTTCTTTGCCATGCAAGCCAGGCGGCCCCAGTTCGCACACGTACTTGAGACCTACATTAAGCAGTGTGACCAGTTCAACGGAGGCGTCACGGACGACGATGGCCCCAAAAAGCTTGCTAACCTCACCAAAACAACGCGATACATCTCACAATTTTTCCCCGACGGAACCAAGTCAGAGCAGGAGCTCTATCGGTTCGCCAAGCTCAACGACCGCCGCAGTTACAACCTGATCAAATTCGTCATTGGCCAGGAACATGATTTTAAGACGGTCCACAAGGCACTCAAGGAGCTGATGAAGCGCATTCAGACCAGCAAGGACCCTGCGATCCGCGATACATTGTTACCTCTTCTCTACCGGTCCGGCTGTCTAATGTTCAACCGCAGCCACCTCGCTACCATCATGGAATACTCCAGGTCAGACAAGGACAACATGGGGGCCGCGGCCCACGAGATACTGAACGAGATATCGCAGCGGAATCCGGACCTGTTCAAGACACACATTGGGCAGCTTTGCAAGGACCTTGTGGATCAGGCTCCGACACAGACCCGCGAGAACGACCCGGCAATTGTGGAGACGTTGAAGGCCTGCTCGACCTACGCCCAAAAGTACCCCAAGGACGTACCGGCGGATAAGGAGTTTGTGCGGACCATGATCAACTACGCACTCTACGGCCAACCCGCCCGGGCTGCCAAGTATGCGGTGAACATCATGCTCGCCAAGAAGGACGAGAAGAGCCTGGTCAGCGCAACCGACCTCCTGCAGCGGACACTAAAAGACTGGTCGTACGGCGCCAAGCACTTCCTCAACAGGCTGGCCACAGTGAGCCAACTGGAACTTCTCGCGCCAAAAGTCACGCTTGAGGACGAGGAGAAGATATTGAGCATGGCAGTCCAAGAGGTTCTGCTTGAGGTCCGGACAGAGGCAAGCAGCAAGGATCCGGATTGGGTTGACGACGCCGACCTGGATGAGGAGTGTCAAGCCAAATGCTTGGCCCTCAAGACCCTCGCTAACCGATTGAGGAGCACCGAGGACGTTGACGAGGCCAAAGAGAAAGCGAAGCCGGTCTGGAAACTGTTCATGAAGCTTGTACGATCCAAGGGAGAGCTCTCGAAAACGAAGAAAACGCCAAAGCACCACCGGGCACGGCTAAGGCTGCTTGCGGCACAGCTGCTCCTGAAGCTGTGCACACAGAAGCATTTTGACGAGATGCTCTCTGCCGATGACTTCAACGCCGTCTCGCTCACAACCCAGGATGCCATTCAAGAGGTCCGCCATGGATTTATCAAGAAGCTGCAGAAGTACCTGGCGGATAACAAGCTGCGATCCCGGTTCTACACCATCGTGTTCCTGATGGCGTTTGAGCCAAGCGCCGACTTCAAGCAGCGGACCGAGACCTGGATCCGATCGCGGGCGCGCCACTTCCAGGACCACAAGCAGCCCGTGCTCGAGGCCGTCATGCCCCGCCTGTTGTCCCTCCTCGCCCACCATCCCGACTACAGCGCCGAGCTGGACGAGCTGGTCGACCACGCCCGGTACATGCTTTTCTACGTCAGCCTGGTGGCAACCGAATCCAACCTCGGCCTGATCTACAAGTACGCAGAGCGAGTCAAGCAGACGCAGGACGCGCTGGATGCGGGCAGCAACAACCACCAGGTGCTGAGCGACTTGGCACAAGCCGTCATCCGGAATTGGCAGGAGAAGAAGAACTGGGTGTTCAACGCCTATCCGGGCAGGGTGGGGCTGCCCGTCGGCTTGTATACGGCGCTCAAGTCCCACGACGAGGCGCAGGCCATAGCCGAGAAGCAGCTCGTGCCCGATGGCATCGACGAGAAGCTCGACGAGCTTCTACGGGCCATGGATCGCAAGAAGGTGCGACACCTACCTACCTCCCTTCTTCCACTTTTGTATGGAGACGCGGACTAATCCAGTTTGTCTTATTAGAAGCGTAAATCTGTAGACGACCGCGGCGAGTCCCACCAGCCCTCCAAGAAAGCCCGCGTCCAGTCCAAGGCATCCGCAACACCCAAGGAAGCCAAGTCCGCCAAGAGCGCGGCACCGAAAAAGGCCGGTAGCACACCCAAACCAAAGAAGACCAAGGCGAAGAAACCCGAAACCGAGAGGGAGATTTCAAACGCCGAGCGCCGGCGCAGCGGCCGATCGAGGAATGCGAACCGGTCGTACATGGAGCGCGACTCGGAAGACGACGATGAGGAGATGCTTGATGGGGTGGCTGAGTGGACGTATGAGAACGGTGATGGGTCTGGCTCGGGGAGCGAGGATGAGGGCGAGAATGACGGCGGGGAGGATAAGCAGGAGGCGCGGTCTGGGACGGAGGACGAGGCTGAGGCTGAGGCTGGAGAGAAGAGCGAGCAAGAAGAAGAAGCGGCGGTGGTGCAGGAGAAGGCTGTCACTCCCAGTGAGAAGAAGAAAGCGAGCACGACAAAGGCGGCATCAAAGTCCAAGGCGAAGGCCGCGCCAGCAAGGGAGGAGAAGGAGGAGGACGACAAGTCTGGCAGTGAGCTGTCTAAGCCGGAGGAAGGGGACATCGAGATGGAGGACGCAAATACCAACAAGGGCGAGGAAGAGGAAGAACAAAACGAGGAGAAGGCGGATGAGGATGAGGACGAGAATCAGGAGGACGAGGAAGAGTCGGAGGCTTCGCCACCGCCTCCGCCGTCTCGCAACACACGGAAGGCGAAAGCTAGTGCGTCCGCCGCCCCGGCACGGAAGGCAAAGCGTGCTGCTGCCAAGAGCAAGGCTGCACCCAAGGCGAAGCCCGCTACAGCCAAGGGTGCCGAGAAAGCTGCCGAGAAAGCTGCACCGCCGGCAAAGGCGGGTGGGAGAGCTACCAGGGGGAGGAAGTGAGCATGGAAAATCAGGCTGGAGATTGCTTGCTTTTCTGAGTCGTGGATACGGGACGCACCAAGGATGCACGGCACTCATGTGGTAGTGGAGAATGCTTTTGAGCGCTGAGGACGCAAGTTGTTGAAGCCGGGGTGATGTGGAACGATGGGCCCGTACTTCGAATGATGACGAGGTGTTCTATGCTCCAGCACTTCGCCACGGGGGTTATGGCAGTCCCTTCTGATCTTCGTCATGGCTGATGAGCGTGGCTGTCGTTGTTCAACTTATGTGTATTCAAAATCTGTTCATACCCGCCGCGATAACCCCTCGTTCTCTGTCATTTTTCTGGCGGAGCGATGGGAAGATTCCAGGGGTCCGTTGCTCTGCTACTGCTGCTGCTGCTGCTATAGTTTGCTCTTTCCATTGGTAGCCAGACTGGATGATGACAGCGTATTGGCGAAATACCAACTTAGTGCGTCTTCACATTTTAACATGACTCCAGTGTCGAGGTGTCTGGAGAGGCCGGATGTAACCCTGATGGTAACCAGCAAGGAATATTGCATTATATAGCGCAGTCGTTGGTGCTTAAACAGACACTTGATTCCTCTCCACCGCACTGCAGCTGCTTGATACAAAAATATAACGGCATGGTCATAGCATGAGCGCCCACGCGCCAACGATTGAAAGCCATGCCACGCTCGACCACCACGGCCCCTTCAGCGTCGAGCACAGGCTCTGCTCCTCCGATACCGTCTGGTTGTTCGTCATATTCTTTTGATCCATGAAGAACCAGCCCGCAGCGCTCGAGTCGTCGGGCGTCACATCCGGTATCCTGCACACCGCCTTGGGCGCCGTCGGGTCGCGGCACCGCGCCTCCCAATCGCGATGTCGCTGTGTCAGGGACGAGTTGAAGTAGGCCTTCACGTATCGGACCGCCAGCGCCGCGTCTTGGGTCGGGGGCCCGCCGGACCAGTATCGGTTCCCGTTGCTCCAGTGCTGCAGGATCAAGTGGCCCGGCGACGATGGCACCGCGGGCCCGTCCATCTCGGCTAAGACGGCGCCGTCGGCGTAGAAGAAGACGCGGCCGGGCAGGTAGTCGATGCGGTACTCGTGGAAGTCCGCTGTCGGGTCGAACGGCAGGTACGCCTTGACGAAGTTGCCCGTCTTGGATGCGTCGTACCCGGCCAGGGCGGCGTCGCGTGACTGCAGCACGAGGTTGACCGGGTAGCTGCGGTTGGCGGCGTTGAAGTCTTTGGACAGGAACTCCATGTCAATCTCCTGCGTGTCGTTGAAGTACTATTCCGGTTTACCCAGACACAGAAACTTATCAGCATCCCTAACAACACGGGAGACACTTCAAGAGACGGCAGCAGAGAGAGGCAAGTTACCCAGAAGAAGGCCGCGCAAGTCCCCTCCACCCGCGACATCTTCATCGACGCCCGGAACGTGCCCCACAGGAGGTCCAACCGCTGCGTATCCAGCTCGGCAACAGGCACCATGCCGTCGACGAGCTCGCTGCCGACCACCAGCTCGAGCTGCTGAGTCTCAGCCTCAGCCGGCGACGGTGGCGGCCCTCCACTGCTGCTGCTACGGCCGCGTACACGCACGTTCTCGGCGGCAAACATCTCGCCGTAGTCGCCCCTCGCCCGCTCCCGGGTTAGGTTGAACGCCTGACGCGCCCAGTCGTCGGTGTTGTGGAAGAGGTCGTCGTCGTCGTCGTCGCTGTGGACGCTGGTGAAGTCCGTTTCGAGCAGTTCGGTGAAGAGGGCGGCATACTGGCCGTTATTATTATTGTTGCTGCCATCGTTGGAGGTGGAGGCGGTGGTGCCGTTGATGGTGGAGAGATAGCCGCATTCGCAGTCTGCGAGGGCCAGCTGGGACCAGGAGACGAGGAGGAGGACGACGAGGAGAAGCAGTCGCGGGAGAGCGGTAGTAGTGCGGAAGATTGGGCGGGAGGAAATAGTAGCGGGTTTATTAGAGAGCAGTAGCAGCAGCCTCAGAAATTGTTGGAACGGCGCAGACATGGCTACGGAGATGAGTCCATGGCCCATGGCAGAATCCCTTTCTGACTCCCTTCGAGCTCTGAGCCTTCTCAGAAGCGGAAAACGAAGCAAACGTGAACACGCTTTCCCTCCGCCTGGCAGTGGAGGCTCCCCTGCTTCAAGAAAGGTGGTTCACGTTACGCAGGGCCTGGAGAACGCAGCCGTCACACGAAGCTGTGAGTGAGAGAGAGCAAGCAACCGACATCCGACCCAGTCCAAGAAGGGCGACAAGACCGACCGACCACAAGAACCTCAAGGTAATTCCGAGACGACAACCCTTTGGCAGGTAACACATACCAAGACTTCTGTACCGGGAAACATTCCCAACTCAACGGACGCCTGTCTTGCAACAAGTCCCAGCTCGGCAAGACGACATACCTGCTTAGCAAGGACCGGATGGAAGCAAGTCTTTCAAGGCAGATCATGCGACCAGACCGGGCCCGGACTCGAAGCACCTTCATTTGGTGCGACAGAAAGGCAGGCGCCCGAAGAGCTCGAACAGCAGAACACAGCCAGAAAGGGGAACATGCAGGAACCCGTGTTTAGTGGCAAGAACCAACGGCACATTGCACCAATAGACCAGCCACTGTCAGTCGGTCAGCTCGTGAGGGCACTTAGTATTCAATTCCCATGTCCACCACAACAAGTTCAAGAACACAGGGCGTCAGGGTACCGTGTTACATACCTGACTGGCAGGGAGGACGAGAGGGCCGCATATTCTCAACCAGACAGACAGACTACGGGATCGACGTGAATAGTGGAGATGCGCATTTGATAAGGGCTGGTCGCTGTAAATATCTCTCTACCTGTCAACCGAATCAACCCAATTAAAGAGACCAACGATAACCGACCGCGAAGGAGAGATAAAAAACTGATTGTCAATCTTGTGTGCTGAACGAGCTCTGCACTGCTATCGCTGTACCAGGATAAGTAGAGTTTCAAGAACAAACGACTACTAAGAGGAAACCCTCCCGCCCACCAACGTCCCAGCCGCCCATCCATCCGCCCGAGTACCTCCTTCCTAGATCCCGCCCGTATCTAGTACAGGAAGTAGAACAGATGGGGCAAAGAAAACACACGAGAGAAAAAATCGCAAAATGAGGCAAAAGACTCAAGGAAAGAACAGCAAACAGTATATCGAACAAGGTATCCGAGACGAAGCGAAGAACAGAAGACCAGAAAAAGACGAGAAGCTGTGAAGGAGAAGGATTAAAAAGTCAGTAAGCGGTTTTAATGAAACACGAAGAACGAAGAAAATTTGAAGCCCTCCACATGGACCAGCCAACAGTGCAGATATTAGGGTTTGCGGGAGCGGTGGTCCTCCCACTGGACCACTGTGAATGCGAAACCGTACCAAACCTGCCCCCATTTGCCGAGCCCATGAAAAACGATAAATGCAGCAGTCACCCAGAGGAAGAACGCAATCCCCGTAGACGGTGATGTAACCCCAACAACCCCATCCGCGCCAGAACCCGACCAACGAAAGACACAACCCACAAGGGAATAATGGAAAAAGAGGTAGGAAAAGGCAAAGAAGAAATAAGCGCAGAGAGGTATATGCCCTAGGAAACCCCACCCAAACCCAGCAGACAGCAAATCGTCAACGTCATCAAACTAATACACGCTGTCCTCGTCCGCGCCTTGAGACGTCATGGACGGCGTCGAGACGCTTGAGGATGCAGCAATATCATCCACATAGCCGATCAAGGCCTGCGAGTGGAGCCGGAAGGACTCTCCCATCAGCCGGGTGATTCTGTGCCAGGTTGTTAGCAAATATACTCTAGGTCGGAACTGGCAGGGAGGAAACAAGCTTACCCCCAAACAACCACCTCATCAAGCATGGAACCCCAGAGACGGGCTACGACGGAGCTCAAGTGATCAACATAAGTTTCGTCGAGATCCTTGTCAAACAGCTGACGGATACGGTTGTACATGACCGTCTCCTCTGCCGTCGCGGGCTCCTCGTCATGTTCCAGACGGTAGAGCCAGAGGCTGAGGACGATCATGAGATCCATGCCGCACAGGGGGTGCTCAATGCTCCAATTCGTCGGCGAGGTGCGGGCCACCCAACGGACACCCTGGACAACCGCCGTTTCGATGCAGTTGTAGCACTCCTGAATGACCTTGATCATCTCGCTCGAGCGCTTGACGCGATCTCTCGCGTTGGACATGGCCGCCGCGACCTCATACGAGTCGTGGTACCGCAGCGCCTCCTGAACCGTCTTCAAGTCCACCTCGAGCCGAGCGCGTGCATTGCGGAACATAGCCTTAGCATTGAAAATCAGCGGATGGCCCTTGTGAGGCGCGCTCAATGGCACCGAGAAAGCCTCGGGCTCGCAGAGATCGAGAGACTTCTCCCACGTCTCGAGCGCGAGCCGCAGCTTGTACTCGGTAACCACGTCTTGCAGAGCCTCCGGGCTGCGCTTGTGATACCAGACCTCGAGGAAGAGCGCGTTGATCATGACGCGAGTAGCAAACGCGCTGTACTTGAGTGTCTCCCCTTGGAAGAGGTTATCGTGAGCGTCCATGAACGTGACGCTAGGAGAGATCCTGAGGTGATCTTGCCAACCGTCCTCGGACACCTTGAGATTCCACAGGGCCTCCGTGGATGGCAGCTGGAGATCCTCGAACTCGTTGAAGCTGATGGCCGGCGTGTGGTTGTATGTGAGCGTCAGCAAACCGAAGAATATGTAGACGGCGTAGTATGTACGACGGCAACCTTCGTCTTCGACCCACTCGGCCCGAGTCGGCGGTCGACCTTCACGGGCTTCTTGGCGGAGCTTTAGTTCGTAGCGATTTCCAGCAACCATGTTGGCAAGCAGGCTCTTGATGGAGCACGCCCATTCAAGGCCCTTCGGATCACCACTCCAGCTGGCAAAGATCATGTTGAGCAGTGAGCTCTGCATTGTCCAAAGCGGGCACTTCCGTGAGCTGAAATTTTCCTTATTCTGCAGGAACTGGTTGACCAGCACCTTGGAGCCGATGTGGAGCATATAGGCGTGCTCTTGGTCGAACGCGTACAGAGCGCCAATCGAGAGGACAGCCAGGAGCAAAGGAGGCGACACCTGGGTTGGCTCAAAAGAGGCCGGGTGCAGGAATGGCAGGTGGTGGTGGAAGAGGCCAAAGTAGGTCGCCAGATAGCGGTTCAGAGATGGCAGGCTAGGGACGCGGAAGCCTTCCGGGATGGCGTGCTCGCTATCAGTGTGGCGGATATTGTCCAATATCATGTTCCGTTCTTCATCGCTGTTGACTTGGGGGAGCTTAAACCCCGCCGCCGGGTGAGACGCGTCGACCGAGCTCTGGGTAGGCTGCGGCAGGAAAGGCGACTGAGGGTTCGGCGTGCCTGCGGCCGAAGCGGGAAGCGAATTGACGAGGGCTTGCAGGCCAGGGGCCATGCTGTTGGCACGATGGCCGGCGTGAGTAGACAGCTGGCTGGAGTTCAGTGGCTCAAACGACGCCGATGCAGCCGAGGCGATGGAGTGTGGCTTATGTTCTTGGGCCATGAGGCCTTCCCACTGCGGCAAGCCGATTGCGCCGTTGGGGTAGGTGACCGAGGGCTCCATCGTCGACTCGCTGTGCGTGAAGGACATGGCCGAGCTGCCTTGGTAATGACTGCCACCGGCTCGAGCCGCTGCGTTCGCTTTTTGCTGCAGGTCAGCAACCAGCATAGCAGCAGTCTCCACGTCAAAAATACCCTCGCTGCTGGCTTCGATCTGCTCCAGAGCAGAAGTATCAAGCGCGATGGCAGACTTGGAAGGCCCGCTGACAGGCCTGGCAGTCTTGGGTCCGCCGCGACGCTTGCCGTCGCTGTGGAGGGGCACGCCACCATCTTTAGCATGGACAGTGCGGTCATGACGGAGGAGGAGATCGCGTCGCACGAAGGTGCTACGGCACTTTAGGCACTTGAACGGGCGCTCTTTGGTATCTGTACCCGCATGTTAACATTATCTAGGTAGCCGAGGAGCAGGATACGATCAAGACTGTGAGTAGGAGAAAATCAACATACGAGATCGCTCATGTCTGCTCCTGTGCTCGCTCCGGCTGAAGGCACGATTGCAGAACTGGCACTTGTACTTTCTCTCCGGGGCGAGTGAGGTCTTGCGGGTAGCCGGTGTTGATGCTGCCGATGGAGCCATGACGGCCACGCTTGCGCCAGGCATTATGGTGACGATCGTCGGCCTTTGCAGCTGGGGACGGGAAAACCGGTCGGCTGCAGTGTGGATTGACGGCGACGACGACGATAACAACGGCACTCCAAGGTGGTGTGTTGGACCCTCCTCACAGAACGATAGTTGAAATCGCCTGACTCCTTCCTCGCTCGCTCGCGCGCTCCCGTGGGATTTAAAGTGTGTCTTCGGGACTCTGAGTCGTGTAGCTGCTCATTGGTGATATGATCATGGGAAATAGATGTCGACGTGGGGTTTGAATAAATGGCCTTCGCCAAGTCGATCGGTGATGTCGTCTTGCTGCAGAGAGCAAGACTTGATGTGCAGGCGCGAGTGGTGGTCGGCCGGGAATGATGCGAGAATGCAAGGTGAAAAGCGGGAGGGGTTTTCGAAATGGCTGACGAAGGGGGGACAAGAGGGGGGAAATGGCTGCGGAGGTTCGCGGAGGGGAGAAAGGAAGCTGGCCAATGCAAGTGGGGGTGCGGGCACAACGACCAGCGAGCTGCGTGTGAAAGGTGGGCACAATTTTGCTTTGTCCCGAATCAGTCTAGCGGCTCGCGGTCCCCAGTGAAGCCGGGAACGAGTAGCCTGTGGACCCACCGAGTGGTTGGGAATCGACAACCAGTCGAACGAATACTTGTCTCCCAAGGATGACCGTTTGTCTGCCCCGGCTTCCCCTTAACAGCGGCGGTTCAACAGAGCGGTGAGGGTTTTTGGTGTGTGTTGTAGCTTAGTTTCTGCGCCTCTTCTATCAAGCAGAAAGGCTACCTAGTAGCGAGTCGCGCAGCTGTCACGGAAGAAGTACCTTGGTGGCCGGAATTCGACTGTTCCAAATGAGGTGGGGTGGAAAGGGGAGAACGCGGGGCAGGGACTGAAGTTAGCACCGGAGGTCTCCATCTTAAGAATGTCACGAGGCTTGAGTGTCATGCTCATCACATTTACTTTCAAGCCTAACGCGTTGGAGAACGGAGTTTCCGGGCTCGCGTTTGGCAGCTGGAGCCGGAAATTGCCCACGTCCCCATTTGATACGGCACCCGTGTTTGCTTCTTTTTCCAGAGAATGCGTCTCCATTGCCCCTCAACCTCAGAGATCTTCGCGGTAATGCAGATAATCAGACCCTCTGCCGCACTGATAAGGTGTCTCTCCCCGTCCTGAAGAATTTGGCTGAACAAAAACCGTCTGACAGCAGTCATTGACAGCCACATGGCGACTGCTTTGGCTTCGAAAGAGCAGTGGAGTTCAGAGCTGCAAGAGCTTCAGATCCTTGGGACGGAGTGGGTCTGAGCAGCATTGCGTTGTCATCCCGCGATCGCGGGGCTTCGCGAAGCAAACGAACGGAGTCAGAGGAGAATCCACTCTTCTCAAGAGCTGCTGTTGCCGGTGCTCATCAGCCCGATTTTGGCAGAGCAGTGCATAAATAACAGAAGGCCCCACGGGTGAAGACTGCAATGCTGCAAATACTTGAGCAGGGCTGCGGCAGCAAGCATTCACAGCCAATAGCTTATTACTGGCCGTCGTGGACATCGAAAATGCCACATCGACAACGTGGAAGTGTCCCGTGACCACGTCTCAACCCGCGAGGCAAGCTCTTTCGGTCGTGGATTCTTCCTTTGCACAACAAACCACACAATGAAGACTAGTTATGAAACAGTCGGCGGGGTCAATCGCATCATTCAGAGAGCTTTGAGGCGAGAGTTTCCTAGCCCCTCCACCTCCCCTCATCAGCCTGTCATCAGACCATTGCTTGCCTGATCATGATGGGAGATTCATCGGTTCCAACAGCGCGGTGGCAGCTGTGCTCCACAACCCACCGGTCAGGCTTGATGTCTTGGCGGCTTGGCCTAGGAGCCCACAGAGAACCACGACGTCCCATCCACCCGCCTCATCCATCACAGCTGAGGGCATCAGTTGGAGGCGAAAACTTCCAGGTGAATAAGCAAACAAAACTGGAGGCCGAACCTCTGGCAGGTCTGGACGCCACGGGCGGCCTGCGTCCGTATCCTCTTGTTTGGATGAACAGAGTTTTTCTTTCCCCTGAAATTGCGCGCACGGTGGTCGTCAGCCAGCCAGCAAATTGCGCTAATCCGGGGCGGAAGTTGAAGCCGGTTTCCTAGGTTCCCGGCGTCGGGAATGCAACCCCTCCAGACCAAGGAACCTTCCATTCGATAAGCACCCCACCTCCCCACCTGCACGAGAGTTGCAGCCGGGTGCATTTGGAGACGGGAGCTGCTTCCTGTTTCGATATTTTTGACAGAGAACGGCCGGCCCGCAGCCAGTCGGTGCGAGCGCGCCGCTGCATTCTGCTGCAAATGGTGCGGTTCTCGTGATGGAGGGAGGATTGATGAGGGCACCGTCCGACAGCTGAGGAGGGTTTGAGGGAACCAACACCGCCTCGCGCTCGAACTACTTGCTGACTGCCCCTCCTTTTTCAGCGTTGGGACATTGAACATTGCTTTTCTCCACGACGGGTTTTCGGGTGCCAACAAGCAAACCTGCACCGTTCCGGGATCTCATCAGCCCCAACGAAGCTCTCGGGCCAATTCCCCCTGCGTTTGCGGAAGTAGGACCACGGATACGGAAGGCTGGAGCTCTCATTTTGAGACTCGGTGATTCTACCTAACCAGATATAGGTATGATCGGGGCACAACCACAGTCGCACGCACAAATCTTTTACGACCACTCTGGGATCAAATGGCGGCTGGATTTCGGAATTTGACGGGCTGAGAGTGGAAGGTTTCTGGAAAAAGGAAAGCGGCGCGAGCCACCCATGTTGCTCGGCGCGCTCGGCAACAGGCCGGTAGCGACCATCGAGGTTTCGATCGAGGCTCATCGCCCAAACCATTGTTGATCGCCGTCGGCCACAACATTTTGTCACTGCGGCTTTCTTATCATGGGGCGCCGTTCCCCGTTGTTGAATATCGCGACACTCTTCTGTCGACTCGTCGTCTTTCCTGGTCATCGCCTTCCCTCGCGCTGATGGCGCCGGTTTGCTTCTCCTTCTCGGTGTGCTCTCTTCCACTGTTTCAGCATTCCGCATGAAGCCTTGGAAGTGGGACCTTGTCTCCATCCGGATTACATCCGGGCCTCAGCACATGGCCCGAGGCCGAGGGTTCGGAAATTGGCCACATCTACTTTTCTCGCCAAGCGTGTCCATTCTTCATAGTGCTTGTTGACGGCGAGTCCGCTTCGCATGAGAAGTGAGTTGTGTCATTGTCATCAATCATTAAACGCAACAGCGGCCTCTCTGAAACAGCTGTCGCTGGGAAGCCGTGAAGTTTGGATGAGTCTGGCACCAGTTTCTGACCTATCAACTTCGACCGCTCAGGGGTAAGAAGCAAGTCGCCGCGTCGCCGGGGTCATGGCTTCACCGCACCTTTGACAGAAAAGAGCGGAAAGATCCCGTGTTCATCAGGAGGACCATCGGTCTCCTCTCAAGCGGGCGGATGCCAAGGGCCGGGTGGATGCAAGCGATCCGGGCAATGCTCTCCTATACGGCGGTGGAGCCTCATTCTCCGTCCGTTCCGGCTGCCCGGACGCCGCAGTTCACGGCCGGGGCCCGAAACTCCCTAGCTCTCGTCAGGGGGACACGTGTTGCGGCCGATGGTGTATCGTATACGTACCACCGCTCTTGGTGTCGACAGCGGAGGGCCGAACTATCCAGCCCGATGGCGGGCGCGGCCCGTCACGAGACGTGTTAGGCACGAGGTTGACGCTATTTCGTGGAGGTTTTACGGCTTGTTTTCGACACTTACTCTCAGGTCGTTGTCTCAACAAGGTACGATGATGGCTAACGGCACGAGAGAGGAGAGGCGCTATCCCTTCAACGTCCGCCGTGGTCAGTGTCCTAGGACGCAACCCATCCGCCACATCTCATACCCGGTCAAAGGATTAATCGTTTGCTCTCTCAGCGGGGTGGACGAGGTCATGACAACGTCCCCTTCTGGATCCTCCATGACCACGTGCTGAACTGGGACATCAAGGATGTTGATGGTGCGCCTTGACAACACCCACGCAACACTTCCGTGGTTGGCGGCGTTTCCTGTCGGCCAGTGGAACTGTGTTGAAGCAATGGCTTGCCTGACCACTCAACCTCATATGTCGTCACTTTACACATGCTGTCATGTTTCTATCCATCTTGATATTCGCGGTGGTCATAACAGACGACATCCTTGACATTCCTTTGTCGCTCGTCACCGAAAATGGCAGGCATACTCCGGAGGATGTCATCTTGCTCAGATCCGTGCTGTCCAGTCCAGGAGCAACATGACTCTGAAAACCATGCCGTGTAGGGAACGAGACGAAAATTGAGATTACTCGGGTTGGTGCTTATGCCCATCGATGTCCATGGCTAGGTATGTCACATGTGTGATTGCTTTTTTGATGACCGTCTTGACCTGTTCAAGGTCTCGGGGGGTAATGGGGGTGACGGAAGAGCTCGCCAAGCTGAAGACGAGCTTACGGCATGTGAACATCACCAGGGCCCAGTTGATGACAGTTTCCGGCGTCAGGATGCTATAATTCAGGAGCTTCTCGATGGTAACCAGGGCGACGCCCGGGTGGGCGGACCAGTAGGCCATGGTGGCCGAGATAAAAGTACATGAAACTAAGTGAATGTTGGGAGTTTCCTGTTCGAAGACAAACTGCGGATTATGCCAGCGCATACAAAAGCCACATCCGATCATGTAATACTATCTGTGAGACTCGCCTCAAGCCCCCTGTATATGTGTAGTTGTCAAGACAGTTCAATCTTAAGTTATGTTTGTTAGAACATCACTTGACAAGGTCATGATCAAACAGCGTAAAGAAGACAGGAAGAGAAGAAGGAGCAGGGCAGTTAAGAGGCAAAAGAAAGGAAGGAGAAGAAGTGAACGAGAGGAGCAACCAGAACATCAAAGTCGCATCTGGGACCAATGAGATGCTGAGTGTTCTTGTATTGTACAACAAGAGCCCTGGCGCCCTGAAGCCGCTCGTAGGCAATGGGCTGGTGCGGTATAACAAACGAGAATTCACTGACTCGGGGGACCCATGGTGCTACAATGCAACACTGTCCATCGTGGTTCTGTTAGCGCGAGATACGTATGTAGGACGAGAATCGACTCGAAGACCCAGAGATCTTGGATATTGCGTGCTCGGCCAGGTATCCCTCGCATAACGGATGCAAATGAGCCCAAGGATTCCAACAGACGGATGGCAGCGTTCCCCAATGCTTCCTGAATGCCTTGTCTTGCCGGGATCCATGACACAGGAGAGACACTGCGTACAGATACTAGGAGCAGTCACGATGGTTAGAGAAGGATGGCTTGATAGTGAACCCGAAGATTGATAGGCGAGAGGGCCAGGGCGCCTTGAGAAGATCTAGAGACTACCTCACTCCATGATGGAGCGCCTTATTAGCTGAGGATCCTGGGTTTGTTGTTGAGCGACATCTAGCACGGCTTCTGTGAGTGCAGCAACACCATCGACCTGCGCAGTTGAGTGCCAAAGCCGATACTGTGTATGCGGAGCAACCGATACCTGACCTCCCGTCGTTATCAGGTTATCTCGACCTTTTGCTCAGTTCTCTACCCCAAGATGGAAGGTGTCCTCTGTGGGATGACCCCCTAAGATACTCAGAAACCAATTCGTCAATGAAGTTCCACGGAGACGAAGATTGAAGTGGGCTGCGACTCGTTACAAGCGATGGTGTATCGGAGCGCTCGTCGCTTTGCTTTTACGGATGTACTTGATGCGAATCTCGTCGGTGTGGTGTGTTACGACTTTATCTGAATCGAACAGTTCTGTAACGTAGTGTACTGTACATCGTCGTACCAAACTCTACACGGCCCTGACAAGAACGGCCGGACTGACCCATACGGAGGAAATAGAGGCATGCCAAGACCAAATGGTCGCATGAGGGTAGGACCGCACAAGGCATCGCTGCAACTGCAAATAACTGAACCGAACGTCAGATGCAGTGGCTTCTACCCTCCAAACCCTTGTGAAAAATTCCCTTCGAGTAGATAGTTGCATCAGTCTCATCTCCGTTTCGGCCAAAGAGACTGATAGGGGGATCGCAAAGATCAGACATCGCGTCTCATGAGCAGAGCATGCGCTTCGATGGCCCCGTCTGCCCTGGGTTTTCCATTGACTTACCCGCTGCGGTACCGTACCCTGCCCTGGCCACCCCGCTCTCAACGAAAGGTGTCGCCAACGGAGGGACCCCAGACAAACTCGCCCTTTTCCATGGATCTATCACAAGTCTAAGCCGGCGTTTTCTCTTGCAGACAAGAACTTGCTGGACTTGCGCACGTTGATCTTAGTCAAAACAGCCGACCTTCTAACTTGAAGAAGCATCGCAACCTCTGATTTGCCGCGAGATTAGAACCTGCGGGGAGTGAGAAGGCAGCACGGATCCTCCCAGCGGACCCGCCCGCCTTTTCGGTCCAGAAATTGGGCGAATTGAACCTGTTCCCCCCTTTCAACCTCCTGACGCGCAGACCATCCCCCTCCCACTGACCAGTCAGATCGCCCATCGCGCCTCTTTTCGTTCCTTGCGAGACTGTTTGGCGCACGCTCAGGAACGACATCCGCTGCATCACTTTACACTATTTGTCGGCCGTCGCATAAGTGGTCGGCTATCAGATCAGAGAAGTCTGTCGCCCTCCATAGTCTCGAGCGAGTCCGCCCGTCTGTTCGATCGCGAATCTGAGAACGAGCAACACGCCGTTGAGGGGTCGCAGGGCTGTCGTTGAGTCGCCCACTCGCCAATGCTGCCCCTGCCCGTCTTGACGACTACCTCAACATGCTGATGACGCAGACGCCTGCGTCGGCATTTCAGGCTCAGAACACGTCGACCGGTTCGTATGCGGGCTCAGCCGCCCGCCACTACCACAGTGATTCCGCCGACTCCACGACCTCGTTGGACGTGTTCAGCGCCGGCCGCGACACTTCTTCTTACGTCCCATACTTCACGGCAGACACGACCTCCGTCATGAATGGCATCGTCGGCACGGCACCGGCAGGTGCCCTGTACGTGCGCGCCCTCTACGACTATGAAGCTGACGACAGGACGAGTTTGAGCTTTCACGAAGGGGATATTATTCAGGTCATTACTCGGCTGGAGAGCGGTTGGTGGGATGGCGTGATCAACGGCGTCAGAGGCTGGTTTCCGAGCAACTACTGCCAGATCATCACGAGCCCGGACGAGCTGCCGGAGCTGGAAGAGGGCGCCGACACGGAGCGTTTGGACGACGAAAACGATGAGCAAGATGTCTACGAAGAAGGGATCGACGACGACGACGACTTGTCTGACCACGACGACGGCGAGGGCCTCCCGCTTGATGGCGCTGAACGTGACCGGTCCAGGTCCGACTTTTGGATTCCGCAGGCCACAGCGGATGGCAGGCTCTACTACTACAACACCATGACAGGCGAGAGTAGCATGGAGCTGCCGCTCGAGTCTCCCTCATCACTCGCCGAAACGGGTCCTCGGGACCGCATGAATATCACCATCCCCGACAGGACGAGACCACCGCCCGAAATGATCGCCAGGGGCTTGACCCGGGAGGATGAGGACGAGTCCGATGTTAACTCGGCGTCGGAACCGGACGGCGAGGCGCTAATGCGTGCCTCACGAGCTTCAGCTGCCCGCCGACCCAGTGCCAAAGACGGCATTTCCCCTGCCACCTCGATGGACTCGATGAACGGCCATTCCCCCGGGACGAGGTCACGTGGGGACACGTCTGCCAACGGTAACCTCCTGCACGCTCCCATGGTCGCGTCGGCAACCTCATTTACCAGCTCTACGTTCAACATGCCCGCTACGGCTGCGATTCCGCGCTCATTTTTCGACGATGGCTTTACTCCGCCTCTCACTTGGAGTCGCCTGGTTTCCAGCATGAAGAAGTCGGTAGATCGCTACCGCAACGCCATTGAGACTGGCAACCGGTCCGAATATGTAGCACGCGCTGAGGATATTTCGGATCACCTACGCCTTCTCCTCGCTGCTGGCTCGGGCACGACTGATAACCATTCCGGCCAACCTTCCATCATCTCCACCAACAAGGCGCTCTATCCTCACTTCCGCGACATGATGTCCAAGTTCTCCAAGCTCGTCATCTCGTCGCATATCGCGGCGGCCGACTGGCCGAATGCAGAATCAGTCCAAAAATGCCTGCAGGAGGCTGACGGCGTTCTCTTGGGTGTTTACAGCTATGTCGAGGTTGCGAGGCAGCAGCGCGGCGAGGAAATTCCTCGGTTATTCCCGGGTTTTGCTATAGGGTCGAGCACTGGGGGCAGCTGGCAGAACAACGGTCTGAGTCCACGCGATCCCATCGCCTCCAATTTCCTCGACGACGAAGAAGGCGTGGTGGAGCCCACGGCTGTCCTTGACGGCAAGCTCTTGGAGAGGTTGGACGAGCTCAAGCGGATGCTGGTGTCTAGCATTCGCGAGCTGGAAAAACACCTCGTGGCGAGCGAAAAGGTGGTCACCCCTTACAGGCACGAGATGATTGGTAACAACGTGTGCGCCGCTGGGGGCAAAGTCCTGGACATGTTCAAGCCCTGGATCGCCACTATCGAATCGATTGACCTGTCGTTGCTCGGCAACAGCTTCCAGACGCCCCAGCTCACCGACTTCAGCACCAACAAGCAGAGTCTTTACGACAACATTTCGGATCTGCTCCTAGGTTGCCAGGCCGTCGCAGGGCCGTTGGCTGACGAGTGGTCTGAGGTCAGGGGCCAGGCACTGGAAGAGAGGTTGGAGTATGTCCGGCAATGTGCACGCGCGCTCGAAACCAACTCTTCCCATATCGGCTTTTCCCTTCAACTGCTCTCTGAGCAGGTCTCTATGGTTCTCCAGCAGCACCAAGAGATCCATATGCGCCAGGAAGTCGTACAGCGAGAGCAGCTCAGGAGGGTGGAAACAATGCCGTACGAACGTCCGCATCAGCGCACAGAATCCCGCGGCCTGGTGCGGCCGTCATTGCCGATTGGGTCGCAATCCTTCACTGAAGGCGAGGCCCTGCCAGCTAACTACCGGAAGGGCGATCCGTCAAAGATGAAGCGGTTCTTCGGGGAGGATCCGGAACCTGTGCCACCGCCATTGCCACCAGCGGCCGAGGTCGAGGAAGAGTTCTTGCGACTGGACCACGAGAACGAACTGTTGTGGGACTTCAAGGTCACGCCTCCGGCTGTCAGGGGTGGATCTCTTGTTGCCTTGGTGGAGCAGCTGACGCGCCACGACAAGGCCGACATGAACTTCAACAACACGTTCCTTCTTACATACCGGTCCTTCACGACAGCACGCGAACTGTTTGAGATGATGGTCAAGAGATTCACTATACAGCCGCCCGAAGGGTTGTCACAAGCGGATTACGAAACGTGGCAACACAGGAAGCTGAAGCCGATTCGAATCCGTGTCGTCAATATCCTCAGGAGTTGGGTCGACAACTATTGGATGGAAGAGCACAACGAGGAGACAAAGCAGCTGCTCCGGGATATGCACAACTTTGCCAGCCAAACAATGAAAGCGACAGAAACAATAAACGTGGATCAATTGGTGAAACAGATAGAACAGCGGCTCAACGGTAAAGACTTGGGTGGACGCCGCATGGTCCAGACGGTCAACCAGAACGCCCCGCCACCCATCATGCCTAAGAACATGAAGAAGCTCAAGTTTCTCGACATTGATGTCGTCGAGTTCGCTCGCCAACTCACCATCATCGAGTCGCGGCTGTACGGCAAGATCAAGTCGACGGAGTGCCTCAACAAGACGTGGCAGAAGAAGGTTGGGGATGGAGAGCCGGAACCTGCGCCGAATGTCAAGGCCCTCATTCTGCACTCCAACCAGATGACCAACTGGGTAGCAGAGATGATTCTGTCCCAGACCGATGTCCGGAAGCGCGTGGTTGTCATCAAGCACTTTGTGGCAGTCGCTGATGTAGGTGCACCGTCTATTGTCGCTTGTTTTCTGTCTATCCACGGCATTCGCTGACCACAACGCAGAAATGCCGGCTCCTGAACAACTTTTCCACGTTGACGTCGATCATCTCGGCGCTGGGCACCGCGCCCATTGCTCGCCTCAAGCGGACATGGGATCAGGTGCCACAGCGCATTCAAGCCACCCTGGAGACCATGCGCAAACTGATGGCCAGCACAAAGAATTTTGGCGAGTACAGAGAAGCTTTGCACGCCGCCAACCCTCCGTGCATTCCATTTTTCGGTAGGCCAGCTTTCCTTGTGACCGGGAGTGTCTGTTTTCAACTTTACTAACTGGGTCCCCCCTTTCAGGCGTGTACCTGACGGACCTTACTTTCATCGAGGACGGCATCCCGTCCGTCATTAAGAAGTCCAACCTCATCAACTTTGCCAAGCGGGCCAAGACGGCCGAGGTGATTCGCGACATCCAGCAGTACCAGAACGTGGCCTACTCGCTGCAGCCCGTGCCGGAGCTGCAGGACTACATCCTGAGCAACATGCAGGCTGCCGGCGACGTGCACGAGATGTACGACAAGAGTCTGCAGATTGAGCCGCGGGAGCGCGAAGACGAGAAGATTGTCAGGTAGGCTGAACTTGCGTCCTCCTTTCATCTTGCTTTTCTCCTAATTCTTGGATTCTTCTGTCTTGTTTGTTTCTCGAGCTGTGACGAGTTGGTTCTAACGCGACTGTGTTCTGCAGAGTCTTGGCCGAGTCTGGATTCCTCTGAGCGAAAGGTGGGATGGAAGATGTAACCTGTCGCCCTTCTCTCTCTTGTTACGAGCCGATACCCCGTCTTTGGTTGTCGCCAAAATGATAGTCTTGTGTGGTCAACATTCGGAATTTCGGAATTTTGGAACACAGACCGTCGGGTCTGTGGCCGCCTCGACTTCTTGACGGGCTGCTGTACGATTTGTGGCCTGTTGAGATGAGACGTTTCGTTATCGTATGGGGTGACAGGAGCGTTGGACAGCAACATCCACGGTCAAGGTGAAGGAGGCTTGATGATGGGGTCCGAAGGGCTGCGGTTGGGGTTGACGACGGGATGAATTGCGGGGCATGACATGGGCACGATACAGCGACATCGAACACGGGATGCGGAAAGGGGTTCACAACAAACTTGGACTGGGCTAACGTTACCGGATCTGGGCTGACCATTGTGAAATATCTGAAAAGCTGAAGGAAATGTGCATAAGTGGTTGCCGAGGGTTGCAACGGATGGCGTTCTGCTTTTTGGATCTCTTTTGACTGGGCAGGGCTTGTTACTATCAAGTGAAGTTGGTTGCTCAAAAGGAAGGGTGGAAAGGAGGGAAGGGAAGCTGAGTTACCTAGCTCCGTGTTGGATGCCCTGCTCTTCCTTGGGGTTCTCCTAGGGCCCGGAAGTGGGCAGAAGCAAGTCCGGGATACGCCTCCCCAAAGTTGCGCTTTCCTGGCATTCGTCTCTTGCATCTCCGAGTGTTCGGAGATTCGGTGTTAGTCTTCGTCCTCTCATGCGGCTGATTAGCAGCTAGTCGGTCCAGCTCTTGGATTCATGCTTGATGCCACATGCAGATGAGATGAGCACGACGATTACCCCAGATTTGAACCTCGCCCGCATGCCGCCTGACAACAGCTGCCCTGGCTTGAGGTTCATGTTGCCCCCTGCAGCTGCTCGACGGCAAACTCGGCCGTTGGCCGTTCCGTGTGTGCTGGCTGCAGGTTGGCCGCATCCCGCTTCTGTCGGCCAGTTATTATTTGCCGGCTCTTTTTTCCGCTTTCAAGGGTAACGTCTAGAGACAACCGATGGTATCAACCGACGTCTCTCTCACGGAGGAGTTGCCATGTCATTTGTCTCCCAACATGATGGATGTTTAAGGAGGACTGGACAGTGCAGTTGTCTTCACTTTCAGAGTTGGAAGTACGTCGTCGGGCACCTGGGAGAATCCTCAAGACTGCTGTGCTCACATGCAACCACTTGTACTACATAAGACACAACGGAGGCCTGTACAATACAATACCAACCCCTAACCAGTGCCTGCGGCACACCAGCTTTCCCTTGGGGCGGGGTACGCTACCATCCCGTCCTGCCACGACTGAGGAGTAGCACGTCGCACGACCCATGCTGCATATGCAAGCCCATCGCCCTTGTAGAATGGTTGGCTAGACTCGCATATGGCGGTTCGCATGGGCCTGCGGGAGGTGCACCTGTTCACACAGTGCTCTCAGCGGTAATGTAATGACAGGTTCGGTATTGGTAATACACGTATGCGTACCAGTGGAAGAATTCCGGGCCCCCAGGAGGCATCAAATACCTAAGGGGGCCACGCAGTGTGAAATCAGCATGTTCGTGGGCGGCGATACTTCCCATGCTCCGCGCTTCCCCCAACCCCTGACGTGATCCCCGAACTTCGATCAGAGACCCCTGACTTGACCGCACTCTGGGAATCTTCTGCGCCTTCCAGAACAGGTGGGGCATTTGACTGGTTTGATTCAGCTGGGCCCTGTGCGTCAGCGAGAAGCTGTCGCGGAAGGGGTAAGCAAAAGCAGTGGGGGAGATGACAAGAGACTCACCAGACTTGTATCGGTTACGTGACCTTCAATGATTTCGAAGCAGCGGAGACTGCTGATTCCCTCTAGAAAGAAGTAAGGAACAACATATCGACCAGACCCCAGCCCAGATACGCCCAAGACACCTCTAACGCCCAATGACCCCATTCCAGAACGCTGATGCCAGACATACCACCGTCATTCCCCACCAGTTTCCGAGTGTCAGTCCCTATCCCGGCTCCTTTCCCGTTTCACCTCGTCTTTTGCACCGCCCCCCTCCCGCTCTAACCCCTTCTTGAGCCTCTCCTCCTGCCTCTTCCAGTGGCTGCCCTCCTGATAGTCCTTGCTGATCTTGAGGGCCTGTCTCAATCGCTCGCTCTCCTTGATCTTGGCGTCGGCCAGCTCGTGCACCTGATGCATCTTAAAATTCCTCCTCGGCGCAGGTCCAACGCCTCCTCGCCTCCTGTCGCTGTCCCGGCTGTTCATCTCCATCTCGGCAAGCAGCTTCTTGCGCAGCTCGTCGCACTGCGATTCAATTTCTTCTTCTTCAACCCTGTCAAATTACACCCAAGCAGATTGTTAGCTTCATCCCGGATCTGCAAAAGTTGAAAAGGAGTGGCTACAAGGTAAGACGCACCCCTCCTCCTCGAGCTTGTCCCGCAGCTCAAACACCTTGACCTCGACCTCGCGCTTGCGGTCGTGCTCCAACAGGCCCTGGTCCGGCTGGCGCGGCTTGTGCCGCATGCTGTCGGCGTCACTGTTGCGCGGCAGGTAGGGGGCGGCCATGTCGCGCGGCTTCATGTGCGCCAAGTTGCGCTGCACGTACCCCGACGTGCCGGAGCCGCGCGGCGTCGCGAGGCCGACGTTGTCTGACATTGTGCTTGCTTGTTTGCTTGCTTACGTCTGTCGAAAGAGTAGCGGTCGAAAGACGGGAAATAGTAAGATGCTCAGTTGACTGGTGAAGGTTTGGGTTGGTTAGGAGGCAACCCACTGTGCAAATACCTGTAAGAGCGCGAATGGCCGACAGAAAGGGTCCGCTGGGGTTAACTAACAGTATGTATGTACTGTACCTCTGTGGTTATCGATAACGCTGCGGTACGTCAATGAATCAACCCCACCACAAATTCCATCAACCCTCCATTGCGTCCCAGTACACTCCCCGCAGTGCGCCGAACCGATCAGATCGACGCATCACCTCAATACCTCCTTGGTGACCTAGCTCGAATCCGTTTAGAATACGACGACGCTCGATTCGAACAGTATGCCCGCTATCGAGCCAACAGCGTCCCAAGGGACACTCCCAGAAGGGGAGCTCCCCTTCCCTCCCGTCACGAGGGACCATATCCTCCATTGCGCCTACGACTACTGGTTTCCAAAGTCCGCTGCAGTCCGAGTCTCACGAGCACGTCACGGGCTAACAGACCAACGAACCCAGATATCGCGCTTCCTGCATTCGCTCCCGCATCATCCCCTTAACACCTGACTTCATCTCTTGGCTGCACGAGGACGGCATCATTCTCGCCGACGAGGGTAGCAGCAAGGACGACACTGACACAGCCGATTCCGATGACGACGACGATTGGGAGCCATCCTTTCCGGCCTCCGCTCACCCACGACGCCGCCGCGAGGACGGCGAACCTGACACCGAGTCAGACTCAGACTCTGACGAGCCTGCGTCCGCTCCCCGCCTGCCTCCCGACATCCGCTTCCCGATTCTCCACGCAGAAATCACCTCCGCCATCTCCTCCCTCGGCGGCGCCGTCGCCCCCAAACTGAACTGGTCCTCACCCAAAGACGCTACCTGGATCTCGCGACATCCCAACACGATGAAATGCACCTCGGCCAACGACATTTACATTCTCCTCAAGTCCTCCTCCTTCATATCCCACGACCTGGACCACGCCTTCGACGACACCGTCCCAGCCCCTACCTCAGGGTCTACAACCACCAGCGCCTCATCAACCCCAGCACCCAGGGATTACAACCCCGTGCTCGTCCTCCGATCCTTCTTCAACCCACTTCCGAGCCTCGAATTCCGCTGCTTCGTCAAGTCCCGCAGCCTCATCGCCATTACCCAGCGCGATCTCAACTATTACGCCTTTCTCGACTCGCTGCGCCCGCAAATCATTCACCGCACCATCGAGCTCTTCAACAAGATGCGCTTCACCTTTCCCGACGGCAACTTTGTCTTTGACGTGTACATCCCCGAGGCCGATTACGATGACGAGGGCGACGACAACGACGACAACGGCGGAGAAGAGCGCAAGGTGCTGGGCCGGGCAAGGCTGATCGACATCAACCCCTGGGCGCCGCGGACGGATACCCTGCTCTTTGACTGGGGCGAGTTGCTGGCGAAGACGGTTGCTCGGCCACTGCTGGGGTTTGCGTCGGACATGCAGGAGGGGCAAGGGGGAGAAGGGGAGGAGGGGTTGACCACGGACGACGACGAGGAGGAGGACGAGGAGGAACCCGAGCTGAGGTTGGTGGAGCACGACGACCCGGCTGCGTATAACTTTAGTTCCCCGCAGTACTCTGCTCACAAGCTGCCCAAGGATGTCGTGGATGCGAGCTTGGCAGGGGAGGGCGGGATCAGAGAGTTTGCGCAGCACTGGCAGAGGATAACTGAGCGGAGGGAAAGAAGGTGATATAGATGTTATGTCAAAATGTAATATTATAAACAACGTGTGGGCAAAATAGACGCAATATAGCCCTTCAATGTTGGGAGTAACTACCTAGCCAGCTACACCATTGAATATCTCACGCTACGTACATACGTACATGGCTCAAACACCAGTCCACTTCCCAAACCGCTGATACATCTTGTACATCTCCTTGAAAATGACACTCCCGCTCGCATCCATGGCATCATTCACACTCCGCAGCACGTCCTGCCCCGTGATGTCCAGGACCGAGTACATGCCCGGCTCGAGCGCCTCGCGCACCCCGTGCGGCACCACGTACTCGAGCTGCAGCCGCACGTACTCGGCCAGCACCCGGTGCATGTACTGCCCCGCGTACCGCTTGGCTCGGTCCTTTTCCGAATCGAGCGGGCCGCTCGCGTGCGAGTGGGAGTGCGAGTGCCGCGACACGGACGCCACCGTCGGCTCGCACACGAGCGTGAGTAAGCGGGCGAAGAGCTTGGCGTGTTTCTCCCACTGCGCTGTTTGCTCAGGTGATGTGGTGGAGGCGGAGATGGAGGTGACTGCCGTCGTGGTGCTGCTGCCGATGGTGGGAGGGTGGGTGCAGGGGCGGGAGAGGAGCAGGCGGATGAGGGATTGCAGCGGGGTAATGAGGGCGTGGAAGTGACCATCGAGACGTTTCCTGTGGCGCTTGATGATCATCTCGACGAGACGGCAGAGGGAGGGATAGATGTTCGGCGATTCGGCGATGAGGGCCTGCGTTGAGGGCTGCAGAGAGATGGTTGACACGGTGCAGAGGGTAAGCTCGATGTTCCACTGCGTCATGCTGGCGGGGTTCTGGTCGAGCAGGAGGTGGATCGCCTTTGAGGTCAGGAGGAAGGGAGCCGGGGCTTTAATTCGCATGAGACGGCCGCAGAGAATGCTGTGGGCTTGGGAGAGGTCGAATTGGTCTGAGGAAGCCAAGGGTCGTGAAGAGCCTGTTTGGGTCAGTCTGTGTCCGGGAAAGGTTACAGTCAAGGTGGCTCACCCTTGAGATGCTGGACCAGTCGATAGATGACCAACAGGCGACCGAGTACGTCTGGACCATCGCTGTCCTCGAGCAGAAGCTCCTGGAGATACCGCCGTTTCGTCTCTTCGTCGGCAGACCGGACGACGGCATCGACATACCGTAGCAACGCCGTCTTTCCTAGCGTTGCAGCGGGCTCGCTGCTCCGTGGCTCGTCTTCCTGCTCAGCGGCAGTTGATGTCTCGGGGGACATCCTGACTCTCAAGGGGGAAGTAAGTGCTTCAGGAAAGAAATTCGCCAGAAATATGCGGATTCCCCAACCAGCCTTGACACCGTTTTCGAGAAGTGAGTCGCTCGTCTTAAGGAGCCCAGGGGCGGAGTTAGCAAGCACTTGTCTCACGGCTTCACGGTCCAGGTCGCTCAGTGCCTCAAGGGCGATGAGCAGTGCTGGAAAGGATTTGCCGTTCCGCTTTTTGGATGCAATAATCGGTAACGTAAGTTGGAGCAGATGGTTCTTGAGGCTGTTCAGGTCCAAGCCATCTGCCTCAAGGGTTTCAAGGGCAGGCGAGGCTTGCAAGGTGGATATGTAGGCTTGGAGCAGGACGATCCGTGATACGTCTGAATCCTGGCACGGGCTCTGCAGAAGCGAGGCGGCTTCCTCCAGATATGATTTCTCCCGCTCTTCAGGGTTCCCACTTGCCATTTGCCTTATGACAGTCAGTCGAGCTCAGCGAGAACGAGTAGCCGTCAACGTACCGAATGGATAGCATAGCCAACTGCTGCAGAGATTTGAAGGCACCTGAGCTACCCGAGCCATCATCTGCTGGTACACCTTCCCGAGTACGGCGATTCGAGCGGTTGTGTGCCTTCAGAAGGCATCGCCCGATTGACTCAAGATGAGAGAAGCTCATCCCCTGTGTGATTGTCAATCTCTTGATCACTACACCCCCCAGATATGAGCTCATACCTCGTAGAAGGTTGGCCGTCTCATTAGTTTGACCATGAGACTGAGCACCGACATCCAATAATCCGGTGCAATAGCATCTGGTTTGTCTGACTCTCCTGGGAGGTGTGAAACGAGCGACTTCATAGCTGCTTCACGCTGGGTTCTGCTCAGCACTTCCGTCGGGACGCCGAGTAAAACTTGGATGGCGGTCTTTGTCTGTGGCCACAACCTGCCCGACTTAGACGTGTGAATCATCGAGATCATGGTCTCGATCAACGTGTCTGCGGAGTGTTAGCAGTTGGTAATCATGTTCGTCCTATTGCCGGCCTACCCATCAGTTTCTGGTCATTAGAACTGCTCTCGCGGTCCAGCAGCAGGCGGCAGGCAGCTAGAACAGGCTCAAGACGGCCTGCATCTTCGGTTCTGGGAATAGCCAAGAGAGAGGATACCGCCTTTGGGATGTGATCGTTCTTTTCGACGAGCAGACTGAAGGGGTATTAGCCTGTACCATAGAAGGGGAAGTACGGCTGCTCACCTCAAGACGCGCGGCGCTTCGGACAGAATCCAAGAGACATAGGTCCCTTTGCTGACCGGGATACCGCCATCGGAAAGATTTATCTCCATGGAATCACCATCTTCTTCAAGCCTCTCGGCAAACGAGCAGATCAGAGTGGCTGCGTCATCCTCATATGCGCCGCCGGGATGGTTTGCCAGCCAGGTTGCAACACAGCATTTGAAAGCAGCAAAGGTGCCTTCGCTATCTACGGGTGACTTGCGAAGAACACTCTTGATGTCCGACCTGACCTGAGACCAAATCTGCCCGGCTTCCTCTAGGGTGCCCCGGGATATGGCCTTTGCGGCAACCATCCACCGGCATGCAGAGACGGCCGGGAGGTCCTTCTTGGAGTACTTCTCCAAGAGCGTGCCCTCAAAGGTCTTCATGTTTGCGGCGTCGACGAACTCTTCCTGCGAGATACCGCTGGATATCGCTTCGAGTATGTGTATCCTGGCAGTGCCCTCACTTGGCTGGGTTTGTGACGAGAGCCAGTCTAAGATGTCAACGAGCTGATTGGAGTTTAAAGATGTCTGAATCAGTTTCGCGACTGTCTCGTCAAGCTCTTGTTGCGCCCATAGAGGTGGGAGACCAGCTTTGGCCTTGATAGGAGCAAGATGCTTGAGCCAGACCTTGATAAACGTTGACAGATCGCGAGCCTGTGCATACCCATCAGCAAGCCGGACGATAAATCGTCCTGCCTCCTCTGAATCTGCGGCATCAAGCGGATCGGATTCTCTCGTCTTCTCGAGAGCCTGCTCAAGAAGCCGGTTTCCCTCCTCAGTTACTAAAAAGACATCGGGATTAAGTGTGATGATGGAAAGCAGCAGACTCCAGTCGTAGTTGTTCTTTCCGATGGCGTAGTCTTTGCACACGGCACGAAGACTGGAAGCCGACAGGCTTGTGCTTCGCCCCGCTGCCATCTCCATGATCGCCCGGAGGGCCAGCTTCCTGTTTTCACGGTTGATGTTCTTCGAGGCATGCACAATGGCATCGAAAACTGTCTGTATCCACGCTTCGTACTGCTTCCTGGACGTTTTCCCGCCGAACTCGAGGGGCGATTTGCTGACAAGGTCAAACAGAACGGGAAAGGTGATGTGTGCATAGGCGCTTGACATGTCGACTGCGATCTGCACCACCTCCTTGCTTCCATTTGTCAAGAACAGGGCCCTGGCCGGCAAGATCAAGTTACGCGAAAGAAACAGGCGGAGTTCTTTCGCCCAGCGGTCCTGGACGGCAACATCCATGCCGGGTTGTGTTTGCCTCGAAGTGCCCGTGAGCTTGCCCAGAAGACGGAAAGCAGTCCCAGACAGGTGAGTTGCGACTTCGGAGGCATCAGCGGCACTCTGGCGGTGAAGCGCCCAGAAGGCCGCCCAGGTCGAGACCCACGACGATTGCTCTCTGACCACACCGGCTTTGTTCTTGTCCAGCGCAAAGCCGCAAATGGTGAGCCACGGAACCAAGATGCCCATAATCTCGGCCGCAGATACCGCGAACAGCGACTTGACATGCTCGGCACCCATCCGGTGGGCCACTGGCCCGTCCAGGGACTCTTGTTCGCAACGAGACAGGAGGATTCGGAGGGCATCAAAAACGGACTCGGCGGTTTGAAGGCAACCAGCTACTTGGCTCTGAATCTTGAGATCGAAGCTGGCAGGGTCGGTTCTCTTGCGTTTTCGGGGGTTGCCCGGGCTCTCTAGAGGAGAGGCGTCGGCCATGTCCACGTCGGAGTCTGTCCCAGTGTTCTGGGCGACCTCCTCCTCTTGTGGCGCCGCAATCTCCTTGAGTGTCTGCTGGAGTATGCCCACGAAGCGGCGATCCGCCAGCGATTTTGCCAGGGAAATGGTCGGAACCAAGGCAAACACGGCGCCCAAGATGTCCCAAACACGTGGGTATCGTCGAACTCGCTCGGTGTTTGCGGTAGATCCAGCCATGTTCTTCAGGAGCCATCGCAACAGCATCTCGGCGGAGTGAGGACTGCCTCGACGATAATCCTGCAGCGCATTCCATACTCTTTCAAGCCTGTCCGGTATCGCCTCGGCATCGCCCTGATCGAGGAGTCGAACGGCCCGCACGAGGGCGGCGTCGCCTGTCTGTGTCCAGGTGAGCATGGGGATCAGGATACGAGTGAAACGAAAAATGAAAGAGAAATACTCACTCTGTTATGTTCCCCCATTTCAACCATAGACTGCCAGTGTCATGTTGTGTAGATTGCTGTGAGCCTCTTCGATCGAACTTGCGGCTGGCGCATGCATGTGCCTGCCCCACGCAAGGCAGTGACTGAAGTCAATGGTGGGAGCTCTTCTGGCTGCCAAAAATTCTGCCACCATCGTCGGAACCGTATTCCAGCAAATGGACCCCTGCAGCTTCCAGGTTTGCTGACCGCCCTCGGAAGACACCGGCGAACAACCGAGCCTTTAACAGGCATGGGAGCTCTTGGCAACGAGATGCGCTCGAAACAAAATAGCTTCATTGACGAGACGAGGGACAGCTGCGATCTGCTTTCCACCGTCGCCTACTGCGTTCAAGTCCACGTCAATTGGGTCACTTGCTAAGAGGTAGGGGTTCCCGGATGATTCTTGACAGCTCAATCACACTAACACAGCGCTTCAACTTCTGGGAAGTCAGTCCAACCAGGTCACGTCACTTTGAGTTTGCGCCCGCCATGGCCGAGACGACTGCCCCTCCCGCACCCTCCAGGGCTGTGTCGCGCCCCGTCAGCGAGGCCCTCCTGAACGAGAAGGTCAACATCTCCGGCGATCATCCCCCGGCAGCAGGAATCGATTGCCTTGGCTAACACATTCAACAGTGGGACCGCTGCCTCTCCAACCTCATCATCAAGTCCACCCTGGGCGTCGGCTTCGGCGTCGTCTTCTCAGTGCTGATCTTCAAAAGGAGGGCGTGGCCCGCGTTTGTAGGTGTTGGCTTCGGCGCGGGGCGGGCATATGAGGAGTGCAACTACAGCCTGAAGGCGGCGGCGCGGGACATCAAGAAGCAGGTATGAAGCGCGAACAGGGTCGGGGGGGAGGAGCTGGGCTGGAGGCGTTCGGCAAACCACGGTAATTGAGTGATCACCAGCTCATAATGGCGTGGATAGAGAGCGGATGGCGTGGGCAGGCCAACCGGCTGTACAAACCCTGTTCCATCAGTTCAACTTAGAGGCATAAGATGCGAGTTTTCCTTTGTTTGGCTTGAGACTAAGGCGTGTCCTCTCGCTACAGTAATCAAACGCGGAATCGATTCAAAAACCAGAGCTGTTGCTAGCTGTATAGTCCAAAGTGCACCCCAATACCTACCCCATCGCCGCCGACATCACAAAACTCACGCCCTTCAGACGGGACACTTGCCCTCGACTGTCATCGTCCCTCCGCCATTTCTCCGCAGCCGACAAGCCGAAAGATCTGTCGAAAACGTCCCACACGGCCACGCCATAGTTCCGACATCCCCCATCACAGCCGACTTCTCCCCAGCTGCCTTGAACCCGTCAATCTGCCCACCGATCGTGCCATCGCCGACCCCATACCCATCACGATACCTATTGGCATACGCATACGCATACCCGTACGGAAGACTCGCGCCCCCAGACTCGACGTCCTTCACCGAGGGCAGACGGAGCTCCGATCCCAACTTTATCCTCGAGGCGCCATACACTAACTCGGACACCCGCTTCCCAACGTCATGCAACATCCCAATGACCCACTGTGTCACCCTCTCATAAACCGTTCTCTCCTCCTCCACAATCCTCCACCCGTCCTCCGTCAGCTTGAGCGTGAGGTTGGTCTTGTGGGTCCAATTGTCCTTGTGCATACAGTCGGGGTTGTGCTGGTGGAACTGGTGCTGGTGGGGGACATCCTCTTCGTTGTCGATGTAATTGTCCTCATGGTGCTTGTTGTGACGGCCCTGAATCAGCCGGTTGGAAACTCCCTCCCGGCGGTTGCGGTTCGAGGCGTAGAACCCGAGGCACATGAAGCCGATTGCGCAGACCATAAAGAAGGTGACGAGGGCGATTCTTGAGTGAATGGCGGGGTACCATGATCCGCAGGAGGAATGGGAAACAACAGGGTTGCGATCCATCTTCATTGCGGGTGATGTCTATTTTGATGTTTGTGTTATGTTTGGTGTCTTGGTGGCTCTGGTTTCTTGGATGGTTGAGGGTCGTGGTGTGGATGGTTAACGGCGCTGGTTCGAATACCGGAGATGCCGTCGGTGGTGAATCGGCGCAGGAAGATAGATGCCTTTCGACGGAGCAGATGCTGACGGAGGATTGCTGTGGTTTTGGACAGCATCTGTGGGCGCTCGGGGGCAGAGGCGCGCACACTCGAGCGGGCAGACGAGATGATGGGAAGCGAAAAGGAGATCAACCATCTCGCCAGGTTGGCCGAGAAGCAGCTACAGGAGAAGTGGGAGAAGGTAGGGTTTTAAGGCCTCGGGCACCCGGGCCAAGGGTGGGATAAGCCAGCCAGCAGAGGGTGCCTAGAGGAAGGCAAGTGCTCTGGGAAGGCGCAAGTTGTACGGTGTTGGGCACTTCCTTTATACTAGTCCTAGGACTCAAGCCTCCTTGTCCGACACTGACACTGCGCTCAGGGTATGCGATGAGACTTCCCCAACATAACGTACCGTGACCTACGTCACAAAACCAAGCAGGAATTCAATGTTGCGACCATCTTTCCAACGCACGGCCACTGCCCGCTCAGCACGAACGATCCCACCGAGCCATCCCCATGAACTCCCACCGCTCGCCCTATTACATGACCAGACAGCAGCTCTTGAGGCAACTGAAAATATCCTCCTCCCGTTGCTGTGGGGGCGGCCGCTGGTGCTGCTGCTGTGGTGGCCGCTGCCCATATTCGCCGCCGCTGTCAGCGTGATGATGCTGATGGTGTTGCTGGTGATGCCCACCACCGCCACCACCATACCCTCCCTGATAACCCGGCGGCTGCGCAGGCAACGGAGGCGGCGCCTCGACTCTTCCACCCCTCAAGTCGACATACATCCGACCTTCGTTCTCCTCGGTGGCATAGTCGAGCCCCAGCTCCTGGCACAGGCGCTCGACGCGCGGCTTGAGCTTCTGCACGTGCCCCGTCGAGTGGTTCCCCTTGCCGACAATGACGTGCAGGTGGCTCTGGCCGGTGCTCTGGGCGTAGCGGATGCGCTCCTCGAGGATGTCCTCGGCCTCCTCGACGAACTGGCCGTGCAGGTCGATCGTGTCCTCGGCGACGCGGCCGGGCGCGTTGTTCTCGCGGAAGATGAGCTCGGACGCCTGCTTGTTGTACTCGGCTTGCTTCTTCTGATGGCGCTTGCCTTCGTCCGAGAGTTCCTTGGCTTGCGCGCCGTCTCCGCGCTCATATGCCTCGTGAGCCTGCGCTCATCGGGGTGGAGTCAGCAAAGGTGGCTTTGGTGAGACGGTAGGGCCAGGGCGGCGGTGAGTTGGCCGGACGCCGTACCCGATCGAAGCAGGACTTCTTCTTGTCGCCCTCGGCCCGCGCTAGATCGCGCAGCCGGTCATACTCGGCCTCTATGTCTTGGCTAGCGCTGTGGTTGAAGACTGCAAACGGGCATCAGCAGACGCCTCTTACATGGTGGGCTTAGGAGCCGTCAGGGGTTAGAGATCATACCTCGCCCGCCAAGCCGGGACATATGGATTGCTGAAGAGGCCATCGTAGAGCCAGGGAGCAGGCAAGGGGCTGCCACTGATGAGATGATCAAGAAAAAGTGTACTCTGGTGTTGCAAGATACTGATACCTATTCCAACGCACTTCATCAACGACTGGCATGTTTACGTGAAGTGCTGACTACCCCTGACCCTGACTTTGTCGGCGTGTGCCACGAGCTTGAATGCGATTCGTCGCGCGGCATGGCCCGCTGCGTGTTCTGTTGTTGGGGTGCCAGCGGCTTTTCAACTGACAGTACGTCCGTACTCTGTAGGCCGCTTCTCAGAACCTGAAAGTCCAAGATTGCTCAGCTGTTCCCGGCCGTGAAACAGCCCTCAAAGGAGTTTTCGTCTGCAAACTCATGTTGCAACATGGCATTCAAGAACAAAAGCCTTTTCTTCCTATGAGTCCTCCCACCCGACATAAAGCATTGATCAGGTACCCTCCTCCGTATGACAAGTCAATAAATAGGGACCGCTCCACAGCGCATCAAATGACAAGCATCCAATCCTGTCAGTTTCCGTCGTCCTTTCAAGTGGCACATGAATTTGTGCCACCCATCGTCCCCTGAACATCCCGGCTTCTGGAAGATTGCCCTTTTCATTCTAGTTCAGTTTATTTGCTCCATCGCTCTGCCAAGCAAGGGGGGGCTCGTTTTCCTTGCAGGTCACCTGGAAAAAGAAATGAGAAATCTTCCTTGCGCCATCCATCTGCTCGGCATGTGGTGGGGCTCTCCGGGTGTTCCTGAGAATCCTGAGAGCTGATGCGCGATGCAGGTTCACTAGGAATGCCGGCGTGCGCTTGTTGGCAACTGGAGTTTCTGGGCTTATACACAGCACAGGCGGGCAACGAGGCCTCTCACCACGTCTCCCGCAGCGGCGTGGGCGGCTCTCAGCTGAAGTCGTCATGCGAGTGTCGCGAAGAATTACTTCTCTTGCATCACATAAAACCCTCCATGAACTTCGCAAGCTTCCGGCGGCTCCAACAAGCACGCTAATCCAATTAAGTTACTTACCAGGAGCAAGAGGGGCGAGGATCTCCAACACGACGGGACTCAGCAAGGATCAAGCAGCTTTGCCTACCAATATTCCGGCGTTGAGGGAAGTTTTGGAACATAGCGCTCCTGTATGTAGGATCTACTTCCCACTGTCCCAGCTGAGTTGATGAGAGCGGTTCAAAAGGGGACATTCTCTTCATTATCAAGCAACCTCGATGGGACGCTCGCGCGCTTGCTGGTCTGATGTGTACGTAGGGTAACGTTAGTGTCTTGTACTCCTTACGGTTACCTCCGTAGATGTATCCGTAGCCACGATCGACGTTTGGCTGATCGGCTGGTCTCTGTCGATCTCATTTGCGGGGGACGCCAGGGGCAGCGGAGAATAATATGGGTGGTTGACAATCCTGAAAACTCATAACTCAGAAAGGCGTCAACGCCACCCCGTCAGAGGCAAATGTGGACAGCTAATCAAATTACAAGAAGTATCATCTCAACGGTGCTGCATTCTGAGGACGTGGCTGAATATGGCAATCGTCTCAGATGCTAGACTGCATAAAGATGGAGGATGTTTCGGCGCACATAGCGGACAGTTGTCGAAACTAAGGTTTCCAGGAACCACCAAAGAGAGGTTGGTGCATCTGCCGCGACAGACATGGAGGATTAAACCCAGGGATGCGGGTCGGTTACATCTCACCAATGGAAAGGACATCGATGAGGATTGGGCGAAAACACCTCTATCACGTTGGCTCGGACTCAAGAAACATCAAAGCTGCTTCCTGCAAAGCAACCGAAGATACCTTGATCACAGTTCGGCATCTTCCATGATGGGTGGAGGCAGAGTTCGCGGCCACGGCCGAATTCGTCAATGTCATTTCGTCGCATGGCTCTCGAAAAGGAGTCGGGGCCCACTGGTGTCCATCAAGCCCGGATACCTGGGAATGGGAACGGCTGCACGAGCACAGCTCGATAGGCATCGCTAGAGTTGGGGGAAGAAGCATACCATAACCAATGTGCCGATGAACCTGACTCGCCCTTGCACTTGATGGACGAGAGCATCCCCTAAGCCCGACATACCTGAGTATGGACAGTAGGCGCTATCGCAAAACGTGCCGATCATCAACCCACAGACCATGTCGAAACAATCGTGCTTGATGGTCCTTGGCTTGAGCAGCCCGAACGGCGCCGATCATGCTTCCAAGGATGACTATCGGGATGAAAGTGTCGGTAGGCCGTGCCGTGATCTGGACCTGAACAGACAGACTCCGGGTTGCTAGGAGTGGCACAGCATATGGGTGAGGGCTCTTCGGTGGCAGCAGATCGCGGAAGGTGAACCAGGACGGTCAGGCTGGCCGTGTCCGGTCTGCCTCAGACCGAGACTGGACCCTCAATCAATCTTCAGAACATCGAGACTCGCGTCAAGAGGCTGCAGTGGTCGCCAGAAACAAAACAGGAGAAACGGGCTGTTCTTCGACAGCAATATATCCTTTTCCGCATGCTGTCGGGCTCGATCATCCCGATCGCGGCACATGACATTTCCGAAAGCATGATAATCCATTATTCGGAATGCCAATTCCAGTTAGTCACTGTGGTTCCTCGTTAGCGAAAGGCGCCACTTGAAATCTGGTGTTGCGGGTTGTTGTCCGGACCATTGAGAAACGTGGAACACACGCATCCCTCTGCCGACCGCGTGGGAGAGCGCGGTACTTCCTTGCCGCTTTCCCATTAGACCTTCAAAATTGATGGAACAGATTTGACTTCGGCGTCGCCGTTGCAGCTGGAGCGTTGACACTATCTGTGGACCTCGTTCGTCGGGGATCGTGCGCACTCGCGGCGCAAAGGCGGCGGTATCCGCTGGTTGGTGGTTCTCTTCCAATTCCATGACAGGGGCGCTCCCCTTCTGATCCGGACTAGCTCGCAAGGATCCTGAGAGCCCCACTCCCCAGCATGTTACAGACTGTGATTGGCCAGTTATTCTCCAGGGTCACAGCATCCCCCGAAATTCAGCGTGCATGCTCCGCGTTTCCTCACAATTAACAGAACCGATCCTCCCACCCTCCTCCCCCTTCTCAACCTCCGGTTCACACCCTCGCGACCACAACGCAGTGAAGCCCCCAACCTTCTATGTGCCACTGCCTTGGCGACGACCTCCCGCCGTCTCTGCCTCAACGTCATTGAGATTCCTGTTTTCGCGTCGCTCTTTCTGCTGCAGAGTTTTTGATTGCGGCTCTAAATTCGAGTGCCGACCGGTCTAAGGGCAACGACCTCCTGTACCAAACGTGAGTGCAACGCCACCGTCGCCCCATCTCTTCTCAGCCATCCGAATTCGTGTGGAATCATCGGTGCCGGCCCGGTCAATGGGTGCGACATTCGAGATCTTTGCCAATGAGCTATGTTTCTGGTTCTTGTCCGTCGCGGCCTGATCGCATTGCTGAAGGGTCTGCTCGCTTGACGGTCGCAGCCGCATCTTCTTGCTAGCAACGCAGCATAACTGATGCGCATCTTATCTGCAGGGCCACACTAATACCATTTTCAATCGAAACAGACTCCCTACCATCGTTTTTCTTTCGACAAGCCGTCAAGATGGGTTGCGGAATGAGCACAGAGGAGAAGGAGGGGAAGGCTCGGAACGAGGAGATCGAAAATCAGCTCAAGAGGGATCGCATGCAACAGCGCAATGAAATCAAGATGCTGCTTCTGGGTACGTCTGGGTCTCACGGCCGTCCTCGTCGGCTCGCCGCCCCCTATCGGAGCGGTATGGCGGTTAACAGTTTGATCAGGTGCTGGTGAATCCGGAAAGTCCACGATTCTGAAGCAGATGAAGCTCATTCACGAGGGCGGCTACTCGCGCGACGAGCGGGAATCCTTCAAGGAGATCATCTTCAGCAACACCGTCCAGTCAATGCGTGTCATCCTCGAGGCGATGGAGTCCTTAGAGCTGCCCCTGGCGGACTCCAGGATGGAGTACCACGTGCAGACCATCTTCATGCAACCAGCACAAATTGAGGGCGATGTTCTGCCGCCCGAGGTCGGCAATGCCATTGAGGCGCTGTGGAGGGATGCGGGCGTCCAGGCTTGCTTCAAGCGGTCACGGGAGTACCAGTTGAACGACTCGGCGCGATAGTAGGTTCCGCCCCACCTGTTGGTCCGGTTGGTATTGGTGTTGACTATATTCAAGCTACTTCGATAACATCGCTCGTATTGCGGCCCCCGACTACATGCCCAACGACCAGGACGTCCTGCGGTCGCGTGTCAAGACCACTGGTATCACCGAGACGACCTTCATCATCGGTGAACTCACGTACCGCATGTTCGATGTCGGTGGCCAGCGATCTGAGCGGAAGAAGTGGATCCACTGCTTCGAGAACGTCACGACCATCCTGTTCCTGGTCGCCATCTCGGAGTATGACCAGCTGCTCTTCGAGGACGAGACGGTGAATCGCATGCAGGAGGCCCTCACTCTGTTCGACTCAATCTGCAACTCAAGGTGGTTCATCAAGACATCCATCATTCTCTTCCTGAACAAGATCGATCGGTTCAAGGAGAAGCTGCCGGTCAGCCCGATGAAAAACTACTTCCCCGACTACGAGGGTGGCGACGACTACGGCGCGGCGTGCGACTACATTCTGAACCGCTTCGTCAGCCTGAACCAGCACGAGAGCAAGCAGATCTACACACATTTCACATGCGCGACGGACACGACACAGATTCGCTTCGTCATGGCTGCTGTCAACGGTATGTTGCGAGTACAGTTTTGCAGGCATAGCAAGGTGCTAATCTTTCGTGACAGACATTATCATCCAGGAGAATCTCCGTCTCTGCGGTCTTATTTGAAGAGATCCGCGGCGGTTCTCTCGTCGTCGCAGCCGCACTCTCGGACCAGAGTCTGCGCCGCCTTCTACCGTACTAGACCGTCGAAGATACCCCTACCCCGGGATACGTGTGGGAATCGGCGGAATCATGACCCTCCGCCGTCCCATGCATCTCAGGCCTGTTCCCTACTCCACGACTCCGGACCCGGATTATGAAAAATCGACCTGGGTCGTATCGGCGCATGAACGAGCCGTATCTGTTATTGAGGGAGGATAAAATATTCTGTTTAATAATGACGTCGCGTTGGTTGGTGTTTTTGAATCGTGTATGAAACCTTTCTCTTTCTATCGACCTTTTTCTTGCCTGTTTCTGGTCAAGGCAGCGCAGTTAGCTGCCACCCCTCCCTCTCTCTAAATGCTGGATGATATGGCGTGGGCAGAGCAAGGCCTGGGTACGCGGCGGGCATCAGGGAAGCACTTGAGATGGCAGAGGATAGCGCAGGGCGGAAGGCAGGGAAACAGTGACGGTAGCAGGCAGAGGCGAGGCTGGAATGGGCTTCGTTGAGAAAGCAGGGAAGTTGGAGGATGGCAAATGGCCTTGTGTGAGATATGGATGCGGGAGGGAACAGGAGGCAAGCAAGTGGTTGGCGCATATACCAGTCGACATTTCTATTTTCCTTGTAGTATTCTCTAAGTCATCAAGTCCTTGATTTTTCAGTCCTTGCTTGGTTGGCATTCTGTGAGCTGTGGATCTGAGCTGATAGGCAATGCAGACATACACAACCAACTACGGATATCCGTACTTACGTTGTTTTCAAAGGGTTGTGTGCGGTCCAGATGTGGTATTGAAGGTGAGCATAGGATCAATGAATTGCCAGCAAGTTGTAGTCAGACAGTATTGGATCAGATGGATGTTCGACACGTTGTCTGTCTAAAACCCTAGAATCTGCGTCGCCAACATGAATTGTGCCAGGGAGGATCAACGCATTCCGTGTCCGTCCGTCACAAGCCAGTCCAGAGTCCTACGTATACCTGTCCCAACGATAGCTGACGTCCCTGCTGGGGATGATCCGGTTCTTAGGCGTGGAGGCAAACGCTTGAGTTTACCTTCTTCGGGTTACCCCGTATCTTGCAGTCTAAGGTAGCTCAGGGTAGGCACCTATCTGGGATAACGTTACTGTTGTACTGGTATGGGAGCTGTCGGTGTAAAAGACACGCTTAGAAGCAAAACAGACTTGGTGTCCTTATGGCGATAGTTAAGAGGGCAAACCGCCCAACCACATCGACCTAACCTATTCACAACTGCAGTCAGGTTTCTAAACCGCCTAGGAGATCACTGTGTAGTGTCTCCTAGTACTAGTAATTATCCGACTCGAGACCGAGTCCGAGACTGAGTCCGAGACTGAGTCCGAGACTGAGTGATGATGTCAGACCCTAACCCTCAATGATATGTTCTCACTCTCAGTCGACCAACGTTAAAGTTGTAACTTCGCGCATGATGCAGGTAAAACAAACATTGAAGGGGACATGTTAAGTCAACACATGCGACCGCTTTTAGCAGCCTCGGCACAAAGCAGAGAACCGCACTGCGTATGATAGTACCTCAACCGCCCGCCCTTGCAACTTTGCAATCGACACTGACCATCTAGTGCCAACCTGACCGACCATCAGGCGACGAACCCCCTTTGTTTACAGATGGCCGACAGCGTCCGGTTGAGGGCCGGAGATGTTAGAGAAGACTACAAGAAAAGCTTCAGAACATGGTCTATGCTGTACCATGCTGCCATCGAGCAACCAGGTCTACCACTCACTTACTTACCTGGACACACAAAGCGCGTTCCTACCATGCCCCTCGTTCCGACGAGACCTACGGCTGAAGCACGTAACATACGCCAGGCACAGCCAAGTATACGCAATTGGCCGTTCTGCTGGGGCTCAGCACAGCCAGATTGCGAGCATGGACTCTCGGCTTTTCACCAAAACGTGCAGATCAGTGTCGTGGCCAGGAACCCCATATCGTTATACGTCGCAGCACGTCGAACAGCGGAGAACGCTTGGCCTCGTGGTTCGCACTAGGTGTCCAAAATTACCTTCCTGTGCTTATCCTGGCATAGGCCTACATTCTCTCTGCGCTGTGGGCTGAGATTGTGCCTGAGGCTGTATCGATGGTTTATACGAACAGCACAGCCGATAACCGGTCCCCAAACTCGGTCGCATCTCTCCTGGCTGGTCACCGCAGTCAGGAAGTAGACATCAGCGATGCCGGTCCAGACGAGACTCGATGGTGGACGGCGGTACTTGCCCCGGACCAGGGCTGGCGGGCGACAATGTTGCTGAAGCAAGACACCTTCTTTGCCCCTTGGTCAATACGGCTTTAGCCAGCTTACCAGTTCACACTGTTGACAACCTCTCAGTCTCAAGGTCATTCGGCAGTGCTCCCATTCCCTTCAGAAGCCCTCGTTTTCTTGGCAGGTCTGCGCTCGCCGCAATATCACCGACCAGAGTCAGGACGCCCTGGCCGCTGTGCCTGCTCTTCCCATCAATGTGTGCCGGCCAAGGGCTGCAGCTGCCAGCTTTCACAACCAGCTGCCTTGACCTCCCGACCGAAGTTGTCTCTTCGTTTCTGCAGCAGTTACCGCAGGGCTGGACTGTCCAGGACGGCTACCTAGACAGTCTTATTACTATCGGCTGCCACGCCAGAGGGATTCGCCCTATGTTGCTAGGCAGCTTCTACGATACTAGCGTCGAGTGCAACACCGTTACCCCTTGGCTTCAAGGGGCACTAGCAGCGATTGATGTGCTTGCCCAAGACGACCTCTTGTCCTCGGACGCATGCTGATGGACCGAACAACCAAAGGTGGCGCCGCTTTGGGTCGGCGTCACAATTCTTGGGCCGCAGAAAAAAGCTCTTTCCAGGACGTTAGCTTCAGAATGATCCCCATCGACCTCCACGATGCCGCATGGAGCAGGACGTTGCAGTCGTTCATCCAGCAACCCGTTTCGGAGCCGCTCGTGGCAGACGGCCGGGTCTCCCGGGCGGACCACTGCCGGCTACTGTTCCTCTCGCGGTCCGGATCGCATATCCGGGTGCCCGTCTGCCAATGGAGACCTTTTGGCGGTACACCGCTTGAACATACCGATCTTGAAGTACGGGTCCATGCCCAGTGCAAGGGCCATGGGCTTCGGTATCAGGGTTCATATGGGACGGCGTGGATGGCAAGACAACAACACGCCAGACGCTCGACGGCGCTGATGTCTGCGCGTACCCAAGCCCTCCAGTCCTGCAGTAGAAGAATCCAAGTTCGAGCCATCTACCGATCAACTACAAAAAGTTATATATCGACAGAGATTTTGTGTCGGAAAATGCGACGCGGAGCATCTTCGGCTGGCTGCGTGTGGACGGATTTGCAGTGGACGAAATGGAGATCGCGATCCACGGATGGTTAGCGATGCCCGAGTCTGACGAAGAGGAAGCCAGCGCAGTGAAGATGCCTTTGAGATTATGCCCGGCTCATCCTCATATCTAGACACTTGGGTGTCGGAGCCTGTCTTTACCAACCACCAATACCACAGAGAGAGGTAGTGTAAATTGCGGGATTCCGTTCGAAATCTACTGTAATAAGTAGGCCATAGATCTCGATTGGTAAGTAGTGCAGCTACATGAGATATCAAGAAGTTTAGTACGACCAGATGCAAGTTGCCCATCATGAGTTGTAAATGTTGAAGAGATTAAAGTCGAGAGAGACGGGCCAGCCTATAAGTTAGACGCTATGCCTGATCAGGAAGTATTTCATTCCCAGCTGGGTAAGCGATTCGATCAAGACCCTGACAACGTTCTTCAAACACTTGCAACTATCACGGAGACCATCAGGTTCTCAAGCCAGTCGAATTAAGAACTGCAATCACAGACAAAGGGTCCCGATCCTCGTCAGCCGACGAACAAATGCGACCCTCAATCCTCTCATCCTTTCTCCGAAGGCACGGTTTACCCATCAAACTGCGTCCACAGCGCCCACGCTATACCTCCCATCTCCATGACGCCAACTCAAAGCCTACCGCGACCCAGCCCTTTCAGGTGGAAACCTACCTCGAATCGTCCCGCCAAAAATTCACCTCCCAACCGCCCACCATCATCCCAGACATCCTCTCGTCGACCCACTCTCACCTCCTGACCCTCTCCCTGGCAGACCACGTCCCTTCCATGTTTCCCCCGGACCATCAGCTACTACTGTCCAAGAGATCCCTCCTCCCTTCTATTCACCACTCCTTACCCCCACCGGATGAAAAAGACCTTGTCCTCCCACAGGGCCACCACCTCGTCTACTTCCCCCTGCAGCTGCCGCCCTCGCAGCTCATGCCCGACGGGACCGACCCGGCCCACTGGCCCGGCCCGCCCTTTGTGCGCCGCATGTGGGCGGGCGGGCGCGTCGTGTTTCGCGAGGGATGGCGGGAGCTGATGAGGATGGATGGCCGGAGGGTGGTTTGTATTGAGCGGGTCGTGCCTGATGCCGTGGAGGTGAGGACGATGAAGAGCGCGGGGGTTGATAGGGAGGAGAAGGAGGAGGAGGAGGAGGAAGGGATGGAGAGGGTTTTTGTGGACGTGCAGAGGCTCTATGGTGCTGTCCCGGTCGGAAAAGGGGTAGTAACGGATGAGGAGGTCGGGAGGGGCTTGTTGGATGGGAAGGGGGTGGCTGTTGAGGAGGCGAGAAGGTTGGTGTTTATGAGGGAGCGGAGGGGGCTTGTGAAGGGGATTAGTGCGCGGAAGGTTATCAAAGGTGTGTTGTCTCTTTCATTCTTTTCTTGTCTTGATTGGACCTCGTGGCTGAAGTGGTACTGACGTACAACGCAGCCACCGCCGTCCCGGAGTTCACTTTCCCCCTCAAACCCGATAATACCTTGCTCTTTCACTTCAGTGCCCTCACCTACAATGCCCACGCCATCCACATCGACCCGTACTATGCCCGCTACCGTGAAGGCTACCCCGGACTGCTCGTCCACGGCCCGCTGACGCTGGTGCTCATGCTCTCGGCCTTGCGGGCGGCGTTGGTGCGGCTGCAGTCGCAGGCCTGGCCAACCACTAGCACGCCAGAACAGTCTGGGTGGATGCCCTCGGTCAAGTCAATCACGTACCGTAACCTTGCACCTCTCTTCAGCAATGAGGACATGAGGGTGTGCCTGCGCAGGACCAAACCGAAAGGCGACGACCTGAGTTGGCACGTGTGGGTTGAAGGGCCTGAAGGCGGGATTGCGGTCAAGGGACACGCCGTCAGTACTGGTGTTGTTCGGCCGAGTTGAGACTACGCGAGAAGATAACCGGTATTTGTATAGTTGTGTATGAAGTAGTAGGCCCGGTTTTGAACTGAAAGATACCCAAATATTGCAGTTAGTCATGTATTTTCAGAGGGAAAATCTGCACGGCATACTGAACACTGTTCCACACTTTATACTAGAACTTAGTCCCAGCCCTTGAACTGGCAACTACCATACGAACTCTAGTTTTTGACTGTTATCTCTGGGTATCTGTTAATAGAAGTATCGCATCAAACGCCATCCCCATCCAACCCGCCATGCCCATGCTTACTGTACAGATACATGTATATGTACACCGAACAACCCCGCCTTTCGCCGGATCGTAATGACCAAACCAAAGCCGCGCCTTATGAAAATCGTTCTAGACCTCGAACCCTGCCTTTCGGAAGTCGTCCACCATCTTCCGGAATATCTCATCCCCTTCGTCAACTGCTTCGTCGCCCGACAACTTCCCCGCATCAGTCTCCCCATCGTACATAACAGCCCCCAGCCGCACCTGATCTTGCCCCTCGTCTTCCGCTTCTGCAGGTGTCTCGACCTCAGACACGGGATCCAGCGTCTCGGCGGGACTCGCCATGCCGCCGCCTGACTCAGATCCAGTGCTCGGAGATCGGCTCCAGCCAGGCACATCACCACCATCAATACTGCCCGCCACATCCGAACCCGCAGCAGCAGGCCAACCCCACCCCTCCTCGCCAGGAAACAGCCCCAACGCCGTGTTACTGCTCGCACTCCTCTGATGCCGATGCCGATGCCTCTCCCTGGCTGCCTTCTCTCCCCCACCACCTCCTCTTCCCAACCCAAAACCCAACCTCTCCCTATTCTCTCTCAACCTTCCCTCCAGCCTTGCCACCAACCCATCCAGCACCTCCCTCAGCAAGACCTCCTCCTCCCGCAACAGATCCCTCACCGGCACGGGCGACGGATTCGCCGCGCTGACCGTCCCCAGCGCAGGCAGCGCCACACTAGACGGGGTGCGCTGCAGGCCGCGCAGCACATTCCGCCATATGGCGTCGCGCTCCTCGCGCGGGAGGGGGAAGTCGATGAGGTTGTCATTGGACTGGATCGAGTCGACGAGAAAACGGAGCGAGGTCAGGTTGAAGTTATTGTCGCGGCAGTCGAGGCTCGCCAGCACGGTGGCGGTGGTGGGCGTCAGACTCGACGAGAGGACGCGGCCGAGGGTTCCCGCGTCGTCGTGCAGGTTCTGGTTGCGGATGCGGAGGTGGGTTAGTACAGAGTTAAATGCCAGCCCCGCGAGCGAGCGGCCGAAGCCCCGGGGGAGTTGGCCGTCGTCGAGCTTGCCGGAGAAGCCGGACAGGTCGAGACACTTGATGGATGTGTTGCGGGCGAAGAAGTCGTGGAGCGTCGTGACGAGATCCTTGCTGCACGGGCCATGGGATGAGGAAGGGGACGGGGCGGTTCCGGCTAGACTGAGGAGGGTTAGGTGTCGGGAGCTGGTGAGGGATCGGATGAGGGCGAGATAGTTGGCTTCGTGTTTGAACTCGATCATCTCGAGGCACAGAGCGGCGGGGCCGTGCTGTTTGCGTATGGCCGCCACGAGAGCTTCGATGCCGTCTTCGATCGCGTTGCCGCTTAGAGAAAGGTGCATGCCGTGGTCCTCGCCGATGGCGTCGAAGAGCTGAGCAGCTTGGGTGCCGGTGATTCCGCAGTGGTTAAGGACTAGTTTGTTGAACTTCAGGGGCTGGCTTTGATCGAGCTTCCAACTCCGGTATTGCAGGAACCGCGCCAAATCCTGGAACGTGTCCTCGTCGATCTGGGAAAATAGTCAGTCAACTGAAGACACGGCTTTTATTTGGCAGATTTTTAACCTTGTATCCCGAGATGTCCAGCTCTTCGAGGCTCTCCATAGCCTCGAGGGCCGCGAATGGGAGCAATGAGCCTTTGATGTAGCTCTCAGCCTGAATGGTGCCGCTGAGGTTCAACTTCCGAATCTCGGTAAGGTACTGGAGCAGTCCGGGTAAGATGTGCGCTGGAAGACGCCCTGGATTCCCGGACAAAGACAGAGACTGAAGCAATCCTGGGTACTCTGAGAGTGGCGTCACTATCATATCCCGTAGACCGGAGTCATCAAGGCCGCAGTACGATACGTCCAGTGCTTGAATCGCTCCCGATTTCATCGTTTCGGCTGAAGCAGGTCAGCAAATCATATCAACCTGAGCTGTAGAGGGCTAATCTTACCGAGATCCTCAACGTCAAACTGAGGCAAAACGTTCCCACCAACAAGCAAGCGATTGCACTTGGTAATACCAGACCTCAATAAGCTAAGGATTGGCGTAAGGAACTGGAGGCTGGGGTTCTGACTCTTGTACTGAGCCAGTCGAGAGGCCAGCGTCTTGCTGCAATTCGTAAAGTCGATCTGCCGGATCGTCTCGGAGCAGAACGCCAGGGCGTGGAATTCTTGGTGCAGCACCGGACTAACCCTCAGCATCTCGACTTCGTCAAGCCCGAGGGCGACGCCTGAACAAGTCAGCACTTGACGGGGTTACAGGACACAGGGTTGCGCTTACAAGTACGGCTCAGGTACGCAACATTCACCTTCCTAAGGGTGTTGTCCCGGAATCCATACAGCACCGACAGGTCGACATCCCTAAACGACAACGAGTTGAAGTAGTCGTTGTACCGCAGAGCGCGCAAGACGGCCAGAAGCTGCAAGGCCGAGTATGGCTTCCGCTTCCCGGGCAGCAGCCGGAACTCGGGAGCGAACCGTGTCTTCCAGTTAATCTCCCAGTCGACATCCTCGCAGCGATAGGCCGCCAGGTACGCATTGAGAGTCCGCTGGAAGCTCCCAAAGTCTTCCTTGGGCACGAGATACTGCGGCTCCTTCAGTCCCGTGACGCGGAAGATCTCCAGGCTCTGCCAGAGCTGCGGCCAAGCGGGCTTGAGGAAGCGGTCGGCTGTGCCGAAAACGCGAATGATCTGCCGGTAGTAGCGGCTCGCGAGCTCGAGCGTGACCGAGGCTTTGAACGGTTCCCTGATGTTGTCAGCTCTGTCTGGTCCTGCGAATGAGACTTCTGAGAGCCGGCTTACCGAAACGTAATATTGAACCGTTCTTCGTGAAGCACACCCTCACCCTCGAAACACTCCAGAGTGACCAGACCAAAGGTCCTGTGCCGGAAGATGGGATCACCGCCCTTCGCTTTTTGAATCTCGGCCAAATAGCAGAGGTAGGTGCCGACTATGAGGTAGAACGCAGGGCCCTCCTGAGGCTTCTTCGTGGCATCCTCAAGCCTGGGCATGTACTCCTTCCGTGTGCTACCACGCGGCACAACAGGAAATATTTCCGGCTTGTGTTGGTGCAACCTTGGCTCACCCACCTCGAGCATCTTGTCCAGTAAGGATGCGACATCCTCGGTACAGCGGCCAGGGCCGTTCTCGTCTTGCTGGCTGGCTTGCATGGCCCGGGTTATCAGGTGCAGCTGCTCGTTCCGGTCGTTGGGACTGGCAAAGAAGAAGTCAGACCGGCAGAAGGCACGGCCAGCCAGAGGGGTCCTCCACCAGACCTCGATGCCAAAGGACGGCCGCGGGCTTTCTGCCGCGAACACGGACACAATGGTGTCCATGGGGATGACCAGGAGCGGCTCCGGAGTCGGGCTTCTGGTTTCATGTTGGGTGCCTTCTGTCGCCAATCCTGGGAGGAGGGCAAAGGCGTCGGCGCGGCTCTTCGTCTTTACAAGGTAGTTTGTCGTCACTACCAGATATGGCGTCTTCGATTTTAGCAGGAGGGTGTCCGGCTCTAGCGGGGCGGACCCCTCAACCTGCTGCGCTGCCCAATTGATGGAAGAAGAAGACGAAGTCGCTGTTGCCAGGCTCGAGTTATCCGTGGCTGAAAGCGAGAGCCGACCGTGGTCGTCAGAGAGGGCTGAGCTGCGGCGTCTACGATCATCGATATGGGACGAGGACGATAGGGGTCTTGACCTGGATAGCCTTCGGGCTTGGCTCCGGAAGCTGTGTCCTGCGTCGGGGGTGGTATTTCGCTCCTTGTTGCTGAACGAGCGCCATGACCGGCCTGCGATAGAGCTGATGGAGAAGGTCCTGTGGTTGCTGTCGAAGCTCGAGGGGGAGCTGCGCCCTGTTGTTGACGAGCTCGTACCAGATTCAAGGCTTTCGGGCGTGGATACGGCTAGCGCTGTCGGGCTGGGTCGTTTGTTCACCTCGATGGCCACAGTAGACATGGTAAGTTATGTAGCACGGTTCGACGCAGTATGTGTATTGGTTCGACGGCACGACGCACGGCCTGAGGGACCGAACACGAAGCAGGTCAACGAGGCTTCAGCGCCCGATGGCTTTGCACCGAAGGATTGGATTCTGTGCACGCTCGATGGCGCAGAGCAAGAAGCGGCCGGATTGCACGGCTGGTCATCTGAGCCAGCTGGAGTTCAGTCGGGCGTTGTTCAGAAGCCGCTATCCCGAATCCAGATGTGAATGCTTCAGATTGAGTCGATGAGGTTCTGTGGGGGTTAGAACTGTCAACACGACCACGCGGGCGGCCACACAAGCAACAGCCGAGCTTCCTGCTGTCGCTCCGTCTAGCGAGTATCAACAAAGCGACACACCGATCACCACACTGGGTGTTTCCTGGTGGGATGAAAAGTGAAAGTGAAACCTAGGGGCAAGACACGGCGTATGTGCACGAGACCTCATAGAAAGAGAAATGGTTTCCCCCGAGGACATGGCATATACAACCGCACACGCATATGCTATCCCTTACCTCAATGGGCATTTCCCAGTACCCAACAGCCGGGCACCCGCGCCATCCTCATGGTGTCGATCCAGGACTGGAATCATGGTGGAGACGGTGCGTGTTGTTGCTGCATAATGATGTGATTGTCAGCTACACCGTCCAATGGGCACTGTTCTCAGCCGTTGTTGACCGGGGCTCCGCTCAACATCGGGCCAATCCCGTCAGACAATCTCGGGACACCAGGCCAGGCGTTGGCTTCCACCAGGTTCAAGAACCGGATGAGGCTTTGTCGATCAGCAAAGCAGCAGAAAGGCACTTGCATCAGACAGACAGAACTTCATTTTCAGAGCAGCACGTGTATGTCGGTGGGACTTGGTACGAGTACACCTATGGCCATTGTGAGATGCGCTTGAGCGATCATATCCGTATCCAATCAGATCAGGAGTAAGGCCGTGCCAACCCTGCTTGGGGCCGGGGAAGATAGACCTGTCCGTCGGGCAACGTTGAGAGGTAAAGCGTTCGACAAGCCAAAGACACATAGTATCCATGTATCTTTACAAGGATAGGCAGAGCAACCTTGATTTTGGTAAAATTGAAGGTGCCGAAACAATGCACAAACGATATCCAGGTAGGCTAGAGAAATGCCGGTGTTGCAAACAAAAGATACGGTACCCGGTTGTTGGGTTCCGCCAAGATGATAATTGTGGGTTTTCGCCATATGTCGTATTGTGGCACCGATCTCCTGTGACTCGAAGTGTGCACCGCCTCTTAAGTGGCGCTGCTCAATAGCAGTCACTAGTGACTTCGGCGTAGGACAAGGCCGAGAATATGATGACGGGGAGCACATGGTTCAGTTTCAAATTGATCAGCCCGCAGCAAGCAGCCGTGCCTGTCTTACCCTACGCGACAATGCCTTTTTCCAACACCCGGATAATGCGAAAAAGTAATGTTTTCATCAATGTACGTACCTGGTTTTGCATTGAGTCATTTGGGCTAGGCTTTCTAGGCTACCTACATCCTCGCCGCCAATGTTGGTGGCCCAGCACCTCATCAGGGTGCCCGGATAAACATCCGTCAGCAAAGCCTCGGGTTCTGCTTGCTGGCGGGCGGGACAACATCGGATCGCCAATTATTTTATGAGTATGTGAATTCGCGGCACCCCTACATCCGCCATTGCCATGCTTGGCAGCCTTTCTAGCACCCAATATCGGTCAAGCTTCGAGTATCGTCAAGCTGATGTCTCGGACGGCACAACCCGGTTCCCACCCCGAATTCTAGATAAGCAGCTGAGGTGATCAACCCGGCCACAAGTCTCGGTGAAAGGAGTTCGAGCCTGTGCTAGCCCTGTTCTGACTGCCCTCCGATCAGATCAATGCAATCTGCTGTTAGCTCTCTGTAAGCAGCACAGCGCTTACCGCTACCAGATCGAGACCCCGCCCCTGCCGGTGGTGCTTGATGAAACAAATCCCGTTTCATCGCCCGAGTTTGGCCGCTCTTGCTCAACCTGAGCTCTGCTTTGCCCCGCCTGTAGTACCTTAGCTTGCCCGCCCTTTGGTTCCGTTTCCCGAATTGTTTGTGCATTGGGAACCTGGCCCGAACACTCCAGTTTCCTGGTTGCGCATCACGGCCCAGAGGCACAGCTGTGCCTTCAAAGCCGCCGGCACCTACCGACTGAGGGAGTTCAGCCTGCCTACCGGCTGTGGGGGTTGGCCAAGAGGCTGTTTGTCAGTGATAAGCAGGAGGCGCGGAACGGTAATGGGTGCTGAAAGTTATGCTCTTTGATGCGTGCTGGACGGCGCAGACGCCATTGTGAGCCTTTGCGAAGATGGCGCCAGAGACCGTCTCGGACCAACAAAGGCATTCCGTTGAGATGCGACATGTCCTTGTTGACCAGAGGGCGGAGACAAAGCCCGGCGTGGTGGCCTTTTCCGGCACCTTTGCGTTGCTCCTGTGCTATTATCTCGAGATGGGGCGAGAAGTCCGGTCCTGTTGCCACATGGCTGGACTCCAATCCTTTGCCGACAAGCGCCTGCGTTGGCCCGAGCTTGGTTTCATCTCGAGGGGGCGCCTCAAGCGATCGGTGAGCCTAGCCAATCCGCCTGCGACATGCCCCTCAACCCCCCATCTTTCCCACGACGGCGCTGCAACCAAACATCGCTCCTGCCACTGGGGCCAGCCCCGAGCTCACACCGCATCAGCCTAAATTAGCGCGAGGCCCCTAACGTGAGCAGCATCCAATGTTCGGCGCCCCACTCGTCATCGGTAAATTCCTCATGAGAAGCGTGGTCAGCAGCCGACGACGCCTCTGAACCGTTTCCCGACTTTCTTCATCCCCCCTTCAACGTGAAACTACCACAGTAAGCTGGAAGCCAACCAAGAAGCCGGACAGCAGGAGAACATCTTGGATCGTCGCACAGCGCCGCGCGTTGATCACAATTCCGGTACCCGTCCGTATTCTGCTTTTGTCTGACGGACAGTGAAATCATTGCGGCGCACAAGTCTGAGGACGAAGAGCCTGGGCTCTTCGCCACGTCCCATCACTTCCCACAGTGGACAATCACCTTAGCTCCGCCGGCAGCGAAAGTGATTCTCATGCTGCTGTCAGCCTGATAATTTGGACGCCATGGCTATGCTGGCTTCCAAATCCTTCCCCCCGTCGCTCGGCCAGCCATCGGGCGTCGTCACGACAGCATCACAGTCAGCATACCCGCCCGCGAGACGAGCTCCCGCAGCTCCCATGACCACGCAGAATTACGCCAGCCCGACTGAGTCTGAGTTTGATGATGTGGATGGGCCCAACTCGGTGAAGAACTGGGATGAGGATAGAGTGTGCGAGTACCTGCGGAGCGTCAAGTGCGGCGAGTACGAGAAGGTGTTCCGTAAGAACCACATCAATGGCGAGAATTTGCTCGAGATCGACAAGGAGGTGCTCAAAGAGATGGGTGTCGAAAAGGTTGGAGACCGGGTGCGTCTGTTCTTGAGCATCAAGAAGCTACGGACAAAAACATACGCCAGCCAGAGGAGGCGAAACAGGGTAGGTTCAGGCTTCAACTCAACGCCATGCGCAAAGCCGCTGATATCATCCTTCCAGGAGTCATTCGCAGGGCTTGACACGCACTATGCTCCGTCATCATCTTCCCCTCGACCCCGCGCTGTACCTCCGACGCCGTCAAACAAGCGCTATTCTCGCCAGTACGACCTCTCGGCTGCTCTCCCCGTCGCCGATCACTCCAAACCCTCGTCGCGGCCGACCTCCCCCCTACCGAGCGCAGACTTCAGGACCGCACGCCAACGATTCGCTCAGCCCCAAACCTATACCAGCCAGCCAACCCCTCCGTCGGCAAGATTTCCCATGGCGTCTCCCGACCAGCCACACTCTGGTCGGCTGCACACAAGGAATCAGTCCAGCGTTGACGGTTCGTTGATGGCTGCTCTGCCCCCAGGACAGGACGTTATCCGGGTCATCTCGACGGGCGGCGTTACCAAGGTCGTCAAGATTGCCGACTGTAACACCTGCGAGGAGGTCATGCGCGTTACGCTCCGGAAATTTGCCCTGAGAGAGGATCACGAGAGGAACTACTGCTTTTGGGTGCTCAACGGCGTTGAACCAGACCCGAACCAGTGCCGCCGTCTCGGCGACACCGAACTGTGGCGGGTCATTAAGGACCACACGAGACCTGAGCGGAACCGCCTAATTCTGAGACGGGTGCCTGCCGGAGAACCGGGACAGTCAGAACTCGAGAGGGCTGCGGCCATCGCCATGGAGGAAGCACATCAAAGCCACAACCGAGCCATGGAAAGCATGGATAAACGCAGCCAAATCAAGGCGCAGAAAGTCCTTGGCGAGACATGGGAAACCATTCAACAGCCTCCTCTTTCACCCATTTCATACCAGGACCGAGAAAGAAATGTGTACAACGCGGCCAGAGATCTGGAGCGGCCAGCGGTGATTGAGACAGCCCGTGCTGTGCCCCGTCGCAAAGGCATGCTACGCCAGTTTGGCGGACTTAGACCACCTAGCGAGCTGATCGCCTCGGACCTGACCAGCTACTTCCCGGACCACTCTCGTGAAGCCATAGACAGGACAGCCCGCATGTCCATGCGACGGTCGCAGCGACTCAGCAGGGTGAACCACCGCCTGAGCGTTGCAAGCACGCTGAGCTTTGCCTCGAGCATTCAAGACGCCCCGCCGATCCCGACCATCGCAGACAGCTGGCTGACTGCTTCCAACCAAATCGCCAAAGTTCGCGCGCGCGAGCCGCGCTTCCACGGATACCGAGACTCGGTCGCCTCGTCGGTCCTCGACACGTTGCAGGAGGAGTCCTCACCTATTGAGCCGAACCGGAAATCGTACGTCTCGTTTGCCGACAGCGGCTCGGACACGGCCGCGCTGAGCATCACCGATCCTGACGGCAACGTGGTCCGACATAGCTACTTCGATGGGAGCACCACCGGCTCAGGAGGCTCTGGGTCGCTGCAGGATGTCAACCAAGCGCTAACAGAGGATGGAGAGGACGCCGACGAAGAGCTGCAGAGCTTCCTGGCTGGCGAGTCATGGGACGACAGCAAGTGGATGAAGGGTGCACTGATTGGCCAAGGCTCCTTCGGCAGCGTCTACCTCGCCCTTCATGCCGTTACGGGCGAACTTCTCGCCGTCAAGCAGGTCGAGACACCGTCCCCCGGCGCGAATAGCCAGAGCGACTCGCGCAAGAAGAGCATGATCGACGCCCTGAAGCGCGAGATTAGTCTCCTGCGCGATCTCCGCCACCCCAACATCGTGCAGTACCTCGGCTGCGGCTCGTCGGCGGAATACCTCAACATTTTCCTCGAGTACGTTCCCGGCGGCTCGGTCCAAACAATGCTCAACTCGTACGGCGCGCTCCCCGAACCGCTCGTCCGCAGCTTCGTCCGTCAGATCCTCAACGGCCTCTCGTATCTCCACAACCGCGACATCATCCACCGCGACATCAAGGGCGCCAACATCCTGGTCGACAACAAGGGCACCATCAAGATATCGGATTTTGGCATCTCCAAGAAGCTCGAGGCGACAAACATACTCAACGGCGCAAACAACAACAAGCACCGCCCTTCGCTGCAAGGGTCCGTGTTCTGGATGGCGCCCGAGGTGGTCAAGCAGACGTCGTACACCCGCAAGGCAGACATCTGGTCGTTGGGTTGCTTGGTGGTGGAGATGATGACGGGCCAGCACCCGTTCCCGGACTGCACGCAGCTGCAGGCCATCTTCAAGATTGGCGGCGCCAAGGCCACGCCTACGATCCCCGAGCACGCCAGCGACGAGGCGAAGCAATTCTTGGCCCAGACGTTTGAGATTGATCATAATAAGCGGCCGAGCGCGGATGATTTGATGCTGAGTCCGTTTCTGACGCCGCCGGCGTAAGAGGCATCGGTTACGTTGCTGCCTACTACGGGTGTGATGAGGAATGGGCGGTGGCGTTTCTTTTCCACTCTTCTTCTTTACTTTTATTGCTCTCATTTTTAGCGGCTACTTTTCTGGTCTTTTACATTTTGGTCGAGGCATCTTTTTTTGCTATTTGGTCTTGGGAAAGACCGGATCTCGATGTACATAAGCGTGGTTTTTTACGAGGGCAAGATCTCTTCTGATGCATACCATGAATCTTTCACTTTGGGATGTGGATGACAAGTCTCCGTCGGATACAGTAGCGAGATGTAGAGTTGGAATTGGGGCGGTACACAAAGTGCACATTATGCCGGCATAGGTATCCTGCTGTCTTGTCTGTCACATCATACACGGCTCTACTCTTTCAGGTAGAAAAGCATTTGCGAGCTGAGCTTCAGTTGTGTGCTTAAAGATGGTTCTTGGTGTGTAAGGGTGCCTGGTTAGGGGGTTGGCTGTTGTTACAATTCTGTCTAGGGATTTGGCCACGGTATCTAATGTAAGTGTCCTGTCCAGACTCAGACCTCGGAGGAAGCCCGCATGCACCGTTCTTTCACAACCCTTACATGCGCTGCCACGCTTATAACGTCTCGATACCATTCTGACAAGTAAGGGATTCGCGGTGTCACTGGAGTGGGGTTTGCCTGCTCTGCATGTGTGTTGCTTCCAGACGGATCTTGTATAAACAACAACAATGTTTGCGCTCGCTTTTGAGGGGAACTGGTGTTGACAGAGTTGGGTTTCCTGCTTCACCCCATTATGAATGTTGTCTCTTCTAACTTAATCATACCCAGTGTATCTTTTCTCCCCTTGACTGGGTTCAACCTCTGCCTCAACCGTCCAAGGAACGTTACCGGAATGTCTGGGCCTTCTTATCTGGCCTTATTCGTGGTGATGGCCTTGTGTGGTGACACCGAGGTGAGGGGGAAATGAACCCAGCCAAATCTACCGTGCAGTTTGAGAGGCGGTCTTGCATCATGGGTGTGCAGCGGCAGCGGACCAGTCAAGGTCCCATGTGATTAATGACCATCCGGATTTGTGGCAGATTGATTTGCTTCTATATATAGATAGATGACCAAGAGAAATACCTTGAATAAACTTCTATGCTGCAGTACAAAGTAAGGCGAGTATTCTTTGGTTGTTGTGGTGGTGGGGAGCCCAGGGGAATAGTTGATCAGAAAGAGGCCGCGACCAAAATCAGGCGAGAGCAGGGCTGGTTTATATCCCAGAGGAAGAAGTCAGGGTTCTGTTCATTTATTATAGTATGGAAGCTGAAACTTCTAGAATGCCGCCTGCAATTTCTTCCTGCCAGATGGTCTCGTCGATGCAGTAGTTCGATTGTTTATAGTGACCATGTAGTAGTAGCCCCTGTTGGGCCAAGCACTCTCTCACTGGAAAATCATGTATCTAGGCCATCATGCCGGGCCCAAAATTCAGAAACGCAATGACTGACCATGATACCAGCCATGGAGAAATCTGGAAGACTCCACAACCTGAAAACAACCCCTCGGCACCCAGACCCAGGGCGTCAGTGGTGTTGAACTTCTCAGGCATAATTCACGCAGGAAAATACCACAGCACACACCGGTGAACACCACAACTTAAGATTCAACATTCAGTACTAAGGAAAAATCATGTGCGCATTGAATAGTCCTAGTCCTTGAGTACCCTAACAGACTCGTCATTGTTGCAGCCCTCTCTCACCATGTGTCCCACTTACAGCAATGCCAAGACTTTCCTAATCTGTCTGCTCCAATCTTCTGTTGCCATGCATTCTGTCCTTTCCACCTCTTAAAGCTTTACGACGACGAGTGATTCATATGCAGCTTCGCCTTGATCTTGTCCTTCAGGTGGACCTTTTCCTTGCCACCAGCCTCGGTGTCAGTACCATGCCCATCACCATGGCCTTTCTTAACTTCCCTGTGCACTCCCTTTTGCTCGAGCAGGCCTACAAGACTTCACAGTCAGCGCAGTTACCTAGACACAATGTGGCAGTCTGCGGTGTACAGGTAGAGAAGAAGGACAGCGTGTCAAAAACAAAAACAAAAAACAAGTCAGAGAAAGAACTTACGATCAGCCTCCCTCCCCGCGCCAGGTTTCGACGCATCAAAATCGCCGCCTTCCGCCGCCAGCCCACTAGACTTGACATAATGCTCCCCCGTGCCACCGCCCATCTTTTCACCGCCATGTTCTCCTCCCATCCCAGCACCACCCTCCTGAGCTTCGCCTAAGCCCTTGCCGCTGTCCCTCCTCCGCTGCTGCTGGTCCCGCTCAATCTCGGGCAGGTGGGTCCCGGGAACGGTGCCGGACTGCTCGGACTTGGCGGACGCGGGCTTGGCAGCGGCCCCGGCGTCGCCGCCGTGCTCCCTCGCAACTTCTGCTAGCGGCCGCGGGCCGGGCCCTTCGACGTTGATGGCTGCGCCCTTGGGCTCCTCATAGGATTGTGTCAGGCTCTGCTTCTTCCCTTCCATTGCCTGGGTGGCAGACTTGTCCTCCGAAGAGACAGGCGGCGGGCGAGTGTCGTTCTGGGCTGTGGTCGAGTCTTCGCGCATCGCCATCGCGGAAGGAGCGAACTTGGCGGGGCCCGCTGAGCTGGTTGCGGTGGTGGCGGGCGATTCCTGGTCTTTTGTTCCGGCAAAGTGCTCCTTGGTGGCGGCCTCGGGCTCTGGCTTGGGCATGGCCAGCGGGGAGGACGTGCCTGTCTCTGTGGTCGTGTCGGCCCCGCTGGCAGGGTCAGAGGCGCTCTCTTTTGTTCCGGGGACTCGTCTTTCGTTACGTTCGTTACCCAGCTTCTCGGTGGCGGCTTCGGGCTCGGGCTTGGGCATAGGCAGCGGGAGGGACGTTTCTGTCGTCTTGGTCGCGTCGGCGCCGCTGGCAGGATCAGACGTGCTCTCTTTTGTGCCGGGCACTAATCTCTCGGTATCCTTCTTTTCGGTTGACAAAGCGTCGGTCTCCTTGCTGGTTTCTACCCGAGGGATAGGTAAGGAGATAGTTTTAATGTTGGAACAGCATGATTCACTCTGCAGCGATAGTGTGAGCGTCTTGGAAATCTATGAGCGAGTCGCTGTCAAGCTTACCACCGATGTTGCCCGCATCATAGGGCTCACCGGCCTCCACATTGCCCAGCTTGCCCGAGACTGGCTCTTCGCCGGACTGACTGGTTTGGCCCTCGCCCCAGATGGCCTTAGTGGCCGCGTTCGCGATGTTGCTAATTGTTTCCATGATGTTGGTCGACAGTACAGTGCTCAAGAACAAGTGATCAGCTCAGTGATTACTGGTTTGGCCTGCGAATGTAGGGTCTTATGGTAGGTATGTTGGCGAGCGGCCCGCCAAGCGTCATGAACCCCCTTCTTAAGCTTTTGCTCCCCATTCCTGCTTTCTGCAGCTGGGTCTGCACTACCTCATTACGACATCATCTGCCTGGGCTGGAGTGACGTATTGGAGTGCTACAGCAAACTGCAATAGGATTCTGCGGAAGGAGAGGGCATGACGTTGCGGGAAGCGCGCCTTCTTGACGTCACGCCTGGCCGTCTCGTGGTGACAGAGCGCCAGATTGGTTGAGCCGCGAAGCAGGGGTCTTGACAAAACTCTCTAAATCTCCTATTGGTAAATAGAGATTCAGATGTGTATTTACGGTACAGAAGTACTCCGTAGAACCCCATCTAACCCCAACCTTCCATTGTCACCAAACGAACCCTGATTTATCTTGCCCAATAACAGGCTGCGCAAAGCCCGTGGTCATTACGTCCGTACCGTTTCAGAGGTTTCGAAGTTAGAAAGGTAAACATACTCTTCTTCGTCCATAGCTCGCGAAACCAGGAGCTCAACAAAAGGTAAGGTCCTACCCGGAATCGAACCGGGGTTGCCGGAATGTTTCTCAGAGGAATCAGAATCCGGAGTGATAACCGCTACACTATAGAACCATAGATAGAACCGTTGATTAGCTCGCTAGCAAGCAAAAATGTTATCAAGCGTTCTTCTTTCCCACTTCAGCTCAAACATGCAATCTCCGGAATTTAGCACACAAAACGAATGTCCGAAGCTGGGAGTGTGAAATTGATGCAAGGAAGCAAGAAACTGTGTTTGGAGGGCTTTGCACGGGCTAATGGCAGACACATGTGCCTTGGAACGCTGTCTGACACACTCGTGCTGCGGAAGATGGGAAATGAGCAAAGGAGTACTCAACGAAAGCGGCTTGGTCAAACGGCAGCGGCATATAGCGCACCTCCAGCTGAAGACAATGCCCCGCGCTTCTGGGTAAAGTAAGGTAGGCAGGTGCACATAATGTGTGGCATGATTGAGGCAAGGACCTTTGGGATTGCCGATGTATAGCTCCGGCAACCACTTGCTTAAACAGAACCGCCAACGGGCAGCCACGTAGATTGTAAGGCAATCACGAGGAACATATTACCCTCACAGCTTGATACTCTTGACCAACCTCGTCTTGATACCCGACAGCTCTCCCTGGTAGCCACCAGGGCCCTCGCCGCCTTTGTACATGGCCTTGACGCTCCTCAACTTCTTCTGCTTCTCCTCAAACTTCATCCTCTTCTTGACGCGCGGGTTGCGCACCTCCTTCTTGCGGTGCGGCGTCAACCCCTTGTTCTTCTGGATCTGGTACGTAATCTGGCGCTTGCCGTCAGGCCCGAGCTGCTCCGTCTCCACGACGCGCTCGCCCTTGCGTGCCTTGGCCAGCGCCTCGAACCGCGCCGCCTTGTCGGCCCGCTTTCTCTGCGCGCCCTGCGCCACCATGTCGTAGTACTCGTCCTCGTCGCCGCGCATCTGCTTGGCCGCCGCCTCATCGCCGTCGCTGTCGTCGCCGCCGAGATCAGCACCAAACTTGCTGCCCTTCTTGCCACGGCGTTCAGCCTCGGAGTTGAGACGGGCTTGACGGTCTCTCTGTAAGGAGTATTAGCAGACGTTGTCCAAGAAATGTCGGGGGATGGACTTACCAGTCGCTCGCGGTAGGGAATGTCCATGTCGCCACCCGCGTCGCGGCCGGCGCCGGCACGCTTGGCCGCCTTCTGCACTATCTGTGAAGTGTAGAATTTCAAGCTCTTCTTGCGGCGCGCCTTGTCGGCGGCTGCCCGGGCGTCAAGAACTTCCTCCTCACCGAAATCGGAGCGGTTATCGTCGTGGCCTGCTTCAGCCGAGGAAGCAGACACAGTAGCAGATTTTCCAACCTTCTTGGTGCTCTTGAGAAGCGTCGACAGATTTGCCAGGGACTCCTCAACCGCCTGAGCTTTTCTGGCCGCTTCTGAAGCTCTCCTCTTATTTGCCTTGATCTCGGCCTTGGAGAGCTTCTCCGTCCTCGGCCTCGGTACAGCCATAGCGTCGAGCATCTCAAGGTCCTCCTCTTCAGGCGGCGAGAGCATTCCAGCGTTAGAGGTAACAGCCTTTGTCGAATTGAGCTGTTTTACCTTCAGCCAGGCTTCACGGCACTGCACCAACGTCTCCATAACCTCATGATCTCTGAGTTCAGATGGGTTCAGAGTGGCCGATGACCCATCGCCATCCCGCGTCGGCGAAGTCAGGATGGCGAAGTAGCTCGCCAAGGCGGCGACGTAGCACCCGAGCAACCAGGACTTGACCACGGGCAGCGACTTGGTAGGCTTCCCTTCAGCCTCCTTCTGTAATGCCGATAGTAGCGGCTGCAGCTCCCTGAACTCGTCCACCAGGTAGTCGAACTCAGGATACCGGGCCTGCAAGAGCTTGTACCTCTCTTCGGGACCCATGTCCTCTGTTACTTCGACCTCCTTCAAGACCTCGGTTACGACCTCCTCTGCCTCTCCGGCTTTATGTTTTGGCGCAAGCCATTCGCTCCCATCAAAGGCGAAATCAGCCTCCTGCATCTTGGCCAGCTTCTTGGCTTGGAGACGCCGTGCCTCTGCCTCTTCTTCCTGCAAGGATATTAGCATCTGGCCGTAGCTACGCAGACAGATGACGAACAACATACCAAGGCATCGGCTTCCGTTTCGATAGTATCGGCATTGTAGTACTCCTTTTTTGAAGAGCCCCACCAACCCTCGTCCCCCTCTTCCTCGTCGCCCCTCCTCTCTTCCAGGTCAGACAGCACATCCTCCTCCGCCACACCACCTTTCTTGCCCCGTTTTGTCTTGGCCGAAGCCCGCTCCTCCTCTTCTGCCTCGCTCTCGTCCGTGTCTTCCTCCCCGAGAATCTCCTCGTCCGAGGGTTCTAGGAAGGCATCCTCCTTCTCCTGCCTCTTGAGGCGCTTGGAGCGCGGCTCGTCGTCGTCGTCGTCAAGGTAGATGCGGTCATGGTTGGCCCAGTACTCGTCCTCCGAGTCGGCGACGTCTTCGTACGTCTTGATGGTCAGGCGCGCGTCCTTGGCGTCGACTTCGCGGGGCCCGCTGGGTTCCGACTTGCGAGTGGCCTTTCTCTTCTTGGCCATTGTGGAAAAGTCGAGCAACGTACCGTCAAAACTAGAGTTGAAGAGCTGCGCCCGGGTGGTTTTATAGCATTGGCTACTGTCTGGTTGTTGTGAGCCGGCGTTGTGTGGAGTTCGCTGCTCCAGAATCTGTAACAGAACTTTTTGTTGCCGCTAGTCAAGTTTAACGTAAGGTTATCTTATCTAAGCCTGGCACACCTGCTGGCTCCCACTAGGCGCACATCCATGTGCGTATTATGTAATCCCAAATCTGCTTACATAAACCAAAAATGCATCTAACGCAGCGTTGCCCCGCGCCAAAGTAAACACCAAAGTCAATACCAAAGTCAACACCAAAAGCACTACAATGGCCACCTTCCCAGACGATTGCCGCCCTCCCGAGGGCCTTTTCGGGCCCTCGAGCGGTTAAAGACATTGTACGAGCAGTGTAGCGGAGTCTTCCCGTCAGTCATTTTGACAGACCGGTGCCTGGCAGTCATGAACGCGGCTTCAACTCTCTTTCCGTCGACGACGTTTCTTTGCGTTTGGCACGCAAATAAGGCAGTCCTCGCGCGGTGCCAGCCTGTTATCCAGACAGCCGAGGAATGGGGAGAGTTCTACGCTTTTTGGTTCTCAATTCTCAGCTCGCCAACTAAAGAGACGTACGAGGAGCGCCTTAAGGAGTTCGAGAGGAAGTATGCCTTAACGAACCTCGAACAGGTCGGGTATATTAAGGAGACATGGCTTCTACCATACAAAGAGAAGCTTGTTGCTGCGTGGGTCGACCAGCAGGCTCATTTTGGGAACACGGCTACTTCCCGTGTTGAAGGGACACGCGCTCCTCAAGTCTTACCTCCGGAGGTCGACTTTCGACCTCTTCGAAGCGTGGAAGGCGATTCGGCTTGCATTAAACAACCAGCTCGCCGAGTTACGGTCCAACCAAGCAAAGCAGCAGATTCGTACGCCTCTCGAGCTTGACAAGGCTGTATATAGAGCTGTACAAGGCTGGGTCTCGCACGAAGCGCTACGGAGGGTCGAGGAGCAAAGGCAGTTACGGTGGAAAGATCCCGCTCCGGCGCCTACTTGTACGGGCACCTTCACATGCGTCTATGGGCTCCCATGCGTACACGTACTAACTACACGCTAAGGCGAGCCGCTTCTTCTTGAAGACTTTCACCCGCACTGGCGCTTAATACGTGACGGGGCTCCACTGCACCTTCTAGAGCCCCGCCGTATAGAGCCAAAAGCGACGAAAAGCACTCTCCCAGCGTCAAGTACGAAGCGTGAGCCTAGTAAATTCGAGGTTGTCGAGGCGGCGCAGGCGACCGTGGCTGGAGAGACAGGCGCTTTGTCGGTTTTGGGACCAGAGTGATCTAGGCCGACGACTTGAGAAACCCACCACTGAACACTTTCGTGTATATCTCCCGGGCTCTCGAGATGCGTACCCCAACATCTCGCGAACGTCGTCCTGCACCGACTTCGCCCGGCATCGCTTGGATCCGGTAGTGCCGAACATTATCCCGTTTCAGCCTGAGCTGCCGACTGAACCGAGTTCTGACTTGAGAATTGCTTGACTTTGGTGTTTACTTTGGCGCGGGGCAACGCTGCGTTAGATGCATTTTTGGTTTATGTAAGCAGATTTGGGATTACATAATACACACATGGATGTGCGCCTAGTGGGAGTCACACTTGCTCGATCAGGGCCCACTTTGAAATTGAGCCGACCACTCAGAGGCCAGGACCGTCTTAATGCAAGACATTCCGTCACATACAACGGGGACTCTCGGAGGTTCATTTATCACAGGTTCCAATGACCAGCTAAGACTTCCATCCATGGATACCCTGTCAAGACTCGGTATCCCACTGCCCATTGCAACCGGCGTTCTAGGTATTCTCATAGCTCTCATCGCCAGCATGGGCTTGTTCAGGAGAAAGAACCAGATGCCCGTCGAGGGCCGAGTATGTCATTTCCTCCAAGTAATCTCACCTCGGAATACACCGCTAACAAAACTGTTCCAGACGGTGCTCATAACCGGCGCCTCGGAGGGAATGGGCCGCAGCGCAGCCGTCCAGCTAGCCGCCAAGGGCGCCAACCTAATCTTGGTGTCTCGCAACATCGGCCGGCTTGAGGAAGCCCTCGCCGACGTCAAAGCCGCCGCGTCATCCCCATCCACTCAGCGCTTCACCTATATCTCAGCCGACGTCTCGGAGCCAGACTACGCCTCGGCCGTAATCGCCGAGGCCATCGCCTGGAACGGCGGCCGCAGCCCAGACATCGTCTGGTGCGTCGCCGGCATGTCGACGCCCCTGCTCTGGACCGACGACAACTCCCTCTCCGCCGCACGCCGCAACATGGACGTCAACTACTTCGGCTCGGCTGAGATGTCGCGCGCCATCCTGCGCGAGTGGCTCTCCCCCGAGAACAGCACGGACCCCGACTCGGAGCCCAAGCACATCATCTTCACGGCGTCGGTGCTCGCGCTGTTCGCCATCGTCGGGTACAGCCCGTACTCTCCCTCCAAGTGGGCGCTGCGCGGCCTGGCGGACACGCTGGCCATGGAGCTGAACCTGTACCCAGATAACCCGGTCAAGGTGCACGTGGTGTACCCCGCGACGATTATGAGCCCAGGCCTGGAGAGGGAAAATCAGACCAAGCCCGGCATCACGCACGAGCTGGAAAAGGACGAGCCGCCCGAGACGCCCGACACGGTGGCAAGGCGGGCGATCGAAGGGCTCGAGAACGGCGAGTACTTTGTGGCGGTGTCGTTTCTGGGGACTTTAATGCGCTGCGGCGTGATGGGCGGGTCTCCCAGGAACAATTGGGTGTCTGATACCTTGCTGGGGTGGATTGTGCCGATTATTTACTTCTTTGTGCTGAGGGGTATGAATGCGCAGGTCAGGGGCTGGACGAAGTTGCATGGGCACCCAGCAACTAATGCGAAGGCGACATGATCGTGTGCCAAAGCTCCGTGTACCCTAGAACATGAAACAATATCCTCGAAACGGACGGTTTGGATTGGAAGCGTAAGAATGGCTTGTTGAGTCAAATCTGGAGAGAGCGGCGTTGACTGGCAGCATGCTCGCAGATACCGCTCCCTTCAACCTGTTAGTGCAGCTCCAAATAATGTATGTGTAAACTATGCTCTCGGCTACCCCATTTAACAGATCGGTCCGTCGAGGGACATCGGTTGGATTGCCACCGGGCCCTAATGTCTCATTCTACGCAAGGTGTGGAAACTAACCAGCTTGCTATTCAGTGCTGCGAAGACGGTTTGGGTTTCGTCAGCCTAGTAGGGGACAGAAGCCCGAGGTTCTATGAGTCCTACGCTTTCTTGAGGCATAATGAGTCTTGAACTGGGTTCGGGAACTCCGGCTGAGCTCGACAAGAGCTCGGCGGCACAGGGAAAGGCGCCCTCTTATAGTTTAAATTGAGAAAGGTAGAAGAGAGAAGAGAGAAGAGAGAAGGAGAAAAGACCACAGACAGCGGGCAGAGCTGAGGGGCCAAACCGATCATGCCATGGTTGAGTCAGACATCGACGGCACGAGATAAGCCAGAATATGGTACTCTCTGGCAATTGCCGGCTTCCCATACCCATATCCGTAGGTACCATCACGGAGCAGTGTGCTGGCCAACTTCCCTGACATTGAGCAAGCACAAACAGTTGGACGAGAACTGTAGTCATCGGGAAATGTCTGGTTGATAAACCACTGCGCCGGCGCCGGCTATAAAGTTCAGCAACGATATAATGAACAGTTGCGGCTTTCGTTGCTATAGGTCTGGAATGCCAGTAGAATGGAAGAAGCTTGAGTGTCCATTTTGGGGCGTTCCAACGAACGATCGCGAGCATTCTTGCTGGCTGCAACAAGGGACTGCGCACAGACCAGTAGACCCACCCTGCCAGAGTTCATGTGGTCGTGTGATTGGACAAGTCCATACAAAATTCTCCGCAGAGCAGCAGGCCTTCGTCGCTCCCGCTCTTCCTCAACTTCAACGACCAAAGGACCGGTCTTACAGCTGACGACAGCTGCTGGATCGCCGCCATCGCTTCCGACACAGCCATCGCGAACCGCGCCGGGAACCATTCAACGATCCCTCTCGGGGCTCGAGCATGAGATCGTCGTCACAGCGTGGTCGACCGAATAAGGTGACGAAGCCGGCCCCTCCGCCACGCGGACGCGCCCCGCGCCAGGTGGCTGTACATCTGGCTGCCCACGAAGTGGAAGTTCACGACCTGGCCGACCATCTCAAGGCCGATCCCAGTTCCGTCTTTGGAGACGTGAGGATGGCCGCCGACGACTATGCAGCTGCCGCCGCCGCTGCCGCCGCCATGGACACGGATCTCACCGAGGACGCCCACGGCGAAGCAGAGCCCGAGGCCGACATGCAGGACGGCCACGACCCTGGCACTGCCTCCGGCCTGCCGCCCCACGTCGACCTCACCGCTGCCAACATCCTGGTCAACGGCGGCGGCGGCGGCGCCCCGGCCAACGCTATGTCTCAGCCAGTTCAGGACCAACTGCAGGAGATGCAGCAGAATCTAGCACATGCCCAGCATGCACATCAACATCAACATCAACATCAACATCAGCACCAGCACCCACATGCACACCAGCATCAGCATCAGCATCAGCCGCCCGCCCAAATAGGCACACCGCAGGGAATGCAACCCGGCCACCAGTCGATGGACCCGTCCATGATGAAGACCACCGAGGAGCTCGCAAGGGACTCCGGGTACGGCGAGCTGAATGTGGAGAGCGCGCTGGCCAAGCGGTTGGCCCGAGAGCCCGGCCAGCGCCTTGCTCAGCAGCGCAGGCCAGAGCAGACGCTCAACCTCGGACGGCGTAGTAACGTCGAGGCCCTGTTTGCCCATATCGCGGGCGAGCCGGCGCGCGTTCCTTGCAAGAACTGCCACAAAGGCCATGGCCCATGGACGAGTTGCATTGTTGTGGATGGCCAGATGTGCGGTAGCTGTGCCAACTGCTGGTTCAATGCCAGCGGTGCCAGGTGTAGTTTTCATGGTAGGTTGTATCCTCAAGCCCGCACTTGGGATTGGGTTTTTCCTGACGGAGACTTCGCCTCGCAGAGACAAGAAATCCCCAGGTCGTCCCACAGCACTCAACCATCCTGCCAGCCACCAATGCCAGTCTGGCCAGCGATCCCACATATCGCTTTACGGCTTCCCACCCGCTGCTGCAGTCTCATGCGCCCACGATGGGAGCCGTCAATCATGCTGGTACGCTGTGGGCCAACAACCCGGTGCTGCAGCAGATGGTGAATCGAGCGATGGCCGAAGTCCGCGCTGCCGACAAGGCCACCCGCCAGCTCATCCAGATCGACGTCACCGCAAAGCAGTTGGCCCTGCAGATTGCCGAGTACGAAGACATGGTGAGCAACCAGGGGTCGCCCGGCGGGCCGGTGCCGGGCCAGCAGGTTATGGGCGACGAATCCGGAGTGTAGGGCTCCTCCCGTGCCGGCCCCGTGCCAGGCAGTGGTTTCTGGTCGAATACCGAACCCATTGAAAAAGCACTTGTCAAAGCCCTGCAAGGCCATTCACATGACGAGTGTGACAGCTAGGTCGGATGATCAGCAGCGCCCTCGGTTTCTTGCCGGTACTGCGAAGCACCGGGATGTCTTCGACACAAGGAATAGAGCACACGCCGCTTTGGCAACGGGGAACACCCTTCTTCGGCTGTCGTTGGCCAAGGACAAATACCTCGTTCACTCTCTTTACATTGGGACCGTGGGTGGTCCCGGAAACGGTCTGCTTAACGGCATGGATGCAAGCGATACCCCTTCATATCTCAGACGGCAAATTGGCGTCGCTTGAGCAATGGTTGTCGGTTTGTCTAATATTTTCGGTGTTGTCGAAACGGACGGGATACATTCTATTTAACCAGCGTCGTCCTGTCGCCCACCCTGTTCGCTTCACATATTCTTATCAAGGGGGCGGAGGAAATCAAGTGCTGTCTACATGGTATAGTGTCAATCAGCAGGGGCTATCGGCGTATTGAACTCCCAGGCGCGCTGGATGGAAACGGGAACAATGCTGATTCTACGCGGCTCTTAGGCATGGTTGGTTTGTTTGGCAGTTGGGATTGGGAGTACGGGAGGTTGACAGGTTTTGACATGTTTTGGCCCTGGTCAAACATTTGATATCAGCATGGAGGGTGAGACGGCGTGGCAAACGCGCCCGCGATGACAGGACTCATGTTTGAGTGCTCAAGCTTGACAAGGCAGCCCTCGCAAGATGGTCGTCGCTGGAGACATTTTCCGTGTTGGGGCCTGGAGAGGGTGAATGATAACAGGCGTCTTGCTCTGAGCTGGTACTTTGTCCTTTCCTCCTCGCCCCTGGTGTGCTTGGACTTCTGTCGAGAAGGGAGAGGGCAGTAGATTAACGACTCGGAGAGCATGCTGAGTTAAAGATTGATGTGAGACCTCGCTCGCACCCTACACCTCCATCTGTAGCTCAGCCAGCAGGATATTATCACCCTCCCCAACTCCCCTGAAAACAAGCTTCATTGATCTGTGTCATATCCCATATCTTTACTTGCCTTGCGGTCAATGCCCTCCCAAATTCCGCAGCCCAAGCCCAGCCGTTCCATCTATATTCATGGACCAACTTCACAAGAGATCAGTTCCTGTAACAGCTCACCTAAGAGTCTATAGGGCAAGCATTAGATATAGCCTTCCAGATATTAGGCCGCCGTTTTATATGCCCTCCTGTGGGTACTTCGATCAGGCCACCTTTTCTGTCATCCACTAGTCGAAGACGCATCACCTCTGCACCTCCGATTCCTCCAACTCCCCAACCACCTCCACCGCTCGGCAACCCGCTCCAGATCCTCAAACACGCCGCCAACTCTTCCCTCGGGATCATCAAACCTGCTGGCCTCAAATTCGACAAAGAACAAGTACTGAAACGGCGCATCCAGACTCGGCACGCTGCTGATACTCGTCAAGTTGAGCCCCCTCCCGCGGAAACAATCCAGCACAGCCGCCAGCGCACCCGCCCGCCGGTGCGGCACCGTAAACGACACGAGCGACTTATACCGTTCCCCACCATACACATCCCCCTTTTTGTCTTCAGCTTCTTCTTCCTCTCCCACCGTTCCCTCACGCTCAAGATTCCTTTGCCTGCCCCTTTTCCACTCACCACCTTGCTTCTCCTTCCGCCTAAGCACAAAGAACCTAGTTGTATTATCCTCCCGATCCTCGATGCACCTCGCCAGCACATCCAGCCCGCACGCGCTGCCCGCCCACTCGCTCGCAATCGCCGCGCTTTCACCCGTCGCGTCCGCAGCCGCGAGCTCGGCCGCGCGGCTCGTCGAGCTGACCTCGATCGTCTCGGCCCCCCGTAAATGGCGGCGCAAGAACGCAGCCGTCTGGCCAAAGCCCTGCGGATGCGAATACACGCGTCGGACGTGGCGCAGGTCTGCTAGGGGAACACCCGTTTTAGGGCCGGAGTCGCCAGGTGTTTGTTGTGGTGGTGGTGGTGATGAAGAAAAAGACGAAAAAGAAGAAGGCGGTGGTGGTAAGCGGCCGTGCAAGAAATGATGCACATCTAGATAAACCTCGTCACAGACGACAAGGTCGGCGTACTCGCCCGCGCGATCGGCCAGATTGTCAAGAGTAAACGTGACGGTGCCGTGGGTCGAGTTCTCAAAGGGAACAACGCCGAAGGGGCAGGCGCCGGATTGCACGCGGTCAAAGACTTCTAGTTGAGGTGTCAACGTTTTGGTTCTAGGTTAGAAAAATTAGATTTGGTGAAGAGGGTTAACCTTTGATCGTCACCGTCGGCTGGAGCTGCCATTTTGAATCGGGGAAAACAATCTTTGTGGCCTGGACGGGAAGTGAGCTAACTGACGACTCGAAGCTCCCTGGATCGTACGTCATGTGCATTCTCATACCTGATGCGAATACGAGTTGAACGGCCCCAGAAAAGCAACGGTTGGGTTGGTGATGCCCTCTTCACCCGGAGCTAGGTGATCGCCTGATGAAACCATGTCGAATAGTTCAGACTGCGAGTTGGGGCATTGAGTCAGGGGAGAAGTCCTAGAAGGGACGCTCCAATGGCTACCTGGAGCTAATTAAGCACTGTCCTGAGCATGTCCATAGAAGGGCGTACGACGAGACACAAGAATGTGTGACGCTCACATGAAGACCAAACCTTGCAGGATGCCCCTTGTGACGGGCCAATCCACTCTCCAAAGCTTCAAAGTGGCTTGAATAAAAAAGGGACCCCACTAGGCCCGTGGAAGGGGCCGAACTCGGCCGCCTCACTTAGCATTTCTCCATGGTTACTTGACAGACAAGTCTTGGATCAGCACGTCTCGCACCATTTACGCAGTTAGAATCTCATGAACGAGTGTTGGTCCGTCGCTAGCTACTCAGTCTCGATAACCTCTTGAATCGATACTAAAAGACCGGACAGACACCGCCTGGCTCAAAGCGACGTCCGCGTATCAGGACCACCGCTAGCCCCGCCAGCCCGTGTCACAAACATGTAAACCAATCTGCTGATTGATGCCCTGCAATGACCTTGTCCTTGTCCGACTTCCCGATCCTACGGGCATACTTCCTGCAAACCGTTTCGTCAGCAGGCTAAAGCATGTATGAGGGAGCCCGTAGGGGCAGCACACCTTGCATCCGCCACCCAATTCAAGAAGCCGTCATCACAGAGCGAAGCGGGCTGGGACGCGACACATGGTGGTCGTGGCTGGGGCCTTCCGAGAAGCCCTTCATCAGCCGCCGCTGAGCGGGCAGAAGCTTCCCTGGGCTTCGCGGCACAGCGGCCGCATGGCCGGCATGGGGTGTCGTCGGCTCGGACGTGATGGCTTCAGTTCTGGGTCCCTCGTGATCGACGAGGGAATCAAACTGTCAATCGTCGTAGTAGTCATCATCGTCATCCACTTCGGCTAACTGCTCAAAGTTGACCTTGTACCGGAGAATGCCACCAATGCCGCCAAAGCCCTTGACGAACTGGTTGCCCTCGGTCGAACGGTCCGAGACGAACTCGAGCGTGGTGCCAAAATCCTTGTAATGTTCGGCGATCCACTCGAGGAACGACTCTTGCGAGACCACCTCCATCTCCTGGCCCGTCTCCTTGTCCATGAATTTGTCCCGGTTGGCCTGCTCCTGCTGCTTGGTGGTGTGCAGGATAGTTTCGCTGCCGTTGCTGTCCTTCAGCGTCCACCGCGTGACCTCGAGGTTCTCAAAAACAATGAGCGTCTCCACAGCGCCCAGCTCCAGTGCCTTGAGCGTGTCCTCAATACCGTAGCAAACCCGGCCCGTGTCCTGGCTGATCTCCTCAAAGTACTTGCCAATGAGCTTCTTCTCCTGGATGAACTTGACATTGCCGAGCGTCTCGGAAGAGAGCTCAATGGCCTGGTTGAAGCCGTTCTCACCACCGTACGACACATCGACGACCTTGATGACTTTGGCCTGCAAGCGCTGGTCAAACATATCGGACGCGTTCAGATCGTTCTTGAAGTCGGCAGAACCAGCCAGCACAATGCCGGCCACGTTGACTTTGTCGTTGGTGATGAAGTTCTGCACGGCCAATTCGGCCACCTTGCGGACGTAGTTGTGACGCTTTTCCTCTCGCAAACGGGCGAAACGCAGTGCCGACTGACCACCACGGCCGTGCTTCTTTGGAAGATCAACCGAGAACTTCTGGACAACATCACGCGTGTTACCACTGAGGGTGCCGAACAGCGCTCCATTACCGTCCATGACGATAAAACCAAACTTCTGGTCCGACTCGAGCAGCTCAGCAAGAGCCTCGGTGTGGAATTTGTTGTCGCAGAGGTACAGCGACGTGTTGATGGGCTTGAATGGCTCGAAGTCGATGTTGACCTTGCGCTCCTTGCCTTCGGAGGTCAGAATTTCACCGCAGTACACAACCAGACCGTTCGGAGGGACCTTGTTGTATAGCTTGAGGCGTTGCTGGGTCGAGGTAATGGCCGAAAGCACGGACTGACGGTTGACGCGAGACTTGATGTTGGAGGCGGTGCCCTACAACGTGTGTTAATGGATGTGGGGGTCCAGCATGGTACATCGTGAGTCAAAAGACGTACATATTCTTCTGCCAACATCTTCGCCGCACGGGAGATCTGATCCTTCGGCGCTGTGGGAGGTCGTCAGTGACATGTAACAAATTGCGGCCCAGGCGGGCGCTGCACAGGCTGAGAGGTGACGGGATGGAGACTAACGGATAATCAGGGAGATCATGCTGGTGCCATTTCCGCGGGCAGCCTCGAGCCGCTTAATGAGTTTTTTCACCTTCCAAATCTCAATCTAACCGGCAACATCGTTAGCTGACACCGTTGGCCCTGGATCTTCAGGGGGGTTCTCGTGATACTCACGTTCTTCTCCGCCTCGCTCGCATTCGGGTCGCTCATGGTGAAGGATTGTTATCAATCAGAGAAAGACCGACTCTAGAAGAAATAAGTAAGCTTCCTCCTCGAAGAAGGGAGGTCTTTGGCTGTTCTTTTAAGAGTTTTCGCTTGTATGTCTTTGCAACCGGAAATTCTTGGTTTTGGTGGTGGGGTTGGACCCGAGAGGGGTTTCGAGACAGTGAAGCCTTTTCTTCGCCCAGGGCCAAAGGTGGCCCGGGCACACATGCTGCCCCACATGTTACCCAGGGTGCGCCACCAAATGGTCATTAGTGGCTGAAACTCGATGGTTTGGGTTGAGTGTGTCGTCAGACTGTGAATCGAAGTCTTTCCAGGTGGGGCTGAAAGGCTGAACGCGAACAGTGAAACGCGAAACCAACTTGGAAATGAGTAACTCACCATACCTGTTTCTCTGCACGTACCATGAACCCATGAAGATAATCCCCCCGAACCTTCTACGTGACTCACATTCATTTGAAGAGGTCCACCGCAAGCTTTGCAAACTTGTTGGAGTTCTGGCTGGGTAGTCTCCATATCAGCCCGCTCAGACTCAGTGTTCCAAAGGTAAGGTACGGAGAGTGAGATGGTACGGACCAAGGCTCCAGCTAAGTCAAACAAGTCAAGTCTGAGCTCAGATTTGGACTTGGCTTGTGTTGAACTGAGTGGGTTCCTTGGCACCAAGATTCACGGACTGAGCACTGATGTTCAATGCGAGACTCTCAGTCAGCACAGATCCATCACAATGACACAGTTCCTGACATAAGCGTCATATCATGGCACAATGTCTCTATATAAGGGGGTAATTTCCCCTGGGAGGATTAGAGAGCACAATTTTCTGTTCCAACAAGAAAGGGACATTCTGAGGCACCCTAACCCACTATCTTGATCCTTCATTTGTGTGGTCACTCTGGAATCGTGACTCCAATTCAAGCTTCGTTTCATACCTCAATCTGTTCAATACCATTTGGTTGATCTAAGCTTACTTGAGCATGTAACTGTTGGCTGCCCAACAGCTTGCCTAAGCATAGCCATATTTGACTTGACTTGAGACTTGGTCACATACTTGCAAGTCTAGCCAAGTCTAGCCAAATCCGTATATAACCCTAGCCACCGAAGCTACTAGTTCCCACTTCGACCCCCAACGTCCGTGGCTGAGGGTGGCTTGAAGACATTAACTCAAGGAATTTCTATAGTACTATACCTAGCCACTACATAGTCTTGGCAAGTCTATCAAGTCAGATAAGTCAAATCTGAGGCTATACTTACTTACGAAAAGCGCGATTTGATTTGGACTTGCCTTGACTTGGGTTTGACTTGGGTAGATTCGACTTATCCGTAGCCTTGGTACGGATATTATTGTACCATACCTGGTACCCAGGAGCTGCTTCCGTTGTGGGGCTCTTGGAGCAATGATGCATGCGCCGGGGTGCAAGACATTCGACGCTCACGATTCAACCTCTCCCACTTGACTCGACCCGGTGCCAGTCAACTGAAACTCTCCCCATTCGTCACAAGCAACAATGTCCGCCTCAATCCCCCTGCAAATAGCCGAGACAGTGCAGACAGCACACGTCAACCGCCACCCGTCCCCGCAACACGACCTGAACCCGTCCACAGCAGCCTCGAGAAAGGAACCCGTCGACCTCGAGCCAGTCTTTCCCGACGATGGCGGCATCGACGAAGAGACAGTCAATCATATTGAGGGGGAAGAGGAAGATGAGGACGAAGACGAGACAGAAGACGAGGAGCTCTACCGTTCGCGCATCAAGCCGCGGCCGCGCCGGCATCACCTCCCGCCGATGCCCGACCTGCGCTTCGAGCAAAGCTACCTCTGGAGCATACGGAATGCCGACACGTGGTGGAAGGTTGTGTGGATCACGGCGAGGGATCAGGTGAGCTTTTGGCCCGTCCCAAGGGAATGGATGATAGTGCACGGATTGGAGCGGGTGGTTGAAATCGAATCACGTTTTGCTGATGCAAGGAACTACAGGTTATGATGCCATTTGTGCAGGGCATTCTATACAATTTGGCAATCTGCGGCTGGCAGCACTGGAACCGAAACGCCCGAATCCACGGATCGTCGATCGGGGCACGGCTGAGGCGGTGGTGGTATGGGGTCAATAACTGGCCGATACCGCCCGAGAGGAAGGTGAATATGAGAAAGGGGTGGTGAGGGGTCTAGAGGGATGGACCTCTATGTAAGAACATGTCCAGCTATGTATGGCGACACCTTGGTTCATCTGCAAGCTGGGACAACAAATCTATTACGGACAATGAGTCTTAAAGCACATTGACCAATTCCCGCTTTTTCAGCCGTGTATCGTCCAGTAAGCTCACTGTTTTGACATAGCCATGCCATCTAAATAATAGACCGGTTGATTCTTGGCATGTCTCGCCGTGGCGCCAAACTCCCATAAAGTCACAATAAAGCTCCATATCTTGTTTTGAGGTACCCATCACTCGGCGGGGACGGCATCAGCAGGCCGAGGAGCAGACCTGGCGATCTCTGGGCTGCCCCTAAGAGCCAGAGATGTCGCCGGTTCGCTCGAGGGCGTCGGCGGCGACTTGACTGTATCCGCAGCGTCAACCATCGGCTGGTCCGCACCCGCCGCGCTTTTCTCCGCTGGCTCAGCTGGCTGGCTCACACCCGCTTCGGACTGTGATCCGCCAGGCTCCAGTGGTGTCAGACGCTTTGTTGCAACGGAAATGACCTCGGCCGCCGGCGGTTCAGGTTCCGTGACAACGGGCTCCGCAGGACTGGCATCGCTGACCTCGGAGTCGCCGCTAACAACCACATTGCGGTGCGCCGTCCTTGGGTGCTTTTGCTTTTCGACCGCAACCGGCGGGCCCGGAATCTGCCGCACCTTGTTGTTCTCGTCAAACGAGACTCGAATTGGGAACGTGAAGATCAAGCTGGGCTTTTTGACGCCGTCCAAATCCTCATCCATGATGTCGTCCTCCTCAAACTCTTCCTCGTCCACCTCCGACTCCTCCTCCGGGACGTGTTCTTCTTCCTCATCGTCCCCAAAGTCCGGCTCACTGCCCTCCTCTTCTTCGGACTCGTCCGAATCGTACTCCTCGCTCTTCCGCTTCCTGGTCGCCCAGCTATTCGAGCCGTGACTTGCGGCGGCAGACCTCTGCGGACGCCCTGACCGGGTGGTTTGCTTAATCTCCAAATCCTCACCATCTCCTTGCACGCTCGTGGAAGCGCTGGGGACACCGTTGCTAGCGTTCTCGGCGTTCAGCCGAGTGGGCGCCCTCACCTGCCTGCCGCTGGCCGTCGTGACAGGACCGCTGGGCTCCGCAGGCGTGGCATTCCTGGTGTTGCGGGTCGACCGGCGCGTGGTGGAGTCTGAGAAAGAGTCCCTCTCGTCATCTGAGTATGTGTACTTCATGCGCTTGCCTCTGGTGCGGCCCTCGTACAGCGAGAAGCCAGGCTCGGGCCGCCTGAACTGTTCCTTGCGCATCTGGCGATACTCTCTACGCCGCCGTTTCTCCTCTGTAGCCTCAAATCGAGGGATGCTCAGCATGATTCTCTTCGCGAACGCCTTGGCTTTCGGTCCGCCGTCCTGGGTCTCGAGCTTCTCAGCGAGTGCCTTGAGTTCGTCGATGTTGCCGGCGACACTCCACCACGTCCGCTGCAGTCCAGCTGGATTGCTCTCTCGGTATACCCGGAATGAAGTGTCGTCGTTGCCCTCAATCAGGAAGTACCGCCGTTTGTCGCCATCGCTTCCCCAAGGCTGCACGCTCAGGGGTATGTTAAGATCGTCGTCGTGCCGGTTCTTGTATGATTGACTGATGATCGTCCTGACAGCATCCGACGATGAGAGGGTCCATTGCACGAGTGTCCGCAACAGCGTGAGCTACCCAGACCGAATTAACAACCACCCTGAGTACGAGAGCGACGAACAGAGAGTGGAAAATATAGCCGTTCGCGAGGTTTGAGAAGTCCAGCACTTACCCGTTGCACCGGCGTCATCGACGCAAATGTCGCCTGCCCCGCAAGCGGGTTCTGGCTCTCCCAGTCCTTCGCCCATTGCCCCTTGTGTGTCTGGATAGCTTCCTCGAGCGCGCGGTTGTAATGTCCAGGTCTGTGGGCCCAGGATTGTCAGTAAGGCGAAAATAAATCATTAGAATGGTTTGCTCCCTCTTCTGTTGATACGCACTTCACATCTTGCTTGCGGTTGAGGAGCAAGCCAAGCAGCGCGCACAGGAAGTGCTCAACGCGCTCACCCGGAATTGACTCGACGACATCGCGCTCGAGCTCCTGGGGGCCAAAGTTCGCAAGGTTCTTTGGAAACGCTTCGGAAAACCGGGCGCGGAACATGACGATGAACTGGGAGGGGCGAAAGTCAGCTTGAGGCGCCATCAAGACGGCCATAACTTCTCGCGTTGCCACGCGCGCAAGACGCGATCAACAACGGAAATACGTACAGAAATATCTGGATTGTCTGCTAGGACATATTCATGAGGTGGTGAAGGCTCGCGCTTGGGTCTGGGGGGCGTTCTCTCCTTGGGCTCCAGCGCTTGGTTCTTGTCCACCTTGTGGAAGAATTTCAGGATGCCGTGGCGCTCCTCCAATTGGATGTCGGATTCATCATCAGATGGCGGCTCTGAAAGGGAAGAAATCGAAGAAAGCTCAGAAGAGTCATCCTCGGCCATTTTGGTCGTGGTTGACACCAGTTGTCGGCGATGGCAGTTTGCTGAGGTTGGGAGTTGGCGCGGGAAGTGGAGGAAAGTGAGGAGCCTTGACAGTTGACGGAGAGAGATCAATCGGCTGCAAGAGATTACGTACCGGCCCAACATGATGGTCCAGGGCCCTCCTAGCTTACCTTTAGCTCCGAGGAACTTGATAGGTTGAATCATAACGACTACAATCAATTCGGGCAAGCTGCGCCAACTACTCCAACGTCCCAGTCTGTCCAGAAGGCTGCCGGTACAGGCAAGAGAAAGCAGATCAACTTTCTCCCCGTTGCCCCTAGCTGTGCGCCAACCTGAGTCCCACCATCACCTGCCCTTGCCATCCATTCCCCCTGTCCGCTACCATCACAGCACCGCCATCGAAGTGTCGTTCGCATGACACGGACATCTTCAGCGCTATACACATGTCCATAACCCAGATTATCAAGACGAACTCCAACCATTGTTCCTCTATAACTTCATGTCTCCAAGGCACCAGGGAGTGGTCGTCGTGGTGGCGCCCGTTCATTGCTGTTGAGATGGGACGTCATAGTGAGATGGCACTGATGCTGCACTGCTGGCGGGATCTGGCAAAAGCGGGTCGTGCGGTGAGGCTCGCAAATCGGCCCGCCTCTTCCATCCAGGTTCAACCGCTGCTGTTCTGCCCGGCCAAAACCGTCCTCATCCACGATTTCCGCAACTCTGCAGTGGTGCCGCCTTCTAGCACAACTTTGGTGGGGTTTCGCACGCAGACGGCCCATCCATCGTCATCTTCCAGACAGCAGCCGTGGATGGTGAGAGAACGACCCGAAATCGTTTGCACAGCCGAACCACATCCGCGTCTCGTGTTTCTGAGCCATTTCCCAGCAATAGATCCGCCGCCGGTAAGGCGCGCTCAAGTGACTTGTCATAATGTCCGAACAGAGGGGGGCGCGACCGGGGAACGATTCCTAGGTGACCCTCGAATGCAATTTTGCATCAAGACCGCAGAAGAGGCTCAATTTGAGTCTTGCCCGGGGAAAAGACTTGACTCACGCAGAACCTTGCGATGCTTTGAAAAATTATCAGCTCAGGTGGTCAGCCGCTTGAGAGAACTTGGCTGGGGCAGCCTGCACCGTAATCGGTTGATCACCCTTGGAGCGCGGTTCAAGTCTCGCTCTCAACCGGATCCGCACAGCAGAACCACGCGCCATGACGGTCCAGAAGCTTTTGCAATCTCCACAACCATCAAGTCTCAGCTCTGAGGATCACACCAGTGGATGTAGACCTAGGTATTGTTAGCCCAGAGGTCAACCATGACACAAACAGTCAAAATAAGTGCAAGTCAAACTTATTTTACCATTCTGCAGATGCCGATTGGATGTCGTTAACGACTGTCGCTGACCCAGCAGACGCGCGTTTCGCGAGGTTGCGATGCGGAGGACTGGAGGTTGGGGATGGAGCTCGCAAACTGATAATCGAGTCGCGTACTGTGCGAAGGTGGCCAGTTCCGTCACTGTACGCTACCACACTGGCCCTAAGTGCTTCTCTGCGCATGATTCAATCGTCAGCTTTGAGACGGCCTTAAACTCAGAACCAGAAGACACGTTCTGAACATTGATACCTCAACGGTTCATAATTGCCCGAGGACCGTGGAGCAACTGGCTGCCTTCTAGCCGTGGGCACCGAGATTGAGCTGAGAAACATGTGGGCGTACTGTGTTACGTCAGCTGATGACAACGGTCAATGTCTTAGCTTCAGAGCGCCACAGCTCTCATCACGTTAGGGCACCTGGACAGCCACACCAATCAACTGTGGCTTTAGCATCCACACAGAAATTTGGAAAATATCGCTTCACCAATTTGGAGCTTTCCGTGTCGCAACCTCAACCACCTTCAACCACCGAGTCAACCCCGTCACTTCCACATTTTCAAGGTAGGAAGGGCAAGATGGGTCGCGTCGTAAGTGAACTTTATTATCTCAACCCCGGGATTCGACTCGACTCGGCACCAAAACCTCGATTGCGGCGACCGGCCGGTTGAAACTGGAGATTCATTGGGGAAGCTTGGGAGGAGGGGAATGAACAAGATGATGCTGACCTGCGCTTCTTTCGCATCCAGATCCGCAACCAGCGTAAGGGCCGCGGCAGCATTTTCACTGCCAACACCCGCCTGCGGAAGGCCCCTGCGAAGTTCCGCAGCCTCGATTATGCCGAGCGCCATGGCTACATCCGGGGTATCGTGAAGGAGATCATCCACGATCCCGGCCGTGGTGCGCCCCTCGCCCGTGTCGTTTTCAACTCGCCCTACAAGTACAAGAAGGTCCAAGAGACGTTCATTGCCAACGAGGGCATGTACACCGGCCAGTTCATCTACGCCGGCAAGAACGCCGCCCTGACCGTCGGCAACGTCCTTCCCCTCGCCTCGATCCCCGAAGGTACCGTCGTCTCCAACGTTGAGGAGAAACCCGGCGACCGTGGTGCTCTAGGCCGCACCTCCGGCAACTACGTCACCGTTGTCGGCCACAACCCCGATGAGGGCAAGACCCGCATCAAGCTTCCCTCGGGCGCCAAGAAGGTCGTCAGCAGCGACGCTCGTGGCATGATCGGTATCGTTGCTGGTGGTGGCAGGACAGACAAGCCCCTCCTGAGTACGTTCTCACGCAGCTGGCGCTGGAGTTTATGGGAGGTTGGATGAAGGTTCTGACGGATGCTTTACAGAGGCCTCGCGTGCCAAGCATAAGTTCGCTGTCAAGCGCAACCGCTGGCCCAAGACTCGTGGTGTAGCCATGAACCCCGTCGACCATCCTCACGGTGGTGTAAGTGCTGCAGGACCAATTGGCTGCTGGAACGTTGGGTATCTGACATGGCGCGACAGGGTAACCATCAACACATCGGTAAGGCGTCGACCATCTCGAGGTACGCCGCCCAGGGTCAGAAGGCGGGTCTTATTGCTGCGAGAAGGACGGGTCTGCTGCGTGGTACCCAGAAGACGAAGGAGTAAAGGCTTTCATGGTTCTACATCTGGGCAAGGGGTTCATCGGATTGCATTGGTCTTTTGCGTCTTTGTAGTTATGGGACTGCGAAGGCAAGCGGACGGGAGACTTGCTCTTTGTGCAAGCATTCATGGCCGTGAAATGAATACAAGATTCCCAAGCGCGGTCGGGACGAGTCTTGTTGACAAAGCAAAGTACTCGAAGATCCGGCGCCGCAGGAGGGATCAGCCGAGGCAGGCCGTGCAGTCAGGGGATACTCTTGGGAATCAAACAGGGCGAACTCGTCGCTTCCGGGGCGATAAAGCGAGGCATCTCCTCGACACGGTAACCTGGGCATATCCGACGTACTCTACCGACGTGACCGAAAGATCGTAGGTGTTGGAAATAATAAAAGAAGCAGACCAAAAGGCCCAGCCTTCTGACGTCAATAACCTAGTCAGGACGATATAAGGTATACTCCATTGGACCAATATCCAGGCATCTCATTGCCACGATTGTTCTCGACACAGCCGTTCCATTCCCATGCGTTCCCAGATCCCCGGTATCGAGATATGGCCTCGTTGGCCTTCCACGTCTTCCGAACGGGATCAGTGGCTTGCTCGAAGACCGGCATCTTTGCCAAGCCATTCCCGTCGATCCTTCCTAAGACTCTTCTGCCGATGAAAAGTGGGCTGGCCGATGGCGGCGGCGGCAGCTGGATGAACCCCACCATTTTGCTGCCCCGCCCCTCTCTAAGCTGCCGCTGCTCTCCTACAACAACCAAAACACCGATACCAAAGGGCACAAATTCATTTTACCTCCACGCCTCAACTTACCGCAACCGCCGGCTTAGCAACATGGCAGCCGACAAGGAGTACAGATTGCTTTGCCTGGAGAACCCTCTCCTCGGTAAGTCCAAATCGAAGCGGCTTTCCCTTTGCAATTGAGTGTCGGACAGGAAATTGTTTGGTTCTTTCGACCGCTTTCTTGCCCAACACCCTGAATTTGATGTGCATGTGTAAATGTCAGTGTGGGAGCCTCGACTGACATAAAGACACACACCAGATATCCAGGCTGTCGGCAATGATGCTCTACTCGAGAAATACGGGCTCAAGGCCAACGATGCCATTCTGGCCGACCCAAATACCAACCACCTGGATCTCTATGAGGACCTCTTGAACAATTACGATGCCAAGCTGATTGCCGGCGGCGCTGCCCAAAACACGGCCCGAGGTGCGCAGTACATGCTGCCTCCAAACAGTGTCGTCTACCTGGGCGGCGCCGGTGACGACAAGTACGCCGCCATCCTCCGCGACGCCTGCAAGCAGGCTGGCCTGCGCGTCGAGTACCGCGTCGACCCCAAAATTCCCACCGGCCGCTGCGGCGTCGTTATCACTGGTCACAACCGCAGCATGTGCACCGACCTGGGTGCCGCCAACCACTACGATCTCGAGCACCTGAAGCGCCCCGATATCTGGGCCCTTGTCGAGAACGCCGAGGCGTACTATGTCGGTGGATACCACTTCACCGGTAAGCCGCTAGCCTGTTCCTTGTTTCACCAGGTGTGGTATGCTGACCATCCACCAGTCTGCCCTCCCGCCATCATGGAGCTCGCCAAGCAGGCGGCTGCCAACAACAAGCCCTTCATCCTGTCGCTCTCGGCGCCCTTCATCCCGCAGTTCTTCAAGGAGCCGCTCGATGCCTCGGCGCCGTACTGGGACTACGTGATCGGCAACGAGACCGAGGCCGAGGCCTACGCCGACTCGCACGGGCTGGGCACCAAGGACGTCAAGGAGATCGCCAAGGCGCTGGCCAACCTGCCCAAGGCGAACCCACAGCGCAAGCGCGTGGCCGTCATCACCCAGGGTACCGAGCCGACCGTCGTCGCCGTCCAGGGCGAGGACGAGGTCAAGGAGTACCCCGTGCACGCAATTCCCAAGGAGGAGATCAACGACACCAACGGCGCGGGCGACGCCTTCGCCGGCGGGTTCTGCGCCGGCATCGTCGAGGGCCGCCCGCTGGAGAAGTGCGTTGATATGGGCCAGTGGCTCGCAAGTTTGAGCATCAGGGAACTTGGTCCTTCGTAAGTTCCTATCCTTTCTCCCTTGTGAAACGCAAGCATAGACGAGACTGACCAGCTTCCCGAATAGCTACCCCTTCCCCAAGCGTACCTACTCTCGCCAGGAAGCGGACTAGGAGGAGACCCAGAACAACGAGCACCTGCGCATCGACTGAAGATGGTATGAATAAACAACAAAACATCGGATCCCTCGACATAATCACATCCAATTAGCAAGGGAGAGGAAGCTCCACCTTCCATTTTGCGGCAGGGCAGGCGTTGGGGGCAACGGAGCGTGCATAGGGAAAAGATACAGGCAGGCAGGGTAGAAAGGTTTCAACAACAGCGCAGACGGCACGGACACAGATGTTAGGAGTTCTGGATTCATGAATTTTGAATCAGGACTTTTCGACACTTCTCATCACCCCTTTTTTGGCGGTCCTTTTTTCCTTTTCCTCTGCATCAAGGAGTTTTGTGGACATATCTGGCAATTTTCAACAGGGTCGAGAAGAATTCAACTTTTGACAGGGTTTCTCCTATTCACACTGTCACCGCGTCCACCAGCAAACCAGCAACCGCCAACAGCCACATGAAACGTCCGGGAACCCATCAACGCAGTTCAGAATAGGACCAAGCAGACAGGGCGGCGAAGAAACTAAGAAGCCAGAAAACGAGAAATGACCTCCCTTCTCGAAAGCAGCTGTTTTTTCCCCACCGGGACCCTCTGCTTTCATGCCTCCTCCTTTGTAGACTGAACTAAACCAGCGAAGGAAGGGAAGGTACACTGCAGCCGCGAGATTCCAGAGAGCTCAATTCCCATACCGAAACGCGATTGTGAAACCGGCTGCTGGAACGGTTGGCTCGAGTATACCAGGCATGATGTAACGGGTTCAGTCCAATGTCGCGCCGGTCCAAGTCGAGAAAACCCCACGTCACGATCTCTCAGGAAAAATGAGATAACCAACCTCCTGAGAGGGCGAAGCTGGAGTCTCAAAGGTATATAGATTTTCTTCCGCGACCGGCCAAGGTAGGCAGGCAGGCGGGTTCTCCCGTACCGCTTTCTCGTGTCAACCGAGCAATTTCAGCTCGAACTTGAACTGGCGTGCCAACCATGGAGCGCCAAGCATTGTGAGCCAGGCCACGGCCGGGTAAAGGTGAGAGGGCTGGACCAACGCTGGGATGGCAGCCTCCAGAGGCGATCAAGCTGGGGTCTTGGTGGACCGATTGGCGACGGCGCCAGGGGACTGTAACGACTTTGGCATGTTTGTATGCAAAACACGGCTCGCAGCCCCAAGGCAAACTCAGCGCTTCGGCATACTCTGCTGCACCATGGCCTTTCCGAAAGTCTTGTCGTCCACCCCACCGGGCTGCGAAATGGGCGGGCCCCAAATATCCGGTTGGCTCGAGCCGGTCCCGGTGTGGTGGGCGTCAGACCAGGCGCTCGCATTATCCCGCGAGTTTTTCCCATTAGCCATGGCGGTGGCATAGTCGCTCGCATATCTGCTTCCTGGCCGGGACGGAACTGAGCCGCTGGGGTAGCCGCCGCCGAGCTGGTTGGCGTCAGCCGGAGACTGCGCGGCGCAGAGTCGCTGCGCCGTCGTGGGCAAACCCCATGGGTTGTTGACTTGCGGAAGGCTCGAGGTGTTGGCCGAGAAGTTGAGCGTTGAGAACGGCGAGTTGGGCACCCGGCCAGCGGCCGCCCCATTCTGGCCGTAGGTTGTTTGCCACGGGCATGCCGGCGGAGCCCAAAGATTCTGTTGCCCGCGTGCAGGGGTCGAGCTTTCGGCGAGCGCACTGGACCACGCTCCTCGTGCCGCGGAGCCCTGGTGTTGCTGGTTGGCTTGGTCCAACCCCAAGTCCAAGGACTGGAGTGCCTCCGCCTGGCTATCGACGAGTCTTGCCCGGCCTAGGCTATCATGCCTCTGGTGAGTTTCGGGTTCTAACGGATTGCGATTGATGGCTGCGCTCATAAGTTGAGCTGCATTTCCGGAGCTTGTCGGGCGTGGAAAGACTGTGCCTCCAGCTTCCCACACAGTGCCCGCGCCATTGATGCTCGGTTTGCGCAGGGCCGAGTCAACGGGTGCCGGCTTGTAGAAGTATTCCCAGGGCAGGGTCGGGAACGCCTTGCCTCCAGCCGAGCCGGGCACAGGGCTGCTTGAAGCTCCGGCTCCGAAGACTTCAGCCACTGCTGGAGAGCCCATGCCGTACCGGCTCATCCGCGCAGGAGGGCGCGTGGTGTTGTCCTGTTTGGCCACGGGAGCGGATTCCGGCGGGTTGATGAAGTCATTCAGAATATTGAACATCTGCCGATCGATAAGGAATTCGGAAACCGACGCGATTGGTGCCGGTTGAGCAGCTACTGGAACTCCATCATTGCGAATTCCGTTGCCAGCAGTATGCCGCAGACCAGGCCCGTGGAACTCCTTATCCTCGGAGAGCTCGTTAGACCCGCTGGGATTTGGGACCACCACGGGGCGTTGGGGAGTCTGCTCGATCTCGGTGGGAAGAGGTGTCGGAATGGAATGCTGAATTTGTGGCGGATTTGCAGTAGGCTCGGGCTTGCCACCTTCAAGATACTCGAACGTCGTGAGATCCCGGGACTCCTTCCTGGTCGCGGAATTGATAAGAGGAAAATCTGACTCTGTGGCCGACAGGTCAAGGGCGCACAGTAAAACATCCAAGGCACGGGTGAAGGTAACGTCATCCTCGGTGCGCTCGGCAGAACCAGAGACGTCTTCACGGCGTGGCTTGGGCTGGCGGGTGAAAGCATCGTAATAGAGCTGGCAGCCGTCGTGAAGCTCTGGTCCATTCAGGCACTGGATACCCAGAGTGAGTTCATCCTCGGGAAATCGCCACGAGACGGTGTTTCCGAGCTGCTGGTCGCTCGCCAACAGTTCAAACAACAGAGTGAGCGTGATGCTCAATGACTTGCACATGGCCCCAAACTGCGGTTCGAGATAAGGCCGGAAACGAACCAACTCTGAGCTGTAGAAGCAGAGCCATGCCATGTAGACGCGCAGAAGCGGAAGGACGCGGTTGAAGGCGACTGTGAACTTGGTCGAAGTCTTTGAGGCGGAGGAAGATCCGGAGGCGTCAGCGGCGGCCTCAGCACTGCTGCGATTGATGATGCCTTTGATTTCCTCTCCGAGCAGACTTGCGATGCCGTGAATAGTGCGAACATTCAGCAGGAGAATGAACTGGCAGGATTGGGAACCCTCCTCGGTCCATTTTTCTGCATCTAGTCAGCATAAGCTCAGCCACAAGCGACCATATCCAATGTCCCTACCTTGAATCTTCTTATGAGCGGCGACGTATGCCGTAATATTGATGAGGACCAACTTGAGCAAATCGGTGTCTGAGCCATATCCAGTCCCAGTTTTCAAGGCGATGGTGAACCGGTGGTCAACCTCGCGCTCCAGCTCCTTACGCTCGGTGAATTCGGTTCCCTGGGAGTAGAATGCATGGAGCTTGACAAACCACGTTACCAGCGCATGTTTAGTGGTGAAGCTTTTCCGTTTCTGGAGTTCACGAAACTCGCGCTCAAGGTTAGTCGGAGCATTTGGGTGCGGCACGGCGCAAGCTAGGGCGCGGTAGAGGTGGTAGACCACTTGGAGATGGTCCTCCGTCTCAACATAGATGACGCCGCACTGGTGATGGCCGTATCCGGAGTCGGGAATGAGTTCGTTGGCCAAGAGATAGTAGGCCAGAGCACCGTCCCATTGGCGGTCCTTGGAGCGTAGGAGTGTGCGGTATCGTGCCAAGTCGCCGAGATAGATGAGCGTCTTATGGCACGATCCCCTGACAACGTCTTCAAGACCCGCAGCTGCAGCATTGACCTTGTCCTTGTCTGGCACGGGCATCTCCTCGAGCTCAGCCCGGCGAGCGATGCGCTGGAGGTCGTTCATGTTGTAACGTGCGCAGACCCTTTGGAGATAGCCCCTGTAGAAGTACTGTGCCGTCTTGAGATAGTTGGCATAGACCTTCTCGAGCTTTCGCCGGAACACGACGTGGTCGTTGCCTTGCAGTCTCGAGAGCACCTTCCGGTAAGCCTTGGTAACCAGGGTATGGGTCTGCCACAGGACATCCTCGGCGGCCTTGTCATTCGCAGCACGGATGTTGGGCCAAATTGTCTCGATACAAGCGAGGCGGTAGCTAGGACCGTGAGTTAGCAACTCGAGTGTAGAGGGAAAATTATCCTGGCGCCGGCTCACTTCTCCATCAGTTTCTCGACCTTCTCGAACCGGGCGAGCTCGGTAGTGCCCAGTGTCACCTTTTGAACTTGCTCGAGCTCCTTCTGGATGGCAGCGCGTAGCTTTTGCGCAACTCTGCGAGGCCGGGTTAGCAAGCCTGAGCTCGAACACTGTTGGGTGCCGTCGATTTTGAGACACCATCACAGCGAATGCTTTCGAGAATGCACGATTGATCGTAATCTCAACACTAAACTAGGAAGAAGAAGGCCACTCACTGCCATGCTTCGTCAATCGATGGCATTGTGGCCATGGCTGCCGCTGCAGCGGTGGCGGTCGAGGCCATTGCTGGAAGCCCAGGTGTTCTGCAGACGAGAAGCGAGAAGCGATAATGTGTGGAAGAGCGCGCAAGAGCGCGCAGCGCTTATTTATGTGTAAGCCAGAGGCCTATGGCCAAAGCTCACACGCAGGAGTCGGAGAGTCGGCGGTTCGCGGGCGGTCCATAACTTGGTGACGCACTCGCTCCGGCGGTTGTTCGAGGAGGGGCGCTGCGACTTTCGGCGGGCACAGTAGCTGCAGGTGGTGAGCGCATTGGAGATGAACTCAAGGCACGTATCCGTATTCACGACCCGCAGATGACGGACGACGTCAATCAAAGTGTTATCGAGCAGTAATGCACCAACGAGATATGCGCGACCGAAGAGGCGCAAAGTAACGCAGGCGATTCCAGAGATCGATGTAATTCACAAAAGCGGCCCGCCGTTCTCTCTCTCAGCGACACCACATTGGGTCAGAAAACACAACCCTGCTCCACTCAGCGAGTGCGGCGTGCAAGACAGCCAATCACCGGCGTGACTCAGCCCTGGTGGCTCCCAGGTGAACTCGACCGGTGCAACTTCAAGCTTTCTGGAGCACTTGCACATTCGCAATTCATTTTCAGGCCATGATCGACTGTTCCTTTGAGATCAATCGTGTCCGTGGAATTCACCTATACTTCCTACCAAGGACTACCCATCTCATAGTACTAAGGCAGTCTACACAACAAGTCCATTCAGGCCCATCACCATTGGACAGGCTGATACTCCAACACGCTCGAGTCACGAGAAGGGTCCCTTCCGGCATGGAACTTTACAGGCCTTCGAATGTAACTCCATTCTCCCTTACACTCTCAAGTCACCTCTGAAGAATGAAGCGCTCACGTGAGCCTGAAGAGATCCCTCCAGAGGATACGGCAGCGGTTGGCCCAAACACGATGACGGCGGTGGCGGGGCATCGCAATGGCAATGGCAATGGCCTGTTGACCCATAGCAGCAACGGCGCCGGCGATGGCTTGCCGCCTGCTGCCAAAATCCCTGAGCTCGACCTGTCCGACAACGGCAACGGCCGCGATATCAAGATGCGCTGCTCGCTACCTCCTCACAAAGAACCCGTGTTATTCTCGTCATACGACGAATACGAGACCCATTACAGTGACCAACACACCAACCGCTGTGTGGAATGTCGCAAGAACTTCCCATCTGCCCACTTCCTAGACCTGCATATCGAGGAGACGCACGACTCATTCGCCCAGCTGCGGCGGGAACAGGGGGAGCGCACGGTAAGTTTTGACAGAGCCCGACCCCGCCGGCAAGCGTACCTCACGCCCAACCACTGACCACCTGCCTCAGTACTCGTGCTTCGTGGAAGGCTGCGAGAAAAAATGCAGCACGCCGCAGAAGCGAAAGATGCACTTGATCGACAAGCACATGTACCCCAAAAACTTCTTCTTTGCCATCACACGGGACGGCATCGATGGGCGGCAGTCTCTATTGGTAGAAGGCCGGGCGCGTCGTCGGAGATCTAGCGCCGCAACGGCACCAGGGCCGGGGTCCTCCCAAAACCGGGGGCAGGAATCTGGTGTCACAAAGCAACCATCTGAACCAACAGATGCTTGTGACGCGCAAGACCCGGGCCAGATAAGCCCCAAGCAGCAGCCGGATCAGGAAATGGAGGATCTGTCCAGCGCCATGTCATCGCTGCGGTTCGTCCCGATGAGTGTCCGGTTCGGCCGGGGCAAGAAGGCCGGTTTTGCCAAAGGGTAGAGCCCATCTGAGGGAAAGGTACCATGTTGGCGACCGTATGATGCATGCAAGGTTCGCAGACGGGACATACTGATGAATAGGCATGCTCATTGCGAGTCATTACTTCGTAGGCCCAGACCACCAGCGAATTCCATGCATTATCCCCATCCTGTTCGGTCGTACCTGACCCGGTGAGCAATCTGACATGCAAATAAGACGAACGACAGGTGGCAACTCTTACACTTTCTCCCTAACTCCCATACAACTATCCCAAGCCCGGTAAGACGAAGCGTTGGTATCATAACCTGCGGATCGCATCGCCGGAGAAGCCGCCATCCCTCATAGCCCAGAGCACCAAAATCCTTCCCAGATATTCCCTCCCCCAACTCAGTCCGTCGACGCGCACCCCCTACACCCGCAGTTTACGCACTGCACGTCCTGGTCCTCTTTCATCTGCGCCCTTGGCACGCGGCAGACGCACGTCGAGTTGAAATTCGTCTCCTTGGTCTGGATGCAGCGCAGGCAGCACAGCTTCTCGTACCCTTGCTTCTTCCACTTGGCGATGAGCATGGCGTCGGCATAGCCGTTCTTGAGCAGCCACTCGTACAGCTGCTTGCTGATGGCTTCCTTTTCGTAGTACAGCTCGTACACGTAGCGGCTGCGCTGGTGTGCGATCTGAAAGATGGGCCACTGCGCCTGGTGTTTTGGGATGTTGTCAGTCGGCGTGTTCTGCGCGTCCTTCATCTTGTTGCTGAAGATCAGCAGATCCTCCTCGATGTCGCTGAAGCCGTCTGGCGGGGCCTTGCGCTTGGAGGCGGGGCGGATAGCGGGCATTGTTTATGTTGTTTTCACTTATTGGCCTTCTTTCTCGCTGTCCAACGCTCCTTGTGCAGCAGCAGCGCTAGTGGTTGCTTGCACAGTTGTTGGTTGAGGATATAATGCGACACTGCTTCTCAAAATCTGAAGCGGTTCGGAGGATGTCTTTTGGATGCTTTCCAGTCAGCATGAAAACTCATAATGACTAAGCAGGTGTCGGTGGGGCACTGCCGTGATGGTCAAAGCTTCCGGCATTGGAAGTGTCCGATGAAGCATCCAACCGCAAGCCTGCTGATTCCAGCCGACCGAACTACAACTTAGAGGCACACAGCACCGCCCATCATGGGTATCTCGCCGACCCAGTTTGCCGTCACCTCCAGGCAATGTGAGCTCCATATATAGTCGGCACCCCACGATCAGCGACTGACGTCCAGCAGCGGCCAATTGGTCCGACGCCAAGCGAAGGGTGCTTGCGGCATATCGAAATTGGATTCGGGCTGTATGACCTTCCCAGCAATGCATGCTGTTTGCCGGATGAAATATCGAGGGCGGCGCTGACTTGGACATTGCCCAGGCGCCTGAAATTCAAACGATGTATTCTATTCCGCACCCCGTCTCGGCCATCCGATCCCGCGTCCGACAGGAGTTTGAGCGCCACAGATTCGTCAACAAATTGCCCGTCGTCGATATTCTTCTTCTAAAAAGCAACGCCGACTATCAAGTAAGCCGTTGCACCGGATGGGCGCGTTTGGAAGGTCACGCGAAGATGCTGGACTGCTAGGGAGCCCTGAGATGCTCCACGTCCTTGACATTCTTGAACAGCCGAGGCTGATGTTGGGCTTATACGCAGGAAACGATGAATTTCTGGCGCCAGACGAACCACATTATGGCCTTCTTCAAGGAGGAGAGCTTCAGGGGAGAGAAGAGACTGCCGTCAAATTTCATTGAAGGGTTTCTCGAGGTACGTCGGGTGGCGTCCGTCCATCCCCATCATTCAAATGCTGACTCGCTTCTCTAGGGCCGCAACTAGAAGGGTCCATTTGTCCTGTTCTTTTCAGAGCATGCGCAATAAAGAAAGTGAATGCCAAACACGCGAGTGTACGCAACCCATCCTTAGTGCCCCATCTATGCATGAACCAAATCCGAACCACGCCCAAAACGCCGTCCTTAGCAAAACCCTGGAGAAGAATATTATGAAGAATTCTCTGCAAATTTCTGGCGGGCGTCAATAAACTTCTCAGACACCACATCGCAGAGCTCCTGCAGGTCCCGCAGCCCCTTTTCCAGGGCCTGGATTGCCGTTGTACACTCTGCGAAGTTCGTCAGTATGAATGGCATGGTCATGGTCGACAGCCGTGTCATGAACTCACCAAAGGTCTGGATCCTGACGTTCATCTTTGCTTCGGAGGGATGGGGAATGGCGTATGCGCAGAACTCAACATCGGGGCTGGTGTCCGGTTAAAAATGTTGAGTCAGGGTTGGCAGTCACAGAACGCAAAACTCACTTTCTCATGATGATGTATCGCAGGGCGTTCCCAAGGGTATGACCCTCGTTGAGGAACTCGAACGAAGCAGCAGTAGGTGTTGAGCCAGGGAGCTGCTCAGCTTGTTAGCGACTCGTGTCCGTCGAATGTATCAAAACCAATAACTGGAGTTTGAAATGTGGCATACCAGCCTCACTCTCTGACCCTCTTCTTCCTCTTCCTCCTCATCTTCATCATCCTCAACGTCTCCCGCATCTTCGTCCTCGTTCTGGTCCACCGACATTTCATCCTCGGGTTGATGAGAAGTCGGCGCCTCTTCCATGGCAATATCGGACTCGATCTCGGCGGACTCTTCCTTCTTGGACCTGGCTCTCGACATCTTCAATATATGTGTCTCCGTTTATTTTTGCGATGATATCTTCCCTGTTTGTGACGGTGATGGAATACGCCGTCTAGCAGAGAAATATATGAGGTCGTATCAGTTTATTGGCTCCAGAAAATTTTATTGGGGCCCGCGTGTCTCCCCCCCCCCCCCCAAGCCCATTCCCCAATACAGCCTTACAACCTGGAATACAACCCTGATTTATTTGTTAGCGCGGAATTTAACGTTACGTATTTCCACCTCATCCTCTTTCACTTCGGCCTCCATGTAACTAATCCGTATAATTCTTTCTTTCCTCTTCCTCTTCCTCTTCCTCTTTATCATTATCTTTGTCTTTCTCTTTGTCTTGTCTCTTCTCTTATTTTTTGTCTTTACATTTCATCATATTTTTTCTCTTCTCTGTTTCTTACGGACCCTGGTGTCTTTAGTCCCTTTCACGGCTAGTGACCCAGCCTGTGTCATGCTAACGAACAAACCAGGGCTAGCTTGTACAAGACCCTACAAGACCAAGGGTAACGAGAGGGTAGAAACTTGCAGTTGGCTCTACCTCCATACATTCTTCAATTCAGCTGCTCAGGTGAATCTTTTCGCCCAATTGCAGCTACGGAGTCTCGGAAGTATACATGTAAGCGGACGCGTTTCTCAAAACGTGGTTCTGGGCACATATCTGCGCCATGGTGCGTGTTGCAGAGCGGCTAAGACGACCAACGAGTAGGTACACGACCGAAATCAACAGTATCGCGAACACCAGCCGCCAGTGGCATGTGAATTGGCAATCACATCGAGTCTACCGCTGGACACATCTTGCGCGCAGCACTGGGTTGGGCGCCAGAGTCAATATCACAGGTTCTGATCCCGTCTAGGAAACCACATCAACGACCCGGCTTGGTATTTTCGCAGTGTCCCGTTGCTGGATAATAACGGCCCAGCGAACCTGAGCGACGGAACAGCCTCCTATCCGCTCATCGGTTGAGGGTGGCTCACCACCATCACCGGCCGTCTCAGGCGAACCAACCACGAACCGAGGCAGGCGAGCTGATTGGCTTACTCCGGGCCACGCAAAAGTTCAGGTCCTACCTGACTCTGTGCACAGTACGGCTTGAGCCAACCGCTAGGAGCTTGCGAGCTTGCAATCGTCAGAACAAGAGGGCGTGTCGAATTTCAGCAGACAACAGTGCGGCTATGATTCACAGAGCATCTACGGATGTGTGGAGGTAGCCCCTTAGGTTCGAGTTTGTCGCACAACCCTGGACCTCTCCAGCAACCTCAAGCAAGGACTGACTCGGAACCAAATGGGTCTCGTCTGAGGCATTGCGCGTTGTCTGGATTTCTCGACGAGACAGAGTTTATTATGAAGACGAGGCAGCCACGGGCAAATTTCCGAGGAACAGACGGGCCATGTTTGAACCTTATTTGAGCTAACAGTCGGCAACCACGGTTCCCCGTTGGTGATGCGGGACGATGCGACTTCAGACCACCCACACCTCTGCATGAGCGGGAAGAATTGACAGCGACAGCAATCAGGACCACGTCTCAGCAGCCATACCGAAGCATTAGCTGCGACCACCGTCACCAAGCAACTTCCACGTCTTCGCCATATGGCCTCCTCCATCAGCATCCGTAATTTGTACGGATAAGGTAATGGTGCTGAAAAAATGCTTCAGCACCGAGTTGCCCCCAGCACCCAATCGTCTTGGCCCTGTCATCAACTCATCGACGATGGAACTGTGCGGAGTCCAGACGAGTTTCAGGTGCTGGGCTCGCACGCAAAGTGCGCTGCAGGAGCCTGGACGTTGCAGGGTCCCAGAAACGTTGGACCGCGCAATTCGACCAATCCACATGACATGGGGCAATGGCTCAATCCAAAACGTCGAGGGCTTCGGAAGCCTTCTTTGCAGCACTCCGAATATTAAATAAAAACAACCGTAACGTGGTCCTGGCCGTCTTAGGTAGGCCACCAGTACCGCAAGGCACAGCAGACAGTTGGCCGTGAGTCGAACAGGAAAGATCATCTTGAAAGCCCGAGACTTCGAGAGATTGAGAGATTCTCATGGGTTTGCAGTGCACAGCTCCAGCCAAGGCGGCGGACCTCCGCCCAGCCCACCCAGGGCTCCACAACGTCGAACCTCAAACACTGGAACCAGTGGCCTGCAGTTGTCCAGCTTCACTTTTCACACCACGAATACTTGTAACGATGATGGAAGGGATGAACAGGTGAGGATTCGCCAGGATTTTCTGGTTGAAGAGAACTGGATCAGACCTGACCTAGCCTTGGGCTTCGCTTGCTTTCTGCTCGCCGAGGCGTTGGTTCGGTTCTCATTTGTGTTCCCCTGAAAAAAGGATTCCAAGGTTCCCGCCCTTGTCTCACAGAAAGCCCCTCCTCCTTAATTCCCGTCGTCCCAGGCGACCCCTCCTGAGGAGCCCCTTGTCATTCGGCATCGTCGAGTTCCTCGTTTTATAAGTCCCCTCGTGCTTTCGGTGCACTGCGGGCATGACGGATTCCATTTCCTCTTCGGCTGGAGCTCCCATCGTCACAATCCGTTGATTGAAGTATATACGGCACGCAGCACCCAAACGTTAATGATACTGCCAGGGATCATAATCCTCGCTCAGTAAGACACAAACGCCGCTCCGATTACCCGAGTTCGAAGTCGTTTATTCGAATTTGAAGAGGAATTATCAAGAAGGCAGAAGAGAATATCTGTTGCCCGATAACAACCAACAACCTTGGAAACGGCGACCTAGCGACTTTTTGCACTGGTTGGGGAGCCGCCTGGGCATTGGATTACTGATTTCCAGAAGAGGGAAAGTACGAGAGGCAAAGCAACGACGTTTTGGCTGCGCCTTTCGTGTGTGACACAGCCCTGCCAGCGTTCTCAAGCGCCCAGTCCAAATTAGCTGCAGCTCAAACGACTCGGACCCGATAATCGTTACTTGGTACGGATTATTCAAAGAGCGGGATTGCAGATCGCGCCGCTCAACCGGCCTGTCTTCCCAACAGTGCTCGGTCCCTGTTTTGTTGCTTGAATTTTTCGCATTTTCCTGCAGCCAGAGTCGAGTCTGGGGGAGTGTTCAGAAATCGCAGCAACAAACGGACGAGAGGTGCGGAGGATTCTTGGTTCATCGGACCCAACAGCGCGCCCTCTTCCCGCCGCACAAGCTCGCTTCTTCCGCTTCGCACACCCAGTGCGTGGCAGTCCCCGGTTCATTCCCAGCACGCCTGCCACCCCCAATTTTGGGGCTTCTGGGGCGGGAACACTGAATCCCATCGGATTCCTCGAACTCCCATTTTTCGCAGCACAAACAACAATCCCAGGGTCACACAGCGACAATGAGCACCGCCGTTGCAATGGCCCTTTCGCCCGCTCCTCACGACAGGCCGTCCTACGGTTCTGACCTTCCTCACCCATCGTCTGCCTCTCCGACTGCTCAGAGGACAACAGCGGCGCCCCCGCCTCCACCTCCACCTGCAGTGACAACTTTGAACAACGATAATACACCTGCACCACAAGCGCGATCACGCAGCCGCAGCCCTAAGGGGCTGGGTGCGACGGCGAGCACGCAAAAGTCATCCCCGCCCAGCGCGTAAGCAAGCCCCAGGATATAGATAGCTGGCCGCTGGCTCGACTTGTTCGCCTGGACGACGTTACTAATTCATGGTTGTTCAACGACGCACAGATCTCGAAACACAGAAAGACCGAAAATCGTCGTCAAGAAGGAACCTGGCTCCCCCGGCTTGCAGACCGCCAGGCACCGCCCAAGAAAGCTAGATCTCTCCAAAAATACAAACATCGTATCTCCCGCCACCGGTCGGCCCCTGACCGCGCGCGATGGCCTGGGCATTCAGGAGGTTGGCATCGCATGTCTGTCGCCAGGCTTCGTCCCCAAAGATGCCGCCGAGCAGGAGCAGTTGAATCGCAGCATGAGCGTCAGGGAGCACCAGAGACAAATCATTGAGGCGAGGTTACAACAACAGTCGGCAAAGCAGGGAGATGGGCCTGATAGGGACAAGGAAGGATCCCACTTCGCTGCGAAGACGCCTGGCCTAGCCCGCAAGCGCGGCGCGCCGCCGGGTTTGAGTATCGTGGCTCCGTCGCACGAACAATTCGCAAACGAACGGGTCATCCAGTCGGCGCCCCTCGGCCAGACGTTCACGGGGAGGCACAACCCGCACCCCCTGACACGGCACATCACAAACCAGCCATCGAACCTCGCAAGCACGTCGCACATCCACCACATGCCTGCCCACCAAACCAACAACCGCCTCCCCCCGATTGCCGACGTATTCGGCGGCAACGTTTCGGGTCATCCCGAGTCCAGCGGCCACGCCCTGTTTGCCAGCCAGAGCCGCGCCCCGCTCCCATCCCCACACCACCCGCCTCCTCCGCAATCCGCGCGCTCGCGCGAGTACAAGTCGGCCGAGGAAGCTCAAGTTGAGCTGGCTGGCGGCCGGCCCGAGCTCCTACCAAAGTTAGTACGCTACGGCGGCCACCAACCCCCGACGCCGCCGTCCCCCCCACAGCAGCCACCTCGCGACCTCCCGCACAATCACAGTCATAATAATAACCATAACCACTACCATCACCACCATCATCAACACAATAACAATACCCACACAAGACCACCAGCCCCTCCCAACCAAGCTGACCCGGCTCTCGCCTCCACCAGCAGCCGAAGCCTAAGCAACGGCCACCCGGCGCCGCCGCCCGCGGCGTCCCACGCAGCAGCCCCAGCCCCAAACCCAGCATCAACAATGAAGCGCAGACGCGCCGAGTACGAAGAGGGCGGGAGCCCGCCGCTGGGCAACGGCGGGCGGCCGGCACCGGCTGGCCCCACGGGGACCATGCCGCCGTTCCCTGGGTTCCCGGGCGTAGCAGCGGGACGGAGGACGACGGGGCCGTTTGGCGAGGGACGGGATAGTCCTGACACGATTGAGGCCAAGAAGGAGGAGTTTTTGAGCCTGTGTTCGAGGGCTTGGGATTTGTTTCATTCTTGATCCGTTTTCTCTTCAAGTTCTCGCTATATATGCTTCGCCTTGCGACCTTTTATGTTTCGCGTGAGGGCTCAACTGTGTTGGTCTGGATTCTGCTGCTTTGAATGGAATCGTGGGGGTATGATGCCGGGCCGTCGGGCTTCTGGTCTGGCAGATGGGTATATCTATTTTGATGAGAGATGGGATGGGAATGAGGTTTGATGTATCCAGGCTGATGTTTCTATTTTCCCAGTTTGATATAATACTGGGGGGAGCGGGAGGAAGAAAGGGTGGGTGGCTTGCTTGCTTGATATTCTTTGATTCCTCCGTCGAATTGATAGGGGTGTGTGTCTTTTGTTTGTTTGGCTGGCGTTTAAAGGACCTGGATGTGTATGTATGGGATGGATCATTGTGCTTTGGAGGCAAAGGGTTGAAGAGGCTTCGGTCATGTGTTGGTTTTGTTGAGATCTCATACTATTTATTTTCTCATGCATTCCCGCTATCGCTCCCTCGATATGTTTCTTCGATGTGTGGCGTTCTTATAAATGTGGCTGTGATGCGACTATCGGTCTCGGCTTGTTTTCTCAGTCAATACACATGCCACTGGTTGGTGATGTTTTGTCCCTGTTGGTGAGGTGCGTGTGGTTGGAAAAAGGACAGTATTGTAGGGCAAGGTTGTGTGATATGGGACGTGGACACTGCTTATGTTGCTTTCTTGCATCCTGGATAGTGCGAAGGGGTCAAGTCGGCTCTTGAAGAGTTAGTTTAGTCTGGTTGAGTGAGTCCCGTTTCCCTGCATTGCTTATGGATGTTGTTTTGGCAGAAGCGATGATGCTGAGAGATGGCGCTGTTACGGATGCTGACTGACCACAGCGCAATCCAATGGGCTCAGTGATTTGACAGGCAGATCGCCCGGGCCTTTCCTTTGAGACAAGAACATAGCTAAATAACTCACCAACCTACAAGAGACGGTTATTTGCTTAGCAATGCGCTTCTTTCAGTGCCGCGGTGGAGCTGTGTGGGCATCTACACAGGTAGTAAGCACCTATAGTCTAGCACAGGGCGTTCCGAAGGGCGTGCAGCCTCATTTCGACCAGAATTGCCGGCTATCTTCTTCTGTCTGCTTGACCAGCACAGGGATCACCAGAAGTCCGACGGGTTCTCGAATATCGTAAGACTCCTATAAGGTCTACAAGGTATTACATCACTCCTCAGTCCTCTACTCTCTATAAGGACACCATCACCTCTACGCAACTCTTAGGCCGGGAATATCAGCAGAGAGCCATTCCCCATGCAAACATACCAATGCGATTGCCTGACAGCGGCAGCAATCCCTATGCGCCAACATGTGAGCCCCAAATTACCAAGTAACAAAGCCGCCGGGGCCTCAGGTATTTCCCATGCACCCCCTTCCCCTGTCCATCTCGGAAACTACCAACATAGAGAGAAGGAAGGCAGGCAACCTCCCAACCATGGATCCGTCTCAGCAAAGCATATGGCCACACGCCTCATCATCATGTCACATTCTGTATGAGGAGATACCCAACACAAAGGGGGGCCAGAAGGAAAAGAAGATGGGAAGACTGAAGAGGAGGTCAAGACAAGCCTGGTCGGTCGGCAACGAGCAGGTAATGAATCAGAAAAAGAACAGGACAAGCAACCAGCCAACACCGTCTTTAACAAAGCCGTAAAGCAGCGAGGGATAAGAAAACGAAAACACGCCTTTTGCACTCGTCTGCGTAAAGGTCACAAAGCCGGCCCCAAACCGAGAACCCAACCCACCCCGCAGATATTCACCCTACCCGCTGCCTATATCATCGCTAAAAATGCAGTACGAGGTAGCCACCGGATGCTGAACTTCAGTGATCGACAGCGCTTGCAAGAAAAACGAATGCTGTGCATGACATGGAAAGAAATGTATTTAGCCCGCCCAGTGCTAAAACGAGAGACGGGAATTTTGCCTCCGGCCCTGCCTCTCATCTGGAGAACCAAAGCGGCTGCGAATATGGACAAAACGAAGGACGCAAGGCCACCCAAGCACCATGCAAGAAGATAAAGAGGAAAAAAAAAACGATAAACTCCAAACTCCCATGCTGGCCCAAACCGAAGCATTCCGTGTCGTGATACGTGATGAAGTCATCGTCGCCTCCGCCGAGTGGTGTTGTTATTCCTGCTGTGAGGATCATCATAGACGGGCATAGGTAATTTGGCGAAACGGATGAGAGAGGAAGAAAGGCCGCTAGCCGAATGTTGACTCGGGCAGGGGTTCGATAAGATGCGATACGCGGGTTCAACAGTTTCAACAGCCTGTTTCCGCCAGGCGGTGGGTGGTGGTGTTTCCCTTCGAGAAAAAGTCACATCAGCGGGTCACCCGGCGGAGCATGTGTTAGAGGCCCTCCTCGCCGGCCTTGCAAAGTTGTATCTCGCGACCCCACTCGGACTTGAGGACTTGTGACGCCGTGATCCTGCGGCCCGGGTTGGGATCCAGTATTGAGTAGATCACGTTCCTGCAGCGAGCCTGGTTGTCAAGGGTCAGAGCCATGACCGGTCCACCGTCGATCTCATATTTTATCCGAGACAAAACTTACCCTGTGTAGCGCCTCAATCGGGGCATAACCCTCCTCGTCCCGACGGCCTTCTAGGTAGCGAGTGTAAAACTCGTCCTCATCCTTTCGCGCGACCCGCCAGAGGTGGCGGCCGGTTCGCATGGCCATGTAAATCACACCACAAGCCCAGACATCAACAGCCCGAGCATCAAACTCCTTAGCCGTATACTCTTCAGGGGCGATGTACGGGGCCGAGCCGCACAGCCCTGACACCATGTGCGCGTCGTTCTCCCAGGCCATGCGGAAACACTCGCCGTTGCCAAAATCAGTGATCTTGAGGGCGCCGTGGGTTGTCAGGAGCAAATTCTCGGGCTTCAAGTCGCGGTGCGCGACACCCATTTCGTGCATGTACTCGACGCCACGCATCATCTGCTTGAAGAAGCAGTCGGCCTCCTGTACCTCGAGCTTGCCAGCGGACAGGACGAGCGTGTACAGGTCGCCGCCGGCGCAGTACTCCATGACCTCGCAGTAGTCGCCCTTTGAGTCCTTGAGCAGATCGAGGGTGTGGATGACGTTGGGGTGACGTAGCGACGACGAGATGCAAAACTCGGCCGTCAAGCGCTTGCTGTACTTCTTCTCAGTCTCCTCGGGCCGCCGACGGAACTCCTTGACGGCGTACAGCTTCTCCCCAAGGCCATTGTCCAACTTCTTGTGCGATATCCTCACAATGCCGAAGGCACCCCGCCCCACAATTTCCTGGCACTTGCCATACTTCTCCGCCAGTGTCGCCGACGGATTTGCGGTGGCCGTCTTTTTGTCCGACGAGAGGCTGTCCTTCTCCTGCCTCAGATTGTCGACCCAATTTGACACCAAGGAGAGGTCGTTTTCGGGGGCCTGCTGTTCCGGTTTCCGCCCCAGAAAGCTCTTGATCAGGTCCGAGAGCTTTTCTTGCCGGCGGCTGGACTTGAGGTGGTGTTCGTGACCGCCCTGCGCTTCTGGGTTAAGCACGAAGCGCTGGGGCGGCACCTCCTTTGCGTTTGCAACCTTTCCGGGCGGAGGCGATGGGTTGTTTGGGGTCACATCATGGGACCTCTTGGCCTGCGCCGTGCCGTTCGCATCGGCAGCAGTCAGTGAGCGCTGCGATGCGTCCCTGGCCGAGAACATGCGAGTAAGGCGGTCCTTCATGGAGCCCTTCTCGGCAGGTTTTTGCGGTAGGTCGGGGATGCCAGCATGCGCGACTGAGTGTCCATTTTGACCGTTCAATTTTGGCGACTTGGTGGGAGCCTCGACCGACCTGATCGACGGCGGTTGCGACGAGTGCGGCGAAACCCGCGGCGAGGCAGACGCCACAGAAGATGCCGAGGATATCATGATGGGCGGGTTTGGCGAGCTGAACGCGCAACTGGACGTTTGGTGCTCGCAGAATCCAAAAGCACTTTGGTGATGTCGCTGCGGATGTCTTGGGAGTGCTGAGCAAGGGTTCGGTCCACTGAGGGCGGGCGATGCAAGCGAGCGAGGTCGTGCTTGAGTTTAAGTCGCTGCGCTTATGCAAGCGACAGCAAGCTTGGCGGCGAGGGACGCCTTGGGTGAGTGGGCGAGAGCCCGGGAGAGGTCGCCTGGAGCCGAACACAAAACCGCAGCACTCTGTGTCGAAAGGAGATGCTCAGTTTTTCTCTGCAGAGAGAAGGAAAAAGCGCCGAAAAAGCCTCGACTTGCCAGTGTGCGAGAAATTCCAAAGTCGTGAGTCGAGCCAAGTGGGGTGGATGGGGAGTGGAGCTTGCGACCAGAGCGCTGGAGGGCGGATGGATGTTATTCCTCGTTTTGGTTTTCTCGGCCTCAATTCCTGGTCCTTGATCCGTCCTGTTCCCTTTTCAATTTCTCAGGGGCGAGCAGATGAATAGGTTGTTCCAGTAGCTGTTAGTTACGACAGCTCAAGGCAGATGACTGCGTGTTCAGGCGGAGATTCGTCATGGTGATGGGGGGAGAAGAAGCGGTCTTATTCCAGAAGAGTAGTGGGCTTGTTGACGTCGATCGGCTCTCGAGTTGCCTTGCTGCTGACTGAGGTTGAACCTTAGTGGTGGTACCGGCGGAAGTCGCGAATAGTTGCGAAGTGTTTTTTGGGTGGAAAGTGCTGGGCCACTGGTGAGGCGAGCGGAGGCGAAACCGTCTGCTGATCGCAGCGGAAAAGATGACGAAGATGGCGGTGGGGAGTCTCTGTCTTTGACTGGCAAGCACAGCAGCGCTGCCACCACCTAGCACGTTTTAGCGTTTCCTGGCCGGACTGTACTGTAACCCAGACGCTACCCGTTAGCCCGTGAAACAGGCACGACCGTTTCGAACACCACAGCTGTACTCAGGGGCTGCGAAGGGTATCCGTAAGGCTGATGTGATTAAAGTCTTCGAGACGTCAGCGCATCATGAAAGAAACAAGGAAACGGACGGAAAGTGCACGAGTGGCAAAACACCGCTGATATTGCTAAGGTATGTAACAATAACCAATGCGCAGACCCTGAAAAGAACATGGACTTTTATGCAATTGGATGGAGGCACGCATCACCGCATGGTCAGACCGACGGAAAAAGACGGCTTGAGTTGCAGCTCTTTCCTCCTTGGCCACGGAGACGACTCCCTTCCCCAAAAGCTGCAATAGTGCCGTGAGAATGCGTGTGGTGCGTTAGGGAACCGGGGATTTGTTACGATATTCCATCATTTGTAGGACACCCTACCGTAACGGAGGTATACAGAGCAGTACTAGCATCATAGCATGCCATGCAAATGAGACATGCATGTCTTACCTGAGCACTGCAAGCCTCAACTCACTTGTGCCATGTACGTCCTTTGCTTGAGGTTCTGCTTCTCCCGTCTGCTCGCTGCGGCTTGTTGAAGACAACGGCCACAGTAGCGCTGCGCAAAGACGATCTGAGTCTTAATGAGCTGGCGTCATTGTCTCCGGCCAGCTGGCACCAGCCGGCGTCTTTTGATTTACCCACCATGGGCTAGCTTTCTGGGACGCTTGGAACGGCCCCTGATTCGCTGCAGTAGAGCAGGCCCGCCAAATCGGTTGTGGCTGCCCATTACGTTCGATCTGGCCGTCGGGGTCTTTTCGAAACGGGCTAAATTCAGGCCTGGCTTGGTAAGCTAAGGTGTTAGCACGGACATTGAGTTGTCCAACTTAAACATCAAGGAACGTCAGGATTACAACGAAAAGAGAAGATAAATCAAGAATGAGGGAGAAATAAGGAGTAATGATTGATAGGGAAAGCACAACATTTTTCCCTACCTTAACCACTTACGTTACTCGCAAATTACACGCCGGGGAGGAAGCTGGCTAGCTGGCGTGTAAGTCAGGTGTCGATTTATCGATATGGATATCCGTACCTGGTATTTTCAGTATCTGATCAACAACCCATGCATCTTCCGTCCGCCAGACCAGCACACTACCCGTTCTTGTTGTTGCTGTTGACTTTCCAGCTCACATCACAGCACGCGTGCAGAGCCTCCCCACGCTGCTCCCGGTCCTTATTACCACGAAACATGGAAGTTAATCTCTCCAACCTTGGAGTGGTTGAGCGCAGGGGCAGCCCGGATGCGACTCCCGGACGCTTCCTCCGTAGCCGAGGCATCGCCAATAACAAAGGAGGCAAAGAAGGAGATGCCACTCTGTCTTGAGTCGGCGTCTTGGCGGGCCAGCTCGTTGCACACACTGAGGACTGTTACATTGGCTCGATTGATACGCATCTCGCCGTCCGACTGGAAGTCTTGGCCGCATGGTTTGTTTCCACCGGCTCCATTCTGGCATCCCTCCCCCCGGTGCCGGTGTTGGCGGCCTCCCGGCTCTGGATGCGGGCGTCAGCCGAACTTCAACCACGGAGGATTGCCCTGAAGCAACCCGACAATCCCTGGGGGTCTGAAGGCGGTGAAATTCCTCTGTGCCTACCTGGTTCTCTCAACTCTGATCCTGCAATCGCTTTCATTCGCCCTGCGTTCGGGTGACAACGGTGCCACAAACTGACCGCCGAAAACCACCAGTTCGGTTGGAGGAACCATACAGATTCCGCTTTCCGAGCTGGCCCACACGGCTCTTCCCCGTCCCTTCGTAACTCAGTAACCTATCCTTGTTGCAGTATGCATTGCATACTGCAGCATGCGTGCCATGGCGCTCTCCGGCCTAGCTGCTGAAGCTCTCAGAACTCCCAACTCATCAGGGACGGAGTACGGATACATGGTGCAGTACCATACAAGCCGTCGTCCACACCAACGCAGAGGAACCGTCAGTGCCGTGCAGCAGACCGCCACCGCTGGGTCAGCATCCCGACCAAACTCTATGAGGCATTTTCTCAACTTGTCGTCCCTACTGGTATCACAACAAAAGTCAGCTACTCACTCAGGTTTAGGCCAGCATCGCGCGATCCCGGCACGCAGCCATTGGCCAAAGCCAAGGACTTCATACGGTAACACACATGCGGCCATCAGAACTGCTCCCGCAACCCACCAGCTGCTTGTCGATGTCCGACGTGTACGGAGTGGTGTATGAGAGATCACCACCGTCTCCTTGGCCGGATCCTGCCAGAGTCCACATTGATAGGATCTTCGCCAATGCGGTTGCCGTTCTCCGGAGCAGCCAGTTGCGAGAACCTTTTTCGGACGCCTTTTGCCCACCTCTGGAGACCGCCATATGACGATGGCCAACTGTTTCACCACAGCTTCAAGTTTGGCCGCCAAATACCGTTATCGAGCCTAGTGTCCGGGCATTATACGTCTCCCGACCATAGCCAGCAACATCTCGTTGCGGTCTCGGCTCTCTTCAGAACATCTATCCACCCGTCCAGCCAAATATCAAACCCCTGACACAGGATTTGGGGCGGCATGTTCGGGTGTGCATCTGGCGGTACACATGTACATTATCCAAAGGAACACACTGGCCCCCCTGGCCCCCTTGTCTCAGACCCTGCTGGCGGGTCAAGAACGGGATATAGTTCCACACGTGGTCGAGATATTCGCTGAGAGCTCGACGACAAAACTTCCGCCAAAATGCATCCCAGCCTTGCACAGAACACGCATATGTGAGAATTCTATCAAGGCACACCGGCTCTGCGCCATACATAGGATCGTCGCAGGTCTTGGCCGACGGCCCCGGGGAATCACCCTCGGCATCCGGGCCCTTCGATTCACAAACGTCTGGGAAACGCCGTTGTCTCCTTGGTTGCCGATACCGACAATTTGCTCTCAAGTTTGTTTTCTCTCTTCGCGCCTATCAAAACAAGCTTTCGCCAAGACCATGGCGGCGGGACAAGAATCGAAAAGGCAAGAACGACAAGAACGACAAGAACGACAAGAACGACAAGCATGCCGAGCTTACAAATCGGCTTGGTCAAACTCTGAAGTCAGGAAGAGCATTCCAGAGTCCCGCAGCAAACCGGCTTCTGTCTGGGCAGATCAATACTGCGACTCATTGTTTCTACAGTCGGAGCTAGCTGACTTGTGTTGTGTCTCGGACGACATGTGGGATATTTACACAAGACCTAAGTTAACCAACTGCAGTACGGATCCTACGCAGATAGTCTGGCCGTTTCCGGGCTCTTGCTTGCTGTCTCACTTTTCCAACGTCACCTTGAAGACTCGGTGCTGGCTCAATCTGTGGAGGATTCGACCCGAGTCTCCAGTTCCTTGTTTTTGGTTTTTTTTTCTCTTTCAGCTCAAGGAGAAAGGTTGGACTTTTTGAGAAATTTAAGACATGCACAATTCCGGAACCTGCAACATCTGGAACTGAAAAGGAGGACATGGCATGGGCAGACGATAGGCGCGGCCGTTTAGCATTCAGATAGACAGGTTCCTTCTTTCTGCATCGAGGGTGCATCTCCTACGTAGTCAGGCAAAAGCTGGCCCCAAATGTCGACGGTGGAAAATCGGAGTTGGAAACTTTCGAAAGTCTCAACATCAGCCCACGTTGAGACAACGAACCGCGGAGACGCAAGACCACCACTCGTTTAGTGAACTCCCCTCTGGTGCACTGTCGAGGCCTACTACACTGATTGTGAGGGCCCGTTGCCTTGACTAGCGCCTCGCTTCGTGCGGGGCACCTGGCCCAAGCAAATGGAGGCGTTCTCTTCCGCTGTCCTCACGCTTCCATGGCTCAATGACATGCCGTTAGATTCATGTCCTGCTGGATAACCAGGGGTTGCGGATTCGAATTCTGCATAATGGTTTCTGGATAGAGGAACTGCATGACATCGCCTATTCCCCGCAGCACCAACTCTGGACTCAGTACCACACAGCACCTGGAGACCAATTCTTTGAAGGGCAGCAAGGCGTGTCGATGAAGATCTGAATGACATTGCTTTCCCGATGAGATAAGCCAAGGATTCCTCGCGGGTATATGTCTCTCAAGGTAGGCCAGAACATGAACAGATATTTAAGGAGGTTTTGGATCAGTTTCTTCCATGCCGTTTTCCACTGGGAAATCTCCGGGGGTGGCGCCGCTGATTATCGCTGGGTGAGTTGACCTGAGGTATTGGAGGGCCGATGATGGCCCAATGATGATACTCCGCTTCGGTGTTTGAGGAAAGCGAAATCTAGCAGGATCGTAATCGGTAGCTATGGGAATTTCGAACATCGTCTTCAAGATCAGGAATATAGGACGTACAAGTCAACGAGAACAGAGTCTCCAAACCCAGAGGGATCACTATTATACCAGTCCCGTCAGATAACTCTTCCAACTTCGTTCTCATATCCCTCTCCAAGTGCGCTCAAAATGAATACGAACATAACACGCTACACGAAGCTTACCCGAAACTGTCACGGAGAATCAGGATATGCATTGATCCAAGGCACAACAGCCGGCGCCTCCCTCACTGACTCACCCCCTTCCCTTTCAAACTTCATCCCTACCTGAACCTAAACGTGATCACCACCACCACCCCCCTCCGCAGCAGCCCCCTCACCACTCCCCCCCTTCGCCTCCTTAGCCCCCTCCATTGCCTTCGCAACCAACTCAGCAAACCTCATCCCCACCCCCGCCCTCTGCTGCTGCTGCTCCCTCTGTTTCATCCCAGCCACGGCAGCTGCAAAGGCCCAGGGGTTATTCATCCTCAAATTCTCGTCGGCCTGTAACGGAAACACACCGCCGCCTCCCCTTTCACGAACCCTCGTCTGGTAGATCGGCCCAGCTCCCGCGCCTGCGTCTCTTCCCCCTGCCCCTGGCCCTGCCCCTGCCACGCCTGGCCTCCTCCTACTCGTGGACCTCTTGATCCGCTCAACCTCGGCCTCGAATGCCCGGTCATAGACACTAAAGTCCACAGCAGTGGGCGAGTCGGAGACGATATCTGCTGCGGGGGCTTGCTCGGCGGTGGAGAAGTCGTCGATTCCACCCGTTCCGATGCCAAGGAGGGTGGGAGGTTGTTGTTGGTCCCCGGTTCTTGCTGCCGTAGTGCTGGGGGCCGTGAAGTTGGAGGAGGCGGCTGGTTGGAGAAGCTGGTCGAAGCTTGCTTTCCCACCCTTCGCGAGGAACTCTTGGCGCTCGCGAAGGACGCGGGCGGCGAATTCTGCTGTAGATTGTTCTTCGGGAGCCTTCTGTTCTGGTGGTGGGGAGAGTGGCGCCGGAGCAGTTGCGTGACGTCGGCTGTCCTTCTGGCTGACGTGCGGTCGAGGGCTGAGGAGGCTCTTGAACTTGTTTATTGCTTTCATCTGGTCCATGTCAGTGGGTGCGCAGGGAGGGGTGATCAGCGGAACGTTGCTAAGCTTACCACGCAGATTAGGTGAGTCATCCTGCGAGTGAACGCGTGGTTCAGTTCGAGAGGGTTAGGCGGTTCAACCGGCTCGGAGCAGTTCTCTTCAGCACTGAGTAAAGGGTCTGTACCTCCCTTTGTCACCCAGGGATGTTCCTGAAAACGCAGTTAGGTACGGCTGGCTCATCGAAACCATGATATTGGGGGGCTTACCCTGAGCTCCTCCATCGTTATCCGCCTCCCCGGGTTTTTCTCCAGGAGCGCCCCTATTATGTTGACAAAGTCTGGATTCTCGTCAGGGGTTAACTTGGGGGTCTCGGTCGTTATGGCTTTGTATATATCTAGCACACCGCCTCGCTCGAAAGGTACCCTCCCGTAGCGAAGGCAGTACAGAGACACACCCATTGACCAGATGTCTGCCGCCTTGCCCGACACATCCCCGTGTCTTGCTACGCAAAGTTCGGGGGGAAGAAATGCCGGCGAGCCAGCCGACTTGGCCGTTCTCATGTCGTTGGACTTTTCAAACATCTCAGACACGCCGAAATCGGCAATCTTCAAGACGTCGTCGTCGGTGAGCAGGAGATTGTCGGGCTTGATGTCGCGATGGACCACTCCTTGCGAGTGCACTGCAGCTGCTGTATAAGCATCTCACCGTGATATAGCTGGAACACGCAGGACTCACGGTACTCGATGCCGAGAATGAGATCGCGGAAGAAATGACGGCAAGTTTCTTCGGGATAGGGTGTTGCGGACTCGCCGATGCCTACCTTCATAACAACGCCTTTTTTGCACATCTCGAGGACCATGTACAGGGTATCCTCCTCCGGGTCGTCCAGGACCTCGTACAGCTGTACAAGATTGGGGTGGTTCAACTTCTTCATTATCGCAACCTCCTCGCGGATCAAATAGAGGGCATCCTTCTCCTCCTTAGCTCGTTGATCAGCAAAACCCATGATAGGGGCATCTGGAGCGCCGAAGCCGGCCCGAGGAAAGCGACCAAGTTGCCGTGGCCCATGGCGGAGGATATAGGACTGGGCTCGTCTCCTGAGCCGTGCTTTGGAAAACGCCTTGACGGCCTTGACGCGGTCAGTGGCTGGGTGCATGTTCTCGAGGCGATATCACACACATATTCTTTTCCAAACTGGTCGGTGGCCAGGTGAACGGCGCCGTATGAGCCGTGGCCTATCTCCTCCTTGATGATGTATTGGTTGATGCGACGCTGAGAGTGTCCCTCCGAGTCCTCATTAGTATACTCGGATCGCGCGTTGAGGGTTTCCTGCATTGTGTGGTGAGCATGCATGGGGCTGCAGCCAGAAACATGTAAAACAAGAACGCACCTTGATCTCGCGATGTTGTGAGGGCGTCCTCCGGTGGTGTCTCATCGGACTTGGGAAGCTTTGTACGTCTGGAGGGGCCGAACTTGAGCGTAATACTGTTAACTCGGATCCCAGGAGAAGGATACATGGACATACCGGGAGTATATCGGAGCGGGTTTCGCATCGGCATCGCCGTGGAACTCGACCTGGATACCTGGAGACACCAGGCTTAGCGGCATCGCTGTATACGCAGGAGGCGTCATTGTGCCCGTGTTTCCTGGTTGCGGACACAGCGGCAAGGTCAGTGTTGTGAGCCGGGTTTGTGGATGCTTGTTGTCCTCTTCATCGACCATGATCATCTGCTTCTATCCATATGGGGTGAAACCAGAGTAGCGAGAGAGAAGCCCCAGGCTCGCGGGCACGGGGACGAACAGGGCTATATGTTATCAAAAATTCCGAGCACCTTGGGATGCAGCGCAGAATATGAATACACGGTCCCGGAGCTGGCTGTGTCGATGCAAATAGTTTGGTGGGGATGTGTCACAATGGGTGAAAAAAGCCCTCGCGTCCTCGCTGCAACAACGGCTTCTGTGTTGTGAAATCAAGGCCTGAGATACTCAATTCGATGGTTTGTCGTTCCTCGGTGGCTTCTCAACTCGAACAAGCTGCCCGCCGAGTGGTCACTAAACGAGAGGCAGAGTGGGGTACTCACACTTCTCAGATCGAGGCTCGATGGCTCGAAACTGGAAGCGATGAGAAAACTGGAAGTTGCAGTTTACGTCCCGTTTCCATATCGTCTGGAAGCTGGTTCAATCCTCGTAGGGCAGCCAACAGGACACCCAAGACTACCCCACTACCCCGCCGAGAGCTAATGATCCACGCTTACATGTACATGTAGAAAACCACGTCTCTTGGAAGAACTAGGAAACCTCCAACAACTGAGTTTGAAAACATAAATTCTGCTGCAGGTTTGCTTTCACTATTAGATAAGCTGTAAATATAGGGAAACAAAGAGTGAAATGTATGCTATCATCATTCAGGATACCCAAGGCAAAGCTACCTTACACAGTAGATACCGAGTTCTCCACACAGATGCCAAGACAAGCCCAGCGGACAGGGATCACGATGCCCCTTCGCGGTCTGGTCAATCAGGCGAAGGGATTCGTGAACCATCACGACCCTCGCTCTGATTTTGAAGAAACCCCGACGATTGGTGACCCGCGCCATATCGATTCCAACTGCGCAACACCATTGCCATTCGTATCACCGTCGCCATCCCCATCACAGCCGAGCCCGTCTGAAATCCCCGTCCCCGGCGCGATCTCGTTTCGCCCAGGGGACCTCTCCGCACGCCGCCATCATGGTTGTCTACTCGTTCTACATCTTTGACCGGCACAGTACGCCCCATTCGAACCTCCCCGTCCCAGTCCAGAACAACAAGGAAACACCAACTAACCCCGTTAACCACTCACACCAGCGGAATGTATCTACTCCAAAACCTGGCTCCCCACCTCATCAGATCCCAGCAGCGGCAGCGGCCCAGCAACAGCAACAGCCACCACCACCACCACCAACCACAACCACTACAACCCAGCAACCGCCCTCCGACCCTCGACGGCCGACGATGCCAAGCTCATCTTCGGCGCCGTCTTCTCGCTGCGCAACATGGTGCGCAAGCTGGGCGGCGATGACGACGCCTTCGTCTCGTACCGCACCGCCCACTACAAGCTGCACTACTACGAGACGGCGAGCAGCCTGCGGCTCGTCATGCTGACTGACACGGCGACGCTGAGCATGCGCAACGTGCTGCATCAGATCTACATCAATCTTTGGGTGGAGTATGGTACGCCATTCTTTTTCATACATGTTGCTCTTGGTGGTATAAGCTTTGCTTGTTGGTAATGGGCGCGTTGCTAATGAATTTGTTGGGGTTGAAAAGTCGTCAAGAATCCGCTGTCGCCGGTCGAGCACAAGGGTGGTGTTGGGGTGAGAAATGAGTTGTTTGAGCTGGGGTTGGATCAGTTCATACGGGGATTGATATGAGGGGTCCATCGCATCTCAGAAAGGGATTCATTTCAGGTTTCTCGAAAGGTTCAAGATGCTGGGAAAAGGGAGCGAATTGCGAATCCCTTCGGAATCACCGAGACCGAGTGCGAGACAAGGGGAGACACGACGAGCGGCAACTCCCGTTGCAAAACATACGGAGAGAGCATCGCAGCACATCAGATGCGCCTACGAGACGGCGCCAGACGGTGAGAGCACCGCCTCTGAAGAGATGAGACCGGGTTACGCCGGTGCACCAAGACGCTGCCGAGGGCTTCCAAGGACATGCCAGCGGGGTACAGGGAGATGGAAGGATAGATCAGCTTCGGGCGGACGACAGAGATACCCAATATACACCCGGAAGACAATATATGCGCTGAAACCCCACTGTCGTCCAAATCGCCATCATGATGCTGTACTCTATCAGGTCCGGAAACTACCGCTGTTCACAATGCGAGCCAATCCGGGCCAAATGTACCCATATCCGTTATGCCAACTCTACCCAGTGGTATTTGTTCCCCCTCCCTTACAGTACGTGTGATCATGCCGTCTTGCTCAGCCGTCATCTTAGCCCAGACTCCCAATCCAACCAAGCTCCACCCATTCATGACTTGCAGGATAACCCAAGTATTACACTCTCTCGCATTCAACGATTCATGGACAAACCCCCATAGAGAAACCGGCCACACTCACCTCACCCCCCTTCACTCGCCTTTTCCCACGCACTTTCAAACAGCCTCGACTGCGCGGCAGCGCTGTCAACAACAACAATACTCGACGAGCCCATACGCCCCTCCCCCTCCCCCTGCCCCTGGCTCACCTCCCTCGCTTGTTGCTGTTGCTGTTGTTGCTGCTGTTCTCGTTGTCGTTGTTGTGGCCGTGACGAAGACGAAGACAACCGCTCAGTCTTAGCATCCCTAACCCCCTCCCCTTCTTCCTGCACAATCTCGGCCTGCCAATTACTCGAGTACACAACCGCAGCAAACCCCTCGAGGTCCCGCACCGACTCCATCGCCTGTAGGTACTCGTTGGGCATACCGTGGCCAATGACGTGCGCCTGGCGGGTCAGCACGCTGAGGATCTTGGGGAGGAGCACCGCGCGGCTGATAGAGCCGGTCGGTCCTGCCGCCCCCGCGCTGTCGACGCTCGCTGCGCTGGATGTTGTTGGCGCTGTCGCGTCAAGGATGCCTGCGAACAGCTTTTGTTCGAGCAAGAGCGAGAAGCCCGCGTCGAGGAGCTGGGTGAGGACGTGCGAGAAGGTCGGGGACTCGATCAGGTCGGCTGTTTCGTCGAGCAGGCGGCGGAGGGAGGCGGCGGAGGAGGGGAATGGAGAGGACAGGGTCGGGGTGGAAGGCGTGCTGTTCTTCTTCTTGTTGTTGTTATTGTTGTTGTTGGGGTCGAGTGGGTTGGAGTCGAGGACGCCCGACTCGCGGAGGACAAAGTCCTCCATGTCCGGGGACGGGAGCAGGAAGGAGAGCCAGTTGGTGCTGGCGCCGCTCGACGGCCCGCTGCCTTCTACGAGACGGCGCACATCGGCGCTGAGCTTGGCGAATGTGTCGAGCGTGACCGTGTCACGCGGGCTGAGGTGGCCGAAGACCTGGCGCACGGCGCCCTCCACCCGCTGCATCACGTCGACCCAGCCGCGATTGAGCAGCCACCAGCTGAAGGTCAGGTACTTGCGGTTGACGTCAAAGTCGGTGCCGTAGGCCTGCGTGGGGCTGTCGTCGTCGTTGTTCTCCAGGCTGATGGTCCCCGGGGCGACGTTGCTGCCCGTCGCGAGCGACACGACGCTCGAGAGGTAGCTACGGCGGCCGAGGAGGTTGAGTTGTATCCTTGTGAGCATCGTCAGGAGGCCTAGCGTGTAGAGAAGGGTGTATGCTCTAGTAATTGCTGGTAGAATGATCAGGTTAGAATGGTGAAAAAGAAAGAGAACTCGGAGAACGCGCACAGCTTATTGTCAAGTCATCCCAGAGCTGTCTCTTTGTCTTCCGTGGTTTCTGCGGTATTGAAAGTGCCTCTTGCGATACGCCAACGCTCCCACTTTCTGGGCCTGCGCCGGATGGCGGCGTCGCTACGGACAGCTGCGTCGTACGCGCGCCGGCCTCGCTCTGAGCGCTCACGGTGATGATGCTGCGGCCGTCGTCGTCGGTCGCGTATGTCTCGGACATGCTGGGCGGACTTGTAGAGCCAATGCTGCGGGTTCTGGCGGTAGCCGAGCCCTTGATCTGCTGGATCTCGTACGTGATCTTTTCCGTGTCCATGCTCTCGAGGATGTTGGTCGTGGCGGTGGGGAGCAGGGCGAGGACGGTGAAGGTACAGTCCTCCTGGTTCTGTTCGAAGCGGCGACGCAGGCTGGTAGTGTCGTGGTTAGCTTTGTCCGGCTTTAATGCCTGGGAGCAGATACATACTTCTCCTTGGCGATGCGGTCGCTGCTCATGCGCTCTCGCGCGTCGCGGAGCTTGCCGACGATGTAGCTGCTGACGACATAGCCGACGCCGACGACACCCACGCCAATTGCAATGGGTGTGCGGTTTCGCCTGAACCAGCGCCTAGTTGCTGCGAGCATGGTGTCGGCGGTGATTGTTAAACCTTGATAATTGGTGTGCCAGGCATGTGCCTGTGGTGTTGGTTCTGGGCTGACGACCTTATTACGGTAAGGTAGCCGTCCGGTTGCTCGACCACTTGTTGCTCGGTGCAGCAGAGCAGATAACGGACCTCGGCTGGGTGGGCCAGCAAGATAGGGCTGATGCCGAGCCCGGGGTCTGGGGCAGTAGGCCGAATTGCTACCCTACCTTGGATTCTCAACGTCCACCTATTACAAACAATTACAGTAGTTATTGGTCCAATTCATTCTGCGAAAGAAATTGGCATGCATGTCAACACCCGAAAACAACACATTAATCTTTGATTTTGGGAAAGAAATGAGCTACGCAGCATATCGCAGCCTGCTTCAGAGTTTACGTTAGACCATCAATCCGTGGATTTCGCCTTCGACGGTCATCATGGTGGCAGTCTTCACCTTCTTCAACAGGCTGCCGCTTGAACTCCACCTCACGATATGGCATTTCGCTCTGCCAGACGCACGAGCCTGAGGTCTTCATCCTCCAAGACTCACACATGAACGCGCTATTGGATTTCTCGAGCCCGCCCCCGGCGCCTATGACGGTAGACACAGAATTTCCGGCACTGATGCACGTCTGCCGCGAGTCGTGCGACTTCGTACTCAGACACGGCGGGCTCCGTTTCCGACCATCTCCTGAGGTTGGTTGCGAGGTGTCGTTCCGTTCCTTCCGGCCCAACCTAAACACGGCGTTTCGGGACCATTGCCGGCATGACCCGTATTACGCCTTCTGCTAATTCGAACTCCAAATGCGTTGACTTTCGGAGCTCCGCCACATAGCCATACCTGTGACGACGTCTTTGGGAAGGCGGAGAGTAATCGCAGAGATAACCGAAGACTGCGCCGAGCCTCTGAGTTTCTCAATCATGTTTAACGACTCGAAGACTGGCAACGTGCCGACGCTCTCACCGGATTGGCAGAGTATGGTGGTTGGCGACCCCCCAAAACCGAGCGAGCCCTTTGCCGACCTTCGGCGGGGGTGCAAGCTTCGACCCATCTATCCCAACCGTGCGGCCGAGCCAACCTCTGTGAATGGGTGCCAGACCGGCGGACCACGGTCAGGGAGTTCCACCAGTTATTCCGCAGACGACAAAATCGGCATGTTGAGAATGCCCATGAACGGTACGACGACTGCCCCTGCCAGGCGTGGAATACCGAATCGGATTCCCCTGGAGCCGTTCAATGCTTCGCCCAAACATTTGTCGAGTGGCGCGAGGGGGAGTGGGTTGAGATGTTGGCGGAGAGGTGACTGCCAAGGAGTAGCTCTTGAGACATATGGCATAAGATGTAAGCTGCTGTGCCCAAACCGGGCACTGACTTTTAACTTATTCATGTAGAGAAGACTGGGACTGGAGTAAACTCGTGATCTGAGGGATATACTGCCCTAAACCGGGACACTGTTGTCCTTTCCCTGCTGTTCCGAACCCAAGTTCTGCATCTGTTGTGAGGTGGGAGCGGTTGTTGCATGGCTGGCGGAAATTGCTTAGAGCACCCGGTTGGTATCGGCATTGAGGAAGTGGCAAACGTCTTCCAGGCGATTGCCTCCCCAGTTTTCAGATGTCCGGGCGGTGGGCCCTGGCACCAAGAATCCGGGGCTGGTCACACCCAAGCTGGGCTGCTTGGAACTCCACCCACTACTGCATTTGAAAACCAAACGTCACGGCTCATTTCGCTCCGCTCAGCTGCCCCTCAATTGCGCTGCCCCTCAATCTCCTGACCAACCCAATTTCCTTTTGGCGCCCTCCTTTTTGCACCACGAGGCTGCAGACACTAAATCCCTAGAGACGCCGTCTCACAATGGATCAGCGCGCCGCCCCAGATTTCATACTCGAAGCCTTTGCAGACCCTAACTCGGTGCGCGATGTCGTCCGCGGTGAGTGTTAGCCAAACAGCGTATCCCTCGCCCCTGTGCCCCTCCACATACACACCGTCAATCCCACCTCGGTCCGTCAACACGCAAGACGCAACAGCTAACCTTGCTGGCCGACAGGAATCCTCCACACCATCTTCTTCCTCCGCTTCTTCCCCTCCGTAATCCCGCAAACCCGCGACGTCCTGGGGCTCGAGCTGGCCTACGTCCCCGAAGCCGAGATCGAGACGCTCATCGACCAGCGCGTGGCGGCGCTCGTGCGCCAACTCGAATCCGAGCGCCACCAGTCCCACCATCTGTCCACCGATAACCGCGGCGGCGGGTTGGGACTCGGGCTCATAGGAGGAGGGAGAGGAACGCCGCCTCCCTCTACAACCGGCGGCGGCGGGCGCGGCCAAATCACAGTCCAGTTTCTCGAGAAGCGCCGGCGCAAGACATGGTACGCCATGCGCGGCGACGACGAAGTCTGCTGGGAGAGCTGGACGGTCAAGGTGACGGTGGCCGATCCGCGGACAGAAGGCGGTGCGTTCCCCAACCCCCTTTGACCTCAACCCCCACCCCCCGGGGGACCCCCTAAATCATAAAACCCCCTAAACTAATCTCATAGTTTCTTTTCGGAAAGCAGAACGAGCCAAGCTGCGCCGCGCCTCCGAAACAACACTCCACAACACAATCATGAAGGCCATCACCCTCGCCAACGCACACAAGGACCACATCCCGCCCATCACCACGACCGAGTCGAACCCCTTTCCCTACCAGATCCATGTCGGCGGCAGCGGGCAGCAGCAAAAAGACGGGACGACGGCGACATTACCGGCAGCAGCAGCAGTAGGCGGTGGCGGAGGAGGAGGTGGTGGTGGCGGTCCCGCGGCTACCGCGGCTGCGGCTGCTGCGGGGTGGGCGACGCGGATGGGTATCTACTAGAAGTAGGCGGGAGGGCCGGTTGGTGGGTTATACGGGTGGTGATGGTTGTGGTGGTTTGATGTGAGGGAAGTGAACTATGCAATTGAGGGGAAGTTGGTCCTCAACGAGAAACTGTTGGATAGGGGGTGCTGTCATGTTATTGGAACCATGTGATGGAAACTTGTGGTGATGGGGTCACATGATGGGATTGTGATTTGGAGAGCGAAAGCGAGACTTTAGGCATGGTATTGGGCGTTTTGGGACTCCGCGGAGTATGGGATAGACAGGGACACGGCCACGCTCCTGGTTGCCACTGCCCAGGAGCATGGCATTCTGAACGGTGCAGGTTCGATGTAATGTGTTTTTCAGAAGGCGATCTAGATACCCATAATCTAAAGCGACATATATACCTCAAGCACCTGCAGATCTTATACGGGCGGAGACTTCTTACAACAACCAGCCCAGGTACGTGCAAGGGTGAGAAGTGCGCAATGAGAAGGAACTTGACAGCAGCAAGCAGCAAAGCAGATCATGATTGTTCCCACTAAAGTCCAACAAGAATCCCACAAGAAACAAGCGACACCCGTCCTAGTCAGCCAGCCCAACTACTCCAGAAACCGAACCGTCCGCCGCCCCTTATCCTGGTAGTCCGCGTCCCGCTGAAGCCAAACCCAGACCAGGTTACCGCCATCCCGGCGAACCAAAAGAAGAGACACATCCCATCCATCAATCCCGCTGAGAGAAACACCGCACAGAAACAACAAAAAAAAAAAAACCAAAGCATCAAAAAAGTAAACCACACCCTCCAATCTCCGACAGAACCCAACATCAAACGGAAAGGAAGACGGCGAAACGAAAACCAAGAACATCCTGTTCATTACAAACAACAACCCAACAATCCAAAGTCCAGACAGAATTCCTCACCGCACCAATGACTCCTACCCTGCTATGCTTCATTGTCCAAGGACCCTATTCCAGCCGTGTGGTGCGGTATATATAATCTCCCGCCCTTTCCCCGAGCCATCCTAGTGTCAAGTACCCAGACATATCGTCATTATCGTGACAGCCCAGAGTTAATAGCCAGACAGCAAGTTTCTCCATACCACCCATCAGGAGATAAAAATACAAACACGCTGCCTGTCCAGCGAAACGGCGAAAGAAAAAGAGCTTGCGAACGCCCGTGGTGTCCCCTCTACAAGCGCCCCGAGGAGAGAAAAAGACATAAGCACGAAAGCGACGGCGGAAACATGACATGGCCGCACTCTTGCGGGTAGGTGAGTAGCATACGGAAAGCCAACGCCAGACAGATGCAGCAAGTGGTGATGATATGAAATTGGCGGTGTCGCTCGTTTCGATTCGTCATCGTAACATTTCGTGAGCATCCCACCCGGAGACACAAAGCCCAAAGGAGACAAGGAAAAATAAAAAGCAATCGCTGCTCAGCCCGTGGTAGCTTGAGCCTAGCAAGTATTTGAGGAATGTGAGCGGCCAAGCGGCGCCTTAGTGGCAGCAACCTGCGACGTCTGCGCGGGATTGCACGAGCCAATTTTCTCAAAACCGGCCAGGATGTCGAACTCAGGCGAGTCGTTTTCCCCGAGCAGGCCTGTCGTGTCGAGACCGTCCAGGAACACCCCGTTGAACACGTCCAGGTTCTCGTCGTTGATCATGGGCATCTTGCTCGGCGACTGTAGGTCCAAAAAGAGCTTGCTCGGCGAGGAGGGCAGGCCCTCGAAGGCCTTGCTTGGTGTATCCAGCGGGAAAGTGAGCGCCTGGTTGGGTACCTTGAGGAAGGAGTTAGACTTGGAGACGCTGCGGGTGGTTGTATTGGTGATATTGCTCAATGCGCTGGTGGACTGTGACCGCTCAAAGCGCTGCTTCCTAATCGATCGCTTGACCGGAGAATCCATGGGAGGAGCGGATGGCGTAAGCGGGAATAGGTTTGGAAACTCGGGCGCATCCTCGAAGATGTCGAAACCAGGTGTTTTGAGGCTCGACTGATCTAGAAAATCCAAAAGATGGTCTCCGTGCAAGGCAGGCGTTTGCTGTCCCAGGAAGTCGCCCTCGGGAAGAAGCGCAGACACGCGCCGGAAGGGCGAATCAACCATGGACTGGATGTTCTGCCGGTGCAGGCGCAGATTCGTGCTGGGCGAGACCGACGGCGGCGGCTTCGGTGGTGCTTTCAGTTTCATCGCGGGAGTCAAGGGCGGAAGCATCTGCCCGACTTCTGGCCCTGATGCTTGACGTATTGGTGACGAAGAGGGGGGGACGTACCCGTATGAGCGCCCCTTGGAAGGGCTTTCATACAAGGAAGCGCGAAGACGAGCAATTTCTTCCTCGGCTCGTCCCCTCTTGATCCTTGGTCGATCTGGGTCGGAGGTGAGGACCTTGGTGTGCTGGTGCGGACGCATGGCTGAGGACTCAAGAGACGAAATATAACCGCTGTCGTCCATCGGCATGGTTCTTCGCCTGTGGCGGGATTTGCTGGCCGACGATGGATGCATCCGCGGCTGAGAAGGCGGGGTGCCGCTATGACGAGCGCTCAGGCTCCGAGGAATGGGAGGCGACGAGTGCATGGCGGCCGCAAGAGGCGAATACAGCTCCGATTCGTGCAGCAGACCTTTCTCAACAGCATCGTCAACGCCCTCTTCGATGGTGGCGGGGTCAGAAGCGGGAATCGTGGCGTCAGACGTGATCTGGGGGAGCGGGGGCGCAGGAGCAAGCGCAGGGGCGAATTGTTGGGAAGACGCTTGGGGTAGCGCAGGAAGGATGCTCTGGGGTACTGCAAGCTGTGGAGGTAACATGGGCTCAGGCATGCGAGGCGGCTGGAGCTGCGGCTGTAGCTGCGGCTGTAGCTGTTGTTGAGGTAGCGGCGGCTCGAGGCGAGTCGACATGACGGGCATATTCTCGGCGGTGGGTGCTGCAGCTTTCCTCGACGGCTTCTCCTTGAGCACCGTATGCTCCGCTCCCCGCTCAATCATCCAATAATTCCCCTTGCCCGGATCATCCTTGGAGCGCTCCTGCTTGACGAAACTTTTGTTGAGACTGAGGTTGTGCCGGATGCTGTTCTGCCATCCCGTGTTATCCCCACGGTAGTACGAGTACGTGTCGGAAATCCACTTGTAGATTTGCGACAGAGTCAGCTTTCTCTGAGGCGACCGGATGATTGCCATGGCGATCAAGGTAGCATAGCTATGGTTCGGTTTCGTCCCGTCATCGACGATTGGCGGGAACGAGTCATGTGCGGGAAGAGGCTCCTCAATTTTCTGCTTCTTCGCCGGCCGGAGTTCCTTGATTGGCGCGGCCTCCATCAAAACACGCTTCCCGGAAGGCTTCTGAAAGTAGTTCTCCATGTTTAGGTCGAATTGGGACTGAGCCGGAGCCGGGTAGAGAGGTTGGAGGGCGTTTTCCTTGCCCGTGAACTGCGTGCTAAACTCTACCTGGGGCTTCTGGGCGACAGTTTTAAACCGGGACATGACGGGGTTCCTTTTCTCGGGGGAATCTGTGCATGCTGGCGCATTGCTGGGCGGCAGCATCGGGACCATGGTGAGGGTGCGGCCCTGCGAGGCGTTGGGTGGGGCAAGTGATTGATGAGATGGCGGCGCGTTCGGCTTGAACGGCGACGGCGGGTTCACGCCGGCAGCAGTGGGGGGGTTGAGAACCACGTTCGGATCCGCCTTCTGGAGGGGCTGACGCGCCGGGTTCGGGGCTGAGGGCATTGGCGCGTGACTAATTATCGGAGTCGGCTGGGTGAAGAAGTTGTCGTTGAGGTCAGGCAACGGCTCTCGGGCCTGAGGATGTGATGGCCCGACCATTAGCGGCCGGTTCGAACGCGCAAGAGGCGCGCTGACGGGGGTGAGGGGGTGTCTAGGTGCCGTTGGCGAGAGCAGAGGACTGCAGACCAACAAGCGCGCGAAGGTATGATGCAATGCGTCGTGATATGAAAACCCCGAGATTGGGTGGGTTGAAGGCCGAAGGTGTTAAAGCTGTTTCTTTACCTAGATCGGGCTGCAGGCTAAATTACCGAAGCTGTGGGGGAAGCGGTGAAGCTAGGGATGTAAGTCCGTGAGGACGCTACGAAGTATTGAAGTCGGAGGAGATCGTCGAGGTGCAAGTTGAAAATACTTTCCGCAACAGCTGTCAATTTCTCGGTTTTTGGGGTGACTTTGAGTGACCGTCGAAAAATTTCAAGCCGTGGGAAAAGTGGCGGAAGGAGTCGAGCTGACGTGGGCGCAGGCAAACGGGGACGGTGTGAGACGAGGAGGGTTTGGTTGGCAGAAAGAGCCGTGAGAATGTGGGTGTGCTGCGAACAAAAGACTGGCCGCTGCCAGCGCACACCCGACACGCTGTTCCAAGAAAGTCGTCTCAGTGGGGCTGCAGCTAGCCAGGGAGGGGAGAGGCGCAAGAACGGATTGGTTCAAGGATTCAAGACGGGCTGACGCCGACAGGGATGAGCATCGGGAGCAGGGGGTTCTGTCCGTTATGGGCTTCCAGGTTGAGGTGCCTCGAGGTCTCGGCAGAGATCTCATCAATCGTGCGTTCCATATGTCGACCAGTTTGAGGTGTCCCAGCTGTAGTTGGAGGTTTGTAACCACCGACTCAAGCTCAATGGACACTGTGAATGCTCGAAGGGTCCGATGGATCGAGTGAAGGCTCCGGCGATGTGACTTTCCATGAACGCAATGTAGGGACATCCAACTGCAGCTTAAGAATGAGGTGCTCACTGCCTTCTCAACAGGCCGCATTGGCCGCATTCACACTGGCCCTGAGATGGTCCCGCAAAATGGGACGATGGCCGTGAGGTGCAAAGATTGGATGCAGTCACTGAGAAAATCAGCTCCCTTCATCAAACAACATCTCTATACAGAGAGGATCAAGAAACAGCACAGATAGCGCGGTTGCACGTTCGGCAGAGATTGGGCGCGGTCGATGCTTGGTTGGTCAGGGCTCATCAATCAGTGTGACGCTGTGGCCCTAGCTCGGCAGGGCTTGCAGCCCAACGGGACGTGGCAGCGGCATGCACTTTGTTTATCGAGAAGGAGCGACTGGACGCGAAGCTTCGCGTTTCTGGCCGCGCTCACCGCCTGGTTGGCCAATCACCGAGCGTTGCATGGGACCTTCTCAGGCAGGGCCAGATGCTCGTAGCGCGGCGCCTCAGGCCTCCTCGGTCGAATTTCCCGAGAACTGCCTGTGCCTCACGACCCCGCTTCGTCGTCGTCCGCGAAGCATGCGGGATGGCGGCAATGAGACGAGCTCAGCCCCAGTGACACAGGCCTATTAAGCAGACCTCTATTATCTCTCGACCTTGCAAGTTTCACGATGATTCTCAACCTGCTTCTAGCCTTTCACCCTTGCTCTCATCCACCTCATTTGAGTAGATCTTGGAGATTGGGAAGGGGCTCCGAAGGAAGGTATGGGATCGGCGGGTGACATCATTGGCGATCGAACCCGCGACCCGCTTCCAACATCTCGTTCTGCCCCACAGCTCACAGTTCCCGAGCTTCTAGGAAAACCAACGTTCATCATCAACAAGAGTTGCACAGCCAGGCTCTAGTTGTCGGCTCTCTCTGCCGACGTGTGGCTCGCAGCGCTGCCCTTCTTTTCCAGAAAACCGAGGATTCCGAAAGAAAAGCCCGTCCGGCAAGCAAACGAAGGAACCGCAGCATAGCCGGAACCACGCCCGGCAAACACCTTCAGGAATCCTCTCCCTTTCCTGCTTTTTTCAGCCCACATTCCCCGCGTCCGCACCGAGATACTGTGGCTTGAGTCGAGCTTGGGACCTTGAGGGCGCTTTCCCTGCCCTGTACCACAATAAGCCCAGATTAAAGGTGCACTCGGGAGTCTTCACTGTCGGCAGGACAAGGCGGCGGTCGGAGCACAACTGCACCACCCTATACATCATCAGATAGACTGGCCTTGTCGAAAGCTCTGAGACGTCCCATTTCAAACCCTCACTGACTTCCCCAACCTATTGTGGTGGAAAAGCTTGTTTCAGATTTTGCCGACTCAGCCACGGGATGCAGGTTCGTGCCTCGGATGTGGAGATGCTCAAGGATCTGCTGCAGGCTTGTGAACTCCCGGTGCATCATCTCCATCCACCGCTCCGCCCGAAAATGCAACCATCATGTGTACCACAGTACTGCAGTACGTATTGTACATGTACGAAAGCAACCGCACATTAGACTAGGTACCTTATCTACACGGGTAGCTCGGCCTTACAGACCACCTATTCCGGTCATGGATTGAAAGGCTCTCTGCTATACCACACCCGCCGTCGCCTGCTCTAGCAAAGGTAGATGACAAGTCAATCCACTCAAACTCTGCTCCCTTTGCCTCTCGCATAAGATGGCAGCCAGCCGCAGCCTCTTCGAGAAACATCTGAGTCGATGAGCACAACATCACTGAACAAACAACCGGCCCGACAAACATCAACATAAAAAAAACAAAAAAACACAGGCATACCATAGTCAAGATCCTGCAATCACAGGTACTTAGGCAATCGGTAGCACTCATTCCGTACGTAAGGGGGGAGGCAGAAAAGCAAGAGCCAGGACTTGTCCCACAAACGCAAACCAAAGTATCTAATATCTCTCATCATCTGGCCCCTCAGCGCCAACACCCTCTACCCGCGGACTCCCAAGACGTCGGGATTAAAAGAGGGATACATCATCAGTTGAGGAAGAAAAGGCTCAACCACGACCTCGAGGTAAAAGAGATGAAATAGGGCAATGAGGCAGGCTATTACACCTGACCGTAGCCGTGAGCCTAGAGTAAATGCGCCCGCCATCGTCCTCCGGGCATCTTGTTCTGTTCCCGACAAATCAGGTAGGTGTCTCAACTGTCACAGCAGTGCGATGTAAGCTGGCAAATGGAATAGAAGAAGTTACCAATTTGAGGCATCGTGCGGCGTTGGGCTGAGTGCGTCTCGGTGCTTTCCGCAGATACGTAACAGCATCGTCTGCACATCCATGAGACCAAGTCGAGACAAATACTCATCCATCTTGACGGCCTGTTTACTTAGGAGACACTTGACATTGGACACGTCTACACCATCTGACACTAGCTCCCCGCACCACGGGGGAGATTTGCTCATAGAAATAGGGAGGGATAAGAAGAGCATGCATGACTAGGGTAACTAGGTAGTGTTGAGTACGTACAATTAATATAATTCAACTCTAGCTATGCTGAACCACTCCCACGCCATACAAGCTAAACCCCAAGCGAGAGAAGAGAGCCGACAAGGGAACCCATTAGACATACGGTAAGTTGGAGGGTGAGCTCGGCAACGTAAGGTAGTTAAGCCACGCTACACTACTTACCTAACACATCCCCTACCTTCAACCGTCTCATAGTAGGTAGTCAAAGAAAGATAAATGTATAGCATACCTCCAGGGAAATCTATCATACCACTTCCGCAACCCCCGTCTTCCCGCTCCAATCCCACCTCATCATCTCCGCTGCAGAACCTGTGGACCAAGATCCACCAACCTCACCCCCAGCCAAATCCCAGCCCCCTCAACTGCCAATACGGTACACAGCATCCACCGCCCACGAGTGGGTTGGCTACACAAACACCGCATGAAACCGCGCCCTCCAAATCAGTCAATCCAACACCCGACCAGCAACAGCCGCCCCGCTCTTGTCTCTCGTAACCGTCTTCTTGAGCGCCTTGCCTGCCTGAATCTCGCCAAGCAACGCAGCCGGCCGACCGCCAAGCGGCGGCGGCGGCGGCGGCGGAGCCATTCCCGGAACGGGCGGAGGACCAGGAGGAGGCGGAGGAGGAGGGGCGGACGGTGCGGCGCCGCCGGCAGACGGCATCAGTGGAGGAGGAGGGGGAGGCGGCGGCGGCGGGGCGCTCGCGAGGAAGGTACCGGGCATCGGGGGCGGGGGGGGAGGTGCGACTGAGGGCGAAGCAGCCTCTTGGGAAGGTGGAGGAGGAGGAGACGCGATGGGTGAGCTCACAGGCGGAGGAGAGGAGGCAGATTTGTTTTCGGCCGCAGACAGCGGGCGGGGTGGCGCCATGGTGCCGAACAGGATGGACGCCAGCTGCGCGGCACTTTTACCGCCTGGCCTGTCATCGTCCGAATCCTCTTCTTCATCTTCCTTGTCCGAGCCCCAGCCATCGTCTTTGCCGTGTCGTCTCGTCACTGGGACGGACGGGGCGGCAGGTGCAGCCGCCTGAGTCATGCGGTGGAACGGGTTTGTGGAGACGTCCGGCTGGGGGGGCGGCGGGGGCGCCACTGGGGGTGCTGCGGCTGGTGCCGGAGGCGGTGCAGCCGGAGCAGCCGGTGCCGATGGTGCCTCCGAAGTTTGCGACATCATTCTGAAGAAGGGATTGCGGCTCTCCATCTCATTTGGAGGGCTGGATGTAACGATTTGCGGTGGCGATACTGTAGACGCTGGCGGTGGGGTGGGCTTCCGCTCAGGCTCCTGGGGGACGATTTGACTGTCGGCCAAGGTGGGCGTGGACGCTTGGGGCGTGATCTGCTCCGGTCCCTCGTCGTCCGAGGACGAAGTCTCATCCTCCATGGCCTCAAGTTGCCTGCGGAGCTCCTCCTCGCGCTTCCGGGCTGCTTCGATCTCGGCCCGGCGTTGAGCCAATTGGGCCTCCTTCTCCTTCGCCTCGGCCAGTGCCGCTTTCTTCTTTCGCTTCTCCTCCTCCTTCTTAAGCTTGCCCTGCCTCACTTGCTCCTCAAGGGCTCTCAAGCGAGCGTCAGCTTCCTCACGCTCCCTAGCAAGCTCATCCTCTTGAGCTTTGGCACGCTCCCTAGAACACTGTAAGCACACATCTAACCTCCAGGGTGGCATCGTAAACTTACTCAAGCTCTCGAGTAGCCCGTTCCTCTCCCTCGGACTCTCGTTCCAGGCGCTCTTCCTGAGCCTTCTTGGCAGCAAGCTCTTCCTCGGCTCGCCTATCGTCTGGTTTTGCCGCTTTGCGGCTGGGAGGCGGAGGGGGCTTCTTGGCCTCGACCTTGGGAGCTTGCGAGGCGGCAGGAGGCAGCACCCCTTGTTCCTCAGCAAGCCTCGCCTGTCGTTCAGCTTCACGACGAGCGTCTTCCTCCTCCGCCTGCCGCAACTTGGCTGCCCGCTCGGCCCGCTCTCGCTCGAGACGCTGAGCGGCCGTCTCTCCTGGTTTTGTGGGAGGTTTGATGCCCAAGGCGGCAAGCCGCTCGGCCATGCGTTGCTCGGCCTGCTGCTTGATGAATGCTGCTCTCTCTTCTGGTGTCTTGTACGCAGAATACGAGCCGCCTGCGGCGGGGGCAGTTGCTGGAGAGGCCGTCCGGGAGGTCGTAGCGGGACTCTCAACGCGAGTAACAGGATGTGCCTCGGCTTTTACAGGCTCTTGAGAAGGCTGGCGTCCTCCCTGCCGATCCTGTGACCGGATGCGAGCTGCACGGCTGGACCGCTGAAGATCAAAGATGAAATCTCTGACCTCGTCCTCAACGCCAAGGGCATCCTCCCATCGGCGCCTCTCGTGCTCCGAAGTAGAATCCTGCGTGCCGTCGATGAGACTGTCTTCGATGCCCTTGGCGAAATCACGAACGCTATCCTCGACATCCTGAACCATGCGCTCGTTGTTCTCCTTTTCAGTTCTGGCCTTAATGCTCTCCTCCTCCAGCCGCTTCTCTGCGTCGAAGTCACTGCTCACGTCAATCTTTTTGCCGGTCAGGGCAGCTGTACGCTGCTGCATCATAGCTTTGGCGCGTGCCTTGAGCCTGTCAGATTCGGTGATGGTGCCGCCCGGCCCGGTTCCGATGATGGCAGCAGCGCTCCCTGGGTGAGCCTTGGCGTCCCTCAGGCGGAATAACTCGAGCCTCGCGTCTGCAATGGCTTTCTCGGTCCTTCTGACCTGGGATGCAAGCTCGGGGATCCTGTCAGTCAGGTTCTGCAGCTGTCGCTTCAGCGCCCTCCTCTCGGCCTCAGAGTCTCCGCTAATCAACGAGGCGTCCGGGTGATTATCAATGTCCTCCTGAATTCTTCTGATGCGGCGGTAGAGTTCCTCTGCCTCGCGACGATCACGCCTATCCAGGATATCGTCCTCCTCAATACTTTTCTCGTCTGCAAAATCCATGGCATCAAGGAGCACCTGCTTTTCCTTGATCTTTTTGCGCAGCTGATCCAGGGTCAGCTCCTCGTTGGAGCCGACGGATGCTGGTGAATCGGGACGCGGTGACACATTGCCAACTCTACGTCGCGCGCTAGACCGGTAGCCAACCTCATCATCATTGTTCTTGAAGACGGTGGCGTCCTTACGATTACCCAAGCCGCCACCAGCCCCCTTGAAGGAGTGGCTCTTCAGGTAGCTGACTCCGGTTTTCTGCGGGAGCAAGGCCGCGCCGGAGTTTTTACGAAAATCGGATTCCTGATGGAGCATACTCTTGATGGTACCAAGCGCTCCGCTGAGGTTCCTGGTGGAAGGAGGCACTAGTTCGGGCGGGAGCTGATTCGGGATGGGGTAACCATTGAGCTTTCGGTAAATCAAATGCATGGCCACGGCGAATTCGTCGAGATCTAGGCGACCCTTGTTGCCGTTGTCGGCGAGAGTCCAAATGCGCTCGAGGTCGGGCTTTTCCAGGCCGCTCTGGCCAAATATCTCTATGGCCTGGTCGCCCCCAATGAATCCCTTGTTCAGACCATCCCACGCCCGAAACAGGGCGTCGTATCTGGTTTTCTCGTCCTTGGTGATAGCCCAGGGAATTACAGCATTGCCTTGAAGTCCAGCCGTGGTGTAGTTCTGCTGTTCTCTGCCCTGTTGAGGCATCATGCGAGCCTGCAAGGCATCGATGTTCGGAAGACCGCTCGCAGGGGTATTGACAAGGCCCCACTGACCGGGCCGCCCTGTGGGTTGAGCGTTCAACGGCGCCACCATCCCGCCAGGACCGGTATTCGGCGACAGGGTGGAGCCAAATCCAGTTGGCATAGGCGGCATCGGGGGCCGTGGGCCAGTGTAGCCAGTGGCCTGGGGCATCCCTGTTGGCTGTGCCTGGAGTCCTTGGCCCAAGAAGCCCGTCTGCTGGGCAGGGAAGCCCGTCATCTGCGCCTGGAGCAGTTGCGAGTTCGACGGCTGCGGCTGCGGATGCTGAATTACAGGAGGGGTGGCGGTGCTTTGGCGCATTCCGAAGTCAGGAGGGTTGGTGGCAGTCGCGGAACCGGGCCCTGAATCCTCGACAATGCTAAAGTTGATAATATCCACCATGCTGGAAACCTCATTCTTGACATTGTCAGGTAGCGTGGTTGGCAGAGCCTTTCCGGTAAGCTTCAAGTTGCAGAGATACATGGCAAGGGCAAATTCCGGGAAATGCAGCTGCCCTGATCTGGTGGTGTCGGCTAGCGTCCTGGGCAGGGTCAGCATGATGTTTCCCAGTGAAGATCCATATGCACAAATATTCACTCACCAGATATGGGAAAGCGAATCCCCGTCCAACCTGGAGCGCAGCAGCAGATCTCTCGCCTTCTCACCCGACATGGTAGTCTGGCCGTCACCCACGGCAGACTTGAACAAGGTTTCAAATTTGGCCTGGTCCTGGGCCGTGATAAAGGAAAGGCGGATATTGGGGACTTTGTTGGACTTCCTCGGGGCCGCGGCGGGCTTGGGCTTTGCGCCACCAGCGGTTTGGAATGAAGCTGCCATCTCGTGGAAGCCGGTGGGCTGGGGCTTCACCGAGGGTGGAGGCGGCGCCAAAGTGTGAGCAGGAGATTGAGCAGGCGCGGCGGCAAAAGGACTCGGCTGCTGTTGGGCCTGGTGCTGCTGGAATTGTTGCTGGTACTGCTGCGGGATAGCCGGCATTGGCGGTACCGCAGAGGGCATGCTCGGCTGCTGGACCTGGCCGAAGCCGGTGAACTGCGGCTGCAGCTGGCCCGGGCCTTGCGCAGGCTGCAAGCCTGGGTAGCCGGTGTACTGCTGTTGGAGCGGCGCTTGTTGGGCGAAGCCGGTCGGCTGCGGAGCGAACGGACTCGGCTGTTGCTGTGCTTGTTGCTGGGTTGCGCCAGCACCTGCACCGAATGAACTGCCATATTGCGGAGCGCCGGGACGGAAGCTGTTGCCGCCGAGGAACGAGTTCGGGCTCGAATACATGGCGCCGGCGGTGTCGAGCTCGATTGGGGAAGACTCTCGTAATGGGCACAGGAAAAGGGGGACGGATCACGGCCAAACGGGACAAGCGACCGATCGGTAGTGGTGCAGGAATTTAGGGCGTGAAACGTGCAAGGATTGATAGTAATGTTGATCAACTAGTTGTAGAAGCCCAAGGAGTGTAGTCGCGGCGTCCGAGGACAACAGTGATGATGACGACGCCTGTGCGAGGCTGGAGAGCAGCCAGTTGGTCGGCGATTCGCTCGAGCTCCAGGATGCCGTTCAGCTGGAGCCAATCTGCCTTCCAAATTTTCGGATAAATGCATAGCTATAACTTGGGTGTACATTGTTTACGGACGTACTGTGGTAGATATGCTACTAACGCTCTCAATTCTCGGTTATGACATTGTTCTTTTTAAGCTTCCATGCCGTTATGCTCACAGCTCAGACCCCCAAACGTTCAAGTTACGCCTTGTAGTGGAAGAGATCAAAATTTGTTTGGAAACGCACAGCTGGGTGAGTTGGGAGGCTTGCTGATTCACCGTGCAAATCACCGTTGCCCATGGCCATTTCCATTCTTCTGCGATTCTCAGTGAGGTGGCAGGATCAGAAGGAGGACATCTCAAACTGGGAGAAGTGTCAGCAGTCTTATACGGATACATTCAGCGAACCAATGCCGAATTCAAGCTTTCTGTACGGATTGATGACTCGCCCTCGGAGACATCTGGTGTGAGATTTTGACATTTTCTCAACACTGAACGTGTGAGAAACGGGCCGGAGTGTTGTCGGCCTGATCGAATTGGAGGGGTCGACCTGCATGAGCAATCTGCTGGAGCCCAGTTCGTGGTGTTGCCCTCCTGCGGGTGGGTGGTGCCCCAGGTCAGCTCAGTCACGCCATCGACGCCAGCAACGATAACGTTCACGACAACAGGCTACAAAGAGGGAACACAAACAAAACAGCCTGGTAACCTAAGAAAATTCACGAGTAACAAGCATAATGGAGAAATGAATTTAGTTCGCAAAATGCTCCTCAGAAGGCTATTAAATAAAAAGTTAGGAAAAATGAAGAAAAAAAAGGACCCTTGGTTGACCACTTTCTATGCCTGCTTACCCCACCTCCTCTTACCTTGGCGGAGCAGTCGAGATTCGACACTCTTTCCAATTGGAAGGCGGTCGGGCTCCGAACTGAAGTTGCGGTGACCCCACCACCGATTGCGGCAAGCTCCCTGCTGTTACTCCTGGAGATCAAATTCTCCCCCCTCCTTCCATCAGCTCGGTCCTCCCTCCTTCTTTTTCCATTCTCCTTCCTTTTCTTCCCCATCTCCTCATCTCCCAAAACCTCAGTTTTTTTTTGAGCCAGAGGCAGGCCAAACACGAGGTCTTTCTTTACATTGCTGCCCCGCATCAGACCCTTGATTCCAATCGACCTCTCCCTCGCCTCAAGATGGTTCAGTCTTCGGTTTTGGGCTTCCCGTGAGTTTGTTCCTCTGAATCGACCGAAATGCTCGGGCGGGGTTGCTGACTGCGATTTTTTCAGGCGTATGGGTGTCCTTCGGGACCTCAAGAAGGCCAATGAGGCCTACTGGGCCGACAAGATCTCCCAGCAGGACCTCCTCGCTGAGGGCAAGAGGCTCCGTCTCGCCCATTGGAAGATCCAGAAGGATGCCGGTGTCGACATCATCCCGTCCAACGACTTTGCCTTCTACGACCATGTCCTCGACCACATCCAGCTCTTCAACGTGAGTTTGGTAAACGTCCAATTTCTTTCAGCTTCAAATAGCTAACTTGTGACTCTCCCCCACAGGCCGTTCCCGAGCGCTACACAAAGCAGAAGCTCTCTCCTCTCGATGAGTACTTTGCCATGGGCCGCGGCCACCAAAAGGGCGATGTGGACGTCCCTGCTCTTGAGATGGTCAAGTGGTTTGACTCCAACTACCACTATGTCAAGCCCACTCTCCAGGACAACCAGACTTTCTCCCTTGCTCAGGACCCGAAGCCCGTTCGGGAGTTCCTCGAGGCCAAGGAGGCTGGTTTCCAGACCCGCCCCGTTCTCGTCGGCCCAGTCTCTTTCCTTGCTCTCGGCAAGCCCGACCGTGGCTCCTCTGTCGACCCCATCACTCTCCTTGACAAGCTTGTGCCCGTCTATGTCGAGCTCCTGAAGGCCCTGAAGGCTGCTGGTGCCGAGACCGTCCAGATTGACGAGCCTGTGCTCGTTTTCGATCTCCGCCCCGAGATCAAGAACGCCTTCAAGCCCGCGTACGAGGCTTTTGCCGCCCAGGGCAGCGCCATCCCTTCCATCGTTGTCGCCACGTACTTCGGTGACATCGTCCACAACTTTGACGTCCTCCCGGCTTTTGCCAACGTCCAGGGTGTCCACGTCGACCTTGCCCGCCACCCCGAGCAGCTCGAGCCCGTCATCAAGCAGCTCGGCCCCAACCAGATCCTCTGTGAGTGAATCCTTCTCTGGCCCCTCGCCATGGACTTGAGCTAACACGAGGAAAATAGCTGCTGGTGTCGTTGACGGCAGAAACATCTGGAAGAACAACTTCCAAAAGTCTCTCGGCCTCCTCCAGACTGCGATCAAGGCGCTTGGCCCTGAGCGCGTCATTGTCGCCACCTCCAGCTCCCTCCTTCACACTCCCCACACTCTCGCCAGCGAGAAGAAGCTTCCCGCTGATGTCTACGAGTGGTTCTCGTTCGCTAGCGAGAAGGTCAAGGAGGTTGCCATCCTCGCCAAGGCTGCGATTGACCCCGAGTCTGTCCGCGCTGAGCTCGATGCCAACGCCGCCGCCATGAAGGCGCGTGCCGAGTCTACTCGCACCAATGACCCCAAGGTCAAGGAGCGCCAGGAGCAGGTCACCGACGCGATGCACCACCGCAAGTCTGGTTTCGAGACCCGTTATGCTCAGCAGAAGACCCACCTCAGCCTCCCCCTCTTCCCTACCACCACCATTGGTTCATTCCCCCAGACCAGCGAGATCCGTGTCCAGCGGAACAAGTTCACCAAGGGTGAGATCACCGAGGAGCAGTACGATGAGTTCATCAAGAAGGAGATCGACCTTGCCGTCCAGATTCAGGACGAGCTTGGCCTCGATGTCTACGTCCACGGCGAGCCTGAGCGTAACGACATGGTTCAGTACTTCGGCGAGCGCCTTCAGGGCTACGTCTTCACTACACACGCTTGGGTTCAGTCCTACGGCTCCCGCTGCGTCCGCCCCCCCATCATCGTCGGCGACATATCCCGCCCTGCTCCCATGACCGTCAAGGAGTCCAAGTACGCTGCCTCGGTCTCCAAGAAGCCTATGAAGGGCATGCTTACTGGTCCTGTCACCTGCCTGCGGTGGTCTTTCCCTCGTGACGACGTCCACCAGTCCATCCAATGCCAGCAGCTCGCTTTAGCCCTCCGTGACGAGGTCGTTGACCTCGAGAAGAACGGCATCTTCGTCATCCAGGTCGATGAGCCGGCCCTTCGTGTAAGTTATCGTCCATGTGCCCAAGTCGGCCAATTCGGCAACTAACAATTCATCAGGAGGGTCTTCCTCTCCGCAAGGGCTCGGAGCGTGAGGCCTACCTCAAGTGGGCGGTCAACAGCTTCAAGCTGGCCACCGCTGGCGTTGAGGACTCCACTCAGATCCACTCCCACTTCTGCTACTCGGAGTTCCAGGACTTCTTCCATGGTGCGTTGCTTACCGCCTTTCGTTCGATGCAGCTACTGACCCCTTCATGCAGCCATTGCCGCCCTGGATGCCGATGTTCTCTCTATCGAGAACTCCAAGTCGGACGCCAAGCTCCTCAAGGTCTTCATTGACGAGTCGTACCCGCGCCACATTGGCCCTGGTGTCTACGATATCCACAGCCCTCGTGTTCCCCCTGAGGAGGAGTTCAAGCAGCGCATTCAGGAGATGCTCGAGTACCGTAAGTCGCGCCTTTGATCCGGTGAAATCAGAACATGCACTGACTAGCAACAGTCCGCCCTGAGCAGCTCTGGATCAACCCGGACTGCGGTTTGAAGACCCGCAAGTGGGATGAGGTCAAGGGCGCCCTCACCCACATGGTCAACGCTGCCAAGTACTTCCGTGAGAAATACTCCAAGGCCTAACCGCCTTTCGGCAGAACACCAGACGCCATACATTGATGGTGCCATGTGATTTCCCGGATTTTTTTCAACAGCATTATGTTTGGGGGTCTCTAGCGGGTCATAAAATGGTTAACGATAGATGATACCCCAAGTCGCCATATTCAACTCGGCGTTAATAGGCAAAGGTCCGGGTCTGTTTCAACAGCATTTGCAGCGGGGTGGTGGTCGCCATATTCAACTCGGCGTTTTTGCGGTCAAAGGGGATGAAAAAGGGTTCGGGGTCTTGGGTTGATGCAGGGCAATGGGTCTCGGAATGAATTCACTAGGGCTATGGATGTCACCTTCAACAAAGTTGTGATGTTCTTGGCCAGCAACGGTCTGGCATGGGTACCAAGCAGGCGAGCTTGTTGAATGTTTCATACTGGCTTTGGGTGAAATACCTTCAGGTAGGTCAAATCAATACCAGATACATGGCACTCCAACAGCTTCGGCGTGTCGTAACAAAACGATTCGGTAGAACTTCTCTCTTGAACATTGTGTTAAACTCCCGACAGACTCGGCACTTGCTTCACTGTTTCTGAAAATCCTCGTCAGGCGACTGTTCCAAAGAGTGGTGGCCACGACTTAAGGTTCCTATACAGGTCCTCCGATGTCGACGGACAACGGATCAATCCCAATGCCCAAAACACGATGAGCACATAGGGTCTACGTGGATCGAGCTCAGCCGCCACTGAATCAGCCGCATACAAATTAAGGTAGTATATACGAGGTTATTCACGACAGCTCAGCTGTATAGTCTCTGACTCCCATACAGCGACTCCGTTCAGATTAAATATCCACCAAAGTACTCAACACCTCGTTTTTAACTGACTCCTTATATCCAGTCTAGGAAAGATAGTTCATGCGCATACAATGTCTCTACCAATTTTTTTTTTCTTCTACTCCGCCCACCCAAAAACCTCCCCGATCGCCATCGTATTACACCTCACGCCCGCCAGCGCCACCAGGATCCCCACGATATCCACCACGAGCAGCACCACGGCCGCCGTCATGAAGCGCGGGCCAAACACGCGGTACAGCATCAGGTGCCGGCGCAGATACCCTGCCCAGGCCATGGTCGCTAGACACTCGACGGCGAAGTACGCGACAAACCCGGCCAGGGCGCGGCGGCTGACGGCGTCGAGCAGGCCGCGTTTTTTCGGGGAGGCCTTCCAGAGGACAAGTAAGGGGACGGCGGCGGTTGCGAGGATCTGGCCAGCAAAAGTATTGAGGGTGACGATCAGGGGTGAGTAGGGGTATCGGATGGTGAAAAGCGGGATGAAGGCCGCGTCCCACTGGATGGAAGACAGCACGGCCTGGTGGCCTGTCTTGAAGAAGTGGAATGTTCCCAGGACGGCGAGCATGACGGGGCCGATGGGGGAGGACGTGGCGGCGAGGTTGTTGAGGTCGAGGATCTCTAGGAGGGCGAGGATCTGCCAGGCCATGAGACCCAGCGCGCCGGCGCCCATGGGCTTGGAGAGGAGGATGCAGGCTGCGAGGAGGTTGAGGGGCAGGAGAAGGTAGCGTGCGCCGTGGGCGTTGCCGTAGCCGAGGATGGCGACCTGGGCCTTTGTGGAGTCGGTCGGGGAGGCCGACGTGACGATGGAGACGCAGGGGGGCGCCCAGATGAAGGCTGTCGTGCCGGCGACGAGGGCGAGGCCCAGGACCATCTGGGCCGTGTAGACGCTGATGTTCTTGATAGTCTTGTCGGGAAGGCCGGGGATCCAGTTGCCGTTGTCAGCCGCGTCGAGGAGCCAGTAGAGCGCGGACATGAGGAGGCCGGTGCGGAAGACGTAGCCGATCCAGGTTGGCGCGAGGCCCTCGTAGGACCTGGAGGGTTGGAGGTAGGCCTTGAGGATGGATGGGAGGATGATGCAGACGAGAAAGGGGATCAGCAGCTGCCAAGGGGCCGAGGTGGAGGACGTTGCGGACGCATAGTAGGTCGATGTGCAGTACGGCATCTGCTCCTCGCGGCAGAGCTTGGAGAACGAGGCAAGGCGGCCGAGAAGGATGAAGACGACCGAGTGGTAGATGGCCAGGTAGCGATCGGCGCGGGAAGGGATCCGGAGCGCTGCTAGCGCGCTGACAAAGCCAAAGGTCGTGATGAAGAACAGAAGGATAGAATCCTCCCAGATTGTGTACGAATTCGATGCAAAGCCGACGGACTGGCTGACGGTGAAGACAACCGCCATCCATCCCCACAGTGTCCTGGGAACAATGCTCAGCACAGTCTCCTGGACCTCGTGCATCGATACCAAGACCGCGGCGGTACTCGTCAGAGCCGCAATGCCTGATCCGCGATACCAGTCGCCAGCTCCCGAGACGAGGGAGGATACGACTCCGCCAATGAACCCAGGGAGAGCGCCAAGCAGTGCGGCACCGACCAGGCGCTTGTCGAGTGTATCAGAGGGAGTTGCTTCCACGTCAGCCTTCACTCCCTGGAGTTCCAGACTCTTTTCTGCGAGATCCAGCTCCTCGTCTTCAATGACATCGTCATCATCTCCCCTAGAGACATAGACAAGGAGAACAATAACACCAAGTGCCATGACCGAGATACCAATGGCCATATTTTTGAGGTCGAACCTGGCCCACAGGCTCTTGCATTTCTGCAGCGTTGCCTCCTGGTATGCGGCGAAAGCCCTAAAGATTACAGGCCAGTCTTGCTTCTTGCCCTGGGGAACCAGGTCTTCAGCCTTGTCCCATAGCTCACCGGGCGATCCGGGCCCGGTAGAGTCCTCGATACCTCGCGCAGTGAAATACGCCGTTTGGTACCGCTTGATGCCAGCGGCAGTCACTCTCTCCGCCGCAACCAGGTTGGCCCAGGAGGTACCGGCAGCACCCGCAAAAGCCTCCTCGATTGGCCGTCCGAGGTTGTTGAATGGAATGGGGATGCCCATCAAGAGCGCCAGCGTGGGCACAAGGTCAATTTGGTTGACGGGCCGTATCTTGGCGGTAGCTGGTGGTGTGACATACTCTGGCTTCGTGCGGCCAAAGATACCTTTAGGGGAGTACATCCACAGAGCAGCCTCGACCTCGTCGTCGCTCTCGCCGCCGTGGTCTCCCTTGCTATCCATTCCGTGGTCGCCCATCACGACCAGAACCGTCTTGTCGTCCATGGTCGCCGCCAGATCGCGGATGAAGCTGTCCATCTGGCGCAGTTTCTTGGTCATTTCGGGATGGTCCGGCCCATAACGGTGACCGGCGTGGTCGACACCCAGGCAGTGCCCGATCAGCAAATCCCACTCGCTCTTCCTGCTCATCAGCGGGAAGATGTGCTCCATAACCCCGTTATCCACCGTGTGCAAGTCCCAAACATTGAAGCTGTCGTACGCCCGGCTGAGATTCCCCTCAAAGTACCCCGGAAACAGCGCCTCCCAGGTATCGTCCCCCAGATGCACAATCCTCTTCCCGGCATCCCTCAGCTGCATCAGTAGATTATCCTCCTCGATCGCCGTCCCGGAGAAGCTACTCCCCAAGTCTACAAACGTCGGCAGCGTCCCCGTCGTCAATCCCTTCAACCTCTGCAGCGTCGAGGTCGGCGGGTCGGCAATAAACGGCCTCAGGAAAGCCTTCCCGGGGTCCCTGACCGCCGTCTCCCACATGAACGGAAAGGCATTGTGAAACGCCGCGTTGTCCTCGACCGGCACGGTAAAATCGTACCGCAGCGCGTCAATGACCACGACGACGGCGCGCTCAAACATCCGCGGGTGCCAACACCCGCCATCCACAGTACCCCGGCCCTCCCAGGCGGGCAGCAGCAGCAGGGGATCTGTCGCCGTCGGCGGGGCGTCGCACGCCGATTTCTCCTCAAGCACCAGGCGCGTCAGCAGGAAGCCACTCGTGAAGTAGGCGATGCCAACCGCGTGGACGCATAGCAACCAGACCCAGAAGGACGCCGTCCATGCCCAGCGGGACTGGTAGGTCCTCTTGCGGGCTACTTCGAGGCGGCCGTGCCGCTGTTCCCGCGCGGTTATCTCTTCTTCTTGGTGTTTTTGTTGTAGTTGTTGTAGTTTTTGTTCCGTCGACTCTGGATTATGCACAGTGGAGCTGGCTTGGGCCTTCTTCTTCTTCTTGTCTTCGGCCTCTTTGATACGCTTCGCGGCCGCGAATTGCGACGCGATGGTCTTGTAGTCGGGTGGGGGGGAGGCATTTGTGCTTGGTGGAGGTTGTGAAGATGGCATCGTGGCAATGGGGTGGTTTGAGGATCGCAAAAGACGATGGGGTATCAAGCCGAGGGACAAGAGTTAACTTGATAAAGGAGACGACGAGAAGGAAGAACTGAATATCCAGGAAAGGAAGTGAAATGAGAGACGAGCAAGCGAACGAGCAAAGAAAATGATGCAGAGTCTGGCTCAAAGGCAATCTCCGGCTGCCATGGGACTCGCGAAGGTTTACACAGGAGCTTCAATGGGAAGGGAATGCGCCATTTCGAGGGTTGGGGATTTCTAGTTTGGAGTCGCGGTTTTCTGGACTCAGCGACCGAATGAGATAACCTTATCCCCACCATCCGTTATTTGGAATGATGGAGAAATACCGTACCGAATACCGTACCCTAACCCTTTGAGCCCTAAACGGCCATAAAGGTCAATTGAGCCCTGAAGTGGTTGTTGCTTCTTTTCAGGTTTGATCTTACAACCTTGGAGTTCTGCCCAGTTTATATGCAGTTCGTTTTGATGTGGCTTCAAGCCAGCAGGGCTGGCCACTTCCGTTGATGAACAGGCGCTAAGAACTTTGATCCAGGTGACACTTCAATAGTCGTTGCTGACGGTGATCTACGCTCTTGCTATCGACGATATCCACCTGGCAGTTGAAGCCTCGAGAACAAAACCGACGGTTTGGCAACTCATCCCGCTCCCCCGTCTTCTGCCTATCTCCGCCCGAAGGCCCGGGAAAAGGCCAGGAAAATGGGAGTACGGGCCACCATCGACAAAGTAGGAGGAATAACAATACGACCTCAAGAAGTCGAATAGTAATTATACAATACGAAAGAATATGTCCGTACGAAATATGCCACAAGCCCGTCCAAGGCTGCCTATCAATGCGTCTCAGATATATTCAGCTGGAGCTGTTACCCGCCTCAAACTACCCACCCAGAAGCATGTACTGTCGAATGTACTGGGCCGGTGTCCACGGCAGCATCGCCTTATGTACCGAGGAATCTCGTCTCAATGCTCACCCAACCAGTCCACCAAAAGAGAAAACGGGAAACCTCCCCAAACGGTCTTTGGGATGCCAGGGCGGCACGCCGAGAGCGCACGAAATTAAGAAAGAGAAGATGGGTGGTGGCCCGGCGTGTGTATGATGGTATCTTTTGTTTCGTTTCCCTGTCCGTTCGTCGCAACTCCGCACGCCCATCAAAATCGTAAGGATGGCCAGCTCGTTTCGTCGGCCGAAAGGAGAGAAGATCGCAGTTCTATTATTTGCCGAAAGACACAATCTCTCTTGAGTGATTGTGCTTTGCCAGACTCGTTGTGTGTTGTTGCGGCTTTTTAGTGGAACTCCTTCTCCTTCAAGCCGCCAATCTTGTCGATGTCGAGGGCGTAGAACTGCGTCTTGCTCTCCTTTTCATAGGCGGGGAGCTGCTCGTCGTGCAGGGGCTCGAGGCCGACCGTGGTCTCGCCGACCCTGACGACGACGACCCGGCCGCTCTTGGGCCGGCCCTGCTCGTCCTGCTCGTCGGGGAACGTGATGTGGATCTCGGGCACGTTATCGGGCGAGTGCGGCGGAGAGTGCGGGTTCGCTAGCATCGGCTGCCCGTTACCGTTGAGGACAATGACGCTGGACCGGCCGTGCCCGTTGCCCGTCTGGATGGTGAGCCGCCGGTGATTGCCTGTCCGCTTGACGTCCTGATACTGCGGCAGCGTCTCCATCATCTGCTTCTGCCTGCGCATCCTCCGCAGCAGAACGAGGAGTGCGAACGCAATCAAGCCGACGAAGACGACGACGAGGAGGGCGATCAGCAGGTTGATGACATTGCTATTGTCGCTGGTCTGCTCGGCGCCCCGGGAGATGAGCCTCGAGAACGAGTCCATGCTGAATAATGAGTGTGGTTTGGCTGATCCAAAGAGTGTTGTGTCTGCGTAACCTGCAGACGGTATAGCGATTGTGTATGGACTGCTGAAGCTCTAAAATTCGAGACTGATCGTCAGCATCAAGTTTACCCCTTCCTTTGTTGCATATTGAGAAGCAGTACACGCCAGATGCACGACGGAATAAGGGATGCCGACCTACCCAAGGGCTGCTCGTCAAAGGGCTGTCGGGCTGGCGTGTAAATATCGCGTCACGGGAATCGCATCGAGTAAATGATGGGACGGAAGTCGACTAAAAGAGTGAAGCCGATACCAAAACGGATTCCCAGAAGGGAAAGAGTGACGGAAAGAATGGCAGGAGCAATTCCCTGAGTTGCTGACGCCGGCGAGATGGTGAGATGGAAAAAGAGAGGAGGTGAGAGCTGGGCAGGCGACGGCTTGCACAAGTACTCCGTACCGCCCACCGCCTCGTCAGGGGAGAAGCACACAAGCGCTCCCCTTCAAGCGAAATCGTTGGATTGGGATGAACTGCCCCGCCCATTCAACAGGTAGCCAATCATGGACTCTGCATGCTCATATCCTGGCGGGTCTCAATTTGACAGCTGCCCAGTCGACCCCTGTCCAGAGCTGCGGATTCTGCCCTGGCTCGTGCGTCAACCGCCTGGCCCAGGGCTGCCAAAGGATCTTCCCGAGGCGCAGGGACCAGGGCCTCCATCTTCACCGTTTGGTTTGGCAACTGCTCCGGTTAGCATGAAGAAACATCCATCCGCTCATTCCGCAACTTTATTTTCGGTGGAGAATGCGGTTGTGTCGTATCTCTCCTGAGCATGTTCAAAACTCAAGAGTCCTTTGTTCATAAGAATGCCGTTCCCTATCCGTACAGCTTACTCCGTAGAGAGAAGAGGCGACTGCAGAAGGCAGCCGCCCAGCTCGTCCGGTTCCATGGTGCCGCGAGCGGATCCCATCGGCCGCGTCGTCGGCCAGCTCTTAAGTCTTCATCTGGCTGTGGAAGGACGAAATTCAGACGTTGCCTTGACGACATCAGCCGCGACCATCCTCCTACAGCGGGACTCATACTCAACTGCGCGCCGCCCATCCATCCCAGGCAGCTGTCTGATTGACTGTGCTTGCCCATCAAATCGGAATGAAGGCCTTGAGGGAAGCCTCACAGTCTGGATCCAGTCGGTCGAGTCGCCCATGACTGACTGGCGATTGATATGGGAAGACAGAAGACAAACGAGGACAGGCGACCCGTGAGGTGTACATGTCATATCAACCGAGACACGGGCCGCGAAATGACGCATCGAAACGTTGACGTGCCTACCAAGCCATACGGCCCTTATTTCCTTGTCAGGTCTGTGTCACCTGGCAACAACCCCCCCTCCTCCCCTCCGGGGACCACGTCTCTCGTTACATATCCTCGCGTCAGAGGCTGTCATCGAATTGTGATACGGTAACGCCGCTACCCCAAAGGTCACGCCGCCGTCCCCGGACATAAGGAGCTCGTGGCAAATGCTTGTGCTCTGACGATGCAGTGTTTGAGGTGAGGCAGACGTTGCGCTCTAGGTAGTCGTGTATCGTGTCGGCGCTGGTCCTTGATGCGATAGGTATCTTTGGTTTTGGTGATTTGTCTCCGGGAAGTACGCGAGGGAGAGAAGAAGTCCAGCGGTGCATTAAGTTGGAAGGCTGAACGGGGACCGTTCAACAAACGTCCATGAATCGAGCGTTTTGCACAGGCAAGCTGGCAGGAACCCCAGGTCCAGTGACCGTACAGCTCTCAGCAACCAGAAAAACCGGGCTGCGATCGAACTCGACCAATTCGTTTGGATTTCCGGATAATCGAGACTGACCGTTGTTCAGCGCAAGGGTGCCTTCGGTTGACGTCGCCCACCGGACGGTGAGACATATGAAGAGAGGACAGACCAGCTCCCCGGAAGCTAGCCGGCCTTGCGGTACCATCAAATTTGGCCTGCAGTTTCGAGCATCGAGATGACTCGGGATGTTTTCAAGGGCTTCGCAGCCGTTGCCCTTTGTCACTAGCTGGCACACCCCACAGACGGTTTCCCAAGCGACATCCATGTGGCAGAATGCCGGCTCTAGCTATCAATCCGCCATTATCCCTTCGGTAGTCGGTTGTCGAAGTTTGTCTCCGTGCCTTGAAACAGGCCACACTTTGTGACCGGCGAGCTGTTAAACGTCTTCAGCAATGCCGATGCCTCGGCAAAGATCAAGGGAGGACCGATTAAGAGAGCATGTTGCGGTGAGAGCCGAAGTGTATCCTCAAGCTGCGGCGTTTGTCAGGCACAGAGAGACGGCGCAACGGATCGCAGAGCACCCTCACACCGGAAGGGCTGTGTGACACCCGACTCAACACAAAGGCGGTCGTGCAAAGGGACTTGAGCTAGAACCGCCCCCAGATCCAGAGGGTAACATTGAGTGTGGCACAGAGTTGAGGAGGCTGAGTTTCCACCCTGAACCAGTAACCATCTAAGCAGACAAGTCAAAAATGTGGGCAGGTTTCACAAAACGGGAGGCGGGAGGCGGCTTGGAGATTCCCCAGATTCAGCAGACCCAGGGGAGTGTCGAGGCGGCGTCGAGATGGATCAGGGGGGGCGAAGGAGATAGGAACTCGAGACAACTTGTGTAAGATCCTGCTTGAGCTTCTCGGGCCGGCAAGGTACAGAGATGAACTGCATTCCTGCATTCTGACGTCGGGCATGCAGCTTTGAGTTTAAGAGGGTGAAGATGGAAACTACCGGTGGCATCCCGTGCCTCACTAGGGGCGCACATCCACACAGGGAAACAAGAAGTATCCAAATTGCCCATGCCAATGACAGCATGGATCGTCCGAAAGAGGGATGAGAGGGAGCACGCGCTGTCGCACCACACGTCCGAAAGCATTGCGCTATCTGACGCCAGATTCTGCCCTCTTTCCTGCTGCCACCCTCTTGCACAGGGACAGTCGCTGGAGAGTCCCGTTTGTCGAGTACCGAGTACGGACTACGCTCCGACGAATCAAGGCGGTTGCCTGTGTCCCTGCATACAATACACAACGCTCGGCGGTCCATTCCGAGCCCGGGCACCCAGATATACAAGATAGGCTGTTTCCGCCCTTGGAATATCGAGTGGGATCCGAGCTGTTCTCGAGCCTTGGTTTGCGGCTAGGGAGGCGACGAGCCAACATGTATATCTGAGTGTGTACATACGGACCCCTTGGATTCTGCACTGCTACAAATACCCCAAACTCCAACCATTTTTCTCTCTGTTTCGCTTGTGGGCGCTTCCGTCGTGTGTTGGAGCAGCGACTCGGCCATCAGAGACGACGACTTCATCCTTGCGGCACTGTACCTTGGGTAAGTCATGTAGGTACCTTATGCAGGTATTGGTTGCCTTTTGCCATTCCATTTGCTAACAATTGGAAGCGCAGACACCACACTGCGGCACAGATACCAGCAGTTGGGTACCGAGTCGCTTCCTGCCCACCGCATCGCCAATCGCTTGCCCCCAAAACTCCGTTTGGCGCCCCGAGTTAGGCCAACAGCATCGCGTCAAAACCAGCAAAGTCACCCAACACGGATCACAACTCGAGTAACTACCAGCACAAGGGGCCGAGCAAGTGCGACTCCCGAGATTCACTTTGTTTCCCGCATGCGACTGACAGAAACACGGCGGCCCAGCCCCGGTCCGGCCCTAGAACGACCCTGAGTCTCCGCCAGGGTTTCACTGTTTCAGGCGCACAGGGCATCAGAGCACGGTACCGTGGCCGAACGGTTCCCACGGGACGAGAAATTATTGCATGCGGCAAGCAACCGGCGGTCGAGTGTTGCACACTGTTGCGTCGGTTTTGTGTCACTTACAGCCCGGGAAGTCGAGCAACCTGAACCTGGCCCTCACGCTGCGGCCCCACCCATCCCGGGTTCTGGGCTGTCTGTAACTGCAAGTTGCAGTCAGCGGTCCTGGTTTCAACATCAACATACGCGAAGTTCCAACACCGGCAAACGTTGAATTTCATTCTGTCGGCTATTTATCACCGACAACCAACAAAATTTCCTGCAACGGCGAGCCGCCATCGCCCAATCGAGTGACCGTATGGTGGCGGATCAGACAGATTCGAGCGCACAGTGTCAGTGTCGGTTGCCGAGAACTGAACGCCGCATCCGGCCCCATCCCTTGGGAAAGACGATCGATCCCCCTAAATAAAGGCCAACCGAGCCTTTCGAACTTGAGACGGCTCCCACATCCCCCACAAAAGCTTCTTATTTTGGGGTCATCGGGCCCGCCAACCAACGCGCTCTAGAGCTAGACACATCCTGGCCGCTCCCCTGCCCAGGCTTGAAAAGGTAAGGTCCGGATAGCCCTGGGCCTCCACTGTTTCCATTTCTCTTGTCCGTCTGTCGCGTGTTCGCCCAGCTGCGCGAAAGTCGCAGACTCGACGAGGCGCACCCCAGCCAATCCCATCTCCGGGTCTCAACCTTCCCCCATCTCGAGTGAAAGAGGGGCCCTACTTTCGAATCTTAGCGGGACAAGTCAGAGCTTCAGTTGCTCTTTGCTACGTATCCCAAGTCAAGCACCCGGATTCCATTCCCTCCAGCCCAAGTTTTATTCTCTACGCACGTCCCCGAGGTTTGAAAGAGAACTTTTGTTGGACGGTGTATTAGCGGGTCACAGCTGGCTCGCTTGCGATCGAAATAGGTGAGAAGGCACCAATGCACAACCACACACGGCATCCAACCCTTCTCTAGTACGGATGCACCGTCGCTAGCATCTCTGCCGGGCCCGCTTCCTGCGTCCTAGCGACCTGTCAAAGAGTTCAGGCCGCCGGAGACTACCACCTCTCCCCACCTCCCTTACGTTCATCTTAGCTGCTCCCGAGTTGGCGACGCATCAGCCTTACCACCCTCCCTCGTCACTCCTCTACCTACGGCTTCCCACCCGCCTCATTCTTAGACATGTGCTGACCTCACTCTGACTGTCAGGCGCATCCTTTGACCATCGGTTTCTCACCCGTCATATATGATCGCCTGTCTTCGCACCCCATCATTCGGTCCGCCTCCCGATTATCGCAACACACCTTCGACACATACGAACGTACAGATTCCCCGTGTCGCCCTCGACGTTGCCGTATTCACGCCGAGTACCATATCTACCTAGACTTGGGCGGACAGGCTTCCGTTCTCACCTTCACACCGTCAATATCTGGCCTTTGCGCCTCGCTCACCCCATGGATTTTACGAGTACAGAGCCGTCGTCTAACATAATGGCGACCAATGTGAGTGTTATTCCGCCTGGATATGCATTTTCGCTTGCGCTGCGCGTGGGTGGGGATATAGGCTGGGCGCGGCTCGCGGAAATATTGCTCTCCTCATAACGTCTCTACCTAGTCACACCCTTCGCATCTGACGCGTGGCCGGCTAACCTTTGGTCCTCTCTCCAGACAACAGGACGCAGTCGCCTCCCTGGCTACACGGGCATGCACAACGGAAACAATAGCACACAAACAAGTCTCGGAAACACTATGTTTGGCACAGCCACACAATCATCTAGCCCATGGAACAACAGTGCCACCGCGAGCTTCGCGATGAACCGAGATACAGTTACCCCTAGAGGTCCGTTGATGCACGAGGCCGTGTTGCGATAGGAAGCGGCCGGCGCTGACGAATATGCAGATACCATCAACGGGAGCACCAGTGCTCTTCGCGGAACAAAGGGGAACTGGATTGGTGCTAGCATGCATCCGTATGGTAGCGCGGATTCTACACAACCACGCCCTCGCTCGGGGAACACATCCCCCCGAAGTCGGTCTGACGCATCGAGTCACGATATGAATACCGCCTCGAGATTCTTTCCTGTTCCTTCAACCGCCCCCCAGGCCGCTCAGGTCGGGTCACGGGGCCCAAATACGGCGACGACGCTGGAGTCGTCCAACAGACCATTCAGGCATGCTCCCAATTTCTCGGACTTTGGAGATGATGGAGACTCTGGATCTCCAAACGCTTTCCTACCCGCTCAGATCGGCCCAGAGCTGGCAAAAACGGCGATAAAGCCGGAGGCGTCGAATAGGGCGATCAAGTATCCTTTCGACTTCCCGGGCTATCCAGAAGAGAACGGAGAGGATCGGTTTCCAAAACTGACGCAAGGGCTCGACTTCACAATGGCAGCTCAACGACAGGCCTACCTCAAGTCGCTGTCCAGCCGCCGCCAGTCCGACCACCAGGGACAGGCCAATTCTTTCAGCGACTTGTCCTACGCCAACCAACCGGCGCGCCCCACTCACTCTCAACGGCCATCTTTCGCCTCCTCCACGTTCCAAACGCAGAATTCAATGAGCTCGGACCAGAACGCCGGGCGACAGAACCGTACGCAAATGGAAGAGGCGTTTTCGATGTTGGTTCTTGATGGCACATCCAATGGCGGGGCTGTCAACAATTTGGGGAATGGTCCCTCCTACGACAATGGGATCCAGAGTTTCCAGCTTAACCCGGGGTCGCAACCGTGGGAGGTTGGACAGGGGTACGTGAACGGTTTCGCAAAAGACGCGTACGCGAACGAGACGGGCCTCGAAAAACGAGGCTCGGTAGTTGGCATGGACCCCATACTTGGCGTGGACATCTCAGCCGGGAGCGCTTCCCAAGCTGGCGTTGGCTGGAATGGCGGTTCATGGTCAAGGCCACCTTCGCGAGACCCTAGGCTGGTCTCGGACCTTGAGCGGCGAGTCCTGGGGCAGCATCTCGTCACGCCGTCCGTGAGCCCTTATTACTCAAACAGCTTTATCCCTCCAGACTTTTCGCAGTATCCTCCGTATTCTACTGCGTACGGTAATCCAAGACATCCTGCGCACATGGCGGGATATGGTTTTCCTCTTCCCGCTTGGCCTCTCCCGGGCGCGATCCCGACTCGTCCCGCCCGAGAGCACGACCCTGGCAGGGCTCTGAGGAGCCCGCTTCTCTACGACTTCAAGCACAGCCCGAAATCGAGACGCTGGGAGCTCAAGGTCAGTAGCCTTAGCCGTTGCCGACGGGCCGAGATAAAGAATATCTGACTGACAAACTACAGGACATCTGGGGCCACATTGTCGAGTTCAGCGGCGACCAGCAGGCTTCTCGCTTCATCCAACTGAAGCTCGAGACGGCTAACAGCGACGAGAGGGACCAGGTCTTTGCCGAGATCGCACCGAACGCACTCCAGCTGATGAAGGACGTGTTTGGCAACTATGTGATGCAGAAGCTCTTCGAGTACGGAGACCAGGTCCAAAAAAAGGTGTTGGCAAACGCGATGAGGGGTAGGATTGTCGACTTGTCAATGCAGCCCTACTCGTGCCGGGTTGTTCAGAAGGTGAGTGGCCCTTGCGGTAAACCTCGCTGTGTGCGAAGCTAACCGCCAGCAGGCTCTCCAGCATGTACTGGTTGAACAGCAAACCGAGCTGGTGAGGGAGCTCGAGTCGGATCTGATCACCATCTCCAAGGACCAGCACGGAAACCATGTGGTCCAGCAGGTCATCCAGCTAGTTCCCCGCGAACACATCGACTTCATCATGACCGGCCTCAGGGGCCACGTCTGCGAGCTTGCTTCGCATCAATATGGCTGTCGCGTCATCCAGAGGTTTCTGGAACACGGCACCGAGGCGGACAAAGTCTCGATGATGCTGGAGCTTCACAACAACGCCGAGGTGTTGGTAACAGACCAATTCGGCAACTATGTCATTCAGCACGTCCTCGAGAAGGGCAGCCCAGAGGACCGCTCGAGGATGATTGGTATCGTCACACCTCAGCTCCTGGCGCTTTCGAGACACAAGAACGCATCCAACGTGGTCGAAAAGTGCATCCTGTTTGGCACACTCCAAGAACAGCGGGCCATCCGAGACCAGTTGCTGGCCAATGCAGACGAAGCGAACAGCCCGCTCTTCCAGCTGATGAAGGATCAGTTTGGAAACTACGTCATTCGTAAGTGGTTCTTTCGTTATCGACATGTTCTTTATCGGCGCTAAGTCTAACGTGCGCCCAAGAAAAACTCGTCAAGGCTCTCCGCGGCGCCGATAGGACCATGCTCGTCGACAAGCTTGCGTCACACGTCGGATCCCTCAAGAAGTCGGGCGCCACGAACAAACAGATCGAGGCCATGGAGCGCCTGGTTTGTGACAACAAAGGCGTTTCGCCATCGACGTATCCAAGTAACGACTCGACCTCGGCGTCGTCTGCCCCGGCATCACCAGGCCTGTACGTCGACGTCCAGGGCGCGCCAACCCCAAATCTAACCACGGACCCCAACAGCCCCCTGAGCACGCCGTCGAGCCACGCGCCCGATCTGGGCGGGGATGCTACCGCTGAGGGAGCCGCTGACCACCAGGCCGGCGGCCAGCTGGGCGCTATCAAGAAGAGCAGCGGTTCTCCGTCGCTGTCGCTGTGGGTGAAGGTAGACGGTGAGGGGAACCAGACCGAGGACTGATTTGCCTCGCTCATACGCAATTTGAACCGGACTCGTTTACTCGACTCCGGCCTGGCTTGTTCACTTCGTCGTTTTCTTTCCTAGACCGGGTGTTTTTTTTTTCTCGGGTTAGGTCGCTTTTATTATTGTCCCTTCAAGGGACGGTACAGACGGGCTGGCGGACAGATATGACTTGAGACTGGCTTTGCCTTGCTTGCGTCGGGCTTTCAGATATGATATCCCCCTTTCTTCTCTGCTTTCTTTCTCTACTTTTATTATGTCCGCCCTTCCAGGAATGTGGGATTTTGACCCGCGGATCTTGGGGGTCTGAATCATGACGACATCGGGTCAACTCTGCTTCGTTGAGATATTTACTCCCCCTCGCTGGTCACAAACGACAGAGAAAATATGTTGAGGGATATTGAGATACATGGTTGAGAAAAGGGTTGGGTCCCTTTTCTGGCACAGAAATAATCACGGGAGGGAAGGAAAGGGAATGGAGTGGAGTGGGTTTGTCTTCTTTGTACCATTGGGTTTTCATGAATGAATGTTTGCTGGGATGCATGCTAGGTTTCAGGGGCTGGGGTGTTCGGCGTATATAAGGCAGGCGATGGATTCTCCCATATTTGGGTTGCTTGTTGTTAGCTATCTCCTTTTGTGTGAAGGTTATTCTGCTCTTTGCCTGATCCTAATTGTAAAGGGGCTAGTTTTATTGGGGGTGGTGGATTTGATGCCTGGAATGGGACGGGATGGGATGGGATGGGATGGGATGGAATGGAATGAAATGGATGAGTTGGTTGAGATATAAGTAAACACACCTGGTGGGCTGGGTGAGATAGATATACCGGACCTGACCTACGTACGTTGTACCTCTGCTGGCGATGTGGTATTTTACCGACTTACTGCCATAGACACCGAGAGATATTTGTGAATGGATGTTTGTTGTATGTATATGCTGGTGGAAGAGTCTCTCTTCGCTTCTCTTCACATTCCAGCTGGTTTGACTCGGTTATTGAGGACCAGGACTGGAGTAAAGGGTGGGGGGGGGGGGGGGGGGCTTTTCTCTCCTCTCTATGCTGAGTTCTACTCTCTCTCACCTCACTTCTCTGGGTCTTCCTCTCTCTTGCTTTAGCCCAAATTTTCCCGTCACCTTTTGTTACGCTTCTTAGAGTAGCCCCCAACAAGCATCACAAACCGACTTTGAGTACCTAGCACGGGTGAGAAGAAGGAAGAGTGAAATGAAGAAACATTGTGGCTAGCCTCTGCTGTCATATACCTGGTAACACAGCTGGACCTTCGTTTGCTCAAGATGCTTTCAACGCTTTGGTTAGGCTTTTGAGTGGTTTTTGTTGATGAGATGGGATGACAGGACAAAACAGCAACATGTTTGCTCCTTGGGATCAACTTGAAGAGAGGGAGGTACATAATTGGGAACCTGATCGATTGTCCATTAACCCACGCCGTGAAAAACTGTAACCCAGACGTAATGACGACAGAATCCTCCTCTAGCGCATATGCCGATACCCAATATCATTCTAATACATCAACCAGTGCACTCTCCATACCCTTTGATGCTGTGCTCTCCTCAGTCCCGCTTGCGCATCCAGTTGCCCCAAGCGCTGACCATCATACCACCTTTACAGCCCTCCCTTCCGCTCCGAACCACAAGAGACAATCCAAAAAAAAACAAACCCAGAGCGAGCATCCCATTCTCCAAATACATATCTACAGGATCTCCTTTGCCCGAGCATTTTATGCTCTTCACTCCGCTGGCTCCTGTGACCAGGTCAGGTTCCCAACCTTATATTCCTTCCCCATCATGAACAGTCCTCCGCAGAAATACGTTTACCAGTCTTCTCCTCCATGCCTCACTTCTTGAGCGCCTCGTCAAAACAATGCAAGACAATCTTCTTCTCAGCGTCTGCCTTGCTGTGTTGGTAACCCTTGGACCAGTCATAGCCCACGGCGTAGGCCAGCGCCATGCCGTCGCGAGAGAAGCTCAGCGCCGTGACGGGCCCGCTAACCTTGGGGAAGGAACGCAGGCGGTGGCGGGCCACGACGTCCCAGACGCTATAGGTGCCGTCGGACCCGGCCGTGGCGAGGACGTCTTTGTGGGCCGGCGAGTAGCAGACGGCGTTGACGGCGTAGACGTCAGTCTGGTTCTTGGCGCTGGTGGACGCCTCGCGGTGGCATTTGAATGTCAGATTCGAGAGGCTGTTGCGGGGAATTTGTTAGTTTTTGTCATGTTGGATTGAAAACATGGCCAAAGGAACGGGAGACAATTTACCTCTTGTCCTTCTCATTTGCGACTTGGGCAGCCGCGCGCCCTTCGATACCGCCAATCGCCCAGCGAGAGCCGTCGGCCGAGACCGAGACGGAGCTGATCTTGGGAGAAAGCGGCGACTTGACGGATTTCCAAATGTGGAGCGGATTGGCGTGGAGGTCGATGAGGTGGAGGTGGTTGTCGGCCGTGCCGGCAGCGAGGAGAGGGCCGGCAGCGTCCATGGCATAGACACGCTCGGGGAGTTGCAGGGCAGCAATGGGCTGTGGCTGGCGCATGTCCCAGTAGCGAACTGTTTTGTCCCAGGAGCCCGAGGCGATGACGGGCGCATTGGTGGCGGGGATGGTGACGAAGCGGACAGACCGGACAGGTGAGGTGTGAGCCTCGAGCGTCATGGTCTGGCTTGAGTTGAGGTCCATGAGATAGATCTTCCTGTCTGCCGCTGCGCCAATGGCGATGGTTCCGTCCTGGCTCTTGTTAATTGAGTCCAGATGTAATCGAGTTAGTATAAGTGACTTGCCTATTGGAACCGTTCGTATTTGTTCGTTTCCCAAAATTTGGAGCATCCTCCTGGATCGATCGGGAGCTGTGGGGTTAGACTTCACGTCGGACTCACCTTGCTGAAATCACAGTCAAGCACGGGGGCGCCAACTGTGATGGCGGCGACACCCTTGATGGTGGCGCTTGAGGTCGAGTTGGTCGCATCATAGATGTAGACTTTGCCGTCCCAGGAGGCGGCCGCCAAGTAGTTGGCCACCGGCGACCAGCGCAGCGCTGAGACGGTGTCCTCCGGGCCTTTGGGAAAATCGACATCTCTATCCTTCTGGCCATTAGCCGCGGAAGTGAGCGATTTTCCTTTGCCAAAGGCCATGATGATGTTGATGTGGTTGTTGTTGAAGTGCTGCTAATTATCGGTTGGAGTGAGTTGACGACTCCATGAACATGTGGGGTCTTATAACTGAGAAGAGTGAAGAGGCCCCCTGTCTAGTCCGCTGACGTGGCTCACGTGCATGGCAGTGCCGGGCCGAATGACTAATGGATGACCTGTTCATGACTTGATTGGATTCTAGGTCCAGCCCTGTTGATTCCAACCTCTTGCTGAGGTTAATAGCCTCTGGACGATCACGATGAGAGCTATGTTTTCCGGCACAAGTTTGTCGCCAGGCTCTGGTGACAAACAAGCAACAATCACTTGACATGCTCTGCCTAAAAAGGAAGATGACTTATCCATGACACCGCGAAGCCAGGCAGACCGAATAACGTAGTAACCGAGACACCCTCCTGGAGAAGGGGAGCCGGGTCAACGTTGACCGTCCATCCAATGTCAGTAGCCAGCACCAGCTCACTCCATCTGAGTACCCGTTGGCCAGTGCGTTTTCTCAATTGTCCTACTCTCCTCCGGAGAGTCGGCCCCGAAACCGGTTGACGAGCCAAAACTAATTGACACACCCAACTTTGCTGTAAGTCAAGCTTCAAATAGCTGCATCACCGTCAACAAAGGGACTGCACCTATTAAAACTTATCTGATGGTTCTATTTGGTATAGAAAGTAAGCCTTGCCAATCTGAGTAGGATTGATCAAGCAATTATCAGGAAAGTACAAGATCTTCAAAGAAAAGGGACGGAGAGAGTCTATCTTAAGACTTCCTCAGAGACTTCTCCAAGACGTAAGATCTTGGGTTTCCTTAACAGCAACCAAGGTGATCTTCCTTAAGTTTTCAAGACTTCCTTCTTATACTAAATTAAACTCTCTCCTACAAAATTTTTTATGGAGGTGTAGCCGCCTATTGATATTGTTGTGGCAACTTACCCTTGTGTGTTAACAGAATTATAATGTTAGGGGAGCTGCACTTAAATTTGGTCTGTCAACCAGTTCGCAGGGGAGTGGGCCAGTTGGGAAAAAGGCACTGGCCCACGGGTAAGGTGGTGCATTACCATTTCTCGGTACTGTACCAATCCTCAAAGCCAGTGCTCCTATTCGTGCATAATAAGCTCCATGCCTTGTCTTGGCTTCTTGATGTAAATCAAGCAAACTTCCACATACCCATACATTTCAATTGCGATCCCTCTCTTTCAGGGCCCTATCCCTCCATGAAATGCCACCTTAAACGCGTCAAAAAGAACCGGACCTACCCTCATTCCCTACACAGAACTAAGCATGTATAACCTCCCAACCGGTTTAGCACAGTGCCGCAGTCCCAGCCCTTTTTATCATCCCAAACGCCGACCCAATGCAATCAAGAAGCGGAACACATCCAGAACCGAACACACGTCATTCCCCGCCCAGAATCACCCCGAATAATGACAAGTGACCGGCGTCAGAGGAATCTTAACCAACTATCACCCCCACCGCAACCGCCACCCCAACAGCAACCATTACACCGCTACTCCCTCCCCAGCTCAGTGCCCTCACCGCAGCCGACTTCGAAGAGGAGCTTCCCCCCGACGGGGCCGCATGCAGCCCTCTCCACCCCTCCGTCGCCCTGACCGGGTTCCTCACGGCCGTCGCCCCCGGTATGTTGCTGCCCGCCGGCCCCTTCCCAATCTCAGCGACACTACTCGCAGCAGTAGCATTGAACCTCGTCTGCGCGAGCGCGACAATATTGTTCTCGAGATCATACACGGTGTACGCCGACCTCAGAAAGGTATCCCCCAGCACATAGGTGCCTCCTTTCCTCGCGGGCGAGATGCCAAACAGGCAGACGCTGGAACTGGCGCCGTCGTTGCCGTTGCCGCTGCTGAACCAATGCGCGATTGTCGTCGTGCTGGGCGAAACGATGTCGAGGACGAGCTCGTCGATGGCCACGGAAATGGTGGGTTCCGAGAAGGTGAAGTGGAGGAGGCGCGGGCCGCCACCGCCGGTGCGGTCGTCGCGGCGGGCCATGGAGCAGGGGACGTAGGCTGCGTTTGCGTCCGGGTCGAAGACGGCGCCGACGGTCGAGTAAATCTCGTGCACGATGCTGTCGGGCAGGTAGGTGAGGGACGTGCCCGTGTCGAGGAGGACGGCGATGGCGAGGTTGTCGCCGCCGAGCGTCTTGTTGTCGAGCTGGAGCCGGGTGAGCGTGATCATGAACTCGGCGTAGAGGCCCGATGCGGACTCGACGGGGAGCGACCGGAGCGGGGCGACGTATTTTTCTGAGTCGACGCCGCCGAAGAGGATGTGGCCCGTGTTGGCATCCAGGCCGTTCAGCCAGATGCTGTAGGCGTTGGACTGGATTACGCCGTCGGCGGCGAGCTGGGCGGGAAGGTTGTGGTAGGTGCCCAGGCCGGCCCGGCCGACTTGGACTTCATTGAAGGGGTAGCCGATCCCCAGGATGCCTTGGGCATTGGAACTCGAGTAGCCGATGCCGAACTGGAGGCGGTCGAGTTTCTGCGAGCTGATGGTGACCGTGTCCGAGACGTAATCCCCGGTTGCGCCGGTGCCGTCGACGTACGATATGTTGAAATTGCTGGCGACGTACTGGTAGGTGGACGACGCGTTGGCCGAGTAGGTTCCGGCGTCGCCGCATGGTTTCGTATTCATGGAGCAGAAGTTGGAGTCAGGGGTGTTAACCCAGAGGTCGCTGCTGCCGGTGTCAATGTGCAATCTCAGCGTCTTTGCTGGAGTGCCGACGGTTGCGTTGATGAGGTATAATGTTTTCTGGTTTTTTTTCAGCCTGTGGAATAGAACGCGCCGGTTAGAAAGCATACCAGATTGTCCAGGCCGGTCTCGATGGTTCCTCTTTTCCTCAGCATGAGCCTCTCGAGCGGATCCCGGGGTGCCGTAACCCTCTGAGTCTCCAAGCCGACCACTTTCAATCCATCGCGTTTCGATGGTATCGATAGTCCACTGATGATCGGAGCGAGTGTAGCCGTGAAAGCCCAATATACAGCAGTCTTCATTGTCTCAACCGTGTCCCGTCAGGTTGGGGAGTATCGGAACGCCGCAAATCCTGCGTCTAAGTCCACGCGATGGGGTTGTTCCAGAGTGCTACGACACTGGGGAACGAATAGAAAGGAATCAACGGAAAGGCTTGGGAATTACTTATGTGCGCATGGTGCAGCGCTAGTGGCTGTGTCTTGATGTGCGGCCAAAGTTGCGATCACCTGTCGTCATGCGCGGGTGACAGATGCATGAGGATTTGTCTCTGTAACCAAGCCCAGTATGGTCGCCCACGAGGCCGAGGTGGCACAAACAGCTCAATGAGAGACGGACAATGGAAGGGGCAACAGAGAGATTGATAGTGTGTATAGAGGCGACGGATGGGGAAACAGGAAATATAGGGCCGAGGTGATTGCTCCTCGGCGTGCATCTGGCATACACGCCCAAATAATCCTCGGATTGGAGAACTCGGACGTCCGGGGAGCCACTCGGCCCAACAAACGCGGGACACTGCCCAGGACCGGAAACCGCCAGGTCCATCTTTGGATCCCGTCATATCAAAGAAGAAAGGACATGGACTGGACGTCGTGTCTTCTTGGCGGCTCCGGATTCAAGCTGGGACTTTTTGAGTTTGGACGACCGAGAAAAGACCGGAGGGTCGTCTGAAGATCCGGAGGCGGGTGAGAGCCAACAAGCTCATGATGAAGGTGACGACGTGAAGCGACGAGGCTGCCCATCGTCGATCACTGTGGGCCATCCGCCAACATTGTATGTGATTGGTCGGTTCCATTGTCTACACCACGTTCTGGACCACTTGCCGCATGAAGCGTGCACCCTATGCAATTTTCTGCAAACTGACTCGGAAAGTTCAACCGAAACTGCACTGCTGCAGAGGCCTATCAGCTACACTATGGACTTCGAGAGCTCCTTATATTAGTAGCTACTAAAGGTATGTGGTACAGGAATCGACTATATTTGAAACTATGTACAAGACGGTTCCTGTAACATGGATCCATCGTGAATGACGCCCTCTAGCTCTAGGTAGCCTCGTAGCTAAGAAAAGACAACGAAAAGTGGCCCGAAGATCCGGAATTAGATCAAGCTAGTAATTACGCTTCGACTGTCCCAGCAGCTACTATCGAAACTCCAAGCGCCCAAACGACGATTTCCGATTTTGTACGGGAGCAAGCCGAACACCCGACCTGGTCCCCAATCCCTGATCATCCAGGGAAGCAAAAAAAAAAGCTTCAGAGGATGAAATGCCACATCGTCGGCATTCACTCCTCTTCAAGCGAATCAAACCACTCCGGCACCTTGAGACCCCACATATACCTCTCCAGCTTGGTCGCATACTTGGCGTATACCGTCGTTGCGTCATTGTACTGCCGACAATTGCTGAAGATCAACTCGGGATCTTTGAGCGTATCCCTCGGGGCAGCATAAGCATCAGCCTCGAGCCGCTCCTCAATGGTCGACAGATCCATCGGTGACGCAATGACGTTGTAGTAATCAGGGACTTCGTCCTTGTTGGCCGGGTTGGGGGAGGGCCACGCCTGTTTGTGGTTCTGGATCTGATACAGGAAGCGTCGGGGTTCGTTGAAGTGAGGCCCGTGGCGTGGCTGCGCCCGTGCTAGCTCGTCCATGTCGGGAGACCATCCGGTTGCTCGAATCGCTGGGATAGAGACCGGATCGAGGGGGGTGAGCTCATGCCGGTCACGGTCCCGCTGGCGGCGGCCCATTGCTGAGGCGGTTGGTGGATGATGTGGCTCTTGCTCAGGGTCCGGATCTTGGCTTGTACCGCCTCCTTCTGCTTGAGCAGCATACGACCGACTTCGAGGTAGCAGATCCGGGGGAACATCGAGCATTGCATGAGTGTACCTCCTTCGTAATCCTTGATATACCCCATCCAGATAGATTTGTCGAGAGTCATATCCTTGGTGAAGCCTTGTTTTTGAAAATACCCAGTAGCATAGTTATCGGCGTAGGTCAGGAAGTGCATTAGCGGAGAAGTGGCCTTGACATAATCCTTTAGGTGCGCCTTGAGATGCGCTCCGTGTATCCCTTCACTTGCTGGTTGAAGGACACGGCGCAGAAGACAATTTCAGCGAACTTGCGGCCTCGAAATTCTCGAAATGGTATCCCGCCAATAACTTCGAGAGGGTGTTTGACGATGGCCATGGAGAGATGGGTGCGGTCGTAGACGAGACGTGCGATTTGATACATAGGCAATCCCGGCAGCTGCTCCTGCAAGTGGCATTTGAGACCCGTCAAGATGATCATGTGCTTTCGGCTGCCATTATTATTGACGGCTCGAAATTCAATCTCGCCGTTTCGTTTTTATAGGACGGCAGGGTTCGAGACAGTCAGTACGTTTCATCACACCGAAACCATGACTGAGCAAACCTTCTCTGGGAAAGGGACCGTCCAAGGTACGAACCGTGTGCTGGGGGGTGAGCTGCCGCGTCTGGCATCCCCTCATGAGCGAGCTTGATTGTTTTGGGATCGGAGGCCGTGCTTGGTTCTTCGGACGGTGCGCGCTTCGTAGCGGGAAGAGCGTGCTCCAAGTCGGCTAGAACGGAGTGCGCGTCTGCTTTGGCCATCGCGCTCTCGGTCTTGTCCCCGACGGGCCCAGACGATATGCGACGTGTCTACGACAATGGATCGCTTGCGCTGAATACCGCCGAGCCTTCCGCCTCTGGTGAGGAATATGTTAGCCTGATGTAGGACTCCCTCGGCTGTTTGTTGTCGTAGACCTCACTTGATGAATAATTCAACGCGCTTGTTGGATTGCTGGGTGGTAACTTGGTACTGGGTTCGCCAATAGGAGCCCGAAGGACGGTGGTGACCGTGGTGTGCGGAGAGAATTGTTGTCAGTGTCCTTTTTGCACGAGTTGAACTCAGTAGTGCTAAACCGAAGATACTGCAGTAAAAGCCAAGCTGGCTAGGGTGCCTATCTATACATGTAGGTAAGGTACTCTTCGTCCAGTCCCACTCTTGACATAATTCCGTGACAAAGAAGACTTTCCCGTTTCGTCGCCCTTGTCTACGCGCCGAGGATGGAAAGAGAGTATAGGTGTCTAGGGAAACAGGCCCTATATTACCGACGATTCATTGCGAAATCCGCCGTCGGCCCGACTCTCTTCATCTTCAAGGCTCGATCGTGTTGGCGCAAATCCAAATAATGCAGCAACCCATGCCCGCGAATTCCATGTCTCCGGGGGCGGCGTCTCGGGGGTCGCTTTCCGGGAGGGCAGCGCGATATTGCAACCGTTCTGGATGGCCAGACGCCGGGCGATAGCAACCATCCGCCTGCAGTGGTTTTCGTCTTTGATGAAGGTTGGGAAGAAATGGTGGATGTCGAGCGATAGCGTACGTTGCAGCCACTCCCTCCGCCTCGTGGGGATCTCGGCGATTATCCCTTGAAGGACGCCCGTGTATCCTGTCCATTCTTCCCTCCGGGCTTGGGGTCCGACAGGCTTGCGGCGAGAGTAATAGTAGTAGAACATAATGGTGGCGTTCCACGTGAAATACGGGCTCGTCCAGGTCATGCTGCCCGCGAGAACATCCAGGATCAAGTCCCACGACTTCTGGTCGGGGATGGCATGGCCCTGCTTCCACCGCCATGCCGTTGCCGAGACAAAATTGCAGAACTTCTCGAAGGACCACATGGCATCATCCCCATTGTCTCGCCGGTGCCAGTGCCGCTTGAACATAGACGAGCCGGAAACCCATAGGCGATGAGGAGCATATGCCTGACAAAGGGCGAAGAGCCAATACCGCAACGCGAAGCCGGGGCAGATGGTATTTGTAGCGTCGGCCAACGTCGCGGCGTTCTCAAATTCGGCCTCTCCTTTTCCTGAACTCGTTTACTCCATTTCGTAGACGATGGTGCCAATGAATTCAAAGACTCGTTCCGCTCCAAACGGGCAGTCCTTGTTGGAACTCCGCCGTCCGAGGCACCTGGACGCGAGGAGCCTGTCAGGCGACCCCTCTCCGAGATGGCGAATGGCGGCCTGCATCTTTCGTGCCGCTCGGTCGAAGGCCTCCTCGAGGCGGCCGTCCTCCAACCTTCCGATGGGCGCGCGAGCACAGGTAGATGCGGAAGCTCAGCCATGTTGCGAACTCGCTGAGCCCAAAGCACGAACACAGGCACATGAGGAGCTTAAGCCTACGCCGATCTGAATCTACTTCATTGGGCTGTACTGGGTCGCGCCGCCGTGTGTCAGCTTACGGCGGACCGGATGCCGTCAGGGTGGTTGTGTCGCTCCCGTCCTGAGCGCGGACGGTGCCGAGAGGGCAGATGGAAGCCATGTCGGGCAACCAAAAGCACGGAATTGGAAAAGCAGGTTGATCCAAGGCAAGTGCGATATGTGCACAACCAGACAGCCACCGCGGTCACACCACGAACAACCCTCAGAACCGCCCCCCCCCTCTCCCTCGGACCGCACTCTTATCGCGCGAGACACCACGAGCACTACATAGTCTATTGTGGGATCAGCCGACTTGGAGGCGTATCTGACGGTTTTTGGCTTGATGGAGACCCCAGGTACTCAGTGTAGGATAGGTCTGGCCTGGGACTTGGGTACTTGGCGCCCGCATACAGGCAGGGAGAAATATGACGGACAAGAAGCGCTGTCTACCTTGACGTATCTTAGTCTCGGTGAAAACCATCCGAGTGATTACTTGCTGCACCCTGCCCTAAAAGCTTGCTCAGCCTTGGCGCCGCGTCAGCTTCCCTAGATTGGGATTGCGGCGCTGCCCTGTTTGGGACCCTTCAGGCCTCTCTCACATGCTTCTGATTCCTCGACTTGCACTCTTTCTTGTAAACTTCAAGTGAAGGAGAGTCATTATCCGAAAAAGCTAACAGAATCACAACTTGAATACAATGGACGCCGTCAACTTAGACCGATGGTCTGTCTGTCCTTTGTCCCACACCTCCGCCTCGCAACGCTCACTAACATCTCCTCGCCACCTAATAGCCCTGCTTACGCCGTATGTCTCCCATCTCGTTCAACCGCAATTGCACTCCTCGACTAACATCCCTAAAAGTCCTTCTTCGGCGCCCTGGGCTGTGCGTGCGCCATCATCCTCACCGTCTTCGGCGCCAGCTATGGCACTGCCAAGTCGTCCGGCGCCATCTTCTCCTCGGGCGTGATCCGGCCCGACAGGTTGATGCAGAACACGTAGGTCCAGCCAAGAAATTCCCCTATCTATCCATTGCTGAAGCGTAATGCCACTACACTGTCGAGGAGGCGCATGCTTCCCCCTCATAATAGCCCCCTTTTCCTCCCTGCCATCCATCCATCCACCCCATCCATCCAAGGCTCTTGACCCCATCTTGTAATGATTGAATCCTACAACCACATCAGATTCGATCAAATACACACCAACCACCCTGAAAGCCCTCTTGACTTTCCCTTCCATCAATTCAAAAAAAAAAACTGATGGTTTAATACCTTACTTTAAACTCACCATGCCATCACCACATACAGCCTCTGCGCCATCATGGCCCAAATCATCTCCATCTACGGGCTGGTAGCGTCCGTCATCATCTCCAACAACCTCGTCGAAAAGATGGCCCTGCACACGGCCTTTCTGCAGCTCGGCGCCGGTCTGGCCGTGGGCCTGTGCGGGCTCGCGGCCGGGTTCGCGATTGGTATCATTGGTGATGCCGGCGGTACGTTTATCCTCTTTGTGTTTTGTCTTCCTCTTTTGCTTCCCCCCCGTCTCTCTCCCACCTTTCGTTCCCGTCAGTCGAGTTTCTTCCTTTGGCCATGTTCGAGTAGGAATGAACAGCAGCCGAAATACCCGGGCTGAACTTCATGGCTGACATCGTGAGGGCGTGCGTTGCTTCTCCAGTCCGCGCCAGCACGCAGCAACCTCGGCTGTACGTCGGCATGGTGCTCATCCTCATCTTCGCCGAGGTGTTGGGTTTGTACGGCGTGATCGTGTCCATCTTGATGTTGACCAAGTCGACGCTGGGGGTTACTGAGTGTCCTTACTGAAGAGAAGGAAGGTTGAGGTAGATGAGGGGGCGAGGAGACAGAGGCTGGGGATCAATTGAGGATGTCGACATGTTCACAAAGTGCGCATAGTACGTGCAAAAATATGTACATTTTGAAACAGCACCTAGGAGAGGTGCACACGAAAAGAATACCTAAGGCCGCCTTCCTTCCAACCGGCCGCACGTATTATCTCCCCTTACCAGCTGCAAGCCATTTCCCCCTTCTCGCGCCACCGGGCGAGATACCGTCTCCCTCGACGCCCGTTTGAAGTTGGATGCCACCTTACATGTAATCACCTAGCCCCTGATGGTGTACTGGGCGCGGCCGCCAGCACCGCCCCATCCCTCGGTGGCCAAGACCTGGTAGTCGTGCTGGCCGAGGTTCAGGCCAAACTTCTGCCAGGCGGCAAAGTGGGCGCCCATGTTGACGCTGCCGCTGCCAGCGCCGCTATTGCCCTGGCGGTTGGCAATATACTGCCAGAAGGTGGTGGTGCCCGCGATGGACGGCTGGTTGACCTGCTGGTGCTTCCACAGATCCCACGTGGCGCCGTCGGCCTGGTAGGTGCCGACCTTCTGGCCCTGCGCCGACCCCTTGCCGTCCGACGTCCACTCCTGCACGTAGTACTCGATCAGGGGGTTGCGCGTCCAGCCGTAGACGGAGAGCAGGACCGTGCCCGACGAGCGGCTGCTGCTGCCCGAGTAGGAGATGGTTCTGGGGCGGTTTGTACAAGTTTAGATTTTCGGACTGGGACGACACTGAAGGTGCAACTCAGAAGTGGTTGTTGGGCTTACCTGGACGTTCCCGTCCTCCAGCCTTTTCCAACAACAAAGTCGCCCGCGCCAGAGAACGAGACCGAGTATCCATTGGACGTCGGCGAGAACTGGACGTTTCCGCTGGTCTTGTAGTTCTGGCTGTAGTCCTGGCGGCGGGTGAGGTTCCGAGGCGCAAAGTCAAAGTCCGGAAGATCCAAAGACGGCTCCGCGGCCGGGGCAGCGACAGCCCCGAGAACCGCCGAGGCAGCAAGCGTGAGGTAGGTGAACAAGACCATGCTGAGAGTGCAGAACGGTGGACGGAGACTTGACTTGGGTTATTAGGTTGTTGGACTTGTCCCTCTCGAGACCGAAGATGGAATGCCTCGCCCTCCCTTTTATAGCTGGTCGCAAGCTCCTGACGAACACCGGGGTCACCTTCCCTCTAGCAACACGTCCCAATGGACTTCTCGACATGATGCTTCCATGGGTACCCGCAAGCATGCTGTCCAGCCGCCTTCCTGAACAACACTGAATGCTACCAAAGGTGCTTCCAAGTGGAGTCTGTCGAAGATGCATCTCGTGATGCTTGGCGGCTGTTTTGAAACGCATTTATCCGGTTTTATGGCGACTACCACTGACAACAACCCTCCGTGACTTGAAAGAGCTAGCGAGGCCGAGTCGACCCGGAAGGGTGCCATCATTGTGGACACAAGCTGGCTCTCTCCCTGGACCATTTGTTGATCCCTTTTCTGCCGGTTGACTTAGACTCCATATTGCTTGCATGGTGAGACGTACCCGGGAGTGCCGAGAAGCCAAGACGCTTGCAACCTGGTCAGCTTGAGCTTGGCTCGAGACAAGCTTTTTGGCATGTTCAGCCCAGATCTTGGTTTTCCAGCTGGAGCGTGGCATGTGGCATGGTTCCGACCTCGACGTATTCGCATTATTGAGGTGTCCCAAAGTCAGTCCACTACTTGCCCGATTCAAGCATCAAAGGAACAAGGCCAGGCTAACCGTCGCTACCTCATCGGAACCGATGCATGGTACCGCTCGGGTTTGGGAAGGGACTGTGGAGGCTCGCTGGCATCCTGGTGTCCATCATTTGTTTGAGACGGGGGCGGAGATGCCGTGATTGGGTCCCTTATGGCCATAAGCGGCGACAAGCCCCCAGCCCGGTCATGACGAAATTGCCGAAGATATCTCCGGGCAACCTACCTAAGAAGGGAACTACCGCACGAGTACCTCTTCCCCCGGACATGGGCGTCCAACTTCGGACTTAGCCGTTCACATTGCAAAATACCCGAGTACGACGGAGCAAGGTCTTGCGGGCAGGCAATACCTGGGGGTTATGGCATCAAATGCCGAACGGAAAGGCTAAAGTGCCTTAGACGTTATCATGGTTTGAGAGATCTAAGACCTCGCGGATGTGTCGAATCATTCCAGGAAGGCAACATTGAATGGTATTGGCCGGTGTATATCCGATCTGAAAACCACATGAGCTGCTCTGGTCGAACAAAGCCAAACACCTCTTGAACACTTATCGACGCTGATGGTTCTGCTAGTATCATGTCCGACACTAGAACTATGTTATCGGATGGTATGCAACAACATGTGTGGGTAAAGACATAGGCATAAGACTGCTTCTATATGGCGGAGCCCAAGAGCAAGCTTTCCGACGAACCATTGAGATCCTCGTTGAATATGCAGCCGATCCGACCGGAATCCTCCATTTGATTTAGTAGTTCATAATAGCCAACCTTCAAGTTGTTATGGAATACCTGCTAGGGGTCTAGGGTACTTTAAAGCCAGGCCCGTTATAGTATTTGGTTATTATTCTCGAAGTAGGGAAGAAAACCAAGACCGGGTTAACATTGGGAGGTACAGAAAGTCGACCTTGCATTATTATCTCTATCAAACCTACCGACCTACTGATAGCCAGTAAGTAAGTTTCAGCTCGTCAAATGGTTCCATAGGACAGGCCTTCGCGATCTAAGCCGAAGTACTGTAGAAGATAAGACACTCCTAGGTCTCTTAACTGACTCGTTCCAAGGCGTATTCCAACGTTATCGTCCAACTTGAGTTGCTAATGAAGCTAAAAGATCCGGACCTGCCCGATTCTCTGTTATGGGACGTTGTAGAAGTTGGAGATTCCAAGTTCATAACCCTTCGATACGCCGCTTACTACCTAGAGTACCTAGCCAATAGCGCCCATGGCAAAGACAACTCTGCGCGGCATGATCGCAAAGAAGTGGTACGAACCTGAGCATATCAGTGTGCAGATTATATCCTCGAACGCGGCATGCAGACTTTGGGGCTGCTTCCCATGGCTGAAGCGAAACCACACAAGATGTTGCCATCATGATTGGCTGCCACCTGAATTGATGAGACAAGATTCACACAGATCCTTGAGCTCGAAGCTCCGGAATTATTAATCCGTCACGCTCTCGGTTTGCTCTTCTTGCCTTGACAACTCATGAGTGGACTCAAAACCGATGCAGGCCAGGGTCCGCATGTCGACAAGCCGTGAGCTCCCAGCTATGTGACTGTGTCTGGTCCTTAATAATGGGCATGTGGCACTTGCCTGAAAAACTGCATGCTTATTCTTTGTTCAAGTGATTGTCTGATACCTTGACTGTTCAGCTTCGGGTCCTGCTTCACAAAAAAAAGCAGAAGAACGAAAGAAAAATATAAAGTCGGAACACTAAGTACGACTTCAATGGAAGGCAGGAATTCATCGGCCTGTCAATAAAACGCCACCCTGATCATGACTCCAATCTGTCTCTCCTCCTCGCTGACATTTTCAGGTATGCCAGCGGAGAAGATTCGATCCATCTTGAGTTTCGGAACCGTGGCTTAGAAGTGGACAGTCCGCAATTCAGCCGGCAGTTGACTATTACTGGAGGATTGTTTAACAGAGTACTATTTGCGTAGGGGGTATCGCTCTGCAGTCAAACCTTATCATCCCTCCGGTATTGTAGCCGGCGGCAAACTCCTCTCCCTCAGAGAGCCCACTCGTCCATGTCATCCCCCTTCTTGACAAACGGCTCATCGATTCCGCGGATCGCATACTCGCTGCACAGAATACTGCATTCCCTTCGTCAGCACGGCATTCATATCACCAACCAGCACGTCAGAAAGAAAACAACATAACTTACCACGCCGAAGCAACCAACGCATCCAGCTCGGCAATCATAGCCTCCCTCTTCTCCCCACCAACCAGCCCCTTACTAATCTGCACCTGACACTCCCTGATCCTCTTGGCCTTGGCCGCGCCGCTCTGCTCCAGCACCCTCCGGCCCAGACAATCCGAGTGGAACGCGTGCTGGCAGGGAAACACAAAGAACTGCCGGCTAAGCAGCGGCAGCCCGCACGCGTAGCACCGCTCGCCCGGTTCTACGATGGCATACCGCCTGTCGAGCGCAGCAATGTCAATTTTGATATTGGCGGCCGTCTGGCTCGACTCGTCCATCTCGCGCCGCAGCGCGTCAATGTTGCGACTATAGTCCTCGAGCGCGGCGCAAATCTCGTCCTTGAAGTCGTCGATGACGACAAAATCGGGAAAAAAGGGGATGAGGTCCTCGATCTTGAGCAGGTCGCAGCGCTTAAGGAACTCGATGGCTGTCTTGATGCTGCCGCCCGACTGCTGCGAGATGACCTTTTTGGCGACGGCCAACCAGAGCTTTTTGCGAAGCGCCGGGTTGGACATGGGCCGGTCGGCGATGATGGAGGCGAGCTCGACCTCATCATTGGCCAGAGCGAGGTTGACGGCTTGCACGTACTGGCCCATGCTGGTGTATATCCGGGCGCACGAAAGGACGCGCCGGTTTTGGATGCATAGCCGGAGCGCAAAATCTGGGTCAAACTTTGGCTCGTCGCCTTGCGACTCAAGGTACGACAGCAGGGCCGACTCGTCCTTGGATGGGTGGGAGGCGTAGATGGAGACCAGTGTGTTGTGCACAGCCGAGTCTGTCGAGCCAAGCTGGTTGACCACATACTGGAGGTAGCGGATGGCCTGATTCTGGGCTAAATGCCCTTTGTAGTTGCGGTCATACTCGAGCATTGCCGGGATGAGGTTACGAGGGTTGAGGTTGCTCTGCCGCATCAAGACCTCGACCAGTTCCGTCGCCGCATGCGTCATAAGCACGCTGCTGTACCGGTAAAAGACCTCGGCATCTGTCTGCCTCTTGAGCACCTTCAGCGCCTCCGACCACCGCTCCCGCTGGACCCAGTACGAGAGGACATAGTTGTAGTCGTTCACCGCGTTGGCATAGAACAGCAGCTCCTCTTCCCGGCCATGGCTGCTGATGACATCGTAGACTGTCTTACGGTCCAGATCGGATTTGTGCCTGTTTACGAAGGCTTGGAACTCGGCTCGGACCGCGTCCAGCTGCTCCCTCGTCTGCGTCGTGTTTAGTGTGTCGGACAGCTCGGCCCCTGTGACGATGGTGTCGTCGAGCGAGTTCAGCTTAGCCATGAACACCTCTACCAGCCACGCCGCAATCATGACCCGCTGCATGATGGACGACTTTTTGTACGTGCTCAGCTTAGTCAAGAGATACTCGCGGAGGGCGTCTGGCTGGTCATTGTCGATGAAGGTGAGCGCCACCTCTTCAAATGGCTTGCTGCTCTTGCCATAGACGCCTGCAGCGTCGTTGTACTGCCTCTTGCTGACAAGATAATCTCCCGAAGCGATGGCGACAGCGTCTTTTTGTGCCGGTGTGTGCGCATACTGGAGCGCGGCGTCGAACCGCTGCATTTGCAGCATGATCTTCCAGATATCCCTGTCCTCGTCTCGCGGGACAATCTCGAATATCGTCCGCGGAGTGAAGACCCAGAAGGTGCTCTTCTGCAGATCCACACACAGGCCAACCGCCTTCTGCCCGGGGTCCAGGATAGTCTGATCGTAGACAATCGACCCCGTAAGTCGGTTCGCGATCACCACTCGAGCCCCGATAAGGCAAATAACGTGCCACTGCGTGAGCGCAATGGCATCGATGTATTCGGTCGACACCTGCCTCCTCCCGGGCCCCTCAGGGCTCGCCAACTGCGCCCTCGGAAGCAACTTTGCCTCGGCAAACACCTTATTTCCCAACTCAGTGCCGGCCCCATCGGCCAACAACTTCCCATGATAGACTCCATGCGGCGACAACCACGCAAACGCCCTCTCGGCCACTTCATCCTCCCTCGAAGAGAACCTCAGCCCCTCCTGCGCATCCGGCGAAACCACCAGCATGGACGCAGCCGCCGCCGACGCCCTGCTCAGCTCGTGCACCACAGGCTGCTCGCCCTCAAACAGCTTCGAATAAATCGACGCGCTGCCATCATGGCCCCTCCCAACCTTGCCCACAAAATGGCACAGCCTGCTCTGGGTGGCAATCAGCAACCTCCTCACGTCCTGCTTTCCGCCGCCGGCAGGAGGTACCGGCACCCAGTCCACCCACAGCCCCGTGACCGGCCCGCCGTCGGGCACCCTGTGCAGCAGCTTGACATACTTGTCCTCCTTGCGATAAAACTCGGTCGACGTCTCGACAAACGCCTCGTAAACATTCCCATCTGCCGCGCCAATCAGAATCTCCCTCGTCGACGAAGTCGGCAAGGCAGGGCTCCACGCCACGGCCTCGATGACGACGCCCTTCAGCCGCGCGAGCGGGCGGGGGTTGCGCGACTGCGAGTGCAAATAGTAATTATCGCCGTTCGCCGTACAAATCAACAGATGAGACGCGGTCGGATCGAGAAACATTTTTCGAATGACGCCCGTCTCGGTGGGCTTTTTGGCTTGAGGCAGGTCGATGTCGTCGATGTCGTCGGGCTTGTTGAGGTCGATACGGAGGATGCGGCCGTTGGCGAGGGCCAGCACCAGCACGTTGTTGGCTGCCGCGCCGGCGACAAAGTCGACCGTGATGGAGAAGACGAGCTCGACGCGCTGGACGTCGAAGATGGGCAGCGCGGCGTCGTCGGCGGCCGCGGCGAGGTTGGCTACCGCTTCGGCGGCTGCAAAGCCGCTAGACGGATCGAGCGCCATGGGGTGCTGTTTGAGCTGTTCAAGCGCTGCGCATGGCGGGAGTTTGGTTGCTGGTGATGCGCCCGGATTAATAGCTGCTCAAGTCGGGTTCCGGGACCGCGGAGGCGGGAGCTTAGGTTGATCGTTGGTGTTCCGGTACTCCGTACCTTCCAGGCTGCAGTTGCGGGTTGAAACGGTGAAAGTGGAGTAGGACTGGAAGCTGCAGTGGGTTCCAATGGTGCGTCATTCCTTGAAGCTGGGTCCTCACAGTCGCTCGGGAGTCGGGTGCCAGCTGCGAACGGAACAAACCCCTGACCCCCCTTGAATGGGCTGCAGCTCTCGACTCCAACTCACTGCAGTCTTCAACCATCTGTTACCTTGAAGCGAGGTGCTTTCAAGTAGGTTCTCTAAAGAGTCAGTGGTGAATAAACATCATTACCCTGGCCAAAGCTAGCAGTCATGCAACCCCGAGGTAATCTATGTACACAGAAGAGCTAGTCGGGTATCTACAACGCCCAAAGAATGACAAAAACAGCCACAAACCGCTGTATTGTGTAATAATCCCACCCCCCCCCCTACACCCACATTCAGCCTCGACAAATACCCCCTTCTCACTGACCCCATTCGTCCCTGCGGGCAGTAAAAGCCACAGTATTTACCCAATCTTCATTCGTCATTTCATGCCGTCTCCTCAGACCGGATGGTCCTCCCTCCAATGGTGCTCTCATCCCCACTATTGTACCCCGTCACCTCGGCACTCTCATTCAGCGTCCTGGCGGACCACTGCCCGGGCACCGTCGGCTTTCTGGCGACGACGACGCGCAGCTTAATCACAAATGAGTCGACGCGCGCCGGGTCGTCGGCCACCATCCTCGTCTCGCGGGCCACCTTGTCGCACAGGTCGCGCACCTCGTCGGCGTCCCACCCCAGATACTTTGTCAGCAGGCGCAGGCACAGGGCCTCGATGCCCGTGACGATGGAGAAGAGCCAGAACTTGCCGTAGCTGCTGTTCTCGCGCGACCCGATGCCCAGGTCGTAAACCGTCTCCTGCACGTCGACGAAGCCCGCCTTCATCAGCATGTCCCCACCCAGGAGGTGCCGCGAGTCGTGCGGCTTGCCGGCAAGCGCCGCGGCCTCGAGCACTGCGTTGATCAGGATGCGCGGCGCCGAGCCCTCCGGGAAAAAGGACAGGTAGTTCCTGTCGGCGAACAAGTCTTCCCAATCAACCACCTCAATCCAGCCGCCCGGTTTGAGGCATGCGAAGGCTTGGCTGTAGACGAAGGGCCATTTGGAGAAGGCGCCTTCCATGTTGCGGAAGTGCACCAGATCGACCGTGTTTGCGGGGCGGATCCATTCCTCCTCGGCGTTCTCGATGTGGAACTCAATGTTGAAGGGAACCTGGTGTGTGGGCTGGATGGGCGCAATGTCGGTGCCGAACACTTCGCACTGCGGGTACTTCTCGGCCATGCCGATAGCCCATTCCCCTATGCCGGTGCCAATGTCAAGAATGTAGCGGGGGTTCTCGAGCGGAACCGTGGTCAGCTCGAGGTCAAAGACCTTCAGGAAGACCTGGTGGATGACATATTGGCGTGTCTGCTCCGTCTGGTCGATGGGCAGGAAGTAGTCTCCGCAGTATTGCCGCCCGTGTTCCACGACAAAATCGAAATCCTCGGCATACAGTGTTCGAGCCGAGTCACTGGATGCCGGTCAGTACCTGCGTATTCTCCCATCTCAACACAACGACAGTAGGAGAGGCAAGCTCACATCGTCGCCGAGTCGTGCCCGTTTTCGTATGGGCTCTCGACCTGGTGAGTGGGCAGGCCGCGGGGATACATGCTCATGGCGTAGACGGACCGGGAGTAACCGTCTCCCTCAGCTGCCGTGTCCGCCTCGTCGTCGCCGTCTTCGTCCACCTCTAAACCTGTTTCCTCAATCCCCTGTGCTAGCATTGCACGAACCTCTGGAGACATATAGCTATCGTCGGCCTTGATGGGATCTGTGTTTGCGTATGGCGGTCGGTTGGGTAAGTGTTCCCTCGATGGTGTCTCCCGTATTGCGCAGCAGTACCCTGATTGCCCCGAGCCCATTGCTTCCTATTCTGGCGGACACCCTATAACTCTAGGATTGGCGGTTGGGCGCCGCTTGTTCCCCATTAGACTATCCGCAGACGTTCTGTTCAGCCGAAGTGATGGTAATGCATGCGAGTAAGGCTTAAGTTTTCCGTGATGCTGCCGATCGAGTTCTGATGTCGATAGGCTCTGGCCGCGGACCAGGAAGCGCGCTGTCGTGAGTCTGCCGGGGATTGTCGCCTCAAAATGGAGTTGAAGCCAAGGATGGCGAGGCGGGCGTGGTTGGAGATCGGCGCAGGGGCCGCTCCGTGAATCGTTGCCGTCCTAGATCGCTGGCCTAATCCCAATGCCCGGATCCGTCACTTTCTCATTGTCTATGTGAAGGGGAGAAGAGCCGATGGACGTGCACGACGGAGCAAACGGGAGGAGCTCTGGCTCGGCGCGCAATTAATAGTGCAGGCCGTCCCAGACTAACGACAAAGCAGCTAGACGGCGCGTGGCCGGCGCCGGCGCCAGGGCACAGAGGACAGGGCTGCTTTGAGGACCTTCCAGGCTGCTCTTGGCCGCTGCCAAAGCCCCACCAGTCCAGGAGGTACGTGACCTGCGGAGACGCCAAGAGGTACCTGAGGTGGGGCTCTCCTTCCCCAAGTATGGATCCGTACAGTACTTCGTCCCGGCTGGTGACCCTGAACTCGACATGAACGAAAGTCCGAAACTGAAATGCAACTCACATGGCAAGTCGCACGCCTTTGGTCTGGTATCTACCATTTCCCACTGTTGTCTGTCACAACTATACCTGTCGCCCGCCTTCTCGGCCGAACCAGAACTCCGATTATTGACGCCGGCGTGTTGCGCTGGAAGACATCGGAGCTCCCTTGCTAAGATACCTACCGGAGAATGGCATGCAAGAATGCGGGAGCCGAAATCCCTCGCAGTGGGTTCCAAATGACAAACCACTGCACTGTCTGGCAGACATAAACAGCAAGTCAGTGACACAAAAAGGCCGAGTCCTGCATCAGCGAGCGCGATGCCGAGAGCGTACGGCGCATGATATCTCTGCTCATCAGTGCTCTCGTCTTCCAAACCCCCGATTTCTCTCGGGGTGGCTGACCCCCTCAAACCGGTGAGACGGCGCCAACACGGCACCTAACGAAGCCGCTTCACCAATTCGTGGTAGAAACAAAGGCTCTGGACCACAAAAAGCGGGGCAGCCACTGCAATGGGCTAAAGCCAGAATCCGAGGGGCTGCGGGAGGCCAGGACTAGAATGGCTTGGAAAAAAAAAAAGAGATACGCCTTCGAAATCGCTTCGAGATGATGATTAATTACAGCCGTCCCGTGGTTGGCTGTGATAATAAACTGGGCCGGGCTCATGTCAAGCCCAGCAGAGTCGACTCGACCCGACAGCGTGGGTACGGAATGCCGAGCGCAAACACTGCGCCACTGGAAGCTGTCTGTGGTCAGCCAGCAGCTTGGGAACGACGGTCATGGCATTCGTTGGCTGCGGTGGAGCATGGCCCCGTCCCCGACCATTGGGGCGGAAATGGCGGACACTCCTCGAAGGGGTACGGTGAATGCTGGGGAGGCCGAATTCCCGGGATTGGTGAGCTGCCGGCGTGGGTGTCCAACTGCGAACTGCCACGACAAACGCAGTCAACCAGCAAAAATCTACCCTTCCTACGGAGCTGGGAACCGGGCCCAGAGCGCATGACTGATTCCCCAATCGATGTTTCCTTGTGCATGCAGGTAATGTGGAGCAAGGTGAGAAACGGAACCCAAGCGGATGAAAGCTCTTTGTTCCGGCCCAGTACCGAACTCTGTCGACCATGGACTCCGTACAGAGGGATCAAACTGCGCAGCCAAGATGTCATCCATCAACAGTCGACTCACTCCACAACGGAATGGACCTCGTACTTCCGACCACACCAAGAGAAGCTCAGAGAGGCTGCCCAGCTTCCAGAGCCGGCAAAGCGGTCACTCTCCTGAGAACCACTGCCCCATCCCCCGACGGCTCCGGTGACATCGGAGGCACGGATGCACTCTGTGGAAAAGAAATGCAAGCAAGCAATTTTCTTGGGAACAGCAGCACGTCAGTCAACCCAAGGGTGACAAGCTAACGCACCTGACAAGCTTGTCTGATCAGCGCCACCAACCGCTCAGTCGGGTCAATGGACGTCGCCTGACGTCCAATGTACGAGCCATGTGTGTACAATACATGCAGTGCCTTGCACACTAGGGCGTTTTACCTGGACGCACGGCGCCCTATCGAAACTTTGCGCAAGATACTTAGTCTCCTATTCCCAATATTCGGTGTCTCCCACCTTAACATAGCCAATTTCCACGCACAAAGGCGCTCTCCTCGAAACACCCCTGCATCTCCTCTCCTCATCATGAATCTCACGCCAGTCGACACCCCAATTCCAGCCCTAGCATCCTTTGCCATTCACTTCCCCATTTCCCCCTTCCCTCCCCATCCATTTCCCATCCCGCTCCCTCGGCGGCGGCGGATGATCCCACACAAACTCCTCGTCACCCTCCACGGTCCCCGCCGCCGTCACCACCGGAAACGGGCTCAGCACCTTCCCAATATCCCCCCACCACCTCTCTCCAAACCGCCGATACCATTCCACCGTGACCCTCAACCCCTCTTCAAACCCGGTCTTCTGCACCCAGCCCAGCCTTTTCAGTTTCCCCGAGTCAATCGCATAACGCTGGTCGTTGAACGGCCTATCGTGCGTGTACTTGACCCAGCGGGCGAACAACTCTTCTTCTTCTTCTGTGGTGGTGCTGGCGCCGTCCGCGTTGTTTCTTTTTGGGACGGTGACAGGGGCGATGCCTATCTCGGCGAGCAGCTTCCTGCACAGTGCGAGGTTGCTGATCTCGTCGGCGGAGCCGACGTTGTAGGTCTGCCCCGGCTGGCCGCGGTGCAGGATCGTGTCGAAGGCGTCGGCGGCGTCGGCCGCATACAAGTATCGCCGCTGGTTCGAGCCGTCGCCGTGTAGCACGACGGGCTTGTTGCGCGCGAGGAGGCAGGTGAATTTGGGTATGATCTTCTCCGGGTACTGGTGCGGGCCATAGACGTTGTTGCTGCGCACGATGATGGCGGGCAGCTTGAAGCTCTTTTGGTACGAGTGGACCAGCATCTCGGCCGCCGCCTTGCTGGCCGCGTAGGGGTTGGTCGGGGCTAGGATGCTCGACTCCAGCCGGTCGTCGTCGCCCCGTGCCACCTCGCCGTACACCTCGTCGGTCGACACGTGGATGAAGCGGTTGACTGTGCCGACCTTCTTGGCGCTCTCGAGCAGCACGTGCGTGCCGTACACGTTGGTGTGCGTGAACGTGTACGAATTGCCGAAGCTCAGGTCGACGTGCGACTGCGCCGCGAAGTGGAAGACGGTGTCGATGCTGTGCCGCTCCAGGCAGGCAAGCACCTCGGACGGGTTGGTCACGTCGCCCTGGTAGAAAGTGAAGTTGCGCCGGTCGTTGAGCACGCGCGTGTTGTTGAGGGAAGCGCAGTAGTCCAGCTTGTCAAACGAGATGATGTTGTACGCGTGCGGGTAGGTGAGCGTGAGGTGCCGGACGAGCCAGCATGCTCTGGCCATAGTCAGTCACTTTATGTAACTCGGCATGTAGGAGTCATGCTGTATCAAAGCCGCCGACGACATACATGAAGCCCGCGCCCCCCGTCACCATGATGTTCTTGACTTCAGGCAGGGGCTCAAACTTGGTGGTGCCAATAAGCACCGGGGCCTCTCTCCAGATGCCATAGTCCTCGAAGAAGCTGTTCCTGTGGCGGAAGCCTGGATATGAACGCACCAATCGAGCTCAGCACCATGGACCGTTTTGAGCACGATTCCTAGACACACTCACCGTTGACAGGACCGATCGGCGACTCTGCCCGGTTTGAAATGGTCATGGCTCCTACGCAAAGCAGAGAGAGTCGAATAGAACCTTGAACTGAATTCGATGGTGCATCGCTCTGCGGAGGCCGAGGCAGGCCAGCTCAGGTTGGTCGAAACGAGCGGTCCTCTAAAGGAGGCGATGTAATCAGTTGAAATGGGCCTTCTTACTCGAAATGAAAGGAACTTTGACTTCTCCCATACCTTTTTCAATCCGAGGACTCGGACTGTACAAGTACAAGTACTCTAAGAGCCAGATGGCATCGATGCACCGAGTGTCCCGAGATGGCACCATGTCCAAGCATGGCAATGCACACTCGACGCGGAAGGAGGGCCAAAAGAGGAAACGAGCGGAAATGGGAGCTTGATGAGAGGGCAGCGACAGAAATAAGTTGCGCAACAAAAACTGGGAAGGAGCGCCACCCCAGGTCTGCTGGAAGACGGAGTGTGTCTCAAGCTGACATACCTTAAGGACCTGGTATTAGGCAGAGTTCAGCTTGTCCGACCTTCACTTGGCCCCCGTTGCTGGTTCTGTACCTTGGTTGCGCCGCGAGCCGTGATGAGGAAGATGGGATGAAGAATGCGCCCTTCAATTCTTCTCTTCTGCTTTGGATCCCCACCAATACGAGCACCCCACTTCCTTGTCTAATAACACGCAAACATCCGCGAATCTTTACCCAAGAGCATCAGAGGTATCCTGTCACCCCTGCCATCAGGGAGAGTGTAGAAAAAGCCTCCAGCTTTGCGCCAAATTTCCCAGAAAATCCTTTGTATAGACAGTGCTATCCACACCAGCCAGCCTCTCTATGATAACACCCCTGGGAGCTTATCCTGTCCCTTCGATTTCCTGGAAGCTCGCTGGAAACCCAAAAAAAAAAAAAAAAAGGCATGAAATATCTGACAAAGAAATGGTCATCAAATTCGCTGCGAAATATCCCCTGTTGGCCTATACACCCTATGCATTATGCACCTGTTCGTAAATCTCGCGCATCTTCTTGCATACCTTGCGCAGTCTCTCAAAGCGCGCCAGCTGCTCCTGGCAGTATATCTCTATCGAATCGTGCCACAGCACCTTTTCAATGTCGCGGCCGTAGCGGTCGATGATCCAACCCGGGTCCCCCCACATGCGCACATAGTGTTCCTCCTCGTCAGTTGCGAGGACTTCTGCCGCTTCGTCAAGCACGGCCGTCAGGTCCGGCTTGACGCCGTTATGGTGGAAGAACATGTAGTGGTGGGGGTCGTGCTCGAGCGGCAGGCGACCCGCCGTGTCGAGGAAGGCCGAGTCGGTGAGGAAGCGGGATATATGGGACTCTGTGAGGGTGCTGTCGTTGGGAACCGTCTCGTCCTCCCCGGCGTCTTGATTTTGTTTGGGGCCGGGCTTATGTCCTGCTCGTCTTTGTTTGACGTTGGGTTTATGCTCGAATTTGGAGACCTTTTGCCGCCTTGAATGCGCGGTGCTTCGTCTCGCCCTGGCCGCGGGGTTGCTCTCGGATTCGTCGTTGGCTTTGTCATGAACTTCGTCATTCTTGGCCTTCTCGATGGCGGCCATGACAGTGCGGTAGTCCTCCGACGGGTCCATTTGCTGCATGAACATGCCCCTCCAGTTGCCCTTGACAGTCCGCCCGTGCGACTTGGGCATCGTCTTGACGTCCCAGTATCCCTTCTTCAGGCCGATGCCCTGTTTCATCCATGCGGTTGGCTGCCGGTATACCCCCTTCCTCCGCAGCGCGTCCAACACCAGCGCAGCTTGGAAGAACGTCTCCTTGTCCCCTTCCCCAGGACCGTGTTGGTTTAGCATGGAATAGTAGTGGTCCGGCCCATTGTAGTTGTAGTAGGCGGCCAGGAGGAGGGTATCAGCGTGGCGCGCCTTGTCGTATATCATGATGCCGCTCTCGGAGCTCGCGCGCGAGGCAATCGACGGGACCTTGATATCACCAGCGATCTTGTAGAACGCCGGCGCAACCTGGGACACCCAATAGTCGGGCCAGGTGATGAAGCCGGCCGAGATGAAGGGCTCGCGCGTGAAGAGATGGTCAGGACTGCGCACGGGCAGCGAATCGGCGTCGAGGAAAAGCACGTTCTGGAACGGCGAGGCTATGATGGAGATGAACTTCCACTGAAAGCGGTGCAGCTTTGGCACGACCTGGTGGTGTAAGCCCGCCCACAGGTCCTCCAGAAAGAGGCAAGAGGCGTTGTAGCGGGGGAGTGTCTCGGCGCACACCGATTCCACCCATGGCGAGTTCGAGTCGACGACGATCTGTATCGGGAGGCGCGAGCCAGCCTGCCGCGCCATCAGCACCATGGAGATGGCCTGCCCGAAGTTGCGCGCGCCGGCTGTCGACACGATGCCCGTGGTGCCGGCATCGTAGGGAAGATGACTGGCGAACTGAGGGAGCTGGCGCACGAAGGACGCGTGCGACTCGCGAAACTTGGCCTCGTCGGTTGCGTTCAGCACCAGGAGGTCTGAGCGCACGATGGAGGTGTCGGGCGTCCAATTGTCGTTGGGCGCTGAGCCATTGATTTCGGTGGGAGCCGCCACTACGCGAGTATTCTCGAGGCGCATAAAAAACTCGATCCACCAGTCGCTGGAGGTGTTGCGGATGTTGCTCGCGACATGGTATGGCGCACGGGGTGGGGGATCGTAGACGCGCGAGCGCACGAGGAGGTAGAGCAGTGTGGTGAATAGAGGAAGCATGAGAATGGCCGCTCTCCCCCTCGGCTTCCCACCGAAGAGGAATTTTCTCAGCATTAGATCGCTCGACCTGGCCCAGGGTCGCCCTGTGGCCAGGTTTCGGGCGTAATGTGGCGGGCAAGCGACAAGTCGGAATCGCGCGCGACAGGCGCTCGGCGGCGCTATTGCATCGGTCAGTTTGTCAGGACGACTGCCGGGCTTGCCGTGTCGCTGTTCTATGGCCTCTCGCGGGATGCAGCGGGTAATAACATGTCGCTGTCTCGGGGTCCAACATTGGGTTTGTTTCCGGCGATGTAGGGGCGCGGGAACTGGGGAACGAGAACGGCGGCGAAAGGATTCAATGCCAGGGCGCCAAGACTTTAAACCTACGTACTCCTTTTCCCTCACATGTCATGTCAGCATTCTGACGGCCAACGGACATCATTTGAGAATCAAGTTAAACAATTGGCGGTTGGATCGAGCCAAGCCGTTATGATCAGACAGATCCTGGACTCTCGTTAGGGGCAAAGATAATTAACATATCTGGACTGTGGGCGCCAAGTGGCGCCAGCTTCTTGTTTTCCAACCAATCATCTTACATAGAGTGCGAAATCTCGAAAATCTGGTTGACGATACCCACTTGCGGTAAGATCCGCACTTGTCCTCTACTCGGCATCCCAAGCCGAGATCTTTCCCCTTCGAGTTCCCCTTGAGTATGGAATACTCCGTACCTCCGTACGGACAACTGATTCCCCTCTCGAACCCTATCGCATTCCACTGACGTGGGACTAGCAAGCAATCGAGCGGAAATGCAACTATTCGATAAGCCCTGTGAGGTGCAGTGCTGGTGCAAGCTCAAGCTTGCCGTTGGACTCTGGCCGTGTCATCCATCACTCGACAGGCGGCCTCTTCAGAGTTCTGGGCCCCAACTTTGGCAGCCAGTTGGACCCCACGCAATTGCAGCCTAATGTTGGTATGGCTATTGACACTTGGCCGATGCCTTATCTGGGACATCAAGGACCTTTCGAGCCTTCAGATCCGACAGATTGACCAGAGAGATCCTGATGCGGCCTGACCTGAGACCCGAGATCTGAACTTCGTTGTGCGAGAGGCTTGACGTACCCATCAACCAGGGCTCAATGTTAGACGTAAGCTCAGAAAGAGAGTTCAACAAATTTGTCCTCCATCAATCGCAGCGGCCCGAACAGCAGGTTCCAGCATAACAGGCCGAATAGAGTTCCCCTTGACCTCGACAGCAGATCAATTGAGCAAATAAAATTTACCTCAAGGCAGGTAGCTATCTACGAGAACCAGAGCGGGTTTTATGCCGCGGGAGAAACGAACGTGCGAGGTCGGCTGGCTTGCGGTGGCCGGCCCCCAAAAGTGGCGGAACACCATCTCAAACTCAGCCAAATAGATGGGAGCGGCTGTCATGCGAGACTGGAATTGCGTATCGTGCGAGCGGTATATAAAGGCCGTGCGCACCGAATCGCCTGGTGGATGGGAGACGTGATGGGCTCGCTTCCATGGTCCAACAGTAGGGTGACAACTTTACCGGCTTATCCCCAGAGACTCACTCGCTTTATGGTTGCTCTAGATGGCCATTCGTCCCTTGGTGGCTTTTATTCTCTCTGCAACTGGCTTACCCTCCCCCGTCCATTCCTCCATGTCCCGCGCCTTGTACCTCGCTTATGTCTCTCAACGTTATCCCCCAAACTTGCACCTGACCTTTTCGTGCATCGCCTCATCCCAAGAGTCGAAACACAAACTCCGTCGCCTACAGATCCATCCTTCGTATCCCAGACGATACTCTTCCCCATCCTTGCTGTTGATCCTACTACGCCTCTCCCCTGCTTCGCCAGCCCCACTATCACTACCACCCCACCACACAGCTACTACCAATTAACCCAAAGTCCTCCTAGAATGACCTCCCTTACCAGCACCCTTTCCTCAACACCTTACCCAGTTTAGAATCTCGGCTCCGCCACAAGCAGCATGCAGTGCAGCTCTCTCCTTGCTACTGAAATCAGGCACCCCATCTCTCCGGCCCTCCTCTGTCGGCTATGTCGTATACCCCCTTCCCTGCGATCCCAGGGGCCCGTCTTGCGGTTGGGCTGGGCTGGCTGGCTCGGCCCCGCTAGCCGAATGGCGGGGCCGCGCTCGCGATCGTCAGCTCAGATGTGGCGCAATTGTTCCTCAAATTTCATCTTGGCGTAAGCTCGGGGCGTGTGTGTTTCGGGTACTGTACCGTTCGCGGCGTACGTCGAGACTTGCGTGGTTGTTGTGGTGGGGAGAGTGCCTTGTAGAGGCCGGCTGGGAGAGTTTGCCGCGTACGTGTTGTTCTTGCCTGGGTTTTGTTGTGGGTGAGAATGGTAGGTGGACTGGGGCGTAGTGATGACTGTGTGGGAGGGTACTCACTGGTTCATACTTAGGGTGAAATTAAGGAAACAAGCGATGCCCATGAAGGGAAAATGTGCGCCGTCGCGTGGCTCCGTCTTTGGGTGTTGGATGTATTTGTTATACCCCTTAAGTCGAGGAAAGAGATGGCCTAGGTTGTGATCTACTTCTTCGAGCCTGAGACAGATCCCTACCTAGAGGTATCCTCCCTTGGCCCTGGAAGTACGTAAATGGGCTCGACACCAGGATCAGACCAACAACGGATTACTGTTCCTCTGTGCAACTTGGTTTCGGGTATCACAATTCTTCTCCTTATAGGTTGAAGCGTGTCCGCTTCTTCTCCATTTTTGCCTTCCACTCCCACTTCAGCGCATCCTCGCCCTCGCTGCCAGCCCGTCCTATGCCCTTGTCCACTCTGCGGAGCTTCAGGGTCATTCCTTCAAAAGGTCAGTCTCTTCTCTTCTCATCGCCAGCCGGACATGTGCGACTTACTCGGACCAATCTCCTGCAGGCCGGCGCGGATCCCCTTGACACCCTCCATCTCCTTGCCATCCGCACCCACGACGTTCTTCTCGGTCGGCCGAGCCTCCCGAAAGACGTACCGGTGGCGGCGGAAGAAGATGTAATCGCGCTGATTGTGCAGGGTCAAAACCTGCCGGCCTTGCAACTCAGGCTTCGGGGGGAACAAAGTGTTCATCGACTTGGCCGCCAGCAGGCCCAGCGGAGTCTTGAAGCCGTTAAGGAGGAGTTCCGGCTATGTCTTGGTCAGCAGTGGAGGGGTGTGAAGATTGAAGAGACATTTCGTACGTAGTGGTTGGTGGCATTGCCGTGCCCAGGGATGACCTTCCCCGGCTGGTAGTTCCGGATAGTGTAGGTGAGCGTCGGACCAGGTGGCGCATCCTCTCCGTTCAGATGGCAAATACTGAGCTGGCTTGGCCTCTTCTGGTCTTCATGCACCACCAGTAATGCCGTGTACGCGCGGTCTTGACGAGTGTCAGCGATCATTGGAGGACCATATGGACGGGTGGACTGACTCTTCGCGAATTTTGCAATCTCCCGCACGCTGTACTTGTGACCATACCGATGTGCACTGCGTGGGATGTAGGTGGCTAACCGGCCTGTGAGCAATTCGCGTGAAACTTTCACATTTGGGCAGACTCACCATTGGGGAAAACAGAGGCGATCTCTTGCGCCTCCTTGTGAATCGTCCCATTGAGCCCGGTAGTAACCAGAATTTTGGGCATCACCGGTGGTTCGTCGCTGAATAGATACCTGAACTGGCTAGCCAAAGAATCCGGTGTGATGTCGAGGTTCGTGGACACTGTCGACGGAGCGATGCTGGGTTGCCTTTGTGCCCGCTCCCTTTGAGCCTTCGCCCGGCGTTCTTCCTCATCTTGGTCTTCGTTCCCATCGTCGTCGGATCCAAGCATGCTGTCGACATCATCGTCCTTCTCAACGGCTTCCTCCATCACCGCATCCTCTTCCGCTGCTGATGCGGCCTCGGCCTCCTGCAGACGCCGGAGCTTCAACTGAGCGACATCCACCACAGTCCCAAGGCTATCATCATCGACATCGTCCCATATCCTCTTTTTATCGAGGGTCAAAGGTTGATTCTGTTCGAGCCGCTTCCTCCTCAATTCCGGGTCCTTGGCCTCTTCCTTGCGTCGTCGATGTCGCTCTTCGTGGCGGGCCTTCCCGGTGGCCTTCTTCTGTTGGACGTAGAGCTGTTTACGTTTAAGTTTGTTAGACGTCTTGAGGGACAATGATGGCCCAGACGATCCCCTGCCTGAACCCATCGTCGTTGATTGTTTGCGGTGCAGCTGTTATCGCAATTGCTGATATCGAAATCTCCAAATTTTTCTTAAAACTCAGCCCAGACCGAGTTTGTCCATGCCGTACACTACAGCCCTTGAATGATTGTTAGCGCGGAACCACGGACAGGGTTCCACCACTTCTTTCAATATCTTCCATTTCAACCAGCCACCAACTCGATTTCGACCAAAATTGAGGATTGAGAGAAGGTCACAGTCATCTCACCAGCAAGCCCAAATTTTGTTGCATTAAAATAGGTCGTTCTGGCGTTTATTTGGACATACGTGGAGGACACTGGTCAGCAGAGTCAGACGCTAACAATCATTCCAGGGAGGACTTTACAGTTCCCCCTTTGTTTGTTCGTTAGCGCCTGACTTATCGAACTAAGATTCCAAACCCAACGCCCGAACGTCCTACTTCAGTGCAACATAAACAATGTTAACTGAGAAATCATTGTGAGCTTATCTGTAAGCTCATTTTCTTGCGTTGAAAGTGAAGTTGATAACTGTGGAAAGGGAAGATCTTGAGTGCGTGGGTGGGCCCCTGTCTATAGTTCCACGCTAACAAACGAACGAGGGTTGAACTGTAAAGTGCCGTACCGGGTCACCCCCCAGCAGGCGCCGACCAGGGTCAAACTGCCCCTCATTGAAGGTCAGGCCCCTGAGCGCGGGGCAGCTATAGCGGCTAATTGAATCTCCGGTACTGGCGCGTGTCCTTTGCATGGTGAGTGGAGGCGAAATGCAGAGTTCCCCTCAATTTCTGCAGCAAGCAGGTCCCGGGCCTGAACTCGGGCGAAAAAAGAGGATCTGTCGAGAAGAAAGGGCCGTGAGTCACTTGGTTGGGCCAAAACAACCACTTGTTCCAATTCATGAAGCCTTTTCTGCGTGCCCCTCCCTCCCTCTCACCACTCGCTGGTATTGCGCTCAACATCCGTAAAGTTTCGACCCTGAGGGTCTTGTTTCCAGTCCGCACTTTTACAGCCTTCGCTCCTTCTGCCCCGCGCACCTACGCTTTCGCAAAGTACAAACCCAAGAAAAACCAGCCCAAGATGACCACGACCGCAACCACTCTCAAGGGCGAGCCCCTCGACAAGGCGGCTCTCGAGTCCCTACTGCGTCGGCGCATGTTCTACACTCCCTCGTTCGAGATATACGGCGGCGTGTCTGGCCTCTACGACTATGGCCCGCCCGGCTGCGCTCTGCAGGCGAACATTATTGACCTTTGGCGCAAGCACTTCATCCTCGAGGAGGATATGCTCGAGGTTGACTGCACCGTACTGACACCCCACGATGTTCTCAAGACCAGCGGCCATGTCGACAAGTTTGCGGACTGGATGTGCAAGGACCCCAAGAATGGCGAGATCCTCCGTGCCGACCACTTTGTGGAAGACGTCCTCGAGTCGCGGCTAAAGGGCGACAAGGAGGCCCGCGGCCAGCAGGTGGAGGAGAAGGAGGAGGACCCTAAGAAGAAAAAGAAGAAGTCCAAGAGCCACGAGGCCGTTAAGCTGGACGATGCGGTGGTCAAGGAGTACGAGGAGGTGTTGGCGCAGATTGATAACTACGATGGCGAGCAGCTCGGCGAGCTCATCAAGAAGTACGATCTCAAGAATCCCGCCACGGGCGTGCAGCCCAGCCCTCCGGTATCGTTCAACCTCATGTTCCAGACGTCGATTGGCCCCAGCAGCAACCTCCCAGGCTACCTTCGGCCCGAGACTGCGCAAGGCCAGTTCCTCAACTTTGCCAAGCTCCTCGAGTTCAATACTGGTCAGATGCCCTTTGCGTCTGCCTCGATTGGCAAATCTTACCGGAACGAGATCTCCCCTAGGGCCGGTCTGCTCCGTGTCCGCGAGTTCTTGATGGCTGAGATCGAGCACTTTGTCGACCCCGAGGGCCACAAGAAGCACCACCGGTTCCATGAGGTCGAAAACATCGAGCTCGAGCTTCTTGACCGCCACACTCAGCTCTCTGGCAAGACAACCACAAAAAGTATGGCCATTGGCCAAGCTGTGAGGGATGGTCTTGTCGACAACGAGACCCTGGGCTACTTCCTGGCCCGCATTCACCTCTTCTTGAAGAAGATCGGTATTGACCAGACCAAGATTCGCTTCAGGCAACACATGGCCAACGAAATGGCCCACTACGCCTGCGACTGCTGGGATGCCGAGCTTCTTACCTCGAGTGGCTGGGTCGAGTGCGTTGGTTGCGCCGACCGAAGTGCCTATGATCTGTCTGTCCATGCCAAGAAGACCGGGGCGCCCCTTATTGTACGGCAGCGCCTGGATGAGCCCCGGGTTATTGAAGAGTGGGAGATTGAGATCGAGAGGAAGAAGTTTGGTCCCTTTTACAAGAAGGATGGCAGGGCTGTCGAGGCCGCCATCATGGCCACCACACAAGAAGAGCGCGGCAAGCTTGCCAAGGAGATGGAGGAGAATGGAAAGGTGGCTATCAGCGTCCCGGGCGTCGGCGATGGCAAGGTGGAAATCAGCAAAGACCTCCTGGCCATCAAGTGGCAGAAGCGCGTTGAGAACATCCGGGAATACACACCCAACGTCATCGAGCCGTCATTTGGTATTGGCCGGATCTTGTACTCGCTTATTGAGCACAATTATTGGACCCGAGCAAGCGAGGGCGGTGACGAAGCGCGTGGCGTAAGTTGATCCCTTCTCGACGCACAAGGCTTGTACGATACTAACACTCCTTCCTCAGGTGCTGTCCTTCCCTCCCGCGGTCGCGCCGACAAAGGTCCTGATCGTGCCCTTATCGTCGCACAAAGATTTCGCGCCTGCGGTGCGCAAGCTCTCGCAGAAGCTCAGATCTGCTGGCCTCTCGAGCCGTGTGGACGACTCGTCGGCCAGCATCGGCAAGCGGTATAGCAGAAACGACGAGCTGGGCACGCCGTTCGGCATCACGGTCGACTTCCAAACCGTCAAGGACGGCACCATCACGCTCAGAGAGCGTGACAGCACCCGACAGGTGCGCGCCGAAGAGGACAAGATCATCGAGGCTATCAAGGCGCTTGTCGAGGGCTCCAAGACGTGGAAGGACATCGAGTCAGAGCTGCCTCTCTTTGAGGGCCAGCAGGATGTCGAGGTTCCTGTTCGTTAAAAGCAGTGTCAGGAGGGTTAAGAGTGGTCTTGTTTGTTCCTCGATGCGAGCGCGCATTGTCTGAACCGTCTCGGGCATGATTCACAATAGAAGTCATTCAAGACCGTATTGCAATGGCCATTGGCAGGTTTCGCGAGCACACAGGTTGATGATGGCCTCGACGCATCAATGCGGCTCTCGAGTCTTCTCGTATATACAATTCCTACTGATTCGGAAAACGTTCAGGTACACTACATCCGCATCGCATCGTGACCCTCATCCGATGCAGCGAGATGCGGTAGAGTCAAGTAGACTAAGTGCCCGGCTGCCTGAAACACTGAGATCTCGAGAGGATCTACTCACCTGAAACGCGTTCTCGGCCAGGCAAAAATGGAAGGTCGTGACGCCGGATACACTGCAGCATGCTTGTTGCATGATCGGGCTTGCTGATCGGTGCAGGAATATATGGCTTAACCCCTTGGATGGTTGAAGACGAGGCCTTTGAGCTTGTTGGATTCTTGCATCAGTTATTTGTTGAGGTAGGCGGTCTCAATTACCTACATTTACCTAGTAGATTCAGAGTGCAATGGATATGCAAGTTGAGGATCGAGGCTGAAGGACCATTGGGGCGGAAGCCATCCTTACCACCGATTATGATGGGCTCCCGTCGCTCAGTAGCGAAGTAAGGCTTTGATATTGCAAAGTAAATCTTGAAGGGCACGACAGAGGAGATTCAAAATTCCTGTAGGACAATAGCACAGAGATCTGAAGAATGAATGTGATATTGCCAAAAGCGAATATTGTGTTGACACGAGACGGGCAACAGAATAGTGATATTTCACCTGCCTCTTCTTGTTACGGTAGTTAACGCTAGCAGCACATGGTTCAATTACCTAGCCTTGGTTTGGAACTGCAGCCTCACCTTGCCCCACCTTTCAGGGGAAAGAAGCGGCGTTGCCCACATAATTTCGGCACATGTTAAGAGATCACAAAGCATTTTCGTCTTTTAGCCCTGATATGAGCTCCTATTGTTCCCATTGACAGAGTTGCTACATGCTTGAAAACCAAAGAGTTGAACTAAGTGTTACGCCAGGTAGCCAAAAGCCTCAACACAGAGAATGTCCATTCCATAACGGCCAGGCACTGGCGTCCATCTCAAGCAAGCCACCCCACTGTGGTCATTGAAGACGCTCAGAGCCATTATGTCCATTAGTAAGCTGTGTCTCGAAGCTCATGAAGGATACTCAAATGTCTCTCCTTTATTAGCCTTGAATAAGAAACATCTGCCCAGGTCTTTGCAGCCAAAACGTATTGCGTTGGGGCACCATGCAGGTGTCCTCTCAAAGTTCTGACCTTCAGGTGAAGTACTGTAATGTGAGTGGGTCTGGCTGACGGGCTATTTACCCCTCCCTGTGAATGGAAGTCGAGCCATTGTTGCACCCAACCCTTTCTATTCTCAACATCTCCACAGGCACCGACCTCCCTTAAGCAAACCATCCCCTTTGTCAACCTCATCACACACGCCCACCCACGTTCGGTGACGGGCACTTCCCTTCGCTTGCTTCACAACACAAACAGGCGAAGCCGGCCATCTCTTATCAAGAGATTTAACCTCCTGCCGATTCCATTTCTGCGGCCCAATACAGCGCATGACACCATAGTGACCATACCCCGAGTTCCGACCTGGCAGCCATCTGACTGACCGCCACCCCCGGACTCCTTCGGAAGGCGACCGACCCACTTCCAACGACAACCCGCCGGGCCTGTGTTCCCGAGCTCTTTCTCCTTCGAACTCTTCTTATGGTGCTCCCGCGCTCCGGCCAGCTGTGCGTGCGACCTTGAACCGACTGCTGGTCATTGCACCTCCGTACGACTGATTGATCTCGAATTGCCCACAGACCGTCGAGACGGCGGCGTCGTTGCCGGCTTCGTCTTTGCGCCCGCAGCATCGACAGCGCATCCCGTTTGATCTCAGGTATTGCCCTACAGGTCCGCAAGCCACCGGTCCTCCGTCCTACCGACCTTTAGCATCAATCTATTTTGTCTAGTATTTGAGCTTCGACGACGCAGCCAAAATGTCTAGAAGGTATGTGCCGCCCCGAAGACTTAGTAGCCACCATCTTCCAGCCTACCGAGCCCCAGCATTCTGGACGATCACAGCTGCTACAGGGAGCGCGAATCCGCGAGTTTTCCAAACTAGCCGTGGACTTGTTCGATCATATTGATGAAGATCCCGTAACCATCGAGCTAGATGCTGACCTGTCGTCCCTGCCAGCGTCTACTCGAACGAGCAGTTCATGAATCCCGGCCCGGCGCCCCGGCCGCCCACAGACAAGCCTCGCCTCGGCCTTATGCCAAATGTGAGCCTCACGAACAGCATGTCCAACCTGAGCATTTCCTCGCCGATATCGAGTACCCACAGCGGATCGACCTATAGCGGATCGACCATACCCCTCCCAATCTCTCGGCAAGGGTCCAACAATTTCAACGGCTCCGGCGGCGTTGCCGTCATCAAGCAAGGCTATGTCGGCCTGCCCAGCAAGAATCCCTTCCAGCAATGGAAGAGCAGATACCTCATCCTCCGCCAGGACAATCTCGATTTTCACAAGAACGAGAACGGCAAGTGGCTATACAAGATTCAGCTTTCCGATGTCCTCAGCGTCGATCGCGTCCCTGACGACAATGGCGACCCCGTCTTTGAGATCCGGAGGACCTTAACGAATTCGTACCCTGGCCCGCCTGGCGACGACGACAACGGTGTGAGATCCCTACGCATCTGCGTCAAGACGGATGACGAGCTGTACGAGTGGATCGACTGCATTTATGCTCGCTGCCCAGGCGGCGTTAGCAACCCCTCCAACTTCTCCCACGCAGTCCATGTTGGCTTCAACCCCCAGACGGGGCAGTTCACAGGTTTGCCAGAGGAGTGGACCAGGCTGCTCAACTCGTCCGCCATCACCAGGGAAGATGTGGAGAAGAATCCCCAGGCTGTCTTTGAAGTGCTTGATTTCTACTCCGACATGACGAAGCGCGCAGAGAACAACGCCGATCCGTATGGCAGCCCCATGCCTATGGCACCACAAAACACAATCCAGAAGGACCAGTACGGCTACCCGAGCGGCACCTCGGTCGCACCCCCCCGACAGGTGAAGCCCATCCAACGAAGCCCTGCATCCTACACCACCACCCCGTCACCGCAGCCGCTTGCCACACCGCCGCCCCGAGTAGAACAACCGTCCCCGCAGGTGCAGCAACTGCAGGGCGTTTCCCCCAACTACATTTCGGCAGACCGAATGCGGGAGGAGCAGCGTGCCCGGGAACTGGAACGGCAACGGGCGGAACGGGAGGAGCGGGAGCGTCGTGAGCTCGAGGCTTACAATGCGTCACTCCCCAAGACAAAAGTTCCGCTTGCTCAACAAGAGATTGGGGGCGGTTATATTGGTTCGCCAATTCCCGCTGACCGGTATAACCCAACTCGCGCAGCTCCTAAGGCGCCTACTCCTCAGGCTCAGTCCGTCAGGGCCCAACGACCGGCGCCTGCTCCGCCGGCCAGTTCTTCATCCCCATCTCGCCCACCTCTCGCCCAGCAATCCAGCTCTACCTCGACGCGCGAGCCCCCAGCCCAGGCGCAGAGGACTCCTCGGCCAGACCAGACCACCGGCTCTTCAACCACTGCTCGGTACCCCAACGGAGCGCCAGCACGGCCTCAAAACGGTCAGCCTCAAGCGCAACCACAGTCTCGCCTGCCGGCGCCTGTGAAGCCCCTGAATGTCTCCAAGCCCGGCGGGAACTCGGAGGCCGTCAAGGCTGCAGAAGCTGCCCTGACTGCCAAACCCGCGCCGTCGGAGCGCAAGCATGACGTGCGCATGTCGACAATGTCGGAGAGCGAGGTGATGGCCAAGCTGAGGGAGGTTGTCTCCAAGGACGACCCCAACAGGCTCTACGCGAAGCAGAAGAAGATTGGCCAGGGTGCATCCGGCTCGGTCTATGTTGCCAAGGTTGTGGGTTCAAGGCCTGGGGCTCCCATGAGCCAGCTCAAGACACGCAGCAGCGACCGCGTGGCGATTAAGCAGATGGATCTCGCCCATCAGCCGCGCAAGGAACTGATTGTCAACGAGATCCTGGTTATGCGGGAGAACAAGCACGCCAACATTGTCAACTTCTTGGATGCCTTCCTGATGGACAACGACAAGGAGCTTTGGGTGGTCATGGAGTACATGGAGGGTGGCGCTCTGACGGATGTCATTGAGAACAACCCCGTCATCACGGAGGAGCAAATTTCCACCATCTGCCTCGAGGTACGTAGATAGTATTGTGTCCCAACTTCGTCTAGCGGGCAAGCTAACAACTCCCTGGTTAGACATGCCAAGGTCTTGAGCATCTGCACTCGCAGAACATCATCCATCGTGACATCAAGAGCGACAACGTCCTGCTGGACGCCCGCGGAAATGTCAAAATCAGTGCGTCTCGTCTCTCCTCCGTCTCTCTCAGTTTCATCACAGAATAATCTGCTAACCCACCCGATAGCCGATTTTGGCTTCTGCGCCAAGCTGACGGAGACCAAGTCGAAGCGAGCCACTATGGTTGGCACGCCGTACTGGATGGCACCCGAGGTGGTCAAGCAGAAGGAGTACGGGCCCAAGGTGGACATCTGGTCGCTCGGCATAATGGCCATCGAGATGATCGAGTCGGAGCCGCCGTACCTCAACGAGGAGCCGCTCAAGGCGCTGTATCTGATTGCGACCAACGGCACGCCGCGGCTCAAGAAGCCCGAGAAACTCAGCAAGGAGCTCAAGGCGTTCTTGAGCGTTTGCTTGTGCGTCGACGTCAAGAGCCGCGCGTCGGCGCAGGAGCTGCTCAATCATGACTTTTTGAAGCATGGTTGTCCGCTGGCTAGTTTGGCGGATCTGTTGGCGTTCAAGAGGGTTGCGAAATAAACATGGGATGAATATGGGAGGGAGCAGTCAGGAGAGTGATGAGGGGGAGGAAGGTGGGTTGGGCTGATAGTGATGATACCGACGTTTGGTTGATTCGACACGTCGATTTTAATATGGCCAGGCGGAATGAAGCGAGCGATGTGTGAAAAGAACTGTGGGACCATACAATCCAGTGCGATGTTTTGGATGTTGTCTCTTTCTTGGAGGGGGAGCGCAAAGTGGGAATGGGCAAGCGGGTTGGGACGGAGGAGAGGAGGGTTGACTGATTGACGGATTGACTGAATTTGCCTTGCTGGCTGGGTGGATTGCGAAAAGGGAGGATACCTTAAGAAAGGCAAAGCAGTCAGCCTATATGCTACCATACAATTCCTGTTCTGCCTGGTTTTCCTTTTCGGGGCATGTATCAATCTTGCTTCCTTTTCATTTCAGGGTAACGTTAGCTGCTTTTACGGTGCCATAAATATCTTGCTCATACATCTCCTGAGTTGGAGGCTTTCCCCTCCTTCTCTGTGGCCATCTTAGGGCACCTGGTTCGCTACTTTTAGATGCGTCTAGGGAAGCTGGCGTTGGGTGGTTTGATGTAGTTCGTTCCCCTGTAGTGTCTCTATGACAGGGAAGGAAAATAGACATTTAGCTTGTTTTCTGTGTTAAGTTTACTCTACCCCAAGTGTCTTTATGATGTTGATGTTGATGGGCGTTTTGAATAGATGAGATCTCAGGGGGTCGTGTGGCAGTGACCGGCTGAATGGGAATGAAAGCTCAGTCATGGCAGAACCGGCGGTACTGCTCGGCGACTGCCACTTTTTGGAGAGCATGGACTGCCTAGGTAGCGAGGTTAATGTACTGTGTTTCTGGTCCTTTCGAGGTTCTTGATGGGAAGGGAGTTCTGGGCCGCAGTCGGACGGTTGCGTCGTCATACCAATATGTTCACTTGTGCGTGGCCGCTTGCGCAGTGTGTTTCATGCCATGGGTGTGTCTCGCGGGTTCATGCCTTCTCCTCATTGGATATGATGTCGCGAGTATGGTGGTGAGGCGGATGGTTGTATCACAGTCGTTGATGTGGAGTGCTGGGGGAAGAAGAGTGGAGTTGGGACACGTATGATGTGGGAACAAAGGGTTGAGTAGGTGAAGAGAGGAGTGTTGACTGTTTCAGTCTGGTGAAGCCTGCGAATACGATCAGTTTCTGGCAAGGCGAAGCGGCTGACGAGGACATATACGTGTAAACGTCCCTAGAGTTCCTACTGCTGGGGAAAGCGGTAGGATTAGCGACGGACCAAAGGATCCTTAACAATGGGGCCATGGACGTGTCCACGAGCAGCTCCCTACCTGCAGGTCGACGGGGCGACACCTGCTGAGACCTCTTTTGAGCGGCGGAAGGGACCAGAGTCCATTAGGCACATCATATTACGCAACAAAGGGCAAGCATTGGTGATGGGCAGGTTTGGTTCCTGAGCGCCCGGATCACTGGGGATCGGCTGTCGACCGAGAAGACTGGGACCGGCTGTCAATCCCGAAGGCTTGTCCACCTGGTTGGGTCGTTGTTCCCAAACGTCAGGGTTGCAGTCCCGGGCCAGATCAGAATGCTTCATATCCATAGCCGTCGGGACAATCTGGTTACCCATCACATATTCGAGAAGTAGCGTGACATGCTAGTATCTCTAAGCACTGAGTTTGGAAGTTCGAGCTTGGAATAGCTTCCACACGTTTTTGATTCATCGACGGGGTGGTGATAAGTTTCTCCCGACAGAGAATCCTGGGTAGTGCAGAACCAACATCGGGAGATCGGAGGGCATGGGGAAGGACGGCCTGATTCAGCCTGCTCATCGTCGATTCACACTACATGTAGAGCGCATGTTAGTGCCAGGCTTGCGCGGCACTCACTGTAGTGTGAATAAAGCTGACCCCCCTCTCCGTAGTCAATGGTATTTGATACGGATAAGTTAGGAATCGTTCTTTCGAACATTCCTTGGCTTGAAGATCTGCACAAGACGGGCCACTCGGACAGCGGTTCGGGAGGGTGGACCAGGGCCTTCCTTAACCGGAGGCAGGGGGTAGGCCGCCTTGGTTGGCCGGGGACGCAGAGGGTGTGTGGGGGTATCGAACCACAGACGGGGGCAGGTCGACGCTACGTTTCAGAATTCGAGCAGACCCCTTTGTGGTCAGCCAGTGCGGCGTTGATTGGCGTGGTGTCCAATCCGGCAACGACAGCTCGTGATGTGACCTAACTCGACGAAGTCATTTATGCCTGATCAACGACGGCTCGGGCATGCAGTCGGAGACGGTCGCCGCTCTTTACTATGTATGTCGGTTTGGCGAGAAAGACGACGACAGCTCGTCATTGGCGCGGCAAGAAGGTAGAGTGTAGATGGAAAGTTGACATGCCATGCTGAGCCCCTGAATCCAGTCACTGCTGGGCCAATTAAGAGCAAGAGGCGAGGTTGGGCCGTTTGAAGTCTTGTGTGGCTGTCAAGCCTCGTTGTTGCATGTCGTGCCTCGGTACGGAGTAGCTGAGCTGATAAACTGGGACGTGGCGGCCAACATGGTCAAAGATCGAGTAGTTACATGGCTTCGCCGTCCAAAAGCATCTTGGAGAATCGCTCGGTTTGCTCGGCAGCTGTAAGTTTTCAATTCAACGTGTATATATAGCAATGAAATGAAAACCGGTTGCCAGCTCCATGGAGATGGAGGGGAGCGCTGTTAGAAATAGTCACGGCTGCGAGGACTTGGATGAAGCCTCAGCCGGTTCAGAATGCCATCATGGCGATCGAAGGGAGATCGGCCAGGGGTGGGCTCGAGGGAAAAGTGCCACAAAACCAGGGCGCGGTTTTCCCATGCAGGTTGTACGCTGCAACTGCAGCATTGCGAGACCTGTTTCTTTTTCTGTTGCTGTGTTTGATGGAGATGTCTATGACTTTTCTCCGGCACAGGGACCGACGGGTGCGAGTCAGCGAGCTTACAAACAGCGTCGATGGATCTCTACAGGAGTTGCCCGATGTTGGGATATGGAATGTGGAAAGTTTGCATCCCTTGTTGGGTGCCTCTAGCGTATGCCACTGCCTGGTCTCTTATATTTTGCGCAGAGGACTTGAAAGGGAGGACACCTCAGGCGAAGCGATGGGGATCGCTTCATGCAATGACGTTGCCTTCTTGGATGGACATTGCGTCGAAGCAAGGGAGCAACTCAAAACTTGGGGCTGAGGCACAGCAGTTGGTGAGATTCCCGTCACTTCCAAGTTGTCAGTGCGGCTTTTGGAGCGGGCAACGGCACAGCTGAGAACTGGGAGCAGGAGAGAGCTTGGAAAGGTGCAGCTTTCGTGCTTCTCGACAACTGGAAAGCGACTGCAGGGAAATGGCCCTAGCGTACATTACCAATACAGGCCACCGTGGAATGATTGTTAGGGCCTGACTGAGACAACCACGGCCCTTCCAGGACTCCAGACTCAACGCTACAACGGCCGATCTTTGCGCAATAAAGAATATTCGACTGAGGTTTGCAAGCGTTTTACCATATGTCAAATTTTCTAGACTGAAGGTGAGTAAATGGTTGTTGAGGGGGAAGATTTCTTAAAGCGTAGTGCGGACCCTGTCCGTAGAACCGCACTAACAGTTGTTCAAGTGCTGAACTGTGCTGTAAGTATTATACAAGTTAAGTATTAACTATACAAGTTAAGTATTATACAAGTTAAGTATTATACAAGTTAAGTATTATACAAGTATAATACGCACCTGGTAACTTCCGGACATGTCAACCCCCTAAAAACGGTGTTTCATCTTGACCCTCCACATCTCGACGACTTCCAAGGTCCCAGGTCCTCTCTGCTTTTCCACTTCTCTCCCGCATCCCCAGTGCTTTGGCAGATGATCGCCTTGTGCTTCGTTGCTCTTTTCCTTGAGACACCGTATCCTTCTCCAGGCACGTCTTCCCCTAATGATGCCTGTATATTTACTGCATCTTTGAGTTCCTTTCCCCGCTCGTTTCTCTAGCCCCTGGAAGTACAACAAGGTCGAGGGTGGAGCACCAACGTAGCGAAAGCCAAGCCAAAATCCCTCCCCAGCTCTCGCTCCCATCTGCGAGTGGCCAGTGCATCCAGGGCTTCTCAGCAGTTCCAGCACTTGACCACCAAGATTCCAGACATCCCAGCCTCGACCCCGACACTCGACATTGTGCCCGGCGACCGTCTGCGGCTTCCCGTGCCCCTCTCCGCCCGATACACTCCTTTCTGGAAAAGTTGCATAGCCGACTCAGTTCAAGGGTCGCATCCGACAACTCGATAAAGCGACATTGTAATTCCATCTGCCGCCTTGTCCGATCGCTGAAGGGAGCCGACACTGCCCCGGCAGAGAGACCTGGCTTTGGTGTTATCGATTTCGATTCCTGCCTAATACCGAATCTTGCGGCGCCCGAGATCGACTCTCACTGGACGCGCAGCGCACGTCGCCGCACGATCTCTCGCCAACCCGAATTCAGCGCAGGCCCAGCCCGCGCCTCCGGCCCCGGCGTGATAGTTGTTCCAGCGGGACGAGAGACATAAATACGTCCATGAGGTTCGGAATCAGATAATTGATAATGTCCAGTTCTAGACCAGGCGATCACCTCACAATCGGCTACCCGCCGCAGGGCCTCTCTGCCCAGGGTCGGGCCAATTCGCCGACAACCACCTCGCCAAATGACCCGCAGTCGGCCGGCAGCACCATCCGGTCGCCTTTTGGTCTGTCACCAGGCCTGACGCCAACATCCAAGATGTCGGGCGCCTCGCGCTCCGGTGCCGGCTCGCCTTCGCACGACATGGCAGCCGCTGGACGTTTGTTTTCGAAGCGGTGAGTTGCCTTCCAAACCCCTCCCGCCCGAAAAAGACTCGCCTGCTAATCTTCCATTGAAAAAAAAACAGAGCCAGAGAGATCCAGGCCCAGGAGGGCGTCCAGGGCTTGCCATTGAATCCTTGGGGCGGGCCTCCGACCAGCGGAAACTCAACTCCGCTTCGCGAGAATATTCCCGAGTCGCCCACCGATGGCTTTCCCGATTTTGCCCAATTGCCCACCCCCGACAGCTTGCCACAGACCCGCCGCGCTCGAGCGGGCACCTTGCCGTCCAGGTTCTCGCCCGGCGGCGCTGGCAATGCCATGCTCGGCATCCCAGCGCTGGCTTCCAAGACGTCAAGGCCAAGCCCCTCGCAGACTCCCTTCAAGTCGCCTTCGCCAGGCCTTGAGGCGACCGGTGACCCGTCAAGCGCGTCCACTTTGCTTTCAAGGCTGCGGGCCGGCTCTATGCCTCAGAGGAGCCCATTTGCCCATGTGCCCGGGACGAGCTCTCCATTCGGCCCGTCCATCTTCAGTAGTTGGAATCCGACCGGCCGGGAGAGGGGCAACACATTGGCGAGCATTGCGAGCATGGGATCCAACGGGCCTAGTTCTCCAGCCCAGTCTCACTTTTCCCGCGAGGGAACAGCCGAGACGGATGTTCATATGAGAACACTGGACTATCTTGGCCTGGCGGAGACGCCCCAGCCTGCTCGCGCCCAGCTTGCCTCCGCTCCCTACGTACCCAACTACGCCGACTTCTCCAAGGCCGCAAACCGGTTCCGGTCCTACTCGGTCAACAACAAGGACAAGTATGCAGACGACGAGGATGACTACGAGACCGACCCCGTGTCCCTCATGGAAAGTCACTATGCGCAGCTTCAAGACCAGCTCGCCGCGACGAATGCCGCGATTCACAACCACAACCTGGCGGTCCAGGCGTTTGCATCGCAGGCGGCACGACCACGTGCAAGGACAGCTGGCGTCTTGGACACTCCGGCGTCCCGTCTCCTCCGCAACTACCTTCCGACTCCCTCGAGACTGGACAATTCGTTTACCGCGGCCGAGATTCAGATGCCGGATCAGAAGGCGTATGAGGACCTCCCGCAAGCCGTCGCTGGAATGTCGTTGGGGGGAACCAATAACCGAAACAATGGCCTTCTCGGAGCGGACGAGCAGGGCCTCGAAGGGCCGACCAGCGCTCTGTGGCTCGGCAGCATTCCGACGTCCACCACAACGTCGACGCTGACTGAAATGTTCAAGTCGTACGGGCCCATAGTATCCGCCAGAGTCTTGACCCACAAGAACTGCGGCTTCGTGAACTTTGAGCGCATTGATAGTGCAATTGCCGCCAAAGCCAACATGAACGGCAAGGAGATTTTCCCCGGTGCCGGGCCGATTCGCATTAACTTTGCGAAGCCGCCCTCGAGCACCGGTACGCCGGGCCATGACGGTGCCATTCCTTCGCCCAGCCCTGATCCGTTTGCCAAGTTTCAGGAGAACGGCCAAGGTATCGGCGCGGGAGTTTCTGGCGGCGCTGGGCCGGCTCCCATCACAGGCAATGTTACCCCTACCGTGCCGCCTCTCGACGAGATGACTGGGGACATCCTCCATATCGTCCAACAGTTTGGGGCGACTGAAGAAGACAGCTTCCGCATCTCGACGAGCCTGCAACAAGCAATTCAGTACACCGCCTTCATCGACGAGATTCCGCCTATCAAAGAGCCTACCCACACCAGGGTCCACGATGCACCCAAGCTACGGGACATTCGTAAGAGGATTGACAATCAATCCCTCTCTCAGCAAGAGATTGAGAACATTGCCATTGAGATGCTTCCCGAGATTGCCGAGCTCTCCTCCGACTATCTGGGCAACACAGTCGTCCAGAAATTGTTTGAGCACTGCTCCGATGACGTGCGGGATTCGATGCTGGCCGAGATTGCCCCTCATATGGCCGAGATTGGCGTGCACAAGAATGGTACCTGGGCAGCTCAGAAGATTATCGATGTCTGCAAGACACCACACCAGATGGGACTGATCGTCCAACACCTGCGCCCCTACACCATTCCCCTGTTCCTCGACCAGTACGGCAACTATGTCCTGCAGGGATGCCTGAAGTTTGGCACACCCTACAACGACTTCATCTTCGAGACCATGCTGAGCAGGATGTGGGAGATTGCTCAGGGCCGCTATGGTGCCCGCGCCATGCGGGCTTGCCTCGAGAGCCACCACGCCAGCAAGGACCAGCAGAGGATGCTGGCGGCCGCGATTGCCCTGCATAGCGTTCAGCTAGCTACCAACGCCAACGGCGCCCTGCTGCTCACTTGGTTCCTCGACACGTGCACTTTCCCGCAACGGCGGACTGTGCTGTCACCCCAGCTTGTTCCTTATCTCGTCCACTTATGTACCCACAAGGTGGCGTATCTGACAGTCTTGAAGGTGATCAACCAGAAGGCGGAGGCGGAGGCCAGGGACACGATTCTCAAGGCGCTCTTCTTCACACCGAATGACCAGGTCTTGGAGGCAATTCTCAGCGACCACGCCTGTGGCGCGACGCTCATTTTCAAGGTTCTCACCACGCCATTCTTCGACGAGACGATCCGGAGCCAGGTTGTCGAGACTGTCAAGTTGGTCTTGGTCCGCATCAAGGCACAGCCAGGGCAGGGTTATAAGCGCTTGATGGACGAGGTGGGTCTGTCGACGCGGAGCACTGGGGGCGGAGGAGGCGGTTCTCGCGACCACGGAAGTGCCGAGCGGCCGCGCCCTGGCTCGCGTCAGACCGTCAGTGCGTCACACCATCATCAGCAGCAGCCGCAACAGCAACAGCACGCTCAGCAACAAGGTGGACAGTACGGCGGCGGTAACAACGCGCAGTACTACAACTCCCTCAACGCTGCCGCCACCGCCACCAACTACGACATGGGCTTCGGCATTCCCCGCAGCGAAGGCGTCGACCAATTCCCGGCCTTCAACGCCCAGAACACCATGTTCAACGCCTCCAACCCGCCCATGGGCCCCAACGCGGCGCTCCAGCAGCAACTGCAGTATCAACAGAGCATCATGTCTCGTGGCGCGCCGCCCATGAACAACTACTACCCCGCCATGCAGGCCGGCTACGGCGGCTTCCAAAGCCCCAGCCCCTCGCTCGACCAGTACCGCAATCAGCCCATGGCCAACGGCAGCCCGATCCCGCCTCCGGCGCAGATCACAACCGCCGCGGGCCAGCCGACTCCATTTGGTGCCGCCCCCGGATTCAACGTGAACATGCCGCCTCCTGGGATGGGCGGATTCGCCGGGTATGGGAACCACCCGGCGGGGTATATGCCGCCGCCGCAGCAGCAGGAGCATGTCAATGCGCGGCAGCGGGGTCGAGTAGGGCGGAGTCCCCAGCCTGATGGCCGGCGGGGCCGTCAGTGAAGTGAAGCAGGAGAGAGAGGGTTTTGCGGCGTCTTTGTGGAGATGTAGATAGGAGGTCATGATTTGGTTGTCGATTTTTGCCAGAGATGACTTCTGTGTTTTGTGGAATGAGGCAGGCGGATGGATGCAAGCTGGATCACACTTGTAAAGATAGATGGCTCACGGCCTGGAGAAGGTTAGGCGCACCCCAACCAACCGAAGGGGGCCTAGACTAGGCTGACGTTTGAGGATGATGAAAAGGTGGTGGGCTTTGAGATCCTTGGGCTTGTTTTGGAAGGGTGCTTTTGTGCGCTGAGTTTGCCACAAGGTGGGGGGCCGTCGAAGGCAAGATGAGAGCAACGAACGAGTTTCAAGTTGGGACGCGCAAAGCATGAACGAGCATGGTTCGGGCCCTGGTTTGATTAGACTAACTTCCTCACGTTGCCCCTGGCAGGTGGCAAAATTGAAGGGTCAGGAGAGGGAGTGATTGATGCCATGATACTTTCTCCTTTTTCAAGTCCCTTTCTCGGTTTTCGTTTTCTTTTCTTGGCTGGTTGGCTAGTGGACGAGTTTACCGGACTGGACTGGAGATAAGGTAGGGTTCCGGGGGGGGGAGGAGGAAATGGAAAAAGGAGCACCTGGGAGTCTTTTCGTTTGCTTCCTTCTTCTCTTCGATGTGCGTTATTCAGCTACTTCTTTTAGACAAACACGTTATAGTGGTATACACTGTATTGCATTGCCTTCAGTTTTATCACTTATATGACCTACATATAGTCTGTGGTGGTTGTCTTCGTGAGTTTCGTCGACCTCGTGATTGATGTAGAGCACGGCGTTCTAAGTCCGAGATTGTTTAAAAGCCAACCGCAGCATTGGTGATGGTTTGCTCGCCGGTACGGCTCAGCACCTCAGGCCGCCTGGAAGGCAGACACGGGAACTGTTCAACAAAAGTGCGCGTCTTGGTGCTGCCGAAAATGGCAGTGTGACCCGCCATTTTCGGAAAGCCAGTGCACCCCCAGAAAGTGCATTTCGAGCAGGGCCGATGTACTTGGTCGAAGTCTTCGCGATATGCACAAGTACACCCAGCCCACACGTTGAAGGTGCGCGGCATGGCTCCAAGCGTTGCTTCAGAAGAAGCCTAGAATCAGGAGTCTGGCGGCGGATATAGGTCTGCGTCATTCACGTATTTTTCTCAAGACACACATTCGTTACGATCAGGTCAGTGGTATTGGTCTTGCATTAGATATTGTCGATTCGTTAACCTTTTCAGCAACCGGTTGTAAGTGTTAGAAAAGAATATGATCCTTGCGGTATAACTAATCGTATGTAGCAGCCGACAGAATCGAACTTTGTCAATCACATGCACCAATGGATCCCGCTCAGATCCTCTCTGATTTGACAAGGGGTTAGAGGAAGTATATACCTGTCGGTGCAAGAGCTATAATCTCAGTTCGCTAGGGAGTATGTCTTATTCGATAGGGAAGTCAGACAGGGGGTTAAAGTGTATGCCCGAACTGGGGTTCAGAGGCGTATCTGCTCTAATAGGGGTTTGGAGAGTGTTTATACAGTACTACTGTAACACGGGTGCTAACAGGGGGTCAGAGAATGTGGCTTGCGTGCCATTAGAAACTCCAAAGAGGATAGCATATATCATGTAGCTAGGGTAGAAAACCTTCCCTGATCCCAGGGCTTTGAAATGATACTTGTTATTGAACTTTTAATCTTAGTCTTCGTGGATATTAATGTTAATGATAGGAGTATCTATCTTCAGACTAGAGTATACGAGAGAAGTACAGTCGGGGTAATAGAGCGCTCTTAGCAATTCCTGGCTTAGATCTGCTCAACTGCCTATATTCTGCGTAGTCTAGGCCATCACATCGCCTACTCGGCGGGGTTTGTGCAGGGACAGCAGTGCGACTTGAGCAATGCCTGGAAGGACCTTGGCACTCTTGCATAGGCAGCCACAGGGCCGAGAAGCTCAGGGCTATGAGGGAGCAGAGTAGAGTGGCGATGCCTATGCTACAAGAGAATTGTGAATATATACGCTCGTCACTCGGTGTGCTCTTTAGCCGGACTAGCCCCTGTTGCGCCTGTCACTTGCAGTCCCGTAGACAGCTTCCCCGTCTCAGCTTGCCGCAAGGCGAAGTCGGTCCACGTAACGTAGACGGCGTATGAGGAGAATTGGGTGAACTAGGCGACTTTGGTCTCTGAGCCTCGCTTCAAACTTGGGGAATAGACGACAACGGGGCCTAAAGGGAGGCTCCTACTTTTTACTGCCACATCCAAACCAGGTAAGGCTAGTGCTGAGCACTGCTAGGACCGGTCTCTGTCGGTGAGTATTAGTGTGCCACACTCTGAACCCCTGAGCGCAGACACTCTACAAGCCCGTGTTAGAGTAGATAACTAAAGTTCTCTAAAAGGGCGGCCGCTTCATATAAAACCCTACGTGTGTTCGAACGCCCCTTAAGACCGCCAATCATAATGGCCGTACACGCAACCATCGCCCTGTCGGCCATCACTTGTCTGTACCGCATTTAACCTCGGCTTCCCACTCCGTCTCATTAGCCTCTCGCGGACACGGCACCAGACCCCCTGAACATTCAGCATGGAGCCGCCTCTGGAGGAGGAGAACCGGTTACTGTACCCAGCTATGCGCGGATCTGGGCTGAACAGACCTGCATCGATCACCCCAGTAGGATAGACACGATACAAGCCGCCTACGAGTAGGGGCTAGCATAGGGCTGTCTCAATCGTGATTCACTCCCCAGGGAAGCAAGGAGCTCCCCCAGGTCGTCCATCTCCTCCCATTGGAGGGACCCAACATGCTGGCGCCGACTATATTTGCGTTGTTCGTTTGGATGCAAGTCGCTAAATTGCTCGACTCGAGCGGCAACAGGTGATCATGGTCTCGAGTGTCTCCCTTGGCTGGCTTCGGAATGTGTGTACTATACAAGGAAGGTGGACGCCAACTCCCGCCTACGGGTTGGCGCGAGCACACACGCATATGCAGAGGGAGACATGGGAGATAAGATCAGAAAAAAGCGCAAATAGCCTGCGCATATTCGATCCGTCCTCTAGTAGTCTCTAAGTATGCCTTGCCTTGACTTGCACAATTCTGGCCACAGAAACAACAGCTCTCCTCGGCTCGAGTTCTTTTCCCCCGCTCCTCAGAACAGAACCATACATTCAGACATTGCCAACACCATGGGTACCATCAACCACCTCAAGGCCGGATGGATACTGACCATGCCGGGTATTCACTCCGGTAGACAGAAGGCCAATTGTCGGGCGGACAGACCGACTGGTACGGCAGAAGTCAAGGTAGGTAAGGCGGTGAACTCCGCGAGCCGAGACTCGACCCGAGGCAGGAAGACATATCCATCCATCGATCCCACCAAACCATCCATCAAACGAAGCAAAAGCAGAACCCATGCCCCATGCCTCTTAACAAAACCCAGTTCATGCTGACCAAATCAGATCGAAATCCCAGCCAGGGGCATTCACTGTCGCATGGTAAGTGAGAGCCCAACTCCAACGAACGCCTAGCACCACTCCCATCCCTGCCCAGCCGGCTGATCCATGGAAAAGGGTGAATGCAAAGAAAAGAGAGGAAACAAACAGAGGCAATCAAGCAAGGAGAAATTAAAGAAAAACATGACGCGACGGATAAAATCTGATATCGCTACTGACACATGGTTTTGACACACAAAGAACAGGTATTAAGAATCCGTCTCAAAGAGAAGAGCGCAAAAGAAGAAAGAGGCCCCCATGAGATGATGCTCGCTGCCTTTGCTGGACTGCACTGCGCTGTGTAGAACTGAACTGGACTGAGCACTGTCTCATCTCAATCCAGTCCCTTCCCGCCTCATTATTTTCCATATTTGGTTGAGAGGAGCCGCAAAGAAAAAACAAGTGGAACTGAGCAGTCGTCCAAGGCAGTCCAAGGGAGACATCCCTGTTCGTGATCGCAGGGACATGACGACGGCGAAGGTCCCGATCCTGGGACAAGTCGAGGTCATGACAATATTAGGACTGAGATGTCGGCTCCAAAGTGCAGAAAAGTCGGACGGCGACAAGATCAATCAGATCACGGCGCCAATAATGGGACAGCGATCCGGTGTGATGTGTTTCTGGATCGCGACGAGGCCGGACGAGAAGTCGATGTTTCCAGAGAGAGTCTATGTTATTTATATCGAAACGCAGCCGTCAACGTGACCGGCGTAGGAATTCTAACCCTGATGCGAATCGTTGCGCCTTTCCAGGCGCGTTGCGAATTGCAATGATGTACCCTGTGCCGCGCTGTGCAGCGGAAGCTCACTGAAGCAAGCCCGGCGCGAAGGGTCTCCTCGCTCGGAATGGCGTGGGCATTGATTTGTTGCAAGGGGTTTCGTGCCGTGCCGATGTCGAGAAAATAGATCTGCCCGCGCTGCCCAATGCGGAGAGTGAGAGCGTCGCTGCACAAGCAGTCGCCAAACCCCCTTTCCTCCCCCGCGGACCATCCCACAAAACAACCCACCCCGCCACAAACCCACTCACTCAATCCCCGTCACCTCATCCTCACCCAGCGCCTTCTCCCCCTCCCCGCCAGCCTCCAAAACAACCGGCTCGTCTCCCGGGATAGCAGCGGCCTTGGTCGGAGTAGGCAGCACGCCACCATTCTCGATTGCACTGGGCCCTTGCTCCAGAGACTCCAGAGACAGAAGCGCAGCGGGAGACTGGTCGCCCTGGACAGGCGTCTTCTCGCCCTGGGTCATGGGGGGGACGTCATCCGTGGTGGCCGGGGACGCGGGGCTCTTGGCCGCCATGTTTTCGAGTTCCATGGCATTATTGGGGTCTTCCGAGTCCATGTTGGCCGAATTGTCCGACTCGGCGTCAGGAGATTGCGAGTTAGTGAGGCTGGGGACCGTCGGCGCAGGGACGTCCTCCGCTTCGTTGGTCGAGACAGCGGGGGCCTGCGGACGGGGCTGTTCCGTAGGAGTGGCCGAAGCCAGGAGCTGACGGATTTGCTGGGTCATGGACTCGGCCCTGGCAAGAATAGCGCGCAGGCTCTGCTGGTCCATCTTGTTGAGCTGCCCGGGGTTCTCCAGGTGGCTGGGATCGGCTCGGGCCATGATGTCGATAACCGAGGGATCGGCTTGGGTCTTATGAGGTAGTCAGTAAATGGTCCGGCGAGCGCTGAGGCGAGGTAGAACTCACAATCATGGCATCGACCAATACGGAAACATCGCCGTCCCGAGTACTGCTGAGATGCGCCAAGTTGAGTGCAGCTTGCTGCTCCTCCAGAGACCTCTGCTCCATTGGCCTAGGTGTGGGCTTAGCCGGGGTTTGGGGTTTTGCCATGGAACGTTCCCGTATACTGGAAACAGTCAGTACATCTTAGCACACAACGTCAGCACTCAAAACTCACCGAGATATAAAGTCCAGCTTGATGCCTTGCTCCGACAGCCGCACGGTCTTCCCAAAGCTCTCGACATCGTTCCACCCACTCTCGTTCTCGCCGTCATCTAGGTCGACGTCAATGAAACCGTTGTTGACATAGCCGCGGGTGAAGGCAGGCCGAATAGTGGGCACATCTTTGACCTTGCGGTACTTGTGTGCCGGGTGGAGCATAGCCGGGAGCGTGGCGAGGAGGTCGTCAGCATGCAGCGGGCACTTCCAAGTGCGCAGAGCAGGCGGGTAGGCCACGGGGGGATCCAAGCAGTCAAGATGCCACCAGAGGCCGCAGATGCTGCAGGGGATGATGGCGCGGTCGGTGCCACTGCTCTTGGTGCAACTGTGGCAGATTGCCGCGTTGCCGTCGGCGTCGCGCAGGCGGTAGAAGTCGGGAACCTCGTCGTCGGCGTTCTTCTTTTTGCTGCAGCGGGCAGTCAGCAACCTGGGACAAGCACGCAGACAAGGAAACCACCAAGTACTCACCGAGTAGGCTTCACACCAGGCGTTATCTCCTCGTACTCGCCATCAGCGCCGGTGCGCACTCCTTCAAACCGATCGCGGATGGGCCCCGGCAGGCGGAAGGCGCTCGAGTTCCTGGTGTCGAGCTTCTCCAACAGCATGGCAAACGGGCCGCTGTGGCTGGGGAGGTGTGCAGGGTCGCGGTTGGCGCGGCACACGTTGCAAAACCACTCGACGGGCATGGCATCGTGCCTAAGGACCGGCTCCACGCAGCTAAAGTGGAATGAGCGGGTGCAGCCGTCGCAGCAGATGAGCTCGCCGTTGCCGCCGCATGAAGAGCAGTAGTCGTCATTATCGTCCTGTGGTGGCGCCATGTCAGCAACCAAGAGTCGGACAAGGGGCTGTCACGGTTGTGTGCGCTATATTTTCAGCAAAACGGCAGCTAGCACCGCACACGATTGCCCACACAGTTTTTCCTGGGATGCGAAGATCGGGAGACAGGACTGAGGGAGAGAGTTGACTGTCCTTGCTCCTGCGTGGGCCAGCATGACTGAATCATTTGCACCAAACCACGGCGCCAGGACAACTCGGTGATGATGGGAAATGCAGGAGGACAAGAAAATGGAGAAGGGAATGAAATTCCATACCTCGCGGGGAACGTTGCCCACAGGACTGGTGCGCTCGCCGCTGGGCCGAGGAATGCCTGCTGAGGTGCCATTCTTTTTCTTCATCGGCCTAGTTGAAATAAAAAAAATGTTAGCGAACGCAAGCTCTGTTTCAGTGCGTGTGATGGTGGGCGATGCTTACGAGTTCTTAACTCGGAGCCCGGTCCTGGGCTTCTTGGCCGGACGCAGGGCGGGTGTCCCAGCACGTGAGTCGGCTGCCGCGGACGCTGCCTCGGAGCCTGCGAAATTCGCGGCCGTCGGCGATGGCTGGTCCTCCAACTCATCGTGCGTCCGCTTGAGCGCCGAGCGCGTGCTCCGTCCTTCCCTGGGTGCGGGCGTCGGGCGGGCCGATGGAAGAGTGATCCGCGTCCGCGATGCAGGCGCCGTCGCTGGGGTCGCCGGCTTGGCCGGCACCTCCTTTGGTTCCTCCGGGTCCTTCCGCCCCGATGCACGCAGCGGAGAAGGGTCCCTTGCGCTGCTAACGGGGAACTCTGTGCTCGTGACCGTGCGCGCCCTTTCGCGCATGCGCAGCTTGGGGTCTTCTGGGTCGAGCTTCCCCAGCTTGGTGGCAATGACGAGAGCCGGCGCGCCAGACTTGCTGCCCTTCTTGGGATTGAGATTGGGGAACAAGGGCGAATCGACAACGGCAGGCATCTCATAGGGTTGCTGCTCGTCGTGAGCGGCGGCGGGCTGCTCAGCAGCTGGGGATTGCCGCTGCGACGGCAGGGAAGAAGCAGCCTCTGCGGCCGGTTGCTGAGGCGCAGGGGTGCTGGTGGAAACAGCAGCCGGCGAGCGTCGGGAGGGTGACACGTTCTGGGTCTTGCGCGGTGCGTTGGACCGGCGCCGCTTGGCCGCTTTGATTGGTTGGGGCGGCGCAGGGCTGTTGCGCGAGGGGGTCTCATCAACCCCTTGGTCGCCGTCCTGTTCCTCTTGGATATTCTCCGGCGGCGACAGGGATCGTGCGCTAGAAAGGGAAGAGATGCTGGATACCGAGCGCGCCCGTGTCCGTCTTCGTGAAGGCGTCTCTGTGTTCGCCTTGCCACTAACTCCGTTGGTGGCCATTTTTGGTGCTGACGGCGGCGCCGCGTCCCGCTGCCTGGGGGCTTTGCGCTTTTTGCGCGGACGGAGCTCAGGCTCGGCGTGCTCCGGCTCAGGCTCAGGATCGCGCTGGGCGGGCTCCTCGAGCCCAGGTTCCTGGGTTCCTTCCACCGGTCGCTCTCTCTTTTGAACCTGAGATTTGCTGCTGCTACGATCGAGACGCAGGATTGACATGTCAAATTTGACGAGGTTGCCGTAGGGGGCCCGCTTCGGCGGATGCGGCGTGGAACGGCTGTTGGTGGATGCCAGGAGCGCGAAGTGAGAGCGGGCTTTGTGGCTCTTCTTGCCTTCCTTCTTCTTGGCATGAATGAGACGCGCGAATTCCTCGAGCTCGTCGGCGTTTGCAGTCTGCAGAAACACCTTCGTCATCATGGTGAGAAATTCTTGGTTGGATGAATTTTCGTCGTAGAGCGTGCGCAGGGCCCAGGCGGTGGGGTATCGAAAATGAGTGAGCGCCTCATCCACGGCGGCCTCCACCACCTTGTCGATGAACTCTTTCTTGTCGGCCGGCCGCGTTCCTGCAATAACACTCGCTGCCGGCTGTTGCGGCGGCCTGGTGCTTGCCCGCGATGAATTCCGGCGTGTCTTGCCTTTTTGAGACGATGCGCCCGGCGCCCATTCCTCGTCGTCGGTGTCTCCGGAAATGATGGAACGGCGCGAACGCTGTGCTGCAGCCGTTGTGCGAGCCTTGTGGCCTCCTCTGCTGGCAGGCCAAGCTTGGTTCTCCTCCCCCAGGTCCTCCTCAATTTGCTCCTCCGTCATGCCGTCGTCGTCCTCCTCCGTCTCATCTGCTTCCGTCTCGTCTTCCTCGGGCGCAGCCACAGGGGCAGGCGGAGGTGCAGGTACCGGGGTGGAATATGCCGCCGGTTTGGTCTTGATGATAATCCGAGTAGGTGCGCGCTCAGGGGCAGCGGCCGGAGGTGGTGCCGTCTTCTTAAAAAGCCCGACCTTTGGCAGCGTACCCAGCGGAGCCATGTTCTCGAATACCCCCCCGGGCTGCCGCACGAGACCGGCTTCCTGGTAGCTGGCTTTTACCTGCACGGGGGGTTCCAGCCAGCGCTGCATGAATGTCTTTTGTCCCTCGACACCGTTGGTGCCGCTCCCGTTGCCTTGAGCCCTCGACGACGACGACGAAGACGACGAATCGGGTGCACCGTTGGTTGGGGCCATCGGACTCGAGTAACGCGATCGCGTGGTCCGCCTGTTGGCTGAGACTCTGTCGTCGGTCGGAGACATGTTGGGCGTCGAGGCGGTGCTGGCGATGCTTCGAGTGGCTCGAGATGCAGCAGCCCTCTGCTCGCCGGAGCAGCCCCCTTCTTTGATCGAGCCAACAATTCGTCCTCTCGCGCCTGCGAAAGCGGGTTAGCGTCGCTGCAAAAACATAAAACTGCGAAATGTGTACCGTTCCGCCGTCCTAAGACATGAAGTAGGGCGACAGTGTCGCGTTCTTTGTGATTTCACGCGTGGTTGGGGGTGGTTGTTGGGAAATGCGTGGGAGTAGGGGGATGAGAGAGAGACGGCGATCCTAGCTTTTCCGGCGAGAGCTTCTGGGCGACTGACCAGGGGGCGTGGCTGCAGCTGTTGCTAAACTTGCAGCGTGTGTCTCCCGCCCGCAAAAATCGAGACACCGACGAAACTCGGCGTGATTACTTTCCTTGGGCACTCGATTGATCTCGATATTCGGCTCAAGAGAGGAAGCTGTGACCCCGAATTTTGGTGTTCTGGATGAGTTGCGACTTGTTGCACCGAATTAGGCGGTTGCCCCTGAATGCAGGGAATCAGGAAAACCCGCTGTTGCGACGTGTTTTCTCGGATTTTTTGTACTGATCTTCCTTACTCGCTCAAGAGAGGATTGATGAGTTCTTGTGTCAAGTGAGAAGACGATGAGAAGTTGGGAGGTTGCGTGTGGACGAGAGGAGCAGGGAAGCAGAACCGGGATTTTATAAACAACTGAAGACCGGGCAGCTTAGGGGGCCCGGCGGCCGTGGGTGCCTCCCCTCCTCCTTCGCTCTATTGTGAGCAAACCACATGCCAAAGCAATCACTTCAATAGCGGCCAGCTGTCACACAATAGAGATGTATTCGAGAATGCAAAACGAAGAGGGAAAAAACAACATCGATGACCCCTCCGGCTGGCTTCCGCCTGGGCGGGCGTACCCTTTCTTAACCATGAACTTGGTGGCCCCTTTTTGATCTCCAGATGTGCGAGATGTGGGCTCACAGGCCACAGGAAACTCGTACCGTACAAACCATTTTCGCGTCATTGTGTGGGCCAGATAACGCTAACGCTATGCCTTCCTGCCCTCCGTGCGCTGCGGATTCGGAATCACGGCCAAAGTGATAAAGCCAGAGCAGGTGGCTGTACAACAAGTCTCCCAGTCGATTCTCTCAGCCTTGCAGATGGTGCAATAGGGCATCCGCTCTGCTGGTCGAAGCTGAGCATCTCATCCGCCTCAAACCCCTAGCAATGCTTGATGCAGAGCCTGCAGCAAGAAAGAGCGAGCCGTGCGCCTGCCACCCACGCCCTTTCGCTCCATTCCGGTCCATCCACGACGCTGGATCCCCTTACTCATCGTCACTCTCCTCCTCATCCTCGTCCTCCTCCTTAGCGGGCTTCTTGGCCGGCTTCTTCTTCTTCTTCTTGTTCTTGTTCTTGCCTGTATTCCGGGCCAGCGGCTGCTCCAGGATCTTGAGAACCTCCTCGTCCTCAATCTTCTTATCCGACTTGACCTTGCTCAGGTCCAAAGCCGGCGGGGCACCCAGCTTGGTGATGCCGTTCTTGGTGATGGCTGTGACATGGATTAGCCCTGCCACTACTCTTCAACTTACCGATAAGGCGAAGGGGTTATCCCTTACCAATGGTGGTCAGAAGCCTGGCAACCGGCGCGTTGTCCTTGTCGCCCGTGACTTCGTACTGGCGGAAGACGTTGCCGCGCACGCACTCAATGACACCCGACTTGGCGTCGCGCTCGTCCTCAAGCTGCCGCAGGCTGAACGGGAAGGTGCCGAACTTCTTCTGAACCTCGGACAGAATCTTGCGCGAGGTAGGCCGCTTCAGCGCATACGTGTTGGCCGTGCGGCGGTGGAGCGTGGTCCGCTGCTCAAACTGCTTGACCTTGCCCGAACCCAGACTGACGCCCATCTCGACACCCCAGACCTCGCCCACCTCGGGGACGCCCTCGCCCTTGGTGCCCTCGCCGGGGGCAATAACAATCTTCTTCTTTCCCTCAATCTCGTTCCGGTCAAAGAGCCACGAGGTGGTGCTCTCGACGAGATTGCATTCGTAGGCCTGGGCGACCTTCTCCAGGAGGCTGGTGATCTGGGACTGGGTCCGTGGCTTGGCGGCAGCCGCCTTCGCCTTCTCCTCGTCTGTTCCCTGGGTCAAGAGACCGGGCGGCAGCATCAGCCGCAGCAGCAGCTCGTTGGCATAGTACGTGGCCAGGAGCAGGTCGGCAGACCGGCCCTCAATGACATCCTGCGCTTCATCGGCCTTCTTTGCCAGGACAGTGTCGCACAGAATGGAGCCGAAGCCATCGATCTGCGCTCCCAGCTGAATCTTCACTGGCTCACCGGCCTGCAGCTCGACGGCGGCCTCCTTCTCGTCCGACCTGAGCGGAGTGTAAGGGGTAACGAAGGCGGCCGGAGAGACAGTGGTGGGGTGGGAAAAGCCTAGAGCGAGATAAACGTCAACCATTGCCAACCCCCAGCAGGTAGCCCGGCTGCTGCGCACCCTTGGTAATCTTCTTGCCACGGTAGACCTTGGACAGTTCCTCCTCAATCAGCTTGTCTCCCTGCTCGCAGATGTCGACGATCTTGCTGCCGGCGACACAGAGCCTAGACACCTCGGCCAGGACCTTCTCCGAGATCTGCGCGGCCGTCTTGTACTTGGTGAGGGTGTCGGGGTTGTTGAGGGTGTAATCTAGGAAGAGCATCAGCACCAGGTAAAGGCAGGGTCTATCTGACAGATACACGTGTAGGGGTACGCCTCAACGCCGCATGCCCGGAACGGAGACGGATGGATGGGCCAGACTGCAGCAGAGTGCTGGATTGCCAGCCTGGAACGGCACGCGGAGTTCCAGGCAGGTAGGTAGGGGGATGTCGCAGGTACGTAGGTAACACGGGCATTCTTCGAGCTCACTGACCAGTTTCCTGGGATTCGGTCGCCATCTTGACCAACTATCCTCGAACGAGCGACCCTTTTACTGGGAGAAACTCAATGTATTCAGGAGAGGAACAGAACCACAGCGAGAGGTACGGAACAAGCTGCTGGGCGCGTGACGATTTTGAGCTTCTGGTGCTTGATTTTGTGAAGGCGGGAGAGGGGGTTTCCAGGTTTGTGTCCGTCCTCGGCTCCGCTGCCCCACTTGAAGCTTCCTGGAGGGGTTGCGAGGCGAGCGAGGGGAGAAGGCACGAGCCATGACGACGAGCCAAGAACAAGACGTACTGTAACTTACCGTACAGTACATACAGTCGGCTGTGGCTTCTCTGCTAGCCTTCGTCCCAGCACCCACAATGACAAGACATTTTGCCATCTCATTGGTCAGTCGCGCTCCGCCGTTTCTTCAACCTTTCGCGAGTCCCGTTCTGGCGCCAGCCTCGCCGCGAACTTGAGTTTTTGGCGAACTGAGCAGAGACATCGCATCGTCGCAGCACCACACGCAGTTCTCAATAGCCACTGTCCCCCATCGACGCGACAGCAGCATTGGACCAAGTGCGCATCGGGGGGCGGCTGTTCCTTAGCGACGGATATCTCATCTTTTCGTTCCTCCCATCACTATCGTCGCCCCTTTCATTCTTTTCTCCTCCAAACATGGCCGCTCCACAAGCGTCCGCGCTGTCGGCCGCTGGCGGCGACAGTGACGGGCCGTCATCGACGGCATCCGCAACCATCGACTCCTCTTCAACCGCCGCACCCGCAGTAGCACCCACCACCGATTCCGGCGCGCCGTCCAAGTCCGCCACTCCCACGGCTGATGCGACCACGGCGCTCCCGGTCCGCGACAGAGATGCTTTCAACAAGGTCATTGTCGAGCGCTTTCAAACGCGCGATTGGATTCACTCGGCTGCCATGAAAGAAGCTCAGATTCGGTTGGAAAAGGACACCAAGGACTTGCTTGCTCGGGCGAGCGACTACCGACAGTATCGCGACTTCTATTCCGCGTTTCCCGCTCGACTCTACGGCGAGGGCTACCGCGGCTACGGAAACGGCTACACCGCGAATGGAACCACCACAAAGATCATCTATCCGTCGCAAAAACCGCGCCCCGGTAGGAGGACAACGCCCGCCCTCAAGTTCTCCAAGAAGGACATGAAGAAGCAGGCCGAGCAGCACGAGGAGCTGGTGCCTGTCCGGATAGACGTGGATTGGGACAAGATCAAACTGCGAGACACCTTTACCTTCAATCTTCACGAGCGCCTTGTGTCCGTCGAACTCTTCGCTGCCCAGCTGGTGGAGGACATGGGCCTCAACCCGTCTGTCGACAAGCCCGTCTATGACCAAGTGGTCCAGCAAATACACGAGCAGCTCAACGACTTCTACCCCTTTGCCTACTCCGAGGAGGATGCCCTCGACCCTGAGCTCCCATACTCGGCCTACAAGAACGACGAAATGCGCATCCTTGTCAAGCTCAATATTACGATCGGTGCCCACACGCTAGTTGACCAGTTTGAGTGGGACATCAACAATCCCATGAACTCTCCTGAGGAGTTTGCCACCAGCATGGCCAAGGACCTGTCGCTGTCGGGCGAATTCACAACAGCAATAGCACACTGCATACGCGAGCAGGCCCAACTTTTCACGCGCAGCCTGTACAGCATTGGCCATCCGTTCGACGGCCGACCCATCGAAGACGCGGACCTGGTGACCGCATTTCTTCCCACTCCTTTACCTTCCGTTTTTAGACCACAACAACAAGCAAAAGATTACGCCCCTTATCTCTACGAGAACACCGAGGCCGAGTTGGAGAGGACAGAGACCATGTTCTCGCGCGAACAGAGGAGACAGAAGCGGTCCATCAACCGTAGGGGTGGCCCTCAGCTGCCAGATTTGAAGGAAAGGCAACGGACGATAAGAACGTCCATAGTTTCTTCAGTGTTACCAGGCGCTGCGCTGAGCATCGAGGAGAGCCGCCTATACAAGCGATCTCTGGGGGGTGGTCTGACAGGGAGAGGCAAGCGGACAGCTCGCGACGGCGACTTGTCTGATTCTGAGGAGAGCGACGACTCCGCTCCCGACTCACCCGCAATGGGGCAGCTCCAAGGAACTGCCAGGACTAGGGGTATCCGTGGCGCCGCCAGCGCAGCCGCCCAACGCATGGCCAACCTCGGGCGATCTGAGACTCCTGAAGCCATCATCCACCACCACGAAACCCGCACATCACGACGGTTCGGCCGAGAAGCCACTCGAGAACAAACCGAAGAACCTCAGCAATACATTATTACCCTCCGAGTGAGCCCCGCGAGGTTGAAAAAGCTCATGCGAGATTTCAAACTGCGACAGACACCACATCCATCCGCCACACCAACTCTCACCCAACAGCCGGGCCCGTCCTCGGCTGCCCCAGGCTCCATGGGTCCTCCCTCCACCCCATCCGCATCCATCCACAGTTTCCCCTCGAGACCGAACAACGCTCCTACCCTCCAAGGCCAGCTAGGCCGCGTCCCGGCCCCTCCACCAGGGCCCAACGGTTCAACGCCCAACCAACCACCGGTTTGTCCCCCCCAACCCATCCCTTCTGATCCCTCCCCCGGCCGCAAGCATATGAACTAACCCCCCGCCGCATTTTTCTTTTATCTAGCCCGCACCGCCGGACTGGCTCACCGCGGCGCTAGCCAACCTGCAAAAGACGTACCCGTCGGACCAGTTCGAGGCGCTCATGCGCTACTGCGCCGTCAACACCGAGACCAACTCGTTCGTGCCCTTGCCCCTGCCCGCCGGCGAGCCCATCCCGCCAGCCGTCCAGTTCGCCTGGCTGCCGCGCATCAAGTGTCTGGACTGCCCGGGCAAGTCGTACACGGCCGGCCCGGAGACGACGGTGCAGAACTTTGAGGTCCATGTCAAGAACCGCACCCATCGGGAGAGGGTTATGGCGAGGGTCAAGAGGGGTGGGTAAGGTGAATGATGCGTAAGTCATGGTTGGATAGGTAGGAATACAATACCTAGGACCGAGAGAGCTCTGGCTGTGGATTTGGCGTTGTCTTGCGGGTGGCGTAGTCGTTCGAGGTTGGTTGGGATGGGCGAGGGATTTATTCAGGACTCGGTTGAGGAAGGCTCTCTATGGATGACGCCCTGGAATTTCGGCGGTTAAGTTGGCCACAGAGTAGTCTTCACCTTAGCTCTTGGCCCCTAAGAGATCAACCCAACAGCTTGTACCAACTCTTGCTAGAAGGTGTACAATTAGGGGAATGGTTGGGGAGAGCGGGAGAAGGCGTTTCGGGGTTCATTTAGGGAATGATAAGGACGGGTGATTATCAGAGTGGCAATGACCACCATAGCATGGAGAATTTAGGTGCATGTTTCGATTCACACTTGGTGCAAGATGAAGATCGGATGGGCGTTCATGGTGTCCTTCTCTTGTTGTTGGGCGTGTAGGGAATCGTATGCATTGTGTGATACTAAAGACTTTCTAAACTGACAACAGTTCTACCTCTGGATGAAGACTATAGCATGTGATTGATTGACCAATGGCAAGGGATGTGGTATAATAGAACAACAAATGTCTACATGTTTGCCGGTTCACTGATCCTCAGTATTTAAGCATATGCCGCCCAACCTGTAGGAGTCAGCACAACTTTCTCTATGCAAAATAACGCGAGCCACGACGTTGGGAAGGACTTACCAGAGTACAAAACCGCCAGGTTCGACACACTCGTCGCCTGGTTGATCAAATCATTCACCGTCGCCATGACACTCAGGGTCTTGCTCAGCTTCTTCTTGACGACCTCAATGGCGCGATCCGCCTCGCTCGGCTCATTCACTGACTTGGACTTCCTGTCCCCTCCTCCTCCGCCGCCGCCACCAGCACCAGCACCACCGGCCCCTTCCTCGCCCTCGCCATCCTCCCCACCCTCCCCCGCTGAGCCGCGCGCATTCTGCAGCTTGGCCATGCGCACGGGCGAGATGGACCATTGGTACAGCGTGTCATGCCTCAAGCTATCCAGGATAGTCTGGATGGAGCCCGCCTCCTCGCGCAGCGCGTCGAGCGTGAACTCGCAGCACCGGCGGAAGACGCCCTCGGTCTTGGTGATGCCCATGCCGTCGACGATATCACGCGTCAGGCGGAAGGGGACGAGCTCCGGCACCGGCAGGACGCGGCCCATCTCAAAGGCGACGCCCAGGTCGATGTGCACCACCTCGCCCGTCTTGGTGTCGAGCAGGATGTTGTGCCCGTGGCGGTCGCCCAGGCCGAGGACGTGGCCCAGCATTGAGATGGCGGCAGTCGTGCGCGTGTAGGCGGTGCGCCTGTGGAACCATTCGTCCGGGTCCGGGAAGTACTCCATGAAGAAGTAGCGCATCACAGGGTGGAAGCGTTCGGTAACCTTGCGGTAGACGGTGATGCGGGTCTCGGTGGTTTTGGTTTGGGCGTTGGAGATCTCCTTGCGACATTGGGAGCCCTTGAGGTCTTTGGGGTAGTACTTCTCGTGTGCGGGCATGAGATATTCGTGGAGCGGGATTGTGTTGGAGACGAACTCGATGAGGCCGGAGGAGGAGGTTAGCGGCAGGACCTTGTATGTTCTGACGCCGAGGTTCCGCTGCCTTGTTGTCCGATGAAGCTTGAGAAGTTCAGACACGGCGGCAAAGACCTGCTCCATGATGGCATCCTGGCGCAAGTCATCGTTGCCACCCTTGACGAGCTGCTTGAACCGCTGGCCGTTGGTGCCGACAGCGGTGATGATTTTGGGCGCACTGACACCTGAAGCGATGGACATTTCCGGCTCAAACTTATGGATCATGGGCACATCCGAGTAGTCCTGGCTGGCCGACAACGCAATCTGCATCGTCGGCGGCGGGATCGGGTACTTGGCGAGGATGCTTAAGAAACTTTGCCCAACCGACGTGTTCTTGATGGCGATTTTTTGCCCAGCCTTGTACCTGTTAGGATCTCGGTCCATTGCAAGCGCATGGTAGGCTCTGCTCGTCTGGTCAATGGCTGGCCAGATCCTGGAAACCTGCTCCGACTTAGTGAGGGCCTTCGCCACCCTGTCGGTGGCCTTCTGGCGGGATACGGCAACTTCGTCATCCTTATTGACTCGTGTTCTCGCTCCGGACCAGATATGGTACATGCCGTGGTAGGGATGGTCGACACAGATGCGGTAGACCAAATCAATCAAGAGTTTCTGGAAGAGAACCGACTGGTCCTGCAGACGAGATGAAAGCTGGTTCATCAAGGGCGCAAACTTGCGGGTCGGAACTTTCCCAATGTACTTCTTGACAGCCTCGTTCGCGACATCCTCTTCTGACTTCTCCAGCCAGAGCGCCATGAAGCGCAAGGCGTCATTGTTGTGCTCGTCGGATGCTGCCAGAGAGAGGAGGTAGTTCTCCAAACTCAACCTCAGAAATTCAGAGCGGGTCTGCTCAACACGGCGAAGCTCCTGTTGGTCGAGATCCTGCCACTGCCTTGCTTTGGCAAGATGGCTCTGGTACCGGTTTCTGTGCTGTGAATCCTTGGAGCTGGCGATCAGGGCCTTCAGCTGTGCAACTTCCTCGTCTTTGCCTTTTTTGAGGTTCTTCAGGCGTGCAAGATCCTCCAAGCTGTCAGGGTTCTGGAGTTGCTCGTCACAGAACATGGCGAACTGGTGGAAGACCTGGCCGGCTTCTTTGCCTTCAATTTTGCCTTTGAGCTCCTTGAGTGCCGGCTCGAGATACTGCTTCTGGATGCTGTCCGGACTCTCTAACCTCGCGACTGAGACTTGGTAGCCGATCTTTGACAAAAGGTCTGAACGACTAACGGGAACGGTCTGTTTCTTCAGCGACGAGTCTTTGTTGATGTTCTGTAGCATGCGAATGGAAGTGATCATCTCCCCCTGATCCCACAAGGAGTTGGCAGTCTCCATTCTGATGGCAGCATCGACGCTGAGACCCAGTGACTCGCTCGAGCCGATGAGGTCGGTGAGCGATGTTGACAGATTCAATGTCTCCTGGTTCGCGCGGTGAAATCGGAAGATGTCGGATGAGAGCAACAAGCCGCGGATCTGGACGAGGCGAGCGTCTGCCGGAGTCAATCTCCTCGCTCGCAGCCTGTGGTGTTGACTCCACATGCTCAGCGTGGTTTGTCTGCACGAGAGAATTTGGCTCACGTCGGGATATCTACCTCTGTTAGCGTCCGCAGAACTTCGATGGCTCGAGGTGTCTTACCGCCCGCTCATCATCCACTTGGATCGCTTGTCGAAGCCTTCCAATGCATGCTGCAGCTCTGATTGATCGGTAACGTTCAACACATCGTCGAGCTCTGCGAGCACAGCGAGCGCTCCAAGTTGATGGCGTAGGGTGGAGGTGTTGAGGCTGCCGCTTATCAAGTGCCGCACGGTGCTTCTCATTCCGTCGTGGACCGCACTCCGAACAGCGTCGAGGTCAGGAGCCTGATGCATGGTTTGGTATGCCTTGTACACCGTAACGGCCCAATTGTCGCTGGTTGACGGCGCCGGTAGATTCCACATCTCCAGTCTCCTGGCGGTCGTGAATGTCCCATCCAGCGAGTCGGAAGACCCGTCCAAGCTCTGCTGCGTTTGAAGCAAAGAATTGGACAAGCCAGCGAGGCCGAGACTGCTAAGGGCCTTGATGAGTGCCTTTCCATCCTGTCTTGAAGCGGAATCCCTGCTCCGCAAGTGGCTGTCGTACTGTGCGCCGCGGAAAGCAAGACTTTTGCTCCCGTCGTTCTCATACTCCAGTCGAGCCACCACAGTGGACAGTGAGGCCTCTTCGCTGAGACCGTAATACGCATCGGGGTCGTCGATATTCTCAAAGATCTCTAGTAGGATCTCGCTCGAGTCCTCAATTTCTCTGATAGCCGAGGAGCGCCGTGAACCCCGCGAAGATTCGGAATTGGCAAGTTCGACGAACAGTACGGCGACTTTGAACATGCCACACCGTGTCGCAGCTGCGGCGGCGCTGGACAGGTTGATATCCAACCAATGACCCCGGTCTGCAATCGAAATCTCGCCTGACAGTGGTTGTGTTCTCAGGTAGAGGATGGTGTTGATCAGGAGTTTGAGATTCTCTTTGGCCAAGTGAGACGTGGAGTCCAGCCATTCCTTGAGAGCCTCTGACAATCGCCGTTTGACGCCCTGTTGCTTGTCTAACTGGTACGCCAAGACCAAATGGACAACGAAGGGGAATGCACGCTCAGCGAAACCCTTCACCTTGCAGAGAATTGGAGGCAACACTCTCAGGGTGACAATCTCAGGCACCGATTGCGCCAGGAGGGTTGCAAGTTGCCGGGACCAGTTGGGGCTCTCGAGCTGCTGGGCAGAAAATACTTCGGCCTCAGCAGGCGTGTCCACCTGGAACTGATCAGATCGCGGTGTGCGGTACGGGTCCCAGTTCGACGAAATCAGCAGCGGCTCAGCGAGGCTCTGTTGACAAGCACCGAGGAGATCATGATCGTCATCGCTGACGGCATCCGAAACAATAGTACGCAGCGCAGCCTCAGCCAAGCCGGCTGTGAAGCAATCGCCGCTGACAGTCAACGTCTCGATGAGATTGAGCAGTCCTTCTTCGGACCCGCCGATGTCTGATGACAGCCTGCGGTACTCCTTGAGTTGAGACTCGCGCAACAACTCATCAGGGACCTCACCGGAGGCTGCAAATGAGCGGCCCAGAACTCGTCCGGCCCAGGCCAGGTACTCCCCGCTCAGCTGCTCGGAGGCACAGCTCTTCCAAACAACAGCACTGTGACTTAAGGCGTCTGCATCGCTTTCAATGACATCGAGCCGGCTGGATGGAGGGACCTTGAAGACGCCGCAGAGCATGGAGAGAGCGACGTCGCGCGCTGGCTCGTTCAGTAGCTGATTCTCGCGGTCCCAGTCTTCCAAGATCCCCAGCAGCAGATTGCTTTCGTGCGTGCCTTTCTCCGCGTTGCCCGAGGCACGGATATGGGCAGCCGACTGCGTGATGGACTTGAAGGCAAGCTTCTGCGCTTCGTCTTGGAAAGCAGGCGAGTCATAGCCAGCTAGGTACTTGGTGAACCACGAGTGGAAAAGCTGCGCTTTCGTCATGGTCGCCTTGAACTGACTCTCCTGTGTTGTGCTGGACTGGCTCGATTCAAGGAAGACGCGAAGATCCGCCAGGCTGGAGAGCGCAAACCCAGCGAGGAATGATGGCGTCTGCCTGAGATGATTGTCTCCTTTGAGAACGAGATATTGGGTAATGCCTAGTGCATCATCGGCGCATTCAGGGTCCACGACAAAAGCACGTAGTGACTGTAGAAGCATCTCAAGGGGGTACGCAGATGTCGCATGGTCGCCGGCCATACATATCAGAACGCGGATTTTGCGGAGAACCGAGCAAGCATGGAGCGGGCCGAGCGCCGGGTGTATCGTGTTGAGCAGTTTACGGGCAACGAAGACAACGAGGGCTGGCGTCCACAACGTCTCGGGCTCGTATGGGGTTCGGCTGCACAGATGAGTGATTTCCTTAGGCAAATACTTTGCTTTAAACATCGGTTGTTGATTCGGCGGGAGTGCAGCGGGCAAATGGCCGAGTTTCTTGATCTCCTCCATAGTGTTTGCGGCGTAGGTGAATCGCTCGTCTCGCCGAAAAGCCTTCTCGATGGGATCCTCCTGATCGAAGATGTCGAAAAAGGCGGCAATGATGTCGGCGAAGTTGAGGTGAATGTTTGCAAGAAACCCTTCTTTCCCCAGGATCTTCCTGAGCCTGCTCTCTCCAGTTACGTAGTCGGCACCCCCAGGGATGCTGATGTCATGGGCAATGCTATAGGCGATGATTTTGGTGAAGCTTTGCTCGACCAGCTGTTCGGGGGTCAGACCGAGCGCCTGAGCCAAATCAAGGGCTTCTTCCTCCTGCCCACGCATGATCATGATGGCAGCGGCCTCTGTCTGCGCTTCCTGGAGTAAATCGTGGAGGCTTGGGTAGCCGAAGATCTCGAATGGGATCTGTTGAATCGGATCTGAGTCCAGCCATGTATACAGTAGCTGAGGAGCAAAGAGTCTGAACAGCTCTTGCGGTCCGTCGAGCCGTAATGTCCGCGAAACCCTTCTGAGGCAGCTGGCTGCATACTTCGCAGATTGGGTTATCTTCCCGGGTGTCTCGAATATGTGATAGATACATCGGCGCAGGAGTGTTGGCCATCGACAGGCAAGTTCTGCTAGCACAAAGAGTCGAAATGCAATCCCTTCGATGTTTCGAGGGTCAGAGGGAAGGTTCTCCAAGACATCGACGAAGATGTCGTCGTGCGTCTTGAGGACGTACAATCCGAAGACCTTGCGGACATTGCGCCCAATGAAGCACTTCACATCCATGACTCCGTCTTGCAGGATGTTCATGAGAGTAGACCGAGAAGATGGGAGTTTCAGGCTGGAAGCGTAAGTCGACTTGACCTCCAACAGGTGCAGGAGCAAGCTGGAGAGGCGGATCTGTGCAGCGGCTGATAGTGCGTTCATGGGGAGGCAGTTCTTCACCAAAAAGTAGTAGAGATCCCCTGCCATGCCCGAGATCTCCAGCTCCTCATCAGTCCAGATACTGATGAAGCTATCCATGAGGTCGATGCAGTTGCACAATGCCACCTCACAGCACGAAAACTCCCCTTTGCTGATGATACGCCCAGCGGCTTCAAGAATTCTGACAGCAGAATCAAGCGGAGTCATGGCGTCCGACGTGAAAAGCTCCGTCATGAATTGGCGGCAAGACAAGAACTGCTCCTTAGGAAGCTCAAGTAGATGGTCGACAATCGATTCCGGAACGCGCCCAATCTCTCCGTCATTGGAATGTACCACCTCAAGTAGATGGATTTGCAAAGTTGTTTCGAGATAGAAAGCCTCCGGCGTATGACACAACAGGAGGTCTCTCCGGGGCAGGGTCTTGGTTTTCAATAATTTGCTGTTTTGGCTTGTTTGCGATTCGAACTCTTCGTCGATGTCGACGATATTGGCATTACGGAGCGAAGATTCCCGCTGGGACCTCTCGTGCAGGGCATCAGACAGTTTGCCGAAGAAATTCAGCAAATGTGGCCTGTCGGTCTTGAGGGCCACGAGTTCCGCTTCCGCGAGGGGAGGGACGTATGGGGCCGAAGATGTCAGAACGAGGTCAAAGAAGTTGTCGTTCGAAGGAGCACCCAGGATTACTCTGAATGTGGCGTCAATGACATTAAAAAGCGTTGTTTCAAGGTCTCTGCCCATGGATGAGTTCAGGCTGGCCAGTTCCGGGAGCAGGAGAGCTCCCGCGATACAGGCCAGGACCATGCTCTGGAGCCGCTCGGAAGAGACAGGTACTGCGCCTTCGCCTCCGCGCTTCTGCCATGACTCGGCCAACCGGTGGAGCTCTTCAACTTTTGGGTAGAGCAACTCAAGCACCAGGCGCTTTGTTGCATGTGATCCGGACGGATCAGCAACCTGCTGAGGCTCAGTCAGCTGGTCCTCGGTCGGTAGTGGTTCTGCGGACGCCTCCGCGTCGTCTGGTTCCAACAGCAGCAGATACCGGAGAAAGGAATGGGTCTCTGCCTGGCTCTTCCAAAACTGGGCGATCGGGCCTCCAAACAACCGGAGGGGAGCTGACATGATGAGAGCCGGAGCCCCGTAGCAAGCCCTTAAGAGGTTGACGATATCATGTGGACTCGCATGAGCGGCGTGGAAGGAGGCGTATGTCAGCTCAGCTATGGCAGGGAATGTCAGAACAGCGTCAATGTCATATGGTCCTCCACGACTTACCCGGGCTCCATCTGACAAATACCCATCGAATGATGTGGCCTGAGGTGGCCTGACTGGCATTTGGGAACATGTGATTGCGCAGGCGCAAGAGGCTCAGCATGAGGATGAGAGACGATTCCACCAGCACTGATGGACCGCTGATGTCGGCGGTCGTCACGATCTGATTGACATCATCCGCGAGTTCGTGCCTGGGAACGAGGTTCGCTTTCAATATCGAGTGCAACAGCACACAGGCAGCACGACTGGTGGGTGGAAGAGATAGGGCTCGGACCCCGAGTTGCCAAAGTTGCTTCCAGAGCGGAGTTAGGGAGGCATGCTGTGACGCCTCGTGGGCAGCAAAGCTTCGTCTTGTCAGTTTCTATGGGCATAGATAAACGACGGATCATGTTGATACTCACCTAGAACAGGCAATCATGGCCCAAGACGCCACTGTGCCCTGCTTGGCGGTGACGGATTTGGATATGTCCCCCATGGCCTCGATAATATCCTCCAGTGAAGGCTGCTTTTGTCTTGCCAGAAACGGTATGAGTTGTATAGCGGACAGATGGACCGCTGGATCTATCGACTTCAACTTTTGGTGTAACCTGTTCGAGCTGCCGGCCATCCGGCGCCTCTTCCGCGGCTGGTCACTATCGGGATGTTGTTGACTGTGCTCACGCTCAGAGTACCGCGAGTATGCAGCTTCCAGAATAGCGATGTTCTCCAAGAGAGCCCAATTTTGCTCCCCTGGTTGGTTATAAGGACGCAGGCTGAAGACGGCGGTCGATGGGTGATCCGCGGGAAGACGTATCCCCGAGAAAGTCACATCGTCCAGCTGAAGCCGGGCGCGATCCTCTCGTCTTGAGTAGTCCGACCACAACGATTCCAGCAAATCCTCGACGTCTTGGAAAGCAGACTCGTCGGTCGACTCCCGCAGCAAACTCTCCACGTATAGATGTGTCCCGTAGATCGTCTTGAGCATCTCATCGCGGACCGAGTTCAGCATGGCATCTCTCGAGAGAGCACGCGGCTGCCACCAGAAAGACACAAGGGGAATCAGGGTCCTGACCAACCTCTTGGATAGGGCAACGGCGTCGGTTTGGATACGTTGGAAGACGATGTTGAAGGTCGAAAAGGCTAATTTCTGGAGCTCGCCAATCCTCATCTGTCGAAGCTGGAGAAGCTGCAGAACCACATTCGAGATCTTGTCCGCTCTTCTTGGAACCGGTGCATTCGGGGCGGCCACCAGCGAGTTGAGGCATGCTAAAAATTCGAGAGCAGTCTGGCTCCCAATCTGGCCGGAACTCTGTGATAGTGTAACGGAGGTAGACCTGGCACTTGCACCTGGAGCTGGGGAGGCGCGAGAGAGGGATGCGCTATCTCGGTCGCCCGTCTCGAGGTAGCGGGAGAGCCCTTCGAGGCAGAAATTAACACACGTGTCCCAGCTCCCGCCGTCGTATGCCGCAAGATGCTCAACGTTCGCCGAGAACTCGAGGAAAGTGCCCAGAGCCTTGACGTAGTGCTGGAGGAGAGGAGCGAAATAGCTCTCCCCTGGCCGTGGAAGAACCTGCGTAATGTGGTCGATGATGGCCTTCACCGTCTTGCGCTTGATCTTGGTGGCTCCATGTCGGATGGCGGTACGCAAGGCTTTGGCGCATCTCTCGAGTCTCGTGCTAGCAGCGGCAACGGTCTTGGCTGATTTTGAGGAGCCAAAGCAGCACTCCTTTTCTATGAGAACGCATCGAAATAGAGCTTCATAGAGGGAATGGTAGGCCTTGTCGTCAAAGGAGTTTCTGGTCCGCATTAGTAGCCTAGCAAGAAAAGGGCAGCCAAGGGACGCACGTGTGACCTTGTATCCCGCGATCGACGCTGTTGAAATACTCCAGTAGTTCTGTAGAAAGATCGGTTTTAGCTTGAACATGGCAACGTCGTCATGATGCTTACTATCGACAGCCTCCTTGCGCGTCTTGACCGTGCGACTCTCGAGTTGCCCTGTGGAGAGTTGCCTCGTGTCAGACCGGGTCCTCTAGTTGTTCTTCGACCAGCTGTGTCACTTACCAGTGATCTCCTTGAAACTCATTGTGTCACCGGATTATGTTTGCAACAGGAACCAACCGGAGGGGCTGGCGACATTCGGGCCCCGGGCTTAATGGGATAGATCAACTCCGTGGAACTGGAAAGTGGTGAACCAGCGGATAGGGAATGAAATTGAAGCACGACGGCGAACAATGAGGATCCATTAGCTGCCTTCGCATTCGAAAGACAGTTAGACTCATGCGTACTAGATAAGCGCATTGATAGGGCAAGAAGAAACCCCAGGGCAATAAGGTAACCTGTGCTGCGTTGGGGCAAAATTGTAAGGTAGCTTGGGTTGCCTGGTTCGCGTGAGTTCTGTTTTTACCCCGGGCCTGGCCGCATTGGAGAACATCAACCAGCGCCGATTCAACAGAGAGCCCCGCCTGGTAACGAAGCGACGGGAGACATCGAGACTTGAAGAAGATGGCCTGTGTCAGACTGCACCGATTCTATCCTCTTCCGCGCTCTAGGCTCCCATCTCGTTTGTTTGCAAAACGGACAGGCTCAAAACCTGGAATCCCAGCTCAGCTCCAGCGGGTAAGGCGAAATCTGGGAGCTCTGACCACTCGGCCACTCTCAGGCCCTCTCAGCAACAACCGAAGACGGGGGAGGCGGCAAAAAGATTCACCGCCTAATCTTTTGTTGACTGCAGCGGTTTGGCGCCAATCGGCAGGCAACTTCCAAGTTGGCGCGGGACAGCTTTAAGTTTGATCGCGCGGTTCTCGACATCTTCATTGCTAAATCAATCGCGCTCACACAGCTTGAGCTTCGAGCGCTGCGACATTGATCTATATCTACGCTTCTAATCCGCCTGATAAACACATCCTAGGTCAACACCCCTCGTATACGCGGCCAGACCCAAAAGAAGAATGCGCTGAGGCGCTCTCCTCCGACCATGTCTGAACTGCGCGCACTCGAGGCACTCCAGGCTTTGCACGGCGAGCTGGTTGCTGTGCGCCAACATCGATACGAGGGCCTGCAAGTCTTGGAACAACTGCTCGACACGCAAAGCGATGCATTCGAGAAACTGATCGACAAGCCCCCGCGCAACTCGGCGAACAGGGCAGCCTTGGGGACAGGTACGGAAAGCGTACATTTGGCCGCGGGGCAGAAATTGATGCTGACGAGGGACTAGGGAAGATCAAAGTAGGCGAAGACGAGTACGCGGTGAACGAAGATTTTGTCAATGACTGCCTCAAGGTCGCAGACGATCTGGATCTTGACGAACTTGAGTCGGCGAGGATACTACTGGACTGCGATACCGAAGGCGATCCCGACACTCAGAGTCGACCCTTGTGGGAATGCGCTGTCATACGGTTCCACCAGGAACGCCGGTTCCTGCTTGATTGCATGCGCCTCTGCCTCGAGATAGCCGCCGACGAGGAGCTGGAACCGAGCCTGCAGGACGCCTTCGGGGCGATTGCCGAGGAGAAGGTCTTCTGTGTCCTCCCACCAGGGTCGCGACCCGGAGGCGTTGCCAAGAAGGTCATTCCGAGGTGCATGGAAGCCATGCAGAGCATCAGGTCCATGCTGCAGGGCCTGATGGACAAGGCCGCCGCCCGGAACGTTTTGCAGCAGGCGAGCCTCGTGAGGGCTCCGGAAAACCAAGAGACATTCGACTTCTCGCGGTCGAGCCTCGTGGAGCAGCATGAGTGCCTTGCAGCAATCCTACACGCCGCCGTCGAGAAACGCCATGCCACGGACAAGGACTTCCAAGACTTCCTCAAGCTTCTTCAAAAAGCTGACAAGTACGACCACTTTCTCGGTATGGCAACATGACCCCAACTCCAGTTCACTGAGACGTTACTCATAGGCTTAGTGCATTTGTTCCCTGTCCTTGCTGCGTACATAACCGTTTTCGGCTCGACAGAAGGAATGGGCGATCTCCAGCTATCGCGCCAGCTCAACCAACTCATCTGCAAGCAAGGCGATGAGCCCTGGACCCTCCCATTCCTTGGCGCCGCCGTCCGTGCTTGGTGGATCGCCGAGTACAGCGGCTGGTACCTGGATGACACGACTTACGACCTCCAGGGCATCAACCTGGACGAGGAGGACGAGGAGCGGAACAAGCAGTTCATGGAGGCGCTAAAGGAGGGGGCGTTTGACTTCATATTGTCCGTCGCCGCCGACTGCAGGGCCCAGGAGTGGCAGGACCCATCACGCCTGGGAATGCGCCAGTGGTTGCAACGAAAGTCGCCTCCCTTGGCCTCGGACCCTTTTCCTTTCAGCCATTTTCTCCAGCAGAGCGTGATGGTGCACCTAGAGGGCTTCGTGGATGCCGCAATATCCAACCTTCCGGACATGCTCCGCAAACTGAGGGCCGAAGAGGACGAACAACGGCAACTCAGCCAGAACCACGAGCAGGACCTCGATCTTGAGCGCTTCCTGATCATCATCTCCTATGCCTATGAAGGACGGCCGGATGCTGCCATGTCGTTCTGGGAAGATCCGGACAGCAATCTGGCCGGTTTCCTGCAGTGGGCGTCACGAAGGGCATCCACTCCGCTCGTCAGCGCATTTTGCGAGATGCTGCAGTGCCTCTCTGACAGCGAGGAATGTGCCACGGCTGCCCACCCTTTCCTGCTCGATGAGGGTCATCACTCATCCGGAAAGATGAAACGCTCACAGTCTCTGACATGGTCCCAGATCTTCAAGGAGCTCGAATACTTCACAACCAAGATCCGGGAGAGGCAGACCCCGAACCAGGCGCAGCACATGTACCGACCCGGCAAACTCGGCTCTGACCTGGCCGAGACGGAGCCCGAGTCGGCATTGATGCTGGAGTGCTACATGCGCTTGATAGCCAAGCTGGTGACAGAGAGCGAGGTCGCCAGGCAGAGGATGATTATGGACGAGGACCTCAAGCTGGTTGACACCATATTTAAACTCTCGGATGGGCCGCTGCCCTCTCGCCTTCGTGCTGGCGTTTTCTACGTCCTCAAAGCCTTGATGACGCGCAAGCAAGCTCCCGAGAATGAAATACTGTGGCGGTATGTCGATGGGTGGGCGACCAACACCCTTAACAACCCCGGAGCCCAGCAAAGAAATCCTTACCTTGGCCAGCCTTTGAGCCCTCAGGGATTCATGGAAGAAACCTTAAACGACCTCAGCAATGGCTTCGAGGAGTCACACGCCTTCATCCAGCTGCTCACCGCCCTCTTCGCGCCGCTCGACGGCCCCGAAGGGCTGAACGACACGCTCACCTTCCCAGAAGACCTGGGCAGTAGTGTACGAGCTCCCGGGATGGAGCCTTACGTCGACTTTGTCTTCCGGCTCCTGTCTCAGAAGGCTCAGGACCTTGCCGACCCTGCGCAGCTCAGAGCATTGCGCCTCAGTTGTCTGGACTTCGCCATGACTTGTCTGTCGACATTCAACGAGGACCTGATCATCCTGGGCAATGAGAGCAACATTGCCATTGATGTCGCAATGCCGACGACAGACTTGGCCACGTATGTGCGGCTCCACCCGTTCGCCCGTGTCATGGAGTGGTTGTTCAACGAAAAAGTTATCACCGCACTTATCCGCACTATCCACCAAGATCCCATCAGTTTGGGTAGCGCTTCCCCGGATTCGCCTCTGGTGCTCAGCATCTTGCGGGGAATCCAAGTCATGATCAAGGCTCTCGATCTGCAAGAAACTTATTTACACCTTGTTCGACCACTTATCCAGTTGGAACCTGGACGTCGGCGAACTGCTGTGGCAAACGCTGCCTACTCCTCCTTCGAGGACGGCATCATAAGCCACCTCGGCCTTGTTGTTGACCTGGGCAAGTACTGCAACCTCGGCCATGGCGACCTGACGCTGGCTTGCCTGAAGTTGCTTGAAAAGATCTCCACGTCTCCCAAGATCATCTCGGCGTGGAACCCAGATGCCGGTCGACTGGGCCAACGGAACAAAGCCATCGTCCAGCTTGAGAGGGATGGCGAGGGCCAAAGCATTGCCGCTTCGCTCGCTGCTCAAATTTCGGCCAGCTTGGATCCAGTGTTAGAGGCCGAGTCGGAGCGCTATGTGGTCAAGCTATTCATACTCGATTTCCTTTACGAGTGCCTCAAGGCGACACCGGATCAACCGACCATTGCACATCTGCTGCTTGGCTTCCACTGCGAGCATAACAAGCTCACCATCGAGCCGAGAGGGGCATTCGACACGCAACGATCTCTTTTCCACAGTCTCCTCAACGTCATTATCGGAATCTCTGTGTACGAAGAGGAGCATGGCATGCGCGGCTATCTGATCACCTTGAAATATCGGATCCTGCGCATCCTGCAGGCTCTCTGGAAGTCGCCGTTGTCTGCAACCCTGGTCATGGATGAGCTGAGGGCGACAAACTTCCTCTTCCACATGTTGCTCAAGGAGGTCCAGATCCAGCCAGATCTGCGGTGGGACGATCTTGAGGCGAGCAACCCCGAGTTCCTCCTTTCTGATGCCTCTGTGGCATACATTGATTACCTCGGCGCTCGGGCGATGGTTTTCGAGTACATCGGCAAGGAACTCTGCAGCGTCTCGCAAAACAGGATACCGTCTATCAAGCGCCAGATTTTCGATGCGTTGAATGGGCAGATCAAAATGGATGACGGCGAACCGTTGAGCCTCGCTAATATCTTTGATCTGTTCGACTTCTTGAACCCAGATGCTACTTGGAGCGTCCCTCCGCCCCAATTTGTCTTCTACAAAGACCTCGATCTCAAGCCGTCGGCCGTTGAACACTCAGAGGCTGGGTTGCAGTACAACATTCACAAAGTGCGGGAGACCATCGCGTTGAAGCGAAATGAGTTCAGGGACACGCTTCAGGTGGCGCCGCAACAGCACCTGGACGCTATTGAGTCTGAAGAGACGCTGCTGGTGGAGTACTTGACCTTCACCAACCGCCAGAACCTGTTCACCGCCTCGAGGCTCACCCTGCTCAGAGCATGGGTCAACCTGCTCCTGGTCATGTTCGAGGCCAACGATTTCAAGGGAACGCCCAAGATGGCATTCCTGCTGCAAGCACTGCAAGCCATCCTCCCGGTCTTGGAGGCCTACAGCACCTTGAGCCCGGCCGAGGCGTTTGAGCTTGCAAGAGTTGCGAAGGTGCTCCTCTTCAAGCTCGACATTTCAGACGCCGACGACGGCACGGCATCCGTCCTGGACAAGGAGAAGTTTACCGTCGGTAACCTCGTCAGCGACAAGCTCTTCCAGCTTTTCCAACTCTGCCTCAGGTCCATTGGCAGGTGGGCCGGTAGCGCCGAGCTCCGCGCACTATATTACGGCATCTGCTACCGCTACCTCACGGCCGTCGTCGACAAACACACGGCATCCGCCGCCGCTCACAAGCGCAGCACCCGCAGCCTCGCGACGGCCCGCACAAAGACGCTCAAGGCGATCCAAGTCGACGGCAACCGCCTCCTCAACGTAATCTGCGACGACGCCTACGGCAGCGACACAGCGTGCCAAACCGCCGCGACCATCCTCCTCTCCGCCCTCGTCCACACCTCCCGCCGCTCTCCCTGCCCGCCCTCCGACGACGACACCCAACTCATCGACTCCCTCAACCGCCTCAACTTCATCGGCGTGCTCGTCGACTCGCTGAAAACCATCCTCGCCGACTGGCTCGCCGTCATCTCTCCCACCACCTCCTCTGACACGACCACCCCCGCCTACCAGCAGGTTGCCGAAGCCGAGCAATACATCAACGCCAAACTGGCTTTGCTCTTACAAATCGCCCAGACACGCCACGGCGCAAAGTACGTGCTCCAGGCGAATCTGTTCCGCGCGCTCGAGCTGTCGGGCGTCTTCGATGCCGACCCGGAGCTGCTCCTGGTCAACAACAATCACGATACGCAAGGTTCCATCAATAACACGCGCGCGCTTGAGCGGCATTATGCCCTGCTCGTGGCGCTGGCGAGGATTGTCGGGGCAGCGGTACTGGCGAGGGGGGCGCATAATGTCGTGCAAGGCCGGAGGTTCCTGACGCAGCATCGCATGCTGGTCGTGCACACACTCAAGAGGAGCGCGGGAATTGGGATGATGGGTAATGGCAATGCCGCTAGGGTAATGATGGCACCGGGTGAGGGGTTGTTGGGTGTGGTTGGGGTAAATGGTGGTGGTGCTCGTCGTGCGGGTGATAAGGAGGTGCAGGCGGCACTGGAGGAGAGGATTGAGGAGCTCGCCGAGGCGTTTATGCTGCTGATCACCGCGACGGGGTTCTTGGAGGTATGCCTTCCTCCTTTTCGCTCTAATTTTTCGATCCTTGTCTTGGCTAATGGTGATTACAGTTTGAGACGGGCCAAGTTCCTGCTGAGAAGCCGAGGGGAAGCACGACACTTTTCCATTGAAGAGGCACTGAGGTGGACTATCGAGGTACACTTCGTCAGGCCATTGGCTAGTGTAAGGGAAGTGTAGGAATTATGGTGGGGCAAAAGGGAAGGGGACTGTCTGGTATTAGATGGTTAATCACATCCTCTCACAATGTTGGGATAGAGGAAAGTTGAGCACCTGTATTCTTGTCTGTCTAGCGATTGTCCGTTTTGGGGACGTGAATGACCCAGAGGGGTGAAGTTCCTGTTTGAAGAATTGGCATGTTGAGTCTTCCCAAGCACCGCTGGTGATTCTCAGTAATCGGCCATCGAGGATTTGCAAGGAGGAGAAATGGATCCTACTTCGCGATCGCTTGGACAACTCCACGAAATCATGGTGTAAATATTGGTGGAAACAAAACGACCTGCGTCACTAACCCAGTCCTTATCCATGGTCACCACCCAGTTCTAATGCCAGATCATATTAACCTGTCCCCAATCAGACCCAATTCCCGCGCCGCGCCATGTCATGCCATACCATGCCCGAGTTTATACCGCTTCCGGTGCTGAGTGACCAAGGGCGAATAGTACACTAAATCAAAAGGGTATTCGCCGCATCCGTCTCCGTGGCCCTTCCGCCATGCATTGATTTGAAAAGCCAAGCAATATACTCCCGCAATGACTGCGCGAGAGGATGTCAAATTTACCCAGGCTTTAAGTCAGACCGTGTCTGAAATGTTTTGCTCCTTCACGACCCGAGTTACCCAGGAGCAGCGAAGAAGATGATGGATCAACTGCTGGCTAGCAGGCGTAATGTCGGTATCCAGATCGCCAGAAGCCCAGGCTGGATATGTTCCCGAAGCCACGTCGGTGCTCTCGTACGGAAGACCCGACAGCTTCCGCTGCCATGCGGTATTTCAAAGGCAGCGTCTAATCTACCTCAAGTAGGTTATTGGGGCGGGTCAACTGTCCCCCCCAGCGTCTTCCTCGTCATCAACTTGAGCTCTAGTGGATAGAAGCCCTTCGCATTTCTACCGAACTTGCCATTCGCGGCGGTTGGCCTGTCGATCTTTTGCCGGCAAATCGGGCATATCCGCCTGGTCACTTCCATGTTGAGGGCGGAGTGAAGACATGCGGAACAGAAGAGGTGACCTGAATGACCATCAGAATGCGTTCCAGTGTAGTGGAGAATGTGATAAAACCTACCACAATGAGTGACTGTTAAGTCCTTGGCGCTGTCCATGCAAATGACGCAGTCGAAGGAGCTCAACCTGACGAGCTTCTTCACTTTTCCTTGACTTTCCAGAATATTGGCTGGGACTTCGTCCGTGTCCACGAGATCGACCACCTCTGCACCCCCGAAAAGATCGTCGCCGAAAAGGTCCACGTCATCGTCTGCCTCCCGTTTGCGCTTGGTGGCGGAAGAGGCTTGTTCCGGCTGTAATGGTCGCGGCGCGCTTCGTCGGGGGTTCCCGGAGGATCGAGACGGCGGCCTGGCATGGCTGGGTGCCGACGGCAAGGACAGGTCAGTCGGCCGAGAGCTTCTCCTCCGCGAGCTTGTGGACATCGTGGGCGATCCGGGGCTGCTCGGGTCGGTGTGCCGGTGTGGAAGATCTAATGTGGGGCCGTGAGTGACAGCAGTTGTGGAGCCGCGGGCGTGGAATTGATGCGGGCGTCGGCGCTGATGTAGGATGCGTGGAATGTCTTGAGGCTGACTTTGGGGCGGGAAGATGTCACTGCGGCTTCGCTGGCGGGAAAATGAGCTTGCTGATAAATCTGGAAGCCCGTGGAGAGGAAGAAGAGGGCTGTGGCTTGAATTCAAGAGTGCACCAAGGACGGGACGTGTAGAAGCGCTGTGTGTAAGGGAATCTGGTTGAAATGCGGGCGGGCTAAGATTCTCTTGGTTTCTGGGTGCAGTGTTGAAGAGAGAATGCTCGGGATGCGGCGAGGCGGCAACCGTCGACTTGTCTGCGGGTCCGGGCCGAGTGGGGTTTGACGCCGAGCCAGCGCCGAGATTATCGGATGAAAGAACGAATGCTTCCTGGACTCTGCCAGTTTGGAAAAGCGAGGGGTGGTCTCCGATAGCCCCCGGAAGCCCCGAACAAGAAAGTTGCCGGGATTCTTGAGCGTCAATGCGCACCGGAGCAGCACCGAGGGATCGAGGATGAAATGAGGAACATAGAGGCCGAGCGGCTTCCATGAGCTCAAAGAGGTCACCATCTGCGCCGAGAGGCTCAGCATTGACCGTCGGTAGCGACATGAGCATTGGATCTGGGAGTTTGGCTATGCATACCGCCAAGGAAGTCATCCAAGGTTCCGTCAAAGAAACTGTCTGCCATGGCTGCTGAAGTCTGAAGCTATGGGTTGGCCGTGACGTCTTCGCAGCATGCCGAGATTCGAATCCTGGAGACGGTGTCGGCTGGACAATGTTGTTGGCCTTGGCGAATTCTAGGCTCGAGCAGATATGGTCGACTGGCCTTTGTTCACGCCGTAAGGAAGGATGCAGAAGACGAGAAGCAGTCCAGGGGCAGCCCGAAGAAATATGTGAGCAAAGGTGATTTCCGGATGTCACAGTCCGTCCGGATGACAACTTGGAGATCACCGCCCGCGATGCAACCCATAGGTTTGCTGGGCGTCACCTCACACACTTGCTCACCCAAGCTCGAGACAGTGAGGGACTGCCCAAGACGCACGAGTCAAACCTGACGCAGTCTTCAATAATAACGGGCTCAAAGGGGCAGGAGTGTCCTGGCTGACGCCATGTTGGCTGGTGTTCCTTCCGCTTCGGGTCCGGACCTTGTCAGTCTCCTATGACCGCTCTTACCAACTTCAACCCTTCACACTCAATTTCACTAGGTGGTTCAACCTCGACCTAGAATTCAACCAGCTTTTGAAGAATGGATCCCGTCTCTCGACAAGTGGAAGGCGAGCGAAATCATAAGAGTAACTATGGATTTACTCAAAACCTTGGGCACCTGCTAAAAGTTTAAAATACCACTACTGATGGATGGAACTGTGCGTCCGTGCCTAGTGAGCGGCACATCGACTTTTAAGCTGATCGCTTCGTTATTTACCTCCTGCGCATTACTTACCCCCTATTCACCATGGCCCGCACGGATCCATCTTGCCCAGGCTGAGCCAGCCCTACGTACGGACGTACAATCTAACCTTTGGTTGGTTGGTTAGCGCGGAATCTGTTGGTAAGAAATCCTTAAACACGACAGGAAACTAACGATAACGTTACCTGATTTCCCCTTCTTCTTCCTCTTCCTCCTCTTAATTTCTCTCTCTTCTTTCACTCTTTTCCTTCTCCTTACTTTTATTCTCCTTAGTTATCATTTGTATCCTCGTTCTATCTTCCCATTTTTTGCTTTTCTTGCCTTCTCCCTTACAATCCCACCTTTTCCATTGCTGACTCGGGCATGCCATGTGCCGCGCTAACAAACCAACCAACCAGAGGCGGGATTGTACGGTAAAATCGTAAGGTAACGTTATGCGGCAACTTCCGTCGCATCCACTGCAGCGTCATGGACCTGATGGAGAGATCGGCTACATTTCTGCAGGGTTCTCACCGCGAAGTGATTTGTTGCCGCCAGCCCAGAGGAAGCCGACGTTTTTTTGACCCGGACACCGCATTCCATCAGAAGTCGGATCTGCCCACCCAAGCTACCATGTCTTGAGTGCGGCGCTGTGTGCATCATGCTCATTTCGATGCGCGCATTTCCAGGAGGAGATGCGCCTGCAGCGAATTTCATCCGACTTGCCCGACATCACGCCGCCCGCCGTTCATGTCGCCATCTAGCTGCCCTCCCGCCGCGCCGGTGGGACTCAACGGTAGCTGTTGTACCTCCTGTCGCTGATAGGAATCTCGCAGTCGCCTGCGAGGCCCGCTTCAATGAGATCGGCGTCCAACAGCTGAGCACCACCATCTACAAGCAGCTGTTTCCCCAGGGCAACACGTGTCCCCCCTCTCCCGAGCTTGTCGAGCTTGCGCGCGACCACCTTCACCGCCATGATCTTCTGGGCAAGAACACCGACAACACACCTCCAATCGCTTTTGATTTGCCACCCCTGGCCGGCCAGACACTTGATGAACACTTCCACAAGCTCGGCGTCGACGCCGCCGAGCCCTTCCTGACGCATGCGAAGCGGCTGGCCAAGTCGACACTGCCGCCCAAACCAAAGACATGGGTGCGCCGGAGCGGATGGACGAAATATCTCCCGGATGGAACGACCGAGGAGGTCGAGGTGCCCGAGGGGAACCTGCTTGTTTTCGACACCGAGGTCATGTGGAAGGAGACTCCCTATGCCGTCATGGCCTGCGCCGGCACCCCAGACGCATGGTATGCATGGCTGTCGCCGTGGTTGCTGGGAGAGACGGAGAATGAACATCAGCTGGTACCGTTGGGGGACCGCACGAAGGAGAGGGTAATCGTGGGACACAACGTCGGATTCGACCGAGCGCGGATCTTGGAGGAGTACGATCTACAGCAGACACGAAATTCGTTCCTCGACACCATGTCACTACACGTTGCCGTCAACGGCATGTGCTCGCAACAGCGGCCAACCTGGATGAAGCACAAAAAAAACCGGGAGCTGAGGGACAAGATCGCCAAGGAGTCGAGCAACATTGAACTGGTCGATCTACTCAATAATGGTGCCTTTACCGCCGAGGAGGAAGAGCTTTGGGTTGAGAGGAGCTCCATCAACTCCCTTCGGGACGTTGCAAAGTTTCATCTCAATGTGTCGATTGACAAGGAGCTGCGGAACGCTTTCGGCGAGCTGAATCGGGACGGGGTGCTGGAAAAGCTGGACGAGCTGCTAACCTATTGCGCGGCAGACGTCGCCATCACGCATCGTGTGTACCAGATCGTCTTTCCCAATTTCCTACGTGTATGCCCTCATCCCGTGAGTTTTGCCGCCTTGCGCCATCTCTCGTCTGTCATCTTGCCCGTCGACAAGTCGTGGGACTCATATCTTGCCAATGCGGAAGCCACTTATCACAAGCTCTCGGATGCCGTCCAGGAACGCCTCATCTCGCTGGCCGAGAAGGCCCTAGAGATCAAGGACGACCGGGAGAAATGGGCCAACGACCCGTGGATGTCGCAGTTAGATTGGTCCGGTCAGGAGATCAAGATGGTGAAGGGCAAGAAAAAGAACGACTCACCACGGCCGGCAGCAAGGCAGAAGAAACCGGGCATGCCCCAGTGGTACAAGGACTTGTTCGCCAAGAACGACTCTCCCATCAATATCAGCGTCCGCACAAGGATCGCGCCGCTGCTCCTCCGGTTGGCGTGGGACGGCCATCCGCTATTCTGGTCCGACAAGCACGGCTGGACCTTCAGGGTGCCCCGCAACGAGGCAAAGAAGTATACGGACCGGCAAATGATGCCGTGCGACTTGGCGGATGAGCCGATAGCGGCACTGAAGGACGACCGAGACCACTTCTACTTCAAGCTGCCGCACAAGGACGGACCCGCAGCTCGCTGCGCCAGTCCGATGGCCAAGGGTTACCTCCCGTATTTCGAGAAGGGGACGCTCTCGTCCGAGTATCCCTACGCCAAAGAGGCGCTCGAGATGAACGCCTCGTGCTCATACTGGATCAGTGCGCGGGACAGGATAATGTCCCAGCTGGTTGTTTATCAGGACAACCTCCCTTCCGCCGCCAAACTTACACAACCAGTCAGGGACTCGGAGACGCCGGTCGGTGGCTTCATCCTGCCCCAGGTAATTCCCATGGGCACAATCACCCGCCGAGCGGTGGAAAACACGTGGCTCACGGCATCCAACGCAAAGAAGAACCGCGTTGGGTCGGAGCTCAAGGCTATGGTCCGCGCTCCGCCGGGATATGTTTTTGTGGGCGCCGATGTCGACTCGGAAGAATTGTGGATTGCCTCGGTAGTGGGTGATGCAACGTTCCGGATCCACGGCGGCAACGCTATCGGCTTCATGACGCTCGAGGGCACCAAGGCTGCGGGGACGGACCTCCACAGCCGCACGGCATCGATTTTGGGCATCACCCGGAATGACGCCAAGGTGTTCAACTACGGGCGCATTTACGGCGCCGGCCTTAAGTTTGCTGCACAGCTATTGCGACAGTTTAACCCCAGCCTGAGCGAAAAGGACACGCTTCTGGTCGCCAGCAAGCTCTATGCTACGACCAAGGGCACCAAGACCAACCGCAAATCATTATACAAACGGTCGTTCTGGCGTGGGGGAACCGAGTCGTTTGTGTTCAACAAGCTCGAAGAATTCGCCGAGCAAGAACGCCCCCGTACCCCGGTCCTGGGCGCGGGCATCACCGAAGCCCTCTTGGGCCGCTTCATCAGCAAGGGAGGATATCTAACCTCGCGCATCAACTGGGCTATCCAGTCCAGCGGCGTCGACTACCTGCACCTCCTCATCGTCGCCATGGATTACCTCATCCGGCGCTTCAACCTCGGCGCGCGCTTGGCCTTGACCGTGCACGACGAGATTCGGTACCTGGTCCGGGAAAACGACAAGTACCGCGCCGCCATGGCGCTGCAGGTCGCCAACCTCTGGACGCGCACCATGTTCGCGCAGCAAGTCGGCATCCACGACCTGCCGCAGAGCTGCGCCTTCTTCTCGGCCGTCGACATCGACCGCGTCCTGCGGAAAGAAGTCGACATGGACTGTGTCACACCCTCCAACCCGACGCCGATCCCTCCCGGAGAGAGCATCGACATTACCAGTCTGCTTGCCAAGGGCGACGAAGCTTGCCTCGACGAGCGCATCGTCCCAAATAACGCATCCCTGGCACCCAAGCTCGACGACATCCCGTACACGCCCCGCGTGCCGGTGATGCAAGCGCTGCGCGAAGCCGAGGCAGCCGCCAACGATCCGGCTGCGGAGCTTCGCTTCATCCGCGCGCAGATATGTAATGATGAGAAGGAGTTTCGGGAGATTCTCAAGGAGACGAGGAGGCCTCCACTCACCTCAACGACAGGCACTACTACCACTACCGCTACCGCTGTTACATCTACTACTAAGAAGCAGCAGCCTACCAAATCTGCCACCGGGGCGAAAGCCACTCCTCCGGCTGCTGCTGCCAAAGCCAAGAAGTCGGTGCTGCCGTACTATGCCTCGCCGCAGCTGATGCCGGTTCACGCGGGCCAGCAGCGCGAGCCCATGTCTGTGATGGAAGCGCTAGGAAGCGTAGCGGGGCGGTTCAGTCCGGGCGCGGCGGGTGGGTTTGAGAGGGCTAAGTGGGATTGGAGGTCATCTGGGTCTCGGGTTAACGGGGCTAGGAAGTTCACTGGGAGGATGTGAATTTATATGGTTGGTGATAGGGAGTAGGGGTAAGATGTACGAGCGCAGGCCAAGAGGTGGGCTTTTATACAGGGGATGTTGGGGTAAGAGCTAGGTTACTACTCCCTTATTTTCTTGATTATAAGGTATCTAACTGTAAATAAATTACTTGCTGGGATGTAGCTATATGGGGTTCTGACTAGGGAGTTACAGGGCACAGAAAGGGAAGGCGGGCGTCGCTTCACTGTTGCTGCATTGTTGGCGGTCATGAACTGGGCTGGAGTCTTGGGACCGGGGTGTCAAAAAGCCTGGTTGGGAACTATCACTCTATATCTTCCTGTACTATTTTGTCTTAATGATGTAGCATAAGCTGATAGCCTGTCCAAATGGAAATGAATGCTGCTGGAAAATCCAATCATCTCCGCACAGCGGCTCTAGTTGGTCAGGCACGTGCTGGAATTATACATTTTTGAACAAACAACATCCGGCTATTAGAGTCATCAACATGTGTGTACGCATACAACGTTGTACACGGGCGTATTCAGGGATTCGCCCTCAGTCACGTTGGGCCTGGTAAGTTGTTTCCCTCCTCCTCCGTTCCTCGTGAGCAATCGGACCTTGGTTGGACTCAAGTGACGGCTGTCCATCGCCCGCGATTGTTGCATTCACTTGAATGACTTGTTCACTCAATCTCTCACCGCCTCATTTCTTTTCTCTCGCAGCCGGTGCCCAAGCCTGTGGCTGCCACGTCTCCCTCGATCCTCCCCTGGCCTGCTTCCAGGGGTCCTTCTCTTTCGCCCCAACAGCAGCTTCCTCCTCCTTCCGCCTCAGCCGTTCCCACGTCTGCTCGCGCTGATCCACAACCTCGCTATCACCCGCCCTCTCCTCTCCCGTCCCGGCCCCTACCGTATCTCCCTTCACCTCACTGTCTTCCCTCGCCCTGGCCTCAGCCACAACCTTACTCCCAGGCCCAACCTGCCGCTCCGTCTCCAAAGCAGGCTCCCTGACACCCAACATCTTTTTCCTTGTCTCCGACGCCATGGGACCCTCCATAACTTTCGGTTTCGCCTCCCACCGGGCGTCGGCCTGCGCCGCAAGCACGCGGATGCGCTCCTGGCGCGCGACCTCGGCCTGCTGCTCTGCCAGCGAGGGCGGGTCGGCGCGCGCGTGCCGCAGCCACTGGTGCCAGGCAGGCGGGATCGGGACGGAAGAGGAGTAGGGGGCGCCGCGCGGGTAGCGCACGATGCGGCGCCAGCGGACGGGGGATTTGAGCGGGTGGTGCAAAGGATCCGGGGAGGGCAGGCGGGAGCCGCGGTCGAGAAATTCCCAGTAGGTGTTTCCGTTTAGGTCGAGGCCTGACAGAAATACGGGTTTCAGTACGGCGGAAAGGAGGTGATGATAAAGGAGGATTGCGGGCTACCGATCAGGAATTGGCGCCGCCAGGGCAGGCGCAGCATTTTCCATTTGTACCAAGCCCGGAGGAACGGGGAGATTGGTGGTTGTGACATGTTTGACCGAGTTTGGCCAAGATCTGGCCACTAAATAAGGGGTTAATCCGTTCGCTTCGGCGTCGAGTTGCACATGTCGCGACAAGCTCAAGTGGATATTTTTTGAGCTGTTGAGAGTGACGTCGTTGCCAAGCCGGAAGACCATCGCATGAGCTCAGGGTTGGGTATTCCAAAGGCGGGCTTTGAAATGCTGAAATCGATTTTAGGGCACTTGAGACTCTCAATGTTCCGAAGTCTGCTAACCCGATTGAGAAGGCTATAGAGCTACGGGTTAGGGCTTTAACGTGTACATGGGACGTTTTTCCTGCCACGCCAGCCAAATGGCAACCAGCACCATTGGCCCCGCGGTATCCCCGTATCTCAGCTAACCGTGGCTCAGCCAAGCCTTACCTGGAATTTCAGAATACAAGGCTTGTCAGAATACCCAAACTTGGGTTGGAATCCTGAGATCTGACAAGGTCATACCTTAGCCTTCCATGAGCTGAGTTTCAGCCACAAACAAGCGAACACCAGCCTCCCCCATCCACCAATGTGGCTTTTTGTTCAGGCCTGACCCACGCGCAGCAGGCCCTGGAATGACGTGTAATTTACCAGGTAATCAAGGTGCCCGACCGAGTCGACCTAAGTCGCCGAGCAAGGGAGAACTCATCGCCAACAGCATCCCGATTACTCTCAATCGCACACTGTTTGCGTGTCGCGTTCTCTCTGAGATCCCACCAAACGGACATCGATCGAATCGCACTCCCTGGTGTCGCCGCGTCAGCCGCCTATCTTGACTAGAGCCGCTCGACGCTACTTAAACCTGGCCATACCCACCTCCCAACTCACTTCGCCATCGACTGCCCTGAGTTCACCCGCGCGATACAGCACTGGCAAGTTGCAGCCATGGCGTCGGTGTCGTCTTTGGACAAGGACCTGCGCAAGCTGCGCCTCGACAAGTACACGCCCGCCGCCGCGAACGAGGCCAAACAATGGATCGAAGACATCCTGGGCGAGAGGCTGCCGCCCGGTGACCTGCTCGACGTCCTGAAGGATGGCGTGGCCCTCTGCAAGTAAGATTATCATGTCGCGAACAATCTTTCAAATTATCTTGTGTATGTTTCCATCTGACAGGTCGCAGGCTCGTCAACCTCTCTGTCGGACCTCCCGGCGTAAAGTTCAAGAAATCCCCGATGCCCTTCGTCCAGATGGAAAACATCTCACACTTCCTGCGCGCATGTCAGCAGCCGCCCCTCAACCTCCAACAACACGACATGTTCTTGACCGTCGACCTCTACGAGCAGAAGGACCCCGCCCAAGTGCTCCAATGCATCGGCGCCTTCAGCCGTGCCGCACACACCGTCAACCCCTCGGCATTCCCTACCTCGATTGGCCCACGAAGCTCCCGAGCAGGCGTCGTAAGCCCCCAATCGACCGGCCCAACCACGCCCACCGGTCTCCGCGGCCGCGGAGTGTCCAACGCAAGCAACACGTCGTCCCTCTACGGCAAGCCTACCATGGCGGCCAAGACGGGCGACTCCAGTTCTGGCCGCTGGAGTCCCACTAAGTCGCCCACACAGGGCAACTCCAGCCCGCCACCCCCAGTCAGCAGCTGGAGCAAGAAAGAGCACGAAGGCGCTACGTCGCCGGCCTGGAACATCGCGCAGTACGGATACATGGGCGGCGCGAGCCAGGGAAACCTCGGCATCGCCTTTGGAGGGCGTCGGCAGATTACTAGCGCGGGTCCCTATGTACCGAGCTTGGCCGAGAAGGAGAAGAGGAGAAAAGAGCAGGAGGCTGAAGCCGAGCGACAGCGACAGGAGGAGGAACGCCGGCGCAAGGCGGAAATCGAGGCCGAAGAGGAGCGGGCCCGGATGGAGGAGGAGCGCAGGTGGGAAGAAGAGACTCGCCGTTTGCGAGAGGAAGAGCGCAAAAGAATCGAAGAAGAAAAGCGACGGTGGGAAGAGGAGGAGCGGCAGTGGAAGCTGACCGAGGAAAAAAGGCGCAGGGAGGAGGAAGAGGCCGAGGCTCGATTGAGGGAGGGGCGTCAAGCGGCGCGCGGCGAGAAGAGCAATTCCCAGTTGCGCGGGCAGTATCTCAGCCAGTACCAAGCTGAGCAGGAGTCACCCGACAAGGCGCGCATAAGGGAGCTCGAGGAGCAGCTTGAGCGGGCTCGCCAACGCGAGGCCGAGTATCAAAGGGAACGCCAGGGACGCTCTCTCCGGCCTGGAACCAGCGATGGCGATCGTAAGAAGGCGCGGTCGCGGTCGCGCAGCCGACCCGCCGAGAAACCAGTCTCCCGGCAGGATTCTTGGAGCGTGCGTGATGAGCGCAATTTCCTCGTCACCCAGTGGACACATCATCAGCAGCAACTAGAGCAGCACGACGAAGAGTTCGACGAGGCACTATCCCCACCACCCCTTGCCTCACCACGACCACTTCCAGACCCCACCACCGCCGCTGCCAAGGTTAAGACCCATCGGACAGGCGAAGCGCCGCCCGCTCTCCCCATGCGAAAGCAGCACACCGGCTCGCGGCCGCTTCCGGACCCGGTGGCAGCACCACCGGCCCTCCCAGTCCGGAAACAGCACACCGGCTCGCGCCCCCTCCCAGATCCCGCTGCGTACGCATCCATCACCTCCCCCGACACTTCACGACAGCGCCAGCAACAACCACCAACACCCTCCGCGCCTCAACAACAACAACACAGCCCCTTAACCCTCCCCCGCACCGACCGCTTCCCCGCCACCATCAATCATCCTCCCGCCCAACCACGGGGCCTCAAAATGTCCCTGCTAGAGCGCGAGATGGAGATGGAAAGGCAGCGCCAGCGCGAGTGGGAGGAGGCGCAAAAGGAGACGGCCGCCAAGGCGGCTGCAAGGTCCAAGGAGGATGGCGGCGGCGGCGTTGATGGTATCGGAGGTGGAATCGGGGGAAGGTGGGATGTCAGTCAGTGGACGGGTTATACGGGCGGGGACAGCCAGAATAAAGGGGCGCACGGCATTGGGGCTGGCAGGAGGCAGATTGTGGGGCCTAGGCCGTTGCCGAATCCGCCGAAGTAAATAAATACCTAGGTCGATATCCTACTAGGTGTCTGGGCTGAGGTCGGGGTTTGGTTTGGGTTGGGGGTTGCGGTTGTGATTTGCTGTTTGTGAAAGGTTGGAGTTGGAGGGGAGGATATCTGACTTTAGAGTAGTGATACATCTATCTGGCTATAGTAGCTGAATCAGATTCGGTTCGCTTCTTGCGAGGACAGTGTTGTTGAGGTCGAGTCCAGGGGACAAAGGTTATCATAACACGATCCGATCACCCCTGGTGAACACTGATGCTCCGAGAACTTGATTTGCAACGCAGCTTACCAGCCGTTACATGATTCTTTCAAAACTGCCTCTCAACCCTTCACTCTAGCTCTAGTCTCCTTGGTTCCCTTAACTCCTGTTTCTGACAAGAACATGGTAAGTCATGTACCCCGACCAAATCCCCATAAGCTCTCACATGTTTGTCAGTCCCCGCCCAGTCCTGCCATTTTATTGCACGCCAGCGAGAATGCCATACAACTAAGAAGCCTATAATACTGTAGGACGCGTTTGCCGGACAGTGCGGAACCGTCGACGGGTATCAAAATGTCCCAACCCAACCCAACCGAGACCGACATGCCACTAACACCATTTCTTCCAACCAGCCCTCTAAGAATAATGAAACTAAAGAGCACCCTCTAGCTCCCAGCAGCCTCAATAGCATCAACCAACACCCTCAAATTCCTCGCCGACCTAGCCAGCGCCTCCTGAGCCGCCTTCTCCGCCGCATCACCCTTCCCCCCACCGCCCCCACCACCACCACCTCTCTTCCTGATCTTGTCCTCGCGCGCCCTAATCCCGGCCTCGACGGCGCGTCGCAATTTCCCCGAGTAGCGCACCTCGACGCGCGAGTAGATAAACGCAAGCATGCTCTCGAGCGCAAGCGAGAGCTTGGCGTTGTCCTCGGCCGTGACCCGGCTGGCGGCAAAGGGCAAGAAACACTCCTCCATGACGCGCAGCGTCGTGAAACCCGGGTTATCCGGGTCGACCCCGGCCGGGTCGGGTATGTTTCGCGGCAGGAGCTCTTCGATGGCCGTGCGCAAAAAGGAGACGCGCACGTCTTCTGGTAATATGGAGGGGGAGGGATGGTGGGACTGGATGAAGAGGCGGAATAGCGGGAGTGGCAGGCCCCGGACGTGGTCGATGAAACTCCCGTAGAGCTCGTGGACTGGCGCGAGGGCGTCGCTGAGGTAGTAAGAGGCGGCCGAGAGGAGGCGGAAGATGCGCAAGCGGAAGGGGACCGTCTCGGCGATGGCGTCAGTCAGCGTGAAGGCGGCTGGTTTCTCAGGTCTCGATCTTTTCCCAGGTCGTCGGTGCCTCGTTGGTGCTGCGGTCGACGGCGGCAAGCGTTGGTCCTCCCCCTCCTCCTCCTCATCCGACTCAAACTCATCCCCATTCAAGTAATCCCCAAACCGATCATTCTCCAAATCCACCACCGCTTGCTCATCCCGCTCCCCCCTCTTCCTCTTGCTCTTCTTCCCCTTCCTCACAACCGTCTCCCGCTCAAACACCTCCCCAAACGCCGCCCTATCGCCCGCCACGTTCTCCCCACCATCACAAAAAGCAAACACCGCCCGCAACACCTCCTTCACCACATTCCTCCTATCCCTCCTCAACCCCTCAAGATACCCAACCAGCAAACTTCTCTCGAGCATGGGAAACGGCCGCCCGGTCTTACCCTGCCCGCTCCTCCCATTTGCACTATCCCGCGCGAGCCGCTGGTCCCAGTCGGCCTCGAGCACCGACACGGCAAAGTCCAACCACACCCGCCAGTGCCGCCACCGGTGCGACGGAAACTCGGCCGCGCAGCGAAAGGCCCAGCCGAGCACGGCCCAAAAGGACGAGGCGCGGCGGAAGAGGAGCTCGGAGCGCGCGAAGCGGGACGAGAGGACCGTGTCGGATTCGTCTGTCGTACTCGACGAGGTGGGGGAGGCGGAGCCGGAGCCGTACTCGCTGGTGTTGGTGCTGTTGTTGTGCCGGGTCACGTTGGTGGTGGTGGTGCGGGAAAAATCGAATGCGGCGCGGAAGTTGGCGTTGATGGGGCCTGCTGTGCTGAGCAGGCTGCGCAGGTAGGACAGCGCGTATGAGGCTGCGTGGAGGTTGCTTTGTTCGCGGGGCCAGGAGGTGAAGGAGGGGTGGATGATGAGGGTTGCCAGGAGGGCGATTTGGGATGGAGGGGGGATGCGTACGGGCTTGGGTTTTGGGAGGCGGCGGGCTTTTCCAGGGGAAGAGAGGTTGGTGGTGGTGGTGCCGTCGCTGAGCAGGCCCGAGAGGATGTGGATTGCGGCCGTGTCTGTTTCCGGGGAGGTTAGAAGGTAAGGCTCTGGAACTGAGGGAGGCGGGTAACAGACAGAGCTCTTCTTCAAAGTGAATTTGGCAGTGAGACTTCAGCTCGTGGGGAAGCGGCACTGCATCTCGGTAGACGGGTTCGTCTGGCAGGGTTGGGTCGTCGACGGGGTTGCTCAGGTTCGTCTCGTCGGCGGCATTCGACGGCGAGCACCGCGCTGTGTGGTACGAATCAGGCGTGGATATGCTGCCTAGTGTTGTTAGAGGCGATGTCAGCTCCATGCTGATGTTCCGAAGTAGCGCTTCGGTTGTATGGGAGGCTACAGTTTGGGTTGAGGATACCGGAGAGCGTTGTGGGGCAGGGTCTGTGGCCGAAGTTCAAGCTGGACGCCAAAGCGACGCGCCTCACGCGATTAGTGGGGCTATGTTCAGATGCCCGAGGCTCGAGCATCAGATAACGGTGGGCCTCACAACGGTGAGACCCCGAATTCCCCCCATCCACCAAAATCCCATCGACGTTGTATCGACATTTCACTGACCTCAGGGAATCCGTACCATTTGGGAATTGGTACTCGTCTCAGCCCTCGAGCGACTCTGAATCAATCCGGAACACCACCATCTGGTTCTACCCTAACCCGAAATATAACCGTACACCCGTTTTCCTCCACCCTTTTTTCAATAACTACCCCTTTTCTCATTATTCCTTCCTTTAACCCTTCAGCTTCAGCACCATCCATCCGGCAAGACGATAGCCAAGAATGATGCCAATCATAATGCCTATATCTTTCCCCATATACCCAGGCTTGTAATTGTACTGGTCAAGGACTCCTTGGCCACGAATGAGGCATTGGGCTGCGAGGTCTGTCTGCCACATGCCTATCCCGTCTGTTAGTCTGAAGGTTGGACTTGAGAAAGGGCAGGAAGGGAATCGAGAGGGAGGAGAGGGACCTCACAGTGACAGCCCATCTCTGTTTCCGCACAGCTATAAACCCTTTCATTGAACTCATTCACCATCATGTTCTCAAACACATATCTCTGGAAATCCCAATAGCTGAAAACTGTTGGGTGCAACAATGTTAGTCGTGGTATTCCTATCAAGCGTGATTCGGGAGTAACTCGGGTGCAAGACCGCCGCTTTGGGACCAAGCGACTTCCGTAACTCCCGAGACACCTTGAAAGGGGCAGACAGAGCGCTAGTTTCACGTACCGTATTTGTAGAAGACATTGAGTATCGTAGGCGGCACCATGAAGCCGTTGACACTCATCCAGAGCCCGTTAGCGAAGGCGATCAGGGCCAGCGAGATGACAAACGACGGGAATATCGACGTCAGGAGCACCACCATGCTCTCCGCCGCGAGCAAGTCGAGGAAGATCCAGAGAACCGAGGTGAAGAAAGCCTGTACAGTGGGCTGCATGTTAGACAGCCAATACGAGATGGCTGAGAAAACGAAGGCGAATATGACTAGAGACACCCAGGTGAGTACGAGGAAACTTTGGGGTAGAGAAGAGACCGATACATACACAGGTAAGGCATGCCAACGAGAAAGTTGGAAAGAATCATGGCAGTGGCGCCGTAGAGACCGTTGCGCTTCTCCTTGATGTAGAGCATGTAGTCCTCGATGAAGGCTGGCGAATAGGCACAGGCCATGAAGGACATAAACGCAGAACCGAAAAAGATGGCGTTGATGAACGGGATAATGGCCTCCTGCGAGGCATCCAGTCTCAGCCACACGGTGCCCATCATGATAGCAAGCCCTGTCGACGTGTCAGTAAGCGTAGCCTCGGACACCTTAAGAATTCTGGAGAGTACTCACCAATGTACATGGCTAACCTGATGCCATAAACCGCAACATCACGGTAGCTCTTGACAAAGCTGCGGTGCAGCAGCGTTAGCACCAGGCTCGGCAGGCTCGGTTTCCGCTCGATCATCTCGAGCTCAACCCCTGAGCCGTGTTCCTCGGCAGCAGCAACAGCAGCGGTGAGGTCCCTGGCCATCCCCGACCCTTCCCAAGCACGCTGCATCTCACCTAGCCGCTGCATCGCGGAGTCCCGGTCCGGCGCAAAGTCCGTGTTGACCAATTCGAGCAGAAACTCGGCCGGGTTGACATGCACCGGCATCGGGTACCCGAGTGACTCATAATGAGGCGCCACGCCAGCCACGGGCCCAAAGTAATGCGCCCTGCCGCGAGACATGAGCATCACCTTGTCGAACAGGTTGAACGTCGACGTGCTCGGCTGATGGATCGACGCAATAATGATCAACTAAGTCCCTGTCAGCCATCCCCCTTTTGAGTAAGATAGAAAGGGTACCCTCACCCTCTCCCGCTTCGCCACCCTCCTCAAAAATCTCACCACCTCCCACCCAGCCACCGAATCAAGCCCACTCGTCGGCTCATCCAACACCAGAACCTTCGGCGCCGTAATCAGCTGGCTCGCCACGCCCAGCCGCCTCTTCTGCCCACCACTAATCCCCTTCCTGAGCGGCGTGCCGACCAGCACATCGCGCTGCTCCCGCAGCCCAAACGCATCCAATAACCCCTCGATGCGCGCCACCCGGTCCTGCCATGTTTCTTTTCCTTTCGCTGTTGTTGATGGTGACGATGAGGAAAGGCGCGAGGCGAAATATAGCGTCTCGCGCACCGTCAGAGCGCCGACCAGCGAGTCGTCCTGCTCCACGAAGCGGGTCACTTCCCTCAAAGCCGACTGCGAGGCCGGGCGGCCGTTGAGGAGGAGGGTGCCGCTGTCCGGGGTCGCCGTTGTAATTGTTGTTGTTGTTGTTGTTGTTGTTGTTGTTGTTGTTGTTGCTGTTGTTGTATTGGTTGTGCCGGCTGTTGGGCGGGAGGCAAGCACATTGAGCAGCGTCGTCTTGCCTGATCCCGAGGGGCCTAGTACGGCGAGGATCTCGCCTGAGAGAAGAGGCATTAGGGGGCAAGCGAGAGTAAGTTGAGGAGAAAGGTAGGATGAATCTACTGACCGGCCTCTACGATGCCGTGGGCATTGTCGACAAGTGTCTTGGGCAACTTTGTCTCGCGGTCTTTGACCGTCACCGTGATGCCCTTCCAGGCGAAGGAGTGGACGGTTGTGTTGAGAAGGTGGGCGTCTGCTTTGATGGCGCGCTCAATGTCAGTGTTGGAAATCTCCTGGGTTCCTGGGTCAGCGAACGAGCCCGGAGAAGATGCGGTTTTGTCTGTCATCGTGTGCGCGAATCGTAGGCTGTAGAGAGACAGTCAAGGGCTACGGAACGCGCCGAGTTGTCGGCCAACGAAGCGGGAGTCACCTTCATCCAAGCGGCGCGATTTGAATGGGCTGTCATGTTGTTAAGTATGTCTGTACTCGTTCTCTCGTCGGAACCCAAATCGGGGCCCACGACCCGATCCTCCCCTAGGATGCATTGCAGGCAGCATCTCCGACCCATATCGATACCTGAGAACTCTGGCTGGGTCTCGCTATCTTCTCCATGCCACGTATGATTCCGATGTCCATCGCTGCAAGCAAGAGCAACTCGGATCCCTGAGATCTGTAAGCGGAACAGGGCATCATCGGGCACCACCAACCAAATCAGTGCTGTATTCCTGGACGGCGTTTAAGTCAGCCTTGCCAGCCAAGCAACGTGGGAACTCCTGACGGGAGATCCGAGTTGCGGGCGCATATCATCCAATAGCGGGCTGAGAAGAGTTGAAAATTCATCCGCAAATAAGCCAAGGCGCGGTGCGGTTGCATTCGGCGTGCCGAGCCCGCTTACACCTGAGCATCGCTTGTCGTTGGGTTGTATTGCCCATCCTGTCGCCGGAGTTCGCCGACCACTATCCGGCTACCGGGCCCGGAAATGGACAAGGGGGTGTATAGTGTCTGGGGGACGACGGAGTTAAGCCGACCACCCATGCCGCCCCCAACCTCGGGATCTCCCCACGAGGTGAGACACGGGGTTGCCTCTGCCACGTGCTGCATGACAGGGCTACGGCTGTTTCGGGGACCACCTGCGCCGGTTCCAGCACCCCTTTTCTCATCGCCGTCCCATCGGCGACTAATTCAAAAGTCCGCAACCCCAACCCGTCCTTCATGCCCGACTCGGCAGGCCCCTCGTCTCGCCCACCCGACAAGTCGCCAAGGCTCCTAGCCCAGATGCGATCACCCAGATCCAGCAAGTCGCCGACTCCTTGGCCTCCGGAGATCCACATCAAGCGAGTCCACAGGGCTGAAGCCAGCTACTAAAACCGCAGCGAGCAACAAGTGGTCGCGTTGCTTGAGCGAGACACCGAAGGCAGTCCTAAATCTTCTTCTTCAGAGTACCTTCCAAAACACTACTACTATCGGTAGGTACTGTACTCCTTTTCCGCCGAGCACCGTGCCGAGTATGTATCCGTACCGAAGATCGGTATTGACAGACCAGAGGTTCGAAACAGACAACTGAAATTGTCCGAGTCGATATGATGGCCCCTCACAAGCCAAGGTGAGAGATATCATCGTAAATAGCAGAAATTAACCAGAAACTGCCAGCTTTCAAAAGCCCAAATGTGCTCACTCCATTCAAAACCGCGTTCCAACCAAAACAGTCCAGACCGTACAACCGAACTCCGCCTGCGCTGCCCACCCCATTTTTGGTACCCGTACCAATCCATAAGACAAACGAAGGAACGAAAGCATCGCCCAAAATTCCCGTCTGTCTACCCCTGACTAACCCCAGCAACCTGAACCTCACCCACCGCAGCCACCTGGCTAAACTCGCCCATAATCCCCTCATCCGCCCTAATACTATTCATCATCTGCTCCTGCGTAAACCCGACCCAGAACGCAGGACTGATCTGCTGCGCCTTCTTCTCGCGGTAAATCTCCTGCGCCACGCCTTTGACCTGTCCCCACGCGGTATCCGCCGCCTTCCAAATCTTGCTCAGCTTGTTGAGCGCGCCAATGTTGAGACGGATCTGCTGGCGCAGGTGATCCTCGTCGTCGACAAAGTACAGGGCCCACCGGCTCAGGTGGACGATGGACGATAACGTGATGACGCACGTAAAGAAATGCGTGTGCCGCGTGATTTCGGTTGGCTGCGTGATCATCTTGGAGATCTCCGACGCCGCCGTCAGGGTGTGCCGCGTGTGCGCGTTGAACATGTTGCCCGCGGGGTTGGGTCGGTGCGGGGCGCACGAGTTGACGGCTTGTGCTGGAGAGGTGTCGAGTTGGGAGACGGGTTGGTGGAGCATGATTGTGCAGCTAGTGTTTTCTCTGGTGTTAGCAGAAATGTTGATGTCTGATGACATAACAAGGAAGACCTACGCTGTCGTTATGAAATGCGCTTGAAACATCATCTCGTCGAGCTGGCAGTTCTTGTTGAGGTCGTCGCGCTTGCTGTCGGGCAGGTGGATCCGCCAGTTGGTCAGCAGCGACTGCATGCGGTCGATGACCGGGTCATCGGGGAACGTGACGGGCGGCATGCGCATCATCCGGCCGAGGTTCCGAATCGCAGCGATGCGGTAGGTGAAGGACGAAAACTCGCGTTCCTCGTCCGCGAAGGTCTCGTCGTCAAAATCCTCCATGTAGAGTGTTCGGGGGATGCGCTGGCCAGCGTTAGCAGAGTTCAGATGACAACACCAAGCCTTACTTACCCCGGAGAGGAAGTCCTTCTCCTCGCATGGCAAACCAACATCGGCCTGGATGTCGAACAGGGCGAAGCAGGTAACCCTGTGGACCCCTGCAATCATTCCGTCGCAGACGTAGAGATCCCACCAGGTCCGCCGCCAGCTCTCCTCGAGCACGGGGTTGCCGCGGCCGTGCAGGGTAGCAAACTCGCGCTTGTTAAGGTCAATCTCGATGGCATAGCGCTCACAGTCGGCAAGCAGCTCCCGGGCCTTGGCCTGGTTGCACGACCCATCCAGACCAATGATGACGAGCAGCAGAGCCTGGATCAGGAAGCCGTCCTTTGGAGTGCCGGGCTGGTAGCACTGGCGAATGGCATCGTCAAGGTAGGTTGCCTTGGCGGGACCAGCGTCGACGTACAGCGACCCGATGTATCGCATGGCGGCGACAACGGCGTTGAGATTGGGCGTCGTGCCCTCCTTGAGCATGCGCAGGAAGTACTCCCTTGGCAGCACAAACGGATGGCCAGCATGGAAGAAGTGGTAGAAGGCATCAAAGCAGCGCTCAGCCAGTGTGGGCACGGGCGGCTGGACCGGCGGAGCAGGCGCCGTGGTAGTGGTGGTCAGAGCGAGTGCGTTGGGATCCATGGCGGGGGCGAACGGGTTTCGATAGAGTGGGACGTTGGTCAGGGGAGATGGGACCGTATAAGAAATGGGCGACTGGTCCGGGATCACAATGCCTGGGTTGAAGCCGGCGAGCGCGGGCGTGGCGAGAGCCACACCCCCGTGTCCCAGCATCATGGGACAGTTCCCGGGGCCCGTCTCGTCGGGCGACGAGGATGCATGGCGCTTGTTCGGATTATGAGCCGTGCCTCTCCTCGGGCCCTTGTAGCCCCGGCGAGACGGCACATAGTGACACTCAGTGTTGGAGCTGGTGCAGCGCGAGCAAGGCGTGTTGCCGTCGCACTTGAGATGCTTGAAGCGCTGCAGCGCAGGGTGATAAGATTGGTCAGCGCTCACTTCGGCGAAGTGAAGAATGGTATTCAGGAATGCGAATACGCGGGGGCAAAAACAAAGGATACGCAAGTAACAAGACTCAGGGAGGGTGTGGACTCACGCAAGCGAGACATGCAGCAGGAACCGAAGGAGCGGCGGCGGGCTGCTGGGCCGCGCGGGAATCAGTAGTCGCCGATAGCATCGGGCTTGAGGAGGAGTTCGCCGTCTCCGGGCTGGCGCTCGGCGTCAGCTGTGGGGCTCCCGCCGAATAAGCGTCCATTGTCGGGCAGATCAGACGATATCAATCCTGACCAGCGCGTTTCAATGCCGGAGCGTGCGTTTGGAGGTGCAGAAAGTGGGAAAAAAGGATTTGTTTTCCGTGCCGATGCGCGTCGAAAGGAGCAATTGAGAAGGGTTGCAGCCGATCGAGGATGAGGCGGAGGAGGCGGGTCAAGAGGCCCACGCTCAAACGGCGGCAGGCAATCACGCTGCCTAGCTTATTGGATTCTGGTTTTGGTTTCGCTTGCCTTGGGCCTGCAGGGGCTCCAGCGAGATGGAGCGAAGCGGTGATGCGATGAATCGAGAATCTGAGGGCAAACTGCCAGTCTGTTCAGTCTGCCCCCTCTTCCCATCTCGTCCTGACATTGCGCGCCGTCCCTCCCGCGCAATCGCTTCACTCTGTTTCTCCGGTGCAGGGATCGGCACAGATGCAGCGGAACGTTGATCCGGGGGCAATTCGACCTTGTCTTCCAAATTCTTGACCCTTTCGTGCTACCCAATGGCCACCTGCCATTTGCTGACCGCATCGAGATCCACGCAGAACGCGACGGGACAGAGGAAAACGACGAAGCCGGGCGGCATTTTTTTTTTTTTACTCACCTCAATTCTTCACCTGACGTGTCGTCCCGTCGTTTTGTTATTTTAGCTGTTCAGCCCCTAAAATAGATGCACGGACTCGCCCACGGATAGGTAATCGACCTTGTACTGGGAAGCACGTGGTAACGAATTGGAACGATGCATGAGGTTGATGCAGGACATCATAAGACTCAACCCGAAAACCGATGAGGCTAAGCTAGTGACAGCTACATATAGCGAGCTAGCCGGGCATGGGATTTGTTGCGTTAAAAATCCGTGAAAACTCAGACCCAAATTAGGCCACCTCCTGCAACGTAGCTGTTGATTGCTAGCAAGCCGTGATGATGGGAGTGCGTCCAGCTGCCAAGGCTTGACTGTTGAGTCTGAGTTTTGTTGATGGCCCGATGCCAAGAGGGAGTGGAGTGCCCTTGCAGTTTGAAACGGCGAAAATACAATGCTGGCTGGGCCCAGACCGAGAACCTCTCTCAATGGTAACGTAACGTTGACATTTCCGAAGGCCACTAGGGCTTTGGTGAATAGGCCTATAAGGTACCTAGTGTACAGATAGCTGACATCGATCTGAGTGCAAGAGTGCTGGAAAACAGTTACCAGGTTATTGGTGTTCAAGAAGGAGAGTACGGAGTAAGAGGCAAAAGGCTTCTCGGACTGTTGGCCTTGATCCCGCCCGGACTGTACTCTCCAGCCCGATGTATAAGTTATTACCTTACACACAGTAATGCGCATTACATAACCAACCCTAAACCAAGATCATCGCACCTGCCCAACGTAGCATCGCATTGCAGTCAAATCCATCAAAAACTCCACCGCTTTGCATCGCTCTGACTCTGGCCGACTCGCTAAGAACGGAATGGTATCGTGATGCATCAACCGTGTTTCCTCTGGCATAGCCCCATACATAGCCCTACCGCTGCAGGTTGCCCTGCCTTGCCTTGGTTCTGCGGGCGCTCCTGCCACTGGCGCCCCTGGTTGCAGTGCCTGGGCTGCGATGACCCATGGATGCCGTCGACCATCCTGTCCATATTCTGGCAATGGGCTGTGTTGGAAGGAGCGTTGGCCACTCCACTATATCTAGGCCCTCCCCGCGCCTCGCAGACTCTCTCCATCATCCTTACAACCCACAATCCAGCCACTGGCTCGGTTCCCACAATACAGTCGATTCAACCACTCCGTTTCAGCTGTCGTGGCCTCGCCTTGCCTTTCGCTCTTGCCCGCCCTGCTTGCTTGCTGACCATTGGGGTCCTGGTGATGACCTCGTCAAGATGCCCTCCCCTTGGGACGCGTCGCGACTGTTATATCGTCGGATGCCCCTTCAATTATGGGCATGAAAATTACTCTCTTGTTGCCAGCTGTAGCTATGATAAACTCGGTTTAAATGTGCGTCTTCTGAATGACTTACTTATGAGTCATATCATGGACGACTGGCAGAGAAGATTTTCCATTTGGATCCTGCCATTTGATACTGGCCAACATTCTCTTGAATGAAAATCGGTCATGGTTTGACAGTTTGCTTGTTATCGAAGCGAAGCTTTAGTGACGAAACTCTGACATCGTGTTTACATATGAGGAGTGAGGAAGGAGCGAGAGCTTTATTTAGAGAGGTTCGACAGCAGATTTTCTCGAGGAAAGATTGGCTGCCACAGCGATTTCCACGTGGCGTAGTGTGTGCCACAGTGTTCAGAAGCTTCGCTTCTCAATTACTGGGTGAAGAACAACAGTCAGGTATTGTATATGCCAAGCAGGCAGTCAATCTTGAACCATTCTTCTTCATCTTGTAATCAATGGAAACGTAGCCATTCAGCGTTGTTAACGGATCTTAGCACCGTGACTAACCGTGCAGTGTCATTCCAGTTTTTTAATTTTCAACGTTTGTTTACAGCCATCCGTCACCGCGGCGCGTCTTGACCTAGCTTTATCTCGGAAGTCTTGACCCATTCTGAGTAGGTCGATACCCTACCTAGGGTATACAAGATTCCAGTCCATTTGCCCGTTACCAACACTGGATAACCGGACAAAACCACGATTAAAACAAACAATGAGGCGGGTCAGTATTCTCAAAATAGCAGCAGCCCTCGACAACCTATCCATCTCAAACTCGCATCTATACCTGGTAACCTTCATCTTACCAACTGCTGTCGTCAGCTGTTTGGGTTAGAAAAAGCTTCGCAGTTCGCTGAATCAATAGCCACGATGACTTGAAACGCAGACTTGTCCCCGAGCCGTCCGCCGGTCAAGTCGGCGACTTCCTTGAGAAGAGCTTTTCTAAGTCACTCCGGTATGTTCTTCGGGCAACTGAACCGTTATCATGCAATCATGCAATCAAATTCGAAGGCATGATGTCACATGTGATCTTATCACTCACAGATTGGTAAGTGCTGGGGTGCGTACCTGGTACTTCATCCCGGGCAGCTGACGGATTCCTGTTCACCATCATCATCGGCCTTTTCCCAATTTACCTGCCTTCGCCTCTCATCGTTAAGGTATTCTAATATCAATTCACTTTGCTGGCCGTCATGCCTACAGCATCTGTGTCCAGAATTGTCTCGGTCGTTTACTCACGCTCGGTTGTTCCGCGATTCGTGGGCCACTCATCAAAATCGGAAGAAAACATGAAACCGGACAATTCTTTGGGAAACGAAACTCCTATCAACTCTGACACTTTCTTTCTTCTCTCAGTAAGTGACCTCTCAGCGTCTGGGTCTTCTATCCGATCACGCCATTTTACAAGCCCATCGCTCGCCGTACTTTCCGCAGTATAGTCAAGCTCCCTTGCTATCATCCGTTGCCAAACACCAACCTTATGAAAAGAAGTCCGGGGTAGTCGCGCACTTTCACGTCTCGTATGTTAATATCGACTTGAGGTTGCCGGGTACAGTCGAGCTAACCGACTTGCAACCCATCTCGTCCAGCGGGACCGGACTAGCCAAGCAAGCCGTGGTCAGCAGACGACCATGCCAATCGACGACAAATTATAATCACCTACCGCCTCCTCAGATGATGCCTCCCAGAGATGGAAATTGCAAATGCATGTTCCCTCAATGGGCGCGTCAACTTGAACTGAGACATCCCATTTACATGATACGCTGCATCGGAACCGCACTCCGAAAAATCCCAATTTCTTGTGGTTTACAACATTTTCGCCGCCGGTCTTATGCAGACTCCCGCGTCGGCCGTGTCATTGCGCGGCGGCTGTCTAGCAATGATATGCTAGGCACCCCTGCGCGGCGACCTCCCGGTTGTCGCAGCACCCCATTGAGCTCCGTTTGGCTAGGGATAGTGAGCCACGACTCAACAAGTTCCATCAAAAGAAAACATGATCCACCCATACCCAATTGTCGACTGCGTCGCGCAGAAGATACACCGGTTGAGCAGCAGAGCTCCGTTTCTAGTCCACAACTCAGGACAACGGCCCTTGAGCGATGATCAGCACACCCCACGGATGGTGCGATTAATTCACCTGCCTGCTGCCCCATGCAACACTGCCGAATGGCCACAGAGACAAGATCTCCATCATGTTGCAACGGAGCCCTCCTCGCGAGCTCGCCACGGTTGATACATACCGCAACGCGCTTCGTTGTCCATGGGCGTGTCATAGAACCCTTTCGGTCACAAATCCACACAATCACATCATTGCAGCAAAAGCAGCAGGAGGTTCCATTCGCGGTTATCCTCCGCAACGGTCGGAGACACCGGCGATTCCGCGACGTCTCCGCTAGGCCCCCGTGCGGATTGGGGTGCACATTGTCAACAACCAATACAACCAATATGATAATAGCGGCAACTGTAGCAATCGGCAGTCTTCTTGCGACAGCCACCTAAACGGTGGGACACAGGCGGCATCCTCCCAAGGATGTCGAGAACGTCCCGCGGAGTCACTGTGGCGGATGGCAGGGCGATCTGGTAAAAATCCTCACATCAATATGGTACCAATTGGAACCGACGGCTGGGTCTTCTCAGACCACCTTTACGGCAACCCGAGCATGCCGTTTCTCGGTATTGACTACTGAAGAGGCGGTCACCGCAGCTCCCTGTCCCGAAGGCTCGAACCTTTGGCGTGCCGGCATACGATACTGCGCCGCAGTCCCCTAGTATCGCGACCATCTCAAGGAACGAAGTGCTCGCATACTCAAGAGATTGCCTTACTGACGAGTTGTCACAGATGAACACCACTCCTTCCCCGACATGCTTCGGCCAACGTTCTCAGGTTGTCGTGTCACCAAGCCATCTCCCCATGATGAAGGTTTGTGCGTACTTTCTCTACATGTACCTACCTATACACGGACACTCAGAAGACTCGGCTGACGGCTGACTTAGGGCAGGGCAAGAAGTGGGCCACCTCTCTTTCTTAGTTCGACCACGTTCTCGGTCGTCTGAGTTTTGAAGACGCCGCACTCGACATACGCCTGGCCTACGGTGACTCGTCAAGTCAGACACTGAGATCACGGTTGCTTCGAAGAACTGACCATGGAAAGGCTGTTCCCGACAAGGCTTCCTTGACTGGTTTCCTCTCGACAGATATTGTCCTCGGATTGCCATCAAACCCCGTAACTGCCGTGCCCAGTGCCCGCGCCACCGGCAAAGCTAAGCTGGTCCGCCTCAAGAGTGCAGCAGAAGATGTGAGACCGTAGACGGTGAATGTCGCTCACATACAATGGCCCCCCACTGTTCCTTCAATACTCACACCGCACTAACCTGGACGGCCTCCACGTCGTCATGGCTTGGCCGCTGAGCGTGGGCCTGCTTCAGGGCCAACGTAAGATCACGACATCTAGGAGGCAGAAGCGGGCTGCTAGGTGGTATTTCGGATGGATCATGAAGGGAAGAGAAATACAGACCCTGATGTTGTGGAGTTAGAGAGGAGGAACTAGAAATATGGTGAGGCGGTTAATTCTAATGTGTATAGGGGAACGAGGCCAGCTTCTCTGAATCCTGACTCGACCATGATCTTGAATCGATCCCGCAAATGTGTCTTGTGCTCTTTGAGTTTGAGGTCTGTAAGGCTTAGCCTGGATGAGGCTGCCGTATACCGCATGAATCCAGATTACAACGCGGGCCAGGTCTGGACCTGGAGCAGGTATCAACTGCCTCGCCTGATGACACTGAAAGCGGACCGCAAGTTGACAGCCCGTAAACATATAAAGCCTCCCCACCGGAGTGGGCAATACTGTCACAGCGGCCGCATTTCTGATGCTTTCGCGGCTCGCGATATCGGATTCCGTCATGTCGAGACAAAAGAGATGAGGTCTTTTTGTTGGTTCTCGAGTGAATGAGGGCTGCTTCCAACCCGAACCCTGACTTACGTTAACGTGTACTTTTGGTCGGGGTTGGGGCATGGTCGCCAAGCTTTTTCTCCCAGATCACGGATTGGGTTTTGCCAGTGACATCAGACGACCAGGTTCAGCTGTCGATGGGACGGGAACGACGAGGGTTGCCTTGTTTTGGCGATAATTTGAAGGAGACATTGATGATCCATTGTTCGACAAAAGCTACGCCAAAGATTGGCCGCGTCACTCGTCATATCAACGGTCTACCATTCCCGATCTCCTGATCTCTAGTCATTTGACGTGTCGCGCCTGCCCATGGACCCGATATCCGTGGCCGGCCTGGCTATAGGCGTAGCCAGCATTGCCGCTCAAGTATTTACCGGCTGCGTCCAGGGCATCCAGCTTTTGATCACGGCGTCCAGCTTTCCCGAAGACTGCAAGTATCTCAACTTGAGGTTGAGAATGGAGCAACAACGCCTCTTTGCCTGGAGCGAGACATCGGGACTCCTCGATCTGGACGCCAAGAACAGACAAAAGGTGCTCGAGTCCAACACATTCGTTCTGCATCGTCAGACGGTGCTGGATTTGCTGGTGCAGGTTGAGTGCCTGTTCAAGGATTTCAAGGAACACCAGACCCGGAACAAGCGCCTCCAGACTACCCCTGATCAGGACGACGTCCTCCAGAAGCCGGAGAAGGACGCCGCCGAAGCCAATGTTCCTCTGTCGCCTCGACGGAGGGACTTCATCAAGAAGGCCATGCAGAGCCTGAAGACAACCTCCCAGGAGGCGACGCAGAGATTGAAATGGGTGTCGTTCGACAAGGCTGCTTTTGAGCTCCTCCTGTCGAGGTTCTCCACCCTCAACGACAGCATGACCAACATTCTCGACGCTCGAATGCAGATCGAAATCCATCATACTGTCCAAGACACCAACCGCGGCGTGCTCCAGTTGCACCATAAGATTACCGACCTGTCTCGTCTCGTCATGGCCCTGAACATCAAACTGGAGGCGAGCTCCCCGCTGCCGGCATCACAAATGTCACTGGCACAGAAGCGCACCAACGCCGATAGCCTCCAACTTTTTTCTCAACTCGCCAAGTTCAAGGCGTTTAACGAGTCGATCGAGTCCAACGGGAAGACGCCGTGGGACGAGGCTACGGCAATGTCTCTCGAGCTAGGGACCCCGCACAAGCAGAAGCATCTGCTCCTTGACCGGTCCATGGTCGAGCTCGATCCCGCCGCGGAAGAGTCTGATCTGCCGAGATGCGAAGCTAACCTCCGCCTGCCCGGCGGCTCAACAAAAAAAGTCTGGGTTGAATGGAAGGACTACGACCGGCAGCGCCCAGGAGATTTGTCACCGCCCAAGAAGGTCATATGCGAGAGGGTCCGGAAACTGGCGGCCCTCCTCAGCCACTCTCCCAAGCCCGAGGCCTTTAGGACGCCCCAGTGTCTCGGCTATTTCGACAAGGCGAGTGGAATCGAAGACGAGGACGAAGATATCTTGAATAATCGACTCGGCCTCGTCTTTGAGAGACCCACCGACGACGGCCTTCACACTTCTCTGCCACCCGTCTCGCTACGAGACCTGCTCGAGTCTTCGCGCAAACCGCGAGTGACAGATAGGGTCAAGCTCGCACACGCCATCAGCAACTGCGTACTGTACCTCCACGCAGTGAACTGGCTGCACAAGGGACTAAGGAGCCACAACGTCATCTTCTTTCGAACCACGAGCGGCCGGGTCGATTATGCAAAGCCATACCTGTCGGGATTCGACTTCTCCAGGCCAGCCCGAGCGGACGAGATGACGGACATTCCCGGGCCGGGCGACGACGCCGAGTACAATCTCTACAGGCATCCCCTGGCGCAGTCGACCAAACCCGAAGAGCGCGAGCGCTTCAAGAAGAGCTTCGATATCTACAGCCTGGGGGTGCTGCTTGTCGAAATTGCTCACTGGGCACCGGTCGAGAAGGTTCTCGGCATCGACGTGCATGCCGCCAGAGCCCGGCCGTCGATTGCGCTTCGAGTACGTGAGAACCTGCTGACCGAAGACCAGATTGCCGACCTCGGAGCCTGCATGGGAGCCGTCTACGAGACCGCCGCACGGAAATGCATCACAGGAGGCAGAGAGCTGGGTCTGTCCGAGGGCGACGACGAGACTAACGATGCCGTGGCCGCCCGGCTTTCTATGGTTCTCCACGAGCATGTCGTCAAGCCGCTCGGAGATGTCCGCATCTGAGGGGCCCTGGAACTTCCACATGGGGTCTTCCTCGTCAGAAAGTCTCCTTCAACATCCCAGGTTGATGTGTTTTCTGGAAGCACAACATCCACCCACATCCTCTTGGTATCCAATTCGGCATCCCACATCGCCGGTGAATCCGCCGTCCCAGGAACCGGGAATGTATGCTGCGTGATCTCGCGTTCGGGTGGACGGAAGACTTGTTCATTACCGCGCTTTCGGTGGAGAAACAGTCGTTCCAGAACAACAGCAGTGGCTGCAAGTGGCCTCGTCGGGTGCTCGCCCACCTGTATTCCCTCGGAGCGGCCTGCTCCATTTAGCCTATTACCTGCAGACCGATGTCACACGCACCCACATAGCCCGCTCGCTGTACCCGGTTGAAGAAGCGTAACTCTCGTCATCCCGGCGATTGACTGACGGATGGCTCCAGAACTCGAGGTCGGTTTGGGGTTGTGGGTTAACTTCGCCGGGTACAACAAGGGTTGCGCGCAATCTCGGAACCCCAACACTAGGCATAACCATAACCGAAAGTGATAGACTGAAGGATGGCAAGCATCCGTTGGGGGGCGGAGATTGTCGTCAGGCACGGTAGGAATTGTATCTCCATCAAGTCCGGGGTAGTGGAACCTTCATATCGAGGGACTGCCAACCATATCCACGCATCAAGCCTTTGTTCCAGACTCTGTCCTCGTCCTCATTGCATCCTTTCTCAGTCGCATCAAGATGCATCTCGCTGGGGTAAGACTGGCGGCTCTTGCTGCCAGCTTGGCGGCAGGCGAATCCCTCAAGAGTCTGGACACCAGTCTGACTATCATCACGAATAACGATCTCCAAGGTACGTCTTTCTCCAAAATGTACATGAACTTGCCTGACAGCCTACAGGACCGGCAAGCCCCTACGCCGACACGGCGGTGATCCTCACGGACGCTCGTCCCTACCAAGATGTTTCTCAGGGTGTCTGTGCTAAGCTGGGTGAGCAGCTCTGGCGGCCTCGGCCGGGCAAGGGGCACAAGAGAACAGACACCGCAGAGCTGCCGTTTGCGGACTATCTGAAGTATGACGGGACGGCCAGTGCTTCGTCCAAGTTCTGGATCTCTTCGGATTCGGGTTCCGATTGTATGGATGTCTCGGGTCGGTTCAGCAAGGCCAGCACGGCTTCGAACTCGCGGTTCCCGGGGCTTTGCACCAATACCGCGCCCTTTTCGACTGAAAGTTCTCAAGACACCAGCGCCAAGTGGCAGATTAGTCTGGATGTCAACAACCAGACGCTTACAGGGTATGCCAAGCGCAATGGATAGCAGAGAGATTTGGCTGACACGTATAGCTTCCGTGACCGATTGTCTTTCCGCTTCCTCGGGATCCGCTATGCGCCGCAGCCGCAGAGATTCACGTATCCCACTCTGTTCAAGGGCTCCGGAGAGGCTGCCTCCGCCCTGTCGTATGGTTCTCAGTGCGTTCAAGGGTCGGACACCGGCAGTGAGGACTGCTTGTTTCTCAACGTCTGGACGCCCTATCTCCCTAACCCCAATTCTGCGGCACCAAAGAAGAAGCTCCGCCCCGTCGGCTTCTGGATTCATGGTGGTGCTCTAACCGGCGGTTTCGGAGGCGATCCCACGTTTGACGGAGCCAACGTCGCCAGTCGTGGTGACATGGTGCTGGTCTCCATCAACTACCGTCTCTCGACCCTGGGTTACTTAGCGCTCAAGGACGGCAAGACCAATGGAAATTACGGCTTGGCTGACCAAATTACGGCCTTGGACTGGGTGCGAGCGCACATTCAGAACTTTGGCGGTGACCCGGACCGCATCACCATCTTTGGCCAGTCGGCGGGCGCCGGCTCGGTGCGTGCCATGATGGCCTCGCCCAAGGCTGCTGGCAAGTTCGCCAAAGCCATCATGCTCAGCAACCTCGGCGGTATCAACTACGGCACGACGTATTCACACTACTACACCATTGACGAAGAAGTCGAGGTGGCCGCCAAGCCCCTGCTCGCTGCGACCAACTGTACCAACGCTGCCTCCCAGGTCGACTGCCTCCGCGCCCTCCCTTCGCACACCCTCACCCAGATCGGCGGACCCCGTTACATCGTCCTCGACGGCACCTACATCACCAACCTCGAACTCCCGCTCAAAGGCCCGAAGCTCCCCATCCACCTCATGATGGGGATTACCCGCGACGATGGCGCGCCCATCATCTCCTTCCCGCAAACCTCAAACCAATCCGCCTACCTCGCCTCGCAGGGCTTCTCCGTGCCGCCCGCCAACCTGTTCCCCATCCCCTCAACCGGCAACGCCACCCTGGACCTGTACAACATGACCTCCCGCCTCGCCACAGACGGTATCTTCCGCTGCATCGACCAGGCAACGGCATTCTCGGCGCTGCAAAACAACCGCCTCGACGAGATTTACTACTACGAGTTCGACCGCACCTATCAAACTAAAGGCTGGCCCGGGACAAACGTCTGTGAACCTCCAAGAACGAAAGACCGACCCTTCGGCGACCCGTCGAAACCGTACTTCAAGTGCCACTCGGGGGAACTGTACTATGTGTTTGGAAATTTGCATCGTCAGGCGCTACCAATGCGGGACGAGGGCGATCTGGTGTTTGAGCAGTTTGTGTTGGACAGCTTTGTCAGTTTTATGCGGAGGGGGGATCCTAATGTCGATGCGGACGGGTGGGCGAAGGCGAGGGGGTATAAGGCGAGTTTGGGTATGCAGGAGAGGGCGGGGGGCAAGTGGGTGGCTGCGAGGAAGGGGAGGATGACGTTGAGGGTGCTGGATTGGCCGAGGTCTGGGCAGAGTGGGTTTAGGGAGCTGGAGCAGTGTGAGAGTTTGGGACTGGGGTTGAGGTATTATGAGAAGTGAGGCGCGGAAGGGGGCGAGGGGAAGGGGGGATGAGGGGTGGGGTGTGTGGTGAGGACGCCGGAGACTATCATGGCACAACACTACGGGCAGGGCATCCAAGTTTGTATACCTGCCTTTGATGACCTAGGGGTGGCCTAGCTCTCATCCCAACCCTGCCGCCTGCCACCATTCTTTCTCCGGCCCCACAACAACCGCCCTATGTGTATTAGGTTTGCAGTCCACCCACTCACCCGGGGCTACTTGCACTCTACCATCGGTCAAGTGGCAAGGGCGTGGGCTATGGGCAGAATCCCCTCCTGCTCGGCCCATCTTGATTCCTCGGAGTTTGCCGGTTCGATTCCTAGCTGAACCGCTGAGTCGCCGAACCGCCGCTTTCGAAGTAAAACCCCAGCGGGGGGTTTTCGTAGCCCCCGACCTCTGTAAGGGCTTTGGTGGTGAGCTTTTTGTTATCTCCTATTTTCCCTTTGTTTATCTCGGGTATTATTGCCAAAACCTGCTGAGGTGGGAGTGGTTGATACTGAAGCTCGCATGCAAAGCTGCTTCAACCAGAGTTCATCCCCCGGCGTCCTCAACAACAACAAACTACCTGCCCGACGCCCTCTTCGAGTCGCCCAGCCGGCTTTTGAGCTAGAATCAACGCCTTGCCCTCGCCGGTCTTGTCCAGCCCTAGCTAGCTCCGATACAGCCCTCCTGCCCGCGCACAGTTTGAGACAGTGTGTGATGGCGGTTGGGAAAGGCGAGGGGAAGGAGGGTGTAAAATACATGTCGGTGGTTGACCTCCTGGCAGGGGTGCAGAAAAGGCTGGATCGATCTTCTACAGGTTGTCACAAGCAGGACATGAAAGCATGGCGTGGTGACTCAATATTAACCTCGGTGCGGATCACGTTTGTAAGAGGTACGATTATGCTATGGGGGTATCCTGATCCTTTTCAATACACAATAACAAACAGAATGATCGTTCGAACGCCGCCGTCCTAGCTGAACCTACACCACGTGGCAATTCCCACACGCCATTGCTATCGAAGACATGGAATAGTGAGGCAAACAAACGCTAATTCCAACGTTGGCCCACGGCGGGTTTAGGGGTACCATAATACGTTTCATCCCGTTGGATAAACTTGGTCAAACTGAGGCCTGGAGTTGCTTTCCGCCATAGCCTGTCGGTTCTCAACCGTGGAGCGCTTCTCAGCCGAAGTGTCAAGCACCGAATTATGTGCAGACCCGGATCCTGCGGTCCCATCAGCAAGGCCGAGAGACGCTTTGTCGTCGGTGCTTTCCTCTTTCCCCCAGGCGGCATCGGCCTCGCCCATCTCCAGTATCCTCTCCAGTCCTTCTCCTCGCTTCAGCGCTTCGATCGCTCGTTGCGCAACTTCCACGTTCTCAAACACAATATCCCACTCCGAGCTCTCCCTCAACCTTCTTGCGCTCCTGTGCAAACTCTCCTTCACACCCTTCCCCTGCTTTTTCTCCGCCCGCTTCAGTTTCTGCCACAACTGCCGCATCAGCAACCAGCCGGCCACAACCTCCTTTACTGTCTCGGCCCGCTCATCTTCAGTCAAAGTGCTCAACTCCCGTTGCCCCTGCAGAACCCGTACCCGTCTGATAAACTTCACCGGCCGCGGTCTCGATTCCGTCTCCTTCGCCAACCCCGTTAGAGTATAGCCCACCGGCCCTATGAGCGCAGCGAGGTTCTTCAAGATGAATCCGGTGAGTCCCATGCCAACTCCCGAGATGAATCCGCAAGCCCCGTCCTCACGAGCTCCTCGGACGGGCAAACGCACGACACCGGTCCACCCGTCGTATATCCCGTAGATGAACTCGCGACGCGCAGCGCGCAGCCCCGATCGAATTCCCGTTATCCGCGTCGGCCGGCGCACGGTTTTGTCACCGTAAAGCCTTCCCGCGTTGTGAAACCCTTGGGCAAGCGCGAGAGCCAGGTCAACTGGTGTCTTCACGAGTGCCTTCCCCGACTTGGCGGCACCATGACCGACTTCACGAACCACATCTTCGGCCAGATTTGGTTCCATTGTCGAAGCAGCATCGCGGCGATGCATGCCGTCGGCTGTTGAATCAGCAGGCGGGACGTTCTGGTCGTTGTCGGGGTGATGAGCTGGGCCGTCGGGTTTCGACTCCTTTGAGTCGCCTTCGCCCTTCTTGTTCTCTCCCCTCCGCTTCTTTTTCTCCCGCCTCTCCTTCGCATTCTTCCCAATCCGATAGGGCACACCTCCGAAGCCCCCAAAGATCTTCCCCACGGAGGTCATCAGTGCCCCAGCCACGCCAGTCAAAGGTTCACCAGGGCCCTCGAAATCGTTCCACTCGTTGTGTCTTAGCAATTGCAGCTTCTTCCGCGAAACAAGCCCCTTCGACACCAGTATCTCGGTTGCCAGTGTGCTCAACCGCAACCCAGTGATCTTCGTCTGCCAGACCGCAACCCTGTCTGGCAAGATGGGGCACCGCATCGATCCGCGGCCCTGTAGTGCCAGATGTCGATGGAACGCCTGGCACGCTTTCTCCGCTCCGTCGCCCTCCTTCTCGATGTCTCTTGCGATCCTCTCCGCCTCCCTCCTCGCCTTGTCCGTGATGCAGTATTTGATCCCATCGGCCAGTTTCTCCACCGTCAAGCTCTTGTACGGCACCGCCTCCGGCCCGGCGCCCGCATTCCCGACCATGGATCCCCAGAAGTGCTGGTCTCCAAAGAAGGGCACGATCATGGTCGGCTTGCCGCACTTGAGCGCCGCCGCCACAGTGCCCGCTCCTCCATGGATCACACACGCCCTGACCTTGGGAAACAGCCAGTCGTGCGGCGTGTTGTCCAGAAGGTACACTTCGGGAGGAACATCCAGGCTATCACCTCCAATACCACCCCAGCCCTTGGAAACCAACGCCCGCACCCCCGCCATCTTGACCGCCTCGAATATCATCTTTGTGAACTCATCCGGGTCATCCACCACAATCGACCCAAACCCAATGTACACGGGCGGCTCATCCCCCTCTTCCAGGAACTTTACCAGCTCCTCCGGCGGCTCAAACGACGACGCCAAATCCACAAATACAAACCCCGCCACGTCGATCTCCTCCCCCCAGTCCGCCGGCTTCGGCACCAACCCGGGACTCCAGAGGTACGTAAACGGCACATGCAGCCGGTAGGTCGACCCGGGCGCCCACAGTGTCGACACGGGATCCAGCCCCAGCGTCTTGACACGGAACTCATTCACCAGGTCCCCCAGCCCCTGCCACACCATCATTTCGACGAGCGGGTACGAGATCCAGTTTGTGTACCCCTCCTCCACATTCGACCTCTTGATCCGCGCCAGCGGGTGCGGGAACGCCTGCGTGGGGGTATAGGGGAATGTGAACATCAGATGCAGCGGGACGCCTAGCGCCTCGGCGCAGTGGATGTGCGCGAAGCAGGGCGGGTTGGCGATGATGGCGTCCGCGACGAACGGTCCACCCTTTTCTTTTTCCTTCCCTCCCTCCTTGTCTTCAGTAGTGGTGGTGGTGGAGGAACTGACACACGCCCTCCAAAACCCCTCAAACATCTCGGCCATGGCACTCCGCCTCCTCCCCACATCGCCCGCTTTGACCGAGGACAAAGTAGGGATCATGCCCGGGTTCTTCACCATGAAGGACATGAGCTCGGAGGGGTCGCCCCCGACGGAAAAAAACTCGACGCCCGGGCAGGTTTGGGAGACGATGGACTCAAAGGCAGGGTGGGTTGCGATGCGCACACGGTGATGGTAGGTTGTGTGCAGCTGGGCGGCGATCTTGAGGAAGGGTTGCAGATCGCCGCGGGAGCCGATTATCATTATTACGATGTTAAGGCGCGGGGGCGGGAGGGAAGGTTTGGGTGGAGCGGTGGTGGTGGTGGTGGTGAGAGGTGGGACGGGGTAGGAGATCGGGGACGTTGGTTTTGGTTTTGGCTCAAGGGAGGAGGGGGATGGTCGTTGGGGAGATCGCTCTGCTGCTGCTTCTCGCTGGTAGGCTTTGTCGTCTTCTTGTTCTTCGGCGTCGGCGGTTTTGGACAGGGGCACCATCTTGCGTGCCGCCGTGCCGAGTGCCTTGGCAAGGTAGCCCGTGTTACTCGTGTCTCTCAGCGAGATGTTGAGCCGACCGTCGCGCTTGGAGATGCGGCCTTTGGTGTTGAAGTGCTCGTTGGCGATGCGGAAGCGCCGGAGGCGGTCTTCTTTCTCCTTGTTGGACTCTCGTTTTCTGCCTGCTGCCGTTTCCTCCTTTGGTTTAAGGCCCTTCCTGTGGGCTTGCTCCTCTTCTTCTTCCGCGTCTTCATCAGAGGAGGAGGACGAGGAGGACGAGGACAAGGAAGATGCGTCGCTCGCCACTCTAGGCCTGCTAGTTCCACTTGGAGACCTCGACCGCGGTACTCCAGCCTCCCACCGCTTTGCCGCGAGCGGCGGTGGCTTTCGCCTCGGGCCGTGGACGTCGAACGTCATCTCGTCGGTTGCGCCTTCGGGGACGACTAGCTCGTCTCGTTCAGCGTTAGCCCCTATGGCGTGCTTGGGCGTTTCCCCAACTCGGACAGCTGGCTGCTGGGTTGCTCCATCTCCATCTTGTCCTTGTGATGTCGGGGAGTTTGGAGTGCTGTCGGGGGCTTGCGTTTCGGGCGGGACGTAGGACGGGTATAGTGTGTTGCCGGTTTGCTTGTCGAGGACGAGGGTGCGAGTGGTGTTGTCGTTGGGGGTTGTCGGAACAGTATCGACGAGGATCGCGGCCTGACTGTTGCTGTTTTGTCCGTCCTCCTCGTTCCGGACTGTGCTTGCTAGAGCAGCAGACATGGTTATGTTGGCGATGTGTGGATGTGAATTGATATTGGAAATCGAGTTTGGATTGATGTGCGGACTCGTCCCGACCGATTGTTCCAGAGAGAGTCGAGGAGGTATTACCGTGGCAGTAATACCTCCTGTTATAGAGTTGAGATTGAAATGAAGAAATGATGCTGGGTATGTATTCCTAGGTTGTTGTTACCGATAATGTCAATTCTTGCAAAGAGAACTGGCAACGGTATGTTTCGATATCATGTAGGACGGAATTGGAGTAAACGAGGGGGAACGAGACAGCAGTTGTTTTGCTCCTCTACTGTAGTAGGCGCAGAAAGAAGTCTGGGCAGCTCTGGGCTGGCGTGTGCCGTGTGTTCCTGACGTAGTGCCGAGACGCGGCCAAGTGTCGTTTGTTGTAGCGGCAGTCTGATGTTACTGTGCACCGTGTTGGCTAGCCTTGAACAAGCATGTCTCAATTTCGGCGGTTCATTTTCAGGGAAATAAGATTTCAGGGAAATAAGAGCACCTTTGGGCAAAGCGCAAAGCAACAGTACCATCCTGGCTGGTGCCTCCTTCCCAAGCCCTTCCTCAGGCCGTTGTTGGACTGCAGCAAGGGACAATGACATCATCGACCAAACATGGGCGTACTTAAGCTCGGCGCTAAGCCCAACCTAACCCATATTGGACTAGCAGACCCAGTTGGTTGTCTTACAACGCCCCGATGTTGACACCTCCTTAATCTCAAGATTTCCTGACGGGTTGCCAGTCACACATGACATAACACAACAGAGTTGGTCAAGACAAGGAACAATGGGCAGAGTCGCTTAGATACAGTAATTTTGTAAAGTCATTCGCAAAGACGGGTTACCCACAGTGAAGCCAAGCACAAGTCTCAACTCTCAACTCTCAACTCTCGAGGAGCATATAGGAGCACTTGCCTTACATGGCTTTTACACCCCAAATCTGTTACAGGCCAGAGCCTTCAAATGTCCAGCCCTTTTTCCTATCATGTTGAATATTAACGGACACACCTTGTTAGACAGTACAGGCTGGTCTTGCGCCTCGTCCTCAGAGATCGGGTCCTCGCAACCTGTAGAGGATAAACCGACACTTTGCTTCTTCACCGACCTTATAGGATTTTTACTTACACAATCTAGAACCTCAATTTGAACTGCTCGCCGAGATGGACGGCGGTTACCTGGCAGTAAGCACTTACACCAAGAAACACACCAACACACCATCACTTCAAACACCATCGCCGCCGAGTTGGAAAAGCTGATCTGACCCGGGCCCGCGTTTATAAACAGCAGTAGTAGCGTCTCTGAACCGTCGAGAGAAGGATCTCTGGGCGCACTAGCCGGAAAGGACCTCATCGAGGACGGGGTCATGTTGGTGACCGGCGAGCCCAAGAAAACCTGGAAAACGAAGCCATCCACAGAGCCAACCTCCATCACTTCGCTTTGAAAATTCATCTCAGACAGTACCTCCTGCTACGGGTATTGTGGATAGTATTGCCGCCCTCAGCATCGCGCCGAGCCAGAACCGCCAGAAGACCTGGCCTCACTTCTAGCTCTCTTTCAACAAGAGGCTTCCAAGTTGTCTTTCAACAAGAGGCTTCCAAGTTGTCTTTCAACAAGAAACGAACCCTTGTCGTTCTGGGCACAGCTGTGGCACGCTGATTGAATTTGGCGGTTCTGGGTACCACTTTTTGCGGCCTAGTCGAGAATCTCGAAGCACTTGATGTCTCCCAAAACTAGAACCGGGGGAGCCGCAGCGTTCCCGAGAATCTATCTGCCAACGTCCCAGACGACCAATATTCGGGCTTCTTGATTCGGAAGCTACCTGCCGAGATAACGGTGAATACATTCCTCTTCTTATGTTGCAAATCCTCCGGTTGTCTTCTTCCTACCATCGCTTCATTGTCCTATCTCGATCCACCTCGATTACATACTTGCACCTACTTACAGCGACCGCTATCACTCTACAGCTGGCCACTACGGCTAACATAATCAATGATGGCGAGCACGAAACTTGCCCTGGTGAGGGCATAACCGATTACCTGGTACCTGGAGCGGGCCGCACAGTTTTCGGAGCTGTCCCGGACGATTCCCAAAGACGTGTGTGCTACAATGCAGCTTATGAAAATGAGAATGTTGGTAGGGTTAGGGGAGGAGCCTGCACCCTGCTTGCAGGCTGCAATATTACACAGTGTATTGCGATATAGTTCGATTGAGCGATGCAGTTCAATCGAGCGATACGATGCGATATAGAATGCAACCGCGAGAAGCTTTTGAGGGTTAGGGCGTATGAATGGGTGGATGCACATAATACACGCGCCTACGGTCTGAGAAGTCTGTCTCTTCTTATATTGATGACAATTGAACGCGTGATACCACGTGTAAGATAATATCATTGGTGAGGTCGGGCTTTACTGGCCTGGGATTCTGGGATTTCAACTTCCTCATGCGACATCGCCTATTATCTAGTCGGTAGGTTGGAACGGGCATATGCAGGCATTATTCACATCAACTCAGCATAAAAATTCACCCTCGAGCAATATCTCTTGTTGAAAGTCCTCTGGCGCACAAGCTCGAGTAAGAACGGCAACCGCTAGACACCCTAGCAATGACTAAAAGATGGATTGACGAGGACATCGAGTATGTGCAGACATCCCTAAGCCAGCTCCCTGGCTGGAGGCATTATCTCGACTTTGTTCGAGGAGACAATCGATGAGCTCCATGATAATGACTTTGGGGGGTGGGGTTAGCATGCTTTTTATCCACTTCCTTTGGCAGTCCAGGACTAGCAGGCCGCGGGCTGCACAATCCACGGTAGGAATAGGACTGCATCCCGAAGCTGGATTCAGTGCAGCACCTATGACGTTAACGTTGCAAACAAGAGGGCAGCTAACTTATATGCGCGAGCAGTCGCCCCTTGCAACACTCACATGATCCAAGTCAACGGATCTGGCAGCGGCAGAGACATTTGGATGCGAGTGATGGCAGCTCGGGGGAAGAGCTTTCATAGGTTGGATACTCATCACCGTCATATGTGCTTCTCTTCTCCACCAAATGAAGGCCAACGCGGTTGTCTCAGAAAACTATGGTACCCGCGGCAAGGCTCGTCGCGCTCTCGAAGAGCAAGCCGAACAGAACTCCTATGGAAATTGAGAGAAGTGAGGATCAGAGGGGAAGGGGAATGAGAGGGTGGAGGAAATGCGAGAACGAAGGAAACGAAAAACACAACATGACCGAGCATACTTTACCTTTGTGGATATTTGTCGCGGTCGGGCATTCTATAAATTTCTTGTCGTAGATGTATTTTCAAGCTGAGCACGGAAGTCTGCGACGAGTTGTTATACTGTAATTATAGATAACCCCCCAACAACCCGGCGCCCCCCGCGGCCCCGTTTCCCCCCTCCCCCCCCCCCCCCCTGGGGGCTGAAATGGGACCCCTCGATAGTGCCGAGTTTGTTCTAACTCATGCAGCGTATGATTCCGAGCTCCTGTGGTGATATGAGGGAATGAAAAGGAAAGCTTAATTCAATTCCAAGTTGCCGGCGCTCAAGACTCCAATCCTGCTATCCTTGCTGCTCAGACGAGAATTTGAATCTGCCTGCTATGTCTAAACAGATCCCATCGAACATACACACAGCGAGACTAAACTTCCACTTGGCTCCATAACAAACTTCCACAGTCATTTCATCATCCTCAGAAAAGCACCTCAAAGACCCATGAGATGTGACATCTTATGGAAGGATTCTGCAACGTCGAAACGAGGAACCTCTCACCCAAAGACCCCTAATCCGTCACCAAAACCAAAACCAAAACCACAACCACAGCCACAATCCTCATTCCTTCAATTTGAACCCATTAATCCTCTCCAGCCTCGCTAACCTCTCCTTCAACACGCCCAACTCCGCCTCCAACGGCCCCAACTCAACTCCCTCCCTCCCCAGCTCTCGACTGCCCCTCTCCTTATCCACCCGCTCCACCACCTCTCTCAGGGGCTCAAACCACCTTTCCCAGACGGTAGCCTCCATATTCGCTGGTAGGACATGCGCCCACCTGTTACTGTTACTACCGGTAATGGGCGAAGTAGGGGTGGATGTAGTCGAAGAACCCCACAAAAACAGCGCAAAGTTCACCGCTTGCATCAGAAATGGCACATTCGCAACCAGATACTCGACCAAGTCGATAGTCGGTAAATCCAAGAGGGGGGTTAGCGGTGGGAAAACGACGTATTGCACCGTCTCAAGGGCCTGAGATGTCGCAAAGGGGTTTGTAAACTGTTGTTCTTGTTGCTGTTGCTGTGGTGGTGACTCCTTTTGTGGTTTGTCAGCAGCAGCAGCGAGGAGTTCCTCCCTAAGCCAGGCGACCGCTCGCGCCTTGAGCGAGGCGAACATGCAGTTCTCGAGAAGGTCCTCCAGAATCCTCAACCTGTCTTCTACCTCCGGGTTGGCATGCAGGACCTGTCCCGCCAGCACGCTGGCGGCGTTACGGACTTGCAGCGCCGGGTGGTATAGCGCGATGAGGGTGGTGAGGTGGATGTAGCGCATGAAATCCGAGGTGGGGTCCTCCGGGGAGGACGTGGGGTTGGCTAGCGGGGAGGATGGGTCCGGAGAGAGCAGGTTGTTGGACAGCAACCAGAGGCCGATGGTAAGGAGGGCCTCGATGGTGCCGGGGGACTTTTGGATTTGGCCGTGGGCGTCGTCTTGGAGGAACTTGTCGAGCACGGCAAAGTGGTCGGGGAAGATGTGCATCTCTGGGGAGGGATGACTGGCGTCGAAAACTGTCGATGAGAACACCCTATAGGCGGCTGCACACGCGCAGCCGCCGGTCGAGAGGGCGATCTTGTCGGGGCTTGACAGATTTGGCTCTTCAAGGGGGGTGCTGTGCATCGGGCCCTCGCAGAGCTGGTGGGTAAATGGCTTTGAGCAAGAGTCGAGCCCAAGGTCGCCGATGAGGGCCTGTAAAGTCAGCCCCCAGATTCTAACGCGCTAGGAGAGTGTACTAACCGCAAGTTTCCCAACAATGGCATCCCGCTCCGAGAGCTCCTGCTCCTCCCTATACGCCGCCATCAAGGTCCTCCTCCCAGGCACCATCTTCTCCGGGTTGTAGAACTCGAGCAGCCGTGCCGCCCACGCCATCTCGTTCCCGTTCGCGTATGCCTCCAGAATGCAAGTCGCAAAGCTCAGAAGCAGCTTCTGCTGCAGGTCGCTCTCGGAGGGATCCTCGCGCTCGTCTGGGCCGGCTTCCGGGTCGGCGGCATTCCGCGACGCGTCGCCCTCTTCGTCGGGATTGGCCACCCGAACTGTAGATCGCCTGGCGGGCAGCGAAGGGCGGCGTTGGCCGGAGAGGCTGTGCAACAGGTTGATGACGGCCGCGGTCCTCTCCTGACTGGGGCGGTAGGCTGAGATGACAGTGTGTAGAGTCTGAGCGAGGAAGCGGCTGGGATACTTCGTCTTGATGCGCTTGTGCAGAATGGCCAGCATGCCGAGGAGGGTGATGAATTTGTGCGTTGGTGACACGACCGGTTCTGGCTTGTTTGCCTCCTCCTCCTTCTCCTTCTCTCCATCCTCCTCCTCCTCCTCCTCTCCATCCTCCACCTCGCCCTCACCCAACAGTTCGAGCGTCTCGAGGGTCTTGAGGATCACCTCCCGGGGATTGCCGAGTCGCGCTATTGTCTCGAGGCACGACTCAGAGCCGGGCAGGCCGACGAGGTTGTACACCAGGTCCCATCCTATCTCCTGTGTGAGCTCGGCGTCCTGCAGCACCTCGTTGAGCGTTGGCAGCACTTCGGGGCAGAGGTTGGCTTCGACGATGGTGAGGTAGGTAAATCGATCTGTGGCTGGGGGCCGCGCTTCACGAATCGCTTCGATGGCCTTTGCCGGGTCGATAGATTCGGCGGCCATCACGTTGTACGGATAGGTTGAGTCTTATCGGGTGTTGATGGGTCTCACGAGGTTGGGAGATGAAAGGACTTGGAGGTTGAAGTGCTGTGGGGCGGTCGTTCCAGGCACTGACATCACTGAAAAACAGCTGCTACCCCGCACTCCGCTGCCCCACGTTAGGTTGTCAAGGTACCGTACGGAGAATAATAAGTGAGGTGGTTCTGTTTCAACTTGCAATTTGAAAGCGATCTACGTATGTAAATGGCAGGCTCGCGTGGAAACCGCCAGCAATTGAGGAAGTTTTGCACGGTCTGATGTCGGGTACTGTCCTGAGTATCTTATCCTCAATCTCCTGCCAACACAAATCTAAGCAACCCAGTAAATGAAGTCATCACACATTGACCTCCATACCCTGTCTTTAACAGTTCTATACCGCCACGACAATGACACGGCTAAACGTACGGAGGTACGTATATGCCGTCCATTCGATTGCTCGAATGTCTCTGCTGCTTGTCCAAGCCGGCTCTCAACATCTCACTTTACATCCTCTATGTGAACCGCCCCTTGGATGTCGAGTGTCATCAAGCGCCGTCTTTCTGTTCCACCTCGCCCTCACCACCCCCTTCCCGCCCAGTCCCTTCTTTCAGCCTTTTCTCCCAACTCCAATGTGACCACGGATTTTCGGCAAGCTTCCTTAACTCCATCAAATCCTCATCCTTCTCCCCCAACATCGGAGTCCCATACTCAACCGCCAAGCGCGCATACTTGACAGCCAGCCAAGCCTCCCCAACAGCATTATACTCCAACGCCGCAAGGGCATACGCCTCATGTACAACCCCCCACAACCGCTCCATATCAAGCAGACTGACCAGTAGCTCCGCCATCTCCGGACAGGCCCTACTCCCCTCCCCCTCCCCCGTCCTCCGCCCTTTCCAATCCCGCAACTCCTCCCGCAACCTCAAAATCATCCCAATCCTTGCATCCGACTCGTTTCCCCTTACCGTCCCACCGAGGCTACACAACGCACACGAACATTCAAACCCCCAGTTCTTTTTCAGTCTATCCACCCGCTCGGAGCGAACCATCAACCCGTTAATATACGACAGCGTGATCTCCTCGCCAGGCCAGATATCCCTCGCGGCATGAACGTGCTGCGCCAGCGTGTCATAGTCAAACCTATATTCGGCGTTGGGCCGGCAGTCGTGGTTGAGCCGCGCGACGTCCGGGAACAGGGCAAAGAAGCTGTTGTGCTGGTCCGCCGGGTCGTCTGGGTGCGGGTCGATGTCGAACGAGTTGGTGGCGAGGATGGCGTCGATTAGCTCCGCGGGCGTCAGGTGGGATGTGTCGGGAATATGGGCGGAGAGGGAGAGGATCAGGGACTGGTGGGAGGGTGGGAGGTGGGATACGGCTGCGGCTTGGAGGGCCGTATAGCGCGGTTTGGCGAGCTCGTGGAAGGCGCGGTAGTCGATCATTAGGGAGGCCGTGTTGGCGAGGATGAGGTCGCCGCGGAGGATGGGCGCTGTCGCGACCAGGCCCATTCCTTTTCCAGGGATTTCGCGCATTGCGTATCTCGGGGGGGTCGTATTTGGGTCCGGGTTGATGCCGTGGACAAGCCCAGGCTCGGCAAACGCTGGGATTATGGCGAGGAAGCTGGCTCGTTGGGGCGAGGTGACCACCGATATCCCTCTCCCGCCCGCAAAGGTTTCGTCTGTGAAGACGCATATTGACTGGTCTGCGTAATCGCCTTGGTCGCATGGCGATGTGTGTGTCCAGACATGCTGTCCTGGACTGTTACAGTCCCCATCCTGGCACTGCCGCGTCTCAGCACAAGCCTTGAGTGTGGTTGTCTTCACTTTACCGTCAGATATCCCGGGTCAGCGGGACAGACTGGGCCTCCTGGGGCTAGCAAAAGAGATCTAGCGCCGCATATTCGGACCTGACCAAGGTCGCTGAAGGCTACCAATGCCTGGAACATGAGAAACAGTAGGCGAGATGAGGCTCTCATGTTGTTTGTGGGAGCTAAAAGGGAAGAAATGGCGAGAGGAGCACGGCCGGTCGCGGGAGGCAGCTGGTGTCTGAGCTGCTACTCTTTGGACAGCGACATCGTCACTTTCTGGTCCTTGGTGTGGGTTCTATGTTGGTAATTGGCCGATTATGGTGCTGAATCAAGCAGCTGAAAGGAACTTCGACTTTCTAGGTCGAGAGAACGTTGGGAGTTTGCCGGCAAGCCTAGGCTCACAGTAGCTCGACGGCAGACGATCAGGCTAAAGTAGCAGGACCCCGGCGCATTGACTCGACCAACCCCTAAGAAACGGGTTGGTCGTAATTACATGAATCCAGCTCGTCGTGCCCCAAGCATCTGGCGGCGATGATACAATAAGGTATTTGTGCCGAAGGGAGACATATGCCTTGGTCGAGAAGTCGAATTGGTGGGCTGGGCAGACGAATGGACGTCGAGCTGAACTGACGCAGTGTGAGGCTACGCCACGGCGTTTCAGAGACTTCTCACACATGTCGCATCCCCAGGCTAGCCATATCTTGGCGGATAATGAACTGCTCTTTGACCATGACGGCAGGGTTAGAAATATCTGTCGGAATACAGATAGAAGCAGGATCAGTACCTGGTGGTTCGAGATATCTTATTGCTGGCTGAGTCTTGGTGTCGAATTGTTGCATTCTCAAATGGGTAGAGGATCTACTGTAAGGTGAGGTAGGCAATTCGTGGGGTTGGTGCCCTGACCGTTACTCGAAGGTTTAGGGTTGCGGTGCAATACTCGCAAGCCAACATTTCCAAACCTTTCCTCCACATAAACAAGCAGCCCGGCACATAGCTAACTTGGAAGGTATGGATAAAGTCGAAATCGAAACAATGGTCCAAAGCCGCAAATCGCTTCCAAGTTTCCATTGCTAGGACTCCATATCTTTACGAAGGCCACCACTTGAAAGGGGTCGCTTGGGGACGCTGAATCATCAGGTTCACGGCAGGTTCCATCGGCACTCTGTGCAGCTGCACGACCGACGCTCTCTCAATGCTTGGCAATCGCTGATCGTTGCTGACTCCGCCGAGACACAAGGGTTGAGAGTGGGGACATGTAGGGGTTGAGGTAAGGGCTTAGTCACGTCCGGCCGCCAACTTCGCGTCGCTCGCCCGCCTTTTGAGCCTCGTCCACCGTCAGTCGCTTGGCGGAAATGTCTTCGACATGGTTGTTACGGCGGCCATCACTGCTAGCTCGCTTCGAGCCACGAGGGACTGCATCATTCTCCATGCAAAGTGCTACTTCGGCACAAAGCTGCTCCGCCAGAGGGAGGCGAGAGGCTGATTAGCCAATGCTTAACCATTGTTTACGACATGCTTCATCACCACCTGCTCTCCGGTGACGGGTGTCAGGCAGCGGTATGGCAAGGATCTCAACGGCTATTCGGCCGAGCAACCACAACTCGCGGGATTGGGCCTCGAGATATCGCTCGATGGAGAGGGAAGGGAAAGGCGGAACAATCCCGACTGTGATGACCGGGCCGGTGGATATACATACAAGAACGTGTATATAAAGGCTGTCGAGGACGCCCGTCAGTTCTCGGAATCAAGTCAGAGCACAAGTTCACCAGCAACACCTCGGACTTCAGACAGCTGTTCTTGCAGACAAGCACCATCCGTCACCATGAAGTTCACCACCCTGCTGTCTGCCGGCCTGATGGCCGCCACTACTGCCATGGCTGACAGTCAGTCTAAGTGTCACGGAAAGAAATGCCAGCCCGACGTGACTAACACGAGCACAGCTTTTGCATGGGAGAGGCTCGAGCTCAACAACTCGGTACGTCTTCTGCTCAGCTTGACGAGCAGCGAGTGATTGCTGACCTGCCCAGGTTCTGGTGATTCTCGATATGCAGGAGGGCCTCTACAGCATCTCCAGGGACTGGGGTGCGGTACATCTTCGGCGGTCTTCACAACTACATGCTAACCCCTCGCTCAGATGCCACCCTCTACCGCGACAGCATGCTGGCACACAGCGCTCTTGGCAAGGCATTCCCCTCGCTTCCTATCATCATGACTACATCGGCCGAGAATGGCCCCAACGGTCCTCTGCCACAGGAGATTCTCGACATGTACCCGAATGCGCCCTTGATCAAGCGGTTTGTGAACTCAGTCTCAGCTCTCAGAGCCTTTACGGAAAAATGACTGACACCACATACAAACAGTAACGGCGAGGTCGATGCATGGGACAACGAGCAATTCAGAAACGCCATCAAGGCGACCAACCGCACCCAGATCATCATCGCCGGTATCGTAACGGATGTTTGTACGTAACGCCCTTTCGGTCCAGTCCCCCCTTTTCGACAGTTCATGCTCACCCTATGACCAGGCACTGCTTTCCTTGCTCGCTCTCTCCGCGCCGAGGGCTACTCGGTCTGGGCCAACCTCGAAGCGTCTGGAACGACAACCAAGGAGATCCGTGACATCAGCAACGACCAAATGATGAGGGCCGGGGTTAAGTAAGTTTAAAATATTCAACCCTACGGTACCTCCCCAATTCTCCAGCTCGACTAAGCCCTTTCTGCACAGCGTCGTCTCCCTCTTCGCCATCGTCTGTGACCTCATGCGCGACTGGCGCCACACCCCCGGCGCCAAGGAGCTCCTCCCCTGGCTCGACCGCTACCTGCCCGCCTACGGCATGGTCGCCCGGGCTCACAAGGCCGCCATCACCGCCGGCGAGATCCAGCCCGGCGAGGACGTCCTGCCTTCCTAAGTTTACCCACGCCTAGGGGCCGGTCAAGAATCCTTTGGACTGCTACTCAACTCGACATGGCGCAAGTGGTGGTTTGGAGGAAGGGGGGGCGGTATGTGGAGGAGGGGACATGCTGGGCTAGGCTAGCCTCAGGTTAGAGGTGGGAGCTACTCAGCATTTCATTTACCGAGGGTAGTTGTTGCCCTGGTGAGTGTGCCAGGGAGGTCAAAGGAGTTAGTTCAGTTCTTGTTACTCCGTACTGGTCGGAAAGGAGTATGTTCCTTGTTGTCTGGTGGCTTGGTGAACGGCGACGAAACGATAGACGGTGAGGCTCTATACAGAAGAATGAACGGAAATGATGGCCTGATTCAAGACTAGAGAACTGGTGACTTCGGGTTATGCTGTCAGTAAGAGGGCGGGAGGGGAGCTGCGAACTTGCCATCCGGCCTCGCCTGGCTCGAGTGCTCCATGAGACAACAAGAGGGCACAGCACCCGAGGTAGTGGGAGCCGTGACATTGGAGGATGTCGCGTGGCAGCGATTCTGTAGTTATCTACTGAGCGGTCGGTCGGTCAAACGTGCATAGGACATCGAAATTGGCGCAATTCTCGCAGCTGTTTGATGCGATCAAGCTTCCCAGGCATTTGAGATGAAAGAATGATGGAAGGAGCCGAAGGTGGACACAGTTGCTCTCAAAGCCAAGACTGCACCGCTGCAATCGTGGGGTCGAATTCGCGGGCATCTTCTAAACATCGAAACCTCGAGCTTCTGAGTTCGACATGAAAATTTGTCTTGCTTGCATCTATCAACACTTGAAAGTGCACTTATGTCCGGCTTTGGAGGGCCACTGATCAGAACATGCGAGAATGTGCCGCAGCGGCGCTCTTATCGACGTCTCAATCACAGGTCGTCTTTGAGTGCAAGCCCGCCATCGCGTTCCCCAGCAACCACCGAGCCTCTCTCCACAATCGACACAAGCAACATGATCATCCGCGATTGTCGGGTCTACTAGTACCATGCGATACTAAGCCAGATCTTTTTGGAGTGGAGAGCTGTGTACGGACTAATGCTATATCCACATTCTTCTGTTACCGGCTGGTTGAGCGGACTCCCTGATTCGAGCGCCCCAAACACTCTCTGCACATAACTGAAAACACTCCGTCCAATCCCTATGCATGGGGCTTGAAAACAAGTGGGTCTGCTCAGGCAGCAAATGTGTCCGTCCGGTTTTTCCAAATCCAATCCCCTCTGCCCACCGAGAGCTCCCTGAGCTCCGACCGCCCTGCCGTTGAGACGGCCGCGAGTAAAGGTCCGGCTGACTTCGACATTAGGCACCTTCGCGCAACGATGTCCATTCTTACAGACAGCAGCCTATTAAAGCTCGTCTTGCGGACACTAGAAACCAGAGGGCTTGCCGACGACGGAAAGTTTGACTGGGACCCCATCACCTTTGCGTTCACCGTCCAAATCAGCATATTCGCCGCTACGTTCGCCCTGATTACCATATACCAGGCCATCTTAGCCGCTGGCCCGGGCCGCCCTGGGCTGATCTCACAAAGGAGGAATGGAACTGGCATGACCTGAACCGGCTAACCATTGCCACTACACCTATACTCAGGTCGGCGGAGATAGTGAATATCCTAATGGATCGAGGTACGAAATTGAGACTCGGTAACGAATCAAGGACGGAGTCTAGCAGGTCATACCTGCTGACACAGAACCCGCCACAGCCAGGTCGGAGACAGCATCCGGCAGATCAGAGATAGCAACTACCAGATCCGAGACGGAATCTTCCAGGTCAGCCAGGGAATCTGCTGGACCGGTAGCTGGCTCATCTAGCGAGTCGGAGGCGCAAACTGCTGGACCGGATGCAGAATCTATAGCGGACCCGAGTTCGGTGCAGGACGGCATTTCTAGCAGTTTCGGATCCGCCAAGCAGGTTGCGAGTATCCCTATTAGATTCTTCGGCTGGAGCGTTCGCAAAGTTTCCCTATTCAACGCCGCAGTGACCACCAGGGTCAACGTGAAAATCGATTTGGGCGGCAAAGGACCCGAGCCGCCCGCTGCAACCTGGCTTCGCTTTCTCGAGCATATCCCTGCAAGATTTGAATCCCAAATACGATGGCATCGATGCGGCAACCACGATGACCGACTACCTCCCTGCAGACCTACTAGCCGTTCCTGCATACGCTGAGGTGGGCTTTATCGTAGCAATGGCAGCCAGCTTGGGCGCACACTCGTTCAAGAGTACGGCGGACGCACAACAGTCTCCGTACCCCGTCATCGTTGGCAATGACTTCCAGTTCGACTTCCGCCACCATCCGACACTTGGTACCATTGGCGCCTTCTCGCGCTACGGAAAGCACCCAGCTGCACACATCGTCGGCTCGTCGCTGAGGCAGCAGCTCATGTGGGCTATCGACAATGCCCGCGGCAATATCAGCTTCACGCGATTTCATTGCAGACAGAACTGACGCAGACCCCGAATTTTTGTTTGGATATAGAACCAGCTCCACCTCCCGGGTCCTTCATGGGAGCCAAGGGGCCTTCTTCCTTAACCACAATTGTTTCGCAGAGGAGAGTCCTTGCTTGTGGCACCCATGTCCGCGCCGCAACGATAAACATGGCTTATTCTAGCTTCTGGTGGCCGACATACCGCGCCGCCTGCCTGCCATCTTCCCCGTCCGGCTGTCTAGAATTGCATCCAATACGCTTACCATGCTTGCTCTGAATAGCAAGCGCTGGTCGGGCCCGCGGGTGAACAACGCGGATAGCTTGCAGTTTCTTTGCGCACTGGTCATCCGGGGTCCTGATCGGACACGTTGGAAGTGGATAGGATCAAACCCGTACATATTTCCGGAGATCGTTACGGTCAATGACGTCGCATGGATAATGGGACTAACTGACGGGGACACAACGAAGGAACAGCTGAAGAGTGTCGCCATCCAATTCGGGCATACACCAACGACAGTTTTCCTCAATAATATCGCTACAGCGTCCCGCAACAAGCGGCTGGCGCTTGGATTCGGGGTGGTGATGCAGCAATTCCAGGCGTTCCTTTACGAGTTTGACGAGTTCAAGCATGGTTCCAGTCCATGCAACCCCAGGGCAGCAGTATTTCCGCGGGCTCGTCTTGTTACAACTTCAGCAGCTCGACAAGTGGCTGGCGGAATGCTCGTGCTTCCTCAGTTGCCTTCACGTCGTTGTGGAAGTGCCGAACCAGCACGCTGTATTACTCGACCCTGGCACTGTTGGATGCAGCAAAGGCCGTCCCGGAACAGATATTCGATAACTCTGTACTTGAGCGACCGCTTAGGAATCAGCGGCTCAGTCTCGACATTGCCCGCCACCACCAGATTCTGCAAGTCCTCGACTCATTTCTCAGCAAGTTCCCTTGGGTTGATGCTCAAAGGACGCATAGTTCATAATCGGACTACGGGAAGTGGATGCCTTCCAAGGTTATTGAACGGTACCGAAGGCAAATCGCCTGCTTGCTAGGCACGCAACACCGCACGGCCCACAGGCAGAGGGCATTATGCGAGATATTTCTGAGGCTTAAGCATATCATAGACATGTCATACAAACATTGCAGTTCGGAGGATGACGGCCTGGAGGACGACGGAAATGATCAAGAATCGGAATGCGTCCCAGAGCACCTGCAACCTGAGGACGAGGCACTGAGTCAGGTCCCGGACACGGAGACCAGGGTCCAAGGTGAGGCATCGAGACTGACGCTGCACAATGTAATAAGCGGGCCGGAAAAGGGGAAACTACCTGACAGGGACGATGGCATGTTGGAACCGTCCATGGAGCACTTGTCAGCCGGGTGCGAAGTCGAGGAAGGGTCTCAACCAGAACATATCTGCCACGGCGGAGCTGGTGCAGAGGAAGCTCCGACGGGATCCCTAGCAGAAGAGGCTCCATCCAGATCTGAGCCAGTCGACCACGGATGCGGGCCGGAGACGAACAGCACTAACCTTGAAGAGGTCGTGGACGACGCTTTGACTTGGCGGGCCATCCTCAACGCCAAACGCCATGTTGTACTCTACAGCTCCCGACAGCAGCGACATTTTGACGTCGGGGATATGGGGGAACGTTGTTCCTGTTATATAAGGTTGGTATTGTACTTGCTTGTCTTCACACTGCCTGAGATGTCTAATACAAACTGGGAGCAATTCGAGCAGCGGCTGCCTTATGCCATGCTGGCAACGATGGTGGACAATGTCCTTATCAAGACTGCTGGATCGTCAATTGGAAGGAGTAGAGGTGCGTCAGTTTGCCTCTAACAACTCAAGAGGATATACTCCTTAGGTCGAACCCATTTCAATCGGTTATCACGGGGCCGTCTCGCCTCGAAAGTCTGAGCTTTCCCTTAACCTCTCCATCAGGTGACAATTCTCCTCACGTTATCCCCAGTCGAGTTCCACCTCAACTTTCCAAGCGGCTATCGTCGTAGGCAAGATCAACGGCGCCGTCATCTGCGAAACCTCCGCCTCGGGCGACTACCCTTACAACACTGCCCTAGGCGAGCGTATGCCCTTTTCCAGCGAGAAGTGTTCCCCCCAGCAGCTCGACGCCGTACTCTACCGCATCTAGCATCCTCTCTGCTGGAAGCTCATCACGACCATCGCATTACTTCAATGCATTGAAAACGGCGTTCGCTCCCTCGACGGCGACATCTCCTTGCTCGCCGCACGCTGCAGATCCTCGACTCCGACGACGCCGACGCCCAGCTTGTGCCGCCTAAGGCAAACCATCACCCCTGGCCATGCTGCTCTCGCAGACCTCCAATCCGGGCTGAGCTACAACTTCTTTCGTCCCCTTGTATCTCCTCCCCCCCCGCCGGGGGCAGCGCGCTACGAGTGCGCCCCTCGCTGAATGACGCCACGCGGGCCCGTCGAGCAGGCGTTTGCCAAAGATAGGAAACGACGTCAATGCTTTCGGGGCAAGGTGATAGTGCAGCCGTGAACTTCGTCCATAGGTTCGCATGGAATATCATGACTGTACGGCAGCCAATATCGCTGGAGATCCTGGACCCGGGTTCCACAGGTCGGCTCGCCGTTGAACATACGGATCCTCCCGTGGCGGGTATACGCCTTGGACGCGCCTTCGTGCCTGAGCAGCCATGCACACAGGTGATAGTCGTCGGGACGCTGACGCCGTATGTCAAATTCGGAGGAGTGGTGCAGCAGTATGTAGAGGGATTTCCTTCTCCGCTAGCGAGGGAGTCGGATTTAACGTCGCAAATATCCGTGTGAAGCTGACCTGGAACTCCATTGTTGGTTTCATCATCGACGACGCAGATGGGGTACACGAGTTCCAGGAGGCGAACGAAGCCGCCGGTGACCTCGCCAGTGACATCTTTGTCTGCCGCTCTGACTTCTGTTCCAAGGATGCTGATCAGCAGAGACTGGTCGTTACCATAGTCCGCGTACTCTATTTGTCCGTCAATGGACGCCCAGGACCATGTCGGAGCGCGATATGCCTTGGGTGGGCTAGCACTGTCCCCGATGAAAACAGTCCACCCAAGCACCCATCCTAGGTGGCGACACCACAATCCAGCCGGGTAGTCGTCTTGTAGAACCTGGCGAGCCTCTTTCGCCAGCGCCGAGAGTGCGACAAGCTTGTCTCTCACATAGCTCAGCTCGGTGCGCGAATAGGTCCCCACCAACTCCTTCCAAACGCGATATCCGTCGAACTGTGGGAGAGGGGGCTGCTGCCACCTCGGCCGAAGCTTGCTGCCGCAGTCAAGGAATTCCTGCTCCGTGGCTGGAAGGGCGAGCACCCGGCTCTGCTGGCCGAAGCGGAAACCTTGGGGAGTGTCTCACAGGCCCCAAGTTCTAGACAGTCCCAACAACTGATCCGAGGTGAAGTGAAGCATGCTGGGCAATAAAACGCGTTCCTGAAGAACCCAGCCTCGCTTGTTGAGTACCGCATCCAAGACACTGTCCTTCCACAAGTAACTTTTGTGCACCGTGTAAGTCGAAGGAGGGCAGTCTTGCCAGCCTGTCGTGACGACTGCGGGTCGTACCGTCCGGGGCTCTCTGTCAAAGAAGAGTCCACCACTGTTGTCTGACGAGGAGCTTGCGGCGATGTTGAATAACCCGTTTCCGTAAACTTGGCCCATTAATGAGCGTTCTTGGGCCCAAATCATCAGTCGAGTCCTGGATGATACAGAGAGAGTCGATCCAGAGGTAGCGAAACCCAAGCCTCCTCGACACGTGAATCGCGTCTTGGAACGTTTTTGGAAGCGCTGACTCTGGTAGATGGTCGAGAAACATAGCCCGCACATCGCGCGTATTCCGCATGAGCTTCACGGCGGCGGAACTGCCCCAGCAGTAACTCAGCGTTGCGTATGGATCCTCCGGAGGGGTGTCCTTGGTTTCGATCAATCGTAGAGCTGCCGAGGCACTAGATCCAAGATCGGCGAGGCGTGTTGGGAACCAAGGAGCGGTGCTCCTGGCTGCCCTACATCTCGCATGGAACCTCTAACACCTGGGAATCCATGCCATCACCTGACTCCAGCATGCGTCGGAGCGAGTGTTGCTAGGAAGTTCGTTAAGCTCCGGCGTCAATCCTGACAACGCACATGTCAGCTACTGGCACCCTTCTCCGCTTCTCGCTTTAGTCCACTTACCATACCTGGAGAGGGGAGCGCACGGAAATACTCGATGAACGTCATAGGTCTGCCCTGCAAATCACAGCGCCCCTCAATTGTAACGTCGAAAGGAGCAAGATGCTCGCCTGTGATGTCGGCCTCACAGCGGAACTTGTACTGTGCGAAATCTGCATCGGACGAGGCTGACCGAAATGCAGCGACATCATCCCTTCCTCTCAAGAGGAACTTCAGAAGGTGCAAGCATATGTAGCACCCTCCCTCGGCAGAGTTTTCCAAACCCTGAAAAAAGAGACGGTGCTGAAATAGATTAGATGTGAACCTGAGGGGAAGGAACGTCGAAATCCCCAAATCCAAAGTCCAGTCGACCTTACATGAGCCTGCCTACCAATGCCTGGGCGCTGGACCTGCACAAGAGCCCAAGCATGCACCATAAGCATGCAGTGTTACCTACCACCGGCCACCTTGTTGTCCCAGAAAGCCCAATTTAGGTTTCACATACTGCAGATGATTTCAATGGCCTGCCCTACCCACCCTGTACGCCCCATCAGCTATCCCACAGAGGCCACTGCCATAGATGTTCTTTTACTTCCGAGCTTCCGGCCCGATGTGTGACGCAGTACCCAGCCCGTGTCCGGCAATTCGGCCCCATATTGGGGTTCAGGCCTGAGAATGTCACTGCCTTCCCAATCCCCAACAGACTGCATTCTCGAGTAAGCCGGCCTGGTCCGTGGAGGTTGTATGCATGATCTCTTGACACATTGAAACCTGGATTTTGAGTTTTTTAATGGAAACCGCGCTGGTGGTGGCTACTAATAAACTTTGGGTGGGGCTCGCGGGCGGCCCTTAGCCGAAAGCAACCAAGGTGGGTTCCAGTGCCCGCTTACGAAACTAAGTTAAATCGGGAACGCGTCGCGCGTTCCCGAACCCGACAGCAAGACCAATTTGAAGACTGAAGCAGGGTCGCTTGCATCTGCTATAGATTAGTAGGCTGGGGCAGATCTGGATATCCGTAACTCAATCACGGCGAACATTTTGCTACCCCGGACGGGCAAGTTCGATCCTGCCCAACGTCGGGTCAGACACGTGAGTTCTGCTTCAACCTCAGCCTCACCAGGTACACCTGTCTCGACCTGTGTATTATCACTGCACACCCGCCCACCTGCCGTGATCAACCGTGATGAATTCACGAATACCGTCACCGAGAAAGAGGAGGAACAACACGACACTCAAGCGGGAATCCCCTGATGGCGCTAAAAGACATGATTTCGAGACAACCAAACGACTAAAACCATCAAATGTCATCGTAATCAGTGACAGCGAAGATGACGGCGACCACCTATCGGACGACGGGGACAATGACTACCCGGAATTTCAAGTCAACGACCATTCGGCATCACCCTTCGCAGGAATTTCGAGGCTTGCAACAACGCCGCTGTTGACAACTCACTCCGCACAATTGCCGAGTACGCAGCCGCCGCCCCTCGACCACCTGGGCCGCCCGCTCTCTGAGGCAGCACTTTCCGTTGCGCGCGAGTACTGGGATTGCCAGCGAAACCTCGACTCTTATCACTTCGACCGCGAGGGCGTCCAAGACTCGGCCGCCCTGCCGTTTGATCTTCTGCTTCAGCTATCATGGACTCGGAGATCCTACACTCGGCTTGTCCTCGGCCGAGACAGGCTCAGTCCTGGAACCCGGACCTACGAACCTCCATACGTCGAGCCGCTGCCGCCTCCTTCTCCTTTGGTTCCCTCCGGCGAGGCACGCGAGTCGGCGGTAGTAACAGGCCCAGATGCACCAGCACCCCTTCAGTCCAAGCCGAAAACCGAGCCAGTCCTCTGCCCAGAGCAACAGGAAATCGTCAACCTCGCCGTCAGCGGCAGGAATATCTTCTACACCGGATCTGCAGGCTGCGGAAAATCTACGGTTTTGCATGCCATTAGGGCACGCCTGACGAACATGGGGGGAACCGTCCGCGTCATGTATGTCAACCTCATCTTTCCTGCCTGTTCTCCCTGTCTCGGCTTCGATGGGATTCATCAAGTCTTGCCCCAAAGGCGTACTCACACAAATCACACTGGAAATGGAAAGTGGCTGACGTGAGACAGGGCTCCTACCGGGAAAGCGGCTCTCGCTATCAATGGCACGACAACATGGAGCTTCGCTGGCTGGACGCCAGATCACCACAAGCGCAAGCTTTCCCTCCTGGAGAAGATGGCCCGTGGAAAGACTACCCGCAAGCGTTTCAAGCAAACTGACACCATCATCATCGACGAAATTTCCATGGTGGAGAACCTGCATTTTGAGCGACTGAACGCAGTCATGAAGGCGGGGCTCAACAGCAGCTTGCCTTTTGGCGGCGTGCAAGTCATCGTCACGGGGGACTTTTGCCAGCTTCCGCCGGTGAAGCCTTTCCAGCACTGTATCACCTGCGGCAGCGACCTCGTCTCTAGCGCAGAGGTGGAGGGCACGATCCACAGATGTCCACGCTGCAGGAAGATCTACCATGACAAGGATAAATGGGCATTCAGGAGCGACGCCTGGAAGGAATGCGACTTTGTCCACGTGCACCTGAAGTCGATTCACCGCCAGTCCGACAGCGAGTTCATTTCGATGCTGCAGAAGTGCCGCCTCGGCATTCCCTTCACTCAAGACGAAGTCGACACCCTGATGAACCATCGATCGGTCACCGCAAACGCAGTCAAGCTCTTCTCAACCCGCGAGGAAGTCCGCCGCACCAACGAGGAAGCCTTTGCGCGGCTGAAGACACCGCCCCATCCATATCGCTGCCACGACAGGTTTATTTGGGATTCGGAAGCACATCCTAATCTCGAATACAAAGGACAGAAGAACCCAGACGGCACCCTGCGCGCGCTTGACGACCACCGGTTCGAGAGGTGGATCGAACTCAAGATTGGCATGCTGGTGGTATTATTAGTAAACATCGATTTGACGTCTGGGCTCTGCAACGGAAGCCAGGGCATCATCGCCGGCTTCGAGCCTTATGACCCGAACAAGCTGCCCAAGAAAGCCGACTTCGGAGAGGGGGACGGCTTGGTCGGCCAGCATGCGACAATCAAGGAGGCGAACATCAAGGAGTTTGCCGAGCTGCAGCGGAAGGAGAACGAGCGCCGAGGACAGAAGCTCTTTTGGCCCGTGGTCCGGTTCCTGAACGGGAGGACCATGACCATTCTGCCCGAGTGCCAAGTTCATGAACTCGGGGACAAGAAGCCGTACGCGCTGCTCTGCCGGACCCAGGTCCCGCTGACGGCGGCCTGGGCGCTGAGCATCCACAAGTCGCAGGGCATGACGCTGGATCGTGTCATTGTCGACCTGAGCAAAGCTTTCGAAGAGGGGCAGGTTTATGTTGCTTTGTCGCGTGCCACGTCTCTGCAAGGGTTGAAGATAGAGGGCGATCCTGCGGGGCTTGCGGTGGGGAAGGGAGGTAACGAGCAGGTGCGAGAGTTTCTGAGGGAGAAATTTGGCATGTGACGGCGATTTGAGCCGAAATAACCGGACACGCCGCTCACAAGGTTCAAGAATGGCAATCATCATGATGATGGACGGCTTTCGCATACCATACGGTACATGATAACCATGCAGCCGTCTTGCCCTTCCTCGCGAGATGGAGGTGAGCTTCATTTTCCACTCCTTCTTGCTACATGCCTGGCTGTTTTGAAAAACGGAAACATCGCGCCAGGTAACTCAGGTAAATGATTAACGCCGAACTACAGAAGAGTTCCCGGTCCGATAATCAACTCAGCACTTAATCACTTCCAACTTCCACCATCACGCCGACGCATTCGTCTCCACACCTTGATACTTCTCACTCTCCTTCAGCTTCAACCACGGCGCAAACACATTCCTCCCTCCACTCTTCTCCAACAACACCCTCAACTCAGGGAAATGTCTCCCCAACACATCCTTCATCCCACTATCCTGCACCCACCGGAACCCAACCTTAGTATACGTCCCCTCGCTCCACTCCCCATGGCCCGCAATAAACCGATCACTCTTCAACCTTCTGGAAGCCATGAGGATGAAAATTCTAAACGCCGTCTCGCTGAACCCAAACCCAGGTATCACTGGCTCCGAGTGGGATCCCACCAGCGCATCGACCAGCTCGATATCCCCGTTGTACGCTTCGCGCAGCTCGGCGGCGAGCACGGTATTGCCGCCGGTCAGTTCCTCAAAGGTCCTGGGGACTGACATGCGCAGGTGCCGACGGAAGGTGCAGTACCGCGGCACGCCGCGCTCACGGTCGCGGAGGATGTCGACTGTCCCTAGGTCGCGCGTCTGGCCGTCGGGGGTGGGGAGGTTGCGGAGGAAGGAGGGGTAGTTGTTGTTGGTTATGGCGCCAGGGTAGTTGATGCCGAAGGAGTAGAAGGCGTCCGGGAGGGTGAAGAGGTTTTGGCGGAGGGGGATTTGTGCGTCTGCGGAGTGGTTGGTTAGTTGAGTGGGTTCTGGTGTTAGAGGAAGGCTGGAGGGGACGTACTGTCAAATGTCATGTCTGCCACGGGAATGGTCTCGATGTGCTTGCCTGAGGTGGCGGAGAAGAAGGCGATGTTGTCTGGGATCAGCGAATGCATCCGGTACACGCTCACAAACTCCTCAGTCAGCGAGTATGGCGCGCCGTCCTGCTCGGCGCCGCTCCCAGGGATGCCGCTGATGATCTCGCTGCTCTTGGAGATGCGGCCGAGCATCTTGGTCAGCTTCTCGCCGACGATGCCCCACCAGTTGGCCGCCATTCCGATCTGCAGCGCCGGATGCGCGAGGATGGCGGGCGTCCATTCGACGGTGTGGATCTTGGCCATCAGCGCCGAGTTGACGAGGCGGGCCTTGTCGAAGATTTGGTCGCTGGGAAACCTCAGCATCTCACTGCCACTGCACAAGCGAGCCAGGCACTCACCCAGTCATATCCGGATACGCTGCCTTCAGGGCGTCGCAGATGGCGTTGTGCTCCATGGCAAACAAGGTGTGCAGCATCTCCAATCCAATCCACCAGTTGTTGTGGAAGCCCGTCAGGGGATTGCCGTCCTTGTCCCGCGGGAGGAACGACACGGTGCCGACCGCATCGAGCTCCAGTTTGCCGCCTGGGAGTTTGGTCCGCAGCTTCCGGGTGATCTCCTCGCTGGAGCCGTAGATCTGCGAGCCGTCCCACCAGGCCGTGTTCTCATTGTTGTAGCCGGGGCACTTGAGGTCGGACGGGTCGCGGATCTCATCCGGCTTGGTGCGGAAGAGCTCCATATGCGGGTGCGGCCACGGTTCGCCGCCCTCGGGGAGGGGGACGTTGAACTTCTCTTCGCTCTACGATAATAGTCTGTCAGGCCTGCCCACTTGGGCGGAGGAGAGCAACCTACCTGTACATGGTTGAACCAGTCGTGGATCTGAAACTGAATCCATGCCGCAGCCAGCATGTTCAGCGTCGTGGCGGGAATGAAGCGTCCATCGCGGCGAGCCATGAACCTGTCGCTGATCAAACGCGGGTTGGGCGTCCAGAGCTCCTCTTCGGTTGGCTTCGCCGTCAGATTTCTAGGAAAATTGTGGCCGAAACGCACTGCGAACTATGAGTCGAGCCAGGAAAGGCGTGATAGGGAAACCTACTGCCTCTGCAGCCCATGTTAGGCCGTTCAAGGGAATTGAACTTGCCGTCCGAGTGCCGGGCTCTGCGGTAGCGCTCGTCTGGCAGGGGCGTCTCGCTCGAGTTTCCCTGGGCTTCTGCCGAGGCGTAGCCATCGTACAGGTTGTACTGCCGCAGCTCGATGCGCAGGAAGGCGAGGTTGAAGGCGCCAATGAAGCCGGGGAGTTTGTACCAAGGGATGACCTTGTTCAGCAGCCTGAAGCCGCCGATGCCAACGCGCTCGAGAAAACTTGGCTTGAAGGCTGGAAACTGCTGCTCGTCATATCCCGGCTTTGGCTGGGTGCCGCTGGAACCATGAGCGTCGTAGGCGGCGCTGCTTGTCGAGGCCATCGCATAGACTCAGAGGGTGAGACTCTCGGGAAGCTGGGGTCGGATGCGGAATGAACGTGGTCGACGTTCCTTTGGAACCGAGGGACGGTCTCCCACACATTATATCCGTTCGGCGAGTTGGCGGCTGCAAGCCCTCGGGTCTCATCCTTAACCAAAAGTCATCTCGACGCCGTTGATTGGCCGTTCGCACATGAATCCCGGGTGTTGGAGGCCCATCACACTTCATCATCTGACGCCAAAAGAAGCCTCACCGGTGAGCATCAATGTGGAAGACATGTCTGACAAGACGCGTCTACGGCGCAGTTTTGGCTCGTTGGGGATTTTCAGGGTCCTTGGCGTCGAACGCAGATCCCGTCTAGCGCGGAAGAGAGGCACGGCGTGGGGCGCATGGCGCCAAGGGGTGCTGACTTGCATAAGCTGCCTAGCAGAAGACGCTGATGGGGTACGCAGGATTGGCTGCCCGTGGTCGATGAGTCTGACGTGAGGCACGACCATGTCCGCTTGTCCTCAGCCTGCGTCCCAGGACTCTGCTTTGCCAGAGCCAGAAGGCCCACTCAGTCGTGGTGAAGCCGACGGGCAATGCTGGTCAGTCCTGCGGAGCATCGTCATCTTGTGCCCTGCTGTTCGCCCTCTCTTTACTGTCACACGTGACCACCACCTTTCCTTGATACATGGACCTCTGCAGCCCTCTCGACCGGATTTGTCCCTTCATAAGTAGCGCCCAACAGCCATTCCGACGGTCCGATCAGACCTTGGCCGCCCAGCACAAGCTTCAGCTGTAGCTAGCCTGGTTCCATACGGACTCATTTATGGGCTGTAGGCGTTGCGGGCACGAGACACATCAGTGAGGTTGTCGATCCAGGTCCGTACTCCTGTCTCCGACCGTAAATCGGCCCCTATGTTGTCCACTACGCCAACATCCATCAGACCTCGGCGAAAGGGTAGATGAGCTTCTGGCCCAAACAGCTAACAGCCTCACCCTGCCACGCTCAGTCTTCGTTCATTGCTGTCTGGCTCGCATGATTCTAGCTCCGCCCGTAGTCCCTTGAGTACTTGATCGTGTCGGTTTCGCGAATTGCCTCGACCTGAAGTGGACGGGATGGTTTAATAGCTTGCGCATTGCGAGTCGGGGCCTACATTTCAACCACAGACGGCGTTAGCCTTGTGAAGCAATATGCTAGCGATGAATCACAGACACGACAGACACACACACACATACACACACACGCACACACATGTACGCAATTTATCCCGCCCGGCGGGCTTAACCCGAAAGGGCAACTATCACGCATCTACGAGTACATTTCCAAAGATGAATCCTGATCTCCTAGAGCCCATACGACCTCATTCTGTGCGTTATGCCCTCAATTATCTACCCTACTCTCTACCGGTACTCGTGGGTTAGTACTGTAGTATCATAAGTAAGCCAGCTTGAAGTGCATTCTCCAAGTGTTCAACGTCCTATCCTCGGCGGTTGAAGCGTGTTTACTCGGCGTTGCACGAGACGGGTAGTGGTAGGTCAGTGGTGACGGGATTATACTGTCCCGTTCCGTGGTTGGCCTGCGTCCAGACGGCCTGTAGCCATTGCGAACCGTACAGTTGCCCGCGCCGCTTGCCCATCCGGGACGAGGTCTTGTCATCCGAGGGCGGCTTTCCTCTTAGGTAGAAGGAGATAATACTTCTGTGGATATCTGTGCATTGGAGCATCTCTGCTCGGTGTTCTTTCCATTGTCTGCATCGAAATAGGAAGCGCTCGACTATCTCTCTGGCTTGCCCGCACGCGCACTGATCTGACGATGCTGCTTTGATGCGGTGAAGGTATGCGTTGAGCTTGGCCATGCCCGTGCTTAGCTGAGCAAGCACGCCGGCCTCCTTCCGTGACAGGTGATCGTACAGCGTTAGAGTGCGTTTGCCTGGCAACGCTGCGTCGACTCTCTTGGAGTGCCTCCCCACTCTCTATGGCAAGGACTTGGTCGACGCCCGCTTAGCCCGTGCGACACGGAGTGTTGTTGATCGCATCCTGGGTTCTTGGGCTTGTTGCCTGGCATTCTGTTGGGTTGCTTCCCTCGCTTTGTCCTTGGCAACTTTCAGGAGCTCATTTTCAGCGGCTGTTGGGATCTACACGACTGAGATCATATTCCCGGCGTCCTATGCTGTTTATATTGCTTCGTACGCCTCGGAGATGTATCGTTGCCCAGATTGCTAGCGTATACTCTTTAGCGTTAACATAGCCGCTTTGTTACTCGTGGCGAGTATGATCCGGCGGTCCCTGAATTTCCGCAACGACCTCAACATATGCCGGACTGCTGCAAGCTCTGCTTATAATGGGTTCTGTTCCATCTTTGCGCCTAGCGTCATCTTGAAGGTCTCGTCTCGCGGTCCACCACGCATGGATAGCGAGATACGGACGACTCCTCCCATTCCTACCATGTCGTTTCGTGCAGAACTGCTCACGGCAATCCGCACTGCCCACCCCGTCTCGATCTGAGCTATAGCTGTTTCATTAACAGCAGTGTCCACTCGCTCCTCCTATGGTGTCAGCACGAACGGATTGACCGTTTCGACGCTGTCCACTACCCGGGCGACCAAGAAGTGAACAGCTGTTGGGCCGTGCGCGGAGGTAGGCCCTGAGAAGCTTCAATTCCAACGCTGTCTCCAGCCCTTTGGATGCTGGCCTTGCAATGTGTTCCCTGTTTCTGAGCCTCGCGTCACCACTCCTTGGACCTTGATGTGGTCCTTTGGTTGAACAACCTGGCCCTTGATGGTGCAAAATCTTGAGTCGGCCTTGTCCGCGTTGCGAGTAAAGTGGATGATTGCCGTCTTTTCTGCTTCAAATGTCGCTCCGCTTCTCCTCTCCCAGCCTAGCGCATCGTTGATGATTGCTTCAATGCCCTTGCGGGTGTTCCACGGCGTCGGTCCCGTCATCGAGGCAGTGAAATCGTCAACAAAGGCGATTACCCCAGCCTTGCTATCGTCCCCTGCTCCCGGCGGTGTCAACCAGACAGTGGTACGCCTTCGGGCATCGACACCCAGCGCATGCCACAGTGGCGTCTTCAACTTCCTATGTCGCCGGAGAGTCCCAACAAACAGAGACATGGTTGTACGACTTGCGAACACTGAGTCGGCTGCGAGCGGCAGTCCACAGGGCTGGCCCGTCGTTTCCCGGGGCCAACTAAACTTATCATTCCGGCCCATCACCAGCAACTGAGGCAATAGCAAGTGCAGATGGCCGCCTTGGAAACTTCGTCGGGGGTCTTGGCTCACCCCTGCCAATGGTTCCGAAACCACAGGTAAGGAGTGGCGGCGTCATTAGTCTCGGCTTCAGTGACGGCAGCTGAAAACATAGTCAGGCGAATCCAGATTGTGTCGAAATACCCGTAAAACGACAAAATTGTGAGTGATGTTTTCGTTCAATGCGAAGGTACGTGCGAAGTTCCCGTTTTCAGACACGGTTTGTGATGGAAGAAGCCAAGCGGGTGCTGAGCACCTATTGGTCGGTGCGCGAGACTCGAGTTGGAAGGTGGCGTCAAATTCGGGACGCGGGCGAGGTGCGGCGAGATGAGGTCACTTGCAAGGTGTGCTTGATTTGAGTTGGGCGTGCGCGCGAAATTCGGGTTGCTGGCGAGGTATGCGAGATGGGGTTCACTTCGTGAGGTGCGCAAGATCCAAGGGACTCAAACCATAGCCACTACCCGGAATTAAGCAGAAGGCCTCTTGGCCTGATCTTTCCCGGCAAATTCCTAGATCAAGCGATGGATATCGACTCGCGATCCATGTCTGGATATGCACCTGGCCAGTTTCGGTTGCCAGGGGACTGGATAAAGGCTCACAATGTTCTAGTGGTCAATGGCCATGCTCTGTTGCGTTGGTAACGTGAACGTACCCTTGACTTGCATGATTGGCGAGGGGAACGTCGAGGGAAGGCGTGTAAGGAACTCTCCCAGGATACAGGCACAGCGATCTCTTCTAAAACTGTCAAGCCGGAAGTGCATAGATGCAAGAATCACTAGGTACGCTCGCGGCTTGTCTAAGTTACCCTTGGCTGCTCACACCGAGTGTGCTGCCGTAGGTGATGCAGCAGATCATCGGCCAGGGCGAGCTGGTCAAGCTGTTGATGATGTACGTTGGTTCGCGGGAATCCAGAATAATGACACAGCGATCCATGGCCGCATATGCGTCCAGCCAGTTCGGTTGCAAGATGAAGACCGGGATGAGGTTCCTATGGTGTCTTAGTAGTCCAATGGTTTCGCCGTTTTGCATTGGTAGGTAAATGTACCAAGGTGTCCTGCATGGTCGGCCACAACGGGTAATTGTAATGGCTTCGTGCTGGTGTATTGGCAAGATAGATGTAACCGGTTCTGCTTGATCGGCCACGACATGAACGTGGGGAAAGGTGTGAACGGGTCTCGGCTGCGGCGGAAGGGATAGACAAAGCATCCAAAGAAACGGAGTTTGGTTTGGGAGCCTTGGGGGACGCCTGTTCACACTCGTCAGTCGCCTAAGCAACTCCGATCTGGGCTTACCAGCCGGCGGGTATAAGAATGCCCATTTCCCAGCATGACCGCCACCCCTATCCTCCCGCCTGTGATTGCTTGTTTCGTTTCAGCCAGTTGCTCTCGTTCCTCAAGAACCTTCTAGCCGTATGTGTAAGATTGCCCCCCAAGGAATGCTCACTGACCATCTATAGATATCCCCACTATGTCGGATATGAACGGAAACGATGAGAAGGCCAGTCTTGAAGCTCCTCCCAGCTCCCCTCTGAGTTCCCCTTGAGCTAGCTGACTAAGACTGTGCTGACAAGAGAACCGAGCAGGTCAGCTCTCCGAATGAGTTGACCGGGGACCCCAACGAAGAGCTAGACAAGGCCTTTCCGGAGGCTGAAGATCATGACTCAACTGGCGATGTCCCGATCTGTATAGACGATATACTTGGGCGGGTCGGACGCGGTGGCCGACGTGACAGCCTATATGCGGCGGATAATCGACTGGTGTTATATCTTTTACCCCGCGTCGACGCAGCTGGCCACGGTGTTCCTGACCACGAAGCTAAAGTAATATCTGTATAAGAACCTGGTCAGCATGCTTGCCTTTTGGGAGTTTGGTGTTCAGTTTGGTTGACGTGCTTGTTATTAATGCCCTTTGGGTGCGGACTCTGATGACAGGAAGGGCGCGGCTGGAGGTCTTTCAAGAATGGGGGATGCCACCAGTCCGTGGTCTAAAATGAAGAGCGGATGATTATCTTTCAAGCCCACCTGTCTGTAACTGCATTCTACAGCCATGTTAAACAATGATAAAACTAGCAATAACCCTTGGTCATCTCCTCGCAAAACTCCCATATCTCCCTCACCTTCTTCCCCTTCCCACAGTTCTTCTCCATCTTGGCGGCCTCAAGCAGATCCTGCCTCAAGAACGTCGAAATCACCCCCCCCCCCCCCCCCCCCTCCCCTCCCCTTCCCGGTACTACAAAGCATCCGCTTTGCTCAACCCCAATATCCGCCGACAAGTCAGCATACAGCTGCTTCAGTGCCGCCAGCCTCGCGTCGTACAAAAGCGGTCCGGCGAGGTAGTTCAACCACGACTTGTGCCGAAACAGCCTTGTCGTGGCCGCACCAGGGTTGGAGGTGAAGCTGAGGACGGGAGCCGCCAAGTGGGACTGGCGCTGCTGGCGTGCCAGCTCGGCAGACAGGAGATAGTTGCCCGTTTTCGAGTTGACATAGTTCTGCGTGGCGTCGTCCTTGGGCGGGTGGCGTGGCTCTGACATAACGATGGCTCCGCCTGGAGCGGACAGTTCCATCATCTGGCTGCTGCTCCAGACGACGCGGACGGAACCGGGGGAGGTGGACGCGCAGGCTGCCGCGGTGATTTCCAGCAGCGAAAGAAGGAGCTGGGTGAAGAGGAAGGGTCCGAGGCAGTTGGCGAGCTGCAGTTTGATGCCTTGTTTCGAGACGCTGCTGAGGGGTGGTTGTGATACATTGGCGTTGCTCCAGAGGATGTCGAGTCGTGACTCCTTTGTCTTGAAGGCGTCGACTGAGGCTTCTGATGCTAGCTAGGTTAGAGAGGTCGAGGTACAGGAACTCGAGGCTGCCGTGTGAGTCGGACGGGGGCAGCGTGGCCTGGATGTTGTGCACTGCCTCCCTCGCCTTCTCCTCGGATCGCCCGGCAATGTAGACGCGGCCGCCTTTTCGATACAGAACCTTGGCGACCTCCAGGCCGATGCCAGAGGCGCCACCCGTCACGACGAAAAACTTTGCTATGCTGGAGCCCGACGTCGGCCTCGGTGAACAGGGGCTTGGGCGGGAAGAACTGAGAGAACTGTGACTGGAACATGCTGGTAGACCCTGACAGCCCCTATTGGGACACAAACAGCAGCCTGACAGGGTAGGTTCGAAATGCTGCTGAATATGATAATATGATTGTATTTGTATTGGTGGTATTTGAATCCGACAGGTCATGCGCGCTAACGAGGTGGAAATATGTACTCCAGATCCACTGTGAAGACATGATCGCTCTTAAGGAACAGATCGCGCCGTGTCATGACGGGCCACAGGCCTTGTTTGTCGAGGCGGAAGTCGGAGAGGTTGAAGTGCAGGTTGAGCAGCACCCTAGCAACAATGGAGGTCCCAAATGGTGCAACAGTAACAACGACATAGCGCGAATGCATCGGAGTGCGGCGAGTCGGAAACGAGTTTGCGTGTCCCGCTGTTGCCCAGCCGTTGTCTCCAGGCTGTCATGGTGCTTCTGTTGGAGCCGGCGAATGTTGGCCAAAACACGAAAAATTGAACGAGATCGCTGCAACGTAGAGATAACCGGAGAATGAAATCGGACCACTATCCGCTCAACGCAGAGGATACATATCGTTCACCGGCTGGCGGTGACGATGGCAGGGGTGAGGAGCTCTCGGAAAGGGGCTAAGGGCATAATAGCGCTAAGGCTCATTGCAGTAAGCGAGCCCAGGACGTGGAGAAACGTCAGATATGGCGGCTGATGCTAGTAACTGGCTGCTGGATGGCGGAATAGAAGAGCAAGTCGGATAAGGGAGAAGGAAAGCAAGTGGCAAAGAGCATGCGAGCTGGAGGGGAGCGACAGCCGAGAGGTTAGGACCGTCCGGCACAGGGTAGGGATGGACCATATCTTTCGTCGGTTGCGTATAGAAGTGCGGTTTCATCAACTCATGTTCGCAGATTCTTATAAATACACTTACTCACTACTCTGCGTAGTAGGTTGGAGTTTATAGAGCACTGATAGAGCACCGATAGAGCACCAGGATACCAAGATTGATATCTATATACCCACCATCACCAACATTATCATCAGTGAGTCGGCGACCAAAAGATGGATATTATCCCTTTGAGTAGCATGACAAGACGCTGCCATTATCAGGATATATAACGTTACGACTTCGGCTATATGCTTGGGTCAGCGTGAGAAGAATATATAACGTGAGTGTTCAAACGAACTACCACTTGCGTTATCACTTTCGAAGACAGAAATAATGTAGCTTATGCTCAATCCGGTTTTGGCTCCTCCAGTTGGCCAGCAATCTAGCCCAATGGGATTGGAACGTGTTATATCGTTACATCTACGTTAGTGTTCGCTCTGGAACTAGCCAGCCGCGTGGACGGCAGTCCTGGATTTCTACGCGCCGCGCGTGTTTTACTACAGAGAGCGAGATACCGTCCTCACAAATCATTAAGACCAATCCTCATTCACCTTGTTCAATTGACACTCCAAGTTACTAGCCATATTCTGGTAGGTTTCTGCTGTATCCCAAAAGAAACTTGTTTCCACCGACGAACCCTCTTCCTTCCCCCCTCCCCCCCCAAGGGCCCAGCCCGGTCTGAGGCGGTTGGTCTAACCTCCTCAGTTAAAGAGAACAAGCCAAAATGTGTCTCGAGGGTGACAGATTCGGGGACAGGTTCATCCAACCTCGATATTGCACGAGTCGTTCCGCGACGGTTTGACCTGGCAAGGCTCCCTGCACCGAGATTGGACATCATCCCATTCAGGCCAATGCGGATCATGAGCATCAGATGCCAACATCTCCATGGATTCTCATACTGCCGTGCCATAGCCTGGGGCACGTGGCCCATCTTGCGAGATTAGCGGCGCAGGGCTTTGAGGTTCTGGGCAGGTAGATTCATTCTCGGCTGCGTGGCGATCAGCCCTCTTGTCCATTTTCCTTCTCCAAGGCCGGTAGATCAGCACCGAGCCGACCCCGACGACGAGGAAGAGCCCGCAAATGCAGCCACCAATGATGTCGTAATAGTCGCCGATAGCGCCCACGCCCTCCCAGAAGCTGCCGTCGGGTTCGGCCACGTGCTCAACCAAGGACAAGACCTGGATGATGCCGATAAAGGCCGAGACAAACACGGTGATGCCTGTCAGGACGATCGAGTAGTAGAGGATGGCCACCACATCCCTCGAAAACGCCTTGGATGTGTAAAGCGCCATCATCAGGGCTCCATCGGTTGTGTCGAGGAGGCACATGCCCGCTAATTAGATATTCAGTCAGTCCCCTCCGTCTCACAACCGCACTGCAGACGAACACTAACCCGTAAACAGCGCCGGAAAGATCAGAATCACCCACATGCTAGTCCCCTCCGCAGCCTGGACACTTGCAATCCCCAGGATCGCAATCTCCGAGCTGGTATCGAAACCCAGCCCAAACAAAATCCCCAACGGCAGCATCTTCCAGGGCCGATCCACCATCCGAAACACCTTCCTAAACACACTCGCCAGGAACCCGGGCCCCTCCAGCTGCAACCCCCGCTGGCCCGTGGCATCCATATCCCCCATTTCCTCCTCCACCACGTCATCATCACCATCAACAACCTCCCCCCTCCTCCTGGCCCTACTGACCCCCTGCTGCTCCGCTGCCAGCAAAACACCCCTCAACCTCCCCACCAACCGCCACAAGACAAACCCGTTCCCGACACAGAGCAGCAGCAAAAACGCAGCCGACACGCTCGTGCCAATGATGCCGCCGACGCGCTGAAAGTCGTCGAAGCGGTCGCGCAGGGCGCCGGCCGTGGCGGCCACGACGACACACGTGACGACGACGACGGTCGAGTGGCCGAGGCTGAAGAAGGTGCCGACGGCGACGGGCCGCTGGCCCGAGGCGATCAGCCGGCGCGTCGTGAGGTCGATGGCCGAGATGTGGTCTGCGTCGAGGGCGTGGCGGAGGCCGAGGGTGCTAGATGTAGGCAAAAGGTGCGGAGGGTTTGTCAGTTGAGGCGTCGGTCTGTAATCAGGTAGGTGCGCACAGGCAGTAGTAGGTTACGATACTATCACTGAGATGGGGGGTGAACTTACTAGGAGAGCACGGCTGGAGAGATGAGTTTGGGGTTGTAATCTGCGCTGGATGAGCTAAGTGAATTTTGAGATGTGAGTTAGATAAGGTATATAAACTTACGTAGGAGGATGCCGGCGGCGGCCCAGACGATACCGTTAATAAAGATGAGAAGGCCAATGAGCTGTAGGGCGGGGAGCGGAATGGCGGAGAGGAACCGTGGCAGACGCCATTGTGATGGTGGTTTAGGGAAGATGCACGATAGTGGCATCTTGCCTGTCCTGCGATGTCCCCTAATATCGTGTTGTTCCGAGCCTCTTCAAAGGGCAGGCTCCTATAAACCCGATTGGAGTTCACCGTTTAGGACTGGAAGAATCTGATAGTTGAAAATAAAGTGGGAGAAGCGCAGAGCCAGCGGGGCAATCATGGCCCCATGATTCATGTGATTATGGATTGTTATGTACGGGTGTGCGGCACCGCAGTGCCGATACCGCATCTAGGCAGCCCCATGACAGCGCGATGCTTGTGCGTGTATGGTATGCAAAACTCTTGGACTTTGGTGATAAACCCCACTGAGAGCTTGAATACTGCATGCTGAGTTGCAGTGAGATAAGGTAAGCTTATCTTTGTGAGTGGCTGGCATTTTGTGAAGCGGATTTGTCAAGTCAACACAAGTGGATATTCGTCTCCTGTTTTAGGGAATTGAAAGCAGTGTAGGATGCGGGTGCTTGAGGAGGTTGGTCAGGTTACAGGAATACTTTACCTATCAGGTAAATTTGACAACCTCCAAACCCGAAACATCCCAGCCATCATCCGCGGACCTCCCCGATGGGCCGATCGTTCCCATGCATACCAGCAAGCGGATCAAAAATGCAACATCCAATCCCCTTGGCCAAAGTCCTGGTTGACCAACCATGCTTCGTCCAAGGAATCCGACGTCAGGAATTCATCCAAGCCCTCCATCAGCCCCGTACCCGCCGTGGGCGGCACCGGAACCGGTTGGGAGTGTTCCCAGCTCTGCGACTCGTGCAGTTGCTGGCCATGATGTTCTTGCGCCTGAAAATTCGGGAGGAGCGTGATAGTTGGGATTGTACCAGTATTCGTCGAAGCACAAGTCCCTATTCCACCGAGTCAGTGGGCAGGAAAATGCAATATTATTCCGACACGGTGTTGGCTGGACATGCCTGATCTTGCAGCGGCTCGTCGGGCAAGGGAATCGCGATATCGCCGGAGGATCTCCATGCCCTGGGTGACAGAAGCGATGGTGCGTTTATGATGATTGAGAATAGCCATCGCTCGGTCCCAAGAGGACTTGGTTGGCTCAGTGTCCAGGCTGACACCGAGATTCGGGGAGAGCGTCGCGACGAGGAGGACCGTGGCCGAGGCAAAGGTGACTAGACCATTTGTTAACATGGACATCAAGGGAAAACCTATAGTAATTGCCCTACAGTGCAACGCGAACCACGCCGAAATACCCGTGTTCGTTGTGAGACTTCTGTGGACCTCCTCCAGGATGGTGTGTACCGCCGCGAGACAGAGTGAGCATGCCTCCTGGTGAAACCTCTCCTGGAGCATCATCGACGCCGTCTGCGTCGCGGCGGTCCTGGCTGTGGTCCAGCGTTGCGCCTCGGCGAGGAGGGAGGGACGGAGCAGGAACAGCCGTAAGAGCAACAGTCGGAAGCGAAGTGCGTGACCCTGAATTCGAAAGCACGTCACCTCGTCCTCCTGTAGCGCCCACTGGGAGTAATCGGCCTCAAGGCGCAGGTGCGGCGGCACGCCGTCAAGGAGGTCGTCGATCTTGGAGCTCAGCCGCAGGAGGACGCCGGGGTCGGGTACCAATACTTCGTGTTCCGACTGTTTGAGTTTGAGTTGCGGCGCGCGTGCTGCTGCTCGCATTTCCTCCATAATCTCTAGAATCTTCATCGAGTAAATGTTCATGTCCATGCGCGAAGGGAGTCCCTCTGGCTGGCGTCCCTCCTCGGTCGTCGACAGATATTCTTCGTCGATAGCCAAGGGCGGCGGTATATGAGTCAGACCGGGAACGATCATCCCCGGCCTGCCGAACGTGTTTGTGATGATCCTATCTCAAATGGTTAGCACCATGGAGCTGGCTTGCCTGGAGGTTGCTCATAAGCTCCATACTGATCAAGAGCGACACATCCGCCATACCAAACCCTGTAACGCATCTCTCGGTCCAGTTGATTAAGATGCCGCTTAGGCGGTGCGTGAAGACCGAGTCCAATGGCCATGCGCGTTGCAGCCCCGGAAACGAGCCAGCAGCGATCTGCTTTTCCTGAGAAGTACAGGTACCACGCTCGGAGGAGCAGCAGCTGCACAATGGCAATTGACGATGTGTCCAGAGTTTCAGCCGAGACGAGCCGCAGCGAGCGGTTGTAGAACTCGTCGGCGTGGCATTGTCTTTGCTCGAGGGATACGGTCTCGGTCCTGTAATATGCCAGTGCCAGGACCATGTTCACGGTTGCATAAGTCAAGACGACATCGAACGGGTGGCTAGTAGTAGGCGCTGCCTGTTGCTCCCACAGCGACCGATACTTGGACTCGAATATGGGCCAATGAAGGAAGGGGAAGACGGAATGGATGTGTTGCCAGTACCAGCGTAGAAGATCGTCAGCGAACTGCCGCGGAGGGAGGACCATGGCGCGCAAATCGACTTCATCTCCAGACTGATCCTGCGTCTGAGTGGAAAAGCATACAAGTGACGGGAACATAGGGGAATCGAGTGCAGACGTGTCAGACTCAGCAGATGGGCTGTGAGAGCGACGTGAGCCTGCTGCTTCCAGGCCTTGACATAAAAACGTCGAGCTTAGCGCCGTCGTCGGGTGGTCGGTCGCGAAGATGTCTTGGTCATGAACCCGCGCAGCGGCAGGGCCGGATGTCGGATCTGCGTGAACACGCGTTAGACAAGTGGACAATGCCAACGTGGGAGGCAGGAGTACCAGCAGGTGGTGTCGCCTCCGCAGCAGACTGCCGGGACGGGCTGGGATCTGCTCGGGCCCCGTTCTCGAGTTTTTGGAGCCGGCGTTCAAGCTCAACCAATGCTCTGGTCGGATCAGCCCATGTCCTCTCATAGTCATCATTGCCAGTTTTGTGAGGTTTTGTCTTACAGTGCTGTAGACGCCTGCATCACAGTATCTGGGTAACTGCATTTGTCTTCCCAACCCCTGAGTGAACATGCCGTACACACTGGCTTTTTGCCATCGCATCCGGTTTTGCGTGCCCTGCAGGGGGTGCAAGCCAGACGTGCTTTTCGGCGTCGTTGTGTGGGCAGCCCCGACTCAGGGATGAAGGTGTGCTGTGACGTCTCCATGGCCAGTCAATAACGGGTAAAGGGATGATTGAACTGGGCGGGTTTGCAATCGGGGGCGGCCGGCATGTGCGCGGGAATGATCAAACCTGGCAGATGTGTGATTGGGTGGTTCTAGGCTGACAGGGGGCCGTGACACCAAGCCTTAGGGGATCATCGGGACAGTTGGCCCCGGGCAACGTTCAGCTCTCCATGAATGAGGCTGGTTAGATGACGATTTTATTTTGACCATGTCCTAGGCATCGTAATGTATCCTGAATGGTGCATGAGGGTGGGCGTCTTTGCTTCCAGGGCTGACATGCAATCGCAGCAGCCGACAGTCCACCAGACCGTTTACGATATCATGATGACCTTGGCGGATCATCCTTTTCCCCACGGTTCACAAGTGCCCATAAGTCTGGGGGCGTTTCTGCCTTGATCTCTGCTGATGTATCGCTTGATGAGAAAAACTGTCTTTTGGGTGAGAATGTCGCCGCCCTTGCCCAGGTCGACTTTGCCCAAGCGAAAAGGCCCTTTGCTGACCCCGTCGAGTTTGTACAGGAATTCGTCCTTGATCGATCGAACCAAGCAGATAGAGTGGTATGCCACTTCGTTTTCAAGGCCGACTGGCACGGCAGGAGCGCCGTTCGTGGCCACCTTCATATAAGCTGTCTGGATCCCCAGGTCCGCTCCGAGCACCCTGGACCGCTTCTAGGGCAATTCGCTGATATAGTCACCAATAAACCGTGCAATGGGGAAATCATGTTCTGCCGACATAGGTTAGCTGCGTGTCGTCGTGTAGCAGGCTAGTGGTCTATTGACTTGTCGCAAAGCCGATAATAGAAGTTGTCTACATTGCACAAGGCGTGAAGAGCGGCGTACAGACCGCCGTCGTTGTTTGCCGACCACTTGCTTGAACCATATCACTCTGGTTCCCAATCTTCCCCGTTGTAAACAGAACGAAAAGAGTCGGTGCCGACTTTCCTAGCCTTGTAGCTGGGGTTGGTGGGTATGGCGAGGACCACAGCAAAGGCGGGTCGCGGGAGATCAGGGTCGTCGAGGGTTGGGATATCCTCAAACGCGATTCCACACTTGACACAAAGGGAACGGATCAGCTCGTTAAACGGTTCCGGGCTCCATTTGAGCGGGAGAACGGGCCCACTGTGTTGACTGGACATTGTGAGCGCGAGGACGAAGGAACCTGAAAGTCGGTTTCGCAAGATGTGCGATGTCCGGCAGTAAAGAAACGGCCATTCAATGGCTAATGACTGTTGAAGATACATGCAAGCTTCAGTTGGATATCGTGGGTAGACCAAGTGGGTGAATGTGCTATGCTGTCAAAATTGGCCGGCTTGTGGATTGACGGTGAACCAAAATGCTCCCAATCAGCGAGGTGTGCTCTGCCCAAAGGTCATTCCGTGCTCCTTCCAACTCCTCCAGTGATTGGTAGAGACGATCCGTACGCCATGAGACAGGTGCTAAACCCGGCCTTCTCCTGCTTGCCGTGAATTATTGGGTTGAATTGGAAAGGAGCTCCAGACCGGGAAACACCGCGGGTCGGTAGCTGGTACCTGTGAGCTCGGCACGGCATTTACGCGCTTCTTGAAGTCCCTGTCGAGCATCCCTTGAACTCGGGATGAATGCATTGATGCGGCCTCCACCCTACCAACCTTGTTAGCGAGTTCCCCGTCCGGAACCTCAACACCAGAAGTCGACGGATTCCGAACCGTGTGTTTTTCAAGTAATTGGTGTAATGTGATGCGTCACAGCGTCTTCCCTTCCGCAAGGATTCCAACGAACTTTTCGATGTTTCGCCTGCGAGTGTCCTCCCGTTTTGCCGTCACGATGCGCCACAAGAAGGAATACCGCTTCGTCTTTCCCAGGCTCTCAAAGAACGTCTTGGCCTTCCTGTTCCGATCCAACGCCGCCTGAAAATCGTCAGGAACCTCCATCGTGCTCGATGATGAGTACGCTTTCTCCCATCGGCCGTCCGCCTTCGCCGCGTCGACCTCCGCCTGCCCCGCCTGCCGCATTCTCCCGGCCGCGATCAGCACGGCCACCTTGTTGACGTTCCGTTTGGACCACATGCTGTTCTTGCGCCGGGGTGTAAATCGCTGGAGAAAGTGGTGCTCATCGTGGCTCTTTTTCTGCCCGTCAATCCAGCCGAAGCAAAGCGCTACGTCGAGCGCCTCATCGTAGGTGATGGAAGCGATACCGCTGCCCTTCTTGCTGATTTTCAACCACAACCCCGTTGCGTCGGTGTGGTTGGTCTCCAGCCACGTCTCCCAGGCAGCCGCGTTCTCAAAGAGCTGTATTGCCGGTACCGCGGCGGTCGAGCCCGTGGCTGCCTTTGCTGATTGAAGGGCTTTCGCGGCGAGCCTCGTTCGTGTAGACATTCCACGCTGTTTTCAATGGCTCAATTCAGGTTACTGATGACCGGCGGTGCGTTGGCCTGTCAAGTTAGTCCGCTCTTGGCTGCTGCCTGCAGCAAAATTCGCCTGCGCCAAGCGGTCGATCTAAGGGTTAGGGCTTACTCTGCACTCTCCCCATCCTTGCGTCGGCCCGGGTCTTCCGAGCCCCAGAAGGAACCTGGCATCTTACAGACTGGAGCCGCTGGTCAGTAACCTACTTCCGTTAAGATGCACAAGGGGCTGTCGCGTTTGCCCTCGGCCAGTTGGGTGTTCTGCGCCGTAATGCGGGTTTTCCTCGTCGTAAGCGGTTTCGACGGACGCGATTCAGGTTCCGCTTTGCATCTATTCAGCTGCGTTCTGGAAGTCGATGGCGCCATGCTGGCATACCTGCGCGATTAAAAGCTTATGGCAGTTCTGGACGTTATCTAAAGAAGTTACCGGCACCGTGGTTTCTCTCCTAGACAGCCCTGAGAGCTCATTGCCGAGCGCGAAGCTCCGAAGGAGCCTTGATGTTGGCTGCAACACGCAGTGGAGCGGGAGCTTCTCCTCCTCTTCTCTGCCAGATACGTCCATGGCGCTCTTCACTTGGGCTGGTCTCATGTCAAAAGGTTTCATCCCGCCTGACCTGTCCTGCGACTTCGCTTCGGCACACGCAGAGGACAAACACAGCGTGACCCCGTGCCTCGATGCAATCCTCGACAGCCGCTCGCCGCACCAACTGCTTGTTCCGCATGAGCACTGAAGAACGAGCATTTACCTTGTCTTATTATTCAGAACGTGCAATGATGGGGTTCCGCGATTTGGAGGCAGTATTGTTTTCTGAGTTTATTGTTTCTGCATGTCAAGCATCCCCCCGTGCCAGTAGATCTCGACCGCTCATCCACCATCCGCCAGTTTCGACCCTCGAGGCACCCCACCCATCAAGCTTGTTGCAATTATATGACTCAAACCCTGAGGCCAGTACAATGAAACAAGAGGGTGTTACTATGTTGGCCCCCTGGCCTCTCTTCGACTCTCAAGCCCTCTTCGCAACCAACCTTGAGCCCAACCACGATCCAGTTAGTTCAACCAACCCACAGCGCCGGCCCAGGGATGGTGTAGTTCTTGATGGTGGTATACGGATTGAAATAAATCCCCGGGTCAGTATTCTTATACAGCCTCGTGCCCACCACACCGCTCGGGTTCGCCGTCCCGGACCCAGTGATCTTGATATTGAAGCACTGCGGATAATTCTGCGCGCCGTTTAGTGACCCAGCGCCATGCAGCGCAATGATCTCGTGACGAAAAACGTAGTTGCCGGGCGCGAGCGATCGGGGCACGGGTACCGTCCACACGCCTTTGTTGTCGATGAGCTGCTGTGACGCCCACTTTTGCGTGGCGTAGTCGATGCCGGACTCGTGAATCTTGACCCACTGGAGGCTGTTCTTGTCGGCCTTGGTGCAGTCACCGCTGCACTTGGCGACGTAGGTGAGCACGGGGCCGTGCGGGTGAGGCCAGGACGCGGGCCAGTTGAACGTTACCGTGCCGCCGGCCGAGACGGTTGCGGTGAGGGTGCCGGGGGAAGCGTTTTTGTGGCAGATAATGTCCGGGTGCTGGTAGTTGTTGGGGGCCACGAAGCCGCTGTCGAGGTTCTCGGCGTACCAGGCCGCGATGTCGGGGACCGGCTGCTTGTTGACCTTGGCATAGTAGTAGTCGAGGATGAAGCCTTGGTTGGTCATGCCGTCGGTTTTGAAGCTGGTTACCATGCCGTGGCCGGCGACGGTTGTCGCCAGCGCGCTCAGGAGCGCGGCTGAAAGGGTGGCGTGCATGGTGGGTGGTGGTTGATGGGGGGTCGAGAGGCTTGGCGCGAGGTCGCACTTGGTGATAGACAGCAGGTGGAATATAACAGGTCAGTTGTGAGATTATATATTTCGAGCTATCTTCTGATTCAAAGGAAGTTGGTATGCCCGAACTGCTCGATGCCCCTCGTCCTCTCCCGGATGGATGCGGCGGCGTCGTCCCGGCAGTTGCCTCTCTAGTCCTTAGTGCCGGCGTACCATTGCGAGTGAGGGAAGATTGCCGCGTCGAGTGCAGCTCGCGACCCCCTGAATCTTGAATTTCGGTGTCATGGGAATGGCAAGCAAGGTTTGTGGTGGTGACCCGGAACGGTTCCCTCCGCCTTGGCCATCGACGTTGCAATCCATAGACACCTAGATTACGGCTCTCCGCCCCGCAACTCCATGACATATCATCCAAAGAAGATCAGCGTGCCAGCGGATTGTGTATCCGCATCATGAATCCGCAACATTTGTAGTAGATATGTCCTCCTCTCACTATTTAATGTACTGAGCTGTGATCCTTAACTTGCTTATTACGCTAGCAACCAATGTCCTAGTGCCGGTGATCATTGTCCTACCGTTTCTAAACAAATCCCAAGTTGTTTCTATGTTATCGTAAGTTTGTTTTCATTGTTTGCGGTCATACCAGCGTTTCCAGCCACCTTAAACCTCAGGTCGCCGGCCCTTGAATCCCGACGTGACATTCAACTTCGGCCCTTACGGCCCCGAGGGTCATCATTCTCGAGCGCCGGCAGGAGGTGGCTCAGCCAGTTCCGGACTCCCCCTCACAAAAGAACTGGAACAGGCCGACGTGCCTGGCCGTCAAGACATCTATACCATTTACGACTAGGCACAGCACATCGCTCAGTATTACCATGAGGAGCTCAGCATTGGAGGATACTAGGCGTCCCTCCGCAAAAACACTTCAGGTGGCCTGGTACCTGATTACGAAGTGAAAGAGATGTCTCTCGCGGCCCAGGACACACTGAACACCCAGCAGCGGCAGGTATACGACACGTCAAGGCGCAGAACCAGAACCGTCGGCCCCCCCGCCCCTCCACCTGCAGACCGGGATTGACGGAAAAGGTGGGATTGGGAAGTAGTACATGGTAAAGGAGATATCTTCTTATCGTCGAGCTCACTTCAAACTCTCAGTTCCCCTGTATCGAGCCTCCCCATCGTCAGGGCACCTCCGACAGGTGAGGCAAATAACCAGATCCAGGACCAGACCCTGCATTCCTTACTGCAGTCCTCCGTCGACGGAAGTTATCGCACGCTCTGCAACACCGACGACCCTAATCAGGAATGCCTTGCAGCGGCGGCTCAGGGGCATCCATAATCTCTGATCGACGAGAAGAGCATGCTAGATTTCAAGTCCCTCGCGTGGATCGACCAGCGCCCGCGAGAGGTGTTCCCGTACAATCGCGACGAGTTCTTCAGCGGCCACAGCGTCATCCTGGTTTGTGACTTCTTCCAGCTCTTCCAGTCCTCAACAAGCTGTGCTTCAATCAACAAACGAGGACCTGGGGGACGTTGAGATAATCCGCCCCCCTCCCATCCCCCCAACACCCCATGGGCGCCCCTCACTTCGACATGTTCCGTCAGACTCTTCCCCGAGGAGGTCGAAAGCTTTGGTGATGTGCTTCGCATCTACCCCTCCAAGGCCCAGGTCATCGAGTACAGCCACTAGCATTTGCTCGGTCCGGCCTTCACGATGCGAGTTGGGAGCAGCTCCGCAGAGGGGAGAAGCTGGTGAAGCCCATTCTACGGCGTTCTACGGCGGTATGTCAGGGTGGGCCTCCAATCTTGCGACAGAGAGCAGTCCCACTGTTGTTCAGCTACGTGATCACCGTCCACAAGTCACAGGTCATTACCCTGGACAAGGTCGTCTCCACGCCCGAATTTGCCTCAGCTTGGGCGCCGACGGACCGGTTTTGGCGCTTCGTCTTTCCCGTATAATGACATTGACCAGCCTGGTCGTCCTCCCGAATGGGCACGACGGGGGATGTGCCAGGGGTAGGAAAGAGGAAGGAACCTGACTGGATGCGCCCCGTAATCAGCGCAGACTTAGGACAGAATTGTCGATAGGTACTCTTGATAATGGCTGATCGCCTCCCACATGTCCATGTTTTTTTCCCTTTTTTTTTTCTCACTTTCCTTTGTTTGGTTGTTTCTGAGGTCCGCGCTCTTGCTGTCTTCGGACTTGCGGGGACACGCAAAACAAACCGATCCATAAGGTACGTAAGCTTGCGTAAGCTCTTGAGAAAGGTCACCCTAAGGATAACGCGCGGTTCAGGGGCAAGTTTCATCCATTCGGCATGTTGTGGAGTCTGCCCCTGAGCCACCACAACGGTTTCTAGGGCAACCTGACACGGCCTGCGAAGCTCTTCGTTACTCAAGATGGATTCGACGGCCGGTCTTCCCGTTGGCCGGATGACCGAACATGCCGATCATTTGGATGGCCCCAGTGAATTGGCTGATCCTCCACGACGAATGGGAGTCACTGCGGCACTTCAAATAGATGAAACGCACCCCACAAATCGGCCAACGCCCCAAGACCGGTACGATCCGCACTTTACAACCGCTCATATGCTGAGAAATGCCCTGTTTATCCGGAAACAGGACTTAACCCGCTGGTAATAAGGGATATGCTCCAGTAGGTCCCCGAAAGATCCACTGACCTCCGAATGATCGACTCCGAGCATTCCCCTTTCATTGGCCTCGGAAGATATGACGGCCACGGGATTAGCACTGGCATGAGGGAGAGAGCGATTTTCAGAGCAGGTGCTGTCACAAGCGTCAACTTGGAAAGACCCTTGAGCCTCGCGTTTCATGTTCACTTCAGAGCGACCACGCGGCGACCAATAACACCTGATGCCGCTCCTCACCTAAGGAACCCGGATCCGGCCTGAGCGGACGGCATGCGAGCGGCGGCCCTGCAACTTAAGGTAATGTTGATCACCAATACTCCGAACATAAGGAGAACCTCCAGGCCGATTCAAATACGGAAGCCGGAGCAGCTTGATTGACGCGGACGACGAACTCCCGTATCAAGTCTGCGCTGGCCCGGATAGAGTGCTGTAAGGCTTGACATAGATCTGCAATCAGGATAAATGAAACCAATGCCTCCCGTCTGCACCCAGACTCAAACGATTTACTGCCTGCCCGTGTCACACGTCAGTCAAATTTGCTCAAGGAGCGCTGGGGCACCTTACCTTGGCACCTCAACTATAACGAATCACGACTTCCGCCTTTCACCATACTTCCCTCTCCCATCACGCGGGCGACTTCCCAAGACCCTCTTTCACAACCGCCGCCATGGCACTACTCATATCCTCCATCCTCGCTCTCATCGCCCTAACCCCAACCGCCCTCAGCCACTCGCACCTCGCGCACATACTGATCAACGGCCAGCTCTACCACGGCTTCGACCCGCGGCCAAACCAAGCCAACCACCCCTCGCGTGTGAGCTGGTCCTCGGCCGCCGCCGACGACGGGTTCGTCTCGCCCGCCAACTACTCCCACCCGGACATCATCTGCCACACCGCCGCCGCCAGCCCGCCCGCCCACGCGCCCGTCCGACCAGGCGACCGCATCCACGTGCAGTGGAACGGCTGGCCGCTCGGCCACGTCGGGCCCGTGCTGACCTACCTCGCGCCCTGTTCGCGCCTGAAGGGGTCCGAGACGGGGTGCACGGGCGTCGACAAGACGGAGCTGCGGTGGACCAAGCTGGATGATTCGCGGCCCGTGATGGAGCCGGCGCCCGGCCGGGGGCGGGATGGCGGCGTGCAGGGGCAGAGGTGGGCGACGGACGTGATGATTGCGGCGAATAATAGCTGGTTGGTGGCCGTTCCGACCGGGTTGGAGACCGGGGCGTATGTGCTGCGGCAAGAGACGATTGCGCTGCATTATGCGGGGGAGAAGGGAGGTGCGCAGAACTATCCGCTTTGTGTCAACCTGTGGGTTGAGGGAGGGGAGGGGGGAGGTGGAGGTGGGTTGAAGTTGGATTCGTTCGATGCGAGGGAGTTTTATCGGGAGGATGACCCTGGCGTGCTGGTCAATGTCACGACGCTACGATCTTACTCCGTGCCCGGACCGACAGTGGCGGTTGGCGCCACGCCGGTGCCGTATTCTGAACAGACCGCAGGTATCTCGAGAGCGGACGGGACGCCGGTGGTGGTCACCAAGGGAACCGGGACAGTTGCGTTCAATGGCAGTCCTACGCCGACGAAAGCGGTTATGGCAAGGCTAAGAAAGGGAGGTGTTAGGTAGAGATGATGAATGGAGCGCTCATCACTACATAAATATACCATGCGCATTGCCCGCATCATTCACGTTGAATATGGTCTCAGTGACCTAGCGGCGGTTTGTATTCCCCAGGCCTACAACAAATGACCATTACTGGTACATATCCGAGCCCAGGACACTTGGGGATGACTTACTGTTTCATGAACTACATGCAATTTTTCTGAGCCACTTTGAGCGGCCCTTAATTTAAGGCCTTCTCCAGAGTGCGAAGCCACGGAACTGGCCGGTAGATGCCAGTTAGAGGTAGGCAGTCTCGCACCACGACGTCGGTCTTGACCTGAACCGCGGATGTTGTTGTGGATTATGTGGGGATTCATTTTGCAGGTATTTTCCTATAGAGACTGCCGACACGGACAGAGTCATGGAGGAGGCCTGGAGAGAGAGGTGGCTCAAGGAACGAGACGGCCGGACAGCAACGAGGCCCGCAGATGACCTTGACCACCAGCACGAGACTCTGTTCCAAGACAAAACCCTGAGGAGACACGACGGCCTCAGTAGAGCGAAGAGTTCACTGTTGATCCAGATTCGAACCGGGGCCATAGGCCTTCGGGCTTTCTTATTCGAAAGGAGAGTCCCAGAGGTACTGACGCCTATATGCGAGTGTGGAGAGGGGCGAGAGACTGTCGAACACCTTGTGATGTGGTGCTTGGCCCCACCGTTGACTCGAAGATGGGAGAGAGCCGAGGTCAGAACGCGAAGGGACTTTTATTCTGTCCTACAGGGAATCAGTCCTAAAGCTGCACGGCTAACGGGGAGGATCCTGGACTGGCTGATGGACTCGGGGAAATTGCCGATGTACGGTCTGGCCAGGAGGCTGGAGCTGGAGCTCGCGGTTTGATACCCTTTTCCTTCGAAGGCCAAGAGGCCTTCCCACTTTGTATTTGCAGGATCGCACACTGATCGTTTCCTTGATTGTCGATATGGGTTTTTCACCTGGCCCACGAGGGCGCGGTTTTCCTGTATAGTAAGTTGTTGAAGGTCCGGCACGCCCAAGGGCACAGCGGTGTAGGAATAATAATATTTTCCTATAGAGATTGCTGAAAAAGCTAAGTTAACTAACTTGGTAACAAATCGCATCAGTGGTTGACTAAACTGGAAAGAAAGTGGTCCTAAGTACCGGGCTAGGATCATTACCCCGGAATCGGTGTACGTTAATGCGAGCATGTAATTATCAAATCCTATTGGCTGCTTTGATAAGCATAAGTTGCGGCTCGCTAGGCATCACTTCACAACACCCCCAATAAAGCTCCGCTCAGCTCGACCTTTTCATCAATGAGTGAAACAAATTCATTACGCATGGCCACGCTAGGGTCAAGGCACTTCTCCAAGCTTCCTACCGAACTGCTCGAGCAGGTCCTTGACGGGCTTTGCGTTCACCATATCCAGGCCCGAGAACGCCTCGGACCGTTCGAACCGGACGACACCTATAGCTCGCTCACCCTCAAGCAGGAGGCTGAAAGCGTTAGCTTCACAGGGCTCGCCAGCCTCTGCCGGGTCTCGAGGCACTTCAACCATCTTGCAACGTGGCGGTTATACCACAGCTTAACCAGCTCAAAAACCCGGTCGAGATGGTGGCTGATTGCCCGGACCCTCATCGAGCGGCAGGACCTCGCCGGACTCGTGAGGCATCTCTCCCTCGAGGATCTCGATATGCCTGATGGACCCGTGCCTTCTCCTTTTCCCCCGAGGTCGTCACCTACCATGCCGAACAGGCACGGCACGCAGGTCGGAGCCCGTACACTCTCGAGTGGGGATACCCAAAGAGCGTCCCGAAGTATGAGGCCGCCGTTGCCGTCATGACCAGCCTGTGTCCCAAAATCTCGACTCTTGACCTCGCCGCACCTCAAGATGCAACCATCTGTGCCTTCTGCCCGCAGCGATCAATGCTGTCCCCACGGGACGTGGAGGTGGTCCGTCGGCATGAAGATGGGGAGTACCAGCTCGTGCAACTGTTTCCGCTCTTCCGCGCCGCGCCCAACATTGCGCTGCTGCGGCTTTTCAGGCTCGGTTGCTGCGCGACGCTCAAGGACAGCCTGAGACTTGAGCGCCTGACCGACCTTGAGCTTCAGGCCTGCTGCATTACCAACGACGAGCTCGCTCGCATTCTCAGGCTGTGCCCAAACCCGCAGCGCTTGCGGTACGTGTGCTGCAGACCTGAGGCTATCTATAGGGTAAGTTTCCTTATCTACCTAAACTCAGTATAATACTGACATTTCTGTATAGGATGAGCACTTTACGCCCGACGAAGTGGTTGCTGTTGTCCTTGAGCAGACTCCAAACCTACAGACATTCGAACTAGATTTAACGGAGTTGATGGAGACCGAGAATTTTACCGAAAATGACGTACGTAAGGCAAAATCGGCTCTAAGCCGCCGCGGAATCAAGTGCATATTTACAGTCCTAATCGAATGGAAGTTGCTGCAGCCTAGATAGCGATGTGCTATCTAAGGCATAGCTAGTATACTGTTTTTTCCCTTTCGTTTTTCCTCCTATCTTTTTTCGTTCTCTTCTTTTTAGCCCTTATACAAGTCATCACTACCAATGTCTAGACGCCCTACCTTCAGTGTCTAGGTACGCCCACTTTCTGTTTGACTTAGGGCACTGCAGCATTCTGTAAATCTTTTTCTACGTTAGCAAGTTAATCGACAGAATCTTTTAGTGGCATCTGAAACCGTCTCGCCGAAGACTTCTGCTCAAAATTACCTGTTCATCTAGTCACTGCCTACTCGCTCTCAATAATATTTGTATGCGCCTCAACCGGAGCCAACAGAGCGTACGTATCTACATGGGCCTTGGCAAACGCGCGCGCCCGCGTCTTGTTGGCAAACAGGATGTTCAGCTCCTCGTCTATGCGGCACTTGATCTCGGGCAGGCGGAAGTAGACCCAGACAAAGACGACCAGGGCTGTGCCGCCTTAAAAGAAGCCCGACTTGTCCTTAAAGTCCCACGCGGTGGGGTTCTGCATGTAGCTGTACAGCACCTTGCGACAAAACGGTGGTGCGCTGGTAGGCAGTGCGCGTGAGCATTACTGACAGCGGCTGCAGCCGTACGCTCGACGTCTCCGAGATGATGCTGTAGGCTAGCGAGCCGATGGTGAGCGAATAGACGAAGAGCCAGAAGATGTATACCCCGCCCAACGGCTATAGGTCGCTTTCGCCAGCCGAGACGTCAAGGATACTGATAATGATGAGGACGGATGTGAGGAGCGCCATGCCCGACGTATAGAGTGTTCGTCGGCCGAGGTAAGTGATGAGCCACAGTGTTTGTTGCCAATGGTGTCACGTCAGCAGTACGGACCCAGGGGGCATGGTGGTCCGGGACATCGCATAAGATTATACACGTCACGCCAGATGGACGGCTGACCCGAAGCTTCTTCGGCATCGAGCTGCATAGCTCGCTCGGAGAGCATTTACTGAGAGGTAGACGAAAATCCTCGTCTGGTGCCCTGCCGCGTTGTTGTGTTCCGCGATCGGCTGGTCTCGATGTAATTGAACGACATCTGGATTCTGAGCTTCTTGCCGGCGCGGCACAGCTTACTCCAAGCCTGCAGCTGCTTCTCCAGGATGGGCCACTCAATGTCAAGTTCGTCAAACCGATTTACGAGATCCCGCTCCGATCGGTCAGTGACGGACACCACGACATTAGTTTCGTCGGCCTTGAATGACTTGTTGGGTGGGAGCTTTTTGTCGAGCAGTTTTTCGAGTTTTGGTTGTAGAAATCTGTGCCAGAAAGCGTGAGGCACGAGAACGAGGTTCTGTTCCGAGTCCTTTGCAGCCATTCTATTGTTGATGGTTAACTTCCATTCGATCGAATAATGGATGACCGTAGGCGGAGGCCCATCGTATGTCAAGTCGTCACTCCAGTCAGCCAGCTTTACAAATCGCAGTTCTCCTCGACCGCCGCGCGTTGGGCTTTGACTAGCCGAAGCTACATCGTCGATCGCCGACATCCGTTGAAGCAGGGCTTCCGGACGATGAATGCTCGGTTGGAGTGTGGCCGTATCGCTGACGAGGGAATCGGGTGGTTGGGATGCCGGCCAGGCGATAAAGTCATCGAATGCGAACGACTGTGGATTGGTCATAGCTGCGCTGCTCAAGTATCATAAAGGACGGTGTTGATTTGTGGGCTGCTCTCGTCGGCGCGTGATCTCGTCCACTGCCCAGCTTCGAAGATATCTGGAGGAAGCTGGTGAGCCAGTCAGCAGGTGCAGCGTTGCCAGGTTTTGTTGTCGTTGACCGCCCAGGGCCCCACACGATTGCTGCTAAATTTAGCTCGATCTCAACCGGGCGAACGACGGGTCCCAAAGCGGGGCCACGATCTGGCGGACCGAGATGCACCGTCCTGATCCGCGGCGAGAAGCCGCAGCAAGCGGCCGGCAGCTAGGCACGGTCCGCGGAACTATCGCTGGCGATGGCTTCCATGGCACCGGAAGTCTGCCGAGTAGTCTTGGCTCAGCCTTGCCGGTTAGCGCCGAGCAGGCTGTTGCTAAAATTAGCCGGTTCCAGTCGTCGCGCTGCAGAAGAGGGGTCCGGAGAGAGGGGATGAGCCCAACTTCGCAAACCCACCTCACCACACCGGAACCTACACGGACCCGACCGACGGGATTTTAACCGGCCTTCCGGAGCCGACTCTGGCGCAATAACCGATGGACCCAACCCGGCCGCGGCGCCCAGCCACGCGGGCCGACTTTGAGATTGCCGTCATCTGCGCTCTCCCCATCGAAGCCGATGCCGTCCACGCCCTTTTCAACCGCCACTGGGACGATGACGGGCCGCCCTACGACAAAGCCCCGGGCGACCCCAACGCGTACTCCACCGGCGCCATCGGCCGCCACAACGTCGTCCTTGCACATATGCCAGGTATGGGCAAGGCCAGCGCCGCGGCCGTCGCTGCCGGTTGCCGCGCGAGTTTCCCCAACCTCAAGCTCGCCCTCATCGTTGGCGTTTGCGGTGTCCTTCCCTTCCGTCCCGGGAGCAGCGGGACAGCCGAGACCGTACTCGGCGACGTTATCGTGAGCGATGGTGTCGTACAGTACGACCATGGACGGCGACTGCCCGAACAGTTTGTGCAGAAAGACACGCTTCTGGACACCCTGGGCAGGCCGAACACCGAGATCCGCGCGCTACTCGCCAAGCTCAAAGGCCTCCGTGGCCGGAAGATGCTGCAGGACAAGATGGCCGGCTATATGGACGTGCTCCGAGGCGAGCCGGAACTGGCGGCCGCGTACCCCGGTGCTGCGGAGGACAAGCTATTCGAGGCGACATATCGCCATGTCACTGACGGGATGTCATGCAAGGAGTGCGGTTGCGACGGCAAGCTGTTGCGGCGTGCCCGCCTCGAGCAGGGCGATGGACAACCTGCGGTCCACTTTGGCCTGATTGCGTCGGGCGACACGGTTATGAAGTCGGGCAAGGACCGCGACGCCATCGCGCAGCGGGCGGGTGTTATAGGGTTTGAAATGGAGGGCGCCGGCGTTTGGGACGTCTTCCCTTGTGTGATCATTAAGGGTGCGTGCGACTACGCGGACAGCCACAAGACCAAGGCGTGGCAGCGGTACGCAGCCGCGACCGCGGCGGCATGTATGAAAGCATTCCTGGATCACTGGATACCTTCGATGACAGGTACGTAAAGATCTACCGGAGAGGATTAGGGAACGCTTGCTGTAGAGCACCTGCTAATGAAATATCGGCTAGCAACTGCCAAACTTGCTACAGACCGTGCCGCACTACCTTGCCACTATATCCCGCTCCCCGAGAATCGGCGCTTTGTCGGACGGAAAGCAACACTAGACACTCTTAAAGAGATGCTCTTCGTGCGCAAGGAGTGCCGGAAAGCCGCCATTGTCGGCCTTGGCGGTGTCGGCAAGACCCAGGTCGCCCTCCAGCTGGCGTACTGGACAAAGAAACACCGACCCGAGTTCTCGATCTTCTGGGTACCTGCCTTGAACAAGCCGACTCTTGAACAGGCCTTTACCGCGATGGCCAGGAATCTTCCCATCCAAAGTGGCGGCGATGACGATGATCTGAAGGTGTCCGTGCGACGGTACCTAAGCTCCGAGGCCGCCGGGCCATGGCTTCTTGTGGTGGACAATGCAGATGACAGAGATATTCTCTTTGGCTCTGCAGATATGCCGGGCGGTATCAGCGTGTACCT